TACGAGTGCCAATGCAGCAAGAACAGCGTTATTCAGGCTGCAGCTATCAACTGCGTCTTGGGTAACTGTGGAGGAGGCGCACTTGGCGTTCTCCCCCAGGTCAGCTCTCTCTGCGATTGTGTCACTGCGCACCCAACAACTCCTTGCACAGGGGGTTCTACTACTAGTGCCCCTCCTACCACCAGCAAGCCTCCCACCACCACTGGAGGTTCCAGCTCATCCAGCTCATCCAGCTCATCCAGCTCGTCCAGCTCGTCCATCAAGTCCTCTTCAGCTCCTCCGGGAGGTAGCGGAACTACCTCCGCTCCCCCTACAACCACAGGCCCGCTATGCACAGGAACTACTGCAGACTGTGGTGCCGTTGCCACCACAGCTGTTCCTTCTTGCGCCCAAGCTTGCTTTACGAGCGCAGCTCCAAAGATCCCATGTGACGTTCATGACTATGCTTGCCAGTGCCAGCCTGCAGCTCAGAGCTCTTTGACTCAGCTTCTGGTTCCTTGTGTTGCTACCGCTTGTCCCGCAGCTTCACTACAAGCTGTCATTGCTGGAGCTTCATCAGGTAAGAATTAAGCTTGTTATATACATTTTGAGAATCCACTATTCTAACACCTTCTCTTTCTTAGTATGCGCTTGTGCGACAGCACCTCCTAGCCCAGGTACCTGTGCAACCTCAGGCCCTGGCGGAAGCGGTTCACAAACTACAGGACCCAGCGGATCACAACCAACAGGACCCGGCGGATCACAGCCCACAGGCGGATCTACTGTCGTACCGCCACCTACGACTACGGGACCTGGTAAACCAGGCTCTACATCTAACTGCCAGCCAGTGACTGTCCCGCCCAACTGCGGCCCCGTGGCCAGCTCAGCAGTCCCTTCGTGTGCTCAAAAGTGCTTCACATCCGCCGCCCCTAATGTTGGATGTGATGTTCAAGATTACGCCTGCCAGTGCAAGCCTGCCGCTCAGTCTAGCTTGACCCAGCTCCTCGTTCCATGCGTGGCTACAGCTTGCCCTGCAGCTTCGCTCCAAGCCGTCATTACTGGAGCTAGTTCCGTGTGTGCTTGCGCCAATGGTCCACCCACTCTTGCTCCTGGAACATGTGCGACAGGTAGTCCTTCTGGCCCAGGTGGTGGCGGTTCTGGAGGTTCTGGAAGTCCCACAGGCACCGGCGGCAATGGATCTCCAACTGGAGGAAGTGGAGGAAGTGGTGGTGCCAGCCCTACCTGCAACTCAGCATCTCCTGACTGCGGTGCCGTTGCTACCTCAGCTGTTCCCTCGTGTGCTCAAGCTTGCTTTACCAGCGCTGCTCCGGTCATTTCTTGCGGTGTTAACGACTACGCCTGCCAGTGCCAACCTGCAGCTCAAGCCAAGCTGAGCCAGATCCTCGTTCCATGTGTCGCGACGGCGTGCCCAGCAGCATCTCTAGAAGCGGTTATTACCGGAGCTTCTTCAGTCTGTGCTTGTGCCACAGGTTCAACCGGCTCCAGCTGCGGAAGTGGTGGCAGCGGTGGCAGCGGCGGCAGCGGCGGCTCCGGTGGCGGCTCAGGAGGTTCAGGAGGTTCTGGAGGTTCTGGAGGATCAGGAGGATCAGGAGGATCAGGAGGCTCAGGAGGTAGCGGCGGCTCTGGCGGCGGCTCTGGTGGAAGTGGTGGCAACGGTGGTGGCAACGGCGGCGGTAACGGCGGTGGAAGCCAGCCTACTGGTCCAGCCGTGCCCCCAAGCTCAGGTGCTCGATTGGAGATCAGCATCGTAGCTGGTGTTTTCGCGATTGGCTGGGCGATTGCCGTTGCGCTGTAATCTAATGTGAAATGCATGATGGATATGATGTGAACTGATGCTATTGCTTTGGCATCTCATCACAGACAGTACTGGATGGGATGTATTATTTTAGTGTAGCTCGGATAATCTTACAAGACTAATATTTGAGTAAAAACAATACGCATGGAGCTGTTTATTTGTGAGACTTTCAAATAAAGTGTACTTATACCTACCGCCTCACTGATATTGGGCTTGTTTCTATATGAATGCTCTAACATAAAGGAAAGCTATCGTAACGGAAAGGTAGAGAAAAACCTTGGGAGACACCTTTTCCCAGGTTGCCCGAAGCCTCTACTCCCTCAGCTAAAATATGAAGTTCTGTAAAAGATCATTATGGTTTGCTCGCGATTATAAGGCATTCATATTTGCAACAGGCAATGATATAAAGCTTTCAGCAAGCTTCCCTCCCTTTCGAAGATATACCATGGGCGGTAGTTGTAATTAAAACTTTATTACTAAGCCCAGTCACAAATGCAAGCCAACGGAAATTAGATAGAGGAGACAATTTATAAATCAATTTGTTTGCTTGACGCTGAAAGCTTTCGTGTGTAAGAGGCCGAATTCATGTTTACGCAAAGGCGACGGCGGCAGCCGCACGCACCAAGCGTACAGAGATGAATTTAGATAGAGTCCAAAGTTTAATATAGCTATATGGAAATGGAAGAAAATGAATGAATTATAATTGAGGTTGCCGATACGGCGTTCCATGATTCCATCTTGTGTATGCGTGAGTTCCTTTGCCACGGCTAACACCACCAAGTTGGCCATGAGTAGCGCAATGTTCCCCACTGAAAATTCTCAGGTGGAGCTGGGCCTCAACCTCAGCACTTCATATCAATAGCTCATCTTAATTCTCACCACTACTTCATATTTGAACAAAGACTGGAGAGGGAAAGAAACGCAGATATGGCTTCCCAGCAATCACAACAATCCATCGAGCAGGCAGAGCTCGAAGCCAAGCGAACAGCCCACGTTGAACAGCTGTCAAATTGGCTCACTCAAAATAGCGCCATCTACAACATTTTCTTATCCGGTGTAAAGCAGACATCCGTTGTCGCTGGCACAGTCGTCAGCCGTCTTACTCTTACGCCTACACATCTAAACTCCAAGGGAGGCCTTCACGGCGCAGTTTCAGCGGCATTCATAGACTTCACAACCGGGCTGGCCATTGCATCATGGGACTTGAGGGAAAAGACGGGCGCGAGCGTCGACATGCACATCAGCTACTTGAGCAGCTCGGCAGGAGCAGGAGACGTCGTTGAGATTGTGGCAACGGCAGAAAAAGTCGGAGGGTCAATGGCCTTTGTGACGATTTTGATTCAGAAGGTCGAGGTGGTGGATGGAGAGGAGAAGAAGACGATTGTGACAAAGGGACACCATACCAAGTTTGTGAGACAGAGCGGCGGCAAGCCTAAGGAGAATGGAGAGACCAAGGTTTAGATGGGAACATGGCATACTTGTATATATCATAGAGGGAGTTGTGATGATAGATGGCGGGTTGTGCATATTTGATAGACTTTTAGATGGATACAAGGCGCGCCTTTGAGACACTCTCGTTGTGAATTGCCTCCTTTCAATGCCTGTCTCGCGACTTTGATTAGCCACTTAGATACTGGGCGGCTTCAATTATAGCCGAAAGGCAATTCCACTCTATTTGCGATGGACACTTGGGCGTCTACTTGTCGTTAGAAAGGCGCAACTTCTCCCGACTTGACTCATTGCCGAAGCTTTTGGGTGGAACTCTAATGGAACCCCGCTGGCTTGGCCATGGGCGGCTAAGGTCGGGTTCCGACATCGCGATTGCCAGGCACTAAAAGTTGTGGAGTGCCTGGGAGGTTCTGGAAAGAGAACCATTTGATATGAATGGCGTTGAAGCACCGGACTTGGAGGAAATTATCTTGGTTCTCTTTGCTTGTCATTTTTGACAGTAGCATTGTTGTGTTTGTTTGTTAGCTGGCTGATTCAATTGGTGTCAATTGGAGCCATGAGTGCAACTGAAACGACTCTCACAGTGGAATACGAGCTATCGTCACGGCGGCATTCCCAAAATTACAATGAAATAACCAAACGAGACCAGGAGGTTGAAAGAGGGCTCTCACAAGGCGAACTATCGCAGCTATATTCCCGAAATCAGAGTGAAATATCTGATCATGTCGCTCAAGAGTTGAAGCCCGTTGATCGCGGCCGAGATGCCTGGTGTACGCTTCTCGGCGCATTTGCTTTCGATGCATTATTTTGGGGTAAATTGCATCGACCATGAGATTTTCGTAAACGGCCATCTGATCATGAGACAAATAGGCTTTCCTGGCTGTTTTGGTGTCTTTCAGAGATACTATTCCACTGTGCCCGAGTTCAAGGACGATGCCGTCCGGATTCCCGTCGTTGGAGTCTTATCAACGGGCTTCTATTACTTTGGATCGCCCTTTTCAGCAATGCTAGCGAGGAAGTTTCCCAAATACCAGCGCCACCAGATTTACCTTGGATGGGTTTTGAGCATAACAGGTCTCTTGACTGCCTCCTTCACAAATTCCGTCAGCGGACTCATCGCCACGCAAGGAGCTCTCTACGGCCTTGGATTCGTGCTCATCTCCATGCCCATCGTAAGCATGGTAAACGAATGGTGGGTGGCGCGAAAGGGCATGGCATTCGGTCTTATATCTGCATCGTCGGGCGCGACGGGCGCTGTTCTGCCTTTTATCCTTGATGCTCTTCTCAGACGGTATGGATACAAGGTCACGCTGCGGGCTTGCGCAGTCGCCATGACCATTTTGACTGCTCCGTTGCTGCCGCTTTTCAAGGCTCGATTGCCGGCTTCAGATCAAGCCAATCTGGCGAGAATCAACTGGGACTTCTTGAAGCAGCCCCTCTTTTGGATATACGGCTCTGCGGTTCTTGTTCAGGGAATTGGCTTCTTCTTTCCCGTTGTCTTCTTGCCATCTTACGCCTCCATCTTTGACATTTCCTCCATCAAGGGCGCCTTGCTGGTATCTCTAATGTCCATTGCGCAGGTTCTCGGACAGTTTGCATTTGGCTACCTCTCAGACAAAAACCTCCACGTAGGCTTGTTAATGACGATATGCTGTGCATTTGCGGCGACAGCATCCTTCACATTCTGGGGCCTGGCAAAGTCGCTGCCGCTTTTGGCTGTATTCAGCTTCATTTACGGCTTCTTTGCTTTTGGCTTCGGAACTATGCGCGTGGCGATGGGTCGCGCGGTCAGCGATGATCCATCGACCGTGTTTGCTACTTATGCGATATTTGTCTTTTTGATGGGCGTGGGAAACATCTTGGTTGGACCACTGAGTGCGGCGTTGATGGCGCCGAGGGAGATTGTTCAGGAGCATTTTGCGGGCAACAAGTATGAGCCCATGGTCATTTTAACGGGTGCAACGTCGTTCTTTGCTGCTCTTATTGTTTTGGTGTGGCATGGCTACAAAGGGCTGCTGAAGTGAGCTGGATGATGCCTGGACTGAAATATGACGGGGGTTAGAAAAGCATAGATTGATGGCATGAAACATGAATAGCGACAATTGGATTTATACAGCGATACCAATATATATCTTTGAGACGAGGCTATTTTGACGTAGTTGTCATCTGGTAACCATCTTCGCATCCTTGAATCCAACAACTCGTAGGGAAGCTGTTTCAGGGATAAAAATGGATGAGAAAGAAGCATCACCGGGAAATTGAGATTGAGCCGTCGGATAAGATGGGCCGAAGACATGGGTCTAGTCAAGTATCCGCAACTCTTTCTTCGTTTTTTTTTTTGTTTAGACTTATGAGACTGACCAATCAATAGGTCTATATTAATAAATGGGAGCTTTATGGAAGAAGAGGAAGTGGTAAAGGATCTGTGTCAGGCTAGCGCATCACAAGCCCAAGCTATTACACCAACAACAACAGCCATCATTCCCCTGCATATGCTCTCTACATCGAAGATGTTGATAATGATATACTCAATGAGACATCAACGACTCATAACGACTAATGATTAGAATTGAATATGTGCCATTGCTGGAGTACAAAAGTAGTCCCACTATAGCAACCTCTCGGCATACATGCGGCCTCGAATGTGATAATTAATCGCAAACTAAGACGCTTCTAATCTATACAAATTCCTCTTTTTATTATCTTCTTTAATACATCTCATTTCTCTATTCTTGCTCGGCGTTCATGTTCAAAGTGTTTTATTTTGTTGTTATTCACCTAAATTCCACTCGTGTTTCACCATGTAATATATGAGCAAATAATCAGCTCAGTAAGGCTGTATGGAAGGATTCTTAAGCTGAATAAAACCATGGTGTATATGACTAAAGTCTGCGGTATCTCTACTGTAATTCCGAGTTCGGGAACAGCAGCTAAGCCTTGCATTTAAAAATGGTAAATGAAAACTTCATCTTTCTTTTCAATTAAACACTGTATTTATAAGCAAGTTGATGTTTTATTTGTAATATTTGCTAGGTATTGTTAAAATTAATTTTTAAATATGTAGAATAAATACATTTTAAATGCTCTATATCAATTGTTAAAACATAATATACAAAAAGTTTTAAACTTTAAGTGTAATTTAAAAGGAAATATATACTTCTAATTTAGATACATTTGTTTATAAAACCCTTTTAGTATTGTTTTATAATATATATAATTATTAATTATATAATTTATTAGTATATCTTTTTCTGATACTTTTATAATTGCTTAATGCTAGTACTAGCGTTGTAACTTTATAAGCTTATATGAGATTTTAGCGCTTATTAATAATCCTTGAATAGGTAGCTGGCCAGTGGAATTCCTACTCCATGGATGCAACAAAGACCCGAATAATATAGGTAACAGCTCCAGTATTGTACTGTATATTCAGAACACGCCTTTAGTAGAATTGCATCTCTGCATATACCTACTCTGTATGAAGATTTAAACGTATGTGATGATTAATCGTGATTAGTGTATTGGATGACGATCCTGTCGACACGCTTAGTCAAGTGTCTTGCAGCTTGGTGCAACATTGACGGCCAATCTCAGAGATAACTAAAGATTAAAGGAAATAAAATAAAGCACATATGTAGCCGTATAATAAAATCTAACTCTAGCGCCGATTCTCGTCAGATTGCTTGTTTTCAAGGAGACCACGTTCCAAGATACCGCTCCCGGGCGACACACAGCGGGTATCTTGCATGCAGGTCCTATGGAGATATGCTGGAGCCCCGCCCCTCGCGTTGAAAATGGTATTATACAAAGGCAAAATGAATTCAAATTATTACGTTACGCGAATTGGACAGACTTTTTTCTGACCGAAATTGATACAAAGGAATCATGTTTGTTCAAAGACAGGCTTTTATGCATGTATAGATACCTAAAGAAGCATGATTGATAAAGCCACCAAGTTGTGAGAGTGGACGCTTGCGTAAGACCTGCAAAATTATACTGCATATTGCTCAATAGTAGGCGATACCAAAGCGAAAGTACATGCTGGCAAATGCATGTAAAAGTAACATGAGTGTGGATGACTGTCTTGTTCAAAGCACCATAGTAAACGGCCATTAGTAATATCGCATCACGGCAGGTCTCTACTGGGCTTGGGTGGTTTATTAGCCATATTGAACACACTAGTAAGCCACTGCAACCATTCACCTCACCAGAGTGAGAAAACATCTAACTGCCTCCGAAGCTCTACGTCTAATATAAAACTGCCTTGATAGAACTTCATATAACTCGGAACTGGTTATTGACAGCGCAATTGACACTTTTTGAACGGTGGGATCATCATGATATCATTTAATGCAGACGAACGCACAATGGTTTGATCGTGATTGTTCGATAAAGTGGGGGAATGAGGGGATCAGGCTACGAACTTACGAAGGTAGTCAATAGGGCGCGCTTTACACGTTAATTCGGACACAAAGCCTCAGAAACTTGGCACAACTCTGTTCTAGACATAATTGACTCTAATTGATATAAGCTTATTCCTTCTCCCTGAGTTCAACATGGCGGCAGCTTCTGATAGCTCACCTGTCTTTGTTACGATCTCGGCTCTGGATGCTGGCCATCTTTCTCTGCCAGAGCACATGTTTGTGAGCGATGCCGACCCAGTGAAGAAAAATCTTGTTCCTTCTCTCTCATTCCTCATTCGGCACCCGTCTCCCGATGGCAGTGTGGCCAATCTTGTCTTTGACCTTGGTATGAAGCGCGATCTGGAGTATTCTCCTGCGCAGAAAAAGCGTCTTGAAGTCTGGGAGCCGATATCAACTGACACCGACTGCGCTCAAAGCCTCCGCAATGGCGTTGCTGGTGCCCCGGGAGCTCAAAGCGGCGTTCTTTTGGATCCGACCAAGGATATTAACTATATAATCATTAGCCACGCTCACTTCGATCATATAGGGACGCCATCAGATTTCCCCACTGCAACTTTTGCTGTGGGATCTGGAACTCTGGACCTATTCAAAAATGGTGCCGGACCATTATGTTCTGGCGACTTCTATATTGACGATGAGCTACCTGCGCTCCGCACCATTGAGTTCCCACCGGTGTCTCGCACAGGCACTTATGGAAACGAGCCATATGCTCCAAAGCACACGCCAGTACCGTCAAATAGCCAAGTCAAGCCACCGGCCGCGGTGTCTTCATGGTCATGGAAACCTCTAGGCGAATTTCCAAATACCCTAGATTTCTTTGGCGATGGTAGTCTCTATGTCATTGACTCGCCCGGCCACATTTATGGGCATGTGAACTTGCTCGCCCGTCTTGGTGAAAAAAGATGGGTTTATCTCGCTGCAGACTGCTGCCATGACAGGCGCCTGATCACGGGAGAAAAGAATATAGGACTGTATGATGACGGACGCGGTGGGCAGCGGAGTATCCACGTCGATACAGCAGAGGCACGGGGGACTTTGGATAAAGTAGTAGCTTTTGCGAAGAGCCAAGAAGCTCAAGGCCACAAAGTGGAAATTGTTCTGGCTCATGACCCCGTATGGCGGAAGGAGAATGCGCATGCGTGCTGGCCAGGAAAGATGTAGTACTAGTAGTAGTGCATGGTAGTAGCAAGCAAGCAAGGTTATCCATCGGTTACCCAAGTTACTTGTTTTCCTATACTTACATTTCCGTTTCATGTATACAACTGTGCCTTTAGTATAGAAAATTTGTCAAGGAAGCTGACATGTGAACGTGAAGCTTCCCGCCACTGCAGATTGCATAGTGTCACACTCGTGTGACTGCTCGCTCGTTTGATAGAGTATCTAGGATGCAACCTGAATATATTACCCATGTGGCTACTGTTTTCTAGAAACGGCAAATAAAATATAGTTTCATTGGGATTTTAGGATAGCTGAAACAACAACCTCCGGGGGATATCGGGTAGTTTGCCGCAGCTTTTGCCGCACTTATAACCTGCGAAATAAAATCGTTAAGAAGAATGAAGCTCCACACAGATAAATTTGCATCGGGGAATATCATGACTCATATTGGGCTTAAAATTATACTAGATATATAATATGTATCTATGTATTCTTTCGTTCTTTCTTTCTTTCTTTTGTGTGATTATTCTAGTACTTGAATAGTCTTTCTCTTTTATTAGAACCTTGTTACATAATACAAATAAAAAAACGAGTGAAATAATTGATGCTAATCATTATGTTCTAAGTACATGATGGAGTCTTTTACTAGATATGGAAATTTTGAAACGGCCCTGGTGTATTTGTAAGTGAACATCCGAGACAGACAAAGATGGGATTAAGTGGTAGCATTGTGGAGTCGATTTATACCAGATCCTTGGGATAAGCAGTCAATACCACACAGCCTGACTGGAAAGCCGAGATTTCTCCAGCTAGATCTGCCCGGTGCGCATTCCTCATCCAACATCTTAATGAAGTAATACGCTTGCCGACCTTGTCTTTCGGATATATACAACGGTACGCCGTAGTATTATGCGCATTACGCTATACTTATTCACGAACTCACTTACTCAGCCTGGCTTATGTCGGCTTCAAAGCATACACGATCCTTTCCCGGGTCAATATGCTAAAAGGAAGAAAAAACAACCTTAAAAAAAGGAGGAAGCAAGTCACAGCCACTAATTTAGTAGCTTATCAACAGATTTAATAATCCAGATTCCGGTCGGCTGCAAAGCTAGCAAACACAAAGCTTGTCCAGCCCTAAGTGCAGTGCTTGATCTACAGCAGTGGCTTTATAAAATAGTTTAATTAATTTTATTTGATGTTTTAAATTGAATGCTTTCTTCATGTTAATTCAGTTATAATTAAGACAAATTTCTTGACAGGGTTAAAATATGAAGATTAATAAGCAATTATAAATAAAATTAAATAATAATTGCATATAATACTGCTAAATATAATATTAACACTTTCTTACCTTTATTAACTGAAAAGTTTAAGAAATGTAAGCATTTCTAGAAACTAATAAAAAACATAGTATGAATAGTTAAAGATCATCCAGTAGGATTCAGAGTATAGTGGAGAAACCGCAGTGGGATATTAAAGTAATCAACGACTGAAACGGAATTTATGGAGGCTTTATTAGGCCAGGATTTGTTATAAGAAAAGGTAAAACCCCGCCAGAGATAAACAAAATATGCCTAGCTGAGCGCTAGCGGCGGGCACTACCTGAATTAGGCTGGGCTCGCAGCTGCTTGATGACCATGGCGTACAACAGGTTTTATATAATTGGCTTAGTGAAGGAACTCGAGGGCACATATACGTAAGCTAGGTAGATCCTACGACTTATGTCTGCTATTTAAAAGGCGTGAAGAACACAATAGGTAGGGTACAACGCTACTTAGGGCCTGGTAACCATACGCACCGCTAACATAGTGCTTACTTATAAATACGACGATAGTTATTACATAAACTTGGCAATGGTATATTTCTTGTTAATATATTACAAGCCTATAAAGTATATACACCAATGTACAAAAGCCATATATGTATATATAAATCCTGAAACACAAATTCAATATAGTTCCAACCTGCATTTTATATTCCGGTATAAGAGCGTCATATTTGATGTATTAACTAATATACGACTTCATTTAGTTAAATGCTGTAAGCTGCATTAGCCACAACCATGACGTATAACGGTACTAGCGTCCTATTTATTAGCACTAGCGTGGTGTCTATCAGACAGGGGACAAAGTTGAGGAGGAAGGATGGGGATAAGCTGAACCGGCAAGGATAACCTATTTCCGTGTATGCTACTACTATATAGACTAATATGGCCGTGCTGTACTCCAAAGCGGGCTGTGAATCATTCTTCATCATCGAAGCTGTCTTGGAAAAATTGGTCTGCTTGAGAAAGAGGCAAGATGAGACTCTCAAACGTTCTACTTGCGTTAACTGCGGCGGCAGCAAACGCTGAGCGACCAGCCGATGTATCAATGTGTGACTACTATACCAAGACCCTTCTTGGCAAAGAAAATACGCCAGAGAATCAGGCTCTCTTGGTCACTCTTCTCGTCCACACGGTGATTCTTGGAAACTGTACGTTGAATTCCCAAACTGCACGCTTTGATAACACGATATAGTTCACTCGTCTCTAACTTAGTATCCTTTTTAGATACAACCCCCAACGTTGGCATCGCAGTGCCAGGCCTGCTCGCGCCCGCAGTAGTCAATGGTGAAAACGTCAATCTTCTTCCTTACTTCAGCGGCGAGTACGCCACAACGAACAGAGGAGACCCCCAAGGAGTGTCTATCAACTTTCTCGACGGCGGCGGCCCGGCGCCTCTCTTACACAACAAGCCCGCCGATGACGAGACTTCAAACCAATAGTGCGTATTAATCCAATGACTCTCAACGGTTATGGCAAAATTCTGTATGCGCTGACTCAGCTCTCAAGCTTCCTCGTCACTCACCTCCACCAATACTTCGGCACCCTCATCGGCTGCACTTATCAAGGATATCCCGCCTTCCCTGCCTACGCCGGTGCCGCATCAATGTACCAAGTCCACAAATTCATGGACCTGAACTTCGCCCAGAACAAATATTTCATCGACCAACATGTACTCGCCGCTGAATCATTGGGCTTTTCCGCTGCGGACGGCAAGGTCTTCGGCGACCATCTCTATGACGTGTTCGCCGTTCGCTGTGGTCCGCCTACATCAATTGTAAAGACTCAAGGGCCGCAACTGCAGTCGACCTGTCTGACAAGCGATTGCCCTCAGGCTGAGGATTCTGAGTGCGATCTCTATCCAGCAGTGACGCCGTCGTCGCCAGCAGGTTCTTCAGCAGCAGCCTCCAAAGAGCAGTGCAACGAAGAGCAGTGCCGCCAGCACTTGGAGCTGTGAAAAATTTGGAATCTAGAAATCTGTATATTCGTTATTGTTATATATTGGTTTTCGGATAGGAGTTGGATTTGCATTTTAAACGATTATATTAGTCAATATAGACAAGGCAATTTGCTAGTATTCACTGCATACATTCATGTTTATTATAGTCACAATCATACGTTGTGAAATACAATCTCGAAATGAGCGTTACTATCGTCGAGTATCAAATTGCCAAATTTGACTTTATTGTTTCTAAATTGTCTCTTCTTTTTGTTTGTTGTCACTTGAATATACTGCATACTACACTGTTTATTTTAACATGTGCAACACCACCTAAAATTGCAACAGCATAGGGTTGAGATTAATACAGGGTAATGATATAACAGGTTAGGACAAACTCAAGGATACGAGAATACTCGGTCCCGAAAAATTGAAATACTAATCCGGCACTGGGGAGAGGAGGATCGACCGCTGACCGCTAGTTCTCTATAGGCTGAGCTCAACTATTACGGATTCCCGCGCTAGGTAAGTAAACTATCAACAAGTATTTCTCCTTGAGATGAATAGGTAATTGTTTTGGTCACCAGCAAAAGGTAAGCGAAAAGGTGGTTAAAGCGATAAAAAAAATTGCGAAGTAACTATGGAGCAAATGCCGGTTTGATGTAAAAAGTCCGTTTAAAGTCCTATTTCCTTTGCTTCATTTGCTATTGGGCCTTTGCTTTCGTACCTTAAAAAACTGGTTTCATCCATGTACACTATTTGACTTCTTTCCTCGGACAAGTCCGTTTCAAGACTCTTGGCTTTCCTGACTTCCTGCTTACTACGCATCCCTGTTCATAGTTTATTCTTAACGTAATTCCGATTATCCACTTTACTCAAGAGAAACCGTTCCTGAGGCACGGATAATGTTTTTCCACAATACTGCTTGATTGCTTGCATGACTGTTGGGAGGGAACTAGGTTTAGAACCCGAGAGCCCGAGCAATATCTCGTAAATGGAAGTTGGTATCCCTATAGGAACTATCCCCCTTTTTTCGAAAGAACCCGTAATCCCGATCTTATCCCCTGGCAAATTAATTCACGAATTGGACCTCGGGTAATTTTCAGATTCCAAGCTCTGTAAGACAATTTTTCTCCATGGCGTCTAACCTTGCCGTTAAAGTCTTGTCGTACAGCTTGCCATATCGGGCACGGTGTATCCGAAGGAAAATAGAAGGATTCTAGTTCGTAAGCTATATGCAAATAATACTGCTGCATATGATCGCTGAAGGAAGACGCCGAGCAGCGTAAAACGCCGTACCGGCCCCGGTTATTGCCAGAGGACGGGAAATATAAGATTACCTGCGACGAAAATTGCGGCGCTGAGGAATTCTCAGGCTATGATTGGCTGTCATGAGGATGAGCTGAGACTATCGCGCTATATACACCAAAGATGATAACAATTTGTAAGCATTCCGATCCCAAAGAAAAACCTTCTTTCTTGAAGCATCCGGATCTTAATTCCCTTCTTCTAGAAGCCGAAAATCAAGGAAATTTTATCCATGAAAATGCAGGCATTAATAGCTCTGTACATACATAGTGTCTCCAGGAAACTGTCACAGAATATGCAAGGATGATGCGCAGATTTGCAGCTATTGGCTGGGCGATTCATCGATCTGCATGCAGTCACAGCTAAATTCTCACACATTCTGATAACAATAAAAAGATGGTACGACTTGATTATAGGATTCAATGATTCCGGGCTCTCAGCTCAGGTATTAACTTAGAGACCATTTGTCCGAAAGGATTGCTTATGAATTCTCGAAAGGCTGTTGATTCGGACGACTCTCTAGATAGGATCAACATGACCATGGACATAGACTCATCACCAATGGCCGTCTTCAAGCCATTGATTAAGTGGATGTCTTCAATAAGACAAACTTGGATAACATAATAGCATTTCAAATAAACATAATTTCGAATTATTGTTACTCTTCCCTAACTAGCAATTCCAAGTCTAAAACTAACGCTCGATTCTATAGCGGTATGTCTGTATTGCTTGTGGAGATTTGATGAATTCCTCGCAATACAACTTTTGGCTTCCCCCAGTCTTCCTTTTAACTGCTTTGAGCTTCAATTCGGGCTTTATAAATCGCCACCATCTCAGCCTCCTCCTTCAGCGTTTTAATTGCAGCTGGCCGGGCATCCACGCGAGCCTTCCATGCTGCTAAATTATTCATGTGATCAAGATTCACACCAGAGCGGTTGTTCCAAAAAGTGCCCCAGACATACGCGTCGGCTACAGTAAAGGTTTCACCAAATAAGTAGGAGCGCTTGTCCGCAAGGCGATCATCCAAGAGCTGATATGCTCTCAGAAGCCTGTTGGTGTTGACCTGAGTACCTATCTCAGGCATTAGTTTGCGAACAATAAGTGATGTACGATTTGTTGGGGCTGAAATAGATACCTTGTTCAGTCATCAGTTTGAGAATAAGTGGGATATGCTTCTGCGCAATTTCGGTTGTAAGTTGAACGAGGAACTGGTCTGCTTTAACGCGTTCCAATGTGCCAGGTGGCGGAAGCATGCCAGATTCTGGGTACTGGTCGGCCAAGTAGGAAGAGATAATAATAGCCTCAGAGATTACATCGTGATTATCGTTGTCAAGTTTTAGAGCAGGAATATAAAGGAGGGGGTTTATTGCTGAAAAGTCCTCTCCATTTGACGTACTTTTGGTGGAAACGTCAACAAAAACAAGTTCATGTTTAATGCCAAGCTCATTGGCCACCAGATGAGGAGCTCGTGAGCAAGTGTCGTTACCAATGTAAAGCTTCATCATAAAATGTTGTTTTTGTTGATTAATTATTGGATGGAGTCTAATTTTAGTTTGAGAAAATCATACGATGGGAAAAGGGAAACTAATGGAAGTTGTCATTAGATTATATATAAGATATTTCATGACAATAAGCACTGCAGCGGCCCAATGGATATTTTTTCCGACATCTCACTGATTCCTCCTATTCCTTCCATTCCGCTTATTCCTCTTATCCCACTTATCCCACTTATGTCACTCTGAACTCTCTAATTCCGTTCAATCCTGTGAATCCTTTTGATCCGTAAGTCCTTGATTGTACGACCTGACAAATATTACCCGACATTAGAAAAATCGGTTAAGTAGTTCCCCTCTATGAATATATATACTGCTCCCTATTCCTGTGTAACCTATTCATCTATCAGAAATATTTAATATCAAGCAACCAACGTTAAAGTAAACCGCTTTTTGCTTTACAACATGCTATCATTTGATGCTATTGTCGTTGGGGCCGGGTTTGCTGGCATCAACCAACTTTACCAACTCCGCCAACTTGGGCTCTCGGTGAAACTTTTTGAAAAGGCCCCTGACGTTGGTGGTGTTTGGTATTGGAACCAATGGCCAAATGCCACCAGTGACACTCCTAGCGAAGTCTATAGATACAGTTGGGACAAAGAAGACTTGCTAACTTATCCCTGGCCAACTCATGTTCTGCCTCAGAAAGAGACCCGGGCTTACATGAATCACGTCGTGGAGCGCCATAACTTGAGGCAGCATATGCAATTCTCCTCTGAACTGAAGTCTGCCACCTTTGATAAGTCGGATTCCACATGGACTGTTCTGCTATCTACTGGAGAAACCTTCAAGGCTACCTACTTGATCCTTGCTACTGGACGCTTTAATAAAACCGTTTGGCCTTCTATTCCTGGACAAGAAAAGTTTGCCGGGAAGCAATATCACACTGGGTAAGTTCTACCTACGATGAGTGATAAAACACCTCCTGACTTCAATGTTGTTAGAATTTGGCCTGAGAATCGTGACCTTAAAGGCAAGCGAGTTGGAATCGTCGGCACTGGCTCTTCTGGTGCTGCAATTCTAGTCGGCTTGGCAAAAGAGGCGAAGCAGTTGGTATCTTTCCAACGCTCGGCGCAATACGTGATTCCGAACAATAAAGATCTTGTCTCAGCTGAATACAGAGACAAGGTTAACAAAAACTATGAGGATGTCTTCAGAAAGGTTCGGAGATGCGGGATCGGATCCGGCTTCGACCCGGTCTCTGCTGATTATACAACTTTCAGCGTCAGCGCAGAGGAGCGAGAGAAAGTCTTTGAGGCAGCTTGGAATTCTGTGTGGGGCTTGGCTTTTACTTTCTACACATTTTCGGACATCATGACAAACGAAGCGGCAAATAGGGAGCTTTGTCAGTTTTTACGGAAAAAAATAGCCCAGATTGTTCAAGATCCCGAGAAGCGTGAGAAACTCATGCCACCAGCAGAAGCCTTGTATGACAAGAGACCTGTCTGCAGTTCTGGCTATTATGAAGCCTTCAATCAAGAGAACGTGGATGTTGTCAACTTCAAAAAGACTCCTTTGGTTGAAATTACCGAAAAGGGTATCCAAACCACGGAGAATCTGTACGAGCTGGATGTGATCATTTATGCAACTGGCTATGAGTCTGACGGTACCTGGGCTGATATAAACATTACTGGACCTCAAGGGACGACATTAGGCGAGCATTGGGCCGAGGGGTCGACTTCATACCTCGGAATCCTCAAAGCTGGTTTCCCTAACCTCTTCTTCGTCATTGGACCCCAATCATCACTTGCCAACATACCATCACATTCCGAATTCCACGCAGAAATGATCGGAAAGCTAATCTCAAAAGCCGAAACAATGAAGAAGGAGAAATCATCAGCAAGCGGCAACAAGACAGTTCTTGTAGATGCTACTCAGCAAGCTGAAGACGACTGGGTGAAAGTATGCAACGCAGTCATACAACAAACCGTGTATTATAAAGGAGAATCCTATCTCTTCAGCGATCACAACACCGTTAGAAAGCCTAAGAGTGGGAGGCATGCGCTCTGGTTCATGGGGGGCTATGACAAGTACATAGACAAGGTGCAGGAGGCGGTTGACACGTATCGTGGATTTGTATTTGCTTACTAGTGCGAATGCCAGTATTCAAAAGCGCTCATATATAATAATTTCAACTTATTTGTTCTGCCGTAAAAAAACGAGCCGGCAAACCTTCCCCTCGACAATTATTCCCCTGAGCTGCTCAAACCCTTGGAGCCACTTTGGTTTCTCAGCTCAAATGCTATCTACTCGTGGAACAGCCTGCCCCAGAATACACCCATTGTGACAACCCACAACCACCGACCAAATAGGCCACTAAACATACGGGTTCTGGGCCCTGACGGCATCACCAGTCTGGATAGAAAGCCAACAATTTGCAGTAATATGAAGCAATTACTAAGGAGTAGTGGTAATTGTGCCAGATTAACTTTCCTAGAATCGTATAGACACAACGGTGTCATGGTTAGTTGGAGCTATGGCTGCCACAACTACAAAGTCTCGAGCATTATAAAAGAGAACTGGAAAAGGTCATTTGTGTTCAAACTGCGTTCGTCCAGATACGAGTTATAGTAGCACTATGGAGGCATAGTCTTGGTTGGAGGGAATAGAATATGCACGGAGAAGAGTTGTGGTTCTAAGTAGGCTGCCTTTGCGCACAATCTTAAGAAAACACTAGATTTGGGCCGAGCACTCAGGCATGACCCAAGGCTAGAAATCTTTATGTAATGTTCAGTTGTTGGCACGAGAAGCTGCTCCACTGTGACATTCTTGCGGGTCTCAGCCGCGTAATGCCGAAGACTTGGCTCTCTGGGGCTGCCGACTGCTCAAGAGTGTCATTGGTCTATCCGGGTAACAAAGACTTGGCATAGGCTAGGATCGGTTCGTTGTCTTGGCAGCTGCAGGGACAAGCCACTTATAGGTAAGAATGTATGTACTAATCACATGCAAGCTTTTGACCTTGAAACGACAACTTCAATACGTGGAATGGACCGGTATGATAGAACCATGATTTTGTCTTCGCAGCAGTTGGTGAGACGCAGAGCAGTGTGGCGAGAGGAGGCGTCTATGTGTATTCAAGCGCGCAAAATTCCAACTACTACACTCTCAGGGTTGTTCGCACTGTCCAAACTCGGTCGAATTGACTCTTGTTGAACATGACGGTGTAATATAGGTAGCCCAGCAAATCGACGGAGCATTCATCGTTGAGGTTTCGGTACATATACGGCACAAGTATTGTGATAAAAATCATGTTGATCAGGTAAGGTGCCCAGTCATGGCATAATAGTCCCATGATTCTGGTAGTATCACGGAAGGTGTCCCCTCCTTTCATGTCGAAGAAGGCAGCCAAGAGATGCAGAGTTATTAAATCAAGACCAAGGGTTCCTGGAAACCCTCGAATTGAAACCTGTTACTTGTAGGGCTAGTTCAAGGCAACTGACTGCCTAGCATCGAGAAGCGGCCGTGCAGGAAGAAGAACAGTGCGCTGGCCACCAGTGCTAGGCGTACCCGAGGACTAAGACTGGCCTACAAGCTGTCAGTATATCAACGATACATCATATGTAGAAGCAAACATTGCTCAGATCAAAGTCGTGTGCATAATTTGCTCCAGAGAGCTTCCTATAGGAGAGTTCAAGTCAGGTTTGGGCACCGAGCTTTTGCCTGTCTCGCCCAAGCGTTTCGTTGCTGGAACAAAGGTGATAACGCGGGCGCAACAAGTCTCTATCAGTAAAAAAAGCCCAAACGGTCTCCGTCGATCAAACAGGGAACGTCGGAGATGTGGATAAACGCATTGTGCCGCCAATATCCCGAAACGGCAAGACGGCGACGGCAACCTGGACACAGTTGCGGCGATGCTACTAGCAGTACCCGAAAGAGAAGACGAGCCAATCAACTGCATGCGCTGCAACGCACGCAAAAGGTTGACTTTTGAGGAGGCAGACAGCGGGTCCGACGGGATAGCGGCAGTATTCCGGCTGCTGTTAAGGTATATGCTGTGATGAATCAAGTGGAGGACAAGATGATGATGCGGGAGCGGTCCGAGTGGAAGAGGAGCTGCTCATCATATTCCAGCGGCACTTTGGGTTTGATTCCTCCAAAGAGAGAGAACGCGATATCCAGCAATGGGTGGAGCATCAGCTGATGGGCGAAGGGGAAAAATATTGCGCTGGTGGCTGTACTGGCGAGAGCGATGTCGGCGAGCGAGTGGAAGCTTACGTGCTGGTGAATAGGCAGTCTGGCGGTTAGAAGGAAGAAATGGTATACGATAGCAATACATAGCAGCAAGATGGTACTAGTGACCGCTGGAAGAGGAAGCGTGCTGCGCCGGCGTTATGCAGGGACGGGATGATTGTTTGACTTGGTGTGGTGATGTTTTTGATATGGAGTTTGCGCGGCGGAACAATGGCGGCACAGTGCGAGCCAGAGACACGGAGGACCGGTTGGTGCAGGTACAGTACATGTCGTTTGGGATTAGGAGTGCCGTGATAGTAATTTCCAAGGGTTCAATTAGCATCTTCTTTTATGTACATGTCTGAATGCAATATATCTCTCCCTGTGATGGCAAATAAACCATGTGGATTTTGCCAAAACGGTCTGCTACTGCTATCCATCATCGACGTAATTTTTTTTTCTCGTTAAAAAGCTCTTTACAACCCTAGTAGTATGCTGCATGCAAGTATTTGGAATTCTTAGTAATAGGGGTCACTTCAAGCTGTCGTCACCCGATTCACCAGTACGGGGCACAGTGCAGCACAGTCTTATCCTCTGCCGGCAGCAAGCCACATCTGGATGCACCCAAGATGTGCTTCCCAGCAGATATGAGGAGTGGCAGGCGCCCTGCCCTGATATCGAGGCCGCATCACCACTCGATGCATTCCAAGTAGTTGACAGGCTGATTGTGACGCAGGTGCAGGCCTTGCTGGACAGGCGGGCGCCTGATAGGCCAGAAGAGGGATTTCCTCGTATCGCAGTCGGGTTCAGGCTCAAGGCCGCGCCTCCACCCAACAACTTGCTTGGTTTGTCTCTGTCCCATCGCTTTTACAACCAGACCTGTCAGCTACTATGTACTTCTCCTTTTCTCTGCTGCTGCTTCTGCTTTGCTTTGTTGGGTTGAGCAGAATGTGTTGTTTGCCAGCATGGGAAGCAGTGCATGACATACAAGCAAATGTCAGCTCATGTCTGTAGCACACACAGCATGTCAAAGCTCTATATTTGACACAGCAGTGGAAGACAAAGGCCAGCAATGTACAGTGCCCAAGCAGCAACAGCCACCATCCGCTGTGACTCGGTGCCGTGGCTGGTACGTGCTTGTACTGGAACAGAAACCCCCCAGCACTGCGACTGCTGCATTGCGCCGCTTAGCGTGCTGCGATGGGCGTCCACTGCGGAGCTGCTCGGCACCTGCCAGCCGGGAGCTGCCCCTAGAGCCAGCCAGCGCCCCCAGCCTGGCGCAGTTGATCTGACCCGGGTCTGGCGCTGATGGCCTCAGCAGCGTTTCAACTTTTTGCAGCGCCCACAGTGCGCGGGCGCGGCGCATTGACTGCATGTCGCAGATGAATCTGCCACAGCGGGCGCTGCTGAGTCTGGAATCCCTACATTATATGGATACGTTACGATTATGACATGTCTCTCAATGCAATACCTACTATTCATACAAGCCACAGCATCGCTGTCAAGCATCCAGAGATACATGTCGAAATACCTCTTGCTATGCCATCAATGCAATCAACGCGTACCAGATAGTTGCGAGGACCAATCTGGCAACGGCCACACTCTGCGTCGTCGTCGCCTTCTCCCGCACTGTATGCCCCTCCCCCAATCCAGCAAACCCGCTTCCATCGGCAACGTCTCGCCGAGCAGCCAGCGCACGCTTTGGGGGGGGATAGCGCTTCGTGTGGTGTGGCTCAGCGGCCCAGCAAAACGTCGCAGCGCTTCAGGCTCACTGAAGGCCCCCCCCCCCGGTGCTCTAGCGGCAGCGTGGAAGCTTTCGTCCCCCCCCTAAGCAGCCCCCCAAAGCAGCTGCGCGCGCCTGCGATTGGCCCATCGCCTGGGCCTACTCGGATGATACGGCCGGAAGGGCCCGCAAGGCTCGCAGATGCCAGATGCTGAGATGCCGATTTTCCGTGGTCAACCAAACGCCTCTCCAGGGAGGCTTTCCAAGGCGGGGAACCACAAAAAAAACGACTCGAGCAGAGACGATCAAATGGCCCATTGCCGTGCGCGCGCCCAGGCCAGCAATCGCTGCGTTCGTCCAGTCTGGCGTTTGTCGCCGCCGCATGTCCTTTTTATCCCGCCGGGGGTCCGCCGCCCGTCATTTTCGAGTGTCTCAGTCCCGTCGTGCCGCAGCCAGTCTCTCCTCTCTCGCTCGCCCGTCCTTGTCTCGCTCTGCGTTGCTGCTGGAAAACGTTGCAGCGCAGCTTCTTCGTCGGACGTGTTAGCGCTCTCTATTTCTGCGTTCCGGTCGCCGTGCGAGCTGCTGCCCTTTTTGGCCACCTCCAACACTTGGCCTCGCCTCCCGCGATACGAGCAGAAGCGAGCGTCTTCACCTCCGCTGCATCGACCGATCTGAACCGAGCGAAAATCAACAAAGACGAAAAAAAGAAGAGAAGAGATAGCCGGGGATATATATTCGAGGACGCGCGCATATACAGAGGCGAGGAAGCAAGCGAAACCGGGGGCAGACGAAATCCAGGACCCGAGCGTGCATACAAGGACACCACGAGGCCATGATGATGGCTTGAAGCTGCCACCGTGTTGAGGACAGCACAACCACCGCCGCAGAACCGCATCCCCGTCGCAAACGCCCGCCGTCCACCAGACTGCAGACGCACAATCACGTCACATAACAGCACCGCTCGCCACTAAGCGCCAAGCAGGGCCAAGCAATCGTGGCTTGGCGATATCGATTGACTTCCGCGTTTGTGGCAGATTAGCGAAGGGGCAGCGCCTCGGCATACCATACACGTCCTGCGCCCACCTACACCCACGTCCATATCCCTATCCCATCCCTACATCTCGTCGGAGGAGACGTCTGCTGCGAACCATCATGGCCACGACGCCTCCGCCCGCGGCCTCGGTGCCCATCCTCGAGCAGCTCTGCGTCACCACCGCCATCATTGGCCTGCTGGCCATTGGCGGCAAAACCATCGACTCGCTCTACGAGATGAACACCAGCCCTGGCCGTGACACAGCCATCCTCAACAAGGCGCTGCAGGAAGTCAAGCAGTGCCGCTCCTCCGTGCACATTCTGTACAAGAACTTCTCCCTCCTCGAGGCCGGCCAGCTGCCCTATCCCGACCGGGCCACTTGGATCAGCATCGACGACCTGATCGCCACGCTGACCGATGCCGTTCTCGCCATCTCTGACCTGCAAGAGGCCATTGTGCCCATTGAGATTTGCGAAAACCTGTCCGCGCGAATCGCTTCGTGCACACAGCATTCCCAGAAGCTGTCGAGCTTGTCGGCCAGGATACGGTGGCATAACCTGTCCATGAACATGATGATGACCATCCTAAAGTGGTAAGCAGGACACTTTCCTCCCGCGTAATATTATAGGAAGAAAAAATGCCCATTATATATTTATTTGTCCCTATGCTATTTTTGGCTTCATGCAGGCTAACATGGGAAATCCAGTCCTGGCGAACAAGATGCGCAGAATAGCAAGCTCGGCCTGGAGCGACGAATGACCAGATTGCTCTCCTCCAACAGCGACCTGTCGCTCCGCATGCGCCGCCTGAGGGATTCCTTTGGCGCGCGATCCATGGCCCGGCGCGCAATCCCCAACTATGCGCCCGTAGCCCAGAATGCGCCGCGGCTACCCGCCGACCGCACATCCTCAGCCTCGTCCATCTCTGAAGCCTCAGCAGCAACGTCCACGTCGGGGCAGTCAGGCCAGCAGCCCACATCCGATGGTGATGCTGCTGTTGCTGCTCCCCAGCCTCGACTCTGGTCCATCTTCTCCGGCTACAACCTGGCCGACATACCCGTTCTCTCCATGATTCCTCTCCCAGTCCTTACCCTCGAACTCCGTGATAACGAATTCTACACCTTTGATTTCGCCCAGCGAGTAAGCGATGACCTCGTTGAGCTCATGCAGCTCGATCCGGGCCAGCAGGGCACCAGCAAGATGCTGCGTGTCATCCTCCAGAAGCCGGTCGTGGCTCTGCCGCCGGGAAGCAGCGCCGGCATGAACACGACCCCCAACACTGCCCCAGTGCCGCTGGATGCTTCGGCCATTGCTCCTGCGAGCACGGCTCCCGCGGAGCAGCCCATGCGGTTGAAGAAGATGATCAAGTTCAAGAACCCGCTCAAACACCGTATTCGAAGAAAGACGGTCAAATGACAATCCTGGATGAGCTGCTTCGGCTTCCACGAGCAAGCAGTGGCTCGAGAGAAGATGCAATGAGAACCACCTATACCACCACGGCACATATACGATTGATAAAAATAAAGAAGTGGGATAAAAAGAGTGTTAACTCCCTTTCCATCTTCTACTTATCCCTCTCCTCCCACAGTTTGTCTATGCTACAAATTATTCATTTCATTTTCATTTTCTCTATTTTTTTTTTTAACTGTAGCCCCATCATTTGGAAATAAAGCGAACGGCGTTAGGGGGAAAACGCATATTGAGGGAAACATTGGAAATTGTCTTTTTATACTTTTTTCTGCGTTATACATATATCTGCATCTATCTATATATTTTTTCTGCTTCCTCAGTTTTCCGCAATTTACCGTTCCTAATCTGAATTAAAGTGGTATGAAACTCGATGGCAAAGGAACTTTCTTTTTTTTTTGTGTGTGTATATGAGTTATCAATAACTTGAATTAGTTCTCAGGTATGCCCGCTATTACGACCAAGTCTACCGTGTAGCCAAGTAAAATATTACAATATCCAAATCTCCCATGCCCTGTTCTATCCCCTCGAATATAGTCGCACATTTGTAAGTAAGACGCGAAATGAGATTAAACTCCCGTTTACATGATTGCCTTGGGACCGTGCTGCTTGATCGTCTCGCTGTAGGAGCTAATCTTGGACTCCTGCTCACGCTTGGGGAATCCCTCAAAGGAAAGAGCGTAGGTAGCGACAGAGTGAGCAATAAGCTGTGTATAATAGTTAGCCAACGTTAAAAACTCAAAATTGATGACAGTTGTTCGAAAGAAGCTTACTTTGGTGTTCACCTCCCATGCAGTGTGGTTCAGGTTGCCCAGGTCGTCGCAGATCTGGTGGTAGCAGGGGTCAAGCCACTGTCCGGCATGGCCGCCAAACATTTCTTCCTCCTCCTTTGTCTTCACAGCTTCCGCACCAGTGGCAATTCCACCAGCAGGAATGCCGGCGCGGATGAAGCCGTCGTAGTCGCTACGGCCGTCAAAGGGAACTATCAAGACGTTAGACAACAATCAAGCTAGAACGAGAGACTAATGGAAACATACTAAAGGTATAGTTGAGACCCTGGGACTTGTACCAGTCGACGTAGAGGTCTCGCAGTTCCTCGGAGCCGGCAGGACTCTCTGCGTTGGTAGCGTTGTAGATTTGGTAGGCAAAGTTGGGGCTGGCCACTATTAAAAAAAAAAAATCAGTAACTGCCTCACCGTAGCCTATTTTCAAGGTCCACTTACTCATATCGTAGTCCATGAAGAGGCGAATCTTCTGGTTCTCTTCCTCGGACAGGCTGGCAGCGTAAAAGTCGGATCCCAGGAGACCCTCCTCCTCGGCGGCCCACCAGGCAAAGCGGACGCAGTTGTTCACCTTGAATTTGGTCAGCTGGACAGCAACCTCGAGGACAGACATGCTGCCAGAGCCATCGTCGTTGATACCGGGGCCCTCGGCAACGCCGTCACTGTGGCCACCAAGCATGACGCAGTTGTCTGGATCTCCCTCGTCCGTCTGCGCCAGGACATTGACCGTCTGGATCTGTTTGACCTCGGCGTCGATGTAGGCAATTGAACTGACGGATTCGCCCTTGGCAAGCTTCTTGGCAAACTCGTTGCCCTCCACACCGTCGATGCCGAAAGTCGCAACGTGATATTTGGTTGGCTCGCCCAGCGTACCGTGGAGCTCCTCGGGGTCGGTATTGTAGATGACCGCAGCCTTGGCGCCCGCCTTTCCAGCCCCGATGGACTTGTCGCCAAAGGCGCAAGCTCCTCGGCGGATGAAGGCAATATTGCCCTTGACGTTGGCAGGGTAATCGGAGTCATGGCAGCCGTCGTTGTTTACGAGCACCAACTGGCCATGGACAGGCTCTCTGTCCTTGGTTGCCGGTGTCAAGCCCATAGGAACAGCACTCTTCGATACGCTGCTGCCGAGAACAAGCTGGGACTCGAAGACATTGCTCAGCGTCACCGGGAATTCCTGGGTAGAGATGTTGTAATAATCGCCTTGGTCGAGCAGAGTGTTGACAATGTAGTTGAGAGTCCTCTCGTGGCCTGGAATCGCGCAATTGTTTAGCTGATGTCACAACCGCTGCCGGCCGGCTGACCGAGCACTCACCAGAACTGCCAATGACTCGGGTCGGGTGGCCGTAGTCCTCCTCCGAGGTCTGGGCAAACTTGTAGAACTTTTCGGCGCGCTTCACGAGAGCGTCGATGCTGATGGCCTCTTGCAGGGCCTCGGTGCTAATCAGCGGCTTCGAGCCGTGCGACGATGAGAGCGACGAGGGCGACGTCAGCGGGCTCTGCTGCCAGGATCCGCCGAGCCCAGCGGCCGAGGCGCCGAGAGCAAACGAGGCCGTGAGGGCCAATCGGCTCAGGACAGCCATTGTGGCGGTGATTATGGAGGAGAGTGCGGGAGATGGTGAGCGGAGCGGAGAGGAGAGTGAGGGCGATTGGAAGGGACAAGATGGAGGAGAGAGACGAGACGATGATGGAGGAGCTGGGAGAACAAGAGTCAACTGAGATAAGCTCATGTGCTGTAGAGATGATGCACGCCGTAATACAGCAGCAGTAGCTCAGCTCGGCCCGGCTTGGCTTAGCTCCGATAGCGTCCGTTCAACTGAGTGATGCGGGCGGTCAGCGCCTGGGACGCTGCGGCTAGGCCTAAACGGGGGCCCTGGTCCGCTGATAGGGAGTGTCTCAGTGGTCACAAGGCCCCAAACACAGGGGAACAAGTCCCTTGCAGGCGGCTAAGGCAGGGGCCGCCATGAGCCATGAGGCGTGAATCTCGGTGAGATGCAGGCAGCGACAGCTGAGGGACATCGATGCTGCCTGTAGACTGGATCCAGTCTCAATATCACTACATGTAGGTGTATATGTACATGTATTGATCTTCATAGCATTAACCGCACATGTGTGTATAATTCTCAGTGAATTATCGTCACTCTGTTTATCTCTTCTCCCTTTTATTGCATCAGCTGTTGGCCAAGAATTACAGAGACCGCAGCTCCGCCAATCAGTGCATCGCACAACCCAAGACGTTGTCTGATAGCCTGACTCATGATCAAAGCGTCGGCATCCTCTGCGTGACATCATATACGGATATGGAACTGACTCGGAAGCTATCGATACACGATCGTCATGAGCTAGCTGTGGAAACACACGGGAGCTATAATTTGGGTTTATACGCGTAGCCAACAGCTTGTCTGATTCATGCTGTGTCGTTGCCAACAAGTGACATGCCTGTAGCTGAAGACTGTTGCACATGGACATTACAGGTCCCTCCATCATCGTTTTTATTTAAATTCAAGGGCTTATTTTATCCCAAGTGAGTAAATAAATCTCAACACGGAAGATACACATGTGTATGCTAAATACAGGTACATGTACCCTATCAGTATAGAGATGCTCAAGGTAGGATGACACGGAGGCTAGTCGAGCACAGCAATCCTTCGAGAAGAGGCGGGGGAGAATATAAGGCCCAAACACTGGCACAATTTGTTGAGCAGATGCAGTCAGTTGCTGCCAGCACTCCCCCGTTGACCGAAGGAGTGTCTCTTTAACTCTCTCTTCTCAACCAGGAGTCATGCACTTTGTGTTACAACGGGGGCTATTCTTTGTATTTTTGCATCCTTAATCCTAGTCTAGTAGCATACATATATATTAGGTATCGGGATGCAATGTCTTGTATAGTTCGAAGACTAGCTGCTGCCTTAAAATACAGACATTAATTGCTCTTCATTCTACGGTAACCGGCCCGAATACCAAGATCGAAAGTTAATCTTGGAAAACGGAAAGGCGCGGCTTGAAATATTTTCAATTCAGCGGCACTTCTAACGCCACAATGTAGTTGTGAACCACATGATTAAAGATACAAGAATTCAAAAATACACGTGCGGTTCAACACCGAGTCCACAACCACGGCGTGCCTCCAACTGCCGATTTCGGCCACGTGGGTATTCGTTTATCCCCAGCAGCCAACCAAAATTCAGCCATTCACAGTCATGAAAGATTTTTTATTGAACCATCCTTCTCTAATCACTAATGGCGCCGTTTAAGCAAATTTGAAGTCGAGTTGGCAGCATCGTATATAAGTGTCAGTATCGTAGACTAGTTATTGAGCCTATTAATACAGCTCAACTTGGTATGCAGCATGGCTGTAACCAGACACGCTAACAATTGCCACTGGGCGGTTGGTTCCTGAAGCCATTGATTCTCGACGACTGTTAGCCCATTTCTAAGATCTAGATATTGCTGACTGATCTCGGCTGAAAGGCTATCGACGATTTCCTTTTCCCGCTTAGACGGAGCGCCCGTCCGTCCGCTGCAGGGGCAATTACCAATTGTACGAGAATATATCCATTTAGCCTCATCCCGACTAGTTTTCGATAGCAGAGAATTTTCAGAGTAGTAATCTGACAACGTATGATGATCTCCCAGGCGATAGGGATTCGAGATGGGCTCTGTTGCAAACACTGATCCAGTATTGGATTTGGTTGTTTTGGGCCTGAGCAGTGGAATTTCCGTGGTATGGTCCCATATTATTCTTGGGATGCGTCAGTTGAATCTGGATGCTCACCAAGTAGTTTAGGAGAGCATAGACTGCGCTTTATGCCGCTTCAGACAGCAAAACGCGGCAGGGCCTGTCAGCCTGGAGCTGCTGAAATATGGAGAGGCGCTACTGGACCCTGAAATCAAGAAGCGACTGATGGACATGGCTCTCCATGACTTCAACGTACCAGAGCAAGTCGCGGAAATCAATGCTATTCTCGGGGAAGCTTTTGCCACGGCCGGATTGGAGTTCATTGCCACCAACAACATTGATAAATCTACAATAGATTTTATCAGTTCTCATGCACAAGCAACATGGCGCATTCCTCATCCCATAACACGCCAAGCGAGGACATCGATCAGTATGAACGAAGGCGTCGTCATTGCTGCACGTACCGGAATCACAACAGTGACCGATTTTCGAGTCGGCGAAGTCGCTGTGGGCCAGCCAGGGGCTTCCCTGGCCGACTTTGACGCCCTGCTTCTGCATCATCCTACCAAGCTAAGAGCTTGTCAAAACATTAGCGGCATCGGCAGCGTATGCTTTATCCCCCCAGACATCGACGGCGAGCTAAATGACAACTTCTTTTCCTTTGACACGGGCCCTGGAAACATTTACATCGACGCTGCTATTCACCATTATACTAATGGCGCGCAGAGATACGATATAGATGGCGAAATAGGCAAGCGAGGAAAGGTTGACGAAGAGATCGTGGACGACTTCATCTCCTCTCATCCTTACTTTCAACGGTCTATTCCCAAGAGTGCTGGCCGCGATGATTTCAGGGCTGTATTAGCTCATGAACTTATATCAAAAGCAGAAGATAAGGGGCTTTTACCGGAAGACGTTGTTGCCACGATCACGAGAATCACGGCTCAGTCTATCGTGGATCATTATAAGTGCTTTGCACCATCACAAAATATCGACGAACTGTTCCTTTGTGGAGGCAGCGCATATAACCCAAACATTGTTAATTTTATTCAGAAAAACTATCCTTCGACGAAAATATTCACGCTTGACGCTGCTGGTATCCCGGCCGTTGCAAGAGAAGCAATCAACCTTGCTTTACGCGGCATGGACGCAGTTGTTGGCCGGACTGTTCTAACGTCGCACGGCGCTGAGACACGGCAAGAGCAGATTGTTGGAAAGGTATCTCCTGGCGATAATTATGAACAAGTGATGCAGAAGGTGATGCAATTCGGAAAAGGCGAAATGTTAGGGCCTATAAGAGACTTGGTCAATGTGGTCAAGGGGGAGGTAATACCCAACAAGTGGTGATTTGCAAGGCAACGGTAGAGTTTGAAGATGCAATTCATATAAATGGAATTCGTGAATGAAAAATATAAATGAACAGGGACAAAAAGAAACAAGAATACGAATGTATATAGTCAGGGTTTAAATGAGCACATATCTATTACGCACATGAGTGCATAAAGCGTACAAACCAGGCGCGCTCTTCACATCAAGTTTGAAGACTACTAAAGGTAACGAACGGTATATCCTTTGTTAACGGGGATTATAATGGAGTTTAACGTTTAAAAATTGGCACAACTTCTTTGATATAATAAGCTACTCTACCCTCCATTTGATAGCGCTGAGTCTTGACTAAGATGTGAAGTAATCGTTTGCCGCACACGGGCAAGGGAAATATAGCATTCTTCCGCTTCCGCTTCCGCTTCTTTAGCCGGAACTTTTGCAATTTGAATTTCCGAATAAAACGACTCTGGGAGTTGATAACCAAGCAAAGGCAAGTCAGTGTTGAAAGTATAGGTAAATGGCGATGGAGAATCATAGATTACATCTTTAAAGAACAAAAGCATCTTCTCCCGATCCTCATAAGAGAAGGAAATTGGCAACAGGTGGTGCTATTTCTATCCAAACGTCAGGCCACGGTGTTGTAAGTGGCAGCACGGCAGAACGCGGGGTTGTCTTATGTAGTGGAGATTTGGGGCCGAGGCAGCGCATTAAGTTTAAGACGCCAAAGGATTACGGAGTAGTTCCCCTCCTATGGCAGTAGGTTTTGAGTTCATAGACGGGTATAAAAGGAATGAAAGTTACGTGTATGCTTCCTGTTTCCTCTGCTTATTTGGATGCCCTTGGCAATCTACGCCCAGTCTTAGGCCCTTATACGAATTCATGATAATTTAATTATTATTACAACCACCTGGAATCAACCATGGCTAACATAGATATGTCAAAGATCATCAAGCCTTGGAAACTTGATGCCCAGCCTACATATTCTTTTATAAACGCCAAGCTTATCGACCCCGTCAAAGAGCAAGTAGTCGAAAATGTTACAATCAAAACATCCGGAGGAAAGATTCTGTCTATAGACACTAGCGAAAACGCAGCTCCTAATACTGCTGATGGAGAAATCACCATTGACCTTAAAGGCAAGCATGTGTGTCCTGGGCTAATTGACTGCCACGTACATATCGCTGTAGTCCCCGGCGAAGCGAGTTTAAGCGCATACAAGGATATGACTGAGAAAATAAGTCTCATTCGCCAACCCTGGGTCCTGAAACCGATGCTTGATCGAGGATTCACATCCGTCCGCGATTGTGGTGGTGCGACATTGGCTATGAAAGAGGCTGTTGAAGAAGGCGTTTGCCTCGGTCCTCGACTCTTTATAGCTGGATATGCGCTCTCTCAGACTGGCGGCCATGGCGACATGAGGTCTTCTCACGATCAGAGTCCTTGCTCTTGCGGCACTGTCTCTGGAATCAGTCGTATTGTTGACGGAACATCGGAATGCTTCAGGGTTGCCCGCGATGAGCTGCGCCAAGGGGCAGACTTTATCAAGATCATGGGTGGCGGAGGCATCGCAAGCGCTACGGACAAGATTGAGAACCTTCAATTTTCAGACGAGGAGATCAAAGCCATCGTTACCGCGGCAAAGAACAATGGCACATATGTCACAAGCCATAGCTACACGCCGCAGGCCATTCAACAAGCCATCCGACAAGGCGTGAGAGGCATTGAACACGGCAACCTCCTTGATGCAGAGACGGCTAAGCTCATGGCCGAAACGGGCACATTCCTTACACCGACGTTAATCACGCACGTCATGTCGAAGCAGCTCAATTTCTTGCCTCCGGTGTCAGCAGCGAAGAACGAGGATGTCTTGAAAAGGGGCCTTCAAGCTATCAAGATTGCGAGCGATGCCGGCGTAACGGTCTGCTTTGGCACCGATCTATTAGGACCACTGCACTTTGCTCAGAGCAAAGAGTTTTCCGTGCGAAGCCAGGTTCAGACGGCGGGCCAAATTCTTCGCAGTGCGACTGTCAACGCGGCCAAGTTGCTTATGAAAGACGATGAGCTGGGGCAGGTGAAGGAGGGATTCCACGCCGACTTTATAGTATTAGATGGAAATCCTTTGCAGGACATTACGCTGTTGGATCGTTCTGAATCGAGTATCTTGGCCGTAATCAAGGATGGAAGGATTGTTTCGTCAAAGTTGTCTGACGTCAAGGTAGATGTATCAAGTCGGCCATAGAAAGGATAATGTTGAAGCAGTCTATTATGAATGGTCTAGCGTGTGGAAAGTAAATCTATGGGTATACAAAATATTACCAAGCAACCGCATGTCCATCACTGCGTAGATCACTTCCTCCGTTGTAGACTCTCTGGCCACTTGGATCGTAATTTGCTTGGATGACTTGTCCTCGGCCAAATAGGTCACGATTCCATCCGGTTATCAGCTCTACCTCATGTCCTAGTTTGCGCAAACCCTCAACTGTCTCTTCCGGGAATCCTTCTTCTAAACATATCATAGACTTTTGTGTCAATTTAGAATAGTCGCCAGCCGTTGCATACTCAGGCAACGTGCGTGACGGTCGGATGCACACTCTTGGAGCATCCAGAGCATCTTGAGCGTTGAAGCCAAAGACACACGAGTTGAGCATTACTTGCAAGTGGCCTTGTGGCTGCATGAAGCCGCCCATCACACCAAAGGAGAGATCGAGACGGTCATTCTTCGTTACCATGGCTGGAATGATGGTGTGATATGGTCGCTTGCGGGGCCTGAGCGTATTTACGTGTCCCTCACGCAGCTGGAACTGTGTTCCTCGATTCTGTAGGGCGAAGCCACAGCCTTTCGGAACAATTCCGCCGCCAAAGTTGGAAGCAAGTGAGCAGATGAAGCTGCATGCATTACCTTCCGAGTCAGACGTAGTGAGATAGACGGTATCTGAAGCGTTTTTGGGGAACCCGTGCTTCAAGGTTGTATCAACGGCATCCAATTTGAAGCAAGACGCTCGCTCAGCGAGGTATTTCTCGCTGAGTAGACTTTTCCAAATTGGCCCGGAATGCTCTGGATCCGAGACATACGCATCTCCATCGGCAAATGCATACCTCAGAGCTTCTATAATAGTATGAACATACTCAATAGAGTTATGCTGTAGACTCTTGAGAGGAGGAATCTTCTCTTCCTTCTCTAGGCTCTTGATAATCCCCAACGCCTCCAGAGCTATGATACCCTGACCATTAGGCGGACACTCCCATAGCTTATACTCGTTGTAAGCCTGAGATATTGGTTCAACAAAGGTGGTCGTATGGTCTTTCAAGTCTTGAGTCGTCATAACACCCTGGAGTTTCTGGAGAGTGTCCGCAATAGACTCTGCAACCCACCCCTCATAAAATCCTGCTTTGCCTTTGGAAGCAATTTCTCGAAGCACCTTGGCGAGATTGGGGTTTTTGAAGACATGCCCTGCTCTCGGAGCTTTGCCGCCTGCCAAGAGAACTTCGCCGCCGTTTGGAGACGACTTTTTCAGTAACCCCTCACACTCTATCCAGTGTCGGGCTGTGATTTCGGACACTGGGAAACCGTCCTCACAGAGTTCTATAGACGGTTTCAGAATCTGGTCCATCGTGACTTTACCGCTGCCGTAGGTATCCATTGCATCAAACCATCCGGCAACTTGGCCAGGAACTGTAACTGAGTTTGCATGCTGGGGCGGCAGTAAATTCCCGCTCAAGCCTATTTCGCGACACTTGTCAATTGTTAACGCGGCTGGCGAGCGACCTGATCCGTTCATTGCAAAAGCTTTCTTCTTCTCCTCATCCCAATATATCATGAACATATCTCCTCCTACACCAGTCGAGTTTGGCTCTGTTACGCCGAGGGCAGCCGCGGTGGCTATCGCTGCATCAACCGCATTGCCACCCGCTTTCAAAATGTCCAGGCCAGCTTGCGCAGCAAGAGGCTGTGACGCCGCAACAATGCCTTTTGTGCTATACACAACCGATCTGCGACTATGGAAACGGCTGAAATCGGGATATGAGGGATTGAACAAAGCATCCGCTCCATCTTTTGAAGTTGCCACGGCAGCACCAACAGCGTCAAAGGGCATGGTGAAGGACGAATATTGGTCTTTTGTTAACTATAGAATGGTACTAGGCTCGAACAAAGGTCAGTAAACTTGGTTGTTTCACAATGGCCAGATTAAATGAGAAATATCGCGGAGAAGCGATCTTGTTCGGCTACTATCTTTACCTATACCGAGACATTTCCGGAAACATGCTGTCCCCCACCTAAGATGTCGTGACTCAACTGCCATTATCTATCGGGTTCTTTCTCGAAAGCTGCGTGTTGAAGCGGGGTACGATCTACATACATCGAATTATAGCCGTTCAAGCCGCTGCTATTTATTCTTGGCGTGCCATTCGCTTCTCCAACACGACGCCACTGCGGGGGCTAGAGGCATTCATATATACGCTAGCGGGCGAAATATTATCCCAAGATATGGCCATGATTTCCAAGAGGGGTTGATCGGCTGAACAGCCGTCGGAACTCGCAGTGAAGAGATATAACGTTACACGATAGATAATGCCAAGTACATGTTTTTACTTCACTAGGAAATCCATGGTATTATCAAGTTCGCCTAAAATCAGCCGGACTATTTAATACAGGGCGTGAGCTATAACTAGTGGTTGCATCTTGCTGTATGATCATGAGATACAAAGTCATCGGGGAGATAACGACATCATCGACCATCTGCCCTTATCATGTCTCATGAACATACTTCTTATTAAAATATACAATCTAATATTTGGCTATATGTGAATAACGCCAAGTGTTATATGACAACAGCTACAGATAGCTAGGCAATTAGTCTCATGGTGGCTCAAAACGATATTCCGTAGCCTCTTTCTATCTTCCATTCAAGGAGTACCTATGCTAAGGTTACATTCTAGATAGCTTAAACCTTAGTACACTACATGACGGAGGTGTTGTTACGGGAATAACGCTATTGGACGGCTCGTGAATTTCTACTACAGAGCACCCAGCTTGATGCCCATCCTTGACATAAACCGATTTCAGTTGCATTATAGATTTGTGACGTATGGTCCTCCTGAATGAAGTATAAATAAAAGGTCACAAGGAACAGTGCTATTTGGCTCGTCACTACACAGAGAAACACCAAACTATCTCATAAAGAAATTGCAATAGTTCCCTCATGGCTCAGACTGCCGTTGATGACCCTCATGGCCTAGAAGATAAGGCGGTAGTTGAGACGGTTGATAATGATATTGCTCCTGAAAAGGAATGGGGTGCCATCACTCAGGGAGCTAAGGAGGCCACCGATCTGGAGCACTCCCAAGGCATTCTCGAAGCTGTTCGTTTACAGTGGAAAGGTGTTGCATGGGCCTCATTTTTCTCTCTATCTATCGCCATGTATGGGTACGATAACGCACTGATCAATAATTTCTATGGCTATCCAGCTTTCCAGAAAGCATACGGGGTTCCTGTCAGCAAGGGCTACCAGATCCCCGCCAAATGGCAGACAGGCCTCTCGCAAGCAAGTATCGTGGGCATTATCCTGGGTGCTTCGTTCAATGGCTTCTTTTCTTCGAGGTTCGGCTATAAAAGAGTTATGCTGGTTGGTCTTGTTCTTATGGCGGGCTTCGTTGCTATTCCATTTAGCGCCCACAATCTCCAGACACTTCTCGTTGGTGAAATTTTCTGTGGCATGGTCTGGGGCACATTTGCATCTATTGGGCCGGCTTACAGCTCAGAGTGCCTACCGATTTCATTGCGTGGATTTCTTACCAGCGGCGTCAATATTATGCAGATCGTCGGTCAGCTCATAGCCATTGGTGTCCTTGACGGCCTTGTCAACTTGGATTCACAGTGGTCCTATCGAATTCCATTCGCCATCCAGTGGATTTGGCCTGTGCCGCTCTTTGTAGGATGCCTATTCGCTCCAGAGTCTCCATGGTATCTTGTTCGCAAAGGTCGTCTCCAAGAAGCAGAGCACAGTATTCGTCGGCTCAGTTCCAAGAGTGATACGAAAGTCAAAGAACATTTGGCCATGATTATTCATACTGTGAATTATGAAGAGGAAATACAAACCGGGTCTTCATATATTGCTTGTTTTAGAGGTAGCAACCTTCGCCGAACGGAAATCTGCTGTTTGTCATTCGCTGGTCAAGTCTTTAACGGTATTTTTATGATGAACCCGGGAACTTATTTCTGGGAGCAAGCAGGATTGTCTGCAAACAACAGCTATAAAGTCTCAGTGGCAGCTACTGCCATCGGACTGCTTGCAACCTTTATTGGGTCAGTCCTCATTGCTCATTTAGGTCGTCGAAACCTTTACCTCTGGGGTATGGTTTTCATGACCGTTGTCAATATTCTTATCGGCATCTTGGCTACGATTCATGGCAACGAAGGAACGAAATGGGGTCAAGTAGCCCTCACTATTCTATGGGTATTCTGTTACGATATTTCCGTGGGTCCCGCGGCGTACGCAACATCGAGTGAAGTGTCTGCTGTCAGCTTGCGAGTACAGAGCGTGGCTTTGGCCAAGGTTGCTCATCAGCTTTTTGATATCATCGGAGCTGTTTTGGAGCCTTACATGATCAACCCTACTGCTTGGGGGTGGGCCGGCAAGACAGCCTACTTCTGGGGAGGAACATCACTGCTTGTTACTGTGTGGGCATTCTTTAGATATCCCGAAACGTTCAAGCGATCTTATGAAGAGTTGGACATTTTGTTTGAGAAAGGAATACCTGCGCGCGAATTTAGAAAGTACAAAGTGGACGCCTACGATGTTGATGGTCAGCCTGTTCAAGAGACGGTAGTTAACTGATTCTAGCTCTTGGCAAGAGTGACTTTCCCATATGAAGAGTGTGTTGTTTCCTGTGAAGTTTAATACACTTTTTTTTTTTAGTATAATTTATGCGAAATTAACCTCGGAGGCTTTTTAATACTATTAAAATTTGTTTCCTACCATCCCACAACGGATACAAACCCAGTATGAGTAGACTTGTCCATAGCCATATAAGCGACACCACAATCCACGACCTGAAGAACTGTCGATGTGGTTAGATACCATTTTCTTTCATGATAGCGGATGAAACTCACAGTTTTACTAAAGATATATTCCGCTCCATACATTGGCAGCGGCCAGAGAACCCAAAGACCAAAGAATGAGAAAAGCGACCAGAACAGTGCATATCGTTTCCACCTCAGATCTGTTTTGTCGTATACGACCTCAGAAGCACTGCTGAGAACACCCCCTTTGCTGCCTTGTCGGGCGTGCTCTTTTCTATCCGACTCTTCGGTTTGGGTATCGCTATCTAGCAGCAGTTTTTCTTCCCGAAATCGCGTCCAATCATAGTTATCCGGCCAAATGAATGACAGGATAACTGTATAGAGCAAAGGACTCAGAGCAGATGCGACAGTTCCATAAAGGCAGGGAAGTATTTGCCCAGTCGAATCAACGGATACTTTACCGAATAAAGCTTGCGCTGTACCCAACCAGACGCCAAGACCGGTGGCCAAACCAGTTACCGCTGAAACAACAGCTGCTAAGCCGCTTTGTTTGTTCCATAGAATGGTCAAAACCAAGGGGAAAATACCTGGGCATGTTACGACTCCTAATTAAGACAATTAGATAGCAGTCCAATATAGCGAATATTTCTCTTACCAATCATATATAGAGTCCAGCCCATATTGATGCCGCCGTAGTTGAACGCCGCAGTAAGACTAGCAGAGATGGCGGCAAAAAGAACGACACCCAGGTGGCTCCACCTGATGACATCTTTGTTCCCTGCATTTTTGTTGATATATGTCCTGTAAAAGTCAAAAGTAAAGATAGATGATACGGCAATAACTTGGGCAGACAGGGTTGAAGTTATTGCCATGAAAGTCATAAGTAGGACTGCCACAGCACCGCCCTTTCCTGCCACTGCCACAGCTATGTAAGGAAGTACCAGGCCATTTGTGACTTCTAAGTCATTCATTGGCTACCATGACGAATAGATGTTAGAGAAAATTAAGTCTGCTAAAAAGACTCGAAACTTACACGAGGATATGTAGGAAATATCGGAGAGCTCTCCAATCCCAAAGCTGCAAGGCCCATGATGGTACCAAGGCTCCAAGGAATGGAAAAGTAGGCAAAACCACCTACTACATAGCCCGGAACAACAGCTTTTGGCGATGCGGCAAACGCTTTGATGAAATAGCTCGTATCCATCTATGCATGTTAGTTTCAGCATTTATTCCATAATGAAGCGTAAACTTACGATAACGGCACCGAAATTTGATACAAGTAGAATTATAGCGAAGAAGATTCCTTGTTGGGAGCTCATTGTAAGAAGTGATCCTTGGTAGTTTCCATCAACTTCGTGTGAAGGTTGCGCTTTGGCCACAAGATCATACAATCCGTCAATAGAGCCGACATCGTGATGGAGGAGCGTTTTTGTTGTCAAATAAGAGCAAAAAATGGCAATGACAAATGTGTGTATATAGTCCGTTAGAAACCTAGAGTTATAATTGTCAACTTTGATTTCAGATTGCTTTACAAATATAGTACAAACGTTGCTTTTATGCCACCAACAAGTGTATACAGCACCACTCCGACGGGCAAAAGGAAAGTAGACGCCATTATATGAATGCCTGTCCTATAAAATTGTTAATAGAAGTTTTAATCTCAAAGTCAAATGAGTGAATCCTACAGAAATGTAATCACGGCCGCAGCACCCAAGATCATGTTAATCGTGTTGAAAAGATTGTTGATAATCGCCAAAAACGTGAAAATAAGATGTGCAACAGTGCCTATTTATGAGAGTTCGTACGTTAATTAGCATTCAAAGCAGCCACTTGTACATACCGTATCTAATTCGGACGATTTCAAGGACTGTATGTGCTTGTGGTATACGCTTTTTGCAGACAACCCCAAGATAAGCGAAGAAAACTATCATTCTATGCATATGTTGGTCAGAACATTGCATGTATCGTAGAATTTACAAAGATGGTTTCACTTACGGTGAGCAGCCTGCCCCATACCAGAATCCTCCAGATATCCCATAAAGATATGTCACAAGCACGCAGCTGAGTAAGGCTGTGCTCCATAGCCACGACTAAAACTTCGTCAGCATGGTGACCCTTGGGTGAGGAATGTTTATCGTACAGATACTACTGCAGAGGCAACAAGGCCCGTCCCTACTGATCTGTTGGCTACCATGAATCTGTGATTTTCCAATCATCAGTCATCGGCATGAAAAGGGTTGAGATTGGAGGCGTCTCGCTTACGTTTCAACATTTGAGTTATCTTCGTTGAGAGTTTTCTTTAGTAGACGCGTTATTCCAATCATTCCTATTCATCTTAGTTCTGATAATTGACTCTTTGTGTTGAGTGGAAACACACCGACAGCAAACGCGAGACCAACTGCGACGACAACCACATAGCCTGCTGCTTCAGGCAGTGGCGAGGGCACTATACCGTCATTATCAGATCTTGGCAGCAGATTCATTGTGAAACTGGGCTACCTGTGCTCTTCTACCAAGGAATAGGATCTTAAACATAGTAAGTACATACTCATTGAACAATATAAATAATAAATGTCAAAGTGAATCTTGTTATTGAGATGAGCGTCATCATCAAGTTGCATGGCGTGATGAAGTAAGAGCCAAAGGCACATTCTTTCTTCACCTACATGAGGCCATCAGAGCTAAAGATGTCGTCAGTAGATAGACTCCATAGCTATGTTTATCAACCAGGGCGTTATGGCCTCGACTTATTCTTCTACACGGAGAAACCGTTTCAGTCTGTGTTAATTCTCGGTAGCCAATGCCATGCAGGTTCGGAATATCAATCATAAATCTGATTTCGACCAATCAGTCGAACTTACACATATCATTAATCAAGGTTAATATTTCTTTTAACCAGCTAATTGGTTGCAGTGCTTGTTCCTTGATATCACGACATCTACTGGCAAACGACGGTTACCAAATTAGGAAATTTTTTGTGAAGCTAGATCACGATAGTGGATACGGGTGCTACCATTAGAAGCACTTGCGGTAGGTTAATTCCCTACCCATCTTAGAGCTATAATAATATGAATTAGCACAGTTTAATGATAGGAGCTTAGATATGACACAATTTGTGGCACTGGATATTGTTTATAAGGCGGAAAATAAGCTTGAACGATACTTTTAGCCTTCATGTATGAACAGCTTCGATTTCGAAATTATATTCACTCTAAGGTCCCCTTAGTTGCGAAAGTCGCTATCTTGAATGGCAACACCTACGATCTCAGATTTAGCAGTTGACGCCAGTATATTAACAGACAGAGAGAGCTGTTTCCAAGCAAGTGGCCAGGCAACTTGTTCCACATTGGGTGGCATATGCGGTTTCGGAAATGACCTACATTTTTGCCTTGAAATTTGCGCGTAAAGGGAGAAGAAATAGGCGTGGAAGATAATTGAATGGATTTCAACTTGGCTACGTTGGAATATTGAATACAGTAAGGGGAATATGCTTTGGGATGCGCATAGTGAAAGAATATAAGTTGCCTTTAGTCAACAGATCTTTAGGTATATTCCCATGAGACAGTGGAGTGACTAAGGTAATCCAATTTCCCAAGATACAGAGAGACCTTATCACAGCATTGTTTTAGGCCGTCATCTTGTACCCAAGATAGCGAAGATATCTCGGTGACGCCACAATTCAGAGATTCAACAGTTCAAATTCCAATTTAACAGAGTTCTCCATTAAACATACATTTGTCAGGTTCTAAGGCAATGGCTGTCTCTATCTATACACCAATACAAATCCTAGACCTTAGAGTGGTTCCTTATAAATGTGATTTATTCCAGGCAGCCACCTATGCTGCGAAGCTTCGTGTGTAGAGAGGGGCACTAGCTTCACCGTCCTTCCTCTCTTTGTCATAAGTCTCTAGGCAGATGCTTCCTTAGGCATGTTGGTTGGCATAAGCTCTCACATATTACTCATTTATCACTTTCGAAGCACTACCCCGCCTTTCTATGAATACATGTTTTACTGTATATCTTCTCCTCTCTCTCTTTCAGCCTTTCAGCCTTTCCGCTCTTCTTTAATTTGAGAAACACTCCTGACCTCTGAATATCAGGCTAAAATACGTGTATCAAGGCACAATTTCTCGTAATTTCTTATTATATTGTCACCACTGCAAAAAAGATGTCGGACAACTTCAATAGTCAGAGTTTACCGTCAGTTACCACCTTTACGAAAGAAGTATTTCTGATATACATTTAATTCTACTCCCTCAACATCTTTGCGTATCATATATTTAACCACTACCAACACAGAAATCTGTCCCAACGGACGTCAACAACGAACTTCAAGCTGCATGTCGAGAATTCGCTGCTGCAAACTATTCCCGTGAGGCCCTGGATAGGTTCAGAGCTAAAACCCATACGATCTTGGCCGGTCATCAAGAAGCACTCCAGCTTATTGAAACTAATATTTTAAGAAACGCCAATATTTGTGATCAAATGCACGAGCATGTATTATCTAAACAAAATGCTGAAAACACAAATTCCTAGGCGCATCAGAGCATCTACCTACCTATAGGGGGGGGTACACTTCCTTCTACGTCGAGCGTCGCTTAGTCATCGACGAGGGATTGATGCCAAATGATACTCCTCGCAGTCAAATGCAACCAGAAAGAACATGTGAGCACGTACGGTAAAAGAGACTACACCCTACAATTTATGCAAATGGTTATAATTTAGGATGTGCCCCAGTAGTTTAGGGGGTGTATTCATATAGGGGTATACCTTATAATCAAGGGGTACTTTGAGAATACCTTACGCAGTTCAGGACATACAAAACTCCGCGATTTTGCGGACATTAACTCATAGGAGATCCAGATCAGTGATCAATGATTAGTTCATGTAACAAGCAGAGCTCTTTGACTATGAAATTAGAGACTTATTAGCTAAGAGTCAACTAAGCTGTGGATCTGAAACTGGGTCCAATGAGAAGACGTCTAGAAACCCAGATTAGCAGCATCTCGTTTAAAATGCTTAGAAACTAGTCCACGGGCGCGATCTATCCGGATCAGCTCAGATGGCGTACGGCGATTTGGCGTGCCGGCCGTATTCGTAATCGCCAACGCATTCATCAAAAATCCCCAAACACCATCACACATATATATAAGTCGCCAAAAAGCAACTATATGTCATCCACGTTGTACCCCGTTACAACTGGAAAACAAATAAGCTTAAATAGAAGCCCGCTAATCTATCGCAGGACAACATACAAGGTAGCAGAGCAAACTACATAAACCCATCTGCGCTGGTATTCGACCACTAAAGCCAGAATGGCAGCGGCAAAACACAAATATGAATTCGGTGGCCCGTAGGTTGATAACATCAAAGCGTTAGAGTTTCTTTTTTTCGCCTAACATGTTCATTAGATTAGGCGCCGGATCGCTTGTCTTTGGTCTCCCGGTTCTGCTCTATTTCTTTTACTTTACCTGCAATGACCTCACTGGCTGCCCTGCCCCTGCGCTCCTTGAGCCTCAATCTCTCTCATTAAAGCAGCTCAAAGATCAAATTCCATGGCCTGAGGATGGTATCTGGGGCTTTGCCAGCTGGAAGGCCAGCGGCTGGATGATGAGTTACTACGTACTCAGCCTGGTGCTGTATCGAGTGCTGCCCGGACAGGAGCTCTATGGCACAAAGCTGAGAGAATCAGGCCGTCCATTAAAGTACAAGTTGAATGGCAAGTAAAACATAAAAATAGTTGGTAGATGGCAGGGGACTAACTGGTTATAGCGTTTTCTTCTAGTCTTGTTCAACTTGCTGCATGCGCCATTGGAACGCTATTATACGGCGCTAATTTCCCTCTCTGGACCTTTATCGACGACAATTACTTGCAGCTATACACAGCCAATCTAATCCTCGCAATTTTGATTTCAATATTTGTATACCTGCGAAGTTTTAGTGTCAAGCCAGGTAATAGTGAATTGAGAGAGCTCGCACAGGGCGGCCACACCGGTAATATCATGTACGACTTCTTCATCGGCCGTGAACTCAACCCTCGCGTCACCCTCCCCTTCTTTGGCGAGGTTGATCTCAAAGTCTGGCTGGAAATGCGGCCTGGTTTGACGGGCTGGATCCTCCTCGACCTTGCCTTTGTTGCAAAGCAGTACCGCACATTCGGATCTGTGTCCGACAGCATTCTCTTCGTTACCTTGGTCCAAGGATACTACGTCCTCGAAGGACAATATGCCGAATCAGGACTTCTTGGCATGATGGATACAATCACAGATGGGCTGGGCTTCATGCTAACGTTTGGGGACATTGTCTGGGTGCCATTTCTTTATTCCACGCAAGCCCGCTACCTCTCTGTGTACCCACTGCAACTTGGCTGGGCAGGAATTTCCGTCGTATCAGCAGTCTTTACCGTTGGACTGTACATCTTTCGGGCGTCCAACTCGCAGAAACGCATCTTTCGCACGCAGCCAGACCACCCCAGCGTTAAAAACATGTCTTACATACAAACTAAGCGAGGCACAAGACTTCTTGCGGATGGATGGTGGGGAGTATCGCGCCACATCAATTACTTTGGAGACTGGCTACAGGCATCGCCTTTCAGCCTTCCCACTGGCATGGCAGGATATGTGATTCTGCCAGCCGGGGCTGCTGCCACAGCGGGAGCAAGCGTGGCTACAATGCTTGATGGTAGACAAGTGGTCCAAGGAGCGGCAAGAGGATGGGGCATGGTTTACACGTATTTCTACGTGGTGTATTTCGCCTCGTTGCTGATATATCGCGAGAGAAGGGATGATGCGGCGTGCACAGAGAAGTATGGAGAAGATTGGGCCAAGTACAAAAAGGCAGTTAAGTGGAGGATTTTGCCTGGTGTTTACTAGAAACACGGGTGTTTGCGATGGCGGCCTTTTACGCAGAGAAACCAATTACATGTAAACAAGGAAAATTATATGTATGTCAAAGACACATATAATCACAATAGCTATACGTATAGAATAGTTTTGTTCCTTTGAGTGATGTATACGTCCTCGGTGTGTGTCTCATGACAGCCCTAGGGTAGGAATGTTACTACGAGAAGAGTCTTCATCTACATCTCTCCACAAACAGGATACGTGGGAATGGGGTCATCAATCAAAGCACTCAGGCACAGAAACGGCACCAAGTAAGTAGGGCTGACATCTCCTAGCCCGCTTGTAACCGGAAAGGCTGGCACCGAAGCAGGCCCAGAATTAAAGTTATGAGATTGATGCTTGTTTTCCGCTCGCCCAAAGCATCGGCGCCAAGCATCCCGAGTACAAGTAAGCTTGAATAGACGCACAGCAGCCTAAAGCAGGAGGAGGATGATTTGCGGGGTTCGTGCACAGGCTCGGAACGAGGACGATCCATTGCCTGAAGCTCTGAAATTGGTGATGGAGCGATGCAGATGCTGCGCCTGTAACCCCTGCGTGTCGGCCACGATCCGAGCCCGAGACCTCGAGCACGCACTGACGGCGTGCTGCGAGCTGCGGCCAAGCCAAGACTGCAGATGTAAGGATCACGGAGCAATAACCTGGTGGAGTTGGTTTCAATGATACATATCAAATGGCACTCCGTAGAGAAACATGAAAATACGAAATTGGCTCGGCCGCGGTTCGAGCACGGCCCGGATTATCCTTGGCCCTGATTCCGCTAGCGCTGCAGCTAGCCACTGGGCCCCGCGAACTCCTCAAACAGGGGCAATTTCAGACATGAAACTCGTCGAGCGTCTCGAAGAATCTGCGCGCAGCTGACGGGGGCAGATTGGTCGAGATGCGCAGTTCCGAGGGCTGATGCTGGCGGCAGCTCTTACAGAAGCACGGCGGAGGCGTCGTTTGACGCTGGAGGATTGGCCTGGATTCAACGTTACCTGCGCGCAGACGATGGAGATTGTTGCACTACTGGATGGATGGATGGATGGATGGATGGAGCGGTTAATAATAGCATGATAACAGCATTGTTCTTTGTTTTGACGATGATGACGATGTTCCGGATCCGCTGCTTGCGCCTCATCGCATCTCGGAGCTGGGCGCATTGACACATGCCAAATTAGCAATTTGGTGTGTAATGAGCATCCATCGTGGCATCTGCGTGTAAGTGCGCGCGCAGCACTCGATCAGCAGCATCAACGCCGCACAGCAAGGGCTTAAACGTTAGAAATGAAACTGCATGTTTTCCATTCACCGGATCTCGCTCAGACATTGAAACAATTGCCGCCTATTTTGAGTTGTTTCCATCGTATCTGCGTAGCACAGTCGCCAAACGATCAGAAATAGCCATCTTCGATATTGATGCTAATATCACATCGCCAACCGCTAATCCGAAAACCGACCAGCGCGCCGATCGCCACAAAACCGTCGGCGCATGAACTCGACCCCGGCTTGTCGCAGAAAACGCCTCCCGAAACTCCTTCCCCTGGTCTCTCCACACTACGACTACTATGCTAGCTCTGCTGGTTCGCCGTCCACAGCCAAGGCGCCTCTCCCCCAGCTGAGTCGCACCCTCGTCCAAAGCTCGCGCTCTCGTCGTCCCCTGAGGCGCATAGACGAGCAAGATGACATGTCAAACATCGCCTGGTTTCGGGCGATTCGGGCCCCCTGGCTATGAGTCTGTCCGTGGCATCTGATTCGGCTCTCGGTAGTCGCGCGAAGAGCAGGGAGTTGAGACGCTCAGTCAAAGTTTTAGCGCCAAGAAACAAGACGATTGAATGAATGAATGAAGAAGAACAGGAAAGATGGGGGTCATTCATGCTTTCGTCCATCGAGTATAAGAAGAAGCGCGAGTCCGGACCTGGTATACCTGCTTCTTCTTTCTCTCCATCACCATCACGACTTCCCAGTCACCAACACCTCAACTTTCTTCACTCCTTCAGGCCAGGTGCCTCTTTTCCCAACCTTCCTTTCTTTAGAGTTCGACCTGGTGTCGCTTGCTTCGTCTTGTAAATTCTTTCAAACACGAAATCAACTACAGCTCTCTCTCTCTCTTTTGGAACTTTTCACCACTATCTTTTTATACACACAATACCGCAAAAATGGTTCGCTTGTCAGTCGCCTCAGCTCTTACTTGTAAGTCGACAACCCCATGGATCCCGAAAGTTGATGGGTCTGTTTTTTCTAATACCGCATTATAGTCGCTCTTTCAGTCTACGCCCTTGGCGACCCTGCTGGTGCCAAGAATGTTGGAAATGGCGCAGGTGGACAATTCATTGGCGGCCAGTGCTTGTCTAGCAAGGACTGCGCTTCGACTTGCTGCGCTTTCATAGCCGGTGGTGGTGTTTGCTCTGTAAGTCTATTAGTCTCTCTTCGAACGATTTTCTAGCCCCGGCCGTTCCACTAATGCTCGAATTCTTCCAGGGTATTGGTGCCCAGTTCCAGGCTGGGAAATCAGGTTGTGGTTTTGGTGACGGTGGTGCTCCTCCTCAGCCCAGTGCTTCTTCCGGCAGCGGAAACTCTGGCTCTACATCCAACGCTGGCACTTCTGCCAATGTTCCCGCTGGATTCAACACCGCTGTTGGTGACCCAGCTGGTGTCAAGAACCTCGGTAACGGCAAGGCCCAGCAGTTCATTACTGGTATCTGCCTCAGCGATGCCGACTGTGCCTCTGGCTGCTGCGCCGGCTTGAACGGCGGTGCTGTCTGCTCTGGCGTTGGTGCTCAGACTCAAAACGGCAAGACTGGCTGTGGCTTCAATGCCAACGGCGGCTCTTCTTCTGCCCCTGCGTCCAACTCCAACAGCGGCTCAAGCTCTGGCTCAAACTCTGGATCAAGCTCCGGCTCTGCTAGCAACGGTGTTGCTATTCCCGCTGGTTTCAACACCGCTGTCGGTGACCCAGCTGGTGTCAAGAACCTTGGCAACGGCAAGGCCCAGCAGTTCATTACTGGTATCTGCCTCAGCAATGCCGACTGTGCCTCTGGTTGCTGCGCTGGTCTCAAGGGCGGTGCCGTCTGCTCCGGTGTTGGCGCCCAGACTCAGAACGGCAAGACTGGCTGCGGTTTCAATGCCAACGCCAAGCGAAGCTTCGAGTTCTCTCGCATTGCCCGACGATTCAACGCTTAAGTGGATGACAAAAAACCGGTGGTCAGTACTGGGACTGAGGTGTAGAGACAAGGATGACTTTGATTCCGAGTCTCACTTAATTCGGTGGTCGTTATCTACCTAATTCATACTCTACATGGCTAGACTTTAATAGATATCAATCATCGCTTCCAAATACAGAAATGTGCACACTTCTGCGCGTGCAATGCAATGTAATTGGCCTTTTTCTGGAAATTGGCTTCTAGGTTCGGCCTACGAACAGCTGTGAGGCGTATATTTACCATCTAATAATTAGTTCATCCTTTCAGCATGGCGAGCTATACGAATGCTACTCACTTTGTCATTTCTTCCGCTGAAAAGGGTCCCTCTCCAGTCGCCTTTTGGATCATAATCAGGATATGACTTCTGCAGCCATACAACCGGAAGTTTGTAATCAAGCCCTCGTCGTCAAATGTCGCAACGAGCGTCTCCGGGAAATCGTCCAACACCTCTGAGTGCACATTATATCTGTTCCTCATTTCGCTGAAGACAAGCGATTCAGATTCACTAATCGTCTGGCTGACAACAGTCCGCCGCTCGAGGTACAGGTGCTTCATAACGTCACGCAGTTTTGCGACGACGCCTTCTCTGCCGAGCGAAGGGTCGTTCGCCTCTCGCATGCTTTCGAAATTTACGACGCAGTCTTCGGAGAAGAAGGCAGCAAAGCTTTCAAGTTCGTCGTTGGAAGAGTCGGGGCGTAGGGTTTCGAGTTGGTTGTAGAGGGCGTCGAGACGACTTTCGAGGATGCCGGCGGAGAGCATTGTGATTGTTTTTTTTTTTTTTGTATCCCTTGCTTTCTTTGATTATGTCTCTTCTTATTTGAATATGATACACAAATCAGATCTTGTGAATATAGGATGGAATCGAGTAGTGGGCATATTATAAGACAATGTTATCTGAGTCTTTCAATCTACGATTACCTACATCCTATCCTACTGCAGGTCCCCCAGAAGGCAGCAGCATTAGGTTCTCCATACTTACTTTGACACCGGCACCTAGGAAGCGCTTCCGCGGCCATGACAAGACAATATGTGGCACATTAGTCACCCCTAATGCATACCAAGTATGTACGCAGCAAACTAAGAAGCGGGGGGTGTCATCCATGAAGGAAGCTGACTGCATGCATCACGTACCGGAGTAACCGAATGAATACAGTAGAAGCGGACTCCAATGCAGCTTATATCACATTGTTATGCTATTCCAAAGGTCTCACCTCCTTGAAGTCGACATGGGATATGCGGGAGACACGTGCTGCGACAGGGTTTGCAGACTTACGCGGTTAATGCGCCTATCAAATCCCTTGCCCTGGAACGGCCATTTGAGCGTTGCTCGATTGGCCAACGTGCATTGTTGGTCAGACGGATTCATACATACCGGAGGGGGGAGGCCCTTGTACGAAGTACGCGTCCTGTCAAATGTGTCGACCATTGTGAGAAGTAGGTACATGCATCCCCGGGTTTGGCGGGATCTACCCGCAGAAGCATGGGCTGACACTCCGTTGACAGGTGGCTTTAAACCCTACCTGGACAGATCTTATTGCTTTATTAATAATATTTTGGTCTGTAGTTGGTTAGGTTGTTGTATTGAAGAATGCAGGAGTTGGGGCTGTGGAGAGGGTATGGTGAATAGCTCTGAGCTTCTCGAGACACAATAATGGTTGAAGCCGTGTTGTTTTACATATACATACTTTAGTAGCGGCATGATATAGTCGGAACGAAAAACTCTTCGTAAATGAAAATGCTTAGGCCAATTATTGGAAAAAAAAAAAAGAAAGAAATAGGTAATCTCCACTACATACACGTAGTCTCCCTATCCCCATCGTTCGACAAACTCGTCTCGCTTCTCGCTCTTTCGATCCCTTCTCTGGCCCTCAACAAGCGATAGCCTGTCTTTGGCACCCTCCACATCAGCCGCCATAAGGGTGATGGAGCCCGAAATCTCCGGATCAACCAGTCTCGGCTCATTGAACGGACTCTCAGCCAACACACTGTCCCGCACCAACTGGATGGCAAGCCGAGTATCGTTTAGCTGCGCCAGCGCACCCATTTCAAACGTCTCCTGCGCATTTCGAGCAATCTCATCGGTCTTCTTGGATCGCTCCTCGAGGATTTTCGACAGAGCCACTATCTGTGTCCTACCGTCGGTTTCTTCAGACACTGACGAAGGGACCGACAGACCGTACATGAGTGTGTCGAGTGGAGGCTCGTCCGCGACACCAGACGACCTACGGCGGTGGTGGTGGGAACCAACGGTGTTGGAGTGCTTCCGTGCAGGAGTATTACTACTCTTGCTCGGAGATGTGGGGAAAATTGATGCCGGGGCAGATGACGATGGCTGCTTCACAGGCGGCAAGATCTCGACGGCCATCTCCATCTTGGCGGTGGAGATGAGTGACGCGGCGGCAGCCTGGTGCGACAAGTGAGTCTCAATGCGACCTTGGATCTGGTCAAGACGACCAACCAAGTGATCAAGGCATTTGTTAATCTAAAGAATCAAGTTAGTAACATATACAGTGGGCAGAAATAATGGATGGACGCTGACGTATTCCAGGGCATTGGACGTGCGCATCGCACTTTGGCCTCCTTCTGCAGAAACGGTTTGGAGAGCCTGTTCAAGGTGCTGCTGTTCCACAGACATCTGGGCTACAGACTGTATTTCCGAGTGCAGAGAATCAACCTCTGCCTCGAGAGCCTTGACTTCGTCATGCGTCGAAGGCTGGACGCGGCCCGAGCGCTCGGCTTCCACAAGAGTGTCCATGTAGGTGGTATCTAGTTTGGCCCGAACGGTCTCAACCGTAATGTTGACCAGCCTGGTAGGGCCCCCCAGCGGTTAGCAAACAATTCTTTCCCGTGTAGTGTGATGGTGTCGTATGGGCGGCTAACCGCGAACATGTCTCACGCAGCTTGTCAATCTTGGACGTTTCATCTGGGTCTGGCTGCTCCAGCTCCCATCCCAGCTTCTGTAAATTGGCCAAGAGTTTATCATCGGCACGAAATATATCGCCTAGAGTGCCCTTGAGATTGGATCCAGCCTGCGTTCCCTGCTCTTCAAGATCAGAAATGCGAAAGGCAAGACTTTGAGAAGCTGCCTCCACCTAATGAAGGTTACAATCGTCAGTAGAAAGCTCGCTCGTGCTCCTTTGTGTTTAAAGTGTTACCTCTGCGGCAGCTCGTTGCCGCTCCGACTCAGCTTTACTTTGCCTGTCCAGGTCAAGATCCCGCCGGCGCGCATCGTTCTCAGCACGCCTTCTCACCAGGCGCGATAGGGCATCTTGTTGCTGACGCAATGTCTCGCTCTGCTTGGTTATGCTCTCCGTTGATCTCCTGAGTTCATCAATGGCGACTTTGATATCGTCCTCGGTAACGCCTTGTACTTCGGACAGGTCGTGGAGATTGGCCAGGATATCCACCTGGCCGTTCCTGTCTAGTGTAGAGTATCTACATCACGGATCACCATGTCAGCGGCGTTTTTGTCTTGTCATGAGCAAGCTGTGTCTCCATACGTACATTGCCAACTCATCAGGTGACAGGAGATTATCGGTCGTGAGATGCAAACTCGCCCACTCAGCCAATGCGGCGCCGTAGTGGTCGTGTCTGAGATGCTGTTGAACCTCATCCCTGCGCACTTGGACACCATACGTGCGGGCAGCCTTCAACAGAAGGGCTTCAGCTTGCACCCTGGTCTCCAGATCCATTGTGAGTCTTCCAGAAAAGTCCGCCTTGTAGAGAATCGGTCGTACAAGGAGCCGTGTGGGTGAGGGGGGGAGAAGAAAGGGAAGGACAAGACAAAGAGTACAAGCACACTGTCTGTTTTGTAGAAAGCTTCCCGATGTTGTTTTGTCTCTGAATTATACCGGCTCAATGCTCCACAGGCTCCCAGCCCGTTGATGCTGGGCCGTAAAATGAGCTCCCAGAGGATGCTTCCCCAAGAGAGTCCTCTTTTCGCAGCTCGCAGTCTGTTCGCGCCGAGGTCGTGCAACGCTCGCTCAGTTGAAAGCTGCAGCTGGCAGATCAATTCGTATTCGCGTATCACGCTCTCCATTCGACAGCTGCGGGCGCTGTGCGATAGTTGTGATCGCTGAGAGCGTCTCGATGGCCTTTGCATCCCAGGCACGAAGCATGCGGTGCTACCTGCGGTGGTTTCGGGTCCCCTTGGGTCTCAATTCGGGATAATTATTCCAGGGGTTCATGATTAGGCCCCAAGCGCCCGAGGGCCCCTCTAAAGCCACGATGTCGCGCCCCGTAGCAGCCCCTGTAGCTAGCTTGAGCTGCATGCTGCCAACACCTTGGATGCGCCACAGCCGCCTGACAGGTGCGGTGCTGGTGCTCGGCATTATGAAGGGCCGCTATTGATGTATAACCTTATAACCAAACATTTATACGCCGTAAACTTGGGTCCAGTGATATCTTCAAGAGATTCCTCGCCTTCCAGCTTCCTCGTTCTTATGCCAGCAACCAGACTCACGGAATAGGAATGCATATTTCCGTGTTGTCCTGGGCGCCAGGTCTACCCAGCGCAGAACAGCGAGGCTCAGCTTGCCGTCGGTTTCCAAGCTCCAGCTCGTCTCTACTATTGGAACTGCATTGCATGTATTGATTTCGTCCAACGTCTTGCAGCCGCCAGTGCCGTGACCCGAGAAACGTCGATCCCCACTCTGTGTCATCCGAATTCCGTTTGTATTGAAGATGAGAAGAAAAAAGAACGGTAGAGGAGGGGACTCGCAGTATCTTTCCCGGATGCTATCTAGCTGGTCCAAACGAACATGACCCCAGGGCAGCGGATCGCCCCGAGCGGCAATGAGATTTCGGCGCCCTGGACTCGTATCTCAAGGATAAGCACACCATATCGAGAAACTGTAACTTGCACTATGTGATACTGCATTTCTCCGCGAGGGCAACGGCGCCGTCTCGAACGATGGAAATGGCCACTCGGAGATATCCTCCAGGCCTGACTAAGTAGTGATGCATGCCCATCGCTGCAAGCCATGCGAGCACCGCTATCTGTCGTTGACAGCCAGGTATGGGGCCTTATCTTGGTAATAAATACCTCTGTCTCTTCCATCTGTTTGTCGGAATAAAGAGCATGGAAAGCAATAGAGACGGCAGTTCTGTCGCAACTCGGCGTCTTCAGCCCGGTATGCGTCCGAGGTGGATCAAGTCTCTCCGGATGTAGGACACATGTCTCACACTTCGGCCACCTACATCGAAGCCCGTCCCCTGATCTGCCGAGTTGCAAAGACCGGCCAAGTCTTGTCGCTCTGCCAGGACGGTTCGGCGTCTCCTGGCGGCCCTCAACGAGGCAATGCTTGCGGCACAGTACTGCGGCTTGCCACTGATCATGGGCACTTGGAGACGACATTTGGGATGACCGGCGGGTAATGATGTCGATATCCAGCTTCTGCCGGCGCCGTGACTCCATGATCTTCGGATGGCCAGCTGGCTCTGCAGAGACTCGTATGCGGAATCAGTCTAAACGCTCTGCGCCGGCAATGATGCTGTGACCAGGCGTGATGCACCCAGATACGTAATTCAAGATGCGTAGAGGCCAGGGGTCCTTCATCATATCATGCCCAAATGGCTTACATTCACATCCACATTCACTCCTCTGCTGCTCTGCCATGTCCGTCACACAATGCCAAGTATTTCTTGATCTCTGTATGTCATTGAGAGACAACAAGGAAGTAGCCCTGCCGTCTTGACCGCCTGCCATCAGCTGTCTGAGAGAGAACCACCCCAAACTGACAGCTGGTCGGAGAAATAGACCAAAGCAAGACAATAAAAATTCTCCCCGAGCTATCACACAAGAACCCTCAATTTTCCATCAAGGTGCCGCAGTTCCGTCATCCTCTGTTTCGCAACGAAATCTCCGAGAGATATGACCGGCACAGGCGTCTGGCGGCTTCGCTGGAACAAGGCCATTGCTGGAGGAGCCGGATATTTGCTGGTTGCAGCGATTTGCTTAACGAGTGAGCTGCTGATTTGGGGCCTGAGTCGGACATTGGCTTCGGCAAGGCTCGAGTTCTTCTCGACTATCGTCGGCATGTTGCTGGTTTTTGCTGTGAGCACGGCGAGCTGGGCGATATGGAAGAAGACGGATGCCTTCTATCGGAGGTGGCTCAAGGCAAGGGTTCGTGACGACATGGTGCTCCCTTGGTGTTTGTTTGCTGTGCTGATTCACGTGCGGTGTTGTTTAGGTTGACTTTATCAATGCTCATTTGGGAGCGGGATTCTCTGTGCCGATGATCATGCTGGACCAAGACGAGATGCTCAATGGCGGCGAAGTTGGGAGGGTGATTGGCTCATTCAGTGAGTGAGATGACTGGATTGTGATACTGCTGATGGTTGACTTACTTTTGGCCGTCCTAGTTGCGACCAATATTGTGTCTTGGATGACCGTGTTTTTCTTTTCCGTCGTGGCCCTCAGCGGAATCACAAAACTAGTACCGCCAGAAACTTCAAGAAAAGGCTCATTTAGCTCAGAAAAGAGCATTGCGCCGTCGTCGTCCTTTGACGAAGAGATCAGCTCGGCCGATTTTGAAGACGTTCAGAACCAACCAGCTACACAAACACAAAGCAGGCCCTCGTGCTCGAGGATTGCAGATTCCGAGAGGCAAACAGGTCAAAACGGGCAAACTGCGCCGTCTTGCAATGATGACTATGAATCCTCCACTTGGAGCTTCCTATCACGACACTACCCGATTCTACTCTCACTCACTCTCGTCTTCACTATCGGCTTGCCCTTGGCCGTTGCCGCCCACGAGGAGCGTCCCCTAGACGGCTTCATCCTCTGGTTCATCTGGATATCCTCTGTCCGATCTCAACGCGCTTTTAAACACTCTCAGTTCTGCAGCTTTTCTCTTCCATTAAAGCGTGGCCTAGCGACAATGATGAATCCCGTCCTCGTAACCACGCTGCTTATGACGGGATACACCAGGGCCAAAGCCTCGGTTTTAGGATCCAATGGCCTTACCAGGACATTGAAGACATTCAGCGGAGGCACTCCTCTCTATGCCATCTGGATATCTGCCGTCAATGGCGTCCGGATACCTAATAACCCAACTGGCTGGTTTGGCGCTGGCGACACTGCGCTCTCGATACTCGAATGCGGCATTCTTGTATGGGGCTTCAAGCTCTCGGAATGTCGCCTCCAAATCTTTAGCATTGCCGGCCTCCTCTCCATAATACTATGCACTATAGCCGCAGCAGGCAACGTCTTCATCTCTGTTATCGCTAGTCGAGCTATAGGTCTCCATGAATCCGAGGCTCTCAGCTTCGCCGCCAGAAGCACAACACTCGCCTTGGCGAAGCCTGCTACAGAGGCGATTGGTGGGAACAGCCCAGTCAATGCGATGCTCGTAGTGAGCAATGGCATACTGGGGCAGCTACTATATCCCTTTATCTTGGAAAAGTTGGGAGTGAGCAGCCATGAAGACGACGAGACAACGACAGTTCCAACTACAACTCATGAGACAATGATCACTAATGAACGTTCACCCATACAACCACCCCTAAATGGCCATCTTATCTCTCTCGACACCAACAGGGCAATATCCTTCTTCCCCAAGTCGTGGCACCAAACCGCCTCCACAACAGACAGCCCCGTCACTGTCGCCGCAGGCATAGCCATCGGCATCAACGGCGCCGCAATGGGCGTATCTTATCTCTACGAAACACGAAGCCGCGCCGCACCATATGCAGCCCTGTCGATGATGGTCTTTGGCGTAATGACTGTGGTGTTTACGACGGTGGAGCCGTTTAAAAGCATACTCATCAGCTTGGCGAGCCGATGACAATGGTCACGAGGGCAATCTCTTTTTTTATTTTTTTTTTATTTTTTGGTTTTCTACTCGATTACAATGCTCTCTCTCTCTCTTTTCTCTTTTTGGGGGAAAATGAAATTGTTGTTTCTGGATACCATTTAAAAACAAGATGAAAGCAAAATAACCAAACGCGAAAAGGCATATAAAGAAAGAAAGAAAAAAAAAAGAGAGAGAGAGACCATAATGAAAGAGAACAGCGAGAAATTGTGTAATATTTAGCATCTTTATTTATTTTGTTCTGCATGTATCATGCATGGGGGGCCTCGCTTTGACGGCCAGTTTCTTGTATCAACTCTGCATAAAATATTACATTTGTAAATTAGAACGATAGAAAACAAAACCATGAAACAGCGTTGTTCAAGGATATGGCAATGAACTGCAGTGAAATCTCCTTTCTCCTTTATTGAAGATGTTACTCCAAAAGTCAACGGGGCATCTTCGACAGAGCAGCATAGCATAAAGCGAAAGTTCATATGAGATCAGGATCAAAAACGATGTTTTTTTTGCTTTTACCAGCGATGGTGCCTTTCTTTTTGCTACTTATCCAGCGCCGCCTACAGTGATTGAGATACTACTATCCAGTGTTGATTCTTCTTCTTATATTTTTTTTTTTCCTCTTCTGGGGGCTTGAGAAATTGATGTTCGAGATTATCCTTGCATTTCATTCGTATCATTCCACCTACTTCCTATCTTTCTCCTTCTCCCTCCCCTTTTCTTTTTTTTTTTTAATATATATATTCGTATATTACATTCTTCGTTTGCGCAGTAAACGTCTGACTAACAACTTACTCCAACCTAATACCGATAAATGTCAGCATTACATTATGCCAACTCTTCTAGCATGGGGACATACATACCTTTCAATCAAGTGCAGGCCGCTCGCCGTCGAGACAACATCACTCAGCTCTCCCACCTTGAGCGTAAAGGCCACATCTTCAAATTCCTTTTGCATCTCGCCACGGCCAAAGTAGCCCAAATCGCCACGCTTGCGGGCAGAGGAGCAGTCGGACTCTGTGGGCGCAAGGTCGCCAAGCGTAGAGGCGCCAGATCGGATGGTCTGCTCGTGGCCCTTGATGATCTCCATGGCCTCTTCCTTGGTTCGTGTGATTTCAGCCTATATTGGGGAAGGAAGCAAAATGCCACTGTCAGCTCCTCTTCTACCTAACCAAAACTGTATGCTGGCTGTAAAGGTATGTTATATATCATCTCGTACCTCGCGCCAGCTGCTCGGCCGCCGACTATCTCGGTGCTTGACTAGGAGGTGGGCAGCTCGAATCTTGCCCTCGGGGACGCCTGGGACGGCTCCGGGTCGCGAACCAGCACTGTGGTGGGCAGCCATGTAGTGCTTAAGCTTCTCGCTGTCGGTGCCCGCCGGAGGCTCCCATCGTGAGGTTCGCTCGACCGAGTTGAAGTAGTAGGGCAGGTTCTTGGAGTTGGAGTGTCGAACCTCCCAGTTTGGAGGGAGACCGGTTTCAGACTGTGGCGAGGCAATGGTGCGTGAGTTAGCATATTGCTTCTCTTTCGGCGGTTCTCAGCAGAGTCGAGAGCTGACGCCTGGAGGGGGGGCAGACAACAGCAAAGAGCTAGGTAGTGTGGAATACCACCGCAAGGCCGCCCTTTCTCTGCTTGGACAGACGTACCATTGTGATCAAGTTCGTTTGCTGCTTGGTTTGGCTTGGCTTGGTCTGAAGAGGTGCTCTGTCGTCGCAGTCAATGCAGGCAAGGCGGGAGAGAGTCTCTTGCAGGTGGAGTTTGCGAAGGTAGCAAACAACAGCTTTGGTGGATGGAGCTTTTGCAGTCCGCGTGGAGCCAATGAGGATGGATCCAGATGCAAGCTTGCGCTTTCGCTTCTGCGGGGAGAGGCTAGAAGGGAGTTGGTATAAGTAGGCTGGGGAGCGGCGGGAGGCGAGCGGTACAAATACAGATGCAGCCGAGGCGCAGCCCAGGAGTGCGTGAATAGATGGATGGGCTTGGTTTGATAGTGATGGATGCTTTGCTTTGTTGTGATTTGATTTGATTCGACTTGCTTTGACTCGGCCTGATTCGATTCGATTACACGCAATCAAACACCAATCCAAGAACTGGGCCAGAGGGCGGGATGGGAGTGGCTAGCGTGGCCCTGATGACGTTCAATGGCAGCCCGGCGGACGCAACCTTGGCTCTGGGACGCTGGAATTGAGCCTTGCCAGGCCATTTGGGGGGGGGCGCTGAAGGGGGAAGACCCACGGCCGCGGGGCTCTGGTTCCAGCACTCGATTGGCCCTGGGCGCCGGAGGCGTTAGGGGGAGGGGCACCGACGTTTTAGCGGTACAACTTTGCTGAAACGGTGCCTAGGGCGGCGTCTGTTCACACATTTTGGTGCTTGTACAAGAATGGCACAGGCGTGCAGTCTCACTCACGCTGGTAATACAGGCATGGCTCAGGTACTTCAATCACAGTCAAGCACATCCATATACCGTGGGTTGAGGTGGCAACGGGAGGCGAGACGGGGGCTTCTGTCGCGCGCTCAGTCACTCAGTCGGAGCAAGAAGAGCGAGTCATTCCCGGCCCAGGTTCAGGATGATCACGGGATACGCCTCAGAGGGCCTAAGCAGGCTGGGAGGGGTCACGATGGGAGCGACGATCGAGGCTTGCGCAGGAGAACTTGATCACCAGGGGCGGCAGAGACTGCCCGAAGCTGGCGTGGTTTGCTTGGATTGAGCAGCATCAGTCAGTCAGTCAATGCCAGCCTGTGCAAATCAGGCGCCGTCAAGTCGAGCCAAAGATGAAGCATTGCTGGGCCATGTACATGCTCCCTGTCGCCGCACCAACGGCACAGATTCAACGCCCATCTGCAAGTGTCCAATTGGGGCAACCCGGCGGTTTTATGTCATCCATAGCCGCCATACAGTCTCGTCTATAGTATGTATCTGAGCAGCGGAAGATGGCGCCATGTCCGTGATTTCTGCTGCTGCCGTACTAGGACCTCTATCAAGCATGTAGCAACACCTTAATGGGCAGGCTAACTACCGCTTGATACAAGGTCGAGACATGGTATATTACATGGTATGCACCGGTAACCGGCGTGCTATAGACAAAGGCGAAATGTGCAATGCCACGTTGAAGCCAGCGGACGGGTCCAGCCGCCACCCCGCTATTTACTCGCTTTAGGATTCTGACATCTGCTGACTGATGACAAGCCAATCCTACCACTGCTCAGCATTATGCCCAGCTATCTAAGCAGCTACTATACGTTTCTATGCGGTTTCGAATTCTCCGGCTCTACTTGTTCCTACCTCACGCAATCATTCAATTCATCGATATTGCAGCTTTGATATGCCAGCAACTGAAGATAATATCTTGATGTAATTGCAAACACGCTGCTGCTGCCTCTAGTTTAGCGGCACACTCAATCGGGCAACGCACCCTCGCCGCCCTGACCCTGCCATCCTGTTCCACCTGTCTGGCTTATAATGAGCCCCGACGTCCATTCCCCCGCTCGACATGTACTCTTGACCTCTCTCCCTCCCTCTCTCGACCATCCTCAGAGCTGACTGCCCCATACTCCTTGCGTCCACATTATTTCCCTCCCGACGACCGTCAGACAGCGCCTATAGTCCCAGCCCATTGTCTCGCTCACGATCACAAGTAACCTTGCTTATATCAGTGTTAATTGTCAGTATTTAGGGAGCTTTCGCAAGTTCATGTTTGATCCATCCCACTAGCCCGCCCTTTGCGATAATCTCCTGCAGGTTCTCAGAGAACTCTCCAACCTTCTCCTCCCAGACCTCTCCATTCTTTCCCTCCTGAAGCTTAATAACGCTCCGCGCAATATCCCATGTTAGGGTCCAGCCTGTATGTCGGGTAGGTATTTTGCTGGGGAATACTGTACGGAGACGCTCCACTAAACGTGGTAGTTCCAGGCAAGGCAACGCATTATTGATGCCGTTCCGGACAAAGATGTTAGAGAAGCTGCCCGCAACGACAAGTGGGATTTCCTTGGCGAGAAGAGCCGTTGCGGCTTGCTCTCTCGAGGAACCGCACCCGAAATTAAATCCAGAGACGAGAATGTCGTTAGGCTTTGCGATTGATCTGAACTCAGGGTCATAGTTCTCCATGCAAACCGCTGCCATGCCTTCCCTCGTCATATCGTCTTGATACGTATACTTGCCAGCATACATATTATCGCTGTCCAGGTTGTCAGCATTAGCAAATACAATCTCACCGCTGATGTTCGTGGGAAAACCCGGGAGAATCTTTGTGGCTGGCTGTGCGGCGTCATCGCCGGTAGGAGCAGCCGTCTGAACTCTGTCGATGAGAGACTCGGGTTGCTCAAGAGCATGGCTGAGCTTGCTGTCGGTAGTCTCGGGTTCTCCCGTGCCGTAATCGTATTCTACGCCAGAATAGTTCTCCGGCACCTTATACGTGCCAGGACCTGACAAAACGCCATTCAGGACGCTCGCAGCTACAACCTCGGGGCTACCAAGATAGGCATGCGCAACTTGTCGCCATTAGTGCTCTGAAAGGGTCAACAATCATTGAAAACACAACAGGAGGACAACATACGTCTTGACCTGAGCCGCCCCTTGAAGTTCCGATTTGATGCGGAAATTCCACACTCGCCATCCTCCAGCAAGCCCATTCCCTTTGTATGAAGAGTTAACAGACATATTGATACGAGGAGCGGCGAGTACTCACAAGTCCGATACACGGGCCGCAAGAAGGTGGGAGCACAATAGCTCCAGCCTTAACCAAGGTCTGCCAGCTACCTTCATCACAAAAACGCCGAGTCTGGGTACATGTACATACCTACTAAATGGATATCTGCATGAAAACGCAAACGGTGTCCGAATAAGCCCGGCCTGGCCATGCCAAGACGCAGCCTGCTGTGAGATGATGCAGCCTGCAGTAAGATGATGCATCGGCGGTGCGAGAGTAGGATTCTATAAATGTGCGGCATGTGCGGAATAGTACATGTAGCCTGTAGCCTGAATCATTATCTCTGCATACATATACAGCTATGTAGGTGCGTGTGGGCATCGCGAAGTGCTACCTGCCTTACGCCGCACCCTGGGTACATGTAATATCGACATTTAATATAGCAGATGCATGTAAAGATGTGGACACAAGACATCTACAAGCCTTGCTCGCGCTTTTCAATAGCCGAGCGCTTCTTGAATGCACGTATACCGTGGAAGCAGCGGATATGCTGCAGCCGTCTCCCGGCGGTGGTGTGATTAGCAACGCCGGAAGTTGAGCGAATCGCGTGTATCCCGGGTAAGGCAGGTCGTATTCGCCATCTTGATTCTGGTAACGGCGTATTGGCTGGATCTGAGATTCAGAAACGCCGTTGGGTTAGTATTCCAGCGGTAGACTCAATGTCAATGCCAACTCGTTTTCGCGGTGTCGAGTTTCAGCCCATTGATGTGGTCAGTTAGCAGCGCATTGTGCTAGAATCCGGCCGGATATATGCGAGTGATGTGAAGCCAAACACTCGAAGCGAGTCATGGCTGCTCGGCTCCTAGGACGAATCCAGCGATTGTGAGGGTAATCTTGGCTGTAGAAAACATACACCTGCTACTACTGTACATGCAGATGGAGTCCTGACCATGCTCGCATCACTGTGGGGGTTGGTGTCTATCATCCTACCGACTGGAGGCTTCTCTTAAACGTCCACGTGCAGGTCAGAACGAGCTTCACTCCCTATGTTTGGCACGCATCGCCGTCACCATGCCGACGAACACGACGCCTCGTGCTTTGCAAAACAAACAGACAAAGTTCAAAGCGACCGCCTCTAAAGGCAAAAGCAAGGTCAGATTAATAGTTTCGTAGACTTTTACATAGGCGGCCTCCATTTGACTCATCATGATGAGGCTAGGAATTGAACTTGCAAAGTCATCGCCGTTGTCTCTGTGTGGCTGCCTGCACTGCAAGGTACACGCTACTAGCGCTCGCAGTGTGTGGCAGCTGGTCACGCCCGACATGCAGCTACATGCGCCTATGCCGGGTTACAACGGGGCTTCTCACTTGACTTTGGGCGTCTGCCATTGTGGCCGACGCTGGCACGCAGACACGGCGCTGCATGGGGTACAGAGTACGCACGCCCTCGGTACCTCTGGTATGGCGCACCTGGAGGTCTGCAAAGCGCCCCGAGCCGATCAGGCCATCAGAAGGTGAACCTTCTTGGTCGGTTTAATACTCTGCGAGCCCCCAACACCATCAACCGCACACCTCTTCTGCGCAACTCTTCGCAAACCCAAACCCCCAAAACAAACAGGACAAAACATATCCGACACGCAAGCACTCTACGCTCTACGCTCTACTCTCTCACGCCTGGTTGCTCGTCAAATCAGACCTAAGACGCTAAAAGAAAGGAAGATACAAGTACGCAACTATCCTCCGGCCAAGCATCTGCTATTGCAGCAGCGTCGCTCAGCATTTTTGTTCAACACTCCTCGATTTCCTTTTTTTTTCCCCTCTACTGCCTTGAATATCGCGGTTCCGCAAACTTTTCCTCACCGCCCAAGGCCCAACAGGCAAAAAGAGAAATTGAACCCGACTTCCTAATTTCAGGCTCTGTCGACCGCCTAACTCACCCAACCTACCCGCAAGGCGCTCTAAGCTGCTGTGTTAGCTGCTACAAGCACCAGACAGCACAGCACAGCACAGCGCATTCGCCAAAGCTTCGGCGAGCCTCCAGCAAGTCACTGCTAGCGCCTAGCGCCACGCTACCAGGGATACGTACCCACTGCAGATTGCAAATTATCTGCCTGGACCACAGCCGTCAATCTCGGCTTATTCCACTTCCGCATACTCTCTCTACTCTCTCTTCTTTCTCGACAACGGCAAGGCTGCACCGCATCGACCGCGCACCCTTTTCATTTTGTCGCCACCAAAGACGCGCATCTTCTCTCCTCTCCCTTCTCCATCCTCCCGTTTCTTCTCCTTCACAACACACGCACAAATGGCGACTCCTCAGTCCACCGCCTCCTACGAGGCCTCTGGCCCCAAGAAGCTCGAGCAAATCACCTTTCGCTTCTGCTCCGAATGCTCCAACATGCTGTACCCCAAGGAAGACGAAGACGCCCACAAGCTGCAGTTTACCTGCCGAACCTGCCAATACACCGAAGACGCCCAGTCGACCTGCGTCTTCCGCAACGTGCTCAACAACTCGTCCGGCGAGACGGCCGGTGTGACTCAGGACGTTGGTTCTGATCCCACGGTTAGTACTAGTGATTTTGTGCCAGTCCTCTGCCTTCGCTGCGGCGTCGTTGTTTACTGCGATACCTGCCGAGAGCCCAGCACCGAGCTCAGCGTTGCCCGAGACCCCGACCAGGCCTACGAGGACGTGTTTGAGGACCTGGGCCTGGGCCAGTTCAACCTGCCCTTGCCCGCCGACCCCTTTGAGGAATACGACGAGGAGTTGATGGAAGACGCCGAATCCACCGGCAGTAGCGACATGAGCGACTTTGCCGCAGCCTATTCGGATGAGACCGATCATTATCACCTGACCGAAGCCATGGCTGTCGACCTTTAAACGCACCCCTTCCCTTACGATACTTACGCACATGTACTTTGGGCATCTACTTTCTGAGCGAGAACGTCCTCTTCGCCTCTCATGTTCTTTTCTTTTCAACAATCAAGAAGGACGATGGAATAACCGCCTCTTCATTCTTATTGCTCTGGTGTTTTGTTCGCGTTCTGTCGTCCTGGGTGTCTGTACTAATGGCAAGCTGAGCTGCGGCGGATGGGCAAGGCCTTGCGGTGGTTTTCAGTTGTTCTGTTTTTTTATTCTCACCTGATTATACCAGCTGGCTGACTCTGCTTCTCTGTCTTCCCGCAACTACAGCTCCCACGATCCAACAAGGCCTGCCCGAGATGCAGTCATCAAGAAGCTGTCTTCTTTCAGTCACAGGAACGCAGTGCCGATACTGGCATGGTGAGCGAGCACCTCCCCCTTTTGACCCCGCGATTACGAGGGAGCTTCACTTGTTACCTTGTTGCTTCTCCTCTTTGCCTGAACCAAAAGTTAACCTGGCTGGCGGCAACATAGAAATTGTTTTACGTCTGTTGCGAGTGCGGTCATATTTTCGATTAAATGCGTTTACGATTGGCGAAACCCCCGACTTATTCGAGAAGTTCTATGAAAGGAAAATTAACTAGACCTGTTTTAGAGATGTTGCTCTTGTTTTTTTTTTCCTTTCTATCTTATTTTATTTCAAATGTATTCTCATGGTTGGCGTCAGGGGTGGGAAAGGAAAGAAAACAAAAAGCCGTGGAAGATCATACCTCTACGAGTTTAATAGGATTGCTTGATAACGCCGAACTGGAAAATACAGGTGATGCGGCGTTTGAAGGAGTATATACATATATAGAAGCGGTTTCCCTTTATTGATATACGGTGTTGCATTGGCACACCCTTTGGAATTAAATATATATTCTGTTTTTCTTTTCGTGAGAAACTTTTTATTTTGTCCGTTGTGACTTTGAGGTCTCTGTGATAATGTATCCCGCAAGACGTAGCGTTGAGAATTACACATACCAGCTTCCCTACTTTTTTTCAGTTGAATATGTTTCTTTTTTTTTTTTGTCTAATCTCGTAAACGCCGTGCAAATGCCATCAGAGAGTATTTCGTAATCGTACATGGTCTCAACTCATATATGGAGACGACAGCATCACCCTCCCACATTCTTGGTATCCCGTTTCTGTTCCCTCACTCTCCAGCATGACCCTCTTATTCTACCCTCCTCTTATGCCTGCATAGGTGCCATGGACAAGATCTTGCTCCACTTCTTCCTCTTCAGCTCTGCGCCCACAACGCCGTTGATTCGAGTGCCGACGGGGTCGCCCGACTTGTTGAGCAGGACGCAGGCGTTGTCGTCGAAGCGGACGACGGTGCCGTCGCGGCGCTGGGTAGGGTACCTGGTTCGGACGACGACGGCGTGGCGGATGTCTCCGCGCTTGACCTTGGCGGCGGCAGAGATGCCTGCCATGCCGGAGGAGGAGGAACCGCGCTGTTCCTGGACGACAACGACAATGCGATCACCTGGTTTGGAGAAAGGTTGAGAGTGTTAGAACGAGGGGCACTCAAGGGCGAGTTATTCGAGAGATTAGCTGAGGCGAGGTAGATGTACCTATTCTGGCGTGTCGCTTCTGGCCGACAACGAGGGCGCATTCGACAAGGGCGGCGCCCGAGTTGTCGATGCAGTTGAGCATCGTCTGTGTTGGAGGCCGTGAGTGATTAGCATAGGCACCCGCTAGAGAGAAAACGGAGAGACAATGGACAATGGGGAGGGGAGAGCTGTGTATTGAAGCTGCATACCTTTAACTGAATCATCGTGACGGCGCCGCAGGGAAACTATGGCGAGCTCTCAATGTGCGTTTGGACGAGCTCAATCAGCGGCATTGAAGCCATCACCAGCCCACCTTGGGGTTCGAGTTGAGACTTTTCGATGTCACGTGCTTTGTTCCTGTTTAGCGCAAACCGCACACTTGAGCTAGCTTCTAGGCTTTTCCCAGCTGGCTAATCCCCGGCTGTCGCATCTCCCCAAAAATCCGAGACACTGGCTGAATCTGGGCCTTGGGTCTGCTCTCCGGTTTGTCTGGAAACGGAAATGGCAGAATCGGGAAAACTGGAGCCGTTGCAAGCACCGCCCATTTTTCTCCATCCGTCGCCCGGACAGCCAATTTGGCAGGGTTAGTTTTTTGCGCGCTGTCCCGGTTTATTCTGGGCGGTGGTTGTTGGCCTCTCATGTTGGAGTTGCTAGCACCTCTGCTTGGCTGCTGCTATGCAAGTTGTTTACCGGGACTGGGATTAGCGGGTGACTGGCCGTGAAGCTGCTTTCCTGCAATGCGCCCCTTTCGAGCTTCCTTCTCACTCTGCCGGCTCCCGCGTGTCATGAGACTTTTCTAAAGTACCTACACCAACAGCCTCGTTCCTCCTTCTCTTCCCTTCTTCCTCCTTCTTTGTCAGCTCAGCTCTTCTCTTCTCTTCTGTCGACAACTCGGACTGCGCACAGAGGCTGAATCTCCAGTCTGCTGCTTTCTCTCTCTCTCTCTCTTTCCCCCATTTTCTCTCTTGTCCCGCTGGCTATTCCTAATTTATACGCAAGATTCGTCAAGCTGGCCAGCAGCTGAAAGTAATGACGTCGGGGCGCTTCAGGTGACGGGGCTTCTTTCAGCGGCGCAACTCACTCTCCTGCGCCCACTGCTTCGATTCTGGTCGGCCGAGTGAAATCTACAGGCTCAGCTTGTGCGGTCTGTGAGATTTCCGAAGCGCTTCGCTGCGTTGTCGCCCTCCACGGCCAGCCGGCGCAGTGCGGACAGGGGTGGAAATTAGAGTTATGAGGGAATCTTGAGCTCTTCTCTATCCACTCCTTCAACATACGTCTTTTTGTCGCCAACAAACACCTGGCTTTTTCTCTCTTTCTTCTTAATTTCTTCTAGCTGTCGCCTGCCCTGCGGAGATTTCCGCTTGTGTATATACGTTATCCGATACATATTTATACCAACAAATAATCTCATTTTCGCACATGGCGCCATCCAAGGCTGCCGTGGCAACGGCCAAAAAGCACCGACTTACGCTCAACCAGCTGGCCGCTTACGACGACATTTTAACCGATGCGCTCGTTGACCACGTCAGTCTCATCCGCGACGATGTCGTTTATTGAAATCAGGAATAGTAGCTAATTGATTTTCGCAGGCCTTTTACTGGGCTACGGTTCCCAAGAACCGCTCGTCCTACCACCCGTCACGGGGGATCCGGGAGGAGGACATTGCCAAGATTATCCAGGAGGAAGTCATTGTCAAGCAGGACCTCGAAACGGCAGAGAAACGCCTATTGGCGTCGGATGGCCTAAAGAGATTTGTCAATGGCCTAAAGTCGGACAAGGAGAAGGCCGACTTCGTGCAGCATCTGCGACGATATCTTCGGATATACATGCTCGATTGCCCTTGGGAGGTCAGTACCACTAACCGATACACCATTGTCACCCATGAAGCGTGCGTCATCGCTAGGCGATACATTAAGCGCAACGAAACAATCAAGTACCTCTCCGGCATACAGATCAACATCACACCCGAGGAAGAGAAGGAGATCACTGTTCGAAAGAAGGATTTTAGCATTGTCGTCAGCTCTAGAAAGAAATGCACCAGCCTGTTCATGGGGCCCGCGCGGTTCGCCAACCATGATTGCCGCGCAAACGCCAAGCTCATGACCACAGGCCACTCTACAATCGAGATTGTGGCGTCCAGGCCCATTGAGGTCGGCGAAGAGATTACCGTTACCTACAGCGACTGCTACTTTGGAGAAAACAATTGCGAATGCCTATGTCGAACATGCGAACAGGAGTTGAGGAACGGATGGGCGCCTGAGGATGGGGCGGTGAATGTAAAAATCAGCGTGGAGGGGGATGAGCAGAAGGAAACCTATTCCCTGCGGAGGAGACGAAGAGACGATAGCATCGGCGGCTCTTCACGGACCTCTTCTGTGACTCCCGATATGCGCCCACGCATCTACAAGACGAAACCAAAGATGCAAAAACCAGGCACCCAAGAGGCATCGGCAATTCCCTCGCCTACCCCAGAAGCGACGCCGCGCGGTCGAAAACGCGCCATGGAAGCGATTGCGACTCCACCAATCACGCCAGCCAAGAAGCTTAAGCTCACGTCAGAATCCTCAGATGCGTCCTCGCGTCTGCTATCGATACCTAGCGCAGTCTCTAGCATTGCCGATTCGTCCAGCACTAGAAGCATAACGCCGAGCCAGACGTACGCCCCAGAGACGGACTCTACGTCTCCCGAAAAAGAGAGCCCTGAACCAGACACACAGACTTCCCAGACGTTCTCAGTACCATTCCTGGACGAAAACAACGAGAAGCTTGCTTATCAGGATGCAGTCAACACTACGGTGGAGCCTGTTTCTCCTCCTCATAGCATGGGTAGCCGTGCGTCACCAGATATGATCCAAGCGGAGGCCCCTGTTCGTGCGATTCCTAGACCGCCACAGCTGATGACCATGTCCATATCTTCCATTCTGAACGACCCCTCGCCCACTGACGATTCTATCGACATGTATTATCCTTTTATGATGAATATTGGGGCGACCAGGGGACCTGTGGTGGAGTCGAAATTCGAACTCATTTCTGAACCAGGTGACGTACAGACAGAAAAAGTACAGCCGGGAGAAATACAGACAAAAGAGAAACGGTCAAAAGAGCCAAAACCAGAAGAAGAAGAAGAACAATTAGAAGAAACACAGCCGGTCATTGAAGTCAAGACTACAGCTGAGATTCACGTGGAGACTAAGGTTGAAGCAGAAGTGAAAGCAGAAGCTGGGCCAACCATCGAGGTAGCAGCGGCTGGTAATAGCAAGCCAAAACGCGGCAAAAGCCAAAAGAGCATTCTCAAGCAATCAGCACCGCCTCCATCTCGAGTACGAACGCCAGGAGACTACGTCCTTACGCCGCTGCTCCTTTCAGAGCCTGACATGGCTTGGATTCAGTGCTCCAACTGCAGCGACTACTTTGTCCAGCAGAATGCCTACTTCACACGATCATCTTGTCCAAGATGCGAACGGCACTCGAAGATTTACGGCTATGCCTGGCCCAAAACAGACAAGACGGGGCCATCCGATAAAGAAGAGCGGATATTAGATCACAGGATGGTGCATCGCTTCCTCAACTCCAACGACGAACGGAGAGCCAGAGGCCGAAAGCTTTTGGGAGAGAGCAGAGATGGCACCGAAGAGCTAAGCGCTGAGAGAGGCAGGACCTCTCAGAGAGAATCTAATAGAGCGGGCGGCAGGAATCAAAAAGAGGACGGTTCAAGGATTCGGCGTAGTGGCCGAGCAAGGCGGATGAGCAGCAAGCTGGCTGAATGGTGATGTGTTATGTATGATTTGCAACGTATACCACGGGACGTGTTTTGGTCGTAATCTTTGTCTTTCTTGACCAGCGATGGAAAACCAGTCGCGCCTGTAAATAGGCAGGCAGGCGTCGGGGCCAAAATAAAATAGGTTTAGAGTTTTAAGTTATTACTGCCATTTATGCTGTGATTACCGTCTGCTAATTCTTTGTTTCACGATACTACGTAATGACTAAACCTTTTTTTTCACAACTCCCATCACCCAAGAGTTCGCTCACATGTTCGTATACTACTACCGCCATGGAATGTTATTTTCTTCACCAATATTCAAGCAAGGCAGATTCCAGCCTTGCTTGTGCTACAAAACAAGCACGAAATGCGGTGGCTGGATCTGAGACACAGTGCCGAGGTGTACAACCTAGCGAATGCCTGGGGACAGGACACGAGCAACAATACAGCGCTGAAACGTGGCTGGTGGCTGTGAAGCGCAAGAGTGGACAATAGGAGAGCGGGACAGAGCATCAATGATCATCGCCATCAGGTGGCCCTAGTGACAAAAGACCCCGAGCGTTGGGCGCAATAGCCAGTAGGAGGGCCGAAAAAGTGAGGCTCCATAGGTTAGCGATTCGATGTCATCGCCGTCTTGGTGGCGTTTGTGTCTGACTGGTCACCCGCACTCTTGATTTTCAGGGCCCTCCCTCCCTTTGACTTGTTTTTTTTTTCTAGCGTGGAGTTTCTTGATCTTACCTCGTAGGCCTAGATTTCCCTTCATTCGAGAAACTTTTGCTGACATAGTTAGGAGATTGGTTGATGTTGACTTTTTGCGTCTTTTGATCTTGTTTATTGGCCGGTAGATCCGAGATTTGGGGTTGTGGAGATTGCGGTAGGGGGTTGCGACGACGATGCAGCGATATCTTGTTGCTGCTGTTTGTAAGTCTTGTCTCTCGTGTTTTCCTTTATCCTGATTCCGGACTATGATGTTTGTTGGAAAGATTTTGCCAATTAGACTGACTGGATGAATTGCTTGAATGTTTTGCTATTGTTGCTGCTGAATTGGGAGGCGGATGGCTGATGGCTGATGTTTAGTCGCGCTTGGCGCTGTGGCGGCTCCGTCGTCTGAATCTCAGATTGTCTTCACAAAGAATCATTCTCATGATGATGGCATCTCGCGGAAATTTGCCAAGAATGGGCTTGTTTGGACAGAGGGCTCTGTGAGAATGAACCACATACAGGTTGTCGGGTCGCACAACAGCTACCATATTGAGGCCCCCAAGGCGGAGCGAGATCTTCAGTCTACTTTTGCATCGGGGGCGATAGACTTGCAGTATTCGCATTCTGCGCTGGATGTGCAGCTGGAGCACCTTCATGTGAGGAACCTGGAGTGAGTAGTCTTGAATGAAATCAATCCGTATCTCTTGAGGAGTGGTGGATTGCTAACGAGGCTGGGGGGTGGTTCTGCAGAATAGACTTGTTGGCGGATCCAGATGGCGGCATGTTTAGCCAGCCGCTGATTCGCAGGTTTGCCGGGTTAGGAGTCCCTAATGACCCGGCGCTCAAGCAGAAGGGCACAAAGGTGCTGCATATCCCAGACGTGGACTATCACACCAGTTGCTCTACGCTGGTTTCCTGTCTGCAGGTCATCAAGGGATGGATGGACGCACACCCAGATAGCGTGCCTTTGCCAATGATGATGGAGTTTAAGACGGCAGAGAAACTGGGGGAAAGACTAGGCGGCGCAAAAGTGGTACCTTGGAATGCTGAGCTGTTGGACAATGTCGACGAGGAGATTCGGTCAGTGTTTGAGGCGTCGCAGCTTCTCACCCCAGACGATATTCGCAGAGACGGCATGACGCTGGAGGAGTCGATCTTGAAGTACGGCTGGCCAGACTTGGAAAGTGCGAGAGGCAGGATCTTCTTTCTCATGGATAACGGACCGGTGCATGATGTGAGAGATGCGTATATCGAGGGAAGGCCGAATCTAGAGGGGAGAGTGCTGTTTACGAATAGTGCGCCTGGACAGGGAGACTGCGCGTTTCAAAAGGTAAAGTGGAGAAATTGATTTTGTTGTTGAGAGAAGCTATGCTTGACGCTGTTGAATGATTTTGAAAGACAAAACAACTAGTATTAACTTGTATAAAATAGCACAACGATCCATCAACCGATGCAAACGTCGAGTTCATCCAGGCTCAAGTCCGCGCAAACTACTGGGTGCGCACGCGCGCCGACGAGCCGCTCGACACGGTGCTCGCACACAACTGCTCGACTTCTCGACGAGACAAGGCGCTGCGGTCTGGGGCGCACATTGTGTCGACGGATTTCCCGGCGTTTGGGATGAGTGCGCGGTGGGGGTGCGATTATGCGGTGAGGCTGCCGGGCGGGAAGGGGGCGAGGTGTAATCCTGTGAGTTGGAGTTTGGGGGAGCAAGATGGGTGTGAGGGGAGGGAGCTGGAGCCGGAGGAGTATTATAGAGGATAAGTGGGATAGATGAAGAGTTTCGTGATGTTGGATGATGGCTTTGTGGAGTTGTGTCCTTAAGGGTGGGAGGATGAGGTTTCGATAAGAGAGTGTGGCTTAGTGGATGTCTTGGTAGAAAGAAAAACATGTAAGACTGCATAGAGTGGAATAGACATGATTTTGATATTTATTAGTTGTTTTGAATAAGAAAACGGAGTGTTGGTATTTACATGCGTTTATGGAGTCTATACATGGTTTACCCAATGCTCTATGCCTACACTGGCCCTATAATGAGCAGCCTTATTAGTGGCCACAGAAGAGGTAGTTACAGAGCATAAAACCTCGAAACAACAGCGAATTTATAATCGACCCGAGCATTAATTCATTACGAAGCAGTTTACCTCAATCGACGTTGGTTGAAGTTAGGGTAGGCTGTACGGAGTAAGCTGTAGTGAGAAAGAATTACAATACCCAAGTGGGTATATAAGGTAAAAGTGTGGCGGCATTTACAACAAATAAGCGTCATTGGTCTAGGGGTTAGGATTCAACTCTTCCATTCACAGGTCAAGTTGAGGCCCGGATTCGAGTTCCGGATGACGCATTGGTCCAGAAATGGATCGATTTGTTTTTTTTTATCTTTTTCTTTTGGTCTGCTTACTCTAACGCATATTGGTCATATTATTTATTCATTTCTTTTTTTTCTCTTTTTCAAAATAAAGTGGCCATCATTGTTCTGCCCAATTGCTCTACTTTACCCAATCGAATACGGATACGCAACATCTCTTATTGGGGAGAATTCGCATCTGTGACTCAATCCTGCTGCTTTAAATTTGCCGAGGCAGTGACTGTGCATCTTCGTTCGTAGGACTTTTGCATCGTGCTGCAAACTCAACGATTCAATCGCCAATTGTTGCTTGTCAGATCTGCCGAATCCCAACAGTTGACTGCCCTGCCATTGATCCCCGCAACCCGGCCGGAGACCGCTGTCGGAGCGCCGAATGGGAGCCCCGCGATCGCTAACACAATTGCCCACAGTGGAAGAAAACAAGACCGGTATTAATGAAGGGATGTAAACGGCAGATGTTACTTGCTACTTGCTATTAATTAATACATGACTCCAATTTTACAGAGAATTTTATTCATTTCTGAATCCATCTTCAAATCAATTTTAAACACCCTTTTCTTTTCGTATAAGTAAATTCACATTCACATTCACATTCACATTCACATTCACACTCACGCTCTCAACAATGGCCGAGACAGAAGAGGCGGCTCCCAAAATCCTCGTCGCTGCTGCAGAGGCTCGGCGCCTCGTCCAGGATATCCTCAAAGGCAACGGCGTCTCCCCCGAGAATGCGGCCACCGTAGCGCAATGCCTCGTGGCAGCTGATCTGCGCGGTGTCGATACTCACGGCATGAACCGCATCCCGTCGTACATGGAGCGCATCCGCCAGGGCGTCCTGGATGCCGGTGCACAGCCCGAGCTGAAGCAAGTAACGCCTGTTGTTGCACAAGTCGATGGGCGCAACGGCTTCGGCTTTGTCGCTGCGCACATGGGCATGGCGGCCGCAATCGAGTCGGCAAAAGTCTACGGCATTGGGCTGGCCAGCGTGAAGCACTCGAACCACTTTGGCATGAGCGCGTGGGTCGTGCAGCAGGCGCTGGACGCGGACATGATGAGCCTCGTCTTTACAAACTCGAGCCCCGCGCTGCCGGCGTGGGGTGGCAGGGAGAAGCTCATGGGCGTGTCGCCGATTGCGTGCGGCGCGCCGGGCCAGGGCGACATGGAGAGCTTCATCCTGGACATGGCGCCGTCGGTGGCGGCGCGCGGCAAGATTTACAAGGCGAAGCGCAGGGGCGAGAAGATCCCGCTGGACTGGGCGCTGGACGCGGAGGGCCGGCCGACGGACGATGCTGAGGCGGCGCTGGGCGGCGTGATGCTGCCCATGGGCGGGCCCAAGGGGTCGGCGCTGGCCATCATGATGGATGTCTTCTCGGGGGTGCTCTCTGGGTCTGCGTTTGCAGGGCATGTGACGAACCCCTACGATCCGTCCAGGCCGGCCGACGTGGGCCATTTCCTGGTGGCTATCAAGCCCGACTTGTTCATGGACCTGGCTGAGTTCCGGGAGCGCATGCAGTATCTGTATCAGCGGGTGGTTGGGTCGCAGAAGGCGGCCGGCGTGGAGAGGATCTATTTCCCGGGCGAGATTGAGCAGTTGACGCAGAGGGAGAGGGAGAAGACGGGGATTCCGCTGGTCAAGGCTGAGATTGATGCGTTGAATGAGGAGGCGAGGAGGGTTGGGGTTGCTGGCTTGGCTGTGGATGCATGATGGATGACTTTTGATATTGATTGACTGTAGACGAGATGATCTTTGACGCTTCATGTAGGTATGCAGTGCATGTTGATATGCATGTAAGACCCTGCTACGAATAGGTAATTTATGGATTCCTATGTCTGGGCGTTCCAAGCTGCTAGCTGATTTGTGTTCCCCGCACTCAGCTCTGATTCAGCCGTGGGGATGTCTCACGACATTCATGGCCTGTATATCGAAAGCTGCATGTATGCTGTCTGTCCTTCAGCATCTGTAAGAAAAGACGGCTGGCGTGTGGTCTCCATCCGCTTTCGCAGCACTATCTGTGTGCCGAATACAATGTGTAAGCGCTATTTGGAGCATTACAACATAAAAGGCCTATCTATCAAGCTCCCCTAGCTCCCACGCTCGCCCACCCTTATCAGCTATCAATGGGCGGGGCGCAAGCTTCTAATTCGTTGCTGGTCTAGGAGATTAAGCTTTGGTGTTGCTACGCTGATATCTATATCACCTGTGATGAAAAAACGCTGTGACGCTCTCTGCAAGCATTTGCGGTTATTTAATAACCCTAAGATGGAGAAAGAGAGGGGCTGTACTGTATGCAAGGGATGAAGCAGCTGAACGGCACGAATACATGTCTGATTCTGTTCGCATGGCCATTGCTGTTCCAGAGATAGGGTCGTCGTCACAGCCAGTTATACTCTCTTTGCTACAATTCTGAGTCTTGACATCACCATCGCCATCATGCCTCTTCATCACTTCCCCTCTATCAAACTCCCCCCGAAGCCGAAATTTCTTCATTCGATCCCCTCCAACAGCATCCGAATCATCGCCATCCTCATCGTAGTGAACGTCTTGGTCTGGACCGCCGTCGCCATCGTCCTGCGCTTCCACACTGCACTCATCTCTCCTGCTGCGCTCTCATACGCTTTGGGCCTTCGCCATGCCCTCGACGCAGATCACATCTCTGCCATTGACCTCATGACGAGGCGGCTTATAGCGTCGGGACAGCGGCCTGCCACTGTAGGAACGTTTTTCTCGCTCGGACATAGCACCATTGTCATCATTACGTGCATTGTCGTGGCGGCGACGAGTGGCGCTTTGAGGAAGCGCTTTGATGGCTTCCAGAGGGTAGGAAACATTATTGGGACGAGCGTCAGTGCGGCCGTATTGATCATTTTGTGTTTGGGGAACGGATGGGTGCTTTATAAGCTCGTGAAAAGATTGAAAGAGGTTCTTGCAGAGCGACGGCGCATCGTGAGGGAAGGCGATGGAGATAGTCTGAGCGATGAGGACGGCGATGCTACGGCAATGCAGACCAACGACCAGTTCCACCTTGAAGGCGGTGGATTTCTCATAAGGTCGCTGAAATTCCTTTTCAAGACGATTGACCGGCCGTGGAAAATGTATCCTCTTGGAGTTGTATTTGGCCTTGGCTTTGATACGAGCTCTGAGATTGCCGTTTTGGGTATTGCGAGTATACAAGCTGTACAGGGGACGAGCATCTGGCTGATTCTCATCTTTCCGATTCTATTTACTTGTAAGTCTTTTTGTTCTTACTCTCTAATCCTTTTAGTATTGTCGAAAATGGCAACAACTCACACCTTCTTTCGCAGCCGGCATGTGCCTTGTGGATAGCACCGATGGCGCTCTGATGATGGCGCTATATACGTCCAAGGCCTTTTCACGAGACACAGTCGCAATTCTCTACTACTCCATCGTCCTCACGGGCATCACCGTTGTGGTCGCTGCTTTTATCGGCATCATCCAAGTTTTGTCGCTGGCGCAGAATGTGGCCAATCCAAGCGGCAAGTTTTGGGACGGCGTTTCAGCCATTGGAGACCATTTCGATATCATTGGCGGGAGCATCTGTGGTCTCTTTGTTATTGTTGGCATTGGGTCTGTCCTGTTCTATGGGCCGTGGAGGAGACGCATGGAAAGAAGGGCTCAGGCGGCGCTGGTTGTTGAGGCGAGTGACGATGTGGAAGCTGAAGGGGGGATGTCATCATCAAGGGCTTTGGCGGAGGAGCCTCCTAATCCGAAGGGAGCGAGCATACGGGTAACAGTTGCAAGTGGCAGCGAATAAATATGAGAATGTAGTTGGAATGTGAGAGGCATGAGCCATTTGTTGATTGGTGCTGCTAAGCTATGATGTACGTGACTTATACGGAGTGCATGAGGGTATGGTTGCATTGCAGGTTCGCATTTCTAGGCTTTATAGAACGCATTGGGACGTAATGCGCGTCTCTACGGCCATGGAGTCCTTTTTTAAAATAAGGCGTGATAGTGTTTAGGGCCATGGCATTCGGATGCATGTAGAAATCTTATTTGCATGTAGATATTGCATCTTTACGGTCTCACTACTCATCCATCATGACTATCAAGTGAGTGCTGATATCAATTGACCTCTACGTGCATGCAGTCGATGGCAAATACCATTGACCTTGGCAATTGGCTGTCGCAGATAATACCGCAGACAATACCGTAGACAATACCGCAGACAATACCGCAGACAATACCGTAGACAATACCGCAGACAATACCGCAGACAATACCGTAGACAATAGACCATGCCTCAACTCGTCCCGAGGCAAAAGCTCAGCGCCGTAGCAGAGATTCCGGAAGCGCATGGCACCTTCCTGCCGGGAACCCGCGCCCAGCACGGCTGCCTGTCCAAGGTCCACCGCCCAAACTTAGTCATAATTCTGCCTGCCTGCAACTTCATGTGCTTTTTCGCGCTTTTGCCTCTAATTCGAGCAATTCAGCCTCATTTCCGGCTCTCAGTCCTACATAGTCATCCGCCGTCTGCTGAGCGGAGACCTGGCTGCCTGCGACCTGCTAACTGGATACGACGCCCGAGACGAGGCTGCTGCCCGTGTGACTGTGACTGTTCCCTTCAGCTCGCGACATTAGACGCCCGCTTCAGCCCAACAGCTGCAGCAATACGACGTCCACGTGCCCTTGGCGACTGCGCACTGTCTCTTCGGCACTGGATGGTGGGGAATGGGGCCGTGGCGTCTGTCAGTGTCTTCTGGACGTTCCCCAGAGGTTGAAGCGACGCTCCTCATCTCTCCACGGCCTCTGGGTTGCCATCCGATGGTGGGGTACCGTCTACATGGCGGTTACCTCGAGCTGTTGAGCCTCTGACGAATGGTTGCGCCGCTCAATATTCGGTGTTGCCGCCATTGGCGATTTCCAATCTCCCTTCCAGAGCGTCCTAGGCGATGCCATCAGTCCCTTAGCGGTTCAACCAGTGGCGTTTCAGTGTGGTGAAATGGCTTTCCACCGCTCCTTTATCGGGCATCCTGTCCTGTGAATCACTTGCCCAAGTCGGAATTCGGGTATCAAAGCGGCATGAATTAAGCGCCATGCTTTGGCGCAGACGCACCGCCTTCCGGTCCGGGATTCGGTGTCGACGATTGCTGATTGTGAAGGTGACGATCGCTCTGCACATGGAAAAAGTCTTTGCTGGCGTCCTCCGATTTGATTTGAGCACACGACTGCGTCGGCATGATTAGGGGACAGGCGTCGGAACAGGAAGGGATCAGAGGACCCTTTGATGCTCGAATTGCTCAATGCCAATCCCGTGCCCAGCGTGATTTTCATACTGTCTAAGCGACATGTTTAGTCCTCACCGGCGTCGGAAGGGTGGCAATATTGGTCTCATTGCGAGCTTCGGTTACCACTAAGCGTGCGCGCTGCCTGCTGCGTTATCCCATGTCTCTCCAATCTCAGCCCTTATATGCAAGGAGCCAGACGCACTTATGCACCTTGTTGGCCGGGCGTTTGGTGGTCAGCAGCAGATGCGATAGGGAGAGGGAGAGGCCAATGATTTCCTCTTCATCATCGTGCTTTTGACAGCACAGCGCGCTGCTGCCATGAGATTCGCTACTTGATGCAGGCTGATTCAACTACAGGCCAAATGAGGGTGCTGGGAGTATGAGTAACATAGACGGGGCCGTGTTGGCCGTAATGGTGGTGTTTGGACCCTGAAAAAAAATCCCTTAAGCCACTGATCCGTCCCATCCCGCTAAGACACTTGGCGGGCTGTGGGACTTTGCGGCGGTCAGGGGCATTGGGACCCCAGAATTCAACACGATTCGTGTGGAGAACGATTTGTTAGTGGAAGACGCTTCGAGTGAAGTTGCCATTCTTGCTCATCAGACTGTGTATTTATCAGCCAGAAAGAGGCTCTATATTCAGGCAGAAAGACGTGATTACATACAGTACACGCCACTGGCCGGACGAAACACAGTATCGTACTGTTTCGGCCAGAACACTCTTTCATTTTCTCACCATCATCAAAGCAGTGCAACTCCGGAAGGATTCGGGCAGACTAATCAAAGCCCAAAAAAAGACACAATAGTGTAACAAAGGGTTCGTTTGGAAAAATCCTTTGATGATATGCCCTTCTGCCCAGGAGCCTTCAGCCTGAGCCGATAGCGAGCAATCCGCCGAGAGACTTCGAGCCCACGGTAGATGGTTTCACCCATATCACGCTCTAGCGGGCTTCTTCGTTGGTTATTCGGAGTTCTCCATACAGTATCCAACACGGCAACTCCCAGTAGCGCACCCCACTAGTACAGATCTCTAATAATCCGTGGCTGCAAAGAGCTGGGTCTAAGCATGGGTTGTTAGAGGCCTCTCTAATCAAGGGTCCTAGTCGGTGAGTCGCAAAGCCACGCCAGTGCGCCTCGTCCGAAAGTTAAGTTACTGTACGGAGAAGAGGGAAAAAAGTTTAACGTGGTGTATAGATAGTAGAGGCTGAATCAGTATTTATTCATCTGGCCCCCCCGATTACGGGCCTTTGCTTGTTATTTGGTCCCCCATCCCTTCTTTTCCATATCGTTGCGTGTGTCGTCTTTCCTTTGACAGTTGATCTGTCTTTCTTTAGAACACATCACTTGCAATTTGATTCTTAGCGATAGAGTATAAACCATTCGGTCCTTTCAAGATGCACGGCTACAGTTCCTCTGAGGAGTCGGACGACCCTCGCCGCCCGCGCTCACAGCCTTCCTCTTCAGGTAACAACCAAGACAATAAGAAGAAGAGAAAGAAGAGATTGCCTCCCCAGCAATCCATCAACAAGATCTGGAAGAAGTTTTCCAACCGCAAGTTCTACACGGCGCTCTCAGTCCTTCCATTCGATCCTGTCGCTCCTCGATCGGGATTAGACCGGCCCAATGAGCTTCTCTCCGAAGGATATGAGCGCGCGGCTGAAGAGTGCCGGCGCAAAGTTGAGAAGATTGTCAAGGAGTGTAAGCGGGTTAATATGAGATATCGTGACCCAGGCTGGGATTTGGTAAGTGACTTCAGGCGATAACGCACTATTGGTTCCTGTTTCTTTGTTATACGTGGCTAACCGGTTTTTAACCAGGACTGGGATTTGAGATACGAAAAGGGCAACACCCTCAACTACATCGGCAGCGACAAATTTGAGATCAACAGAACGACTTTGCTGGGCTCCAAAGCTGTCGTCCCCAAGGCTGTCAAGAGAGTACATGAGATTTTTGAGAAGCCCACGTTTATGAAAGATGTCAGCGGAAGCGATGTCAAGCAGGGAGGCCTTGGAGATTGCTGGCTCATGTCCAGCTTCACTGCATTGGCAAGCGCTGAGAACGGTGTTCCCCGATGCTGTGTGGCATACGATACAAGTAAGCCAACCCGTTTTGATTGATATGCAGGCAATTAATGACAATGCTAACATTTGGCAGAAATCGGCATCTACGGATTTCTCTTCTACCGGGATGGAGAATGGGTCTACTCGATCGTCGACGACAAGTTGTATCTCAAGTCTCCTGGTTGGGACTCGCCCAGCATGCAACGTGACCTTCTCCAGCAGATTGACCGGAACGAAGAAACCGAAACAACTTATAGAAAGACATACCAGACGGGCTCAAAGGCCCTGTTCTTTGCTCAGTGCAAGGACCAAAATGAAACATGGGTGCCACTCCTCGAGAAGGCTTACGCAAAAGCCCATGGTGATTATGCTTCGCTTGCTGGTGGCTGGATCGGAGAAGGTCTAGAAGATCTCTCTGGTGGAGTTACCACTGAGCTGCTCTCCTCCGACATCTTGGATCTTGACGCCTTTTGGGATAACGAGCTGTCCAAAGTCAACAAAGAGTTCATGTTTGGCTGCTCCGCCGGCATCCTGGATTATGGCTATGGCAATCGCGATGGCATCAGCGAGGCCCACGCCTATGTTGTCACCGATGCTCGCACCCTCAAGTCAGGCCAGCGACTGGTCAAGCTCCGCAACCCCTGGGGCGAAATTCGCAAGGGCCTCTGGGAGGGAGCGTGGAGCGACGGTTCCAAGGAATGGACTGCTGAAGTCCAAGAGGAGCTGGGGCACAAATTCGGCAGCGATTCTGTCTTTTGGATTACATTTGAGGACCTGGTCCGCAAGTATACCCATTTTGACCGGACTCGTCTGTTCAGAGACGACGACTGGCGCTGCTGCCAGCGATGGATCGGAGTCGACGTCCCGTGGAAGGCCGAATATCACGAAAAGTTCCGCATCAAGCTGACCAAGGATTCTCCGCTTATTCTTGTCCTGTCGCAGTTGGATGGGCGATACTTCAAGGGTCTCCAGGGACAATACAGCTTCCGCCTCCACTTCCGCCTTCATCACGAAGATCGACCTGACGCAGAAGATTATATCGTGCGATCTCATGGAAACTACTTCATGAAGCGATCAGTGTCTGTCGAGCTTCCTGATCTTCCTTCTGGAAATTATACGGTGTACCTCAAGGTCACTGGCCAGCGTAACCAGGAACTGCCGTCTGTTGAAGAGGTTGTCAAGAGAGAAAGCGAAAAGCGAATTGAAAACGAAAAGCTTGTGCAAGTGGGTTATGCTTATGACTTGGCGCATAGCAAGGCCTGGGAGCACATGGAAAAGGTTTCCAAGATTCGCAAGCAGAGAGACCAGGAGAAGGCCACTTCGCATCGTCAACAGGAACGACGACGGCAGTGGGAGAGGCGTCACATCAGCCGCGAGGTGACCAAGAAGCAGAAGAAGAAGAACAGCGAGAAGAAGGAGCGGAAGAAGGAGCTCAGGAAAAAGGCCATTGAGGCATCCATCCAGGAGGAGAGCAAAGAGAAGTCTGAGAATGTCTCGGGTATCTCGACACCTCTTGACGGAGACATGGTGACCATCGACGTCAGCAAGCTGGCACTCAACGACGACTTGGACTCCAACTCCAGCGGCTCGCCCACTGATACTCCAAAGTCAGAGCAAGCCAGCATCTTCCCTTCAGACGAGAAGAAGGAGGATGTGCCACCGGTTAGCGGAGCTCCCCCTACTGCTGCTGATACCGCAGCAGACGAGCCCAAGCCTGCTGCGGACGCAGAGAAGAAGACTGATCCTCCCGCGGTTGTCGAGGAGTCTGACGGCGACTCATCTGATTCTCCGATCGAGGACTGGGAGGAGCTGTATAGCGACGACGATTACACACGCAGACCTCGCCAGTTCCCGTATCCCGCTCCTCCTCTTCGGGATGACTACGACACCGAGGAAGAGAAGATGCCAACGCCATGGAATGCCGTATGCATCGTGGGCATCCGCGTCTATTCCAAGGACGAAGAGCTGGAGCTCTTGACCGTCATGGAAGGCGGATCGCTCGATGGCATGGGCGAGAAGGGCCAGGCAGATCTCGACAATGCTCAAGACAATGCTGGTGGCGTGCGCCTTGGTGAAGAGAACGCAGCGGGCGAAGTTGGCCTTTCTTTGGAGTGATTTATTGACGATGTACAGTTTAGAGAGCGATGATTGTTATGTTTTGAGCATGGATAGAATTATGCCCGCGATGATTTGGTTAGAACTAAGACTTGTAGAGAGTAGACTTTTGCGGACGATTTGATGCTATAGAACGCTTCAATCTTTTTTAATTATTTGAGAAACATGGCTGTGGAGTTGGTACACCACTCAATCTGATTAATATACTACTCAATCTTATTATGATGCTACTACTTAATTTGATTCGATGCATCGCTTTCCTGGAATTAAAGTGCTTAGTATTGGGTGATGACTTGCAGTAAGCGATATATTGATTGGCCATGGTAATTACCATTGTAAGAGTTTTTCTAAATCCATGGGAGACTCTTGTGGCTAGAGTATGATGTATGTAGTACTAAGAGACTAATTTTGAATATAGTTTGGAAAGGATACATGTAGACGTTGGCGTTGAAGTTTATAAGATTGCATTCCTTTTATATTGGGGCAGCGAATGAGTGCTAAGGCAGCTTGAGCGCTAAAACCTCTGCTGCTGCTGGGGCCGTAGTACCTACAGTTAGCGCCTCTGGAGCATCTGTCAGGGGGCTTGGATGTACCAAAACCGGGCCCAGGCTGCTGCTTACAGCGCGTCCGCCTACTACTAGGAGTAGGTAGTAGTATCCAGTACCTGCTCCATCCCGCTGTAGGGAGAACGCCTAAACCCTCAAGGTTCAGCATTACAGGTAGAATGCACTTGCTATGCATGTATGACGCCAGCCGGCTTATCAGGGCGCACCTTATCGGCTACCTGCACCAGGCGAAGCTGCGGGAGAGCCTCGCTCGTTTCGTCTCGACACTCTGTCGACGCTGCGATTCATCCCTTCCGGCTCACCATGTAGCCCGGGCCTGTTCTCACTGACAGTCAAGCCCGATTCTGTGATACTCGAGACAGCAACACCAGAGCTCGACCTCGCGCGTGCAGCAGCAGCAGCAGCCATCTCAACATGGCGTCGCCCGCAGCGTCCACTCGCCGCAGCCCCGACTCGTCGTCGGCCGGGTCGCTGAGGCCGTCAAAGTCAAACGACCGCCTGGCCATCTCCGTCGACACGCTCGTGAACCATCTGCTGGTGTCGAAGCGGTCGCTGTCGTCGATGACGCTCGTGCTGCGGGCCGATGAGATCGTCAGGGCCGCGCGCCAGTCCCACGAGGACACGGTCATGCTCGCCGCCCAGACGGGCTTTCTGCGCAACGCCATTGCCGACCAGGTCGTGATTCTGGGGCGCGTTGGCAAGAGCCTGCAGGCAACGTGCGAATGGGGCAAGAAGGATTTTGTGCAGCTGGTGAAGCGGATGGACCAGGTGGACGGCGAGTTGGAGGGCACAATGAACATGCTGAGGACAACGGCAGTCGGCACGGCGCTGCGGCCCAAGAGCGAGGCGAGGAAGAGCTTGCTGGACTTTGTGGACGAGGGCAGCGTGCACGGCATGAGAGACGCGATGAAGCAGTGCATAAAGGAGCTGCAGGCAAGTCCTCCTTTGTCCCTGAATGCTCTCCGTGTTAGCTGGACTAACGGCCAGTTTGTGGCGCTATAGGGGATCCAGCTCTCGTTCGACGGCGATCTGCTCCGACTCGAAACCGATATTCGAAATATTAAGAAGATAATCGACAATGCGCCTACGCCCGCTCCGCAAGAAACAATAACGAAGCTGCTGGTGGAGATATTCGAGCATTCGGCAACCATGGCCGAGTGCCTGGCCTCGTTGACGCAGCATTTCGACATGTGTGTCACGGCGATCCGAACCACTGAGGGGGCGGCGGCCTTGGCCCGCAGGAAGGCTGCCGAGGTCACCCAGTCTCAGGGGGGCGAAAGCGTGTCAATATCGGGCGTCATTGCCGAGCAGGAATCCAACAGATCCGACCTGGAGCCACAGACCGCGGAAGATCGAGCAGAAATGCTAAGGGTGGTCATCCAGGATGCGCGGCTGGTGGATGGTGTTGTGCAGGATATCCAAGATCATCTCGCCCAGGTCGAGGGGAAAAACGCCGCTCTGGGAGATCAAACCGACCTGACGAGAAAAGCGCACCTGGGCATGCTCGATGCATATGCTACACTGGGAGAAATCGGGGATCGCCTGGCCGACTATCTGGCTGCCGAAGAGGATTTCAAGACTCGATGGGAGATGGAGAAGGAGGTGGTCTTTACAAAACTCGAGGAGATGAAGCAGATGAGAGAGTTTTACGAAGGATATGCCAGCGCTTACCACGGGCTGCTTATAGAAGTTGCTCGTCGCCGAACCGTAGAGGACAAGGTTCAGGCCATCTTGCGCAAGGCTCAAGAGAGCGTTGACAAGATGCTGGAGACGGACCGTGCAGAACGAGAGACGTTTCGACAAGAGGTTGGAGAATTTCTACCTACAGATTTATGGGCCGACATGCAAGGCCCAGCAAAGAGATGGAAGATTGTTGAGGTTGGCGACAATGGACAAGAAGCCGCAGAGGGATTTGCGGATGCAAATCTGAGCGGCAACTAAACAAGAATGAAACTAAACAAGAATGAATGGCTATCGAAGCGACAGGACATGCCTGTTTAACATATAACAAAAGGGAAGAATACCCCTGGTTGATTTGAGCTACAATTCTTTGGGTAATACAGATTTGTTTTTGATATTGGCTGTGAGTTTGCAATTTCGGAAATAATGGTATTAGTGTTTTGGGTATTGGATTTATGGGAATACTGGGAATACTGGGAATACTGGGAATATCAGGGTTCATGTGTATAATTTGAAGACTAAATAGTCCTATTCACTCTGTTCACTTTGTTCACTTTGTATTTGTTTAATTGTTTATTGCTAAAACATACACTCTTGTCCACGTTATCGCACTATAAAGCTTTTACTCGTCCATCTTGATAGAATCAATATCTGGAATATCCGTATGCGACTCTTTTGCTGTCTGCTGTATAACCTTGAGTATGGCGTCAGATCGCGGCGTGATATTCACCTTGAATGGCTTTGGCTTCCTAGTCAACTGCTCTGTAGATGGCAAATGATGCATCAGCAAATAAAATACGTCATATGCAAAGCACTGTAGTCGCGACTTACCTTCCGTATCAGCCATATCTAACGGAGGCGCTCCAGGTTTGGGCATAGTATCAAACGCCCATAGAAAGCGAGAGATTTGAATAAAGAGCGAGTTTTCAGCGACTTGTATGCCTTTTTACAAAGATTAACTGGACAGTATAAAAGAGAGCAAAGGTGTTGGGAAAAGTGGCATACCTGGGCACATGCGGCGGCCAAAGCCATAGTTGACGTGGTCACGCTTGCGAAAATCGTTCTGTCGAGCACTTAAATGGGCCTCCAAGTCATCGCCAAGGAAGCGTTCCGGTTGGAAGGCTTTGGCATCATCATAGCGTGTGCGATCCCGGGTGAGGTTATCCGCGCAGGGCAGTAGCAGGGTGTCTTTAGGTATGGTGTATCCCTGGTATACAAACTCATCGGTAGAAAGGTGTGGAAATGAGAATGTCAGAATGGGACTGTATCTGTGGAGTTCTTTGATGAGAGCCCTGGTGTAGGGAAGGTTTGGTTGGTCTTCCCATGTTGGTAGACGAGAAGGTCCAACAACGCGGTCGAGTTCTATATGGAATTGTTAGTGCTTGACAATATATCTTGTGGTGAAAGGCGTGTTTTTATATGTACCTTGTTGAGCTTTCTGCTGAGTCTCTGGATTCATGGCCATGATCTTGATGAAGGACTGCATCATGGATGCGGTTGATTCGCTCCCAGCAACGATTATCGCAGTCAAAATGCCCAGCAACAGATCGTCATCGAATCCCTCTTGCTTTTGGTGTGCTATGGCATTCACTCCAAAGCACACGGGCTCTATTCCAGCCTCAATTTGCTTTCTCAATAAATTAAGAAAGGCCATGTGAACCGCACAGTCACGCGCATGAAGAGAGTCTGCGCGTTTGACCCAAGGCTGGAAACGCAATGGCAGCTTCTCGAGGAACGGCAGCCAGTCAATGATGAGGCGGCCAGGTTGGACGTCTAAAACACGGTTAATATTTAGGTCATCTCTTGGTCAGACATTATGCGTACTGCGCAGAATTTCGGTCCAAACATCCTGTAGCTCGACCATGATGGGATGAGTCAGGCGGCTGACTCTGGCTCCATATACGGCGCTGAAGATGACACTCGTCGAAAACCGGCTTGTGTGAGACTCGTAGTCGTCTGGGGTTTCGCAAAATGCAGCTAATGAGATTATACTCTCGTAATTTTGGTACTTTCTGACCTGTAGTGACTGTTTGACACCCAGAATGTCAGTATAAATTCGTCGAAAGAAGCGCATTTCTTCGCCGGCCGGCGAGAATGGCAGGATCTTTGGCCAAACGTGTTCCGTGAAAATGTTCTTTCTCGGTCTGCTGGCGGTTAAAGCCCCTCGCTATTTATTTAAGTATTAGAAGAGCATTTCTTTGGAGAGAGATTATAGTAATATGAGATAAATCTCATTTGTATGCTGCTGACCTTGCTTAGTAGCTCGTGAGCATCTTCCAAGCTGTGTATCATCAAAATTGGCTTCGAGCCCATCCACATCATGCAAGTACCTCCAAATCTTTTTGCCATCAAGGGAACCTCTACTGGCAAGTTTTTTAGCATCTTGGAAAAATAAATGATATTTCCCAAGAGCGGCAATGGTTTGGGTCCAGGAGCATATTTAACAGACTGGGTGGGAAGGTAGCGTACCAAAGCAGTCAACAAGCAGAGCACAACTCCTAGGAGAGTGGCTTGCTCATAGGTTGCTCCATGAGATTGGAAATTTGTAAGAAGCATGATGAAGGGGAAAGGATTCCAGACTAGGTTTGGATGGAGTGATGAGTATCAAGTTTATGGTCTTTTTTCAAAGTTATCTACTACTGGATATGTCGTCCAATATATAGTGATGCCACCGTGAAATATATTCTAGCTACCTAACTCAGTCTGACATAGCACTGACGTCAAACAATGCGAATGGAGGGTGGTATCATTGAAATATTGACTGCGGAGAGCTGCTACCCTCGTGACGTGGGTTAACGCGACATGGTGTTCTTTGGGGGCTAACAACGTGGCGGGGCATTCAAAAAGCGTATCTTGACGGCGTATCGTGATGGCGTATTCTAACAGCGTATTTTGATATATGAACCCGTGTGATGAATTATTATTTTGGTCCCATGTTGTTTATAGAGCATGATTCATATTCTTCCATCTGCCTTTGGGAAGATATAGCTCTCTCTCTCTCTCCTCTCTCTCTCTCTTTCTCTCTCTCTCTCTCTCTCTCTCTCTCCCTCTCTCCCCCTCTCTCCCCCTCTCTCAAACCCCAAGATTGTAAAATAGTTCACAAGCCTATAGATGGCCGGGGGTACAGAGAGATCGCAATGTCCAGATTTGCTCAGGACTCGGCTTCTTAGCTCTCCCGGTCTTAGCCAGATCCCTGGTTATGTCTTTCCCATAGAGTGCTTCTCATTCGTCCTTCGAATATTGTATCTTATAGTACTCCAATATTAAAGTAGTATAGATGGCTAGACTCTATTTACGATACCGTCAAATGCAACGTCGGCAAACTATATTAGATGCCGAAGCATAGTAACCAACCGGATTTCCCGCCTTGGGCAGATGGATAGCCTCGCCAAGCTATAATATGTCATCACCGAAAGGAATCAACCAAAAGTATTATATTGCACTCATATTTATTGGTTCCCACCGTGATATGCAAGGTTTTTGATTTGGTGGCGTTGTATAGTGAGTGTGATCAAGTAACATGGGTGTCGCCTAGAAGATGGTGCTGCGGCAAACTTAGGCGAAGCCAGACTACCATAGAATTTTGTATGCCTTGCTGCGCTTGCTCTATCATTTAATCGAATAGAGGCCAGATAAGAGGTAGACTGACTCGTTTCGGCGATTCAACGAGCAAGCTGATGTAAGGAATTTTGAAGAAAAGGAGTCGTTTATTCGATTGGTGATCCTTTGTATGGCTATCAATAGTTGAGAGGTTTTAGTCTAAATAGTCAGAGCTGAGCCCAAGGCTACTTCAGATAGCGCGTGGAAGAGGCGCATGCGCAGCTTAGAATAAAGACTTCATAATGACATAAGAAACACCGCTATTAGCTTCATGGGTAAAGAGATGCAAAGTTTTAGGTATATAAGGTGCCAAGCATACGAAATCAATGTGGGATATGGGCTAAATCAGCAAAAGGAGACAGTCCACTCAGCAGCAAGCGTTCACACTAGAAGCCATTATTGGCGAGGGGAAGCATGAACACACCTTCAACACGGAGTAGTATTTAATATACGTAAAGTTACAGTTGCAAATACAAGGCTTTCCTAAAAGGTGCTTCACTACCACCCAAAACCGGAGAGATTATATCCGACTTGCATGCACTATGATGCCCGCCAGCAAATGAACAGGGAGCTGTGGCATTCAGCTTTACCCATGGCTGATAATACCTACTAAGTAAATAGGAGAGTAGCAGGAATTTACCGGTATGATCCTAAAGTGTCGGTGAGCTAGACACGAAATCGGAACTCTTACGCGGCGGGTAAGCTTCTTGTTCACCCATGAGCTGGGATGAGGGGCCATGTAAGATTAATGCCATTGGCTGTTCTACTATTTATTCCAGAATGCAGTCCGTCGCCTTTTTCACAGATCGTGATATGCTCTAGCCCCTGTCTATTGGCTAGTTCGGAATAGTCTTCTCCTATATCTACTGGGTAGTACCATATTCCCTCGAAACATTGGATTGTGGATTCTGATGAAGATCCCTCCACTATTGACTACAATCAGTAAAAAGACTACCAAGGATAGTTCGCCAATTTTATAAAGAAAGACCCACAGTACAATTTTTCGAGGCAATGCGGCGCTTGTATGAAGCACAGCGCGAGATTTATATAAATTTATATTCTGACATATGAATCTTTCTTTTTCATAGTTTCATTATGAAACCACAGCATCTCATGACACTACAACGATGAAATTGCTGCAGATAAAGCCAAAGAGAACAAACATATGATTCCGTAGCTATAAGGAGCAGAGGATGAGAAAATAGCAGGGTCCATGTTGAACTACCTTTTGTGATGATGAATAAGTACAAATGAGAAGATAGCATTAATTTTATAACATTGTTTTTTGTTGCTTTAAAACTTGCCAGTGTTGAATTTCGCATATTGCAAAATCAGAGAATTGCGAGGACGTCTACACTATTAGCAAAAAGAGAGAAGAAGAAAAAAAGGGTCCAGTAGAAAAGAAATAGAAAGAAAGAAAACTATATATCATGTAAACCAAATTTCTATGGGGTATCCTCGTCGCGCCTTAAGTCAACCTTTGGTGTCCCTGCCATGCCTTTCACAACCAAAACCCGCGAAATGCCAATCTTGTGAATGAACCGCTGACGCCGCCGCTATCCCCCCATCGCACTAATTTTTTTTGTCCCTAATTATCAATATGTTTATTTCTTGTGGCAAAGCTATTCATTAGATCGTGTCGATGAAGTAGCCCTGCTCTTGCCTGTCTCCAGAAGAATCTTGGCCTCCTCCAAGGCCTCCCTCCGAGCAAACTCATCTAAGAATTTGTGAATTGTCTCGAGGGGCAGGTCAGCAATTGAATCTTTCAGATACTGCAAGAATTAATAGTTAGCTTTGGGGCATTTCGGAAAAGGCATCAGGTTTGAAAGACATACTTCTGGGTACACATCAGACTCCTCATGTCTGAACTCTTCCATCATTCGAATTAAGCGAAGGATCTGCTTCCACGGAACGATGGTATCGCCGATGAGAAAGCAGGGAAAGCGGGCCAGCGAAAGCTCTTCCAGAATCCAGCGACGCTGGAAGTACTGGCGACCCAGGAAGTCGAGGTAGCCCTGCCAGTATGGCATATCACACGGGGCCACACCAGGAATGCTGGGCAGCCAGATGTGCAGGATATTCTTGGCCCAACGATGTTCCGGTGCATAGTCTTCTGGATGTTCCTCACGGTCACCTGGATCTCCAAACCGAGCAGGCATCTTGTCCTCGATCTCAGCAAACACCTCCAACGTTGCATCCGTGGCTTCGCTCTTCTCGCCGATCCAACCAATAACCAGCTCGGCCGACTTGTAGACTTGGCGCATTTCAATCGTCTGGCGCTGACGCTCTACCTCGTCATGTTGGTCGACGCATATCAAGTCAACCCAGACGCGGAGAGCGCGAGATTCGAGGGCTGGTCCACTGCTTATGCCAAAGAGCTGTCTCAGCCATCGAGGGGCGCCGTGTGGACGCCGAGCAGGAGTACGCTGGAAACGTCGCGAAATGGTCGGGTAGAAGACGGCTCGGATGTTCTTGAGCGCTCCGGCGAGGTGAGATGTGATGTTGATGGGCTGGCCAGACACCCAGATACGCTCAGTAGATACGGCATCACCATACAACGAGGACAGGGCTATGAATTCGAGGTCATCGGTCAGGCGAGTCGTGATGAGTTTACACTCGACGGGGTCAGTGAGATTGCGGGCACAGTTTATCTCCAGCAAGCGAATCTCGCGCTTCGAGTGGTCGAGGCGCCTATACGCAATGCTCATGTTGGTGGGCGGTGCTTCAAAGACAGATAGATGTATATAAAAGAAAACAACAACGGTTCGGGAAGAAGCCAGTAATTGTACAGATAGCTATAGCCAAAACGGGATCTCTTGTCTTTAACTCTCTCTCGGGATTGGGAACAAGAGAAGCAGGGGTATAAGGCTAGAAACTGCGGGATGCATCAACTCGCGGCCAACGCAACAGCAGGACGGCTGGCGTTTATACCAAGTGCCTTCCTAAAGAGTGGGCAAGGCGGGCATCGCGCTGTCGGCTGTCACATTTCAAAATCCCGCCTTTTGAGCATCGACCAGGGGACCGGCAGCGCGAGGCACGGAGGGGCCTGTTCGGGACTTGTCACACGTGCCGACAATCTTACTGCCTGTTAGTTCTACTGTAATACATGAACAATCAATATGTAAGGGACGGACCGCACATCCATAGCTGTTTTTGGCGGTGCGTGGCCTGAAAGATGAGTCCACTTGAGTGGGAAAAAAAAGGGGGGCAAGGGCTTCCGTACTGCATTCTACCACGTACAACTAGGCACACTGATTGACGGTCAGTAGACGTTGTTTTTTACGCTGGACTGCATGCTACTACTGCTAGTAGAGTTGCATTGCATAGTGTTAGCATGTATTAGTGGTTGTACGACGTGGTAAGAGAATTAATTTGCAGCGAGGCTTATGGAGCAGGCAATGGCACTGAATGTTTGGGGGCTAAATATGCCACATTGCATATGCGGGATTGCATGTCCATATCATTACATAGTTGCTCGCTCTTACGATACAGTATAGAAACTCTCTTGTTGCCAATTATACCGAGTCTTTGTCGTGGCTTTCCAATGCCTCGTAGCATTGACTATCCTTGCCTACTGAAGCAAATGCTGCTGCCCATTTTCCTAAAAAAGCAATTACTACGGATCTTCACCGTGGCCATTGAAACTTTGAAATGGCATTTGGAGGACCCTTGTCGCTCGGCTATAGATGAAGTATGCTAGTGTAGTGCCTACACAAACAGTACATGTATTATTGCAGGCACTGCTTGGTGGGCGGCAACTCATCCTGGGCATCGTGCGAGTACCAAGGAATGACCAGGGGTTGCTGTCTCATGTTATTCTGTCTTCCTTTTCCTTTCCTTTTCCTTTCTTTTTATGTCTTTATTCATCCTTTGTTTCACATTTCACACTTTCTCTTTTCTTTTTGTGTAAGCATGCTCCAGTCAGCCTTTCTCACGCCATAATTATCACTAAGTGCCTAGCTACATTTCCTTTGTGTAACACGACACTCTCGCTTCCAAAGTTCTCTCCTCTTGTAATCAAACTAGTGTTAAACCACTTCTTTTGGCCTTGTCTACTGTTAACGGTCATGGCCTTCGCGCCTGCACTCGGCCGCTATAGGGACTCCTGCGTCCTTTTTATGCTACGCCTCGCAGCAAGGTCAGCCCTAGGGATTGGGCATATTGCAGTGTAGCATCATTTACACGGCTCCTTGTAATCCCTGCAAAGAACATAGCCTCATACAGTACAAATGCAAAAAAGAAAAATAAAAAGAAAAATAAATAAATAAAGATGGCGTAAAGAGATGCAAGTGTGTTAAGAGGCTTCTTTCTTTCTTTCTTTATTCCTTCTTTCTCTTTTGTTTCCATCATCTCATGCAGAATGTATAAGCAGGCTGTTCTCACGCCCTGAGGGGTGGCTCCAGTGACATTGTCTCAAAAGGCAAGCCCCAGGAAGTAATATTCCTGGATATGCGAGTGAGAGAAGCAAATGCCGCTCCCTCCCGCTACATGATATGATCTGACCCCTGTAGCGGCATGTTTCTTGGCCCTGTTGGAGCTCCATGACCGCTTCATTTCCTTCGTGACAGGTACCCATGTCTCCGGAACCCCATTCTCAAGCGAACTTAGCGCCCTTAGTGCAACGGCTTTTAGCCCGCCTGCGTCAATTGACATGTCAGGCAAACTCCAGAGGCTAGTTTCGTTTGCTAGAGGAACTATCCACTGCATCTGCAGGTGATTCCTAACTGAGACATGTAGGTCCCAAGCCCTGTGCCTTTCAGCCCACCACATACGGCAATGAAATGCAGGATATAACTACATACGACAATGGAGAATGGAGGAGAAGAGGAATTGTTAGAATACCAGTAAAGGGAAGATGGAAGAATATTGCGAGATGATACGCACACCGCATCTGTGACACCGCCTTTCAAGTATCGATACAATTTGGTATTGATACTATCTATCTTTGAAGCCGCAAACCTGATCGTAGTCACCGACTTATCTAGATAGTAGTATTGGTATTTTTTTTCCGCCATGTGACTGACGTAGGTCCATGTTCTGCGTTCATAGACCCATTTTTACTACAAGCGTGCTGTTATCACCGCCTTCTTGTATACCTACCTACTAGGTATTAGCCGGTCTGGCTGATCGCGATAATGCAGTGAGAACTAGAAGTAAGATCTTAATGAGACCGGTTCATCTAGAAATACATATAAATTAGAAGACAAGGAATTAACGGGTGCTCCGGAGCCGCAGGGTCTTTCCGGGGGTACGAATTCCTGGAATCGCTACATGTATAGCCGGCATTTTGTGATATGATGACAACACGCTCGCATATTGACGAGGTGATATTTTTTGATTATGTCAAATATCATGGGCAAATATCATGGGTTAACTGAGGAGCACTTCATACGAGAATAGTGGTTCTGGTGCAAGGGCATGACTCCTCCTGATCCAACAACATTCCGTAGACCCCCTATCGTGTGAGTGCCGCTCTCAAGGCTCCCCAGTCCCCCGGGTAAATCCCCCACACTCCGAGCAACCTGGTGTCACGGAGGAAAAGTGAGAAATAACAATGCCAACCAGAGTCTGATCAACAACCAACAACCAACAAGTAAAACGGGTATTCAAATCTCCACAGGTTATTCCCGTTGGACGGCAAACAAGAGTGTTCATGATAGCTCAACCTCAGCTAATCAATTAATTATCGAGGTATGTTTCTCTCATGGATACTCTATCACGTTTATACGGATGACTTTATACTCATAGGCTGATGAAACAGCTACTAGTACTAGTCCTACTATTCCTCGTAAAAAAATGGCACGCGTTGATTCTCAACAGCCTTTACTCGTCATATCCCTGCTCTCCCCGTAATACACAAAGGTACTACACACTAAGTGGGCGAGTGGGGAAATTTTATCTGGTCATGTTTCAACTTTCGTGACGAAGCCCATGACTTCTAAAGAGAGATACTGCAAAGTCCGACTGACGATTACACAATCAGCTAGTACTATTTCACAAGCATGCGGGAGGTGAAACATAGACCAGCTTGGCATCATCCTATATGCCTCTTGACTACTGACGTCAAGCTGATGAACCAGGGGAAAAAAAAAAGTAGCCAGCCTTCAAGCTTAAACATCGAAATCCCGATGCTAGTTAGCTGAACTTCTGGCCAAAAAGTACAGGATTTCCGCCGCTCGGCGCATGCCAAATCATCCCCAGCATCTTACATTCCGTATACCGCTTAATACCAAGCTGTTTTCTTTGCTTTGTTCACCCTTTTTGTTTTCGTTCACGAGCCACACCGCTTTGTCGCTTCTCAGGTGGCCAATTTCCCACCTACTAGTACGTATTCCAAGACTATACAAGTACGGAAGCTGGTCATGGCTCGCCACACCGCCGCCGCTCCCGTGAAAAAGCTGAGCCATCAAGATACGTCAAGTCCATAACAGAACGGGCATCCCAGTGTTATAGCCCGATAGATTGTGATCTTGCCAAAGCGCCTAGTAGCTGGAAACCCAAGTGGGACCTATCAATGCCGGTACGCCTAACCAACACAGCTATCCCGGAACGTCTCAGCCGAAGGCTGAAGCAGTAGTAGAACGTCATGCGCAAGCGAGCCGATGTGACATTCAATGCTTCGATTTTTAGGCTCTGTTTAGATCACGCGGCTCAAGTAACGCATTTGGGCGCTACATTCGTTCCGATGAAAGACATAGGACAAGGAAAATTAAGGATAGGACGAGAATTTAGTTTACCTACCTAATTACGCGTAAAGGGAAGCGTAGTGAAACCCGCCCACCTACATCATCTCGTAGAAGCCTTAAAGGTGCAGTCTCTATACTTATTAGTTCGCTATGCGGTAAGACGACGCCTTCCAGAATATGGTTGCTACTTACGCGAGTCGGCAAGCAATTTCCGGGTTTTTACAGGGATTTGTGCCGCATGAACGACGAGTATGCAATTAGTATCTGCTACCCTACAATACAGAATGCCGGTATCGGGACCTTTATACAAGACAATAGTTGGTTGACGTCTCCGATGATGTGCTTTTGTGTGTACCGCTTATTTGATGAGACCAATTGAGGGATAGGTATTACCTAGCCATAGCCAACCCTGCTATGCTATAGCTTCTGTTTCAGAAAAACATTGGGGGCCATACTCCGTATATGAGGAGAATCATCTCCACAGCCGTATCGACACCGCCGGCATACTGGCTGCCTGACCAGAGGTGCAAGTAAGCACAAAAACCTTAGCTAATCTGGTGACCGAGTTGTATCTGCTAGGGTAGGCACTTGTGTTTCTCTTTTTACTTTCCTTTTTGTTAGGCTATTGAAAAGGATTCGTAGCGTGAAACAGTAAACTCGCTATAGCATGACTTTTACTTGTTTTTCTACTCCGTATGTCCCTAGACGTTATGAGGTAAGACACTACGCCACTTAAGTTCCTTTCTCATTGCTTTTACTTGGCTATACAGAAAGGCATATCGTGCGATCCCCTTAATCCGTCATCCCATTAACCGTGTTCCGCACTATGATCGATGCAACTCTACGGGTGCAAGTAGCACTCCCCAACAATTTTCTCTCCACAGCCAGTCACGCAAACGTGAGGCTAGACCCTCCGAGTGTTATCGTATTGCCGCATGTAAGCTGCATCAGTCAGGATCCGATGCAACATTAGATAGGCTGTCCTCGCCATAAGTGCTGCAAGCAAAGCTTGGCCTTTTGCCTCGCAATTGACGGATGTCGTTACCCGATTACAAGGATTTTTTAGCCTAGCAGTTTTATGGAAAGAAGGTAACTTTCGCGCACATGGGTCTCCTAGCAAGGCGCCCAAAGAGAAAGGAACCTTTCACCCGTAGAAATTAGTATATGCGGCTGTAATACTACGCTACACGACTACTGATAGCAATAGGTAGTTTGCATGCTGTGACTGAAAATGTAAAATTCGTATAAGAAAGTGCAGTAATACATCGTGCTCAAAATGCCTGTCTCCATAGAGTCCTTTGTCGACCCTCGCTTTTCTTGAAAAATAGGGGCGGGCTTTCTGAAAAGGGAAAACCCCGTAAAAACGGAGTCAATGATACTACGTATGAGGAGTGCTAATACCTACCCGTAGTAGTGGCAGACTGCCGGTACTCCATTCTCTAGTACTCCATTCGCTGCCGAGATGTTGGTATGAAATCTCCACACGCAGTCGGTGAGCGCTACCAAGAATTTGGAGAGATGGTATGAGCAAGATGGGCTGTTGCGAGGCCTATTAGCGGCATGTCCGGATCTGCGGACTGAAAGGTCTGTGCATCAACTTCGCGACGCGCTGTGTATTCCTTGGAGACTAGCTGTCTGTTTTAAGGTCTCGTCAGCTGTGGGCAAAGTGTCAAGGGTAGCATGAAAGGGGCTAGTTCAGCTCTTTGCATTACTTGTTTTCTCGAACTTTTGTTCTGTTTGCCTTGACGCCGCTTCTAGTTTCGGTTATGAGTGTAGCGTCAAAGCTTTGGGAGTTCTGGAAGGATCTTTATTATTGGAAGCGGATATTCTTTTGTTTCGCATTAATTTGCTAAGAATATGTAATCTGTCCACTAAATGGAGAACCGAAAAACAGGCCACAGAAAACAGCCAAAACACGAAATACCTAGCTGCTCCATACTCTGAGTATAGCTATTGGACCGGTAATGCTGCCTTGTATAGCAGCCTCAGAAACGGATAACAAAAGACGTCTTTGATAGCGCGAAGAGGGTTGGCGTATTGATTCAAGTAGGTCTTTTTACAAAGTAATTCCGTAAACTATGAGTTGGTAGTAGTGACTAGCCTCAGCCTTTCTCATCGTGATAATGCAAATAAGGCGCTACAGCGAAGCTAGAGCTGTAGCAAAGCTTGTTTTCGGCGCCTGCGGAGCGATTCAATCTGGATCTCATCTCATCGGGTATATTGCTGTTCCCGCAACGCAGGCTGCCTTGTAATCTGACGTGTCGCTGGCGGCAGATGTTCCATATGCATTAAGCCAGTTTCAAAATTTGACAAGGTGGACTGATGAGGACTGGTGATTACGGAAACCATCCGTTCAAATTTTGCCCGCTAATTACTAGACCAGCCAGAGCGAGAACGCCAGCATGGAGTTGCTACGATAACTGGGTCAGTTACGCATGTGATGTGTTTAGTTGACAGGCTTCCATTCAAATATGGATACATGCCCGAGAGAGGGCCGAGGAAGGAAGGTAACGATCACTTTATTCCTTGAATTGAGCCGAAAACGAGTACAAAATATGGAGTAATACTGGGTAGTGGTGGCGTTAAGCCCTGCCATTGTGCTGTCTGCACATATTTTACGTATCCATATGTGACAAGTAAATAGATCAATCAGTTGTGTAAGCGACTTTCTTGACTGGATTCATGCGATTCGAAAACTGGCTCAAGGTCCTTGAGCAAGGTACCTGTTTCTCTTCTCTTTTTGCAAGGATCTCTATTCCATAGTCTTTTTAACCAAGTCGCAACGTTACATGATGAATTGGTTACATAATTTGACCATGGTCATAAACATGGAGCTAAAGTAATGAAATTGAGATTATCGGGCTTAGGACCATCACCTAACCACGATGGAAATAAGTGTGTATCTCCAAGAAGAAATAGAAACAAATGTATATGTTCTCTCTCAAACATGTCGATACAGCGAAATAACTATCAGGCGCTATTTAAGTGCCCTTTATTACAATGTTGGAATCCTGGTGCTTAGAGATACAGCGCTGATTGCGATCACTGCGTATAGCGGTTTACCAAATGAAAGGTAATAGATAGCAACAAACGTTTCATTTCATTTACAACAGTTGTTATGGTAAATTAACATCGCATGAGCCTGGCTGCTAGTTTTATGCGTAGTTGGTTTAGTTAAGCTTAAAACAAACATTCTTAATTATGCAAGGCTGAGCGATGAGCGACCTTTTACACGTCAACCTAGGAAGGTGATCCAGGAACTGTGGACGAAGCAAACCTACAGCCTTCCAAATTGCCCAGATTTAGAGATCATTGTATGATACGAATTTCATTTCCTATCAATAGGTACATATGGTCTTTCCAGTTTAACCAGTAGGGTGATACTCATGGCTAATGAGAGAAATAAGTATTGCACCACCCTGTTTATCCAAAGGGCATTTATTCAAACAAAATGCCAAGGTCATGAAACTCTGATTGTTTGACATCTTATGCCTTGTTAGGGCGGTTCTCTTTAATATAAGCTGCAATATTTGGTCGCCCCTCAATGGCTTCTCGAAGTTTTACAATCTCTGCGGGTAGTTCGGTCTGGGTCACAAATTAGCGACTGTTAATTATCGTTAAGAATTCTGCGAAAAGAAATAAACTTACCGGCAGAGCTCCTATTCGCTCATCGTTGTCGACTGATTGGTAGACAGCGAAGTCGGCATAGGTTATTTTATCCCCAAGGAGATAGGGGCCGTTGTTCTCAGAGTAGTACTTTGCAACGGCGGCATAATACATGGGAAGAAATTTGTTCTTGTAATCGTCTGAGGGATTCCCAATGTTTGCCACCCATTGGGCCTGTATTGTCCAGGTTAGTCCATGCTGAGAGAAGTAGGTAGATGTACAGAACTGCGAATTCTTTATGCACTATACTTACCCTCCAGTCGATATAATTGTCAGCCACAGCATCTACCTGGAATTTCTTATGGTTTGTCTCGCCGTCATAGCGGCCAAGGTCTCGAGACAGATATCGCAAAATAGGAACATGCTATACGTGCTCATTGTTAGTGCCACTTTTCTCGACTAGTAAATCTAGATGAAATTGACGGCTCGATGGACTAACTTGATTTAAGATGGTGCCGTTTATGATAAGGGCAGGCAACTTGCCGGTTCGGGTGATGCCTTGCTGCTTGAATTTGTCACTTTCAACGGACCATGTGCCATATCGGTGCCGGATATCCTTGAATTCAATGCCAGCATCTCGTAAGAAAAGGCTAACGACATATTAGCTGCTGAACTTCGCTAGTGGCCTCTAGGTTAAATAATAGCGAAGGGTAGGTTAGTGGGTTGATAAATCATAAGACTTACCGTATGACTTCACCACGGCCGAGTGTACCGAGATCAAAGTAGTGGAGTGTGGGGATTGTTTCGGCAGCCATTGTGAATGTTAAAGATTGGTTTGTTGATTCGGAAAACTGGTTGGTGCGGAATAGCTGAAGGCTTTATTTCGCTCAACTGAATGCAGTTGGCGAATGCTGGCCTTTATACATATTGACTGTTGGGCATCAATGTTGCGCTGAAACTGGATCTCATTATGAGACTGACTAATTGATCGTAAGAAACGCTTGCTGTTAGGGCTTCTGGGTTGTGGCTGGCAGCAGAGACGGGAACTGTATCCCACTCGACCCCGCGGGGGTTGATTTGGGTTGTTGCTCTGGCTCAATTTCTCGCCGATCCACTAGCCGCGATGTGGAATCTGCCTAGTCTTTGAACATATTACACCTATCGCTACTTGCAATATGACGCTACACAATGAAAGGACATATACCTCTTTGATGTCTATATAGTCTATTAATTGTGAATAGCGTTTTTCATTTATGTGTAAACCAGTGTGTTCTCCCACACACTACACGAAGAACTACATAAGCATGGATCGCCCCTTTTCACCTTTCAACTGATGGTGCTAAAGAGCCCCTGTTTTTAATGTTGCAGACCAACTTAGCGTAAACGAGCTGCCTGTGTCATTCGCGCTCTGGCGTAGAAATCGCGGTAGAACCATGCTATTGTTCTGAAGAAAGCCACGCAATGACGGGCGCGCAGGACCGAGGGGCAGCCGTTAGGTCATAGGTTTGGAATATTCCAAGCACATGGTGACGATGTAGCCTGTGGCGCAGCTGATTCTAGTGCCTATCGTGCGTAGCAAATAGTATCGTGCGAAATAGCCTAAGTGCTGACGCCCGCGCCTTGCTTGGCCCTATGCTGTAATCTTGCAAATGATGACAAATCTTTGTGAAATTCATGGTAAGAATGATGATCTCCTGCATTGTATTAGAATCTGACTGGTCTGCCTTAATTTCAATTTTTTGACCCGATTTTCAATTCTAGTGGTGGATAAATACGTCGGCATCTCGCAACGCAATGCGTCCGCTTTACTTGAAGGTTCTTAATTCGCGACATCACGATCTTTACCTCTACATCACCTGCAGCACAGCCAAGTGAACGTGCAAGGGCTCATTATGAGCGCAACGATATCCATGGTAGATCGGAAAGCGGCGGCTTCGGATTTCCTACCACCCACAACCGTCGACATGCCGATTCGTCAAGAAATTCAACATGGGCCATCAAATCCGGCGGCTGAACGAAGAGTACGAGAGGCTATTGAAAAGGCGGCAACACGAAACTCGCAACTGCTGAGCGAGCTAGAAGCTACGGCTCATGGACCCGGCCTACTGGGAAATAATCAGATCAAGATTGAACATGTTGATAAACGTCTCGCTGATCTCGAGCCTGAAGTTGCAAAGGCCGTTGCTGCTGCTAACCAGCAGCTCAAGAGCCACAAGGCCTACAGAGACTCCTTTGGCAAGAAATGGGTGTATACCCTTTTGAAAAAGAGAGATGCCTTTGATGAGAAGGCCCAGCGTGAGGAGAAGGCATATCATCAAGTTCTAGAAAAGCGCCACAAGGCCGAAGGTACGCTGAACGAGCTGAAGGCTGATAAGGCGGCTCTGGTTGTTGAGATGAAGACTCTGGAAGAACTGGCGGGACGACACGCCGCTGCACACAAAGGAATTGATAATCTTTACTCAGAAATATTCGATGGTCCCACGGCGGGCTTTCCGGACGAGGATGAACAGGAACAGGCACACAAAGTAGCCAAGGTGGCCCTTCAAGAGAGGACAGAGGCACTAAAGGCGGCAGTTCGAGGTGTCAAAGCGGCTCAAGTTGTCAAACTCGCCATCGAGCGTGCCCTATTTGAAAAACAACGGGCAGGCTTTGAAAATCACTCTGACATCTTTTCTCAGCGTAGTTTCCATGTAACGCTGAGTCGCTGCATTGCCTACATCGATCGCGGTATCGAGCTAACCAATCAAGCCATTGATGTGCTCGAAACAGCCCCTGGACCCGAGCAGCTACAAACTAAGAACAAGCTTGAACAGCATCTCATTACTGCTAGGACACAAGCATCTTCGCGTTTAAAGGACAAGTCACAGAACACTGCACTTTTGGAAAGACTGGGGAATGTATTAATCAGCGCTTTGGAAGCCCAGAAAGAGTATCTCGCGGCTATGAAGCTAGTCAGCGAGTCGTGCAGAAACTCTATCCGGCAGACAGCCAGAGCTCTAGAAGACGAGCGACGTGCGCTTCAACAGATCCGACAGAGTGCATTCGAGACAACTGTCGGCTTTGGTGCCGCCGCTCCGGCATATCACGAGTGCTGTGATAGAGCACCTGGATTTGAGAACGACTCTCACGCGCAGACTGCGTCAATCCAAGACCCAGTTGTTGCAGAGCTTCCGGTAGACTCAGAACCACCCCCAGATTATGTATTCCCCGATGAGGAATCAGCACCCAATACAACAGAGACAGCGCCAGAACCCAGCACTCAAGCCCATACTGCTGCTGAACGGAGATCCCCGGTCTCTAATTTGAGCGGAGAGGTGACTCCAACCAACCCACGAGGCCTGGCGGAGGTCTCATAAATGGATATGAATGACATGGACCGTATAAGCTGCTTGATTTTTTTACTGTTTCTATTCCCTGTCCGTAACTTGGACGCGCGATGTTTGAGCACGCTCTGATTTGAGATTATGATATTATGGACGATAATGTTTATAACTAGTAGCGGTGCTCGTTTGGAGTGCTCTTTGCCTGACTGAATTTTAGTATAATACGTATGCTATTGAATATGCACGTATTAATACAAATCACGTATAAACAATTACACTGGCTGAGAGTGACTTGGCATGGAGTCCAGAATATCTTGGAGAGCAGGTAACCTCATAAAACCCGAGTCCATGGATCGATGTCGTAGTTGGAGGGGGAAGACGCCCCGTCGAAGGAGGTTGATTTTGCAATGTTTGTCATGAAGAATGAAACTTTGACGAACGCAGAAGAGGGTGCCGTAGACACGACGGGTGACGTGCCCTTGGACGGAGTGTAAGTGTCGTACATTCAAGCAACAACCAGCACATCCGCAATACTTCGTTAGTTTGAGGCCGTTTACCGAAATAGCTTGCGATTTTCGTCCCTTATTTGAGTACAGAGCTGATAATGGCAAAGTTGTGTCAACTTCTGGTGCCATGTACGACCTTTGAGTCCCTGCCAGCATATAGAATACAGGTACAATGCTATATACCGGCGTGGCGAGTTATAGCTCTCATCTTTTATATGTATAGACCATGAAATAAAAGCTCTTTATGGCATTGTTAGGCCGGACGGCATGTCACATGTTTAAAAAAAAATAAAAAAAAGGAAAATCACAATTTTGGTCGGGTAAGAGTGTAGAGCTCAAACTCCCCACTAAACCCCAGCCTAGGAACGCCATGCATGTGCATGACCTGATCTCGCTAATCACGGCAAGAACGGGTATAACGGGTAGCTGGAATCATGCTAAAAACATGCATCATTTTTTGGCTAGCTAAATGTAGATCGAGAAGGCTGAGTATCACGATTTAATACCACTGCTGTGGCTAGTGTTATGTACTTCCTAATCTCACTAGGAGTGTGAGCAATAGTTGAAGGTGACCCTTTCAAAATAGCTAATCGATTGCGCTCTATTTTAAACACTTTATATATACATCCTGATTATCTTGCCTTCATGGCTCTTCGATTCTGATATCTTCGGTCCAACTCTCCTTAGGCTGGCTGTACAGGTTCCAAGCTTGCTCGGCGATGTTCTTGGGATTCAGGTACTTATTTGTCTCTTTCACAAATCCAGCAACGGTTAAGATAGCGACGTGAACGCCTTTAGGCTCATACACCATACGGAGAGATCGAGTGAAATTTTTCTGAGCTGCTTTGGACATGGACAAAGAGACTAGGTTGGTCTCAGGGGCCTCGGGGAGATGAGAGCTAGTAACAACGAGTGTAGGCTTGGCTGCAGCATCGGAAGATGCTAATCTCATGAGCTGCGGGAAGACCCATTTGGAGAGATTGTTTAGGGCAATGGTAGAGATCTTAAAGTCACGCAGGAGCTCATCGTCGCTGACTTCCATATGGCTAGATTCTGCGACTATGGCTGCGTTGAATAAGACAAACTCGATCGCTCCGAGATCCTTGCTAATCTGGGCGAGTGTTGTGGTAAATCTGGCAGGCTCGAGGACGTCGGTTGAATAAGTTTTTACAGTGGCATTGCCATCAGAAGCGCTTGTAACAAAGGCTGCATCTTTCTCAAGCTGGGTAGGATTCCTAGCAACGAGAGCGACTTTGTTGAATTTCTTGGCAGCAAATACGGCAGCTGTGTTGGTGCCAATTCCAGGACCGGAGCCGATGATGACGACCGCGTTGTCAGATCGGGCAGACATTTTTGTGTATGAGTTGGTGATTTGTTATGCAAGTTTCGAATGCTTTATAATTTAGAGTCGTGAAGGAAAATATGTGTTGATGTTTGCTAAAAGCTGTTATGCTTTTGTACGTAGTAATGTATTGCTGAATTTGTTAGAACAACATTTCTTTCACAACAACAGACTTCTGTCTTCTATTTAAGTTGAGCTGAAAATTTTGTGAACTCCCCAAATTTACATCCTGTTAAACTTCGATAGTACTCTCTGCCATGAAGCCACACATAGCATTTGCCTTAGCCACAATAAAGTTGAAAACCATTATTAAGCTGGTTGATGATTTAGTGGCCAATGACGATATACTGTCTAATATAGTGCTGCGTCACAATGCATCTCCGCGGAAGCTTAACAATCGGCTTGCGGCCGGCTATACCCAAAAGGAATCACCGGTAAGTGCCGTAGAGCCCACTCATAAAGCAGATGCGCGCTCTCGTCTGGCCTTGATTCATCTTAAAAGAGTAAAAGAGTCCGCGTCTAAGTTGATTTTGTTCTTGCCGCTCATTCTGCCGTAGGAGAGCTTTTGGTCCATCTTCACGCTATGTCATATTGAGTACAACTCTGAGAACATTGAAGCTTTATCAGCACGCGGGGACCCCGTTGAAACAGTCCAGAACGGCATCTTCCGCCAACAGGAGACAAGTTAATTGGTAGGACTGTTTGCTTGTCTCTATCTGTCTGCCCAGGTGATACAACAATACGTCTGCAGATCATTGATAGCCAGGCTGACTTGTGGCAGCTAGGTCTTTACTGTATCCCCGCCAAAGCTAAGCTACGCTAAGAATTGCCAATTGTCTATTCTACGTCACAGCCATTTTGTTTCGATTTAATCATTGTCCTACGATGGCTACTCAACGTACTTCAGAATTACGGCGCATGCTGGCGCTCTCTTATCCATGGGTGAAGAAACCCTTCGTTGTTGGTGCACCTATGCGCATTATGGCAGGCCCTCACTTGGCTGTCGCCGTGTCTGCGGCTGGCGGCCTTGGGTTTATGGGACCACAAGCCAAGCCAGATGGGGTGTTCGCCGATCTAGACAAGGCGAGGGAACTGATAGAAGCATCGAATTTACGCCACCCTCTGCTCCCCATTGGTGTGGGCTTCCAGGTATGGAATGGTGACCTGAAGATTGCAACAAGTGCTATTGAGAAGCATAAACCGTGTGCCGTTTGGCTATTTGCGCCCAAAAATGGCCAGGCAGAGTTGGATGAATGGACTGTTTCTCTTCGCGGAGCTTCTCGTGATACTAAAATTTGGATTCAAGTCGGTACGCTGAGTGATGCTCTTGCGGCTATCAACAGCTCAACACCACCAGACGTTCTCGTTGTTCAAGGCTCTGAAGCAGGCGGACATGGAATGGCAAAGGAGAGTACAGGAACTATTGTTCTCTTTCCAGAAGTCGCTGATGCCGTGAATGCCAGGAAAGATCTTGGAATCCCTGTAGTTGCGGCGGGAGGCATCATCGATGGCCGAGGCGCTGCAGCGGCATTTTCGCTGGGAGCTGCTGCCGTCGCCATGGGAACTCGCTTTCTTGCTTCTTCAGAGGCACGCATCTCAAAAGGATACCAAGACGAAGTGGTTCGAGCGTCTGATGGCGCCAAAAATACTCTTCGCACCCACTTGTACAACCACCTAAGAGGCACTTTTGGCTGGCCTGAACAATTTGCACCTCGGACTCTCATCAACCGCAGCTGGATTGATCACGAGGCTGGTGTTCCGTTTGAGAAGCTCCAAGTGCTACACGACGAGGCTGCCAAGAGCGGCGACGCTGGATGGGGTCCGGAGGGAAGGCTGGCAACGTATGTTGGTGCCGGTGTAGGTCTTGTACGGGACGTACAGGATGCGGGCACGATTGTCGAGAATGTTAGAAACGAAGCGAGAGATGTTCTCAACGCCTTGAGCGAAGATATTCATGAGCACTGATGTACTGTAGTTTACGATACAATGTCGATAGCTTTGAGGCTTTCAACTGATGGCCGAATGGATCAACGGAAGAATTGCATGTATTGGTACCCCTCACGGCGCTTAAAACCATATGTTCGTTATCGATGATAATCAACAATTTAGAAGTGCGAAGCGTCTACGTAATCGCAAGCTTGCCGTCCTGTTGTTGGGCTGATGGGCGATCCATGACTTTATATCGACCCCCGCGTTACAGTGGGTGACTCAATCGCTGAAGACGATTGCGTGGCGTGGTCTATCTCATTGAAGGTCTTAAGGCACCTCTGATGTACTGATCCACAAATAGTAGCCAATTAAACCTCTGACTATAAAAGGTATTTATTTTCCCTGCTATTTTAGCCTGTAATAGAAGTCCTAATAATTCTTTTTAGTATAAATAGCTACATTGTATTTATTATAACCTTAGGAAGTTATAGTGCTGCGCTAGGTATAATTTTTATTAATTTACTGTAATGCTTGACTTTGTAATTTTATTTCCTTAATGTATAGGCTTTAGCAGCTAAGGCAAGGACTGCATTTCTTTTTATTAATATAATTATGTTGTAAAATACCTGTGTAAGTGTCTTTAGCCTAAAATCTTTACCTTAATGTATCTTTTTTACTATACTGTTAGAAAATATCTATTATAAGGTATATTTGTTAGTTAATTTAGCTGTAATACTATTTTTAAGAAGGCAATCCCTGCTGTTAAATAAGATAATTATTTATTAATGTAACTTTAAAGAGAAATAACTATACTATTGCCTGCTAACCTTCTCTATAATAATAATAATTATATCTTAAGTAGCTTTAAAGTTAATTATTAATATTAATTAAGTTTATATTGAAGTTATAGTTAGTGGTAATATTTAAAATTAGAAGTGTTTTTATAACCTTGTTACTGAAAATTTGCTTGGCAGCCTGTGTAGTTGATTTTGTTAATGACGGCTGTTTTTAATGTTGCATTTAAAATTTATTGCCTTTATATGCTGTACTAAAGAATAATATAAGGGTATTGTTTTTCCATGCAATCTAGTTTACTTAAGAAAGAAGAAAGATATATTAGTAAGGAATTTCCTAGGAAATCTATTAACCTAGATTACTTATAAAACTATTAGGCATAGGAGCAGCAATAACCTAGCCCTAAGGCTACTTTTTTTTCTTTTTTTTTACCTATATAAAGAAATTGCTTATACTACTATTAGTACAGCAGGTGCCTGTAGCAGTATAGCTATGCTGCTAAAGAAGGTAGAAGAGGGTTATTATAGAGAAAAGGTTATTTATAAAGATATAGAAGTTGGCGTTTTTTAGCTGATTAATAAAGGAAAGGACTATAGCTTAAGTTAGTGCTAGATAATTAAAATCTTCTTTATTTTATAGTTGCTTTTTTTTTTAAAGTATAACTAAAGGAGATATATAAAATTGCTACTAAAGGAAATAGCCAGCTTAGGCAACTACTTAAGCTTTAAATCTAATTAGAATTGGCTTCTGAAGGATAAATATTATTTTAAAAGACCTTCTTTAATAGTAAATTATATATTTATTTATAGTAATATTAATGCCTGGTTTATAGATTATAAAAGATATAGCTTATATATATAAAGACTACTTATTAATGTATTAAAATAACTTTAAAAGGTAATTATTATAAAGAAAAGGATTGAAAATTTAAAGGCGCTGGAAGATTTACTTAAATTATTTAAATAATATTAAAGTAATAATAAAGTAATTTAAATAAGGGTCCTTTAGCTTAAAGGTCTTTTAATAGTCTTTAAGGTGTGTTTTTTTATAAATTCCTATATAAATTAAAATACTAATCTATATATATACCTCTTCTATAGAGATTGATGTTCAGGCATTCTTAGATAAGTATTTTAACGGCGGTCTATATAGGCCAGGGATTGGCCCTTTATTTATATATTTAACCTATTTTTTAACTAAGAAAATAAATAAAAAAAGCTAGAATAATAATAACAGGGAAAAGGGTATTTGCTGGATAACTAGGTTGTAAAAAGGAATTAAAATTAAGTTAAATTTAGCGTAGATTATAGGTGGAGGTATTAGGTTAGTTATTAGATATGCCTTTTAGCTATCTTTAAGTTAAATCTGCTATTAAGTATTGCAAAATTAATGTGTATATTAATTTATATAGCGCAAGGTTTATTATAACCAAGGTTACGATTAGGTACCGTGGAAAATGCAGGGGTTGTGGTGGGGCGGCTACATCAGAGGTGCCTTAAGACCTTCAATGAGATAGTACCTGTGGATATGTAATTGCCATTTCTGGCAGCGCGCTACTATGATCTAATACTTGCAGAGCAGATATGCATCCAACATCATGCGGGATATAAAAGCCCGACATATCCCTTGCCTTTGTTGAATAGCCTTGTGAATGTCGACACAATTTCTGCTCATCCCTGCAGCAAAATTCGCAATATGACGCTCTTATTTAATCAGATCCAGCCTCACCCTCGCCGGCGTATTCGTCAACTTATACCTCAGCTACGGCTTGGGAAATGGCCTACGGGCTCCCTCAATTCCATTACCGACGTTCCAGGCGTCTTGGCCCATACCGAGTCTATCCATAGCTCCCCTCATAGCAAAGAGATATCCACCGATATTAACACCGGAGTCACTGTTATCTTACCCAGGCCAGACTGGTACAAGTATGCAAGTTTTGCCGGCGTCTTTAGTTTCAATGGCTGTGGAGAAATGACATCCGCTCACTGGCTTGATGAAACGGGGCTGCTCTATTCGCCAATTGTTCTGACCACTACTTCCGCCGTTGGTGATGCGTTTCGCGGAGTCTGGGAATATACTATTGAACATCACTCAAATGAAGATAAAGAGCTTAACATCTTCCTCATACCCACTATTGCTGAAACGTTCGACGGCTATCTCAACGATCAAAGTAAATTCGCCGTCACGCCCCAGCACATTGTCAATGGTATTCGAAGTGCCAATGCAGACGCTGTGCAAGAAGGCAACACGGGAGGCGGAACAGGCATGATGTGCCATCACTTCAAAGGGGGTACAGGATCTAGCAGCCGCGTAGTCAAAGGGTATGACATTGACGGAAATGAAAAGTCTTATACAGTTGGAGTGCTTGTCCAGGCCAACTATGGATTGATGGACAATCTTCATATTGGAGGTGTCCCTGTGGGTCAAATCCTTAAAGAACAAGGACAGCAGGTACCAGAAAAGCTTAGGCCTGGAGAAAAAGAGCCCCGTAAAGACGGTAGTATTATCATCGTCGTTGCAACAGACGCTCCTCTCGTGCCCATCCAGCTCCAGCGATTGGCTAAGCGCGCCACTGTTGGGTTGGCCAAGGTCGGCGGCTATGGCAACAATACCTCAGGAGATATATTTCTTGCCTTTTCCAACGCCAACAGTGTCCCCTTCCTAGAGTTATCTGGGACTAACAAGGCCTACACGCCGCAGCCGTATGACGTGCAGATGTCGGATAACAATACTATTGATGGGCTATTTGAGGCTGCAGCTGATGCGACTGACGAAGCAATTTACAACGCCCTATGCATGGCTGAGACAACAGTAGGATTTAAGAGGAGAAAAGTCGAGGCTCTCGATTTGGTTAAAGTAAAGGAGATTGTCGAGAAGAGATTGTGATATAAATTTGGAGACGGAATATGGCATACCTCGGCATTGCAGGTGTGAATAAAATAAGCTTCCTGCTAAACCTGCAGTAGTGAAACAGTTTAATTACTTTTCCGATAGCCCATATCTTGCTAGCCCGTGTAAACAAACCATCCTGTAGAATCTCTTGTAGACAAGCGACGAACGTAGCTCAGCCCTCGTAGAGTATCTCAGCGAATCTATTCGCTAGAGACAGGAATCGTGGTATACGATAGCAAATGATTAGGAAATGCAAACGCAAATTGATCTGATATAAATTTTATAAGCATTGATTACCCGCAATGGACTTCGAAGCGCTCTATAGCTGTAAACTATTTCATTCAAGTTCATTGTGGCGAAGGGTGTTTCGTGTGCTCTTTAGGAATGAAGATCATTAACCTACTTGAATCCTAGTAATGTGCTATGTGGCAAACAGCACGTTCTATTTGCTGGCATATTGAGTAAGTGAGACAGACGTCTCACTAGAGTTCTACATTAAACGTCATCGCGCAATCGGCTCGTCGCTTCGGCCCCCACACTACCATGTGCCCCTTGCTTCTGGAGGGTTACACTGGTCTTAAACATCTACTGCCTGTAAGCTCTCAGTTTCGGGCATCCTGAGGTACTCGGTCCCGAAAACAATCTTGAAGTATAACTTCTTACAGTCGAGATCGACAATTTGATTCAGAGGTTCCTTATAATAGAATAGAATTCGAGTATAAAAACTCGTCCGGGACCGTGAATAAATTCTCAGTTTTGGAGACAAATTCCTTCATCATAATCTACACAAGATTAAAAACACGTGAATGAGTTCGCACATTACCATATCAAAAATGCAAGCTATAATCTTTGCCCTTGCTATACTCGCATCTGCGGTCATGGGAATTCCATCTGAACTGTAAGGGAATTATCCTTCTGCTTCTGCCTGTGTATATGGATCCTAATTAGTTAGACAGCAATAAGCGAGTCAAATGCTGCCTTTACTATCCAGGTGCTAAATCCAACTGTCAACGTGACTGCATTGACCCGTCATTTTGCAAAGCATACGGCATTCCTCAGACAGGATATTGGTGTGACTGCGGTCCAGCAGCGAATTGCCATGCCTAAATGGCAGGAATATTTGTGTTTGCAAGTTGGGTAGATTCTTGACAAAAAATGGGGTGAAGCAGCTGGAATGTAAAAAAGCTTTGTTGTATAAAAGATTATGTTATTGATTACTATATAACGAATAATCTAAAAGTCATTATTATCATACGTGATCATTATACCGCCTTACAGTGGACTACTGAGGCCGACGCACAAGGCTGGCTGGGTCAGACATGGCAGCCGCTGCTCGTACATTCAGTCTTCTCTTATTGTGAGGGCTGGGAGTGCTGGTATGTCCCTTCTCGTGTCCAAAAATGGCCCACTCTGCCACAGTAGCCCCAGTGCCGTTCTTTGCCGCAACGTCTACAGGGTCGAGACCCTGGTTGCCCACAATAAGCAGCGATGCATATCGAGATGCAGCAACAGGTTGAGATAGAGTGACATTGGTCGTGTTTCCAATGGGAATGGCAATGACATTCAAGTCAGTGGTATGGATATCGTAGGGGTTAGACTGCTTGATATTGGTCAAAGATGTGACAACCTTGAAATTCGAGTTATGCTTTTGGGACTTCAAAGCCGCTGCTGGGTCACTAATGGCCTCGTTGTGGAAAATGATTGTTGCGTTGACAGGAGGTGCCTGAGCCCAGTCGAAATGGAAGCCTGACACTAGGGATCCGACATCCTCTTGGTCGAGTGTTACTGTAATAGAGCTTACATCGGCAGCAGAGGCGGGCTGCCACTTGGTAGACGTAGCACCATCCACGGCTGCAATGGGGAATTGACCAGGCACATAAGTGTTAGGGGAGCTAGCGGCGTTGCACTGCACCAAGTTGCCAGCATACGTTTGCTGAGAGCCAAGCTGCCTGTTAGGAACAACAACAGATCCCTTGACAGGCAGTTGATAAGCTGTCGGGTTGTGTTCAGACCCAGCGTGGATGGTTATAGTCTTTCCAGCAAAGCGCTGATCCGCTCCATCAAGCGCAGCGATGCCGCTGGCACGGCTAATTGTAGTGTGAGTATAGTTAGACCAAGCGGAGATAGGCCAACCGCGCCAGTAGAACGTTCTGTATCTAATATAGGGGATCTGCGGAGGCAGGTTTGGATCAATGTGAATGAAGTCATCAGGCACGAGGCGGAGTCCAAGGTAGCCGAAGAGAACGACTTGGTTAGCGCCGCCGTGGCCAGTGAGGAATGGATAGGCCGGGTGGGTGCCACCGTTGATCTCAGCATCATCAATAAGCTGCTCTGAGATTTGATAGAATGGGGCGCGAACGTATGGCTTGTAGGCGTACTGAGCGTAGGTGTATGACGAGCATCCTGAGGGAGAGATTTCGTTGGCAACGATGGAGAAGAATGCGTAGGTCATGGCAGGTCCATCAGGAGATTGCTTGTTAGCATACTATATAATTGATTAGCAGTTACTCAGCATAGACGCATGGATGTTGTAGAAGCTCACATAATCCAAATCGTTGAGAGCGTCTTGAGAGCTGTAGTTGGTGGTGTAGCTTAAGGGATAGGTGACCATGATCACATCTGCCTGTTTAACCACAGCACTGCCATTCATGGTTGTGAACTCCAACGTGACGCCATTTTCTCGAAGTACCAGCGCATTGGACGCCATGTTAGTCCAAGTCTTGTTCTGCTCGATACCAAATTGCTTGCGGAATGTGTTTGCGTTCTGTAGGTGTTCCGCAATGAGGGGCATTGTGTATCCGCCAGCATCGACATGGTTTGCGTACTCATCCTATGACATGTTAATCAGAGGATAGCAACATTAAAAATAATGAGAATCAACTTACAGGATCAGTCATGTTGGTCAATGTCCATGATGTCTTGTTGGGCTTCAGCAAGTTCCCGTACAGCTGAGCGATTGAGTCGTAAATCGGGAAGAGGTTCTCTTGGAAGTACTTGGTATCGCCGCTTACAACCCATTGGTTGACTAGAGACAGGCCAATATCTCCATTCAAGTGATACTCGTAATCCCAGCAAGGGCCAGTAGCAGTGCAGTTTCCATAACGGCCACTGGTCCACGGGAAAACGGCAGCATCCGCAGAGAAGAAGGTCTCATTTTGGGAACCCGCAAAGTTAGTCTTGACATTTTCCTTGGCCATGCCATATCTTGCGAGACGGTAGTTGGTGATTCTCTCAGCGGCTTCAGGGTGAGCGGCTACCAGGCCGGGTTGCATCCAGAGGTCAGCATCCCAAAAGACTTGTCCAGCATAAGAGTCGGAGGTCAGCCCACCGACAGAAATGCTGTCGACATTAACTGGAGCTCCGTTGGCTTCCTTGCTTCCATTTTTGCCGACTGTGTTTTGGAGAAGATAGTAAGCGTTAGTAACGGCCATAATAGCAGAGTCAATGATATAGTTGTCTGCTGGAAGCTTGCCAGTCTTAGGATCGGCGAAGCTGTCGACAGAGCTTTCGGGCATGACATTTGCCCACTCTGTAACATGGTGGTCAAGAGACTTGGTGTATCCATTGCTCAGTGCTGTGGCAGCTGCATTCTTGGCAATTTGCCTGGGGTTCTTGAAGGCGTCGGAAGATGCAGCTCCAACAAACTTGGTCACGCGTGCGGCATGACCTGCGGAAAATTTGACTGAAACAGCCTGTGCGATGGAAGATGCGTTGGTGTGTACGTATGGCTTGCCATGCACAATCTTGCGGCTCGCCAGGTTTACTCCCCCAGAGCCAGTAATGTCGGCATACACAAAAGCCGTAACATTGGAAACGCCATTTGGTCGTACAGCTGAGAAGATGGCATTGCCGTCTTGTCCAGACTCCACAAAGTCAGTACGGACGGCAGCAAAGCCATCAAGAACATTGACAATTGATGCCTGCACATTCTTGGACGAGGTAACTTCCATGTCGACCACAGCTTGGTTAACATATAGTTTGTTGGCGAAGATGCGATAGCTGATATCGAAGCTTCCCTTGTTGCCTTTGGGAGTCCACTTGTATGACCAGCTCAATACTCCAGCCTTGTAGTCATAGGTCGATCGGAAGTGGGAGATGGTTCGGTTGTCAACCGTAGCGTCAAGATAGGTATTGTCGCCGAGATCCAAGATGAGCCCACTCCAGTGCGGAATGCCACTGATGGCGGTATCAGATCCATACTGGGAGATCCACGGGAAGTTTGTCCCATTCATGACTGGCTGAGAGTCCCAGAACCCAGCAATGGTTGCAAACGACTGACGCCTGGAGAATAAAGGCCAGCCGCTGATGATGTCGCCGTTCTCTGCAGTGTCGAGCTCAAAGAAGGGCCCGACACTGGCGACGTTGATGCCAAGGTACCCATTGGCTACAGAGCCTCGCGATTCAAACGCGCCCTGCTTCAATTGTGTTGTGCTGAGCAGCCAATTGTCTTCGTCCCAAGTTACCCCATCGAAATCGGTCTTGTATACGTTTTTGCTGAATTGGGGTCCTGTGCTTGATCCGCCGTTTCTGCCTAGGCATCCTGCGACGCGGTCATTGGAGGCTGTGCTATAAACAGGATAAACAAACTGAAGCAGCGACAGCAATGCTGCTCCAGACAAGGTCTAAAATAACAAAATTAGCATGTGCTTGTTTGAGAAAGAGAAAATATGTAGTTAATAACAGCTGCAAGATACTCACCGTTGACCGCATTGTGCCGGTCTCTCAGCCTCTACACGGGCAAAGCAAACGCGATGCCAATTTAGACTACTGTATGAAGTTGAAGTAAACCCGCCACGAGGTATCGCAACGTGCATGCAGATACGATACTGGCTGGGGTTTCATCGAAGAGCTGAATGTGCGGCATCTTGCCCAGTATTTAAGTCTATCCTGCTGCTACCTCCAACGCTGGTAATTCTCCGCGCAGATCACCATTTGGCCCCAGACTTGGTGATGGGGTGTGGAGAGGACAAGGTGATCTGGACAAGGCTGTGGCCGTAATACGGAGAAGCCTGGACAACCAGCCTGGCTGAGGCCATTTCAGGGCATCTCCACCCGAATCTGGCCGTTTCATGATCGCCCTCTGCTAGCTTGACTTGGCTCCTGCGTAGGATGATTTCGTCACTCAATTTCGCCGTCAATCAAGTTTGCCCACAGCCTCTAGCCAAGATAGTATTGCCGGTTTCATGGCTACTACGCCGTAGCTCCCAATTGACAAGCAGCCTTGAGAGGAACCAACGCTAATTACGTACGGCTCCAACGCGTTTTGACCCTTTTTACCATCGTCAAAGTCCACCCGTCATCGCTAAATTACCCCACAAGCATCCCCAGACCCGGCAACGAGCCGTGAAAGGGCCGATAGTGCCGTGGCACCACCGCTATAGCGCCAGAATGTCCTGCCAAGAAAACGCTGAGGAGGAGAAAGAGGAGCAGGCGGAGGCCTTTATCATCACTATTTACTTGCTAAACAGACCAGACAAGCAGTTTTTTTGACAAAGAGCTGAGGCTGAGTAAATGATCGACGCACGAAGTGGAATGGCGCCCACGCGAAAGTAGTGACATCCCTGCTCATAGTGCTATTCGTATTGCGCCGTTGTATGTACTTTGCTTCATTTTTGCAGCGTCTATTTTCTTAATACCCAAATGCGTAATGGCCACTTCAGTCTTAGTGTAGTTCTCGTATCATGGAAAATAGGCACTTGTCATAAGAAGGAGTAACTAATGCATGTAAATGCCTAGTTCGGTGAATAGTGACATACTCATGCAAGTAGGCTCCGTAAATCTCCTCATATGTACATGAAGCAGTGCTGTTGGTGCCCGCGATATGTTCGGTCAGGCCGCGCAAAAGTTCCCCTGCGGCAGTTCTCGAAGCAGAAGCCGATCTAACTCCACACCAATACCGAGATAACCGGTTTCGGGGCCTAGAAAGTAGTATCACTAGAGAATAATGTTCAGGAACGAACATATTTGCCGTGCAGCCGATTTGTTACAATGCAAATAGCGTGACCAACGGTTATGCTTTCCGATGCGGAGAGTAAGCGAAGCCTGACTGCTGAATAGCGGGTTCGGAGGGTTACCGTGTGGTTCGTTCATGCTTATGCCTCCTTGGAATGATAGATTGTGGGGAGAACCACGGCAGATGGCCCCCGAAGTCTAGAATCCGAGTCAGCAGATGCTTTGTTTTCAACTCTCAGAACTTTCTATGGAGTACCCCTTGAAAGACTTACCATTAACCCCTACCATACCGGCCCGATTAAAACATCTCCTGAGTAAGTATCGATGGCTGTGATATTCACTAGTCACTTTAAGGGAAGAAAGATGTTAATAGTACCAAGCCACTGGTTCTTCGAAGTTTAGCCTGAGCGGTTTTGACAATGAAAGCCTTTTTTAAGCACGGATAGCCTCTCCCAGAGGTCTTATCTGTTTTTTTTTTTTTTTTCATTTTATCATGATTGCATGTTTGGTATTACATAACTATTTGGAATTTTAATATGGTATCAACATAATATACTAAGAACCAAAACAGAAATCAGGTGCGGCTTACGGTTACAGGGACTCTGCTAACTTTAGATCAGAGAATGTAAACTTGGCCGTCTTTTCTTTTGTCTTTCGACGTATGCCGTTATAAGTTTCTCGCCAAGGATTTATCTGTTTGAAAATAAAATGACTCCTGGTTCTACGACAACTGAATTCAAGTTGGCCTACATCAGAGAAAAAGAGAATCCATTAGGTTGAAACTTGAAATATATTGGGACTGTATCTTCTATTAAAGCACATCAATTAGTTTTCGATCTATTCAGTGCACAATTAAGTTATTCAATTGAGCCTTAAGCCGACTGCGGCCTGTATGGAGAGTAGGCATGATTGCACCCATGTATCATCCTCTGGGCAAGAAACTATTCCAAATCGCGCATATAATCAGAGTAAATACACAGGGCTGTTTTGAAGTTGCTACATACTTCCATGGGGATTCATTTTTCCAAGTCTTGAAATGCGAAATGTGCGTGTATACTCCCTAGTGACGAGATAGAGGTCAATTTTTAATGTCGCGCGTCGAATGCATTGTGCTGAAATTGGAAAATATGTCCAGTCTGTATTTGCCTAAGTTACCAGGATATCGGTAAAACTAAGCGCACTTACTCAAAGATGACCAACAAAGAGTAACTCTCGTTGTGCTGGTTGGTACTGCATGCGACTGAGAGAGCAGCACATATCTCGAGTGGAATGAATAGAGTAGGTGCCTATTATAGCGCACTAATTATGGTGGAACTTCGAGAAAAAACAACATACATGTATTTTCCCCACTGTACTATCGCAGGTATTATTTCGCATAAACTATTTGAACTGCTTTTTAGATCGTATGGACATACATGACCCTATCATTACTTACAGTCTGAACAATGCTCTGTTTCCCCGTTTTAAGGCCGCAACAATACGCTTGAATCACTGCAGTCTTGGCATCTGTGTCATAATATTGACCATGGCATCAGGTGAGTCATGGGCAGGCATTGGGTTATGAGCGCTGCAATAAATTAAGTCACAGGAGTGACAAAAGTTTGTGCCAAATCAGGCAGTCCAGATAACTCTATTCGAATTTATGTTTAGACTACGGACGCGTCAAGACGAGCAGAGTAAAGTTTCCGAAAGTGACAGCTGCATCGCCAAAGTTTAAAGTTGATGGGAACCCTGCAGCCTGAGTCATTCGGCAACCTTTACTACCAAACACGCTCTGTTCTATCAACGCGCGCCCAGTTTCCTTATAAAATTCTGCTGTTTAGCGGGCATTTCAATAAATCTACTGCTGTAGATGCGATACCTCCGCGTCAACGTGAAAGGCAGTATTTCAGCCCTCGGTCAAGTGTGCAAGCACGTAAAATGCGGCTTTCGGTCGTCGATTATCAGGATGTCCTGCAAGATCTGGACAAGGGTGTCCCGATAAACTTTAACACCAACTTCCACACCGCTGAAGAGGCGCCAGATCTTCCCATCCCCACTAACAAGCCATACGACTACGACATATGGCTGCCTTTGATACTGAAATCTCGAGGCCTTCCTCCTGCGGCGCTTCAAGTCGTCAAGCTCTCACGCGCACAGATCAGAGTCTTGGTCAGTGCTGCTGCAGCTTCAATCCATACCGGTGTGCTTAATCGATCTTACGCCGAAGATCTTGAAGATGATGTTTATCCTGCCTTTAGTGGGCTACATTTCCCTCCAGAAGGGCTGTTTATGCGTCTTGGGGCTTGTTCTCCAAAGGATGGCGCACAGCTTACGCCTGGGAAGCTGCCGATTCATTCCGTCGAGGACATCGTACTCCGCATCACAACATCCGCGAGAACTTGGAGCGCGCTGACAAATATACTCAACCATGAAGGAGAAGAAGGCCACGTATACTTTCTTCCATTCAATGCAGAAATGAGATCTGAGAGAGAATATCGCGTCTTTTGCATCCCCGACTCGTTGGGTATATCTTGTGTTAGCCAGTATAGATGGCATAAACCATGGATATTTGGCCATCAAGATAGAAATGAGATGACCAACATCGCTCACAAAATACTTAGCGGCATCCAAGAAGTTCATACCGAAATTATTGCTTATATGCAGGCGTATGATGACAATGAGATGGAAAGCCTTATTCGGAGCCAGGGTTTTACTTTCGATGTGCTCTACGGCGAAAATACGGGGAAATGCACTTTAATTGAGCTCAACACTTTTGGGGTGAGGAGTGCATGCGGTTCCTGTCTTTTCCAGTGGCTGAAAGATCGAGCGTCGTTGTATGGAGAGAGTCGCGATATTGAGTTTCGAGTTGCGGTATGAGATTATGATTGACAATTCTATTACGGTGTGAAGACTGAACTAGACAGAGAGAATAACTTCTTAAAGAGGAATATCGAGCACTGGAGTGATTGCGCATGGTACGGCAAAGAGAGTCGAAGTCTATACCCTTTAGTGCAACAAAGAGAAATTGAGACGATAATAGAAGACGCCCAAGTGCTTGAAGAGTGTGAGAAAAGATTACTGTTGTTGTGATTGTGGGGAGGATGGAATACTATACAAGTAATATACAATATTAATGTTTATACAGAGGCGATGTCCCACGTTGGTATCCAAACCGTTCGCCTAAAGCAACGCTCGCTTCTTACTCTAGCGCTGGATACTCTGGCAGCTTCCAGTTAGCTGTCTTTTTATCCAAGCCATCCATTTCACCCCAATTGAAAAATGATGCCATCTTCGCAAATCTATGTAAGATCCAGATTCCGATACTCGATTTGGGTGCCATCAAGTCCTCAAACCTGTCATAGCCTCCATGCATGGCAGTTGCAATAGGTCGGAATTTTTCTTCATACATCTTTGCACCTTGCATTACAGCGGCTGAAGCTGTTAAGTCTTTATTCTTCAATGACGTCGCAATCTCGCCCGCCAGCATATAAGCGCCCACCAAACCCCAGGCGCATCCATAGCCACCTGCGGTATGGCAATGAGCCGAGTCGCCAAGAAGAACGACTTGGCCCTTAGACCAAGATCCATGAGGGAGGTTGACTTCCTCGATTTTTGTGCAGTAGACATCATCCGCCTCTGGGGCATGAAGTAGAGCATCCATAAACCGATCGCATTCCCATCCACCTCCTTGATAAATGTCGGCTAGGGCTTTCTTCAATTCTTGTGGGTTTCCAGAGCTGATTGCTGCATCTAGATCGGGTTTCTTTCCACGGAGGATCATGTATACTCGTGTAAGTTCCGGGATGTCTTTTCTTGTCCCGATTATTCTTCCTCCAAGCAAGTGACAAAAAGTCCCCCTGTCAGAATCCCCTGGTTTCGATGGGACACTGAAGTATCCGATATAACCTCCACAGTCGCGTCGTGGGTCTGGGGCATCTTCACCAAGCATCATCTTGCGTGTTTTCGAACCGGTTCCGTCTGCAGCAACAACGAGATTGAAATCTTCTTCACGGCCATCTTCAAAGGTGACGTGAACCTTGGCGTCAGTGCTGTCTCCGCCGTCCTGAGTAAAGCTTTTGATGGTGGTATTGAATAGATGCCGCACGTTTTCATGGCCCTCGGTAAGTCCATAAAGAATCTTTACCAAGTCGCCTCGCATGATTTCGTACTCTGATGTAAATCCCTGCTTTCCGGAGCCACTCTTAGCGACGGGAAAGAATGCCTGGGTCCGGCCGTTGCGGTCAATTAACTGCATGCCAGATTCGTGTACACATGCTGCTGTCACAGCGGCTTCGATACCCATCTTTTTCATGATGGGTACGCCCTTGCCGCGAAGGTCTACCTGCTGGCCGGAAGCGCGCATCTTTTCAGATCGCTCGATGAGAGTAACATGGGCACCGATGCGTGAGAGCCAGTAGGCTACAGCCGGGCCTGCAACCCCGCCGCCGACAACTAAGACTTTTAAAGCAGACATGATGATGCAGCTATAGCCATATAACAGAGACAAAATTAAAACAATGAGAGTACTTTGTGATGGAAAGTGAGAACGCTTTGATACGACTAATAGAGAGTCGGTCTTGGCAGCGAAAACAGATGATTGTCCAGACACGCAATGTATGCTACGTTGTAGAGATATTTATAATTTTATTTACCCTTTCGCAGTGTAACCAGGCACAAAGGGCATTCGTTATCTGATTCGCACCTTAGGCACACATCCGAAGCTGAACACACGCGTGGCACAATTAACTAACGACCAGCCACGCGGACATTTCATGAGGCGCCAGGCAAAAACTTGATTCCTGGCTACACGTACGCAGGGCCAGAACCTTTGGTCAATAATGGTAGTTCTGAGATCCTCCAATAAGGGTGAAGACACTAGTTGTGACTCGTACGTCATGCAATACGTGTTCCCGCTGGAGATGAGTCAAGCGCTGCTCCTCTGAGTCGTGATAGTTTCGCGATGCTGGGAAGGATCGCAAATCCGCTGTTCCTGATGCATGCATATACAGCTTGATTTGGTAATAACTAGACTAAATATGTGCCGTTTCTTGCTGTTAGCGCAATGCACACATGCAGGCACACGCATGAGAAGGTAGAAAATGAGCTTGTGATAATCTTATCAGATCTACAGAGTGTCTATTCATGATCCTTCCTAGTAAAGCTAGAACAATATTCGTAATACGATCATGTAACAACTTCAATATCGTTCGCTTTATTCGCTTTATTCGCTTTATTCGCTTTATTCGCTTTATTCGCTTTACGCGTTTAGGGGGCGCTAAAGGTCAATAAAGCTCGTAGATACGATCGTTCCGACAACTCCTCGGTCAGTGCTTAGGTAATTACATGTAATCCCTTCACAGGCTTGTCCCTTGTATTTTGATTGTACGCCCGACCGATACTTTCACACATTCGAAGGCTGCGTAATTGACAGCTTAAATGAACAAGGGGGAAGAGTGATTTGGAATCGGGCCTTCCATCATGCGATGACTCATTTAGGCTGTAAGTTAAGTGCATTTTTACAAGCTGTGAATAACACAGAAGCCGAGTATTGCTTCACGTTTCCCGATATTGGATGCAACGACATTAAGGAGCATGATGAATCGGCTGTGTTAACTATCCAGGGTTAGCACCCTTCGTGAGGCGGATAGTATGTTTTGCCATCTAGAAAATCATGGCCGGAAGAAAGCTCTTGCCGTTACTCACAGCGATGTTTGAAGCGTTCAATAGGCAATAATTCGCGCAGTAATATTTATATCACAGTGGTTTGTAGTTATATAAACGATCTGTTTGAGCTTCATACTTATTAAACACAAGATAGAAATTGAGTTTAGTAGAATATGCGAGAGAGTGTACAATAATCTATATATGGATAGTATTCTCTCCGAATAGTTTAGAGAGAATCAAGCCAAGCTAATAAGATCTTTGTTTCAGCTTTGTTTCATGTTTTTTAAAGTCTTTGCATACTCTCATGTACTCCGAGAGTGCGTCAATCACATCACATATGTTCTAATCCCCGTAAAAGCCAAAATGTTCTTCATCCTCGTCCTTACTCTTAGTCTCATTTCCTTCTCCATGTTTATGCTCATGTTCATACTTATTGACATTCTTATCCTCGTCCATATCTTCACGCTCATATCCGAGCGCTTTGCCATTCTCGTACCTCACATCTTCTTGATACTTCCCTGATGGATTGTACATGTTGAATCCAAGATCGAGAGAATTTTCCGCTATTATTTACTTTCTACATTCATCAATCACTACCGGACGCATCTCAGTGTCTCCTATCTACTTTTCTCTTTCGCGCAATTTGTCCCGACCGTGGTCAGCGGGTCATTGAGCGGCAATTTCGCGATAATATCAATCTGCGGCTCTGTGAGGGCCATTTTTGGTCCTTGTACAGAACGCTGTTTATAACTTTTGAGGGCGTAAACAGAGAACTAGGTAAACGCGAGATCAAGTCCCGAAAATAATAATTATGCAACGTGGGTTTGCAGACTGGGGCATGATTGGCCAAGAGAATAAAAGTAATGCATTTTAAAATAAAAAGAAAAATATATCCTTGAGTTAGGTAAAAGTAATAATGTATTTTATAAAGCTTTATACTATAAGTAACTCTCATATACTATTATTTTTAAGTAAAATTATTTTTATAGCACATAGACTTTCATATATGTTAGTATTTAACCTGACTTCGTAGACCTTGGAAACAGTACCACAATACAAGTGCATAGAAGACTATGCTTTATCTACTATATTTCACCAAGGAAGTGTCTGGCCTCGCCAGTCTAGAAAGGTCCCGGTCTGTTCCATGCTAATATTTTCCAGCACTTTCACAATACCAGCAATACACTCTTCCATGTCATCTCGAGAACAGAAGTTTGTCAATCTTGTAGCAACATAGCCAGGGTTGATAGCTAGGACGGTAATATTATCATTATTCATCTGGAATTCTTTCGCCAGGGTTACGGTCATCATATTGAGAGCTGCTTTGGACATGCGATATGCCATATCTTCACCCTTGCACACTAGCATGATATCAAGGTTAACTAAACTGTTCGTAAAGTCGAAACGCCCTTGCTTACTGGAGATCGAGCCTGCATTGGAGGATATGTTGATGATAGTACCACCTGCTTTCTTGAGGTTGGGATAGAAGTATTTGGATGTTAAGAAAGGGCCCTGTAGAATGAAACGGTCAGTATAGAATCTCCTTGAGCTACCCAAAGGAGAGTATATACCACAGTATTGGTGGTGAATTTATCGGTTAATATCTCGGCAGTGTGCTCCCACCAGTTGTCTGGCTCAGGTCCGATACCTGAAAAAGGATTTAGTAAGGAACCAATTGAGGTTGCGATATCATAGGGTCACATACCTGCGAGATTGATCAACATGTCCAGAGGCCCCTCGCCAAACTCTCCGGCTGCTTTGGCGATGGTACTTTCATCGGTTAAATTGATCTCAAGAACGCACGAGGTGATAGCCTCAATCTAACATGAAAACTATAGATAAGAGCTTGGAACTCGAATTCAAGAGACTGTTTCTTACCTCCTTTATGGAGGGATCATTGTCTGCCCTGGTTTGGGGCCGTACACTTCCAACAACGTTCCAGCTATTAGCAGCCAGCGCACGGGCAAGATTAAGGCCGATTCCACGGTTCGCACCTCGATTGTGTCAATATAACGTGAATTTAGAAATGCTGTTCCATTTACACCTACCAACAAGAAGAACGGTTCGATTCATGATGTGTGGCGCCAGCTCGTGATGCTTAGATATCGTGGATATGAGCTTGGTTGGGTGAGACAAGAAGGTAACAATCTGGGCCAGACGATTATGAGCTGCCAGAAGTGAAGGCTTCATTGGGAGTCCCTCGGAGATGGGATAACAAAGAAAAGGAAAGAGGGGGGCAGCTAGGCTCCCTTCGCAAACTGTTGGAGGGGTCGCACCTTAGGCATTAGTGCCTTAGACACATGCATCAATGTCCCGGGTGTCGCGTTGGCTACGATATAGAAAAAAAAGTACATGTAGTGAGTCTCTTGGGCGGTGAATTTATACAAGGCAGCCAATTATAACTTAGATGTTGTGTACTGTGTTCCTAAAGTTGTCCATACGGTACACTACCCAAACTCCTCATGTACATACATGTATGTATAGCTCACTCTTTGTTCCAGTCGTCATAGACTCTCGTGTTTTTGCTTGAAATTCCAAGGTCATCATTTATTCATCGTCGTCGTATGGGAATTCAAATAACTCTGGAACATGATCGAGGCAGCTAATGTGTGCAGTCTCTAGCTGTGGGGCACCGCTATCTACACGTAGGTATTCACCACAAAAACGCCATAGCCTGTATTGATGTATATAAAAATAGGAGAGTCAAATGAGCTACAAATGCTCTAGTTGCCATGGAAGCTATAATTAGATCCTAAACTGCATGTGCTCTTGAGGTTTGAGTTACGCTGTACAGGAGCGCTTGCCCCCAATCGCCCCTCCCCCTCCTCTGCTTTTCCTGCCACAGATTGGCCCAGTAATGATGCTAGGTGGGTTACACAGCTCGTAATATTCCTCTAAAATTTGGTTTAGGGTGACTCTAGCTTAGAAAAGGGTGGGTAAACATGGTAATGGCAAGGCTTCAGGGCTGGCAAGGCTTTGGGGCTGGATAATCTAAGAATGGATCCGTCACAGCTGAGTTCAAAATGCTAACCCCTCTCAGTCTTTAATCTATTGCAAAATGCCATAGTTTCGAGATCTTCTATCACTGTGAGATTTGTCTTTCTTCTGAAACAAATTACCGCTTCGATGGCTGTCAATACTAACATCGATGGATCGGGCTCATATAGTAAGCGTGTGCAGTCATTTGCAGCGCGCTCCCAAGATAGCTACCTACTCTGCGGAAGCCAATACTCCAAGCTTGCTAGTCGCTTCTACTCCTCAACAAGAGGCACGTCCTCCAAGGGCTCCAACACTTCTTGCCCCAATAGAAATTTTCACTTTGTGACTGTCATGAACTTGCAAGTCACTTCGTCGCCAGATAAAAAGTCGACCGACCAACACCAAGTTCACGTTGAGGACTTCCCCAACCCTCAGGCGTTCCTGGACGGTCCAAAAGTAGGACCTGATTGCTCACAACTCATTTTCCTCAAGGGTTATGAGTCCACAGAATGGCTAAAAACTATCGGAGCCGCGCTCACAGTCGATCCCGAGTTCTGGCGGCGCCATGGTCCAAATTATGGGCAGGAGTTCTACGACCTTCCTCTACTTCCCAGCTATTGTCACGGCATCGTAAAGCTACGCATCATCACAATTTTGAACTCGCGCATCGCCGGAACTTCAACAACTGTGGAGAGATGGCGCGTTGATGGTAAAGAAATTATCAGGCGCCACCACATTAAACTAGAGAAGAAAGGCTCCGAAGGCGAGTCAATTATTCGACAGCTATACATGCACAGCGAAAGTGTATATACCGTCGAACAGCACATTTCATGTACGGTCGTTCAAAAGAACAATGGCTGGGCCGGCAAGTTTGCCAATTTACGACCGATTTTCGTATCGTATTTCTAACATATCTTCTTATGCAGGTCTAATATGGCTTGATTTTGGCAAGACTCCTCTTCCTTCAATCCAGGTCTTATCCAACGAAGACTATCATTCGGACATGCCTGATTACTGTATTCCTGTCATTCAGCCTCAAATTCCCAAAGCGGCCCTGATATACCCTCTTAGCGAAATTGGACCTGGTCATTCTCCCAATGGGCTTAACAGTAGAATGACGCCCTCCTCCACTCAAAGCGCATCTCTACTCCCAACCCAGTATGGTGAGGGCCTCAAACCTCTCAATATGCGTATATCGCCTTTATATGCCATGAGCGACATCTTTCGTCATGCTGCCTATAGCTCCAATCAAATGGTCAATATGTTGACGTTGAATATCGAGGAGGCTTTGCGGTGGGCACACCGCCATGAGGCTCTATCTCTGTCAGATCTACAATTTAAAAAGGATATACTAGACGAGCATGCAGCCTACCTTGAGGAGGTTGTGACCTTCCTCAAGGTCGGATCCAAGTCCTGGACAGTTCTCAATCCAGACAGCTCGGGTGCGCCGAACGGTGCCGACTCTAGCAATACAAAACAGTCCACCAGAGAGAATATGCAAAAGGCGGAAGAGATTGCTAGCATCACCCAGGCTGAACTACTTGAAGACTTCAACGTACTCATTCAACGGATAGAGAAACTGGCTGCACGATGTAAGGATGGCACCGACATCATACTAAACAGGGCACAATTGCGTGAATCTCAAAAGGGAATTGAACAAGCAGCAGAAGTCAAAGTTCTTACTATTCTAGTATTTTTCTTTGCGCCTTTGTCATTTGTTACTTCAATTTTTGGTATGAGCTTCGTCAACGTGGATTGGAAGATTGGGGTGCCAATTTATGTCGCGATATCAGTTGCTTTAGCCATTGGACTAGGAATAGCCCTTACGAAGCAGGTAAGATGGTAGTGGATGGGCCAGAGTTTTTCGTAGCATTACTATTAGCCATATCCGACAATGGTACCGTAACGACTTATATGTCCTTGCTATATATTTCTCCTCTATACTTAGCAGAAACATCAAGACATTCGGTGGTCTTGGTTTACTGTGCTTTAACTCACCACAATCGTGGAGGCCTTGCAGTTATAAGTCCTTGGCAGATATATTGGCAAGACATTCAAGTATTCTAGATCACCAATATCTATCATTTTCAATCCAGGATAGACTCATGCCCTTCCGTGTTTTATGCACAAAATTCTGTTATAGAGACCAGAATCTCACCAAAGAGTCGAAATCTTTTTCACCTAAATTTTGCGCGGTTGAGTAGGTATGTGGACGAAGGTCAGAGTATAGCGCAACCGCCTCCTTATAGCTAGGGTCATCATGCATGCTAAGATATGCTTCTTGCTTCTTTGATGACGCCAAAAATACCGACTTCTTGTACAATGCCCTCGCTAGCTCTGGTTTATAATAGGGAGCCTGGCGGAAAATGTCGATAGCCTGGTCAAAATTCATTCTACCGGCAGGAATAATATTAGCTGAAAGTAGCAAACGCCTTGCGATTCATCCTACCTTGCTCCATATGCAAGTCCTTCTTGCATCGCGAGAATTTCTGCAAGTTTTAAGAGTATCTGACCAACTCTAAACGAATTTGGTCCTAGGGTGGCTCGGAAATTGGCAAGAGCTTTCTGAAAGATACCAATGCTCTCAACTATGAGACCCTGCTTCTGGTTTGCGATACCTAGGCAGTGTAGTGCAAGACCGAGCCTATTCTCATGGTAGTTAGTATTTTTTTTCCTTCCATGCTTGAGCTCGTATCTTGAGGAGGAAAGACACAAACTTGAAAGATTCCACATCATTCTCTTTAAACTTCATCTTCCTGTATTCAATGACGGTGAGTGATAAACCAGCAGCTTTGCTATATTGTTTCAAGCCAAGCCAAGCCCAAGCTTGATATATATGTGCAAATTGAGAAATGGCCCCCTCATAAAGATGGTCCGGAAGGGCTTGTTCTAATATCATGCATTCTTTGCAGTGCTTCACAGCTTCTTCGTATTTGTCAAGAAGCAAGTATCCCTGAGCAAGACTGGTGTGTGACGTAGCTACATCCTCGCGGCACGAGATTGAGCCATCATCCAGCTCTAGGCATATATTATGAAATTGTAGGCAATATTCGTAAACTCTTTGTGGGTCCATATTCGTTTCTTCCCCATACCGTGCATATGAGAATAATGTATCGGCCAGATATCTCTTCAGTTGGTTTCCGTATTGTTTACAGATCTTTAGTGTTACTTTGAAGATTGGCTGTGCTGTAGCATAATTCGAGCTTTGGACCAAGTACCTTTTTACAATTAGTCGGTATTTCAACACGGTTATATGAGATAGCACACAAAATCTAAAGTGGACTTACCAGCCAACCTCTTGTAACAGCTTCACAAACTCACAAGCATTGTCAATCGGCAAAGCCTCAATCTCGTACAAGGTAGTATATTCCCGAAGAGTAGTGTTTATGTGAGGCAATATATCCTCACATTTCTGACGTTTGAAATTCTCGCGGTTGAATCGATCATTCGCACACTCCCAGGCCTCGCATAAGAGATATATTGATAGCTGAAAGTAATTTTGGAGTTGCGTCTGGCTCAATCTGTCTCGTGCCACTTCTTGCACAATCCGGTGCCATGTAAGGGCTCTGCATTCCTTGTTTCTTTGCACAAGTGAAGTTTTCGATAGTTCATTGCGAGCTTCAATAAACATTTCACCAGGATAAGGATAATAGAGCATTGGAAGGGATGGAATTTTTACTGATTGTTCCATAATAAACTCTGCCACTCCATCAGGATCCATAAAGACCATGGCGTAAACTAAGCTTTGAGCTTGAGAGGTGAGTGACTCAAATTTCCAGACCGTGGCCATTGTGAATTTGTACTGTTCCTTTAGCGGAAGCTCCGATACTTTGCTCAATTCTTCTAGCAAGGAGCCGTCTGGTTGGCGAGATACATACTCGTCAATGGTCATATGATTTCGGCGGATGCGAGTGGCTATTTGAGTTATAGCTAGAGGGACATTTCCAAGTGTTCTCGCCAGCTGGAAGGCAGCTTGGTCAGACTTAGGATTTGGCGATTCGCCAACTTGCTTCTGGAGAAGCAAGATACATTCTTGGGGGCTCATAGGCGATAGATTGATTCCCCTCGTCGCAAGTTCCGTCATCGCAAGGGGATCACGGGAGGTGACCAGAACAGAGCCTTGCGAAGCCATGGGCCAGTAATCCCGCATGAGGTCGATGTTGTCCGCGTTATCAAATAATATCAACCACTTGGCAAGCTTAACTTCACCGCAAGTGTCGCTTACCACATTTGGAGCTCTCATTCGCGGTTCAGAGAGCCACTTAAGAACTTTATATCGACATACTACCTTATCGCCGCGGTCACTACCGTCGACAAGGTCAAGTGAGTTGGCAATATCGACAAAGCCTCTCGCAATTTTCGTCTCCTCGTCAGCTTGAATCCAAAATATTGCGTCGAACTCGTCTTCCCTCTGGAATGCGTAATAGGCTGCGATTTGTGTCTTTCCAATTCCCCCAAGTCCACAGAGGCAGAAAGAGCGCAGGCCGTAAGAGCTGGATTCACGTGGAACTAGCACTTTGTCAATATCCTCGATAATAGCTGACCTTCCAACGAAGTTGGGATTGAATTCAATCTTCCTGACGAAACAGGGCATCTTAGAGAATCCTCTTTCTGGTACAAGGACCTCGAAACTCGATGAGAAAGCGGATCTAAATGCTACGCTTGAAGAATAAGTTGGAGTTGCCTCTATTTACATTAATTCTATTAGATATTATGATTCATTGTAAGAAGTTTAAGGTATAGGGAGGAAGAGGGAGTAGACTTACGATTCATGCCATCGGTTGACACTGCATTCGACATGGAGCTATTCCAAAAATTGACTCTTTCAACCGGGTTTCGTACTGGGTTTAATGTAGTTTAGAAGTTTGCATAGCTTTTCTAAAGGGATGGCAATATGCTCTCACCAATAATGATGGCGTTGGTAGAGTGGGAGGGCCATTGAATTAGAGTCGATATAGCATTCCTGATAAGCATGGATATGTTGTGATACACTTTGCAGGTTGAATCAAACTTGCATATTCCGTGATAATCGGTGGGAACTGCTATGGTTTTCTCATCTCGCAGTGTTATCTCCGCTAATTGACGCCCAAGAAGCTAATCAGGGAGAAGTGATCTATATCAATATTTGACACAGCGTCTTTTTCCTTTTCCTGGGAGCTCACCTTGGACTTTTTCCAAAACTTTATCCGTGTATCTCTCTCCTCATATACAGTCAGGATACTACTACCAACGGCTGTTTTCTCGAACTTGGATGACACATCTGTGACTTGCGCGACGAATTGATAGTTTTCGGCCAGATAGCTTGCTGTCCATTTCCCATAGTATTCGAGTAGCCTATTTAACTTTGGCCACAACTCTCGATGGCTTTCAGTTGGATGGGGACATCCAAAGAACACAGTTCCTTGGAGTGCAGCGAGAGTAACTTGTAAAGTTCGATTTGCCGGACCGCCAGCTTGTTCGCACATACTATGAAGTGCCTATAGACGTCAGACTAAATTCCCAAGCAATGAATTATTTGATGCTTAATAACCTTTTTGATTACGAAGCCACCAAACCCATAAGCTATCAGGATTAATGGCCGGGCCTGGTTCTGGTTGACAATGCATTAAAGCTGATCATAGCTGAGATGTGCCCGCTATTAATACTTACACTATAGTCCAGTGCCTCTGATATTGCCCGGACAAGTTTATCGCCTGATTCCACGAGAAATTGCCAGATCGGTTTGCTCAGCGAGGGATTAATATCGGCAAACTCGTACACATTTGCTCCTGGTGCTTCGACAGAGAGAAGGTGCAGCAACGATTCCAACTGGTCAATTTTCTTTGCAACTAACTTATAGTCCGGCACAATGAGAATGCTATTTATTTAGTTTTCCGTAAGCAATGGTCAATAGAAGCTGTTTGCTGGTCCTGGCTCACTCGAGAGTCCCTCCGTCGGCAGCCGAGAAATCACCAGCCTTGGGTTGTTTGAGAACTAATCGCCGAAGAGGAGGGCTAGCTGGGATCGCTTTCTGAGTGGTGCTGATTTGAAATGGCGCCATGGCAGTATCAAATGGTCATGATTGATATTGCCAATCACTTACACAAACAAGTCGTACTAAATATTATGCAGCTTATGGGAATATAGAGACTCTGTTGTTGTAGAAGGCGAGGACGTGAACGTTCGAGTTGCATCAACGTTGAGGGGTTTTGCTGCAGTGAGTGCTGTCAAGTATCATCGCCTGACTCCAGCAGTATATATGCACAGTGCAGCGGGGGGTCAGGTGCGCACAAGGGTTCTGACACTGCTTCTCTCTAGACCGTGCTCGTGCTCATTCTGGTAGAACAGGCCAGTTGCAAAGATGCATATTGAATTTGATGAGTAACTATATATATTTTTCGTTTCCTGATTATCTTATATGATGGAAACTTGGAAGTCTAACTAGAATATCCGTTGCCCTTTCTTTTCTTTTCTTGTTCCTCGTCTCCGAGTGGCTAACATGTGTTGTCTTCTGTGAGGAAGGACAGGGCAGCAACCGACAAGGCCTTCATTCCAGTCTCTAGGGTGGGGTGTATCAATGGTGCATTAAAAGCAGAGTGTTCGATGGGGATTTTGTCAAGTACATTGCCATCTCTTCGTGCTCTCTCAAGATCTTCGGGATGTACCCGGCCGAGAAACCAAAACACGTACGGGGACTGGACGGCCCTCGCCAAGATGGAGAAATCCTCACAAGGATGACTAGGGAGCTCTTGCAGAACCTTATCTGCCCCAAAGAAATCAGCAAAAACCTGGCCGACTCTACCTGCTAAATGCCCATCATTATTAGTTAAGGGAGCTCGGACGGACGATGTAATACAGGGTTTCTTGGCAGCGCCAGAAGCGGTAGATTCATCCTCCACGATGCCATTTATGCCATCGAGCAGCCGGCTTCGTAAGCTAGGATCGTAAGCCTTGACATCTAAGACCACATCTGCATACTCAACCCAGTCTAGGCCAGGGGCTCCTATGTGTAGCTCTTCGACGTGGATTGAGGCGTATCCATCTTTGGAGACCTCTTTGACGAGATCCTGAAGCCTTAGGACAATCTTGCTCACCACCACCGAGATCTCAACTGACACCTGCGGGTTGGCGGCGTGCCCCTCGCTGGAGAAAACGCGAAGCTTGACTGTATCGGCCGAGACTAGCACAGGCCCGCTTTTGATACTCAGGGTGCCACTTGGAATTTGCATCAAGTGTTGAGCCATGACCACATCGGGTTTAGGAATCTTTTCATAGAGGCCGTCGTCGATCATCGACTGAGCTCCACCAGTATGTTCCTCGTTTGGCTGAAATAGGACCTCTAATGTTCCTGCCCACGCACTTCGAGCATCATGCAGTAGTTTTGCGGCGGCTATCAGGCATGCCATGTGCATATCGTGCCCACAAGCGTGCATCACAGGCTGGTCGCGCCCCCACATATCTGCCATGCGTTTCGTGCTCGAGAATGAGAGCCCTGTCTGCTCCTGGATGGGTAATGCGTCTAGCTCGGCCCGCAGCATCACCACCTTGCCTGGACCGTTTTGAAGGACACCGACGACTCCATGGCCGCCTATCGATTGGCGAACATCGAAGCCTAGATCTTGCAATCTGTCCGCGATGATGGAAGATGTGCGGGCCTCGCTGCATGATAATTCGGGATGCTGGTGGATATCTTTATAGAGGTTTTCGAACTGGGCCAGCGGAGGAGCAAATGTCTCTATGGTGCTTGCAAGATCTAACCTGAGGTTAGTCAAGCTTGGACATAATGAGGAAAAGCTCCTACCAATGCACTGTTGCCCTAGCGGTGCTTGGCTCCCAGAAAAAGTGAGCGGGGTGGCTACCCTCACTAGAGGCATAACACCGAAGATGAAATGCCTGGGGAGCATAGCCAAGGGTAGCAGTTGTGCTTCTGTGCTATTATCTCAGCAGCTGGAAAAGATAGATTCGCTTTAGATGTTGATACCGGAAGAATGTCTGATGAGGCGCAGAGGCGCTAGAAGCCAACCTGGAGGACCAGCAGCATCAGCGTTGCCAACCATAAGTATGTTGGATGTGTGTTGCCGGCGGGTCATGTGACGGCATCGCAGATGGGCGGGTTGCCTCGATGACAACAAAGAAAATGCCGATTTGTGCAAAGCTCCCTACTTGTACTCCTTTTCAGCGTATTGATAGAATTCTAATAGACTTGAGTTTCACGTTTCAAGTGTAATACAGTAATTCATGGAGAGAGCACACTGTACGCCCGCAGTAAACTCGAAGAACATGAGAAAGGTTGGAATGTGGGGTGTGAGAGACTCCCCGAAAATCTGGCCCTTGCTCCCAGCAAAGCCTCGTCAATTTTGACTGGGCAACTCCTCAATCTTCGGTGATGAAGTGGCATGAGGGGATATGTTGTGTCATCCGTAGCCTCCTGCGATGGGGTAACAAGAATGGCCAAGATGAGATTAGCCATTTGTATAATATTAGGGGTACTGGTTCGAACAATGAATCTAAGACGTGAGATGCGGGATGATACGCTGCGTCTGAAGCCTCAGAAGTGTATCTTTAGGGTCGTGACTCTCTCAGTCAGCGGCTTATTGAGTACTCTCAGCTGAGTGCTAGGCATGAGAGTTAAAGTGGCTGTGCAGATAGAATTGATCAGATAATGAAGCCCATCCAGTTAACCAGCTGGGTCCATGTTGAATATAGTTGTCTACGAAAATGATAGTGGGATATTTTTTACAACAAGGTAGGTTTACGTGGCGTTTCTCTCCCGCCGTCTGCTGTGGACTTGCGGAACAGTGTCATGCTCTTTGTACCAGCTGCTATTCCTACAGCGTAGGCGTGAATTGATGATTGGCCTTGGAGGACATCGCCCACGAGAAGCTTAGCGAATGGATGAGAGAATGGTCACCCACCATCACGCCTCTAACCACTGCAATGGGCAATGTGCTGGTGGAAGCATCTAGCACCAAGTTTCCCTCTCTGAGGCACGTCTTCTTTGTTGGCGAGTTTTGACCACTCGCGATTGCAAGGCCTTCGGCACGTGGTCCCAACATGCCAGATCGTGGATATGTACGAAACCACCGAGGCAAGTGGGTAGACCCGAATCAACCCTGTAAATGAGAATATCTAACAATTATGCTGTAGGTCGAGTTGTTTCTTACTTCGAAATTCTTTCCATTAAAGAGAATTCCGCTTCTCTTGACGCGCTAGGGGACACCGTCCCCGCAGGATGGTGATCCAAAACGTCTAGGCCCTTGCTGATTAGAACAACTAGAGTAATAATGCGAAGCCTTGTAGCATCGTAGCCTAAAAAAAGGCAACAAAAGCAATAGAATCAACTGAGAGAAAACATTCTTTTCTTCAAAGAGCTTGCACGTATGGGCAGCTCTTAGCTAAATTATTCCGCTTTGACACAGCTGACTGTTTGCAGGGGAGATTTTTCGTCTCTCAATCCCGCCTTGAAGGCCGCCACTGATTTGTATAATTGTCTCCTCTCCTCCATCGTTGCATGTTCTTCAAGAAAAACAGATGGCGAAAGAGAACTGGCCGTATTGGCGTTATTCCCAGCGCTTATAAGTACCGGCACGGCTTTAGCAAAAGCCCCTCGACAGTCTCGATGGTACCTGAAAGTGGACACCGGCTCGCTGTGGCGTTAGCCGCATCCGTGATTGGGCTCTGCAGCCCAGCGAAATTTCTGTGGCGAGAGATGCATCTAGAATCAATAGCTTCACCTGAAGAGGGGCGCTAACAATTCTTCAGCTGGCGTTAGGTGCTTGGCTATTGACACAAGCACTGCAATAGTATTGCACCCCCTTTCCTAATTCTGCTTGAAGCTATGCGGGAGCTGCGCTAATCTTGGAATATAGATTCCACTACCAGGGGCAATCCATGCAAATAGTCGCTAGCATTGTGAAGCTATCAGCGGATGCAAATGGAGTAAGAACCAACGAAGCAGTGGCGGTTGAGGCTATTGTTATTATAAGGTTAAATAGAGAGAAAAAAGTATAGTAAATGAATAAGTATATAGATTTGCTTGACCATCTGCTCGCAATCTCGTCTGTTAGACTTTTTTAAAGTAACCGCAGTTTACCGTCAACATGGTCAAGGTCAACTCCATCGTCTCTCTGCTGGCACTGGGCTCCAGTGCCCTCGCTATCGAGCGCCAGCCTCGTCCTGATCTGGTCGAGGAGTTTATAACTTGCACTACCGAGTTGGCGCCCAAGAGCAACCACCATGTCCCGACGTACTGGCACTCCAAGACAAGAACCCTGACCTACACCGAGAGGGTTACGATTACTCCTCACCCGATCATCACGCCGACTAAGACGAAGACGAAGACCGTTACCAATATCATTGAGACGACAACTACTGAGCCCCCTTATACAGACGTTGCTACCACCACGATTACAAGTAAGCAAACATGTGTGAATCGTTTAAATATGGTTAAGTATGGAGGTGTTAACATATGGAAAGGCACCTCTTATGCTACTACAACAAACGTTGTCACTCAGACCGATACCTCAACAATCTCTACCACAATTACAACTACACCAACCACCACCATCCCTGCTCCCGCAGACTTCACTCCTATCTCTCAAGAGCAGGGCTTCGTCGCCAAAGCCAAGGTCCGCAGCGCCAAGAACGTCCTCGAGAGAAGCAAGGAGGTCTTGCAATGCAAGAAGGACCCCCACGGCGGCCACTCTTTCTATCCTCCTCTGTACCCTCAGTTTGTCACCTGCAACAAGCTCATTGAGCCCGTTTTTATCAAGCGCGTCACATATACCGCCAAGGCTTGCACCAAGACTGCCCCTCCCAAGACCAAGACGGTCACAACCACCGTCAAGAAGACTCACACCGATACGATTTGGCCATGTGAAGTTACCAGCACGGCAACATCCTCTACGTCGACTGTTGTCACCTCAACAGTTGATTCCACTATTACTACCACCGTGACGTCCACAAGTAAGACTCGCAACGCCCCCCTTTGAGGTTGATCGTTCCATTTAGGCTAACGCTATGACCCAGATGTGGTTTCTGCTACGGCTCCCCAACAGACACTGCAGGCAGTCTGTGGCCCGGAAAACCTCATTAGCTCTGCAAATGGTGGTGAAATTATTAGCCTCGTTGAAACCAACTACCCTGGCAATTTCGCATATGTCGCTGGTGTCACGGACTCCTACGATTGCTGCTTAAGCTGTTTCAATACTCCGGGCTGCCGAGGTTCTTTCTTCGCTGGCACCCAGTGCACTCAGATCGTCAGCGTTGATGGTGTGTGCCATGCAAACCAGTTCAGTCAGGATGCATTCTTGACGTCGCCAAAGGGGCCCAACAGCGTAGTTACTACAATTAGCAATGGCCCATGTGGTCTGATTAAAAACCTGGGTGACGCTTCTACTGCCTAAGAGAATAGTCCTCCATTTAAAGGCGTAACGTTGCGAAGCATAGATTATAAAATATTTGTTGTATCAAATGCGTACATAATTTGTAATATATATATATATATATTTAACCCTTTGAAGACTGGATATTTAGGCGAATATTTCCAACGCGACAATGTTTACATAAGTGAACAACCTTAAATTGAAAACCAACTGTATTAAAATCACCGAAATGTCAAGGACACGGTTTGTAAGCAGTCAATAACATTTATATTAGGCGAATGTGATATCAATACTGATGCTAACGCAAAGAAGAAACTTGTTTCACCGGACCCATTAAAATCCAACTATATCATGGGCTGCTAACCCCGTTCAACGGCTTAATTCAATGAATAGCCTGTTGAACTCTGGGATAAACTCTAACCATTTCGTGATATAGCTCTGGATGATCTCTGATCATGACCTGAGGATCCCAGCCAGCTGCAACAAAGATAGTGTCGATGCCGCTACCAAGAGGAGTTGTGAACACGTGCCCGATCTGAAAACCAATCAAAAACGCATAAGCCATGATAACGGCAGTGAACCCTCCGTCACGATTGTATGGGGGGTCAGTCTCGAGGAGATAGAGGTAGGCGAAGAGAGCGCATGCGTAGCCAATGAAAATAGCACCGAAAGAGAGCACAGGACCAACCAGGCAGTCCTGATTGCAATTATTAGCAAGTTACAAGATAAACAGAATACAAAATGCTGAAAAGGAAATTAGTGACGTACGTTGACAAGGGCATCGATGCCGCGATCCTTAATCATCCTCCAGGTATCTCTGGCTGAGGCAATGTATGCCTTGCCGTAAAGGGCGATGTGGCAAAACGCATACCGGTTGACGAATTGCACAGCCCATTCGATAATACTTATTACGCAAGTAAGGATGCAAAAGATGGCATATGCAATCCAACCGGCAGCACCGCCCTCGCTGGCTGCCTGCGACCGAACAACACTGCACACTTGCTTCAGAAACTGAATGAAGGCTACTATAAGACTTCCAAAACAGATAGAGCCGAAGCTGTAGGTGAGTGCTCTCTTGGCAGCGCCACGAGTAGCTCTTTTAGGGAAGTTGTGTGGCGAGAAGTACCAAGACCCATAGACACCAGCGATGATGGTGTGAATGGTGTTCTTTAGCCACTCAGATATCCAGAACATTGCGAACGTCACGTAGGCGACCAGACCAATGACTTTGCTGTGGCTGCAATTATTCCCTGATACAGAGCATCGCGGATTGTCGGGCGACGGCTCATAGGAGACGTAAATGGCAACGAGCGTAACCGAGAACCAGGCGGCCAATGCCGTTGCTATAAAACCCCCGATGAGGCTTACGAGGTAAACATGGCCATATTTCTTGCTGACATCAATACTCGTCTTGAGCATCAGTGCTGAGAAGGGGATTCTGCCAATCCAAGTAAAAAAAGCAAATATGAGGAAGGCGGCGAAGATGACGAATACTATTCCCGCAGACCAATATCCCTTGATCAAGTAGTATATTGCGGTCCCGAGCGCCCAGGCGAGATTGAGGATGCCTGTGATCCAAATGAACTGCTTCGGGAAGAGGCGTGCCAGCCAGACATAGACATACGAGAAGACGAAGGCGATAACTAGACAGAAGGCGAAGAGTATAATCGTGTTGCTGTTGAGCGAAAAGCTGTTTAAATCATCGTAGATGCCGTGTCCGGCGAAGCCTTTGGAATAACCGTGGATCGAGAGGCCTGAGACGGCTACATAGCCTCCGAAAGCTGCGAGGAACTGCAATGGAGATATTCTTTAGTGAGAAATACCAGTCACAGCTGGACTTGAGCTCTCATATGAAGCGCTTACAAGAATACCCGCCCACCAGTCGTTGAACTTGGGCTTCTCAAGCTTGAATGCGTCGTTGAAGGAGTATTTCTCGTCATGTACTTGGGGAGGGTTGAAGCTGTATGGCGGAGGAGGACCGTATGGATGATCCTGATAGCCATTTGCAGGTTGCTGCTGATACTGCTGCTGCTGATTGCCATTGTAGGCTGGATTGTAGCCGCTATTGTTATTGTTGTTGTATCCTTGATTATTCTGAGCCTGATTATGGTAGTCGCCGGGGTTCTGGCTCTGACCCTGATCTTGATACTGCGGCTGGTTCTGTTGCTGGGGATCGCCCTGCTGTCTGTATTTGTCTGCTTCGCTCATCATGGCATATCGAACTTGGAATACGCCGTTGCTGTTGACAAGATAGAATGTTGGCGCGTAAACTATGTGGCCAAAGAAGGCGAGGGGGACGGTAGAAATGTCTCGGATTGTAGACACAATCGAAGGGGGAGATGATGAAGGGCGTTTGGTCTGAGCCTTGGATTTTCACGTGGAACTGCAAACAGCTGCAACTGCGCTGCAATTGAATGCATGAGGTCATGGCGCCAAAGCTCCCAGATTAGCGGACCCTGATCGGTAGCGGACAGGCCCCTATTCGCCAGATTACAGCGCCTCGGAAATTTGAATGGCTGCCGTGATCAGCCCATCCGGCGCCAAAAGCCACGATCTGGGATAGACTTTGGAGCTACTTGAGGGGGCCAGAAGATGCACTCAGTGCCAAGGTTGTGAGGAATACATGGCACCAGGCGCTTCAATCAATAAAAGAAACGAGCATGGATACAAAAGATACTTATCTATAGAGAAATTGATAAGGGAGTGCCATTATGTTGGCATATTGTATGTAGGTACATAGACTCATCAGTTGAACATTCAACTTGAACGTGATTGAACGATGTGTTATGGTAGATTGCAAGCAGCAGCTGCCGAATCCTTTCCGGATATCTTCCGTTCAACCTTTTCACGGTACAATGCCTTGAAGAAGCTGGTGCTTATATGTGCTCTACCCTCTAACAGCACGCATCTAGTTCAAGTACTTCGTGCAATCATAAAGCAATCTGCTGAAACGCAGCCATCAGTTGCAATAAGCCCAAATCCTCCTCCCTTGTACTGCTTGTCTGAAGCTTGTAACTCTGTATCATCAACACGAACGTAGATGGTGTTGTCACAAGCTGCCAACGTTACTCGATATTTATAGTCTAGTTCCCATGAAAACGCCGCAGATGCGAGTACGATCCTGTGCGCGTCGTGTGCCTTTACGATATTGATCTTCTTGTCGTTGGTGAAAGTAACTGCATAGTAACGGTTGATTCCTTGAACTCTGATTGCTAGACCAGCCGGAGCCCCGAATTTGACCATGAGGTTAGGGACTGTAATGCTGTAGTTATCCCACTCCCGCGTGCCGTAAATTATGATGCCCTCGCCTTGCCCCTGGGCAATAAGAAACGAGAAGTTGCTAAAATTATCGGCGCCATTAACCCAGGCTCGACGCCAGAATCCACATGGTTGCTGCAGCGGTACTTTGAGTACCATATCTGGTACGCCTGTCCAAGAGAGGCTGTCCAGCCAAACTGTACCACTGTAAGGACTTGTTGCGCCAGAGCTTAACGCGATACCGATTTTTTGAATAGGCTGACTATCCATTTCATCCGGTATTGTCCAAACCAAAGACCGAATCTCCCCAGTGCGAAGTATGATAGAAGGCCCATCAACTCCGATCAGTTCATCGTTTCGACTATATACCTTCAATTTCAACCTAACGGTTATATGGCCATCTCCTTCGTCGCCGGCGTACACTTTTGCTGTTACTGTCTGGCCAGGGTATACGAGTGGTGATGCCATTAACTCATAAGTTTTCATGCGCAAAACTTCTTTCGGTGTAAAAGTCTGAGTAAGAACTTCAATCTGGCCCTGTTCCTTGCTGAACTTTTCCACGTCTACAGCCAATCCAGGGCCATAGGAGCTATTAACTCGTTGCTGAAGGACAGCCGAAGTTCCTTGGCTTGTGCCAGATGGCCATGAAAGCTGAAAACCCTGAAGACTCCCTGGAAGGCTAAAGTGGAATTGAGCGCCGCCTTTTGGAGGTTCGAGCATCTTCTGGCCAGCTAGTCGTCGACCGATGTTGGTAATATTATACGCAATTCGGACCGCATTATTAATGGAATATCCGCCATCTGCACTCGAAATCAGGGCACGGTCTGCCAGTGGACCCCTCCAGTCATATTTCCCTTGGAATGCAGAGAGGCCAAGCATAGTGGCAACAAGGCAACCCACGTTGCCCGAATTGCAATCAGTATCCCAGCCGCAGGTATTGATGATGTGCATAGCTTCATCGAAATCGTGGCTGGCATAAATTACAGCCATTATCATGACAGCATGATTGGGGATAACATGGCAAATGCCATGGAATTTATCGTATCCATATGCTTCCTCTATACGCTGGCGGGTTTTCATCCAATCTCTATCTTCTGCAACCCATTTTCGAACATTTCGTATTACACGAGCAACAAGAGAGTCTTCGGGAATAGCTGAAAGGCCAGTGTCGAGAAGGTGATTGATATCCTGTGATATAAAAGCTTCTGACTCCATTGAAGCCCACAGCTGAGCAGCGTATACAGACTCTCCATCATGACCGACCGAGCCAGCAGCACGAGCGAGTTTAGCTGCAAGCTTAGGATTCCCTGGAGCTACTAAAGCCCACCCATCAATGAAAATTTGCGCGCCTATTTGTTCGGCAACGGTCCGCCCATTTGTCTGTATTGCACCACTAAGAGGTGCAGGTATGCCTCGCTTCAAATTTAAGAACGCAGTATGTTCCGTGGACATGCCCCTGCCGCCCCACCAGAATATAGTACGATTCTCAATAACGTTATTGAGCCATGTTTTGCCAATGTCTTCGGATGATATATCAGGAGAGTAACCATGTTCTTCCAGCGCTCGAACAAACTGAAATGTGCCAGAGACATCGTCGTCGGTGACAACGAGAGGATCACCAACTTTTTCATGAACGTAACCGCGAATATGGCCGAGCTCTTCAACTATTCTCTGATGCGTCCAGTTCTCGAATGGGCGTCCGACATAGACTCCAATAAGTTTGCCAAGTACTCCAGCATAGACTCGCTCCAGGTAATCGTCTGGCAGTTTTGACATGGTGGTCGTGGTTCTTGAGGGCTTAGAGTTCAGCTGCTCCATTCAAAAGCAAACGGCCGCTCTGTTATACATACGAATATGACGATTAAGATATGATAACTAATTACGAAAACAATCGCGTGGCTGGAGATGGGAGCGTATCTTCACATTGAAGCCGCTACTATTCTAGAATAAAGATTTGTCGGATCCAACTCTGCATGATAAGGCGCATAGAGCTTCCCCGCATGACCATCCCCACGATTAATCCCGGGAAGCGAGGGGCAGAGCAACTATGTATTATGTAGCTAGATTTTGCGACGCAAAATGCGTAAAGCTCTCTGTTAAGTGTTCTCAGAACCATCATTTCTCGAATAAATCGAAGGTTAGGCAAAGTATAGCCACCCTATTTTATTATTATTATTATTATTATTATTATTATTATTATTATTATTATTATTATTATTATTATTATTATTATTATTATTATTATTATTATTATTATTNTTATTATTATTATTATTATTATTATTATTATTATTATTATTATTATTATTATTATTATTATTATTATTATTATTATTATTATTATTATTATTATTTTAACCTTTTTTTGGCCTTTTTCGAGCCTGTTTGCTTGTAGAGATGTGACATTTAGGTCAGCAAATCACTGGAATCTGGATCAAATTTTCCGGTACATGTAGTTGTTTGTCTGCTGGGTTGGGCTGCTCTCTGGAGTGGCAAGGTTAAAACAATCCGTAACCTATGATGCTAGCGTATGAGGCATACTTTGCTTGTCGGATTGTTTGATCCGCACAAGGTTGTCCATGTCTATCAATTAATGGGGCGGTAATAGACTTTAGCCGGAGTATGACTCGAGATTTACGTTATACTCGAATCATTGATGTTGTCTCTACAGCCACCGAGTAAAGGCATGGCTGAAACTGAGATTATCACACCAGGCGAAAAAAAAAAAAAAAAGAATGGTAGATTACAGAAAATTGTATTTTGAGAACGGGGCTTGAAATATGTATAGCATGATCATAGGCAAACATTACCACATAGTGAATGAAACCAAGAGCTCATTCACCTTCGATCTATGCCAAGTCAGGCGTACTCTTAGCGAATAGATTTGAGGGGTCAAGTCGGCTCTTGATAGATCTGATTCGATCCAGGCCATCAGCTCCGTAGTAATGAATACCGTCACCTTTATGAGGTGTAGAGAAGTTGATATACTTCTGCGGCATAGCAAGTCCTGCTGCATTAATGCCATTGAAGACCCTGTTTACCCATGCATCTGAATTTCTCAGCCCCTCTTCATCATCTGGAGGTGCCGCTGCGATAATACCGAGCATCACATGTGGTTCACGATTCAAAAAGGCTCCGTTCGTCACGAATGTGGAATCAGAACCTCGTGTGCCTGTGCCATGTCTATCGTGGATGACAACAATTGATGTGGAGTTCGGTAGTGGTTCTGATAGGATGTGTCCGAGCTCTTCCGACCAGACAGGAACTGAAACTGTCTTCCGGGAAAATATGAGGTCTGCGAAGAGTACAGGGGTCTTAATGGACATTGTAAACAGGTACGGCGTAGCTATGGTTAATTGTTAGCTTTTCCAAATGCGGAGGAGGAATAGTGGCTGAAGCTTACTCTGTTGGACTGTATTGATCACTACAGTTCCAAGACCCAAAATACGGTCAAGATAATCTGTTGCCTCATCAAGATCGCTGCGGTCTTCATCCAGAGCCCAAACAAAAAGAAAAAAGAATTGGCCTCCGCTCTCTGGTCGGTTTACGATGCCTACATCGGCCACGAGTTTATTAGGCTTCTTCCATGCATACAGTTTGGCGAGTCTCTCGGTGATTTGAGGCGCCTCTTTCTGAGGGAATGCAACAAGTCCACCCAGAAGGCTTGGGCGACGGTGTACTCGGACACGGAGAGAACAAACTACTCCAACGACACCAGCTCCGCCACCGCGAAGCGTCCATAGCAGATCGGGGTCACAGTCGGCATCTTCTGTGTCCACAATACGCCCATCAGCCAAGGCAATCCTTCCACCAAGGATATTGTCCGCGGCTAGGCCCATGGTGCCATTCCATGAGCTATAGCCACCGCCGCAGGCAAAGCCGACATAACCAACTACACGAGAAAGTGGTGTTGGCGTTGCAAGATCATGATTATCTAGGAACTTCAGTAATGCTTCGGATGATACTCCCCCTTCAACGGTTACATGCTGTCGATCTGCGGACAAAACCATCTTATCCAGGGAGCGAACATCAAGCGAAACATCCTTCGGTCCAGAGGCGCGACTCCTGCCTCCTTGGTCGACGCCGGAACTTCGAATTGCCAAAGTCAGTCCATTCTGAGAGATGTAGCGCACCGCTGTAGCAACTTCGGTTTCATCCGTGGGGCGCACGGTAGCTACAGGCAGAGTTGTGATAGACCTGTCATTGATTCGGTTCAATGCTTCATAATTGATAGAAGAAGCTGTATAGATGTGGAGATTAGGAGCCTCGCGATGTAATCCCAGGAGAGCCGGAGCATCCTGCTCGATCTTTGGGGCTGAAGAAGCTCCCGGTGGAGGATCAGTATGGAACTCAACGCCAGCTATAATAGAAGCCATTCTATAGTCGAATTTTCGAAATTAGGATGTAAAATTGTGTATGCCTGAGATGAGACTTGGAATCTATTATTATATCTTTGAGGCATTTACTTTTGAGAAAGACGTTTAAGAACAGTTTATATACATATACATATATTTTGGTCTTCCAATCATGGGCACATGGAGGAGCCACTTTGGTGTGGCTGCTCACCTCATCCTTCTCACCGCACGCCTTACGGAATTAATGTGTGTTACAGGCCAAGGCCGATCCGATCGGTAAGCTTGGCCTATGAAAACTCCAAAGAACAATACCCAGAGTCCGATGATTTACTCGCATGTTTTTTTTTTTCCAAAACCTCGCGTTAGTCGCTAATCAAGGTTGCTAGGATCGAGGACTCCGTGTTTCACCTTAGCTGGGCGACTCTAGCAGGGTTGAATGCCTCCCATTTCTCATGATAAACCGAATGTGCATAATAGTGTCGCAACCAGTTAGGATAATGCGAATACTGTTTGGGCATCAGTAAGAAAACAGACAAGTAATAATCCAAATTGGGCCAAAGGCGACAAACAATAAGCTTTTAGCGCATTTTTGCTGCCTCCTGAGCCTATAAAAATGTAGAAAATGGACGCTGTCAGCGGGCTCTCAAAGCAGAATTTAATTGGTCATGTTAAATAACTCTAAGCGTTTAAACTGTTCATGTAGGCCCTCCTCATTATCGCGTAACTCGGCGCAGTTGGTAAACTGCACTTGCCAAGCTCAGATACAATGCCTCTATAATGAATAGCTAAATTCTGCATTCTCCCTATCCGTCAAATCCAGAAATTCTTGATTCTCAATTTTGGTGTAGGACGGATCTGCCCGAACGAGGCGCTTCTTGGCATTTTGTCGGCGGTAATATGACCAGATAAAGACAAGGTCTACGAGACATAGTGCCCAACAAACCAAGATGGTAATTTCCCCTGGTCGGTACTCGGGAGCATCTTTCGGTCGAAAAGTCTGGGGTCCTGCATAAGAGTCAGCAAAGTGATGTCAATGCTACGAGTATCACAGTACATACCAATAATATTCCCAACGCAGTAGGCTACCAAATACATTGCTGCTACCGTTGTCTTCTTGGTCCATCCTATCGACGCATTAGTGCGTGAATGAAAGAGAGGTCATGTTCATAATTCTTACCAGCGACGTTTGTAGAAATCAAGGATAAAATTGCAACGAAGGGAGCAGCGTCTGCCTGATTGATGTTAGCTCAATGTTCACTTCCATCTCCGTCTTCGCTGCTCATTTACTTGTGTGAGATAGTAACCAGCTAGTCTGCCAGCAGGTTTATCTAAAGGAATAGCAACAATCATGATCATGCCGACCATGGACAGTATGAGGGCGACCATAGATACTAAAAGCCGGCTCCCAAGTCTGTCTCCTAGAAATCCGCAAAGAAGCAAGGTGACGACTTCGACTGCTCCACCGGGAGTTCCATAGAGTAAGCTCTGTTCGGGAGTATAGCCAAATGAGACAATGAGTTGACTGAAGAAGTTTGAGATTCCGCCATTGGGAATATCAGAAAGCAGCGCATACAAAACAAAGCCCCAGACGATAGGATCTGTTAAAGCTTCCTTCACCTGGTACCATTTAAAGTGCTTGTTTCCGATACCCTGTTCGTTGACTTTGATTCGGTGCACAGCTAACACACGCTCTTCTTTCGTGAGGAATCTCGCGTTCAGCTGATTGTCAGGCATGACAAAAAGAAATATTATTCCCATAGTGCTTGTTAATACCCCAGTAAAAATGAAAATTGCTTTCCAAGGCGCAATCGAAAATCCGTGGATAGATGCACCGCGAGCGAAGCCATATGCTACCAAGCCGCCAAAAATTTGAGCCTCCAGAAACGTTAGTACAAGGAAAGAGAAAGAGGGTTGGTAATCAGCTGCCATACAAAGCCATTGAAACTGAACCAGATGCTGGTTCTAAACCCTTGCTCCTTTTTCGTATACCACTACAATAACGCATTAGCATCCATCTTCACTCTGGCTGAGCACCAGGGAACCAAGTCATACCTGTGATACAAATAAGGTGAATCCAGGAGTAACAGCCGCCTCAAAGACTCCCAGAAAGAGGCGAATAACTACAGCTCCTCCGAAGTTCTCAGTGGTGGCAAATAAAGCAAGTACGAGTCCCCACATGATGATGTTGAATGCGGAATATTTCGCGAGGGGCAGACGTTGTAAGAGTCGATTTGTGGGAAACTCCCAGCCAAGATATCCTTTTCATAGCATCAGCTAAGAATCTTCAGAGGATGCAAAAAGGAAAGTGTTTACCGAAATAGAATAAGCTTGATAGCCACTGGTAGTTGTCGCCAACAAGTTTGAGATCAGTTTTCAAGCCCATGATACTAGCGTATGATAACGTCGTTTCTATAGATCTAATGTTAGATGCTGTCATAATATTCAAGTTTAGTGGCATCGTGGTTCTCACTATCAAGGTAATTGAGGCCGTAAATAATGCACATTAGCTAAGAGTTGATAATTAGCCTACTGACAATACGCAAACAAGTATCATAACTTACGGGCATAAGATTCATATCGATTTTGCGCAACAAACGTCGCTCTGCCTCCTCGTCAAGCTGTAGAGTGGCGGCATCCAGGCCGGCAACGGCGTTGAGAGCCTCATCAGCATCAATTTCGACAATTTCTCCCTTCTCAACGACGCTCGTAGAGCGAGGGGGCTCGTGGTCGACCTTGTCAGTCTTTTCTGTCGTGTCGCCAGCCATTTGAATACTATATTAAAGATGAAAATGAAACTACAAAGTAGGATGAACCCCCACTACGCAAATCCGAATTTGAGAAAAGTGAAGTTCGTTGGAACTTGTTGATCAATCCTACCTCTTAAATAATATGTGGTTACATCAAGTCTTACTCCGATACCAAACCCCGCTCTCTCCTCACAGATAGACCCCTGTATCCACAGGACCTATGTAGAAGGCGATTGACTTTCTGCGAAAGATAAGACATCCAGGATGCTGTTGCGTGCTACGGATCCGTGCATTGCATATCATCCGATCCAAAGATATCAGGCACTTGAGCAGACTAATCGCGGGATAAGAATAACATAGGAGCGTGCCTCATAAGTTTACCTCGTTTATTTTATATAATACATACGTAACACGATAAACATATGTACATAACTTGCAAAACGCTGCGCGAACAGCATGTTTGTCAATCTGCCAATCTTGCCTCTTCGGCATAGCGTAGTGTGGGGGAGAGGCTAAGGAGAAAAGATACACGTATGCAGGGATGATAATAGCCGGTGACGCAGAGATCGTCATGTGCACCGGAAGCGAACGTCCACGGCAATTGACTGGAGTACCTAGGTCCTTGGCCTTATCTCGGGCTATGTGATTCCGATATGCCCGACATATCCACTGCTGTTCAGGCAGCACGATAAGTCTGTTGCGAGCGTTGGGCATGGTTACTGTCTAATCAGCTAATTCTGACAGGGTCGCCTATCCAAAGGGTATCATTGCATGCAAGAGATGCATAACCTTCTCCGGATCTGTTTCCTTACGATCAGTGGTAACCAGCTAAGCTAGATTAACGCCGTCCACAACCTGCAGACAATGCCCAGATCTTGTTTATTCCGAGAGCAACCCTACAAGTGTAAGCAGCTTAAAGGTCTATGCAACCGATTCAGCTGCAGCTCGAACATAAATTGCATGGAACACGTAGATCATAGCTTTAATGAGCTATCATTTAAATCCTGAACAATATTCCATGGGTCGCGTGAATATGCATGTTATCGTTAAAAAGGAAAGCTACGCACAGCCGTTTAAAATTTGCGTATGAATCAACCAAAACATCATGATGAAACTTACCAAAAACGAAATAACAGAATGACTTGCGATAAAAATTGGCTTAGTCGTGAACCTATGCTTCATTCCTCCAACCCAAACCCTTTTCTAGCTAAATATTGCCTGCATCGCGGAACTGTTACTGTCTTGAGTTATGCAGTACGTGCACAGAAATTGAGTACGGAGATCAACGACTATTTGAACATGTATTAGCGGTTTATTGGAAATTTTTCCCTTGTTTATTAAGCAAAGTGGTGTGGTTAACGTTCAGCGTACGAGCTATTTTTTTATAATACAAGTAAAACCTTTTCCTATCCTCTCAGAACCGTGATATGTCTCGCCCAAATACCCAAGATACAAACCAATACACAGGCACCATAAGCTTATTACGCACGCTCATACTCCTTGTCAGATATGCTCCTCGCCATACTATCCACGCTACCCAACCACGTAATGTATCGGCAGAGCTTTGATGTATCGCCTTCCAACCTCCAAGGTATGTCAACGTGCCCCAGTTGCGGAATTTGAATGGCTTCCAAGCACTCTCGACATCAATGGAGTTGTCAGTGATTTTGTTGAGCTGCCTCGCTAGATGCGCTGCTTGCTGAGAGGCAACTTGAGCTGTTTTGGGTAACGATTCATTACCTTCCACTACCGCGCAATCGCCAATCACAAACACATCTGGCAAGACTGGTGCTGCCGCAGACACGGCGGCTTCGTTGGATTCACTAATCTTATTATCAGTTATACGGGCACGTAGGTAGCCATCTGTGACAATGCCACCCGTTCTGGGGTCTTTCAAGAGGTTATTTCTTGGAGCCTCTGCCTCGTTGACAGTTGCAAACTGTTTGTTGACCATTTGTTCCACAAACGGGTTCTGCATCAGCCCCGTGCTCCAGACAACCAAACCAGCTTCAATCTCTTTATCACCGTATTCTTTAATCTTGATACTCAGGCCACCGTGTGCGCTTCCGAGGGTTCCGTCGGCTACCCTTATTCCCTCAAGGTGGTGCTCAGTACGGACCTGAATGCCCTGCCGTGCAAATACTTCCATTGCATACTGCGCCAGTGCTTTATCAAACATGGGCAGTACTTTGGGCGCAACATCGTAAACGGTAATACGCACAAGTGGCATCAATTCTGGGTAAATTGTCTTCAAATCTTCGTGAATCAGGTCGTGCAGTTCCGCTGCAAACTCAATTCCTGTCGGTCCACCGCCAACAATGACGAAGTGAAGGAGTGATCTCTTTTCCTCTTCGGTGAGAGGACTTCCCGCTGTCTTGCCATCTTTGCCGCCTGGGGAAGCGGGATACGAGCACTGCTCGAATAGGGAGAGCACTCGCAACCGGATGCGTCGTGCATCGCCAATATCTCGCAGAAAATGCGCGTGTTCTCGCACACCTGCTATGCCAAATGTCTGGCTGTAAGCACCAACAGCAATAACAAGTTTATCGTACTCTACATCGAAAACTTCTCCCTTGGGTGGCCGGGTTTCTGTCGCTACCTCACTCGCGGCTGTAGATGCCGATATTGGTGATAAGTCGTGCTGGAGCTTGTCAATGGCATTGGCCTCAACACGGATAACCTTCCGAGAAAAATCGACATCGTCGGCCCAGCCTTGATAGAAGCGCAAGCCACCTGGCGCACGGCGGACGGGCTCTAAGATGGCTCGGAATTCAAGGGTGCCAACTGATGTTGAAGCCAGTAACGGTGTGAAAACAAAGTAACTGCGAGGTGAGATGACCACTCGTTCGTACTTTGATGGGTCGAGAGTGCGCGCAAAGCTATATCCAGCCCATCCAGAGCCCAGAATCACAACGCGCTTTCTTTTGGTGTCTGTCAAGGAGTTTGTGTTAGCGAGCGATTTTCTTTGAACGAAGCTGTTACGACTAAGGTTATTAAAACAGCAAATGCTCATAAACTTGAAATATGTTACCTTTCTTCGCCTTTAGCTCAATACTATATGATCTATGACCTGGGTGAAAAGACGTCAGGGCTTTGAAGACTTTTGTTGGATCTGTCGAAGTGAATTGACTAGCGTTTCGGCGTATACAGCCCCGAGCTATCATTTTGGGATTTATCTGTACAAAAAAAGGTATCTTCCAAGTTGCTGATGCAAAGGAGCTCGTTATAAAGAGAAGCTTCAAGGAGTGCTGACTCGGGCTAGCCGGTGATGTGTCATAACGATGAAGTGACGTCACTCAGAAGATTCCAAACATATAAGCTTGTTGATTTGTTTGAAGTAAATATGAGCACAATATGCCTTCATATATCAATTTTACTCAAGTTGGGAAGGAATCGCAGCACTATCACTGACTTTCTACCACAGTTGCGAGAACGCCATAAATCCTGCCTAGGTCGGTACCCTCCTATAACTACCAAACTCTCATGATAAAACGAGTGCAACAGTTTCCCCTTGTTCAGCAGCCCCTATTCTCGGTGATTTTCCCTTCTCCTCCATAAAATTTTTGCAATTACGGGTTCCTAGATTGTTCCGATTGTTCGGGCGTTTTCGACATTTACGCCTGGCTTAGCTACAAAACCCGAAAGCTGCGCCGTAAAAGTGGAACCCACGGACTGTTATCATCGACGAAAAAGTTACGGAACGGAGTGCAAAGTGTACAGCAGCACAATTTGACAGAGGACAAGATTCCATAAAGTAGAAAAATTCCTCTTTCCTTAACTTTATTTCTATTTCAAGAATGCTCAGTGTGCTACATGTGATCTATGGCAATCTCATCACCACAGACCATCAGCTACGTAGCAGGCCGTCACTCGCTATAACATAGAGAGATTGTCTAGCAATATAGGGCTGCCATGGGTTTTGAGCTCCATCCGCGTACACCCGATATTTGGCAGCCTCATGACGGATAGATATTTTTTGGCAATTCAATTGAATGAAAAATACTGCCTGCACATAAATTTTTCCTGTTTGTAGCTGGATACACAATTGCGTACCGAGTGTATTCCTCACTATCTAGGTTATCCATGTAGAGCGCGAGCTATATATATTTATTACAACAATATACTTAAAAAATTACCCTAGACCGCTAGTATAATCGCTCAAACCTCTAAAACTAAGTGCAATTCCTTAAAGGATATCCTGTTTAATTTTTACGGCTCTCAGTTCTACTAGCTACTTTCCAGTTAAGAACGATATGCCTACTCTAGGTTATGTTTCCATGTTTTATGCGCGTAGAGGAATGTCGACAATAATCATCACGACAATGAACGACATGTGTAAAGTACATAGACTTGGCTTCGTCTTACTCGAACCATTCTCAGCCTTATATATCAACACTAGCCGCCTTTCGTTACTTATTTGATGTTCCAAAAACATCCCATAACCACAAATGGCAGTTGTTCAAATGAGAGAGGTGGCCAACTCTTGGCGCCAAACGTTTCTCTTTGCGCATATTAGAAGATTGATACTTCGTAGCTTCACTCTTCAAAGTAATCGAGTTAGACATGCTATAAATAGTATATCGATATAAGTTGAAAGGGAATGAATGATATCAGTGACAGTCAGGCGTGGGTCACTTTGACACCAGCCGAGGCTTGCCTTCGCTTGCCTTCGCTTGCCGCGTAATCTATTCAATTATGGGTACTGCCATTGGATGAGTCGAATTACCATCACCTTCAACTAGAATTGGATGAGGAAGCTGCCCAATCTTCATCCGCAGCCAGCAGGATGCCCAGACCGAATGAGGAAAAGATTCGTTTGATGGATATTCAATGCGGACTTAAGAGAGGAAATAATCGACCCAACAGGGCGGAAGAAAAACACCGCCAGTTGGCCGCGGTGAATTTTTTATATGTGAAACGAAGTATGCGGTGTAATATATTTCACTCATTCTGGCCAATAGAAGGCCCAATTCGCCTCCGATGCCACCAACGATATATACCCACTGTGGTCTTGCCGAATCGCCGAAACTGCTAGGAGATAAGAGGCCGAAAGAGACTCTCTCGGCTCTCACTAGCACCTGGCTGACCGATTAAATTCCGACTACTGAATAATCCTTGATTGAATAATACGACAGTTCTCTCATTTGTAATACGACATCTTTCCCCGCCATCCGCCGGATCTACCCTCCGAGCTAAAACTAAAACTGTCAGTTTTTTTTGTTTAGTAGAGATTCAGCCCAGCAAGAGGGGCTAAAGTCACATTTAGCCACGGCAAATATTCTTAATGTCAATATTGTTAGCATTGGCGTGCCGCCGCGTATTACAACTAGAGTAACCTCTTACTGGTAATATTAGATAGACATAATTGCCAGATGCAGGCAATGATGAACGGCCAGTAATCTTGAAATTCAAATTGTTTAAAAAGCTACTAGCGATGCTTTTCATTCTTTTTTAGTTGCCATTGAATATGTATACACACTCGCTAGATCTAGTCTTTGTTTCCTAATCTAGATCGCCTCGGCAAATTGCTTAGAAATATAGCGTCATCTCCTCCATCCCTGGGCGGGCAGTCACGCAACCAGCTATCATTCGAGAAGGGGTTAGATCCACCACACGAATCGGTGTTATGAGTTATTACTCCGCACAAAGAAAATGTATAAGATGAAACATGTCGCAAGCTCGATTCGTAGACCATTGTCCATACTCACCTCTTTAACTAAACCGAGCAATTCACCCTTTCACCCAAGGACGTACTCAATTCCTGCCAACAGCATCATCATGGGAGCACCTCAGACGAGCAAGGCTATTATCAAGGTAGCTCCGGGCAAGGGAGTTATCCAAGAGGGACCAACCCCAAAGGTTCGCGATGGCCATGTAATTGTCAAGACAAAGGCTGTTTCTATCAATCCCACCGACTGGAAGGGCCTTTACAGCGAAAAGGAGGAGACAATTGGCACAAAAATCGGATGCGATTTTGCGGGCGAGGTCGTGGAGGTCGGTGCTGGAGTTACCAATTTTAAGGTTGGCGATAGGATTGCTGGCCTCAGCCCTGGAGCGTAAGTCGTCCGCTCTGATCTCTGTTTGTTTCGACAGAAAAGATATGGCAGTGAGCAGATTTCGTCGGGTACTAACGTGGGAATTGTAGAAATATTCTTCAGAAAGAGGATGGCTCATATGGAGAGTACTTACTCACTCAGGCAGACGTCCAATTCCACAACCCCCTAAGCGATGAAGAGGGAGCGACTCTGGGAGTGTCAGTTTTCACCGTTGTAAGTGGATAAACACCTACTGAAGAACATTCAATAGTTTTGGTTCTCGGTTTGCTGATATATTGTCTGTCCTCTCCACACTATTTAGGGCCAAGGTCTATATCAAAACCTGAAGCTGCAGCTACCGACAAACCCCATAACCACAGGCACTCCAATTCTCATCTACGGTGGAAGCACTGCATCTGGCCTTTGGGGTATCCAGTACGCCAAGCTCTCCGGATACAAGGTCATCACAACTGCCAGCCCAAGAAACTTTGACTACCTAAAGTCTCTGGGAGCCGACGCTGTCTTCGATTACAACTCACCCACCGTTGTCGGAGACATTATCGCTGCTGCAGGCGGCGAGCTGGCCCTCGTGTGGGACTGCATCTCTGAAGCAAGTTCCGTAAAGATCAGCGCAGCCGCTATCTCGCCAAAGGGTGGAAAGCTGGGCCTGCTCCTTCCCCCCAATATCGATGACATTCACGCCATCAACCCCAACATTGAAGCTGGCGTGACTATGGCCTACAGCGTCTTTGGAAACCCATTCCAGAGAGGTATTTCCAGCGAAGGCAAACCTGAAGACAACGAATTCGCAAAGAAGTTTAGGGACATTTCGGAGAAGCTGCTCTCAGAAGGCAAGCTCAAGGCTCCCAAAATTGAGCTCAATCGTGGCGGCAGCGGCCTTGAGGGAGTCTTGGTGGGTCTGGAGGAGCTGCGCCAGGGCAAGGTCAGCGCAGCGAAGCTCATTTATACTATTTAAATGATATAAATGATACAGCTCAAAATTATATAAAAGAAAGTACATATATATGTCTATCAATGTAACAAAAATAACTAGTGCGATGCGTGACTCCAATTGGAAGTGCTCTAAATACATCAAGTCCCAATTTTCCCTTCATAACCAGCAAATGCAAAGGCTATACAATCTAAGTCCAGCTCCCTTTTGGTGTAAAAGTGGAAGTTATTTGACAGTTTTTACATGTTCATGTGCATGTGCATGTGTTCTCTAATCCTCGCCATGGGTATCTTATTTTCCTGTAGCCATTTTTCCATCCTATCCTTCATGCTCTTGCTCGCCTTTAAGCCCACTTTCCCAGCAGTGCCATGATTGCTGTACCGAGATACAGGGAAACGAGCATAAACGCCAGACGTTTCTTGTCTTGCGTGCGATAAGGGTTGAAGAGGAAGTCGCGCGCAATCATTTCGACGAAGCCGGTGTAGATGAGGATACCAGCGGAAATAGAGTCGAGAACGCCAGACACAACGTTGGCAGTAAAGGAGCCACTGTTGTATGTAGTCCGCACACCGAGACCGATGGCAATGGCAATAGGAGTCGTCAATCCATAGGCGAGGCAAAGAGCCCAAGGCATCCACTTAAAGCGCCTAGGGAAAGGGATGACACTCAGGCGGGCGCCAATACCCAAGCCCTCAAAGGACTGGTGGAAGACGAGGACTGGATAAAGAGTGCTGAATTCATCGCCAGCAACTCCGAGGTTAAGGCCAATGATGACACTGTGGAAGAGAACGCCAAACTCGAGAATCAAGAAGGCCGCAATCTGAGACTGAAAGCCAAATGCTACTTTCTCGGAATCGCCGTCAAGGCCCTTGAGCTCCTCCACGTCGTAATCGTCGCTAGGCTTGTCGCTAGGGGCACGGCCATTCACTTGTTGGTCGCCCTTTGCAGCGAGAGGAGGAATAGCGCCATCCTGATCAGCCGAGTGAAGTCCCTGGTGGCTGTGAGTGGCATGATGGCCTGTAGTGATGGTGTCTTCGACTTCAACATGGGCCAGCTTGAATTTTCTGTCGACGTAGTACTCGGCCAAAAAGTCCAGCAGGAAGATGAGCATGGCTGAAGTCAGGGCCAAGGCAGGGGGCCAGCTGTATTGAGCCCAGCCACCCGTCATGCCGACACAGCTGGCGGGTCCAATCTCCTCATAAGCCGGATCAAGGAGGTGAATGAAGGCGGTGGCGATGATAACACCGGCGCCAAAGTAGCGGGCAAAAAGGTATACATAGAGGGGAATGCGCAGGCGTCGAACGCGGGTAGCCAAGACTGGGAAGAAGGTGACTGCGGTTGAGACAATCATGATGACAAACAGAGCCGAGACACGCACGCCGAGCCGTCCATTGTACTCGTTGCCGCCCGCGTTGAGGTAACAGATGATGTCTCGAGGGTCGGCCGTGTCGAGGTCGACAGACTGAGGGTTGAAATCGGCGTCCGCCATGGCTGCGCAAAGCTCAGGTGCTCAATAGGAGACCAACGGTAGTAGAGTGAGTTTGGTCTGGCAGGCAAATGAGACGATAACGCAGCTCGCCCGATGAGAAAGAGAAAGATCAAGGCGGGATGGGAAAGTATTTGAAGTGCAGACACGAGGTGAATTCAGCCCAGCACGGCGGCGTAACCCTTTCTATAGTTTGAGCGAGCCAACCGCTTAGAAGGCCCGCACCACACGCGAGCAACGAGGCTGGCCAACAAACGGGCACGGCTCAGGGTCTCCAGCACGTATCCGTTTAGTGGAGATGACTTCTGGCACCTGAGCACCGCTATTGGAGCGCGCGGATGGCTTGGGGCCGGGTCTGCGCTGATAATTTCAAGTAGCACGAGAACCGTGATGGCCAGCCAACACCAAGGGCAGCTTCTCACGCCTCCCTGCAACACGGCCTTGGGGGTGGCGGCATCCCAAGTTGCACAGAGTCAGGCAAGGGGCTCGGGGCGCGGATTATTATAGGAAATACGTCCAGTCGTTGTTGGCTTGGCCCTGGAGCTGAAGCATCACATGCGGCCAACTGAGACACTTTTTTTTTATATTTAGACTTTCGGGTTACGCTTGGGCATTTCCCACGTGCAGTGTCTGTGACACACATAGCAAGAGGAGCAGGGCTAGGTTTTGATTTTTCTCCACCGGATATTGCGTGACGAGATAGAGAGACTTGATTTGTTATGGAATCTTCTTCTTCTTCCTCTCTTTTTTTCAATTTCGTCGGCGACTGCGGCTGAGAACCTTGATGGTCACACAAAAAGTCCCGATTTTGGTGGTGAGAACCTTGATGGCTACTTAACCCCGCCAATCAGAAGGCAGCGATATAAACGTCAGAGCTAGACACTGAACTTATTTTGGTGGGAGAGGTGAAATTTCAAACGCACAGGTGCTAACAGCTTTTTTGCGTGCTCTTGGGAGCTGAGCTGATTTGTGGCTTAGACTTTGTCGCCTCGTGCGCATCAGGCCTCACAGTTGGCCCTGGCTGCGTAGTTCCCTGGCCATTTTGGCGAGTGATGATGGCCTTTCATACATGTATGTAGACAGTTGAACAAGGGGAGTTACTATGTATTTATCCGAAGAGAGGGGAAAAGGTCAGGTGTAACTTGAACTGACCTGCTTCGAGAGAGAAGTCTCCGAATCGGGTCCTCCATAAGTGTACACATAGCATGGTTGGTTACACTAAACGCTAAGTTGGTGATACAGCCAACATGTTAGGTAACGGATATTGAAAGTAGGGCCCGAAGAAGTGGGGACGATAGATACCGAAGGATGGTGATACGGAACAATTTCAGACTAATATATATACATAAGTAGAGAAGCCCCCCTCGTGGTAGGCAATCATATCTTGCAATGATAACGAGCCCGCCTGTTGTATGACTCTATAACCAGGTTCTGTATCTTCTAATACTACTTGGCAATATTCATTTTTCCTCACAGTTTCTGGTTGTAAAATTCAGTTCCCAATATAAGTTAATTCTTTCAACTTCATTCGAGCTGAGGGTAGGGCCAGACCTAATCTTCCTTGTGCTCGTACATGTGTGGGCTTCGAGACTATTATGCACCAACTCTGCCCCTTCATGCCTCTTGTATCACTCAACTATTCTCCATCTTTTAAAATCCTTTGCCACCCCCGCGGTAGCACCAAATACGTGTAACATACGGCTACACAAACAAGCTTGAGCAAAATTCCGAACCGCGCATGAGATTCGCCTATACTCAGATTTTCATCGTCCAAGTTCAACACTGATTTTTTTATACATCATTCTAATTCTTATTCAATTCTAAAGGCTTTTCTAAAAAGGCTCTTTTTATCATTCATTCTACCATTTCATTATCTTTTGCATGCTTTCAGAAAATATTGTGTGGATCCTCGGCTTCCAGCTTTCATCTCGTGGGGCCAAGCCCCAGTTGTTGCGGCAGCCACCCGCGCGGGCCACTTTGCGACGCTATTCCGGAATCCAGCCAATCTTTGCATCGCGCTAGGCGTCACGGCTTTGGTCTCAACCACCAGAGTCAGATCGAAGGGCGTTATCAGGAGGTTAAAGCGACGTCAATCTGTCTTTTGATATGTAGCTACTCATGGATTTTATATGCCTGGTAACCGTGAGCGAGCAAAAGCTGCACACTGCTAGCACTTTGCTTAAATATTTTACACTGCTTGCCTACAGTACGACCAGTCCATTCTCCTCGTATCTCATCACCCTCACTGAAAACGTGTTTCCGAAAGGGCATCGCGCCACATGCGTGTAAACGATGTGACAATTAGCACACAGAAACTATCACATGTCTTTTAACATCTGTCTTTAGTAATGGTATATAAAACTTCACCCCCGTCTCGCAGAATTCTGCTCCATCTATTGTCATCGAATGCCCCTAAAACATACTCTGCTTAGAACCGCTAAACGCAAAATATATATCGAAGCAACATGAGAGATAAAAGCCACCAATTCCTTGTAAATTCGTCACAATTATCAGATGATCCTTATCTATTCAAGAGATATTTATGGGTATTCGTGACTCTCTCGGAAGGCTAGTGTAGCAGTAGCTATATCTCCCTAAAATTACGATAGTGTTCCAGCTTCAAGTCATATCACTGTAGACTGGGTTAAATGATAGGGTAAGTGTGTCAACTAACCCCAAGGAATAATACATGGCCATCGTCATGAAGGCTCTACCAATCTGATCAACCTGATCAAAAGTCAAGCGAAGAGGGTGCTGACATGCTCCTTCAGCTCGTGAAATTTCTTTTCAATAGCTACTAGAATAGTATTAAAAAAATCGCATTGAATGTTACTGAAGTTTCACTGTGGTATCTATATAGGCTTATAACGGGAACGAATATCTATTTTAGTCAGCCATACGGAGTATACACTGCGATTTTACGGCAGAATAAGAGGGGACAACGAATTATGTTTAATAATATGGTGCTTTATGTATACCAATCATATAACCGACATTCGACATGCCGCTAAAATATCTTGTAAAAAAGACTGTCCTTCTCCTATCTGCTGGTCGATTCTCCAACCCAGAGTTAGCACAGACCGCGACTTCACCGACGGGCATATGCGAAGTGGGACTTGTCTCGAGAGCTGCGGCTCTGAAACGGCTCATTCCAATGCTGGAAGGATCGTCAAAGAAGACATTACAGAACTCCCTTGAAGGTATCATGGTCGTCACATTGATGGGCAGTGCCTAGCGAAGAAGCTATTTGGCTTGAATTAATATGAACATGACAAGTTCGAGCGTGAACTTGCGAGGATAACGTATTGATGGCGAAATAAGCTTCTATGATGCTGCTTATCTCAGCACAACACAATAACAGACAACGAATTTTGAACGTCTCCCGAAACGCCAGCGCATTCATGACTCAGGAATTATTGGAATACGCGCGCTGGGCGATTGCAGGATACCTATTACACACAACCACCGACTACGGAGCTCTGCGATTAGATCTAGCGTTTGGTCTCCACCTCGGCGAGAGGAGTTCGTGGAGTCAGTCAAACCAGTTCATATCCCCAAACGCGCGGATGGATTCTCAAATGTAAGATTTCGATAAGTTCCGACTCGGTCATGCACAAACGAACCAGGTTCCAGAGCCATCAGCCCACTAATACAGGTCGGTTCCCTTCGGGTTACCGAGCACAAGCATCAGTGATATGCAATGCGCAACAGTAGCGAGAGGGCGTCGCCGCCTCACGAGATCAACGCCTCGTGTAAATCAACAATTAGGCGTCAGGCATCTCGACGACGACGACGTTTCTCTTGGTAACAATATCCACAAAGCCGATGCATTGCACCCCAGGAAGAGCGCAATGTGGAGAGAAGCATCCTTAATCGCAACTCTATCACCGCTGCAGACCTGGGGAAACGGCATGACCTGCCCATGGGGAGATGCGCTGCGAGGTACGTAATACGTAATAGCTGCGCCAGATTTGGAGGTTGGGCTGCACATCGCCCGTATCTTGCTGCTTCCTGGTCTCCAGACGCGGGAGCTGAGTGGACCTGGACGTGTGGAGTTGCGTGCTGATTCATACGCAAAAGCCTGGCTGATGAGGATTCACCAGCGGAGGTCTTTGTAAACCACCAGACTAATATTTACTGGACTAGCCGTTCATTATCATCCAAACACACTGCCTCTACCCCGTAATACGACACGAGCATAGTAGCGTAAAACAGATCAACCGGGGGGGGGGGGGGGGGGGGGGGGGTTCCGAACAGGCCAGAAGTCTTTTGCCATGCCATGCGTATCACCTGTTGTTAATGCTACAGTCCATGGGTTGCGTCGGCGCAGAGGCAGAGTCTGGAGAAACACCCGCAGCTTCAGCGTCACATCGCCCGTAGTCGGCGCCGATATACTCACTAGTTGGCATAAGGGTAGTCATCAGGTTCCATGTATTAGGGAACGAAAAGTAAGTCATCGCCATCGCCAGCGCCTTCAAACCACCACCAGACGCCGAGATCCCTCCCGCGCCGCACGCGAACTTGGCGACTCTCAAGCCGGATCGTTTTAGTGGTGGCCAAAAAGAAAGGGATCGATCGCACCAAAAAGGGCACCAAGGCACACGAAGGAAGGAAAAAAATTTCCCATTTTGCCTCCAAGACCCAGTTTTGCAAGCCGCTGATTGGCCTGGCTCGCCTTTCCGCGGCAATGCCGACGGCGCTCCCTCAGCACTATGAAAACGCGCAGTTTTTTGCAGCCACCACGACGAAGAGCCGTGACGAGCCAAGCGCTAGAGAAAGCCGCTAGAAGATGCAGAGAAGCTGTGCCTGGTTCTAACTTTTCCGCTGCTACGCCCTTAAAACTACATGTTCAGGTTCGCCTTGCTTGGTGAAGTACCGTATACGGCTCGCGTCCGGATCTGGAAAGTGGCTTCAATATGGGACGACTGGTATGAACAGACTAAACAACGCCCTCACAATGACGCAGATCAGGAAAAAAAAAAAAAAAGTAGGTGAAAAATAGACCCGTAGAGTTGGATCAGACCTCCCTCGACTCGCTACACGGCGTTGCTGTGCCGAGACTGGTTAGCCCCATCAAACTCTTCATCAGTTGATGGGTCTTATATGGGGCGAAAGTGAGGGTCTCGCAAGACCAGCCAAGCTGATAAGCTGGACGCCAAGTAGTGTAGCAGTAGTAACGTTGATGTGGTCGAAGCATGAAAGGGCCGAGAGCCAGCGAGCAAAAAAGCACGACGTCCTAAGACATAAAGTTCTGCCTGCCTGCCGACGCGCTCCTGCTTTTTCTTGGCTTTCTTTCTCCAGCTTTTCTTCCCGTGTATGGTGTTTTGATATCGATTTGGGTGACCTCATCTCTCACCCTCTTCTCGTCCCCCATCACAATAACTTTAATACTACCTGGCGCTCTTGTGCTCGCCGCCGACCCTCCGGACCGACTTCGTCTCCTCCCCCCTCTTTGACCCGTTGACTCATCCTTTCTGAGACTGAATTTTCTTTTTCTTTTTTTTTTTTTGTGCTGCTGCTCTATATTCTTCGAGAGTAAGAATAATAAAATGGCCGCTGGCGAAGCGACCGAATCGACTGTCCCTATCGGAGGACCGCTTGTGTCTGACGAGAAATATGTGCAAGGCATCAGCGACAAGCCCTTGGGCGATGGTCCGAACCACGACATCGCGGCGGGCCAGGCCGGCGAGGAGGGCCTGAAGCGTGAGCTGCACTCTCGCCATCTTCAATTCATTGCCATTGGTGCTGCGCTCGGTACTGGTCTGTTCCTAGGAATTGGCGGTGCTCTGTCCAAGGCTGGACCAGGCTCTCTCTTCATCTCCTTCCTCTTCCTTGGCACTGTCGTGTTCTCTATCATGGTGGCGCTGGGTGAGATGGCGTCATACATTCCCGTCACGGGAGCCTTTACTGTCTATGCCTCTCGGTTCATGGATCCCACGCTTGGTTTCGCCATGGGCTGGATCTATTGGTTTAGCTGGGTCATCACCATCGGTCTGGAACTGACCGCCAGTGGTCTCATTATCCAGTACTGGACCGAGTCTGTCAGCATTGGTGTCTGGATTGCCATTTTCTGGGTGGTTTTCACCGCTGCCCAATTCCTGCCCACGTTCATCTTTGGTGAAATGGAGGCATACCTGTCCAGTATCAAGGTCATTACCATCATCGGCTTCGTCATCTTTGGCATCTGTGTCAACGCTGGTGTTGGTGACCAAGGCTACATTGGCTTCAAGTACTGGAGAGAGCCTGGTGCTTTTGCCGAGTACATGGTCGACGGCGCGATCGGCAAGTTTGTCGGTTTCTGGACTGTTCTCATCACTGCTGGATTCAGTTTCCAGGGAACAGAGCTGGTCGTCATTGGCGCTGGTGAGACGGCCAACCCTCGCAAGACCATCCCGTCTGCCATCCGATGGACATTCTGGGCCGTCTTCCTGCTCTTCAACTGCACCGTTTTCTTCGTTGGCATCAACGTGCCCTACGACAACCCCGACCTCCAGAACGGCTCGACCAACGCCTCCGCCTCGCCTCTCGTCATCGTCGCCAAGCTCGCTGGCATCCAGGCTCTTCCCTCCATCATCAACGCCGTCCTGCTGACTGCCGTCTTGTCTGCCGCCAACTCAGATATCTTTTCCAGTAGCCGTATCCTGGTTGCCATGGCCGGAGAGGGTCACGCACCCGCCTTCTTCAAGAAGGCCAACAGATATGGTACTCCCTACTATGCGGTCGCTGCCTGTTCAGCTTTCGGTCTGCTAGCTTTCCTCAACCTGTCCAACAACGGAACGGTTGTGTTCAACTGGCTGCTGAACATCACGGCCGTTGCTGGCTTCATCAGCTGGTCCCTCATCAACCTGTGCCACATTCGGTTCATGAATGTCCTCAAATATCAAAAGATCCCCCGCGACGAGCTCCCATACAAGGCCCCATTCCAGCCTTACCTCTCGTGGTTCGGCTTCTTCTTCAATCTCCTGATTCTGATTACAAACGGTTTCACCGTCTTCATCGAGTGGAACACGAGCGACTTTTTTGCCTGCTATGTCAGCGTCATCCTGTTCATTGTCCTCTATGTCGGCCACAAGATTATCTACAGGACCAAGTGGATACCACTCTCAGAGGTGGACATTTCCAAGGGCCGATCAGACGCGTGAGTGAAGAATAGCGAGGGATGATTGATTCGGAGTAAATTTTTGTATGCGGTAATAGCGGTTAATAATTGTATCTTTTATGTTTCATGAGTGTCATCATCTACAGGTAGTAATTGATACCCCATTTTAAGAAGAATCGTGTTGTCTGGTTATTGTCTCGTGTCGAATGCTGTGTCACGTTCGCAAGTTCTCTTCTGTAGCCCCTAGATCTGGGGGATATTGTTGCCAAGCAATGGTGGGGTTGTAAGAGACACAAGTCTCCAGAGAAGAGGAGAACTTGGGGGTTATAATATATCTCATGTATCAATTGGCCAATGCAATTTTACGGTAATATGTAATATGTATCTGTATGTACATGATATTTCCCCACAAGAGCTCTATCACATGTCAGAAACTAGCAGCTCTGCGCAAACACCAAATCGCGCGTTCGACTTAATTTTGTTGGGCAGTCATTCAATCTGTTGAAATTCTGCGGTATTACTAGCACTGTTAACAATGCGCTAAACTCAGGAGGGGGCCAGAGATGTTCGCGTCATAACTTCTGCCAACAATATCTGTCGTTCGGAATTCCCGCTGTCAAAAAAGATACAGTGTGAAAAAGCAAATAAGGTTTAGAAAATATAGTTGTGGCCGTGCTTAGAGTATCAATCAGTGAAACAATGCGAGAAGAGGCTGGAGTGAAGGGTTGAATGTTTCCCCCACCGTTCCCCCAATATGCCAAATAAACCAAAAGAAAAAACAGGGACACTGCAAGCTGCAAAAGGCACGCGACCTCAAGCCGTCTGTGGAGTTCGCCTCAGAGTGCTCCGGACTAAGCTTGATATGGAACCGAATCTCAGAGGCAACATTGGCCCTTTCACGTGTAAAGGAAGACCAATCATAGCGCCAGCAACTCGAGATCTTCAGAACGATAAGCCCCGAAGAGACCCACGGCGGCGGGTTTAGTTCATGCGAATTCAGGTACTTTTCAGTTCATAGAGGTATTGTCTAGTATGCAGGGACCGCATCAAGTAAGCACATATTTGCCGGCTATAGCCTCAACCAAATTTTGTGACGGCCTCCCTCCTTTCTCGCCCTCCTAACTTAATTTCTCCATCTATCTCGCCTGTGTCTTTGTCGTTTACACGTATTTTTCTTCAAAACATAACCTCCTTCCACAGCTCACTGTACTCATATAATACATAATCTTCCAACGGCAAGAACAGGTGGCTAGACCAGGTAAAACTCGCCACGCTAGGCATCGAGTGGGCCGAAAGCCCGAATCCTACCACGCCAGCGATTGAGCCCAATTCGACCTGCAAGGCGCTGCAAAACCTCAATTGGCGCTCTTAAGATAGACAGACGAGTCCATCAACTACCCGTCATTTGCTGTTTAGCATTCAGACACCAGTAGTCACTGCGCTGTGAGGGGGCCTTGCCTTGAGTTTGAGCGTTCTTTATCGGCTTTGCTCATCTTTGCTGCGACTGACTCGTCAGACTCCAAGATGAGCGTCATTGACACAACCAAAGATTTGGCAGCTCTGTTCGAGCAACAAGCACAGGCTACCCCAGATGCCATTGCCTTGGAGGACGAAAAACGGACTCTCACTTATGCAGAACTCGACAGCCTAACGTGGTCTCTAGCTGACCGTCTTCGACAGTATGGTGTCGGTCGTGATGATCTGGTTGGAGTGCTGATGGGGCGGAGTGCAGACAATGTCATTGCATCCCTTGCTGCGCTGCGAGCGGGAGGCGCTTTTCTCGTGCTGGAGCTGGCTTATCCCACCGGCCTCCTTCAGGATGTCATTGACGATGCGAAGCCGACGGTCATCATCACACAAAAGGCACATGCTGCCAATATCAAGGCTGATGTCCCTACCATTATTATTGACCAGCCTGAGCCATCCACCAATGGGCATGCCGCGCCTATTGTTGTTGAGACGAGAGAGCCTCTACCTGCGAGCGACGACTTGGATCGCCTGGCGTTTGTGTCCTACTCATCAGGCACCACTGGCAAGCCAAAGGGCATTGCAAACCCTCACAGAGCACCTGTTCTCAGCTACGACTTGAGGTTCCGTACGAGTGACCTCGGACCCGGTGATCGCGTCGCCTGCAACGTCTTTTTCGTTTGGGAAATGCTGCGTCCCCTCATCAGAGGAGCCACTACAGTTGCTGTTCCCGACGGTGCAAGCTATGATCCTATCGGGCTGGTTGACTTCCTCGCCTCCAGGCGAATTACTGATACCCTCATGACCCCCACTCTGCTTACCACCGTTCTCTCACGGCATCCAAGCCTTGGTGAAAAACTCCCGGAGCTGAGGTCGTTGTGGCTGAATGGCGAAGTTGTCACAACAGATCTTATACGACGGGCTTGTAATGCTCTTCCCAACACCCGACTCCTCAACGTTTACAGCGCCAGTGAAACCCACGAGATTGCTGTAGGTGACGTCAAAACATTCGTGGATTATGAGTCCCGCGTCTGCCCTGTAGGACCACCTGTGGATCCTGAGCACATCTATATCTTGGATGAGGCAGGAAACAGGCTGGACGCAGGTGTAAGTGGCGAGCTTTTCGTCGGTGGTGACCTACTAGCGAGAGAGTACCTCAACCTCCCAGAAACGACAGCCATGGCTTTCCAAGTTGATCCTTTTGAGACCAAAGAGGGCGCTCGGATGTATCGAACTGGAGATATGGCGAGGATGCTTCCATCAGGCCTACTCGAAATTACAGGCCGAGTGGGTGGCATGATCAAGACTCGTGGATATACCGTCCAACCAGGCGCAGTCGAGACGACTATTGTGAAGCACTTGGCAGTGCGGGATTGTGCCGTGGTAGCTCATGGAGAGGGCCTACAGAAGCAATTGGTGGCTTATATCGTTCCCGACAGCGACAATATCCAAGGTCGAACCATTGTGGTTATAGACGAGGCTGGCCATAGTCCAGTTGCTCGGCGAGCTCTGTCTGCTCATCTGGCACATTACATGATTCCTCCCCTTTGGGTTGAGCTCAAGGAGCTACCAACACACGAGGTTTCTGGCAAGACCGACCTCAAAGCTCTCCCGCCTCCTCCAAGACCAAAGACACCAGTGCAAGCAAAGAAGCCAGAGAAGAACGTGACTATCAAGATGGATACCATCATTAAAATGTGGTCCGCGGCTCTGAATGTCCCAATCTCAATCATCACGCCAAAGCATGACTTCTTTGACCTGGGAGGACACTCTCTGATTCTCGCTGATCTTGCCAGTCGACTAACCAAGGCGTTTGGCTTTCCTGTGCCACTAGCTCCATTGGCTGGTAATCCTACACTGGATGGACACTTGGAAGCTGTCAAGGCTGCTCGCGATGGCCATACCGAGGAAGTGCAGGCAGAACTCCCGACCGTCCTGCGAGCTGATGCTGTGCTGCCTGAAGACATCAGCGCTACAAACGCGCAAATGAAACGCCTCAGCGACGCGGAAACGGTCTTGCTTACAGGAGCCACTGGTTACTTGGGAGCTTTCCTCTTGAAATACCTCCTGGAGAATACATCAGCACATATTTTGTGTCTGGTTCGATTTACTGATCCTTCAGGAGACTGCCGTCCTGCTGGAATGGCCCGAATTCGCAAGAATCTGATTGACTTGGGCATTTGGAGCGACTCGATGCTGGAGCGTATGGAGATTGTACCAGGCAACTTGGCCAGGAGCCGACTGGGCCTATCTCCAGAGGCTTTCGAGGAACTCGCATCTCGCGTCCAAGTGATCATCCATTCAGCCGCTACTGTGAACCTTGTCTATCCCTATGCTGCCCTAAGAAGCGCAAACGTGAACGGAACGAGGGAGATTATTCGTCTTGCCTCGCGTGGCGGAGCAACCCTGCACCATATCTCTACCAACGGCGTTCTGCCACCATCTCTTGAAGGATGGTCTGAGGATACCACGATTGACTTTGACGACGTGCCCACAAAGCTGCAGGATGGCTATGGACAGACGAAATGGGTGGCAGAGAAGCTTGTGGTTGAGGCAAGCAAAAGAGGCATTCCGGTGAAGATCTACCGGCCAGGCACCATCAGCGGCCACAGCGTCACTGGTGCTGCTAATACCTACGATCTTCTCAATGCCCTAGTTGTAGAATCGCTCCATCTTGGCCAGGCCCCCGACATCGCCGACTGGGTCATGGAAATGACCCCCGTTGATTTCGTCAGCAGAGCCATCATCACATTGGCCGATCACACTCAAGGCCAGCAGTTGGTATACCATCTCGGAGACCCTAGCCCGATCAAGGCATCATCATTGTTTGATTCTCTAGCCGAGCTGGGATACGAAACGGGACGCTTAGAGTGGGACGAATGGGTAGACCTGTGGAAGGAGAAGCGAGAGTCACGAGGAGGCGACGAGCCTTTCACCGTTGATATCTTGCGTGGAGGCATGCCTACCGTCGACTCACTGAAGGGTTCTATTGTCCTCAAGGACGGTGCCACTCAGCCAACGCTGGACTTGTACGGCCTGAAGCGCGTCAACATTGACAATGCCCTGCTTGAAACGTACATGCGACACTTTTACGCCAGAGGATGGCTTCCCAGGCCACCTCGTCGACTCACAGTCAACGGAACAGCTGCAGCTATTGGTGCAAAGAAGGGACGTCTGGCCGGCAAAGTAGCCATCATCACAGGTGCTTCTTCTGGTATCGGCGCTGCGGTCGCTGCTGGCCTCGCCAAGGAGGGGGCGTCTGTGGCTCTTGCAGCACGACGCACCGATGCCCTCGAGGGCATCAAGGCCAGGATTAACAGCAGCATCAGCGGAAGCAAGGTGCTCATCCACAAGACAGATGTGTCAAAGAAAGACCAGGTAGACGCTCTTGTAAAGGAGGCTACGGAGAGGCTCGGCCCCGTCGATATCATTGTCTGCTGCGCAGGCGTCATGTACTACACCATGATGGCAAACGTCAAGATGGACGAGTGGGAGCGCACCGTCGACGTCAATTGCAAGGGCGTCTTGAACTGCATCGCCGCCACCGTCCCCGGCATGCTCGACCGTAAGAGCGGCCACGTCGTTGCCATCTCCTCAGACGCAGGCCGCAAAGTGTTCCCCGGACTGGGCGTGTACTCGGCCAGCAAGTTCTTTGTCGAGGCGACACTGCAAAGCCTGCGCGTGGAGAATGCAGGTTCAGGCCTTCGCGTGACTTCTATACAGCCGGGCAACACTGCGACGGATCTGCTCGGCATGTCGACCGACGCCGAGGCCGTGAAGAAGTATGGAGAGCCGTCTGGCGCGAAGATCTTGGATCCTGAGGACGTGGCGCGGTCTATTGTGTATGCTGTGTGCCAGCCAGAGCATGTTGCGGTGAATGAGATTTTGATTGAGCCTCGGGATGAGCCCATTTAGATATGAGCTGGGGATGAACAAACATAGAATCATATATACGCATCTTATTACTACTCACGTTATATCTTTGAATAGTCTTTTCTATAGTATCGTTTTTAATCAAACTGCTTAAGAAAAATATATGCACCATCCCAACTTATTTTTTGTTCCCACTTTCTTAGCAATCTTCAGTATCACCAAGCTGCTTTGATGCAGCCATACAACACCGTCACATACCGGAACATCGCTGCGGATCGTCGGCCTGAAGATTGAAATTACCTGCAACGTCCACGCAAGCAGGACCCACTGCGGAGCCGAGCACCTCCGATTTTTCGGGATGCCGCATTTTCTACAGTATGCTCTAAAATTCGACAAAAGTAGAGTCCATGGAGCGTTTTATTAGCCGTATGGATCGCAATTTATAATGCTTAGTTGATGTAATACCAAGAATGAGTAGGAAATTCTCTCTTCTGTTCACACCTAGTCATGCTGAGGAATGTGATGGACGCTTGACGATCGGCAGCCATCTCCATATCCTTGCGGACCCTGGCATTTCCGCCACAAAACATCTTCATATGTATAGTGATGGCGTCCAGTCCTATATACCTATGCAAGTCAATCAATCCTTTTGAATATAGCATACAATAATTTTTAACTTGCTATCACTTTGAAAATATTGCATTCTCATCAACTCTACTGCTCTAACCATCACCGGCTCACCGGCACCTCGCCAACCGCGATTTGTTTCAGACCAAGAAGATCGCCAACGCCCATCGTCTTGGCATTTTCCATTTATCCAAGATGTCTCATCAAATCATGCCCATTTCCTCATCCAGTCTCAAAACAAAGCTCCCCTATTCCTCTTCGCGAACCAAACTTCCAGAGCCCGCCACGCCAAAAGATCAGCGCTCTGCCAAGCCAATTCGACCTTCCGCATCCTAAATTTCATCCCCGTAGAAAGATCCACGCACGGGAACAGAACCTCCCTATCGAATGCCGCTATGTATGTAGAGCTTACATCCTTTTCAAAGAGACTAGCTTTTTTTTTTCCTTGTTCTCACGAAGATTTGAACCTTTTTGGCGCCGTTACTGTCGATCATCAAACTTGGGGAGCCACAAAGTCTGAGTAAGTGGGTTCGAAAAAAAGGGGAAAGGGCCCCCGTATGACGATGTGCGACAAGAAATTCGTTTTAAAGACAAACCTATGCGCCCACTTGGAGAATTTTGAGAAGAAAGCGGCTCTTTTTGTATTTGTGTTTTTTCTTCATTGTATTTGCTTACTGTGTTGTGCGACTATTTTGTTCATTTGGTTTATTTCGAGTGTCTGAGCCCAATTCAAAGACCAAAGGGCATAATCTCAACTGTCGCTATCACCCCGTTCTTTAGGAGCATCTATTGCAATGAGTCCCATTTCAGATACCCATCTTGTACTATATTCATGAAAGCGTCCTATATTCATTCACTTCTCTTTAACTTCTTTTCATTTACACATTTTTAACTTTTATAATCCGTCCACGCCATGTACTTTTCTTCAATCATTAGCGCAGTCGCGCTTCTCTTCACTCCCTCGGTTCTGGCCGACGTCCCACTCATTACCAACGCAACCGAGTACATAGACCTAGCCAACTCGCAAGGCGGTTTTCCCAGCCAGACATTCCGCTCTTCAGCCATTGTTGCTCCCATCTTCTTCGTAAATAAGTGGGAGAAAGACCAAGTCGACGATGCACCATTCGTCTTTCTCGGGACCGTATATGGAGAATGGAAAGCGGGGCCCATGATATTCGACGCCCGCGATATGAGTCTCATATACGCAGATCAAAGATATGAAAATACTTACACATCAAACGTGCACATTATTAACGGCTCACGATACTTTGCTTTCTGGGAGGGTGGTCACACTCGCGGCCATGCCAATGGAAATTGCCTCTTCTTCGACGAAGACTACAACCTCAGATACACCGTCACAGCGCAAGGGCTCGGCGATGCTGAGGCTGATATGCACGAGCTTAGCGTCACAAAAGACGACAGTGTCATCTTCTCGACATACTTTAATATTCCCTATGACTGCAGCTCCGTGGGAGGACCAGACAATGCCCTCCTCATGGACAGCGGTTTCCAAGAAGTCGATGCAGCAACTAATCGGTTAATCTTTGACTGGCATGCTTCCAGATTCTTTGACATTAACGACTCATTTGCCATATATAATGAGGATTATGGCGTAAGCCCAGACTCTGGCTTTGACTTTTTCCATATCAATTCTATACAAAAGGTAAGCTACTGAAAGAAAGGGGGTTGAGAGTTTTAGTACGAACATCGCCGCTAACATACTGCACACTCACAGACTGACGATGGCAACTATCTCGTCTCCAGTCGCCACCTTTCCCTTCTCACTCTTGTAGATGGCAAAGACGGCCACCCCATCTGGATCCTTGGTGGCAGGAAAAACCAGTTCACCGATCTATCCAACGGTGAAGCCACCAATATCGGGTGGCAGCACGACGCCCGCATTCTCCCGTCCAACAGCACGGGCGAGACTCACATCACCCTTTTCGACAACCACGGCGAATACAGCGGTGTCTGTCAAGAAAAATGCCAAACTCGTGCTCTCCACATCGCCATCGACCCAGTCGCCCTCACCGCGCGAGTAGTCAGCCAGTTCTTTCACCCAGAAAACATCGACTCTGGCGCCATGGGAGGGTACCAAACACTGGACAGCGGAAATGTCATGACAGGATGGGGACACAACCCCGGCTTTGTAGAGTATAAGAGCGACGGAATGCCCGTGATGGACATCCAAAGAGGTATCATTGGTGGCGAGGTTTTGGCAGACATGTTCGCCTATAGAGTGAACAAGGGAGATTGGACTGGAAGACCACCATGGCCACCAACCGTGGTGGCTGATGCACCCAATGGCAACACCCTAGAGGCCACAATTTACGTTTCGTGGAACGGTGCAACCGATGTAGCCTCATGGGCCATAGTAAGCCACTCCGTTTCTTCTTCATCTCATAGCGCATGATACTAACCCCGAGATAGTTTGCCTCCGATGATCACAGGACCATTAGCAACTATACAAACCTCATCGCCGAATCTCCTCGTCAAGGATTCGAGACCATTATCTCTCTCGCCAGCGAAGATATTTCTCGCCGGTACCTCGCCGCAGCAGCCGTATCGGCCTCCGGTGATGTCCTCAGTTCAACTATCGTCATCGATCTCGAAAACGACGGTCAGCCTGCCATCGTCACAAGCGATATAGTTAGCCTGAAGCCGCCATCGCCCCCTCCACCACCGCCGTCTCCATCGCCGCAATCGTCTCCAGTACCTCCAACGTCTCCGTCACCGCCATCGCCGCCATCTCCATCACCCTCAGTCTCTTCGGGAGAACAAAGCCTCAGTACTGGCACATTAGGAGTAATGAGCGGGTCAGTGTTTAGCGTTGTGGGCATTTTCTATGCAGGAGCATTCTACTGGCGAAAGAAGGCAAGATTAAGGCGTGGCCATGGAGAGGAAGGATACAGAATGGTTGACATGAGAGATTGAGAAGTAGGACGATGCAGTTAAACAACACATTAACGCAATAAATAAATAGACATTTAATCCTAGATTAAGAAAAATAGAAGAAACCATGACACAGTATTTAGATAGAGGCATTAATGAAAGGAAATGAGGGTATCCTAAAACAATTGTTTTCTCTTTCATTTAAAAAAAAAAGAAAAGAAAAGAAAACAATAAAAAAAAAATAATAAATAAAAAAAAAGTGTCATCTCTCGTTAACCATATCACGCTGTCATATCTCATTTCTACCTTCTCATACCAACATGACTCATATAAAGGAAAAGGAAAAAAGAGGCTATCCATATAGCGTTCACATATCTAGTAACAGACCATCACAACCAGTGTTTTCAATGACCGTACACAGTCCTTGATGGAATCAGGCATCGTCAATCACTGTACCATCATCGTCAAACTCAAAGACCTCTTCGAGAGCCACTGCACTCTCCGAATCCCGAGCTGCCTCCCGCTGCATTGAAAGTGACATGATGAATTTTTTGTCCGGCCGCAAGATTCCCCACATCTCTGGTATCATCAAGACCTTGGATGTCTCTCCTGGAACACGATGCGCCATCGCTTTGATGTATGCTAGCTGCTTCCCAGCCATGTGCCAGGCAAAAGTAGATTTGTCGTGTCTTTTGAAAGTAGTTGAAGCTTTAAGGAGTTCCCAATTACTTGTTGCAGAGTCTTTATTAGGATCAGGGAGTAGCTCTGGAAAGTGGCCGCTTGCGAGTAGTTCCTCTGGAGGTTTGATATCAAGCCATTTCTGATATATAGCCTCCACTGTATTAGCAAAATTGGAGTTTTCAACTCCATTACTCCCCTTGCGAAAGCTGATGCGCCACTCGTCCCGAAGTGCGTCAATTTCCTTTTGGAGGTGCGTTCGCAGCTGTCTGCAGTATGAAGAGTCTTCGTCTTTCCCGCTCGCTCTTTCGTCATACATGTTGTACAACTTAGTAAGATCTTCGTCATAGGCCATTGCGCCATTGGCATTGATCTTCTTGCTCAAATCCTCCAAGACGTTGGAAATAACTTTGTCAGCAACATCGAACCTCAGATAATCAAGAATATGCAACAGACCCCCGATATTAGGCCTCCTCTCACCGTTTTCTTTCGCATACTCAGGATCCTCCAAAAAAGTTCTCTTCATTCCAAGTTGACTTTTTTGAAATCGCTTCCAGTCTTCATCCGTAAAGTCAATGCCCTGTTTCTTCTGATCGACCAAGTAGCCAAGCAACTGGCTCAAATGAACAGCACGCTCATCTTGGACTGATTTCGGCAAAATATAGCATAGTCTTTCTTTATACTTTGTGCATCGGCCCAAGAACGAAGGCTGTAGATTAAACAAAAATGCCTGAGATATAAAGTCTAAACAAGCATCCTCAAGGTGCTTAGATTTTGTGTCCGCATTCTTGTTGCTGTCGCCACTTGCAAGGCTGTCCAATATGCTAGCAAATTTTGTAGTGTTTTCGCGTAGATATCCACCGTTGATGAAATCCGCCGGTTCTGGTACGGGAGCATTTTCGAAATTCTGCACAATGAGTGGGTCCCAACATACCCATGCCATGTCGCCATCATAATCACCACCCGACAGTTTGTCGGCAAGAGGAACAGATCCTTTTGTTGAAAATATAATGACATCCTTCAGCTTCCGAAGCTCAGGTCGAGATACTACTTTGACTCTCTGGATATCGCTTGGTAAATGGGCCGGGGCCCTTGCTACCAGAACATCCATCTGCTCCAGTAACGTGTCTGAAAACCCTTCAACCTGAAATTTTGTGGAAAAGGAAAGATGCACTTCTCCTTCCTCGAGAGTAGATGAAAAGTCAGCAGCCATGTAGACGTAAGCCGAGCAGGGGATGGTGATGTTCATCTTGGTCTTTAGAATTTCAGCCTTCTTCTGGCACATTTCTAGAACAGTATCCTTCAGGTACTTCATTCTCCTCTGATCGAACCCAGAGTCAAGCAGAAATGCCACTTTATCGGCATTGTTATTAGGAAGACCAGCTAGAAACTTCGCATAGCCATCCAACAACCGATCGTTCTTTGGGGGCCCGGATTGATGAATCCATAACCGAAGACTCATCGGGTCTTTCATAGCGTCCGTTTGCTCTCCAAGATCGGCCTTCAGGGCTCTCTGTAAGTGCTCAGACATTGCCCGCCGCATTTCCTTCGGCTGTATTGCCCGCGCCTCCAGCACCGGGATGAACTGTTGGTTCAAAGAGGCCGATTTCAGTTCTGAAGGCCAATTACGTATCTCAAGAGTTCGGTGGTGCACGTCTTTAAAATCGCATTTCCATTTTATTTGTGATGGGTATATTTCGACCCAATCTTCCTCGAAATCTTCCTCGAAGCCCTCCTCGCTGTCAACATCAATTAGCCACATACCTTTTGCACTTCCCAGTCGACCTTGGAAGCAGCTCGGGCAATCTATTAACCCAAGCGATTCGGCGACTTTCTTAGCCAGGCTTGGTGAAATGCGACCAATTCCATCATTCATCACCTTCTCACCAGGGATCCCCAAATCTTTGGTTCGGATGCGAATTTGGTGCCGTTCGAGTGTAACAGTAGGCCAGGTTCGACTGAGGCCTAGCATAATTTTGTCAGTACGGCACTTCTTGTGCAGAGAGATAATACCATTACTCACTTAGTGCCAACCGAGAAAACAGTTTAGTAACAGGCTGCTCGGAATTACGTTCGTTATCGATGTTAATAACCCATCGTAGCAGATCACTAAGCTTCATTTTACTGCGAATCTTGATCCCCGGTGGTTCTTGCAGTTCTTGCGGCAGTGGTTCTTTCAACAGTGGTTCTTTCAGCAGTGGGATGCCGTCTGGGGTGGTGGGAAGACGAAAACCATTGCCATCATAAGCAAAAAAATATAGTCTCTCAGGAGGGGCACCTTTATTCGTCCCTGAAGCTCTCTTTCCTTTGATGGTGCGAACGAAGAATGGTCTCCAGCATCGTCCAAGGAAATAATGAGGAGATCTTGTGAGCCAATCTACAATCTTTTTAAGGCTTTCCTTGTCCTCATCGAGAATCTTTGGTTTGTCATCCGATGACGCAGATGGTGGTGGAATGGTCATCTCCAGGAAGCGGTCAGCACCAAATCGGCGCGCCAGCCGATGACCTAGCTCAAGCTTCAAAGGGTGCAGACGAAGGCTATAGAGTGGCCCACTCGGATCCTGATTATACGCCAGTTCTGCAGAGAGTGTAACCGTCTTTGCATTGGTTTGGAAGTCTCCTAGTGCCGTTTGCCATGCACCTGAGTCGCTAGACTGAGGTAAACTTTTGCCGTGGAATAGAGGGTGCTTGGAGATTGTATCCCTCAGATTACGCTGGTTGTGCCATATATCGTTCGATTTCGGTTCATACAATAAATCAAACTGATCCAGTGGAACATTGCAATGAAGAGCAGCTCTGGTGATCTCCCACATGACAGCCAAGGGGGCTTCTGTTAATCCAGGGTCAGGTAATTTCGCTATTTCACGATGCTGTTAGCCACAATCTGCATAGTTTCTAGTAGGTGCATGTGTACCCACGCCAAATATGAGCAAGTCTTTCTTCTAGAGATTTGCCTACGCCCGCTTTGCTATCTTGATGTAAATGACTTGATGAAGATACAGGAGCTTGAAATTTCGAATTATTATGGCTCTGGGAACGGCCATTAAGCACTTCTTTCCCACGAAAAGAGAAATCTGTAAGCTGTTTCGGTATGTTTTCATCGGAGCTCGATGCAGACGCTTCTGAAGAAGAATTGACCTCTGTGTTTTGCGAGTATGGATAGTTATTTGAATGATTTGGCGATTCAGCGCCAACAGATGTTTGACTTATAAAGGGCCCATCTTGTGTTTGGGTAGAAAACACTTCGGAGTGAAATGATGTTCGAGTTGAGAGGAGTGACTGTTCAAAAGATGCTTGTTGAGGAGGGGGTTGAACAGCTTCACTTCGAGAGCGACTCTCAGAAGATATCACTGTGCTGATATTCGCAAATGAATCTCTGGAGCGAACTGGAAGGGCATCTACGGCATCGAGATGCTCATATAAATGACTTTTAGCTCGTTTTGGAGAACCGTCCGGCATTGCTTCAGGCTCTCTCTTACTCCACTGTCTCGATTCTGGCTTATATACTTCGCAGAGGATATCTAGCAGACATTGCTGAAGAAGAGCTCGAATATGGTTACTGGAACTCTGTGACGCAGACTTGGACAGGATCCTGCGCCCACGCTGCTCAAAATCGCCTATATATGCGGCTAGTCGATCATCTCCCGTATAATACAAATGCCGGATTTTCTGGTATATGTTGTCAACTCGGGCCTCTTCATCATTTCGTCGACGCTCTCGGTTCTTACGAGGGGAGAGCGTCACATCGGGTTTGCAAAGCTGCAGCTCAAAGGTGTCATTGAGCCTTCGAATAATACGGTCCAGCTCCTGATCAGATTTATTGTGCGAACGAGGCCCCCGAGGCGCAGACACCATTGTATATCTAGCGCCCTGAAGCTACTGTGAGTAGTAGCATTAGTAGTATTCGTAGTGTAGTAGCAGAAAGCTTACCGGCTTAGCTTACTGACTCGCCTGGTCTTGTCGCATAGTAATTAGCTCGCCGTGGATTCTAGCCAAGCCGTCCCCGCGATGGGGCACCGCTCGAATGCCCCTCCAAAGCTCGTGCAACATCACGTGATATCAGAGCTTTTGCAAGGCAAACCAACACGGACCGTCAGATGATCCGCTCTCAGCTCAGGCATTCTCATATCCTCCGCCACTTGCTCTCGTGGAGATGCTCGGTGTTCGGCGTTGATGAACTGCAAAGACTGAGGGAGACTCACAAACTCCATTGGACAATCGACTCCACCGCATGCAATTGAAATAGATCTTTTGTATTAAGCTTCTTACATCAACCCCAATCATGACTGAAAATGCCGACGCAGACGAGCAGGTGCCAGTCGAAGATCTGACACCTGAAGAGGCGAGCCGCATCATCCACTCGCATCGGAAAGTTCGGTATGGTAAGGAAATCTCCATCAGCAAGCGCACAGCTCAATAGTGTGCAAATTTTCTCCTATCGCACTCGCTCAAGCTCTCGTATATTTTCCGCGCGACTAATGCATCTGCAGGGACCGCGTGTTGGCCGTGCCGTCAGCGCAAAGTCAAGTGTGACAACCAGCAGCCCTGCGAGAACTGCGTGAAGCGCGAACACCCTCAGCTGTGCTCTTATAAGCCCAATCGATCATCGGCGGGCAAGCACACTGCCACTGCTTCTCACGGTCGCAAGAGGGCGCGCTCACTCTCTGATGGAGATGACAATGTGAAAGCCGAGCGCCAGGACAGCTGGCCGCCGGCAATTGGTAAGTCAATGGCATCGCGGCATGCGCCCGGTTTACGGCACGTATTTATTGAATGACAATGTGTGATGTAGGCCTCTCCACCAATCAGGAAGATGCTGAATCAGTGCCTGATCGCTATGTTGGACAAAACAGCATACCGGCCTTACTCGGAGAGCAATCGCCAAATGACAAGGACGATGGAACCAACATTCGCCGGGACATGCGGTCCATCCTGGGGCTTGACACCTCAGCGCCTTTTCCTCTCATGTCGTCTTCTCATCTTCAACGGATTGCTCGCGATATCGCCACCGAATTGCCGTCAGATAGAGAGGTCATGAAGTATGTCACTGCATTGGTTAAGTGACACTTGTTAATACTAATGTCGTTTTGAATAGGCTGTTCCGTACTTACAAGGAGATTCCGCAACCATTCTGGGGCTTCGTTATCGACATCGATGAACTTGAATCCGATCTCATGATTTACTTGGAGGATCGATCTCGAAATGCTTCCAAGACTGGCAGAACATCAAAACCAGTGACGGCCTCCTGGCTTGCCATTCTCTTCGCAGTCTTGGCAGTTGGCTCCCAGTACCACGAATCGCCGTACCATATTCGCACCAAGGATTCGCAAAAGTACATACAAATCTCATTTCATTTACTCCGGCTAGCAAACTTTTTGTTAAGGTGAGTCATTTGCTTTGCACGTTTTTATATCTCTCGGCTTGTCTCACTAACATGTCATGTCCTATGCAGGCCATCGTTTGACTCAATCCAAGCATTGCTGTTGACCAACTTTGTTCTTCTCAATGACATGAAAGCGGAAGCATCATGGGCTCTTACAGGCCTTACATGCCGTCTCGCCCAGTCCTTGGGGCTTCATCGACCAGCAATTCGTGGCAGTCGCGAAAGCTCGCCCCTCGCCGCCAAGTCTAAGGAAATGATTCGACGCAGGTTATGGTGGACATGCGTCTGGCATGATACCTTGACATCTCTATCGTTTGATCGGTAAATCTGCACTTTCATTGCGGAGATATAGAATACAATGCTAATACTCATCATGCATAGGAGTTCAATGACAAATATTCCGAGCTGTCCGATTCCTCAGAACATAGACGGGGCCATTGGAAACTATACGTACTTGGAAATGATGTACAATCTCGTCGAGATCATTTCGCGCCGCCTTAACCCCGATGTGATGGCTACCGCCAGTTACGAACAGATTATTGAAAACTGCGATGCGGTCGAAGAGCTTCGTAAACGTGGGGCACCCCATATGCAAGACAAGGAGAAATGTAAGACAGCGTTGGACCGTCTTCAATTCTTCGCCATCCACCTCCATACGTCCTTTGTTATATCTGTGGCGTGTCGGCCGGCGCTTCGAAGGGACTGCCCCTTTAACCCAACACAGAAGCAAGCTCTCTCAGAGAAATGCAGGGTCAACTTGACCGACACGGTGAAGATGTTCCTCGCCATGCATCAGCTTTCAGTGATTCCGACGCGAAGCTGGGCCTTTACTTACCACGGTCTATCGTCGGCTTTGCTGCTTGGCCTCCTTTCCGATACCAAGTCTGACCCTGAAGTGCGACAGCTCCAGGGAGACTTGATTGAGGCTCTTTCTGCGACTGCAGCCAAGGATGTCAGCTCCCCGGAGGCCCATGTCGCCAAGACAGACAAGGATATCGAGCTCTCGGGTCCCCTGTGGAGAGCGCTTACCGCACTCAAAAACATCTACGACCATGGACAAGTCAACATGTCGAGCCTCAAGCGAGATGGCGACATGTCTGCAGTCGCCAGCGGAAATCGAACTCCCTTGCTTCACCTTGGACTTAATGGCCAGGGCGGTTATAACGCCATGATCTCGAATCCTTCATTCCGCCCCTTGCCGCCGGGTGCAGATCCTCGCGAAGACGCGGCGATGGCTATGGCCGAGATGCAGAACGGCTCATCTATGCAGGACATGTCTGCGTAAGTGGAAGAGCGACTATCCTTTTTCTTTTTGAGCGCCATTTGAAAGCTAACTTTGTTATATCAGGATGAGCTATCCTCCGCAAATGCCTGGCAATCTTGCTATGGATGGCATCCCACCTATTGTCGACCCGATGCAGTTTAATGCTCCCATGGAGCTCTACGACTCTATTTGGGTTGGTAAGTAAATACTCGTTGCCGCATCAGTATACTATTTTACATATAGAAAGTAGGCTAACTTGTGTAATCAGAATCCCCTCCTGACCCGTGGAACACCGGCATGGATGCTTTCAACTTTGACTTCTTGGCACAGCCGCCACCTGGTCAAAATCACCAGCAGCAGTACTATTTTTAATTTTCGGGCAGCAGATTGTATAACGTAGTTTTTATTTTCCTCTACTCTGTTTTTTTTCTTTTTTTGTCTTTCTTTTTTCCCCAAAACTTTTATGAGTAGAAACGTAAAAAGTAGGTTGCAACTATGGATGATGATGATTGACGGATACCCCATAGTATGACAAAAGGCTAAAACGGTGTTGCTTTTTGTTTTCATTCGTTTTTTTTTTTGTACAAGGAAGTGGTGAACTGTTACTGGAAATTTTTGGATTTGCTCGCATATAGACCACAATATGATTAAATAATGCTATTTATACGTCTAGACTTATCAATCATGTGCAGTACAAAGTGATGGCAGCCAGGAGACAGTTGTCAGCGCTCTCTTTGATCATCCAGCTACGAGAGATAAAAAGCTCTCATATATTCAGATCGCAATTCAGAGCCCGAAAACGGGGTTACACACTCAAATGGTGATAAACCGCCATTCCAGAACTGCAGTTTGCGACGATCGGTGCTCATCATTCAACATGTCTCGTGTGTCTACCTGTGCATGCACCTGTGCATATGTCATCTTCCAAAAGCATTGATTGGCATCAAACTCTGATTCAATATATCAGCAACACAAGCATCACAATAAAGAATCAGAAGAAAAGAGTCGTCAAACGTTATCTTTTTGTGTATCATTTTCCCAAAAATCTACCTTTTAACTTTTATTTCCTTTTTTTTTTTACCCTTTTATTTTTTCGTTTTTCTTGACGTGCTAGAAACGAGCTTCTTCTTCAGATGCTTTGGCATCTTTTCCTGTCGTTTCTCGCGCTTCGCTTCCTTGACAGCCTGTTTATGTAGCTATAAAATATGTCAGCCAAGATCTTCTTCTTCTTCAAAGTCCCTTCAAGGAATGGGGGTTAAACTCACCTTCTTCTCGTCCTTGTCCTCGAATTTGCGACCTCTAGGCCTTCCCTTCTCAAACCGGCTCTCGTCATCCGCAGACTCGTCATCATCATCGTCGCCAAGAGAAGCTCCCTCTCCAGACTCGTCCTCTGAATCATCCTCTTCATCCGCATTTTTGTCTTCTCCTTCTGCCTTGGGAGCGACAACCTGGTCGGCCAGCAGCTTGCTGTACACCAACTCGTTGCCCTCTCCCAGACCAAGTCTCTTGACATCCTTCTCAATGTCATAGACCTGCTCCAGCGTCTGCGGGATGTATTGATTTCGGAAGACCTCTGTGTCGACCTCTTCAGCAGCAGCCTCCTCGTCGTTGGTGGCAGACTGCCGCGTCTCGTAGAGCTTCGCAATCGCTTCGCCCATAGCAGGCTCCTCTACCGGCCCTTCAGGCACGGTGATGAAGTTGAAAATGGCTCGGTCCGGCAGCGTGTCCACGCCCTTGCGACGGAAGAAGTCGCCCACGTTCTTGATATCCATACGCAGAAACTCCAGGGATCGGGGGTGATCGGGCTCCACACTCTGCGACACATCAATGATGTACAGCTTGCCATTGTGGTAGAGAATATTGTACTCGCTCAAATCAGCATGCACCAGCTTGCAGATCTGGTACATGCGCCGCATCGTGCCCAAAAGCTGCACATAGAGATTCTGCCACTGCTGATCCACATCGTCGCCCTTCAAGTTTGCATCTCGCAGTCGAGGATACGCCCAGCCCTTCCTGTCGCCCAAAAAGCCCATGACAAGCACATGCAGCTTCAAGGCCAGCGGTTCCGGACAGGGAATGCCGGCGCTGTATATCCTCCGCAGGTTTCGATACTCCTTCTCGGCCCACAGCTTAACCATCTTGCGGCTGTTGCCCTTGTCGAAGCCGCCCTTGAAGCGGTGCTCGCCCGTGATGTAGCGCTCTCTGTCCTTGAACACCAAGATGGCCGTCTTGTACACCTTGATGGCCCGCTGGGTGGCCGCGCCCGTCTCGTCGTCGTGCGACACCGCGCCGTAGACGTTTGCCTCTTTGCCCGTGCTGATGGCGCCGTGGACCTCGCTGACGACGCCGCGGTTGATCATCTGCAGCAGGATCATGCGCGTGCGCTGGTCCAGCACCTGCTCGCTGGTGGCGCGGTCGGCCTTGTCCTTGTCCCGCTCGCCATCCTGCTTGACGGAGTCGAGGCGGATCTTGACGGCGTGCTTGGACAGCGCCGAGACCTGGTCGTCGACACTGGCAAAGGTGTTGGCCTTGGGCTTCTGCGCATTGGACCGCGGCACGGCGGCGCCGGCGTCGGTGGCCTGTCTCTGGCGGTTGTACGTCTTGGTCAGGTCGCCGTCAGCGGCCCATTCCTCGTCGTCGTCGATCTGGTCGTCGTCGTCGAAAATGTCGTCGAGGTCGTCGTCGTCGTCGCCGTCCACGGGCAGCGGGGCATCGTTCTGTTGCCTCAGCAATTCGCGGGGCACCTCCTCAGTCTGCTCGTAACCCTGGCTCGCGGTGTACTGGTATGGTGGCTGGTGAGGCGCCGCTGGAGAGGCTGCGACAGCGTCTGCAGCGTCCATTTTGCTGCGGGTTGGGTGATTTGCGGTGTTTCTGCTGATTGTCTTTTTTGGGGGGGTCTTCTGTCTCTGTCTTGGGACAAAAGCTTCTAGCAGAGATGCGCAGTCGGGCAGCGCCGTCGGGTTTGAGACTTTGATGCTACAAAAATTATGTCGAGCAGACTTGTGATTTTTATCTTATCTAGAATTTTGGAGTTTCCGTGTGGTGGCGTATTTCTGCTTGCTAAAATTCCGGGTACTTTGCGCCAAGTCACTCCATACACTGACGTAGCAGCGCAATAGCGGGGTATTCCACTGACTCACAGGGCTCCAGCAGTAAAATGAGTACATGTAGTGGATGTACTTGGTAGTATGTCTAAGCACCTCAGTATTGGACTCTACGCCTCTACTTGTCCATTCTGTGGCGAAGCTAGGCTCTGATTCCTCATTTCTAACCGCTGCAATGAGTCTCACATCCTTGTCCGTTTTCCAAGCAGCCGGCAATTAAGCTTGAATCGCCAGTTGTGAGTCAAAGAGTCGAATTGCATCGCCCATGACTCAGCCTATTTCTATTGAATCAGAGCTTAACGCCGCTACGTGTCGGGTCGGCTTCTTCAGAGTCTGTCGATAGCATCTCCGTGCGTTTATGGCCAAAAGCCCATCCGTGTGATTGATTCAAGTGAGACACAGAATATGCACTCTACGCCAACAACGCCATGCAGAATAGGCAATAGTATCGATGCCGTCATCTTGAGACTCTCCGCTGCGTTTTCACCTCGCCGTTGAAATGCATCCGTGACCATTGGAGAGCACATGTGGAGTGGTCGTTGTTAGGGCCTGCTTACACGCACGCGTTCTGCGTTTGTTTTCGATGTCTCGGTCGTTTCTTAGATGATCACTGTCTAGGAGATAATGTGTCTCAGAAACTGTCGTTTTTTCGTGCACTTGCGGGTCATCCCAGCAATCTAGCTGGAGCTGCGAATTTCCCCATGCACATACTCTCCAAATAGCATTCCAGGCCAAGTCTTGTGCGTTTATCACCGGGGTTGGCCAAGATATATCGACATGTCAGGCCAAGCCGGGCTCCAGTATTCTGCAAAGCGACACAATGGCGTTGGAATCTGCAGCGCAGTGAGCTGTTCCATCCCGGTATGCTCTTGAGTTTTATTATATAACGGAGGAGAGGAGTCGTAAATACATGTATCCAGCCTCCGTTCCAGCAGCCGTCGCTTCATCTCGACTGCTGTCGAATAGTAAATCAGCTTCTTGTGTAATATTTTATCAGACTGCAGCATCGCATATTTCATCATGAAGTTCCACGCAACGGCCCTCGCCATCGCGTGTGCAGCAAGCTCTGCTTCAGCAGCAGTCGCCCAGCCGCGGGACACGGCCGAGACCACATCCAAAGGAGAGGAATTCTCCATCCCCCAAATAAAAAACGAGCGATGGAAAGGATCCAGTGCTCCGGCTGCCTATATTGCAGCTTTGGCAAAGTATAGCCCTACGTTACCCGACCACCTGAAGCACGCAATAAAGGTCAATCCGGGCCTTCGCCGGAAGTTTGGCGGACTTCTTAATACCGGTAAGCTGGCCTTTTGCCAGTACAAGTATTTGCCTGGGAGAATTGCGAAGGACTGAATCGAGAGTTAGGAAATCAAACGGGCACTGGTGTCGCGACGCCTTCTCCAGGATCAGATGCAGAATATGTGATTCCCGTCCAGATCGGCACACCTCCTCAAACACTCCCCCTAAACTTGGACACTGGCTCGTCAGATCTGTAAGCACCTCCAATGCAGGCCGAGAAGCTGTAGATTGAGAAAACAAGGCCAGCGTAAACCATCTCTTCTCATGTCACTAACCCTCCGTTCGTCTCCAGCTGGGTCTTTTCAACAGACACATATCCGTCCCAAGTCGATGGCCAGAAAATATATAAGCCAAATTCCTCCACCACGTCCAAACACTTGGCTGGAGAATCCTGGGTCATCCGATACGGCGACGGCTCCAACGCCAACGGCATCGTCTACACGGACCGCGTGCAGATCGGAAACACCTTCTTCGCCAATCAGGCCATCGAGTCCGCAATCAATGTCTCCGACGACATTAGCGACGACGACTTCTCGTCCGGCCTCCTCGGTGCCGCCTTCAGTGGCGCCAACACGGTACGCCCAGACAAGCAGACGACGTATCTCGACAACATCAAGGACCAGCTCGTGAAGCCCGTCTTCACCGCCAACCTGAAGAAGGGCAAGCCTGGCAACTACAACTTTGGCTACATCAATGCCTCCGAGTACACGGGCAACATCCAGTATGCCGCCATCAATCCGGGGTCTCCTCTCTGGGAGATTTCCGTCTCGGGCTACCGCATCGGCAGCAACGAGACCAACTACGTCTCCCGAGTCTGGAACGCCATCGCCGATACGGGCACTACCCTGCTCCTCGCACCAATCGACATTGTCAACGCCTATTACAAGCAGGTCAACGGCTCGACGATGAACAGTGACTATGGAATGATGATGGTGCCTTGCAACTCAGCCCTGCCCGACTTTGTTTTCGGACTAGGCACTTACCGAGGCGTCATCCCGGGCTCATATATGAACTATGGAAGAATCAACAGGACGTATTGCTTTGGGGGAATCCAGTCCTCTGCGGACGCACCCTTTGCAGTGCTGGGAGACATTGTCTTGAAGGCTCAGTTTGCCGTCTTTGATATGGGCAATAAGGTTGTGGGATTCGCAAACAAGCCTCTGTAAATACTAAATAGAGAAATTGAAACTGCTCTTTATGAGTGGATGATGAGATGATATAATGCTATTATTTTAATCGGCTATTTGTGGGTAGATTTTTTTTTTTTTTTTTTTTTTCCCTTTTCGAGTTTTCCAAGGCATTTATGCCAAGGTTCTAGAATACTCGTATTGAAGGTATCTAGCTAGTTTAGCAGTTCGTTTACATTCTTTTGTCTAACAAAGGAAATCTCCGATAAATCTATCTCCGTCGTCTTTTCGGCGACGAGTACAGCTGTTTGCCCGCATTTTTTGATGACACGGCACTCTCTCACACGAAGATTAGCTTAAATCCGTTGGCGAGCGCGGCTTGGCAGTCAAAAAAAAAAAAAAAAAGCATAAGCACTTACTAAAAAGGCTCCGCTGCTAGTTTTTACAGTGCAAGATGAAATTAATATGATGTTTTGCAACAAGAAGAAGATTTTGGCCGTGGCAATGGTTGGTTACAGGGTAGGCAGGCCATTTGTCAGAAGCCATTGCCAAGAAGGGCAATTTCTAAGCACGCAGAGTGGCATGTAAGTCGGACGAGTTGCTGCTGATCTCTCCCAAGTCTAATTCCGATTAGCCAGATGACGGAGAGAGCCAATGAAGGCGGCAAATGATCCCGTTTCTGAGGTCATAATGAGAACCAAGAGATGCTCAATACCATTTAGGAGACGTCAAAAGGCTAAATAAGAGCCCTCGTGCTAAATGATTGTCGAATATGTCCCTCCTCGCTTCCAACTCACCTTTGCCAATCTTCAGGCTTTGGACCGACAACTCAACCCGCAGAAACTAATGGCCACCAACGTCCTCGTCCTGGGCGCCGGCGAGCTTGGCCTGGCCGTGCTGGAGGCGCTCGCCAGACACCCCAAGCGCAACCACTGCAGCATCACCGTCGCGCTGCGCCAGGCCACGCTGGACTCTGCCGCGCCGGACAAGAAGAGGCTGTTACAGCATATCAGGGCGCTGGACGTGGGCTTCGAGGCCGCCGACGTGGAGCAGGCCTCTGCATCGGAGCTCGCCGCCATCTTTGCCAGATACGACACGGTTGTGTCCTGCACAGGCATGGGCTTGCCGGCCGGCACGCAGACCAAGCTGGCCCGGGCCGCGCTCGAGGCCAACGCGGACGCCCGCGTGCGATACCTGCCGTGGCAGTTTGGCATGGACTACGACGCCATCGGCGCGGGCAGCTCGCAGGACCTGTTCGACGAGCAGCTGGGCGTGCGGGCGATGCTGCGGCAGCAGGACGCCGCGGACTGGACCATCGTGTCGACGGGCCTCTTCATGAGCTTCCTCTTCGTGCCCGACTTTGGCGTCGTCGACCTCGCGGCCAGGACGGTGCGCGGCCTCGGCTCGTGGGACACGCGCATCACGCTGACCACGCCCGAGGACATTGGCCGGGCGACGGCCGAGGTGGTGCTGGACCCGCGCGGCATCCGCAACCAGTGCGTCTACGTGGCCGGCGACACGCTCTCGTACGCGCAGGTGGGCGATCTGCTGGACGGCCGCTTTGGCACGCGGTTCCGGCGCGAGCTTTGGGATGCCGACGAGCTGGCGAGGCAGATGCGCGAGAATCCGGACAGCGCCATGGTCAAGTACAGGGATACGTTTGCGCAGGGCAGGGGGGTTGCTTGGGGGCAGGAGAAGACGCTGAACAGGGCGCGGGGGATGGAGATGACGGACGTGAAGGCGTATCTGGAGGCCATGGATGCATCTGTAATGGACGAATGATGATGATGGTGGTGACTGTCGTGTAAGTGGTGGTGATGGCGGCGAGGCTTATCTACGTGGCTGTTTTGGGGTTATCAGATAACACATGTATGTGCCTAGATAATAGAAACGAAACAAAAACGCATTAGGTTACCTATTTTACATCTTTATCAGCGTTATCGGCCTTATCGGATTGTACATGCGTGTAGCACGCGGGCAGAAGAGTAGATACTGTGGTAGTATTGCCTTGAGAGCCTGCCGTAAGTCAGAAGATGCAAAGGAACCACGCATTTGAGATGGTTGGTTCGCTGCATGATTGGTATTGTCCCAGCATACAACAGAGTACTGCATACCGCTGCGTATTTCGAAACAGCAAAACAATAGCTGCATTGTGAATAAGAATACGAAGTATACAGTACTGCTGCCGCCGCCCCCATACTTTTACATACCGCATTCCACGTTGATACTGACTCCAGATACTACTAACCTCTTGCAGCATCTGTACATGCTCTATCCATCAAAGACACGAGAATCCGGCAATCCTGCCATCGACATCTCCTCGGGACGTCTCGCTCTTTTGTTCCGTCTTCAATCCCCCTGGAATAAGCAGCCGAAACGGCTTTATCCGCGGGTTTAGCAACTCATAAAAAGCCATGGCTTGTACAATTCTGCATTACTCGTATGATGGGCGCGCCGGCTATCCAGGAGCAACAAAGGCGGTCTCAAGCGTCGCCTCCTGACCCTCTATGGAGTAGCTTCCCCCGCATTATGTGCTGTTAGTTATCCCCGTACTAGGACTTTGGAACATGTCTAGTATGATTGTCACTGTGTGTGCTCTGCTTGCCTATCTGCCTCTCCATTATTCACATGGTGGATGGACTGGTTCAGAGCCTCGGGAGCAGAGCCAAAGTGTGACCCGATGACTCTCAAACCATTACCACCCATTGCAGCCTAGAGAGGCCGCTATTACTGTGTAGTTGCGTTGGAACTAGGCTAGAATACATACAGTACAACGACGGGGGGCGTTTCAAGCCACAGATAACGCAAGGGTCGCCGTATCGCATCGACCAACAATAAGGAACCCGGTTGTCGACTCTGCCATATGAGTCGCCTTGCCGCCTATCAGCTGGCAGCGTGAGCCTATTCCAGTACTGTGCGCTTACCTCTGTACTCTGTACTCTGTACTCTGCATCTGCTGGGTGACTCCATGCAACCAATGAGTTGCAGATACTTGACCCAGCGGCTTACGGACTCGAGACAAAACCCGGGGCACAGGATGCCTCATCCCCGGAAGCCTAAACTGGACTCTCGGAATCGTGTGGCCGGGTGTTTCTGCGCTTGTACCCCGTACAGCGACTCGACTTTTGCTCAGCAAGTGTCTCTGAGTAGCCCTCCGTGCAGAGAACATACTCTATTCTCCCAGCATGAGTCAATGATACTGAGTATAGTAGTCCACGGCACTGTCCAGTTGCACACTGTCGAGCCCAGCAAGTCCCGATCATTCAATGTCATCACTGATCACTGCTCGGCGACCCCTTTACGTCGTACCGTGTGACCCGTATGTACCGCATACCGCTGCTGATACCAGGCCTCTGTCGGTTCCTGGCAGTATCCACCACGTTCCCTGTACTCCGCACTGCGCTCTGCACGCCAGCGGGCCTCTGCTCTCGCCGCTTTCCTCTTCCGGCGGCGCTGCCTCCTATTCTGCCCTCGCTCTGACCGGTGACACACCGTGCCTCATCCATGGCTGCTATCTGCACACCTTCATTTCAGCCTGCCACAGCGCCAACGCCGCTCGCACTGCTGCCACTGTCCTCCCTCCGTCCCGTCAGCCTCGCTATGGCGCTCTTCCACTTCCGGCCAGCAAGCCCCCCCTTTCCCGAGACCAGCCGCTGTGCTGTGTGTGTCTCTTATCCTCGGTGACTGAGCTGCGCCACCAGCCCGGCCGCTTCCTTGGACGAGAGTGAGTCACGTCATGCGCTCGCCGCCAGCACGGCCAGATGACTCCCCCCAGGCCAATCAGCACGCCATGCGAGTGGCTGCGAGATAGGCGTTCCAGGCCTGATGGACAAGTCGTATAAGAGGATCGCTGGCTGGGCCGCGGGACATGGGCATCCAAAAGGGCCATCTGTCCTCCTCCTTGTTCCTCCTCCTTCGACTTCTTTGTTCTTCTACACGGCTCTTCGAGCTTCTTCCTCGACTACTGCTACTTACCACAAACGGCCGTCTCCATTCCGGCTTCCTCCTCTAGGACGCGCCCTAATATCATCACGAACGCGCCTTCTGTGACCAGAGTGCGTCACTGTTCGGGTTCTGTGCTTTGTTTGTAATCTGGACTCTGTGCTGGAGCAGCACTCCTTTGTACTTGTAAGTGAATCCGCCCATTAAGCGAGAGCCCCTGTGCTAGTAGCCATGGCATCCTTGACTGACATGTCATCCCTTATCCTTCCTGCGACAGTTCATCTCTTCTTCCTACGCCCTATTCTAGTCGACTTTGACATCTTCATATTCGACCATCTTCCATCCTCCATCCTTATCTGATCGGCCACGAGGCATCTTTCTCTCTCTTATCAGTCCACAACAAGAGCTATACGCACCTACCTTATATATAAGTCATCATGGAGGCCATCGTGGATCGCAGCGCCTTTACATCCCCTGCTGTCAAGCGCCATATCCATTCCAAGCGCGGTGCCATTCGACGCCGTGGTGCCAACTATTTCATAAGGTCTACCGCGAAGCGCTTGGCCGAATCTCCAAACCTCGCCTACCATCAGCTCGCCTACCCGTCCAACTATCCCTGCCTCTCCGGTGCCAAGAAGGCCTGCCGAAAGGACGGAGGCCCCATCGAGGGGCCTCGTCCTCTACGATCACAGATTGAGAATGATCTCCGTCAGGTCGTCTACTCCCATGCTTCGGCAACCAAGCGAGAACACCGTGTGCCGAGGGTATCGCCTCGCAGAGAGGCAGACGAGGGCCGGGAGCTCGCCCGCAGCGCGGTTCAACTACCAAGTGATGCGCATCGGCTTGTGAGACGGCCTAGCTTGGAACGCGAGGAGGCTTTCCGCGTTGCAAGCACCGCCAAGGGCAAGGTTCACATCCGCGCCTCTCCCGAGAGCGAGGATGCGCAGGTTGCTGAGCTTTATCACCAGGGCCTGCTCTACGACAACGAGGAACAACGCCCCGAGGAAGTCTTCAACCTAAACAGCATCCAGCACGAGGACCCTGTGTATACCATCCGTCCCGCAAAGCGTGGCCGCAAGTCAAAGAAGGGTGGCAAGCCTGCTCTCACCCTCTCCTTTACCGACCTTGGCGACTACAGCGCCAAGGCCTCAACAACTCACCTTACAACCGCTGATGACTCAAATATCGGTGAAGCTTTCCCTCCTCTGAGGGTAGTCTATGAGAAGGATACATCAAATCCATCATTTGATGTGGAGACGTCTCAGCCTCCTGATTTGATGATGGACGATAGTCTCTCTGATTACGACTACTTCTCTGACGGCGAGCTTGACGACGATGTGCCTTCTCAAACTGAGATTTTGGAAAACGCAAACAACCCATCCGCAGAAAATTGGATTATGCTAGGTTGATCGGCTCGTAGCAGGTCTGCTTAGGATCCCCCCGTGCCCCGCCGGGATTTTGGAAACTGGACAGGTGGGAGAGCCTCACCTCAGACTGGTCCATCATGTAATCTAGCGTGATTGCTTTTTTCTCTCGGCGTTTTGATTTTCTTGAATAGGGGGATAGAAATGGAACGGATTTTCCAGGGATTGGGATAGATGATGGATGTCTGTATACCGCAGCCTGCATAGCGATTGGTGTACCGACAGAATCCGTGATGACAGTTTTACACTCCTATATGGATGGGCGGCGACGCGTTTTTTCTTTTCTTCTTAGCTTAATGTTTGGATTATTACCGACTTTGTCTAGCTAGGTGTTTTAGTCACTTATACGGGTGTTGCCATGGCGCGCACTGGAATATTATTACGATTCTATTCTCTTCTGCAATTCAATGCATGCCTTGCTTAAGTGACAATGAGATATGGACAGAGGGTTAACTACAGTGCTTATTGTAATTTCATGCACCTGAATATCTAACTGTATCCGTTTCAAATTTATCTATGAACTTATGCGACTTCTGCGGGAATAGCGTTGAAGCCTGCTACTACAGGGAAGGTTGGTATGCCTACATCATCATCTTGGAGCCCGATGTATTTAGTTCCGAGCTATATTTCATGATCTCCTAACCACAATAAGCATGCCTATAAAAATGCATTACTCTATTCTTGGCTATATTCTACCAAGTTGTTGCCATAGTTTGGCTTCATCAAACGGTGACTTCATCAACGCTACAATGACGTAATGGGCGATTCACATGTGACACTCTCTCAACGCGTCTTGCTGCTCATAATGACGGACGCGCCATAAGCCCGATTGGGGTTAAAATCATTACTAAGGAAACGGAACACTGACTCTGGCTCTCCCTTTTTGCAAAGTTCGTGTACGTCAGAATACGCAATCGGCTGTAATCCGACGGCCCGAGGATGGATTTGATGCTCCGGTGGCGCTGGGCCGATGTTAGCCTTGTTCTTTGGAGACTTCCGTGAGCCGGGATGTTGGGCGATCTGGATGCAACCTTTAGAAAAGAAGCTTAATCCTTGTTTATGACGGACAATTTCTGAAGAATATTGTATTCAAACACGAAGCACGTTCAAGTCTCATTTTCTCTCAGTAACGCTGATGCGGGCGGTACCTTTGTACTACGTACTGGACTAGCCACCAAGATTCGATTGTCCTGTGCTGGCTTTTGATTTATTTGCTGTGCAATGGAGCAGTTGAATTACAATAGTAATCCAAAAGGATTGCTGATTACAAAGACATAATATTAGTAAGTCGGATACATGATAGATAGCATCTCTCCGAGACACTTGTACTGCTAGTACTACGCATCCTGCTTCTACTTTACCTTTGCCGCTAGGCTTTCATGTTTCAAACTTGGAAAATAACTACGAAGAGGGATATAATTAATACTCTCATAAAGAGACCAAAATTCGCGCAGGAAATGTGGTTGTTTGATAACTTTACGCCCGGGTCACGAAATCTTTCGCCGTGAAACATTAGTAATATTTCTCTGGTACACTGTCTTGGACCGCACATTTGTGTAAAATGTCTTACTATTACTATGTATACATCCATGGCCTCGGTGCTAAGTAAGCTATCTATGTATGCATGTAGATCGATATCTGGGTGCCCAATTCCAGCTTGCCGCGAGTGCCAATGGCAGACAGAACAACACATTCTTGGTTAATAAAACCGTACAAAATGAGTATCGAGTGCTGTTGGCTTCGTACAAACGAACAATCTGGCGCCAAAACGTGAGAGCAGTACCTTCGCTTATGCTATTTTTACTCATTGACCTGATCATATACGAAACCTTACAATCTGGTGGCTTGTGGCTGAAAACGCAAACATTGCCATTCCATTTGCAGCCACATACCGCGGCCGCCTGCGACATTCTCCTGCAAATTTGTTAGAAAATATGTGATCCCCTCTTTGACCATAAAGAGACTGAAGTCCTGCCGAGTATTCAAGCCACTGCTGTTTTTCTGCTTACTTACCGATCCCTTCGAACCCAGCAGAGAATAAACATTGTCACACCTGCTTGGTTCTTATACCAGAAAACGCAAGTTATGGCGCCAGACCTCAACAGCCAAGATGTGGGTAGTTTGAAGTTTACCACGACAATTCTCAACGCACTCAGCCTGGGCGATTCTCCAAATCCGACTTTCATTGATACACTTCCGGGTGTGGCTGAAGTGATTGATTCTCTCGAAGGACTACCGATTGAACCGCCATCGATATATATTGACCTAGAGGGAGTCAATCTTTCTCGATACGGCACCATCTCGATACTACAAATATACATTCACCCTCTTAAGCGAGTCTACTTGATTGACGTTCTCTCCCTGAGAGATAAATGCTTCTCGACACCTGGCGAAAGTAGCCGTACTTTGAAAGATATTTTAGAATCAAGCGCAATTCCCAAGGTATTCTTCGATGTTCGGAACGACTCGGATGCACTTTATCATCACTTTCAAATCAAACTAGCCGGTATACTCGATCTTCAACTCATGGAGCTTGCAACCCGAAATGGCCCTAGAAGATATGTTTCCGGACTCGCAAAGTGCATTGAAAGAGATGCTCCCCTCTCCATCACCGAGAGGCGCAGCTGGATGCAAGTCAAGGACAAAGGGATGCAGCTTTTCAAACCCGAGAATGGCGGGAGTTATGCAGTGTTTAACGAACGGCCCCTGCGAGAGGACATTAGCCTCTACTGCGCCCAGGATGTACGCATTCTGCCTCTATTGTGGGCACACTATAGTAAAAGAATCACGCCTGCATGGAAGCAGAGGGTAATCAGGGTTTCAACGGAAAGAGTTGAGCAATCTCAGTCGCCAGGTTACAATGGACATGGGCCGCACAAGGCATTGGCCCCTGCTTTTTGGTAGTGAAGTGGCATGCTGCATGGTATGCTGTTTTTTGAGGTTTCACATCATTATTTTACCTTCAATTTTCCGTCTTCTCTTCTGCTCTTTTCATAATAGGGTTTATAGAGCTGTGAACAAAGGTGGTTATTGTTTTTGAACTTGTTACTTATACTCTTATGTAGTACTAGATATTATGTTATCGCCAAGAAGAACATTGAATTTAGCAACAAACTATCTGGTCTCGCATGTTTACAATAACAAAGTTCGATGGCCGTTGCAATACCACCTAATACAATAAGGTTCAGCAAATTTAGTTCGTTTGGAGCAATTACCCGCAGCTAGATTGCTGTAAGTAATTAATCGTTTCCTTGTTATTTATTTCTTTTCCACTTGCATCTACTAGTATATCATTATATAACTGCCAGTCCACCAATATAGACTACAACAGTTCAAATATGCCCTTGCAGCAGTCTCTTTTTGGTCGCCTTTGACCATCTTGATCGATTAGGTTCGATTAGCCTGGAGTGTTCTGCCGTAGGGTTGCCTTACTAAAGTATATAGACGGACTCGATCAATACATGCCTATTTTTCTTTTATAAATGGGAGTTATGGTTCATAATTAATTAATTATATAGATATATCTATTCCCCCCTGAAAAAAGAATCGAAACCTCGGGTAAGTTATGTCATTGAAGGAAACTCGGATCAAAGTAAAGTGCGCCTCCGTCTGCCCCGTGAGATGACAAATAATTAAAGAACTCCATTTTGACAAACGCCTCCGAGTAATACGCCTGCATATACGCTTGCCTCGGCTCTGAAGTGTGACAAATAACTTCCCTGCACTGTCAAGACTCCATTTTCATACAAGTGTCCAAATAAATGACAAATAATTCTACACTGTCAAGACTCCCTTTTGATAGGCTATTCGTAGCCTTTTGAAATTTAGCTACGGGTAATAAAAAAAAAGGTCACTTATACGCTTCTGCCAGGAAATGTGTGTCCATCTCCTCGGATCGTGAGCTTCCTATGGAGAACATAAGCGGCAGTCGGAACGTCAAGTAGAGCTCGTCCGGCTTCGTCCGGCTTCGATTTGCCGTGATATGCAGCACCATGTTGAGAGAATTGTATAGACTTCATCATGGCTGTGTATATATAGATCCTTCGTTGCAATGTTAAGAACTCTTATTCGATGGCGTCAACCTCATGGTCAATGGTTGCATAACCCTGGTATATCCCAACTCATACTTCTAATTCAGATTATACCAATCAGAGAACCACCATGTTCAAACCAGCAGTTCTCCTGGCTCTAGCCACTGCCGTCATGGCGAGAAAATGCCAAAATCTCAACATCCCCATCTCCATCTCAGCGCGCAATGCCGTCTTCAATCTCCCAAATCCAGTATCGGAAATCGATGTTACCAATTTCGCCCTTTCTCTCACCCGTCCAGGCACTGATTTCCCCGATAGTATATTAACAGGTGTAAGTTTTGCCCACCTCATCAAAATATATACATGCCTGGAAATCCTCAAACCGTACTGAGCGAATTCTCTATTTCTAGTACAAAACCGTCAGCGGCAAGTACTCCATCGCCGCCACCTACTGCCAGCCAGATCACGGACCCGGCAAGGCCCTCCAAATCCTGACCCACGGTGTCGGTTTCGATCGAAGCTACTGGGATCTCTCCTTCAACAACTTCAACTACAGCTACGTTGCCCATGCCGTTGACGAACAAGGCTACTCAACCTTCACCTGGGACCGTCTCGGCATCGCCTCCTCTTCCAAGGGCGATCCAGTCAACGAGATCCAAAAGTCTCTCGAAGTTGCCGCTCTGCAAGAACTTTCCATCCTCCTCCGCCAAGGCTCTGTCCGCGGCATCAGCGCAAAGTTTGATAAATTCATCCATGTCGGACACTCCTTCGGCTCCGCCATCACATACAACTTCATCAACGCAAACCCAGACTTCAGCGACGCCGCCATCCTGACCGGCTTCAGCCAGAGCCAGAACCTGGATTTCGCCACCGCCTTCCTCCTTGGCGGCAACTTCAGGCCTGTAAAGGAGAATCCTCTCCTGGCAGCCAAGTATCCGATCGGCTACTTTGCGCCACAGTCATCCATTGGCGTCAACATCCAGTTCTTTGCCCCGGGCGATTTCGATCCCAAAATGCTCGCAAACGCTTTCAACATTGGCCAAGCAGCTACTCCTGGCGAGCTCTTGACAATTGCCTCTGGTGCTGGCGATACCAACTCCTTCAAAGGCCACCTTTTAATCATCACAGGAGGTTAGTTCCCCACAGTCTCTGATTCCTTGGTTCCCTGCTTTATGTAATATCATGTGCTAATACTTGAATCTATCTAGAACGGGATCTGCCCTTCTGCGGTGGCAACTGCACAGACACCACAAGCATTCAAGGGGCTTTCCCCGATCTCCTTGCTCCCTCTAAGGCATTCTTTCCTAGCGCCGCAACCTTCAACACAAGCATTGTTCCCGGAGCCGGCCACGGCCTCAACCTGGGTTACTCTCACAAAACTACATACGCGTCTATGTTCGACTTTCTTAGTTCTTTCTATTGATAGGATGGCGCAGATTGAGATTAATATGGTGTAGTAGGCTATATATAGAGGGTTTTTCTTGTAATAATCAGATTTTATTTGAGTCAAAACAATCCCACTAAATGTTGTAAATCGGCTTATTTACCGATTACAGTCTTATTATCTGTTCCTCAGCTCAGGTTTTGATTCCCTGTCACGATTTGTGTTGGATTTCCTAAAAAAAAAAAAAAAAAAGTCGTCTAATTGCAGACTAAGAAGACTTGGTAGCATTAGCTGAACTCGGCAATTTGGATCGCGAGCTATGACCACTTCTAATGGACGAATAATTGAATGATCTCTGAGATTGTGGGTATTATGATCGCAATTGGCTTTAAAAAGAGTATCCAATGCATGCCGTACATGCAAAGAAGAATATTATGCAAATATTTACCGCTAAAGAGAGACATCAGGCTAAGTTAAGCGCTTGCTTGAGAAGGGCGCTAGACGTTAAGGCAACGGCTGAGAAATGTTATACCTTATTATTGTAGGTTTCTTAGAGAGGACGTGAAGCTATAGCTAAGCTTTTACTCTGAGAATGGAACTGAGATCGAGGTGGTGGGTGAGAATGGTCTGATGCTATCATTTTGAGTCGCTGGTAGAAGGCATGAAGCGATTGTTGGGCAACTACTTTGGAATGGAGCGGAGGTCTGGGCAGTGGATGATAAAATCCTACATCTAGTTCCAACACTTATTTTCATTGGCGTGTTTACTGCACACGTTATGACAGAAGCTTAGGTATACAGATTCGACATGCACATGGCAGTATACTAATATATTTGAGTTACACAGCAGCTTAGAATTGCATCCATCCATCCCTGAGATAAAAACCCAAAATTTTTGTTTCATTTAGCCATCATTCCATAAAGAAAAATATTGCCAGACTTAACTTTCAATTCCTTTGTTTGCAATTATTAAATTCCTATTAGTAGTTAGTTATTTAGTTGTAGTATTTGTTACTTCATGACCTAGCAGCTACTCCGCTGCTAATGTGGACAAGCATATTCTTGGAATATTTGAGACGCGATGTGGAATAGAGTATGAGGTAATGCTGGCATACTAGAATTTGATTTATAACTTATTCCTGGCTGTTGCTTGTACGTGAAGATAGCTAATATTAGATTGCCAAACTCGTATTTAATACTAGGACTATATAATAGGAAACCTTGTCAATATAATTTATTAGTAGATTCGCAAGTGAAATACAGCTACAGCGCTGATATTGAGCTGAAGCTTCGGCTGTCGGGTAGCTGAAGGCGTCGGCCACCTAAGCTGTCAAAGCAAGCGCGAGGGTTCGTATCGACGTCATGATGGCGGTATCCGGAGAAGTTACTTTCAATAGCAACCATAGCATTCCAAGCCCGTTTTCAAGCACTATAATGCCTTCCCTTGATGACTTCAGAGCAAACATGAAACTTTTTCCATAATGCCGCAACAGGGACATATAATAAATGGCGAGCATAGCATCATTTGGAAGGATGTTTCCAATTAGTGAACATACAAACTACCCTAATCATGTCAGAAGATAATCAAATTTTTAACAGTCTCATAAATAATGGCTGCTCAAGGCGACTATCAAATCATCCGGGGCCTGCCTCTGCGTCCGGTTGTTGATCCTGATGATTTGACAAATGATATGTGGAAAGGTGTTTGGTGAGTGCGCCTTTATAAAGATCACGCGAATACTCTAATTTACTCCTTACGGGTCTGTGCTTATGCTACTTAGTAAAAGGAGTGGTATATTACGAGGCTGGATTATGAGTGAAATCAAAGGACCCAATAATAAAACTCATTGGGTAGTGAAAAGGGCTCCCAAACCTGGTCAGTAGTAGCTTCTAGAACTAGATTACCTTGCATTGACTATTAATAGTGCTAAAACTTGATGATCGCGCTCGCGACTTTTATAAAATACATGACGAGGATACATTCATTTCAGTCTGTACAAAATACAATCAAAAACGAACTTAAGTTTGCCTTGACTGCAAACATCATGAGTCCAGTCGGCGGCCTCACTGCCAGTGGGCATCATAGTAGAGGTTCCGAAGTGTCTAGCACTGCTCAAAAGACGAGTCTCAATGGCGGTATCTCAATTGAAGCGCAGGGGGGCAATCCTCTGGTTTGTTGGACGTCAGTTAATATAATTTCCATTAGCATATATCCGCACTGGGGTTAAACTAACACACAGTGCAGTCCTCCTGATTGGGTGCTCTCTGTTGGCTCTTATTATAACTGGAGAGTGATCAATGTAAGTGTTCCTTATCTATCTTGAAATAGAAATACCCCCATTAATAAGTCTCAATAGCAAGATGATACCTATACATTGATCGATATCATGTACCAATACCAAGCCCTCCTAGACAAGGACCAATCGTCGACCGCTCTAAAGGGTGCCAAGAGACTAAAGGATATTGGAAAAGCGATCGAAAAGGAGAGTCAAAAGAAGCCTATGCCTCCAAAAATCCCAAATTCCCAAGCACAACAAGGTCAGCAATACCAGGTCTATAAAAAGCCACATACCAAAGGACGCTAACTGCATGAACTTCTTGGGCGGGCTATATCATGTGTATCCCGGCAATTGTCAACATGAGTTTGTAAATAACCATTAAAATCAAAAGATTCTTGTTCATGAGGGTAAACCAATAACATTAGCAAAGCTAGGAGCAGGGTTGATGAATAGTGGAGTGGACCAGGAGTTATATACTAAATGCTGGAAGCTTGCCGCCGTTGTATGGAGTTCTCCAAAGGAGTTTAAGCTCGGCCGACGGTAAGCGGGCTACAGTCTTTACTATAATAACAAATAAAGTATAATTGCATTATAATACTGTAATTAACTGGCTGTGAATTACTTAATAAGCGTAAAACGGAAAGGGTTCCTGGTCTGGTTAAATATTATTGAAATTTTAATCCAGTCTCCGCAGCCTTCTGGTGTGATCAATATATAGCAATTGCGCTGTATCATGAGTGAGCCTCAAGTCCAGAACAAAGTAGTTATCTACTGCAGACTGAGCTGGGAATATAGCAATATTGTGAAGCAAGGATTAATTAACTTTCATTATAAGAATAGGCTGTCCAATTTCTCACCCCGGGGGCATTTGATCAGGCAGATTAAGCCATTGAGGTATGTCCGGGATGCCCCATGTCAAATAGGCCGACATTTCATCCGCCGTTTTGATATAATCGTCAACCGAAGGCTGCATCATAACCCCGTTCTGAACCATAACTCCTGCCGCCGGTATGGTGTGAAGCGGATTTCTCTGAGGCAAGCTCTGATTCATGAGTTCGGGCGCTATCTCTAGTGGGGGGTATGTTGGTCTCAGCACTGGCAGCGAATTTGTGAAGTCGCTGCTGCAGCTCTTATCTATTGGCGTCTCGTAAAATAGATTCTGACTTGGTTGAATCAATGGCGACTTGTTGTCATTTGCCGACATCGTCTTGACACTGCTTGTTGACTGTGCCTCCTCAAGTTGTGCTCTACCTCTCCGGAATGAGGCCAATGCTGAAAGATGGTAATCTTCTGCAGACCCTGTAACCTCGGCAGGATCGATTGGTATACTAAGGCAGGGTATAGGTCAATCTTATGAGTGCCCATTACTCGTGAATTCAAAACGTACTTAAGCGTTTCTTGGTATCTCTCTGCAATATCCCGAAAGCCAAAAATGTGGCAAAGTGGAATAAGACCTCGTATCTATTCTCATTAGTGGATGGTACGGCAGACGAGTTGATAGAAAGGGTAAATGCCTACAAACTGCGTAGGTGCCTCTTTTCCACGATTGTGAATACCCAAGAGGAAGCTGAAGTTGGTTATGATATTATCTCTAGTCTCTTGTAAAGTCTGAGGAGACTGATCCACGGTAGCTGCATAAATAATCTGCACCTTAGTCGATTCAATAATTGCATCAGGGCAAAAAAGGTCATCGAATGCGTTTGGACTAAAGTCCATTCCGGTACGGATGATGTGGGATGCTTGGGCCGCATGATAGCGACATAAATTTTGGCAATGAGCTCGGAAAGGAAGCGGTGCGTTTTTAAACGCTGATGCGAGGGGAAAATTGAAACCGGCCAGAGAAATTCGGGTGAGGTCAAAGATGACGGCATGAATAAAGAGATGTAGAGCAAAAACACCACCGAGCATTCCCTTGTCTTTCAACACGAAGAAGTTGGCATCTGTTAGGTAATACTTTTCCGGTAAATTGTTGTAAAGTGTGTTGAGTTGATCAATGATTCTGACAAAGTGAGATGGCGGTTCCCAAATATGCATGCTGTCACCAGCAACTCGAATAAGTCTACGAGAAAACATTAGCAATAAGCAACCCAAAAATGGAAATGAAACAAAACATACTGCATCACTTTCGTTCTCAGGCGCACAACTAAAATCATGAGAGATGACAAGTCCAGTTCCGTAATAGTTTCATGCATTCCTGAGCCTTCGATCTGTAGAAGATAGTGTGGTGGTGACGCAAGTTGAGATGTAAAGCAGTCGTCGGGGCAAGGCAGTGGAATTTCTGGTATATGGTCTTTCCAGCACATATTTTTCTCGACGCCATTGGCGGCAAGACCATCAATGAGAAAGCTGGCCCAAACGATGCGATTTTCCACCTCTCGTTGAATCATCTGGGCGGCTGTACGGTGACTTTGAAGTGGGCGCGGCGAATCCAAGCTGAGCAATCTGATGGCGCGATGTAAAAAAGCCAGCAGGATGAAGACCAAAGCATGCTGATCCTCCCGAAGGCCATATTCACATAGAAGAGCTACAGTCTATACAAGAACATGTTTAGATAGGCTAGCTGAACCAGAACCCGATTGAAAACTCACCATGAGACTTTGCACTGTAGGAGCATGCAATTCTCCCAATACCTCCTTTCTTGCTCTCTCGGCCCATTCATGCCCAGGAATCGCGGTTGGAAGTAAATCGCGATCGGGGCCATCTAAACTTAGTATTGCATCAAAATAAATGTGCCTGCGACCAGATATACAGGGTTAGCCTGCGATAATCTTTGGTTTCGTGAGCTGGAGAAATCAGCAGCCAAGAGCAGCTTACCTAGCACCAAGGGCGCACATTATGTAGAGTAACGGTTCTCCATAATCCTGTGCAATGCTTGCTGATTCGAGTGACTGCATAAAAGAGGGGCGATGAATGAAAGAGAGACAGCGGAGATAGTGATTTCGTTCAAAGTAGGCATTAATTAGACGAAGTCGAAGGCCATGGTCTTTTGGGAGGGTATCTGTGCATAAGCTTTACTTGAGGTTAGCACATAAATCTAGATGCGAAGAAAAGATTGCCAGAGCTGAGAAGAGCTCTTATCTTGTGTCCCATTCTACCTTTCAATATTGACGCCAAATGCCTGTAGTAGCGTGGGGTTTGTCCACTGGGTAGCTTTCAAAGGCTGAGCGGGGGCCATCGACGTGAGTCCTGCAGCAGCAATTGTAGAGCTGGCCACCGAGCTTGCTGGCTGAGAAGAGGATTCGCGCTCATGCTGCTTGTCTAACTTTGAGGGATAGATGCAAGGCAATTTGCGCAAGATGCAGCGGCGACAGGACGGTCGAGTCTTTGTGCAGCGATGCTTCGACGACCGACATTCCTCGCAGGATCCCACCCGTCGCTTTTCAACTCCGGCAGCCTTGAAGATATCATCCGCGGATTTCTGCATCTCCTTACGCGAGATGAACTCGCTCTGTGGGCTGAAACCAGGACATCCGACACCCAGTCGAAGACAGTTTCGACACTCGGGTATAGTCTTGTCGCATTTGACCTAGTCCAAAGAAAAAGGATTTGATAAGAATGTGGTTGAATAATCAAACTGCTAGAAGCTCAGGAAAGTCGAGTCTGCTGAGGTTCTTCCTTGCTATCCATGACCTTGGTGGACTCTGCATACCTTTCTTGATCTACAGACCAGACAGGCTGCGGGACGGGGTTGGTTAGTTAACATTATCTCGCAAGGGTTAGATGCTCGATGAGTTACAAATGGGAGAAAGAATAAAAGGATAGAAGAGGAAGAAAAGAGAGACGGGAAAACTACTGCTCTCACCTATGGTTGCCTTTGGCGTAGTTTCATTCCGAGCTGCAGTCGCGCCACTGCGCTGCTGTGCTTGCGAGCCCATTTGCTGGCTGCGAGTGGTTCCGCTTGGCTGTACGCAGTACTGAGGATGCTAAAATGTCATCCTTCTTTCATTATCACGCAAGAGTTGCCGTTGCGAATTGGCATGGTAGGAGGGGGCCGATCCACTCTGAGCAACGAAATCACCTCTCAAGATGGCGCTTGAATGCAAGAGTTGAGATTCCAAAATCATCGCTACCCGGTTTGCAACTTGTCAGGTCCCCCTTCGACGGCTGACTCTGCGTCTGATCCAATCCCAGACGCCTCTGCGGAGTCTACACTAGTCTGGCGCTGTTCGACAGCCGCCGCCGAGCCCTGGCTAGCATGAACTCGTGCATCTGCGACGAGCCCAGCTGGTCGATGGTGGAGTACGCCTATTTTTGGGCGCTGGAGAGATATACCCTTAATCGCCATCTCGCAACGGATGCCATCCTTGCTGTTGACAGTAACACTGGTACGGCAATTCGTGGGGAGGAGTCGCGGCTTGAGTCTATGTATTTGCTTGCTGTGTTTCATTGTCGGAAGCTGCTTCGATAGCGGCTGGTGGCTCGAGTCATGAGTTGAGATGGAGAGATAAATTGGCGTGGGGACGTTTGTGTTTGCGTTTAATTGTTTTTTTTTTGTCGCCCTTCTGGCTTATGGAAATGTAAAATTCCTTCCCGTGCCTTCCCAAATTACGATGCTATTCCCACAGCTACTCCTATCAATACTAGATCCCCCGTACCTACTATAATCGACATCTACATGTGATATGACATTCACCTTTGAAATTAAATTCTATGATATTTCATCTAAGCTCGTGCTTAGAAGTACACGTACAATCGCGGCCACTCCAAAACGCACAGACACCCCTGCACGAGTAAGGTACGCGACACATATTGTGCCATAGCTCCTACTGCTACTGGGCATCAAACGAGTTCTACGTAGTGGCATCATTACCTGTGTATTTTGTGGCGTAAGCTTTGGGGGCTTGTTGTAACTCCAATTTACGAATTAAAGTATAACAAAAAAATATCAGAAAAATATATAAAGGAAAGGGTAGATATATAGGAACATAATGATTGATTACTCATTATGTACGGAGTTTTAGGAGTAAGCTTATCCAACCTGCTGATACAAAAACGATTACATACGTTTAGTCTGTATTCTATCATATTACATCAATAGGCTACAGTCTTGACGTCTGGAATACGGCCTGTGTCCTACTTGTAAAGTTGATGTTATCACAATCGCAACTACTATAGCTTTTCCAAGAGGAGAACTACATAATATTTTAAAGTACATAGTACTAATATACTTATGTACTTTGATGCACACGCATATGCTTCTCACAATTGAGCATACATCTACCAATACATCTATAACCGTCGTCTATTACCGTATGGAATATCCCAGTAAGTCATAGCCAATCTTGTATTTTACACATTTTCGGCCCTTTACCAAAATATGGCATTAGTCTTAGTCTCTAGCGCTGATTATCAAGCTCGGAACGTAGGCTTAACCTACCGTTACATTCTGCATTGTTACATTCTGCCGTACTCGCTGCAGATGGCGTGTTCGGCCTTTCTTTCACGTGGCAACTGCAAGCCACCCTTTATGCACAAGGGGGCCAATTGGAGTTATACCCGGATGAATTGCGCACTTTCAACTTCCAGCCCATTGTTCACTAATATCTCCAGCCTAAGAATGCCACCCCTCGCCAGCTCATTGCAACCAGGAGTTCCCTGCTTAAGCTTCTGGAACAGTACAGAGATCATTTCCCCAGGGGGCACTGCTATTCTATGTTTTGTCGGCTAAAGCGAACATATGCTGCAACAAGGATCGAAACGGCCATAAAAAAGCCGAGTCGAAAAAGCGCAGACGTGATTCGTGATTTTGCAAGACAGGGTATGCGGTGCATCTTCGATCTTGGAAACGTTGAGTTCGGACATGGATATAGAGGCCATACTCGATGTGGAGGCCTGTTGGTGGCCTTGTTCTCAAAATTCTTATCCCATTGTCTTTTCTTTTCCCTTTCCTCAAATGGAAAGAGAGAGAGAGGGAGGGAGGGAGGGAGAGAGAGAGAGCATTAGTTTTAAATACACATAAAACCCATTAATGTTGTAACAATACTCCAAGCACACTCCGTAGAAGAAAGATCCACCGAACTGGGAACGAAGAGCGGCGGCTTGTGGGGTTCTGGATATTCGACATCTGTAGCGCTACTTGACTATTCCCCGAACGAAGAGCGGCTATTTGACTGGTAGATCTTAGATTCGGGGGGCACTGAAAGTAGGCCCATCTGTTACTAGGTAGTAGATAGCGTGCAATGGAGACAAAGGAGCATCTCGATGACCAAGATGAGAGATCTAATCACAAGTAGTGAGGGGAGTTAATAAGGGGGAAAAGTATAGTTATGCATACTCTATGTGTGTACTCATACTACCGCTGCACCTGATGAAGCTGTGATAAACCTATATCACAAACCGTTGTTTTAATACATGTATTGTATTAAACTGGTCTATACCTGTTATGATGTGTACATTTGCTCATGATAGAGAAATACCTACCACAATAGGTATTTGTATTACCCATTGGTCAGCAGTCAGCACACCAAGTATTGCGGGACGCCCATCCTCTATTCTCATACGCATACAGATGAGGATAACGAGTCATATTCGCCTTCCAAGGGCTAAAGCACATGTAAGTGTAGTATATGACGGGCTTCATGTACTGCTCACGAGTTATGAGTGGCACCGAGCTGATGGAAATGATGGAGTGATGAGTTTCTGTAACTGCCATTGGGTGACTCGTATACGGACTGCATGCAGGTAAGGTTATCCCTGACGACTTGGAGAGGCTTGCTGTCATGTCGATATGAAGTAGCAATGCACCCAAGATCTTGATGCCCTCTACCATTTTTGCGACCAGATCAGGACACGGCCAAGTTTATCTGGATTGGCCAAATCAATCTCGTTCAGGGCTAGATTGGCTAGATCGCTTCAAATATGGCAAGGCTCATGAGGGAGTTCCGCGCCGATTACTAAACTACGTACAAGATGACGTGGTAATATAGAAGCATAAGAACCCCGATAGCCCTCAAAAATGGACCAAATCTAGCCCGCAAACACACATCAAGATCAAACATCAAACATTCAACAAACGCACACCTTGCAACAGCGAATGATTACACGGCTATCCGAGTTCCATCACATACAGCCAAACACAATGGCGAAGGAAGACCCGAAATAAAACGGCAATAATGGCCAAGATCAACCTGTTGCAGCTCAGAAGGGGCATCTGAAAGAGACAGCAACAGCGGCTAAAAGCGGACTGTTGCAGGCCGAACTCGACAATCAAGGCGACATTGATGCCCCGAGAGTAGCTAAGACTATCTCAAATGTGCAAAGAGGAAGAAGAGCATCGAGTAAACTATACGTCTTTAACTTGGCCAGAGGGTTTTGCCCCAGACCGTCGGTACAAACAAGCTTGGCGGAACGCAACCGCTCACTGGTTTCGGCTTGCGTTTATACCCCTTTTCCATTGAGCTGACTGGCAATTTGGCGGTCGTTAGGTTTGATGTAGAAGAAGCATTGGTTTCCAGGTCTATGATTGCCTTTTGCACGTTCTCAAGAGACCACTGAAACTCGCCAGGGGCGCTCTGACTTGACCCCCCCCTTTGGAGATCCGCGCCTAGCTTTGCACAGATCGCTGTCCTGTGAAATCTGATCGAAGATATCCTGCGTCTAGCCAAGTGTATTTGTTTACACATGGAGATATATCCGATACGATGCGAAAGTCCACGGGGGCAATATCTGGGTGAAAGCATCACGGTGGTTGGCTACTGCATATTCCGATGTTACTCAATGGGCTACCGAGGGATAGAGCAGCCTAAATGTACGATAGGGCAATACAAGGGGTTGGGCTCAGTGGTGAAGATAGCATCGCCATCTTAATGGACATATCACAGAGCTATGGCTGAGATCTCACAACGACTTGGCGAACCATAGCGCAAAGACATACAAAGTACCAGGCAACTCCTTTCAACATGGATGTTATGCCAACTTATACCACTTGAATCATACGCTTATTTTTACCAAAGACGGCATGCGTATGAAGCGCAACTCTGGCCTCGGTGATACGATGTCCAGCCGCTCTCAATGACGGTGATGACAGTGATAACTCTAAATCCGACTCCGCCCCTTACTGGCTGGTTATAATCTGATAACAGCCCATTCATATCGTGCAATACGAATTAGCTCACCTAATCTAATCACCCAGTATCTACTCCATATAGGCACGTTTCTGGGGCGAATTCACCCACGCCGCTACTACAATGGAGATTGATCTCTTATCAGTGGATCCTTTGATACCAGATATTCCGCCATCCCAGGCTCGACACAAAGGGCGCGCGCGATTCGGCGACGTCCGCCAGTTTACCTGCAATTGTCTCCCCAGATGTCGCTTATTAGAGGAATAGCGATTAGGAGTGCTTCATCTCGACCGGATCTGACAGAAGACGCAAAGTTGCCGCGTACGATAGGAAGGCTTTCGGACAGAGCTTATTTATACGACCCCACAGCGCTGACGGGTTCGCACTTTGCTTCAACTATTAGCTAACGGCCGAGGATAAAAGACAGCCGAGCCCGTTTGCGCCTCCGTCCGTCATTCTCCGATATCAGACCTACACTAACTAAGGCACGGTGATGCTATACGTGAACACAATGTCTCTGCGAAAACTGGGAGGATTCAGCCGGCAGGTGGCGTCATATGCCACAATCGCCTCGTCGAGGGCCTCGATACAGCCGCTTACGCACCGGCCGGGGTCAAGCGTCCAGTTCGGAGCAGTTGTGCAGGGCGTTGGCATCAACAAGATATCTGGTGAGTGCATAGAAAACAAAGCAAAGGGGAGAGGCAGGAGGAGAAGAAGCAGCACCATCCATTTATATACGGTAACGAAAGACTTGGCTGACACCCAGTGTCTCAGATGCCGACTTCGACATCATCAAGGACGCTCTATACAGACACCAAGTCCTCGTCTTCAAGGCGCAGCATGACGTCTCTCCAAAGGCACAGTACGAAATCACACAGCGATTCGACCCCCAAGCGACGGCCTCATACGGCCACGGAAAGACGCTCGACGCAAAACGATCCATCTTGCATCCCGACCTCAAGACGATCCCACACCAGCCACAGGTTCAAGTGATTGGAAACGGCTTCGTCAAGGACTACGAAGGGCTGAAGGATATCCAGCTGCGACACCCGCACCACAAGACCTTCCACGCCACGGTCATCTCTGAAAAGGACGACCTGGACTTTACCCGATTCTACAGATGGCACATCGACGCGGCCCTATACGGACTGGCCCCTCCGGTAGCCACGACGCTCTTCGCAGCCCAGGTCCCTCGCGGCCGCACGCAGACGATTCGATATGAGGATACGGGCGAGCAGATGACGGTCCCTCTGGGCACGACGGCGTTCGCATCGGGCTACACAATGTACAATCTCCTCTCGCCCGAAGACAAGCAGTTTGTGCTCAGCACAAAAGTCGAATACGCACCGCACCCCTACGTATGGATGAGCGGCGCAAAGTCGCGCTCCGACGGCCTGGGCCTCATCTCAGAGGGCAAGGAGGTGCCGCTGGACAGCCTCCCCGAAATCGAGCAAGACAAGATCCAAATCCTGCCCATGTGTTGGCGCAACCCGCAGGACGACCGCCTGGCGCTGCAAATCCACCCGTCCGCGGTCCGGAAGCTGCACCTGGCCGGCGGCAAGGTCATTGACGACCTGGAGGAGGTGCGCGCAATCGTGCATCGCCTGCAGCGGCCCGGCATCGCGCCCGGCTTCGTGTACGCGCACGACTGGGAGGAGGGCGATTTCGTCATCTTCCACAACAGGAGCCTGCTTCACTCGGTCGTGGGCGCGTTTGCGGAGGACGAGGTGCGCCTCTTTCGTCAGTGCAACATTGCGGGCAGCAGCTTGCCCGAGGGGCCCAGATATTTCTGAGGCGTTGCGTTGCGATGCTGTGCTGTGCTTGTTGAATTGCGGCGCCGCCATCGGCCATGCGGCTCGCGACCTGTCATGGATAGAATGTGATGAGATAAGACGAACGAGCAGCAGAACGAAGCCACGAGATACCAGACGCAGTGCATACATACCTGCCACACTCCAACCCACCGCCTTTTTCCTCACAGCCAGATGCCTTGATCCTCCCGAAGAACGGAGGCCAAGATGCAAAAGGCGCAACGCCACTACCCATCAGATGTCCACGCCAAACCAAGTTATGCCATGCTATATGCAAGAGTAGCGTTCGAAGAAGGGGGGAGAGGGGCAGCAGTATGTTCGACATAACGCCCGCATAACCGCCTTTGTCCAATGGAGTCCATCGTCTTATACAGGCGGTATAGGCTTCAAATCCGACTGCACCGCAACCGGCGCGGGAATAAGTCGCAAAAGGCAGATCGCCGGGGGGGAAGATACGCGGCCCTTGGCTTCGGATAAAAGAAACAAGTCTCTCGAATCCCACAAAAATCGCGTTCTCATGACCCCTCGCATCTGGGGCCTCAGCGAAGACTGATGTTTGTGTATCACGAGCCCTTTTCATCCCCCAGTGAAGCGCCCATCCACAGCGGCAAGCCGGAGCCCAGCCAGTGGAAGAGAGCGCCCTGTCGGCTCAGCTGCCGGCCCTCTGTAATCCGCAGCGGCCTAGCGCATCTCTTTTTCGATGCAATAGAAGGCCGAAAGCAGGGCGGCGCAGGATGCGAGGTTGATGTGCCCGCGCTAGCGTCCGCTGTCCCGCCCATGCATTGCGCTGTGTTACAGGGCTTCTGGTGGGGGGATTTCCGGGGGGTTACAGCGGGGTGGGTTGCACTGCAGCGATTGAGCGGTGTCGGTCGGGGGATTTGAAATGAAATTGCTGTTGCAGGATTAGACCATAGACGCCGTCGATAACGTTCAATTCTCGTTTTAGACAAGCTACATAAAAAACCTGGGACTATAATGTATCAAGTGCTTATCATAATCCTGACTCAACAGGCTGTTAACTAATTTGTTTCCTATTGTGACTCAAGATTCTTTTTTTTTTTCTGGGGCAGCGCTTATTACACCGTATTTGCCTCCTAAACTCTTTTCTTTTTCTTCTTACCTCGTCTCTTCTTCTCTTTTCTCTCTCTTCAATCTCAGTTGAAAGAGAAGCTGTTCCTAGAAGACAACTCTTGATGGCGACAAGGTGACCGTCAAGACTGGTCGATTTCGTCTTGGCAGCTGTTAATCCGCCAGTCACCGTGAAATATCTCAGTCTCAAACTTCACGCCCCCATCGTATCCTCACAATGGCGCCTCCTGCCCCCGATCCGATATCCTCAGCATCCTCCTCCGACCTCACCCTCATGGACCCCGAGCCCATGGCCTCAGAAACGACGCCTCTCATCGGCAACAACAACAAGTCAAGCGACGACGTCGAAGATGGCACCGCCGCCCGTCCATCCCCCGGCAAGCCCCTGCCCAAGATGCAGGTTTACCTGCTCTGCTTCAACAAGGCCATGGAGCCCATCGCCTTCTTCGCAATCATCCCCTTCATCGCGCAAATGGTTCAGCGCAACGGCAACCTGCCCTACTCGGACGTCGGCTTCTACAGCGGCCTGATCGAGTCGCTCTTCTCCCTCACGCAGATGTTCGTGCTGTACTCCTGGGGCTACCTCGCCGACACCGTGGGCCGCAAGCCCGTGCTGCTGTGGTCGCTCGTCGGCATGACCGTGGCCACCTTCTTCTTCACCGTTTCGACGTCCATCTGGCAGATGATTGTGTTCCGGTGCGTGGCCGGCGTCTTCAGCGGCTCGGGGCTGGTCATCCGGACGATGCTGTCGGACCACACCACTGCCGAGACGCAGGCCGTGGCGTTCAGTTGGTTTGCGTTTGCCAACAACATGGGAATCTTCCTGGGACCGCTGATTGGCGGCGCGCTGGCCGATCCGGCGGCGCAGTTCCCGGGTCTGTTTGGAGGCATCAAGCTGCTGGAGGACTATCCCTATATTCTCGTGGGCGCGGCCATCACCGCGTGCAGCGTCTTCAGCATCGTCTTGTCCGTGTTCTATCTGGAAGAAACCCTCGAGCCAGAGTCGACCACCACCAGCGCTGGAGTATCCGCACCGGCCCGGCCCCAGCGACTGTCCACCTTTGAGCTCCTCAAGGCCCCCGGCGTCGGCATCGTCATCTGGGTCTACACCCATGTCATGTTCCTCGCCTTTGCCTTCACCGCCATCCTCCCCGTGCTGCTCTTCACGCCCATCGACCTCGGCGGCGTCGGATTCTCGTCCTCGCGCAACTCCGTCTGGATGGCCATCCAGGGCGCCAGCCAGGCCATGTGGCTCGTCGTCGCGTTCCCGATGCTGCAGCGCCGTCTGGGCACCAAGGGCTCCCTGGCCAGCTGCGTCGCCGTCTACCCGCTGTTCTTTGCCGGTTACGTCGCCATGAACACGCTCCTCCGTATCGGCACCGAGTCCAGCGTTGCGGTATTCTGGGTCGTGGCCTTCATCGTGGCCTTTATCGGACCGGGTGTGTCAATGGCCTTCACGGCCATCCAGCTCGCTCTCAACGATGTTTCGCCCAACCCGCACGTCATGGGCACGCTCAACGCCTTGGCCATGACCGCCGCTAGTGCCATCCGGTCGTTTGTGCCTGGTGTTTCGACCGTGATATACGCCATTGGCGTGAAATACCAGATCCTCTGGGGCCACCTGGTGTGGGCGATTCTCATCCCCATAGCCATGTCTCTGTCTATATTCGTTAGATGGCTTCCGGAGGATAAGCAGTCCCATAAGCTCCCCCAAAACGAAGATGAGGAGTAGAGTAGAAAAGAGGACGCAATTTTTGAAGAGTTTTTTTCTTTTTTTTTTCTTCGTTTAGCATAAAAGGAGTGCAGAAAGAGAGGGATGAGAGTAGATTTTACGTGAAAGAGAATGCTGCTGGTATATATTATTATACACTTTTGCAGCTACGTATAAAGGGCGCAAAATAACAGGGTTAAATTCCCTGCTGGACATCACGGCAGGCTGTGCATCTGCATAGAAAGCATTTGGATTGAAAGTCATCTTCTTATTACTACATGTATATACAAATATATAAGCGAAATCATTGTTGTAAACAAATTTTCATTACCATCCACACCAGTCACAAATTTTATCCAGCTGGCTTAGTTGCCAAACCATCTATCCATTACAAGATACATTATCACAAGCATAAAACATTAGGTGGCACGGGTAAACTATTAAAATGAGAGGGGGAAAAAAAGTAAAGATTTTCTAAGAATATATGATCTGATTAATTAATCATGTAACGAGCGAAAGAAGAAAAAAAAATTATCCAGTTTTCCCCTCTTCCAATCCCCATTACATGAGCCGAAACGTAAAATAATGAAGTGCGTGACGCCGTGCTACCGTGATATAATTTTCCATTTTGAAAAACACAAAAACCTGTATGTAAAATGCTTGAAAAACCCAACGTTGAAAGAAAAACAACCAGTTTTGAAAAAGAAAAGCAATCTCTCAAAATAGATGTCAGTCTGGTTCTTTTGTGTATTGGTCTTGTAAGCGAGTGTTGCAATGCGATAGAAGCAAAGACTCAACCCTCTTCTCAAGATCCAATAGTCTTCATCCTCTTTCTCGTACACCCATGAAGCAAACATCTTATTTTCTTCATCTTCTCCACACCTGCTACATCTCGAGGGAAAACAACAAAGCGTGTTTAATCAGACTTGACGTTTTCCTCGTCTCCAATCTGGTCTCCCCTCCATCGCGACCACTCAAACATCTTCCTGGGCTTGCTCTTAATAGTCTCCTTCAACTTAGCTTCGCTTCGATCCAGCCAAGCATCGGCGCTGGCATTGCTGATGGGATACAGAGGAGTGTTCTCAGGGTGGAAGAAGAAGTCATCCGACTGGAAGCTAGAGTGAGAGGCAATAATGTCCATGTCGGCGGCAATCTGCTCGCAGTAGCTATCCAAGGGAAGATCGTTGACATCGTGGCCAAAGGGATTCTCAATTTCCTGGCCAATGAAGAGGAGGCCGAGAATGATGTATGAAGCGACAGTAGTAGCAGGAATAGTGATATAGTCGAGTACGGCAACCATCTGGAACGGGAGCATGATGACGTAGAGCCATGTAATCTGCTGAAACAGGATTCCGTAGGCGATGGGGAGAGGGGTGGTCAAGACACGGTGGCAACCAGTGTAGGCATCGTTGAGGGCAGCAAGGTTGTTGTATGCGGTGGTTTGCTGCATGGGGACGGGGAGTTGGCCTCGGGCAATCAGGTTGTCGATGGTGACCGCAAGATGGTTGATGATCTCAAGCGGTAGGTTTCCCACGGGCTTCTCCGCTCTCTTGATCAGCTTACGAGGGTTGCTGGCGGCGAAGGAGAGGCCCAGGTAGTCGCCAACAGACTTGAAGAGGCTATGCTTTCCAACACCGCCATTGACAGGCATGGTGGCGGTGGCAGACTTGGCAAAGGTATCGAGATGGCCAACAAGATGCTCGATATCCGCATACGAGGTGTAGGGCTCGAAGCGCAGGCTGTGCTTGAGGGCAACCGAAAAAGCAACCACCAGGTTCATGGCGCTAATCTTGTAGAGCATCTGCTTGCGCATGTCCACGTCCGGCAGGGGCTTGGCATGGATCCAGAAGACTCGTCCAAGGGCCTGGGATGATGTAACCAGGGAGGCGAAGAAACGTCGACCTTCGGCATAACGCTCATATGCCGTGGAACCTCGGAAGCTGAGACCTGTGGAGACGACGAAACCAAGAACCGTCAAGAGGATGGAGTTGACACCGATTTTGTGAACCTTTTCGTGGATGAGAGTGATGAATGTACTCCAAAGTCCCATCCAAATCAGAGGCACAATCATCTTGGGCAGGATACTGCCGTGCATCTGCAGGAACAGAGGCCATTTGGAGTGCTTGGACATATCACGAGGGCCGGCGAAGTAGTCCTCGAGATTCAGCGTGTGCCGCCGGCTGATGGGGACCGTGGCGGCCATCCTTGAGCCGGGGACATTTGTCGTCTCCTGCTCGAGAGGGATCTCCAGGCTATGTTCGGGGCGCTTCTCATTGCCCTGGGTTTGCTGGTCTGCGACAGTGGTGACCTCTGTCGGCACGTAGGCATCGCCGTCCGACATGGTTGCGGTCGATCTCAATGCTGTGATGGAGGAAGATACTGGTCGTGACGCTGGTTCAACAGGGAAAGCGAGATTAGAGCAAGCTCTGACGAAAGCAAGGCGAGAGGAGCTGCTCGCGTGTCACTGTCCAGAGAACAGGGAAGTGATAAAAGAGTGAATCAAGCTTGAAGCAACAATGGGGATAAGCGGCACAGGGAAAGGAAAATCGCACCGCGGTGATACACACACAGAAATACACAAACAAACAAAGAAAAAGGGAAGAGGAGAGGAAGGGGTAGGGAAGAGAGGTCGGATAAGTAATAAAGAAAGGAGAGGTGAGGCAAAAAAAAAAAGAAAAAAAGAAACGAAGGAAAAGAGCCGGCGGTATATGCTGAAAATGTCAATGGAGGAGGGCATCAGACTACACGTACCGGTACAGGTACAGGTACACGCACTGCGGACCAGGGCCGGGATCAGGTTCAGGTTCGGTCCATGCGCTAGAGCTTGTTCTAGCTCAGAACCAAGAATTCCACGAGGCGCCTGTAGGGCAGACGCTGATGGGCGCCCAGTCCCTGGAGCGCCACGTAGTTAGTGAAGGATCTAGCGCTGCAACACCTGTCAGTTAAAGCTCTAGTTGGGCGCCTTCAGGGCCGAGGCACTGAACTACCCGCCTAACGTATGCCATGGAGACTATACAAGAGCTGAATAAGCCAGATGATACATGTGCCTATTTTCGTCTCTTTCTTTCCTCTCGATTTTCTCACGTTTCACCTCTACATACTCTGCCATGTTGACATCTCAATCCATCTGCGCTGGGCCTCAATCGCTAACCTCCTCCTTGTTCCATTACATGTCCTTCCCCTTGCCCCTGTTTCTTCTTCTGCAAACATATGCAACGGCGTCTCCATAGCACATGCGCGCCGGGGCCTCTCATTCGCCGGCCTAAGTGGTGGGTTCCATCGAGGCCTGTCGTCTGAAACAGGCGGCTTCCAGGAGGCTGCTTACATACATACATCCAGCCAAGGCCTCGTGAAGGAGTACTTGGGCGCTCGCATCTGCAGGTATTGTTCCTCGCTGATTCGTGGGGCGGATACCCAGCAAGGGGAAGACCTCAAGTCGCTGACATGCAGCAGGTGCATGACTGTCTCGTCATCTCCAAGACCCTCTATGGGGCCATGCATGCTGTGCTACGCCACCGACCGCCACGGGGCCCCAAAACCGGGCATGATATTCGACAGCAGATCAAGAGACAGTGGGCGTGTTGAATGCTGCAGCTGCAGAAACCCGATCAACACAGCCAAGGTCAGAAATGCAGCCCTCTGAGACCTGCACTGACGGTTCTCAGCCCCCAGGTCACAGGCCATCAAAACGGCTACGGAGGCTCTTGTGGCTCTTGAGGCTCTCGAGGCTCTTTGAGGCGCCCTTGGTTGCAATCTCTTTAGCCGTCCTGCGCCCTGTCCAATACGAGACGGCCGTTAATTGCTGGCCAACGGAGCCTTAAGCCAGCCGCAATGCATACCACCCGAACGGAGATGCCTTTGCCCAATTTAGCTGCCGCTTTGATCAATAAACTTGTCGCCCCTAGCCAGCACCCGTAGCCGCCTTTCTGTGTTAGTTGACTTCTGCCATGCTTGCACATCGTTGGCCGATGAATTAGGTGCTTAGCGTCAGCGTCTACTCTGCACCGAGCCGCTAAAAAAAAGCTTTCAGGCACAGAGAGGACGGCGTTGGACGGCAGGGCCTTGCCCAGAACCAGACACGCGAACTTGAATACACTTGATACAGTATTCGGCTACGAGAGGCCTCGACGATGGAGACCGGTGGGTCAGGAGAGGCCGTGTGCTCGAGCCATCAATTTCCAGGGAAAAAAAAAAAAAGATGGGAGCCTTGAGACAAGCTTTGAGAGTCATTGCCAAGCGCAATTAAGCATCGACCGTTCGCAAATGGCCCGTCTTAGCTCACGCGGAAGAGCCAAGCCTGCCAAGCCCTGCAAATGCAACCCAAGAGGCTGCAATCTTTTTCTACCATCAGGTTTTAGTATGAGAATCACTACTGATGCTGGTGCTAGTAGCGGGTAATGAATGCACCAACGCCTGTGGACGGAGGCACTCCGAAAATTCGCAGGGCAAGGACCATGTACCAGTACGAGCAGCCGTACTCCCTACCACCAAGGATTTGCGTGCATGGAGGCTCAAGTAAGGGGGCCAGACTCTCGTTTTTTTCGCCGCACGGCCTGGCTTGATCGCGATTTCCTCCGCATCGAATCGTGCCAGTAAGACGATCCTTGGAGCAGGAAAATATGACATGCTACGCAGGGAGTCGGAGCATACGGTCCCCATTGTCCGCCATGCAGTCCTTTCTGGGGCATTAGCACACGACCCTCTGTTTGTCTTGTTGAATTTCGCAAGAAGCCATGGACTGTGTTCAGGTTGCTAACCCCCCCGCCGCGGGCCGTTTCGTTGGCTAACCAGTGTGGCCGTGTTGATCCCCAAATTTAAGCATCGAGGCGAAGCCTTCTTTTTTTCTTGTTATTTTTGATTAGCACTACTAATCTTCTTAGCTTCAGACGATTAGTATTCGATTAACCGCGATATCCAAAAATGGCTCCGTCTGCTCACAATCGTGGCCCCACCCTTGGAGACAGCTGTGTTCTAAAAATACATGATACAGCTTGAAGCGAGTATGTATGACTCAGCGCAAGCAGTCTCGCGCAGCAATTGTTGAGGCTCAACTGGAGAGGGCTAGGGATGCTGTTCCTCCTTTTCAAAACTACTGGCCGTATGGAGTAAGGCAGATTTGTTCGACTACCGGTGTCAGAAGAAGAGACAGAGAAGCTTTTCGCTATATCTATCATTCATTATCCGTGCAGCAACTTAGCGCGTATGCACAGGCTGCTAGATTCAGCAAGGCTCTTGTCTCTAGTGATGTCGGTTAAGCGTTGGCTGATGCGAACCGTTTCTGTGTGTAAGACGCCCAATTGCACAGAACTGCATGTCTGAGATGAGTTTAGCAACATAGGCTGACTATATATAGAATTAGCTGAAAACAATGCGCATCGTAAGAGCAGTGATGCAAAGTGATGTATCGGTACATGTAGGTCGCCTTGCCAATGAAGTCTGTCTAGTGTAGCGGTCGTAGCCTGGCTCTATCAGCACACAAGTTTGGACTCGATGATTTTCGTTTTGAGTGAGTAATACTCTGCGTTTTATTTATCCGAATTGCTTAATTAGCTGTCATATCTCAAAACCAATGGGCGGCGCAGCATTTGAGAGACTCGGTTCTCTTACTCGATAGGCGCCCACATCGAGGTCTATTATATGTGCAGTTCACAAAAAAACGTTGCTTTCTGCTCTTTTGTTTCTCTGTTTATATCTGGCATACTTTTCTTGATAAGTTGGCAAATGATTCCATCACGGCGGTATCTTCCGAGGGATATCCAGTACAGCTAGACGCCTCAATTGATTTAGCTGCTGTTGTTACAGGAAATCTCAAGAATATTCTCTCTCTCACAATTAGTATACATGATTCTCTCAGAATCCTAATGTTCAGGCTATAGACAGGTTGTTTTATACATGTATACACGTACTGTATAAACGTTAGTGGCGTGTAAAGTCGCCTAGATCGCGCCGCCAACTGTAAGCCAAACTTCGGAACTTTCCGTCACCCCCTCACCTATAATGTTGGAGCTTTTGCTATGCGTGCAAGGTCTGGCGCTGTAAACTAACTAACCCACTCAAACAGCCTGAATTGAGAGAAGAGCTTTCCCCAGCCCTTGTTGCCCCATGAGACTCTCGATCCAATGCGACCATGGAAAATGCCGAGGTTTGGTGTTTTCTGATACAGCTAATCATTACCCTTGTGTAAGCCGTCCTTCTTTTAAAGCCAATGGACCTTGTAATTATATTGGCAATTATCGATTCTCTAGCAACCCGAAGAGCGAATGAGATACTGATTCTGAACCCGCATGTGCTCAAACGCATGACATTCTGGAAAACGGCAGCTTCTCGCGGACAAAAGCCTATCCCGTATCGGAGTTAGTAACGGCTAGCCAATCGGAAGTCTAATCTGAACTTGTCCACATAAGCCGAGGCCAATTTGTCAGCTTCCTAGTTGAGCTTGATCCCCAGAAAGCCTCTAAACGCCCAGCAACGCTAGGAGTGGCAGTTCAATGGCAGTGATAGGAATGTATTGTAACTACGGCGGACATGCGGGCTTGGCGGTGTTATGGCGGTGTTGTGGCGTACTTGATTATACCGCCCTGGTTGTATACATTGGCGTTGGGTCTTTACCGCAATGTATTTTCAAGCTGTATTACAGTCCATAATGAACGTAGAATCAAATCCATGTATACACAATGCTATCAAGGCACAAAATGCATTCTATCTTGTTTATTCCAAATAACAATTGAATTACATATCATCAAATTGCAGATGGAAAATTTTCCCTGCGAGAATCAATTTGCTGTATATATGGCTAAAGTTTTCTTGTCGCCTTTTGCTAAGGTCCGAAAAACTATCGATGTCTAACGCCGATGGCGTATCTGCCGGCAAGTGGAATACTCGGAATCGGCAGCGTCGCTAATGGTTATTATACGCTGGATCGATGCACCACAGACTCCACTTCCAGCAGCTTGAGCTGAGGTCTTTTTTTTCTTTCTTGTTCTGTTTTGAGTTGATGATGTCACCCACTTACACGCTATATAGCCATCATCGAAAAGGCGTATAAAGGACCTTCAGCCCGCAACTCAATTCGGTGCTGAGAAGAGGTCTTTATTCCTGTCCAAGCAGTACGACAATTCTTCATTCAATTTTACCACTTGTTGAATCTTCCATTCATCTCAATTTTTGAATTCTCATTTTCTCATCCCCATCATCATCGCCATGGCATCAACCGAGCCCAAGTTTGTAGGATGGGTTGCCCACGACAAGGAATCTGCCAACGGCAGCATGGTCTGGGAGGAGTTCGAGGTGAAGCCCTGGGAGGAAACAGACATTGACATTAAGATCTCACACTGCGGCATCTGCGGCACAGATTTGCACAAGCTTCGATCTGGTTGGGTAAGCAGCTTGTTCGGCTCAAACTGTTCCAAACTCAAAAAAAAAAAAAAAAACTGACACTCTTACAGGGCCCGACAGCATATCCCATTGTAGTCGGCCACGAGATTGTCGGCACGGCCGTGCGTGTCGGCAAGGAGGCCGCAGCCCAGACCGGAATCAAGGTCGGTGACCGCGTCGGTGTAGGTGCCCAGGGCGATTCGTGCCAGTGCCGCAAGCCCCCTCAGACCAAGGAGGATCACTCAGACTGCGAGGCCTGCGCAACCGGCAACGAGGTCTACTGCCAGAGATCGGTAAACACCTACGGCGCCCAGTTCCTCACGCCGGCCGGCGGCAAGAGCATGGGCGGCTACGCTCTCTACCACCGCGGCCCGGCCAAGTTTACCTTCAAGATCCCAGACGGCCTCGCCAGCGAACATGCCGCGCCGATGATGTGCGCCGGCGTGACCACCTACTCGCCGCTGGCGCACTTTGGCAACCAGAGCGAGCCTCTTGAGCGGCGGCTGAAGGGCATGTCGGTCGGCGTGGTTGGCGTCGGTGGCCTGGGCCACTTTGGCATTCTCTTCGCAAAGGCCATGGGCGCCGACCGCGTCGTGGCTATTTCTCGTCGCGCAAACAAGCGGCAGGATGCTCTGGACCTCGGGGCAGACGAATACATTGCCACGGCGGAAGACGAGGGCTGGGCCAAGAAGAACGCAAGAACGCTCAACCTCATCATCTGCTCCGTTTCGAGCTCCAACATGCCCCTGACCGATTACATCGGCCTGCTCAAGCGCGACAGCGTCTTCTGCCAGCTCGGCCTGCCAGACGATGGCCAGTTCAAGCTTGGAGCTGGAGTCATCTGCGCGGGACGGCGGTCACTGACCGGAAGCTTCATGGGCTCACCGCATGAGATCAAGGAGATGCTCCAGTTTGCTGCGGATAAGGGAATCAAGCCGTGGGTTGAGAAGCTGCCCATGAGCGAGGCTAACAAGGCCATTGTTGATATGGACAAGGGAAAGGCAAAGTACAGATATGTCTTGATTAACGATCAGTAAGTGGGGTTTTTTTGGGGGATTGTCATGGAAACTGTTATTGGTGTGTGGTATGAAAGGGCTTTGGCTAACAAGTCCAATTGTTGAATATGATTGTAGAATAAAAAGTGTTTATGAGAAACTATGAAAATTTCAACTATAACTATATGCAACTTTGACTATGAAGCGGAGATACGAAGCACATGCCCTTCTGGTTGACAGCATCTCGGATCGCCCAACAATGCTGTTCGAAGAATATATAATTTTATAAAATATCAAAATCATAATTATGCCTATGAATTATGACTTTGATGTTTAGACATCTAAGATAGGTACCTTAGTCTATATATGTTGTTTCTCCCCATCAAGCCCAAAATTTACTAAGTGGACAGCACCAACGTCGACACTGCAATATTTGTACTAGAATAATAGCCATCATTAGTCAAAGGAAAGGGATGGAGAAATACACGCTCTCTATTTTTTTTGGAATTAATTACCTTGGTACATCCAATGCACGGCCATGCATCAGCCGAGGCACAAAGGCAACAGCAGTCGTTGTCGTCGTCGGTGCAGATGCCACGCTCGGCTAGGGCGGTTGTTGCCCCATGGGTATTTGGGGAATCGACGGCTTTCCTGGGAGCGGGAGAGGTGGTGACAAGAGTTGCCCAAAGGGCGATGAGAGTGATACACCATTTCATGGTGGTAGTGGGTTTTGAGGAGGAAAAGGGTAATTTGATGTTTAATTGCTACTGCGATGAGTTGGAGAGCAGCCGATTCCAAAATTTCTGACATTGGCTCTTCTTATATATATATCTCCATGCTCTTTCATATGCTACAAGCTGAAGCGTTGGCGACAGCGCCAAAAACATGAAATACTGTTTGAGTGGTCACGAGAACAACATCATTTTGTACCAAAGCAAATATTCTGGCTGGGTCTCAAAGATGATGTTGGCTTTCAAAAATGACGAGTGTGGTCTTTTGAATGTGAATATCGTATCAAGTGAATGCTTTGTAGCCATCGCATAGGGATCAAAGCCCAAGCCTAACACGTAATGAACAAACACAACACAACCTCCTCAAAGTACTGACCCTTTTCCTTTTTGAACCAACAGAACGCGAAACAGGTGAAAGCCATCAAGGATCTAGGGAGAGTTTTCATTATCCTCTCTATAACACAGGCTTTTATAATAGTGTCAAGGTATATAATATCTATAATTATGCCCCACAGTAAATTAAACACAGCTGTTGTGACTATACAATGCTCATGCCAACCATAGGGAAATCCCCCTTTTAAAACCTCATACAGCGTACTGTACAACAAACAGTCACCCCCTGACAACTCTCACTGCATACCCTCGTGACAAAATTCGACCCAATTGTGTAGAAAAGATAATGTACATGCAATCATGCAGCCATCGATATAAAAAAAAAAAAGGTATTAAAAGAAGAGAAAGCAAAATACCATCAGTCGTTTCGTAGGCAGCTCTCAAAACGCCCAAGACCCATACAAACTCCCCCAGTTGAAGAACAACCGGTCGTACAACCAAACACCAAGAACCACATCTCTATTCACCAAAAAATCTAGCCAGCTTTTCAGTGCATCGGCCCGGCGGGAAGCTCAACCGCAGGAGGCTCTTCCGCAGGCAGCTCTCCCGGAGGCGCCTCGGTCGCCGGTTTAGGTTTGTTCATCAGGCCGCTATACTGTGGCATCTCGGCCGCCGGCGCTACCTCTCGACCCTGGAGCTCCGTGGGCGTGCTTGATGAGACGACTTTGTTGTACTGCTGCCGCTTTCTCCACCAGAAGAACAGACCGGCCAGCAAACCGAGCACGACAACGGGCACGACAACTCCAATTGCTGCCTTGGCACCAGTTGACAAACCACCGGATGAGTCACTAGAATCCGAACCGCCTGTGTTTTTTGCTCCTCCTGGCTTTGTCCCCGTTGTTGCTGCGCTTCTTGTTGTTGTTGTCGTCGTTGCCATGGTTGTCGATTGCGTGTCGGTCTTGTGGTATACCATTCTAATTCCAAAGGCGTTCAAACCCCCCGGAGCAGTAAAGGAGCCCTGGACTGTGCTTGTAATGCCATTGTTGCTCACCGTCATGGGCAGCGTCGTGCCGTCTCCATCAGGCGCAATCCATGTACAAAACAGAGTTGACCAAACGCTCTCAAGCGTACTCGCCGTGACGCAGGAAAGCGATATATCGGTGGCAAACGTCGGACAGCACGTTACGGTCGTGATTCGCGATGCTCCGATATTGTCATGGCAGGCCGAGTAGTAGCCAGACGGACATGCCAAGCCGGGTGAGAAGTAGGAGGTCTGGTCGGTGTGGAAGCCTTTTGGGAGGCAGGACTTGGAGAAGTCTATGCCGCTGAGAAAACCAGATACGTAGATGCCGTCGCAATCATCGGGACGGGTGAAAGTTGTAGTGAGAGGATTGAAGGGGAACGAAGTGACGACGGGGACGGACGGCTTGGTTATGGCGTGAGTAGCCGTTGAGTCTATGCCCGCCATTGTGGAAGATAGTTGGAGAGTGAGATTTCGGATGAGACGTAGGAGAAAAAAGAAGAAGCTGCAGTGCTTCAACGGATTCACACGTGCTCTCTATGATAATAGCTTGTTGATGCTGGTAGGAAGAGGACTCTCACTCGATGATCACCAAACGCAAACTCGGCCAACTACATGTACATTGCACGCAAAGAGAGAGCAGAGAAGGATCAAATCAAGGGAGGAAGAAGGAGAAGAAGAAGAAAAGAAGAAGAAAAGAGCGAGAAAAGCGAAAGCTACATGAAACACCGGCAACGCCCAGATCCATGGCCCGCCTCACATCACGCTATGATGCCAATCTGCCTATACCGACCCAACCAGTCCCCTGCTCTCTTCTCCTTCTGACTCCCAATTTCCCTGCTCCCTAAAAGCAGCACTACATCAGCCTGCATACCGACAGAAAAAATCCCAACGCAGCACCAGCCACTCACAAGCGGCCCCAGGCCCGGGGACAGGCTCTGACTTTGAAGCGAAGGATCGTCCTCCATGCCCGCGCCAGAGAATCCACACCCAAGAGAAAGCAACGGCTCTTCAGCTATTACCGCGCAAGCCAATGGGAGGAAACGAGCAGGTGGAGATTTCTCTTGGGGCCCCAGTCTATTTTGAGCTGAATGGAACGAGGTTTGGGATTCTGTTGCACGGAGGATTCTAGGGTGAAGTCTACGAAAGAAGGTAATGGTTGCCAAGCACGGCATGGGGCAGGGTTTGCTGTCTGCTTGAGACTGGGTTGATAAGCTTTTAGTCGTGGCTCATTTCGGCTTAACTTTTGTGTCCTGACGGTTTCTCTTTTCTCTTTTCTCTTTTTTGCTTCTCCTAGCAGTTGTCTCTGTCCAGTTAGCCTCGTCCTTATTAGTTCCTGGGTGTTCTATTAATAAAGCGGGTTACTTGAGCCGTGCTCTTTTTTTTTCTTCATTAGTTTCACAAAACAAGCCCCCCAAAAGGCGACACCGCCATGAGAATCAGAGAAAACCGGTAAATGGAAGAAGATGATTATTGTGGTGAAACCCCTGCCGCGGACAAAGCATCTCAAGACACGCCATGGAGCGCTACGCAGCTGCAGGGGGGGGGTTCCGACGCCTTGTATTGGCTGTTTCGCGTGGCTGATGGGCAGTGAGATTTGGGCGAGTGGGATCGGCAAATACACGCCACCAAGGCACATTTGGTGCTACTAGTAGTAGTTGGCACCTCCCAGGCGGAAAAGTGCGCGTAAGGCTCGAATAGTTGGGGCTGTGGTTAGTTGCGAGTTGCGTACATATGTTGTTAAGCGCTCAAGGTGGTGGTGATGCATTAGTTCATGTAGAAGCTTTAGTACCTGTAGGTAAGGTACTAAGGTGCAATAACACGCGAGAAACGAACTTTGGGTGCAAGTCATGATTAAAGGCTTCAGCAGCAGTAAAAACAGCCGTCAAATCCTCTTCTTTACAAACCATTGATGCACTTCGCTTCGATTGTGCCGTCGGGAATAACGTCACAAATACTATCGCGTTGATCCCACATTTAGCGGACCCAGCAACAGCCACCCCAAAAATACAGCGCCCCTCCTCACTAATAGCCCACAGCGGTGCCCACTGTCTACATGTATCCATAGCCGCCAAACTAGCAGCACCCTGTTAGCCTCTTTTCATCCTGACAACCAACCGCGATATATCTCGACAACGCCAAAAGAAAAAAAAAACTGGAATTGGACAGGCCTATCACCAACCCAGTCACGCATCTCCATAACCTGCGCTTTCGCTAGCCATCAGGGCTCTCTTCAGGCTATAGTCGACAAAGGGTGGAGGAGAAGCGGCTAACGGGGTGAAGCCGTCGCCAAGCAGAGATGGAGCGCTCACAGCCAGCCTCGTCCAATTTGATGGGTAAGTCGGTGAACAAGGGGCTCTTCTGCGCCGTTTGTCTTTCGCGAATAGCTTCAGTTTGATTTTGTACTTGCTTTACGCCATGTATACATGTATATCGTAAACATAGGTACCTATCCTACGGCACCATGCCCGGCCTCATTCTCACCCCCAGTCTTTTCATCTCACTATGCAACTCTTACTTATTCTCATATGAAACCTTTCATCTCACACTCTACTAAATCACAATCACAGACACCCACAACCGTCTCATTGCTGACATCCTCACCCGCTACCGCACCCTCATGATGCTGGCCACCGTCCAGGCCGAGCAGGACCGCAACAACGCCAACCCCGAAGCCATGGCCGTCACCGGCATATCCATCAAGATGGAATTCGATGGCTTGGTAAGTGTCGGATCCCATCCCCCCCTGCTCACATAATTCCCGTCCAGGGATGATACATGTGTATATATGTATCAAGGCAGCAGCAGCAGCAGCAGCAAGCAGGACAGCTCACTCACATTTCTTCCCCCTAGTACACATCCATCAAGGAATTCCTCACTCTGTCCCGCAAAATAAAGGAACTCTGGATCTTTGGACCCCTCGGCACAGAAGACCAAGACCGCAAGGCGAAAGAGGAGCAGCTCGACCAGGACGTCAACCGGGTGTCTGAACTTCTTAACCAGATGGAAGCGTCCAAGATGAAGAACCTGGCCGAGAGCAACGGCGGCACGTGGCAGCCGCTCGTGAGGGAGGAAATGGAGAGTATGATTGCGGCTGCTGCTGCGGCTGCTACTGCATCTACGGCGCCTACTGCTGCGGCCGGTCGGTGAGGATGTTGATGCTTTACTGGTTCAAATGGATTGGCATAATTGTGTTTACTGGCGTTGGGGATGCACGGAAGTTTAGACAGATACCACCAGACATCGTCGACTACAAATATCACTTTGAAAATTAAGGGAAAAAAAAGGAGGGGGGAGCTCGAAAAATGTGCCTCGAAAAAAAGAAAAAATACGAAACGCCTTAGAGCTCATCAGGACAACAGGATGAGCACCCTGTCTATAGGCCCATGTCTAATATGTACAGCATCAGCATCAGCCCCTTAGCCCTCCCCGCCTTCAGGATCCTCCTCATCCTCGTCACCAAGCTGCTTATCGACGTCTTGCAGCTTACCGTTCGACTTGTCAATCGTCGCAACCTTCATGCCTCCGGCAGTGAGCCACAGGAAGTGATTTGATCTGAATTGATCAATCTGTGAAAAGAAGCTGTGGAATCTGTGAAAAGGATTATTAGATAATGTCAAACCAGAAAAAAAAGGAAAAGGAAAAGAAAGGAAAACTTACGAATTCTCCTTCTCCTCGACGCCAAAGATGCGCGAGTAAATCTGCTCCTGCTTAAACGCTTCCAGCTTCTCCTCATATCTGTCAAAGTCAATGTCCTCACGCCCGAGCGTCTCCTTCGCCCTCTTGTTGTAGTTCTCAAACACCGGTCGCTCCAGCAGCAGGCCCAGGCCGGGCATCTTAGGAATGGCCATCTTCTGAGGACCATAGCTCTGCTTGATGCGGTCCAGAGTCGTGCCGCAGCGCACCATCAGAGTCACCAAGCCGACCATCTTTCGGATCTGGTGCATCATGAAGCTCTGGCCGTGGACCTTGAGCGACAGCCACTCCGTATCGCCGATGATGATGGGCTTGGGATTGACGACAAAGGATCGGATATGTCGCTTCGACGAAGGGTCGCCGTGCGACTTTTGCACGGTATAGTTGTGGAAGTTGTTGGTTCCCACGTACTGGTTGAGGGCTTCCTGCAGTCGCTGGATGCGCTCGGGAGACACGCGATATGCACGCTTAGCGCCAATGTACGCTGCCTTGATGTCGCGCAGGGCAAAGTCTACAGGACCCAGCTCGCGGCGCTTGGGCTGAACCGTCTCAAGGACGACTGCAGGCCTTTGAGGTGTAGCATCGTCACCCTCATTCGTGGGGGCAGGTTCGGCATTTTCTGCTGATGGCTGCTCCTTGTCAACCATGACATAGTCATCATCTTCTTTTGCCGTCTCCTCCCGAGCAGCCGCTGGTTCTGTGCTCTCAGCCTTTTTAGACTCGTCTGCATTCTCTTCGGGGGCCTGTTCGGAATGTAAACTCTCCAAAACGGCGGCCCTCGTCTCGTCATCAAGTCCGGCCAAGATGGGCTTAATATCCTTCTCATCCACTTCCGACCAGAAATCCTTGACATCAGCCAGCCTTGCGTTGGTCTCTTCCTCAGCGCCGTACTCTTTGTTGATTTCAACAAGCTTTTTTCCGAGGAAGCTCTGAGGGTGAGGGGGCAGAAGACAGTAGCTGGGCATGAGATACTCATACCATCTCGAGTCACAGTACTGGTAGCAGTTGTAGCTGTTGTTGGTCCTCTGGATGCCCCAGACTCGGATCTGCGGCGGGAGAGCATCGTTGATCTTGTCGACGATGTCCTCGTCTTCGATAATCAGCTTCAGACTGATGACGTTGCCAGCAGCATGCACGCCCTTGTCGGTTCGCGCGCAACGAGCCAAGCTCGACTTGCGAGGGTCGTCGGCATTGGCCTTTGAAATGGCGCCGGCCTTGATGAACGCCTGGAACAGATCTCGCTCGATCGTCTCCTCGTCGCCGTTCAGCTGCATACCCTTGTATCCAGTGCCGGCATAGCCAATCATGACGGCAACCTTGCGCTTCGGCCGACGGCTCTCCGCCTCAATCTCCTCTTTGGAGAAGGGGTTCGCCTTGGGATTATCGATGTCGCTAATCTTGCGGCGCTTGTATTCCTTGTACTCGTCATGGCGCTTTCGCTTATCTACCTTTGTGCGGCTACAGTCTGATCAGCGCCGTTGGTAAATGCGGAAACCCACCCAATTGTAAAAGGAACTTACCTCCATTCTCCTCGGCCTCTGTCGCCTTTCTTTCCCTTCTTGCCGCGGTTGTTCCCAGAGCCCTGGTGGGCGCCGGCAGCCTCGCCTGATGCCATTGGCTTGTCCTCGTTGCGCTCAGTGGAGGGCGCGCTAGCAGCGACAGGAGCCTCGTCGCCGGCCGCCATGTTTGCATTGAGGATGTCGAAAAATCCCAAGTGCTGGTTGTATGGCGGAAAGGAAAATTGGATATGCGACACGGCGGTTACACTTTTTGGGTCCAGGAAAGAATTTCCTCCACAAGGCCATAATAGTGGGGTATCGATAAGTACCCACCGCCACCAATCTAGGTACAAGAGGCAATCTCAACAAAATACTTGTACACAAAATACCCTGTAAAGCTCAGAAACAAGCAGAGTCGTGCAATGTGTTGCTGTAACGAGTAAAGAAAATTGAATAAAATATTCTTTTCAAAATTGAACCGGAATCAGCTCAATTTGATTTTGGCTTGTCTTATGAGTTGTCAATCTGTTCCCGAGGAATCCATTCTCGATAATACCTAGTCTCGTCATCACATGCTTCTGTCTAAGCCTGTTCAATATCAAGATAAATGCGTCAACGTAACATCAACAGCGCAGTAAATATGAAATAACTAAACTGCTTTAGATATCTTGGACAGATAAAGACCAGCTCAACATTACAACTAGACTCGAGATCGTTCCACGTGGCCGGCTGCCTCTCAGCGTCATCTCCACCAGCTATTCCATTCTACCAAGGCCCGCGCGGGAGGCGACGTCATACACTCGAAACCCACTACTTTCAGCCTCGTACATATTCACGGCGACTCTCTGGTCCGCCTCTCCCCCCGAACAACATTCCCCAGCAACTCTCTATGCCTGCGTCCAGCTGATCCTCGTCTTTGCGAGCCTTTCACTCTTTCATCACCAAATGGCATCGGTGCAGCGCCGTGCAGCCAAGACTGCTTCCGACCCTTCAACCCCATCCTCCAACATCGACATGGCCGCCGCCACAACCCAGGCCGAGTCCTCGCGGCGCAACCCGCCATACCTGCCGACGCCTCTCGAGAGGATCTTTCTAGCCGTCTTCCCCGCCATCCTCCTCTTCGGCACCGTCTTCTCCATCGTCTCGCCCGACATACGAGCCTCTACGTATGACCACGTGTCGCAGTCGCACCATCAAGACCCGAGCATCGCGCCGAGCTATTTTGCCCGGAAGAACAATGTCTTCAACGTAGTATTTGTGAAGCGAGGCTGGGGATGGATCACCTTTGCATTCGTCTTTTCTCTCCTCATGCAGCCCACCCGCAATACGCCGCCCGCCGTCGTTCTGGCGAGGAGAATCCGCGCGGGAATCCGTTGGGGAGCCGCCACGGGCTGGTGGTTCGTAGTAACACAGTGGTTCTTTGGCCCTCCTATTATTGACCGCAGTTTCCACTGGACCGGTGGCAAATGCGAGCTGGCGCAACGAGAGGTTGCCGTGGGCGACGGCAGCGTGAAACAGCTGTTGACGGCTGTGGCTTGTAAAGCAGCAGGAGGCAAGTGGAAGGGAGGCCACGATATTTCGGGTCATGTATTCCTCCTGGTTCTGGGCACTGCATTCTTGATGCAGGAAGTGGGCTGGCCGGCCCTCAGATTCTGCGGATGGCTCGCCGAAGAGAGATGCGTCGTCATGCCTGACGGAGCGGTTAAGAGCGCGAGCGTCGAGTCCGAGACGGGGGCTGGAGAGGGAGCAGGAGAGCCTGTGTTTAACATTGGGGGCAAGACCGCCATAGGCATCATGTCGTTGAGCCTGTGGATGCTGCTCATGACGGCCATATACTTCCATACATGGTTTGAAAAGGTAGGTCTTGAGATTTACTGCTGGGAGATGATGACGAGCTAACGCCTACATCGCAGCTTACTGGGCTTTTGACTGCCACCATCGGTGTATATGCTATATATTATGTGCCCAGATTTGTGCCGGCTTTGAGAGGGGTGGTTGGTTTACCAGGGATATAAATGTAGGAGCGTGAGCATGAGCGTGAGCATGGAGCATGAGCATTGGGTTAGATAGAGTGTATGAATGCAAAGTGAATGATTCTGTAAATCACCTTCTTGAATCATTAATGATGCCCTTCTCCTGAAATCATATCTTCACGCATGTCTATTGGTGAACACCAAGATTCTGGTCGTTGGCGCAGCATCGCGAAATAGAACATGAGAATCTGCCATGGAGGGGCATCGCAGCAGCGATCCCCGCACGGACCTCAAACTTGCTGCTCTACCAAAATACTGACGTCTTACATGCCACTTGGACATTATTCATCTCATTACGATACTGTAGTTATACTGCGTCGCTGACCAACTATCGCTAAAAGCCTTCTCCTTTTTCTAGGGCTTTGATATTCTCAAAATGTCGCGCCTAAAGGCCCCGGCAAACCTCCATGAACTCGTCAGAGCCACCTTCTCCAAGGCGCTGTCCGCAAATGAGCTTCATTATTTCCCTACTCAAGTCACCATCTTACATGTCAACTCGATCCCTGTACGTAACAACTACCAAGCTATCCTCCAAAAAATCCATCCAAAAGCACCAATCGATGGCTAACAAAACCCTCACAGTTCCAGCTGCGCTTCTCTCCATCCCTCGCAAATAAACCCAAAGGCCCTCCGCCAGACCCGTCGCAGCCTCGCAAGCCGCCCTTTGACCCTTTTGCCAATCCTCCCGCCTCTCTTTTCATCACTGATCTGGGCCCATCCCATTTTCTTGTTCTGAACAAATTTGCCGTTGTGCCGGAGCATTTCATTCTCGCGACGAAGGAGAACAAGCCGCAGACTCATGTGCTCGAGGAATCCGACCTGGAGGCCGCGCTTGCGTGTATCGAGGCTTACGAGCAGGCGAGGCAATCAAGCAGCCGTGATGCAGGATCCGCCTCTTTAGGAGAGAAAGGATCACAGGATGATGGACTGTTCGCGTTTTTTAATGGAGGACCTGATTCCGGAGCGAGCCAGCCCCACAGACATCTTCAGTTGCTGCCAATCTCTCGGATGAAGGATGGCCTAGAAGACCAAACTGCCTGGGATGTGCTCGCACAGCAAGTCGATGCACTGCAGAAAACTCCGTTTGTTGCTTTCTCCGAATCTATCAACACGAAAATGTCCTCTGCAGATCTCTTTGCCGTCTACTCTCGCGTCTACACAAAAGCTTGCCAGGCAGCCGCCCAGGACGCCGGATCCAAGATAGAAGCGGTTCCTACGACGGGCGAAGCCCTAATCAGCTACAACATGGCCATGACAAAGGACACATTAGTCATATGCCCTCGGAAACAGGAAGGCTCCGAGATCAAAAGCAGCGATGGGCACGAGGCTGTTGGATCACTCGCTTTGAACGGCACAGTCTTGGCTGGTACGGCACTGGTGAAAAACGAGGCTGAGTGGGAGGCATTGAAGAAGAGCCCAGAGCAGCTACTTGCTGTGCTAAGCAGCATCGGTATCTCACGGGGCGAGGCGGAAGAAGGTCAGAATAAGCTGTAGAAAGCGTTTACCGTTGAAAGACCAGTATTAGACACAAATATAAAGAGGCCAGTAAAGAAAAAAGAAAAAAAAAGCAATAAAGAAAGAGACTATTCTGTAAAATGAACTAAGAGATGAAACTCGGAAAGTCCATAGTCTATGGGTATCGTAGCCCAATGCGCCTTTAGCAAATGTGAAATGCCATTACAAAAAAAAAAAACAGAAAAGAAAAGAAAAGAAGATCAATGTCCTTTGTCTATCCTCCCCATACTCCGATGATGCGAGACCTTGTTCTCATGATGAATAAATGCAGACTAAAGAGAAAAAAGAAAAAGTAGACAAGAGTGCCGGATGAAAGATATCAGTGCGCACAAAGACAAAAGAAAAAATCGGGAGAAGAAGAAAAAAAGAAAAGAAAGAGTGAGAGAGTGCGTGAGGATCTAATATCAGCCATGTGTAGTGTCCCCAAGTCTTCTGCCGCGATTGCGATATTAGTCTTCTTCGTCATCGCCATCGTCGTCACCATCGTCGTCACCATCGTCGTCCTCATTCTCATCCTCATCGTCCGCCTCGGTCTCGACTCCCTCCATCTCATCATCATCATCTTCATTCTCCTCATCATCGTCACGAGCCTCCCAGCTCTGATCAACCCAATTCTCCCCCAGCTGCCCAGTAGCTTCGAGATGCAGCCATCTACGATGACAAGTCGTGTATCCAAAAGCGTACGTGCCACCATGGCCGGTTATGTACTGAGAGACCATCATCCACGAGATGCCTGCCCTGTCAGGATGCTGGCCACCAGCATACACTTGAACGGCCTCCTTCAAAAGATGAATCTGCGAAACAAGAGGTTAGGGCAGGAAAAAAAATTATAAAAAGGAAACACTGAAACTTACGTCGATGGGCGTCCACTGAGGATCTCTGACCCGGTCCTCTTTTCTCTTCGTCAACGTTCGAAAACGGCCACGAAGAGTCGACTCTGCCTCTGCGAAGCGGCCATACGTCTTGATGAGTTTGTACGAGACTTTATTCCGTCTCGCCTCCACGAGAAACCTGTCTTTGGTTTCTCGATCAGCATCGCGTGGAAGCCAGTCGACTTCTACCGCGGGCTTTGGGCCCTTGCGGCATCTATTGGCTTGTCGTCTTCGCCTTGCTTGTTCCAGCGCGGCCTTGCTACCCACTAGAGTAAGCTGGATTGGTGGATGCAAGTGATTGGGTCTCTCATCACCGGGGAGATTCCGCTGGTGCTCATGCTTAATAAAAGCAACCCCCGTGAGAGGCTGCGAAGAGGAAGCCACCTGCAGGGTCATTTCGACGTTCTCACCAAGAAGAGAGGCATCGTTGTGGATGGTCTGCTCCAGAGTCTGAGGAATTCCAAAAAGATCACCCTCGTATGTGGCTGACCATCGTTCATCTAGGGGAGGAAATTGAATCAAATGATCCGGCATTGCAGCATATTCGAACGGCAAAGGCTCAAAAGGCTCATCGCCGGTTTGGAATGGCAGCTGGCTAAGGCCATTGACTTGGCCTTGGATATCTTGTACATCCAAGACGGCAGATTCTTCGAGGTTTGGAGACATCCATGGCTGCAATGTCTGATATTCGTCATATTGCTGCTGCTGCTGCTGCTGCTGCTGCGTATAATCGTTTTCAAAGAAATTTGGGTCCTGTATTCCTCGAGGGTTAATAAATACAATGTCTGCCAGATATCAAGTAGGCCAAGGGTGAATTAAAGGACAAGTTTACCACATAGTAGAACGGAGACAGGTAGCGCTGGTCGTCCGCCATTGTTGGTCGAGTAAAGGGATACAAATGCTGGTCAATGCCTGGAAAATCCCATGGGAGATATGGTTGGTTCAGACTATCTCCGTCTGTTGGGTTGAAGAGAACTAACTGCTGCTGTTCCTGTTGCTGCTGCTCCTGCTCCTGCTGCTGTGACTCTTGATAGAGAGACCCCTCAAAAGAATCGAAAGCCGTGGTGTCTGGATCGCTGATATTTATGGCGGATGCGTTCCCAGCTCCTTGGTTGTACGGAAGGCATGCTTCATCCAGAGCAGCAGGGCTGCCTGCTTGGCCTATCCTAGTCAGCACGTCTGGCATCGATTATCAAACGCAAGGGCAACTCAAACTAACCGTTGCTATCCGTCTTAGGGCTGTCCATCTGTCTCTGACGCTGCTGCTTAGAGGCAGATCTCGTTTGAGGCATGGCAACGATGTAGCCTTCCGTGTGAGACGAGCGGGATGAACAAGAGACAGGGGGAAGGATATCGATATCCGCTCCTGGTTCAAACAAGATTGAACGGGTAGATGGATCGAGGCGGATATCTGCCTGGGTGGGAAATCTTTCTGAATAGAAATCAGGGGATAACTCGTGTGTCTAAAGACGTCTCAAATAACAAAAGAAAATAGAAGGACTTCTATATAAGCCTTGTCAAAGTCAAAGACAGGGTTGATGGTGATGCAAATAGGATTATCAAGATGGAAAAAATTGTCAACGTTAAAGCGTGCCAAAGTTTTAAATCTGGATATTAAGGTTGAAGAAAGAAGAAGAAAAGAGGAAATCTTGTTTTTCTTCCTAGGAGAAATACAAAGGCAAATCCTATAGTGCTCCATTGAACGGTCTGCCAGCTGGCAGCTGCAATAATTCGAAATAACAATACTATGGCCTGCGAGGTTTTGTCACTTGGCGGGTACCTTGAGCGCACATGGCCTCGTTGAGTCCCTATTTTGCACATGGTTTTGCTACCACTTGAAATTTCCTACGCAGGATGAAATGATGTAAACTGCCAAATCCCTCGTTATATCAGTCTAGCTTGCTCATACTTGCAGCGTCCTCCTTTCATCTCCCCTTGGCCTCTTACAAGGCATGCAGTTTCAATAGCAGTTAATCTAATGGCCAGTGCTCCCCGCTGTAGATATTAATAGAGCATTTATCTGGATGGTAGACCCACAAATAATACTTCTAAATATGTTCGAGCAAAGCTTTATTCATTTCTCCAGCCGTGATGTTTCCAAGGCCCTTGGACGCTCAAGTGTAAAATGGATCCATGATCTGAAGGCTACCCGCCGGCTGCGAGAGATGAGCTGGCAGCTCGGCGGAAAGGAAGTAAACAAAGTAATTAGAGACAGCAACTAGGGAGCACACACGGACTGTGCGAGTGTAAAAGATGAGAGCCATGGGGAAGCTACTGGAAACACTGGAGAAGGAAATGACAGCGGGTGTTTGCATGGACGCCTTATTTGAAACCACATCACAGGCTGCTTTCCCACATGGCTGCAATTTATTCAGCTAATGAACCCCCATGTCGTAGCACAGAAAACGTGCTGCCAGGGTTGGCACCAGCCGCTCAGGTATAGCGGCCCTTCATGCCCTGTTCCACAAACCAGGGCATTGGAATATACCCGTCTATTTACTCTCTGCGTACTGTTTAATTTAACAGGAACCCGAATGACATGCAATGGATGTCTTTTCCCATTGTTGGGTTACACGAGAGAGTATTTGTGCAGGCGGCAGCTCAGAAACAGGAGCTTGTTGGTGGGCTGTAGTACATATGAGATTACTCATGTACTCCCCCCCCAAAAAAAAGGACGTGATGCCGGCTTGGAGAATAGGAAAGGAGCGTATAATTGGTATTTATTCAGCAATGATAATTACTGTTCTATATGGTGATCCCTTGATTCCCAGGGTTCAGTGTGGAGTGCTGGTTCAAGGATAGAGTAGCGGAGGTGGCAATAGAGTATAATAGGTCCTAAGTACGTCGTTTGCCATTATCTGCAAAATGTCCCTTGCTGCAAATTCTATCATAAGTCCCAATATTGTTTGAAGTATACATCCAAACAAAGGATGCCTTCAATCTTTGTATTCATGTAGTCGTCCTGCTCGCAGACAAGGGATCAAAGACAATCGCGAAGAAAGCACAAAGTCTAATGGACAGCCACTTTGTTCTTTCATCCACCATATTATTCAAAATCATTGATAGTTGAAGCTGAATTCAGTCTCATTTACGCATCAGCTAGTTGCACTTTTACGGCCATACACAGAGCAATCAAGCTACACTAGTCACACAACACATCCATGTTGGAAGCATAGACTTTCATCAAAATGCAGCGTCTTAAAACGACAAAGGCTTTTGTTCATCTTGTGCCACATCAAGTAATACGGGGGAAAGAAAAAAAACAAGGAATTGCTGACTCTATTATTTGCGACGGCAAATCTGCCGTCTCAGCTTTCTTATGTTACTAGAACTCATCGTATACCGAATGCTGTCAGCATGCGACGAGTAATCGCAACTTACAATTACCAGAATGTTCACAGCACTTGATGGCCCAGTTTATCTAGGCATCACTCAGAGCACAACCAGACACTTTCGCCAAATGAAGCTTGCCCATATCCTGATCGCTGAAGTCTCGTAATTGTCTTGGCCAGCCCATGTCGTATTCTCTCGAGTCACGCAAGTCTAGCCCAAAAGTCTAACCAACTCGGAAAATAAGATTTGGTGTCTTTGAATCAACACTATGTCTTGGATAGTATTACCTCTTACGATGAGAAGAGGTACTGCGTGAAATTTTGCATTCTTACCATCACCAGCTACTTGTTGCGCACCCGTCAGGTTAAGAATGTCCGCTTCGTTCTATATCCCAAAATTGTGTCAGTCAACACTGTATTCAGCCGACATATGAATGAAGTGATAACAAAAGCGCCAGTCTTTTTGTCTCCTATCTATGAGCTACATGCCTATTTCCTCGATGCCCAATGACAATCCCATGCTATAAAAGCCCAAGCAGGTATCCAAGTCGTATAAAATACATTCTTCCATAACAGTCGTTTGAAAAAAGGAGGCGGCGAGCCAAAAGACACGATCAACGTACTTGAGTCACGCCGCACCCCCTTTAGAAAAAATACCATGAATACCCTACAAAAGACTAATGTTCAAAGAGTAAGTAGAAGAGAAGGAAAAAAAAAAACAAATAAAAATAGGCATGAATATATATGTACATCCAAACGAGAACAACATTTTACGGCTTACACCAAAAAAAACCGAGTTCGCTCTCGCAAAAGCCGCTGGTCCTAGAAAAATTAAGCATCAGGCTTACACGCCAAGTGAAGGCTTTAAAGAAGATATATCAATTCTAGTCGTCCCATTCCTCGTCCAGCTGGTCTATTAAACGGTTCTCCGCTTCGTTATTGCGGCTTGACCCAATATGCTGGTAGCCTCTCCTGCTCGGCAAAAGGCGTCCGCACGACGACAACAAGATGACAAATAAATCCTAAATAACACGCATATACACATTAGTTGAAAGGTAGCCCCGCCTTGGGCCGGGACGGACGCACGCTGAAAAAGCTCCCAATACCGGCCCACAGACTGTAGTTGGGCAGTTGTCGCCATCCCCGGGCGTGCGCGACGGTGCGGTTGTAGAAGACGCCGCCGAGGACGTACACGAGCACGGCGATGACGAGAATCAGCCCAAACACACTTCCGGGCCCGACGCTACCGGGCTTGTGAGGCTCCGCGTGGGCACAGGCATATGCGGAGCGAGCTTCGAAGAAGTAGGAGCATTCGTCGGGGTCGACGCCGACAAACGAGACGGCTGTGGTGGTTCCAGGATCTCGATCGCACAGGAAAGATATTGTGGCCGACTTCCGCCTGGTCTTGAGAGTGCTGTCGCTTCGCCCGATCGTCTCGATTTCGTGGGCGTGGGCAGGTGGTGAGAGGCCCTCGCTGTATTGCTCCTTTGTGCCCCTCTTGTGATAATCGTAATCGTCGTCGTCATCATTGTCGTGCCCTGAGCTCGATTTGCTATCTCCGCAGGGAGATCCGCCAGTGTACTGCAAAACGAGCTTTCGCCCTCGACTATGCAGATCCAACGATACAGAGCTGAAGCAACCATTAGCGCGCAGAAACAAGGTCGTTATTTGCAAAAGCCTCAAACAAACCCAATTGAGTAAACGCTATCGTGAGACGTGTAGTAGGCGCTAACATTCGCCCATTGGCTCTTCTTCAAGCCAACTACATCGCTGACGGGGTCGACCACCGGGCCGCAGATGTTCAAAGTGAAGTTCTTGCCGTAATCCCAGCCTCGAGAATGATAGTCCTTGTAGGTGCCTGACTTGTGTGATTTCCCCTTCTCCGGGGGCGCTACGGCTGTATCCGGCCGTAAATCAAAAAATCCACCATTTGTTAAAGAGGTCGCCGTACACGCCGGCGCAGGCGTCGTAGTTGTGGCAGTACCGGCGGCGGCCGCGGCGTTGACACCGGCAGCGGCCGTTGCCAGAAGCATCAAGAGGTGAGACGGCGAGGTGATCATGCTGGGCAGTCAGATGCCGTCGTCGCGTCGGTCGCTTATGCAGATGAAGTTTGGAAAATCTCTAGTCTAGTCGAATGAATGGCGGGGAACTGAAAATCGTCTCGAGGGGCTCTGTGCGTTGCGATGTTTGCGCTACCAACGGTCGCGTAATCTGGAAAACGATATGAAACAGGAGAGAAATGAACGACTCTCTCTTGACCGAAACCTCTTCAAAGTCCGTAGCTTGTCGCAAAGCCTGCTTAACGTCAAGAATTCCACAAGAAGACGCCAACTTTCGCAGTTCGATGCCTCAAAAGAGTGGTGTTCGTATGTATTAGTCCCAGCCTCGTATAGCCAGCCTCAGCGCCACGATACCAGCTGCGACCACGATGCCAGTTATCGTGAGGTCACGGGATCCGCACCCGTCCCGGTCCTCTGGTTGGCTGGTTCCTGGATGGTGACGTAAGTCGGCAATCTTGATGCAAGCTGGTCGGGAAAATATATTTGTCCGCTTTAAGACCCTTCATCCGCAGCCGCTGGACACTAAGCCTAATCGGGAGACTTCGATATCGCACGCGCCCCTTGAAGGTGGAATCTGGAATTCCCTTCGTCAAACTCGCCAATGGCTTGAGGCAGTGCCCGTATTCGTTCACGCATAGGCTTGCCTTGGAGGGACTATTAAAACACACGGAATTGTCGCAGGAAATCTGTGCTGGACGGTTCTTTGATTTCTCATTGACACACGTGTCACAATGGCTCCCAAATCTAAACAAGCTGCCTCGAAGCAGCCTCATGGCTACGAATTCGGAGGACCGTAAGTTGCAATCTCACAGCAGAGCAAGAGGGATTGCTTGAACTGACACGATCCTACTAGACTTGGCACCTTTGGAATTTCTTTCGGCTTACCCGTTCTCGTGTACCTCTTCACCTTCTCCTGCAACGACGTCTCAGGCTGTCCCGCGCCTTCGTTCTTGAGTCCCAAGACCCTATCTCTGGACCAATTGAAGCTCGAGGTTGGCTGGCCTGAGGATGGCATATGGGGTCTAGCTAGCTGGAAGGCTTCAGGAGCTCTTGCGGCGTATTACTTCCTCAACCTAATCTTATACGCGATTCTCCCCGCTGCCGAGGTCGAGGGTACGGTTCTGCGATCTGGTGGGCGCCTCAAATACAGGTTCAACAGTATGTGACATGATGCCGTATTAAAAAAAAAAAAAAAAAAAAAAAAAGGGATAGAGAGACAGTTGTGCTAACTTCAGCCAAAGCATTGTACTCGAACATGGCCACTCTATTTGCGCTCGCTGCGGGAACAATCGCCCAGGGTGCTGAATTCCCTGTCTGGACCTTCATCAGCGAAAACTACGTCCAGCTCCTCACGGCGAGCATCCTCCTCTCCTACGCCATCGCCATGTTCGTCTACGTTCGAAGCTTCAGCGTCAAGACCGGCAACAAGGACAACCGCGAACTGGCCGCAGGTGGCCACACTGGGAATATGCTGTACGACTGGTTCATCGGTCGTGAGCTGAACCCACGAATCACAATTCCCCTTATTGGAGAGGTCGACTTGAAGGAATGGTGTGAGCTTCGACCGGGCATGATGGGATGGATCATCTTGAACTGCTCTTGGTGCGCTCAGCAATACCGCAACTATGGCTATGTCACAGACAGCGTTGTCTGCATCACAGTCGTGCAGGCTCTTTACATTATCGACTCGTGGGTTAACGAGGCAGCCATCCTGACCACCATGGATATTACCACTGATGGATTCGGCGTGATGCTGTCGTTTGGTGACCTCGTTTGGGTCCCGTTCGTGTACTCCCTTCAGACTCGCTACCTGTCCGTGTACCCTCGCTCGCTGGGCCCCGTTGGCCTTGCCATCACCGGCTCGCTCATCGGCCTCGGTTACTACATCTTCCGATCTGCCAATAGCCAAAAGAACACCTTCCGCACCAATCCGAGTGATCCTAGCGTCGCTCACCTCAAGTACATTGAAACCAAGACTGGGAGCAAGCTCCTCACCACAGGCTGGTGGGGAATCGCACGTCACATCAATTACTTTGGCGACTGGATTCAGGCCTGGCCATATTGCTTGCCAACTGGCATCGCTGGATATCAGATCCTTTCTGCTGGTTCCTCCTCAGTCGAAGGGGCTTTTGTCATGGCTGATGGTCGACAAGTAATCCAAGGTGAAGCCAGAGGTTGGGGCATGCTCATCACCTACTTCTATATCGTGTACTTTGGAGTCCTCCTCATCCACCGAGACGGCAGAGACGATAAAAAGTGTTATCGCAAGTATGGCGAGGATTGGGTCAAGTACAAGAAGATTGTACGATGGAGGATTATTCCTGGCATTTACTAATGCCATTCTGTGTGGCCAGCTAAGTGTCTACCTTAGGTAAAGGGGCGTCCGCTTGTCTTCCTTTGTCGAGAGAAACACCGAATCAGCAGAAAGATCATAGTCTGGATGGAGATGCGAGTTGGGCGTGGTTTCTATGCCCAGGGTTTGGAATGAAAGGACTGCCAATAGTGTTATGGAATTTGCAGCCACCTATGGAAGCCATTCGACGCTTCTTGTCAAAATATTAGAAAGAACTTAGTAATAGTCTATATGTAATGATAATCCACATACCATGTAACTGCAGCTGGCCGATAGCCTTGTTCTCTGCAGGCGAGCTAGGAATGCTGTCGTGGAATTAGCTCTGCCGTCCGGTGAAAAGAGTGGATTTAATCTGCAGCTTTGAGCCGTAAAGTGGGATAAAAAAACCCTGTGGACGGTCTTGAAGCTGATAACCCAAAGTTGGACTGGATAACCAGTCCAAGCGTGCACAAAGCACAAGTGCGTATTGGATCGACGAGACGGGCCGAACTGGTCCCAAGGCTGAGGATTACCGGCGCAGATGACCAGCTGATTCTCTAAGCAAGGCATCACCAAGCCTTATCCTCTGCTTCTTATCACCTAATAGAATACTGGAGAAGTAACCAAGGTGTTGAGGGTAGGAAATGGATAGCTGGGCCGCAATTAAAACGCAAATAGGCTTAAATTTTAAGAATATTAACTGATCTGGAATAATTAAGTCTATACATAGTCGTTGGACTATACTACCTTGGGTCTTTAAGTATAAACTAGAGGCATTCATAAATTAGACCGCATGTACTTTAATAACGCTAGTAAGGCATTTATTTTGTCATTACCTAGTTTACGATCGGTAATGTATTGCATTGTTTACAGGGGTTGTGTGGGGATAGTAAAAAAAAAACTGCCTTTACCGCTCCAAAGACATACAACTCACAGCCTGATACCATCCTTGGTGCCTTGGCAAGTGGAGTGAGAAAAATAGAGACTGCAAAATGAAAATAAACATATACATTGAGAATATGAGCACTATTAGACCAGTTAAATAATGGATACTAGTGTCGTTGCGGTGCGCGAAGTTGAGAATTGTATGCGATTGTTTGTAAATTTTCTATATTCTTCGCCCCCATTGCTCGGCTATTTTAGGTTTAGGTAATTATATTCCTATTTCGAACTCTGGAACTTTTGTCTTTGGATGTACATATCCATTGTCCAGCAGGCGGTGGCTCAGCCACTCTTCCTGAAGGAAGCGGTGGAGAGTTACAGCACTACATGCAATGCCTGCCTAGCGCTGTAAATCCGCGTTTATAATAAAAGACTTTTGCTAATTAACCCGGAATACATGTCTGTTATCCTGCTCATTAAGCAATTGTAGGCGCCCGCGGCGTGGGAGACTTTAGCTGGTTTTCTGAATGCAGTATTAAAACAAGTCCACGAATAGATTCGGATAGAACGTTCTCCCGAACACTGATTTCCTTGGGCGACAGGCCTAATGCGTATGCTATAACAATCCTATCTCTCTTATAAGGGGAATTTTATATTCCTGTTTAGGGCCTCTGGCGGCCATAAGGTAGAGAAATTGTATTTATGTGACAATGAGTGGTTTTTGTTTTTGCGAGCTGCAATACACTCGCGGTAACTTTTGGGACCCCACTGTGTAGGACAGACTACTGCAGGACCAAGGATCGCATTATTATTCCCGTTGGTTCCACTTTTAGTGGCAAACTTTAAGGCTTTGCCTTAAAGCTGAGCCTAAACCTTTTAAAGGATCCTAAACGCGGCACACGCAGCTTATTTTAGTATATTTTTCAAATAATGGGAACTTAATTACTTTCCACGGCACTTTTTATTAGGGCTTTTCAAGCTGTAAACAAGGCTTATAATATTGAATGGCTCGAATACAAATAAGATAAATAGATTGATTAGAGTTATTTATTGCTAATGAATTATTTTTATAGAATATATATATATATGGTATTTCAAGGATTTTGGGCCAGCTTTAAGGCTTCGCCTCAAAGTTAGTTTTACTGGAAGTCTCACCAACAGACAACACATCAAATCAAAACCCCCTGGACATGTCACGATATTTAGCCCAGAAGGATCGGAACTATGGAGTTAGGGCAATCAAACCTAGTAAACGCCCTTAGTCTCAATCCTTCAGGAGTGTGTCGATTGCTCGGGAAGCAGCTAACAACTAGCCACACGATGTGTAGCCATGATCGAGCTCATTGTATAATCGGTTTCCCTATTTTTGGCCCCTCTCCAGTGAGGACAACGAGAGCGAGATGGCCGGTCGACAAAGTATAAAGTCCAGAGCATTTCTCACCTTTCTCCCGTGAGAGAATTCAGCACCGCTCACACCGGCCCAACCCTCTCCCCCACTAGTCATCTACATTGTCAATTACCCTCTCTCCTCTCATCAGACGAGTCCTCCATTTCACCATGGCCATCCTCAAGCATGTCCTCATCGCCGTGGCCGCCACCGCGGTCAGCGTCCTTGCTGGCCCGCTGTCCACCGAAGGCACCGCAACGGCTATCGTCGATGCTCCTCAGTCTGCTGTGACCGAGGTTTCAAAGCCGCTTGAAGGAAAGGAGCTCGAGGACTTCTTGGCCAATGGGCCACACATCCCCGAGGGCTCCATTGACATCACCAACACAACACTTGCCACCGAGTTGATGAAGTTCCGCGAGGCTCATATCAATGAGACCTCCTTGACCAAGAGGAGCGGCGCCTGCCATCAGGGCAAATGCCCCGATTTCAATGCCGCCTTCGACCTTTTCGAGCAGCACTGGGTGGTACCCGTCTGGGGCTCGGCTGCCAATTACTGGACGTACGCTGGTCGCTGGAATGACTGTGGCCAGTGCGGAGAGGTGCCGACCAGCAAAGGTGGATGCTTCGACTTCACTTCGTGCGGCCGCAAGCAGAACATCTGTATCGACTACGGAAAGGCTAGGGCCCATCGCATCTGGAAGGACAATGGCCACAAGACATGCTACAAGATCGACCGGGCCTTTATAGGTGGCTGTGGCGTCCTCGCAGCCGCCACTATCGACCACCCGGTCGGGGAGGTCGCATGCACTTGGTAGTCGAGCAATGTCCAAATTGCAACAACGATGGACTTTTTCTTGGTGAGGAACGGTAATTAACCGATGAGGATGAGCAGGAGGAGGATACATCCACGGGAGCAACAACAACTGCCGGGGCTAGTTTCGTCGTTCAACTGTGAGGGGTGTCGGCTCTAGGGAGACTACTACGTTGATGAGATGCTGCTGCTGGAAACTTGGATCGCAGGGGTTATCGCTATCTGGAATTAGTTCTTCTCTGCTGTTTAGCAGGTGGTATTCGTTTCTACCGGCATAACTTTCTCACCCTTCTCCTGTCCCTGAAAGAGATCTGATGGTTTTGGCTGGTAGTGATATGTGCTATACAGACAGTCAGGTTGAAGACATACGAGTCCATGGGGTTAAAAGAGGATCAGTCGTTGCTACCGGCTTAGACAGAAACACGTATTCTTCCCGGTGCGCCAGTTCAGCTGTTCTGGGCCATTGTTGACACTATATAAACAAGCCATCTAGCTTCGGTTGGTACAACGAAGACTGAGGAATAATAGACAAACACTTTTAAAATACTATTTTCTAAATTATACAAAAGATGTAGAAATCCTGATTATGCAGTTATAGTCCTGGGACTCTGTGATAGAGTATTTATACTGTAACAGTTCAATATAAGGTTCATCTTTCTGCCATATATCGGTACGGATCCCTTCTATGGCAATGGATTCTCAGCCTCCAAGTTAGGTAAAATATAGCATAATCTTTTTCTACAAACTCGGTATATGCCCTTTTTGACAACAAAAATTTACACCATAGAAACTCAATTACATTTTTCTAATGCCTCTAGTTCAGCCTCACGGCCAGTCCCTCCCGTGTTCCTGGTAGGGTCTGCGGCACTTGGGCTCGGGAATGCATGATTGTACATAGTTTCGATTGGCCGGATTGGGGAGTCCAGCTCAACTTCCATCGCGTCTAAGTCTATTTTGGCTGGCTCGCCGTGGGGGGCTCGAAGGTCTATCGAGATTCGCGCTTGTGGGACGCGCGGCAGTGGACAGAACGACCCCCTGCCCCTCCACGCGACAGCACCCAGGCTTTGCGCCAGTTAGGCATGGTGTTTTCCGGGGTAACGCGGTGCGGCAAATTCGCTTCTGGTGTCGATGTTGACTTTGGGTCCCTGGTTGGGGGCGAACGTAGACCAATTTCCAGAGGGGCCTGAATGCGGAGTCGAGAATACGGAAGCACACCGAAGGTTGAGATTATAATGACTTGGCCAAACAGCGAGGTAGCATCTGACCTAGAGTGGCTGTACTGCAATATAATTTGGCATAATATGGATAGAGTTTTTGAACCGTGTCAACGTAATGGGACAAGCCAGGCTGAGTACTCTGATCTTGTTCAAGTTCTGCTGCCTTCAAAATTTCATCGCAAAATCTTGCTAGCAAATACTCTGGTTGACTTAGAAGACTGCAGTGCTGTTATTTTCGGCCATAACTTAAAGTTAAAATGGTATTGGGAGGATGTAGGAGATCCAAGGGAGGGAGATCTCCCATGGCCGTCCAAACATGGGGTCAAGCCTATTCCCATCCACCTCGCAGAGTCGTCGAGATTTCACAAGCTCAAACTACCGACAATTTGACTTCTGAGGATTACCTGGTAGGAATAGTATGTGCGTTACCGAAAACACCTCTAAGAGAAGTTCGTTTATGATCTTGGCGCCAGGGGGGTCTGACCATACGAGAGTAGTCTTAAGAGTAGTAGTGTGATTAGCATCAACCTGTATTGTATCGGAGGTCCACTTCTTGGCCGCATTGCTGAGTCCTTGCTTCTTAAAACCTGTCCCAACTTTGCCGCGCACAATCCTGAGCGAATTGGCCATATTGACTCGGCCAAGTCCGGAGTCTTGCTCTATACGAATTTCGGTTTGGGAGGCGTTAAAACGTCGGCGTCCGGGTCCGTGCCGTACCTTGTGCTTTTTCTAGCGCCCATTGTGGTGCTGTGATCCACTGGCCCCCTACCATGATGCCCTGCAGCGACGCATATTACCATTTCCTGGTAGTGGTAGACAACCCAAGAAGCAGCCGCACTATTCTATCATATCCTTTCGCCGCTGCATAGTGTAATGGTGTAGATTTAAATTCATCCTCAGCATTTGGATCAGCTCCATATATGAGGATCAGTTCCGCTATATCAAGACTCTTCCCCCTAGCTGCAAAGTGCAAAGGCGTTGATCTGTAATGGCCTTGTACATTTGGGTCGGCCCCATCCTCTACGATATTGCGAATCACGTTGATATTTCTAATAACGGCGACGGCGGCAAGTACGTCCATTTCCAAGTCTCGAAATAGTTACAGATGCTGTCTATCAAAGGGATAACAATTAGCCTTTTTGATATTGTACGAGTTAGGGATCGCGGAAGTAGTTGAAATTGCGTAACTTTTTGTCACGGATGTGCGAAGGTGGTGATTTCTCTCTTGACTATACGGGACGTAGAATGGAGTGACGCACCGGGAGGTATATTCGGACGGCTTGCCCACCTTGCGATCCCAAAAGCCACAATTTCCTGTTTTGACAGCATTGAAAGTCTTGAAAGTCTGCTATGCGCCTCTCGGCAATGGCATTCCGAAGTCACCATTATTTTCAGCCTAATGTCCTGGCTTCAAACTCTGCGACACCTAAACCCACTAGCCACCTGACTACAGTTGCAGTGGGACGCCCTCATTGGGCTTCACGACGGACCCTTTTCGACATGACCTTTCAGTAAACGTTACCATAAACTTTGCCATACTCAGCCGTTCTCCTATCCAGCACACCATCGCCAGGCTCCTCCCTTTTGAACGCTTCTGTGGGGTATGGAGGGAGGCACGTCGGTAGTTCCAAATGGTTATGGTAGATTTAAACTAATATAGTTAACTTTATTTAAAAGTAGTTATTTTTACCTTAATAAATATATTACTACCTACTTCAAATTAATATTCGGCCTCCCATTTCGGTCAAGCGATACTTTAAAAAATCTTTCTTTATACCCTTGATCCTTAACATACTGTTCAAAAGTTTTCTCTAATTCATTCGCACGGTATTCGCCAGCAATCGACGACAGGCTACCGCCATACACAACCTCTGCCATACCGAGAAGGCCCTTGGGCTCTTCCCTAAGAATAGAGGTTTTTGTAAAGGAGTATAACACAACGAAGAGCGTCCAAGCAGTCAGAACGGACAGTATAGCTTCCATCAATCCCGCTGTGCTTTTCGTAACGAAAAGGCGGTTGCTAAACGTATAGATCTGGCCCAGAACAGGATTACTGGGATGTTGCAATGGCTGCAAGAGGTAGATCGACCCAGTTACAGAGAAGATAGATTTGTACACATCCTGGGTAGCGCGTATTAATGCGTTGGTGTCCAGACGATTGGAGAAGCCGACCAGATGTTCCGAGTAAGCGAGGATTAGCAGACCCAGGTTATCAGAGGCATAGGTCCCCGTCGGATCGAATTGGTCTATCTGATGGATCATGAATTCTAGACTGCCCCAGAAGCTCGGAAGCCAGATTTGGGGTTTCGCGCTTGGTTTAAATGATATGATGGATGGTGTCGTCTCGTTTGTCGCAGTTGTGCTGACCAAAAGAGTTCCAGGAGTTTTATAGTAGTTCATTGTGCATGAAATAAAACTAATATCCGTTAATCCTTGTGTCTCGGATGAGGAAGAGTTTGTTAAAAGAGCTGACACAAAGACATGGCGACGAAGGCCTGCGGTGCTTTTGCAGTTGCCAATGTAGCCGGTCTTCATGTATACGGTGGCGCCCGCGGCGACGGGTACGTGGACGTTGATTGGGCATCCGCGGTCCGTTGTGTTGAAGATATAGACGTTCTCATTAGTGATAACCTTATTATATGTAGTCATTTGCTGGCAATCTAGACTCGCAGAGTAGGCTGTGAGCTCTATACTGCTATTCCCGGAGCTTGGGAATCCGCCATCCGTAATCGGTACAAACGTGGGGAAGGCATACTCCTCGGTTGTCCAGGGGGGGAAACTTGCATTGTAGACACGAGCTGCTGAGACAATATTGAAAACGGTCTGATAGTTGGTCTTGGAGTCAACGGCAGTCTCGTTAAAAAATGCCGTGATCGACATATTTGCCGCCGTGGCCTGTGAGACAGCCGCCACCTTGAAAAGATTACTCGTTAGGGAAGGGAGGAAGAGACCAAGCATCGAAACCAGAATTGTGAATCCAAGCACGATGTGCTTATTTTTGAATGCATAGATCCACGATACAAACGAGAAATAACTCCGGTAATCCAACAGAACGGTTTTTTTGCCGGGTGATCCTTCCGTCTCTGCCATTTCAATAAAGGGCTGTCTGATAGCAAACTCAGCGAATATGGATGTCCAACACAGATTATAAAGCGTGATAACAAAGGTGGGCAAGGAAGTCCATAAGTAGGATTCAGTCCAATGGGAGCGTTTGAAAAAGTTACTCGAGACAGAGTTGGGGTTAGGAATCTGGACGGTCACGAATCCATTGTTGTTTTGAGAGAGAGAGAGGAGGACTCCGATCGTCACCATCAACCCGACTTCGAGGGCTGTAAGTAGTAAAATTACTGAAGGAATTAGTTTCCATGATAGCCAGCCTTTGTCACGATTTTTGGGAGGGAATAGAAAATGCCAAATGGCTTGAGATCCCTTCTTGTGGTTGAACATGTTGACTGTTTACAATAATAAAGTAGATGGAAAGGAGATGAGAATTGAGAGAATCCCTCTTCATTGGCTTTTAACTAAATTATCGCTCTGGTGGCCGAGGAAATAATTAATTGAAAGCTAACAAACCCCATGCCATACTCTTCTGTAGAATCGGCGAGCTACCAAGGGCTTTTGGCTTGGAGCATTATACTACTACTCTATGGAGTTCTATTTATCACAATTAGGATAAACTCTTGTGGTATTTACTTTACTAGTGCAATCAATAGTTGAATTTCTTATTCCTAAGAGAAATTCGCAATAGGGCTACTTACTAAACGTAATCAAGGCTCAAGAGGCAGTGATAGCAATCAGCCTTAGCTAGCTGTAAATCGTAGACAAGCTAAGCTGCTGTCGTGGCTGTGGGATGTTGTTTCTCTATATTCCATTTGTGGGCTCAAGGGGCAGTGATTTAGCAGTGGTAAGGTCAAATCTGCCTTGGCAACTAGAGAGCTCTTAGCAGACGATAGTTCTTGCTTAGCAGTATTTTTACCTTGTAAAGCATCGTGCCACATTCCTAGGATCCACGACTAGCACACCTGACGTTGACAATTGCCGTACTGATGTTACAAGGTGTGCAGTACATCAGTAGTTCGAGGATATGCTTCTAGCCTTGCAAAGTACATGCTAAATACTAGGCAAGTATCTTATCGAAAATATAAAAGCTCTTGCTATTTGTGCTCCTCCAATCGACGAAAATGGAATGAAGAGACGTAAAGCGGCTAGATTCCTGGCCCAGTTGATGCCATTTGCTCCATAGATCACAAGATTGTAGCGAATTGAGCAACTACCTTTGATACAATTATCGTGTGGCTTAAATGAGGATGGCGTAAGCCTTTTTTTTTTAGTCTTGCCTAATTGACCTCCTTACCGTCGCCGCTCAGTTGAGGCTGAAGGCAGTGAAATGTGGTGTACACTGTGGCTTGTTGGATAGTGTAACTTACTGGACTGTCTAAAACAATATGAATCAGCCCCGCGGAGTTGACACGAATCTGGGGCTGTAAGTGTCAAGTCAAAAATGGAATAGGGAACAATCTATAAACACTACATAACACTGCACTATCTAGCCACTTTGAATAAATATTGGCCATCGGACAAGTGAAAATTCTCACTGCAATTAAAGTAAAGCATAATATAGCAGTGATCATGTTACTTCTCTTCATATCTCCTGCGACTCTCGTCGCTGTAGCTTTTGTTCTCTCGTTATTAACGCCTGTCATAGCTCAAACTACTACTCTTCCTCCTGCCTCAGAATGCTTTGAGTCTGTGACGTTTTCTGGCTGCGATACTCTATCTTCAAAGATCAACGAATGCAGCAACCTTCCATCGTCATCCACCTCTTCAGATTATGCAGCTTGTTTCTGCACCCAGGAAGTGTTCAATGCCATCACTGAGTGAGTAGAACATATCCCCTCTTGTGAGACTCAAAGAGATAATTTCTCACTCATTTCGTTACGACTCTATAGTTGCGAAAGTGAAACTCGCATGTGTGCACGAAGCCCCAACAACGACCACTATTACGATGACATTCGAACGCAATGGCTCAATGTCTGTGGCTCTAAGATTAATTTTCCTCTCACCACCCCTGTTCTCTCGAACTATGCCTACGGTACATTTAGCGATCTTAGCTGCGTTAGTACCGCAGATTCTGCATGTCAGAGTGTGCAATATTTAGCTAGCCAATGCTCTTCTTCCTTTCAGGGTACAACGGCATCTGGATATTATTCGTGTGCCTGTCAGGATGAGGCAGTATCCCAAGCATCGCTTTGTGAGATCTTTGGTGCGTCGTGTCTAGGACACAGTGTCGTTACCTCAACGCTCTTTATTTACCAACATTGTGGATTTGGGCGCCCTACATTGGCTCCAACGACTATAAGCCCAACAGATTCACAGTCAACGCAGGTAAGTAGCAACCTCTTCATCACGCATTTTAGTATTAAATAGCTAATGAGGTATTAAGACAATTATAACAACGTCTGGAGCAGCATTCTCTTCTGCTTCTGTCACTATCACCTCATCTCCTCCACCAATAATTGCTTCAACCTTGATAACACCAACAACTACAGCAATTATTTCAACAACAACAACAACTTCTTTATCTATTTCATCAACTTCTACTTCCAAAGGAGCTGCTATTAGTAAACAAAATATTTATAAACTATTAAGTTTAGGAATCTTTCTTTATACAATCCTTACATTAACTTCTTCCGGTTAGTATATATAGTTTTCATAAGCGTTTATTGTTATGAGCAGCATTAAGTACGTACATACTTTACATTAGAACACGAGTATGTAAGTAGCACAGTATCCAACTAAATTTTAATTACTAAAAAAAAATTAGTTTTACTGTAGTTTTAGTTTTTGGTAATTTGGAACCCTGGGAACTACCCTATATTTATAGGAACCGAGACCTCACACTAGCATACACACTGCGGTGGATAGCCAGAAGGTGGGATTGGAAATGAGTGTTAAATAAATGAATGGCTATGGTTATTACGATATACGACATTGAAACTTATGTAGATCACCATAATACATATATAATGTGTAGAAATAATTCTATCGATCATTTTTCCGAAGCTAAACTTAGACCTTGCACCTATGAAGGAGAAATAACATTCGCCTAAATTGTAGATGGAATAAAGATTCCTGTGTGTTCTCAACAGAGTCACGACTTAAGTCGGAACATCTGAGAGTAGAACGGGCCCGGCCATTGGGTTTAACAATTAATTTCTGCAACACGGTATCTGTATTTGGGAAGGATGTGTGTTCCTTCTCGTCATATAGCTTACGGCGGTGCGCATACTGTCTGATGGAATCAACGAGTGTTTAGTGATTCCTCCAGGACACCCCAATCACTACGTAGTGGGCCGTATTAGGCGACATAATATAACATGACAAACTTTTAAAGCTGAGACTGAGCATAATCCAACACATGATACATGTTCAGAGTGCCTTGGTAGTAGAATCACAGGATCAAGTGATATACAAGTGCATATTGGACAGACGAGACGGGCCGAACTGTTCCCACAGCTGAGGATTCTCGGCGCCGATGACCGACTGATCCTTAAGCACGGTATCGCCAAGCCTCCTCCTTAGGTTGCCTATTTCCAGTTAACCTATACGGGTAAGGGACAGCATCTTTTTAGGGTTATTTCCCGGACCCAGCGACGCGGGGGCCTGCAGACGGTGTTGTGGGTGGAATGTGTCGAGAAGCGTTCAGCTCAGAAGTTTCCGTATGTCATCAGTAATCCAAACATAGATCGCGGGTGTATGGAGCACTCAATATTCGTAGCAGTACTACCTAGTACTGCTCGTACGGCCATCTGAACCTTGAGGGTGATGATATGTTGGAGAAGCTCTCCGCTTCGCACGTGTTGACCGTTGATCAGTGCGACGATGCTACGATGCAGCGTGCTGAATGAGGCTATCTCAGATCTACCACCTGTAGGTGCACATGTACATTGTACATAGTTGGAGAAGCTCTAAAAAAGGGAGGGATTCGCTGGCGCTGGGTAAACGAACATCCCGCTTCTTGGAGATGTTCTAAAGCGAGTCGTGGTAGCGAAGAAGATTGGTGGAAAAGTTGCTAGAAACCTATTCGGGATGGATCCAGAGCAAATGACGAGACTCCCCGATGGTCTTTTTGCTCTCAGTCAAACGGCCCGAACAGATTGGCGCTAAACAAGGAGGGAGGCCCCGGACGGTTAATCTTCGGGACATGTTGCGGGGAAGTGCAGGAGCGGAGCCGCTGCCCTTGATCGGCACTCGATTTTTCTTTTTTTACGGACGGACTGGTGCGTATTAGGCATAAACAAGTTTCTTGTTTTGGAGACGCAGAATCGGGGTGGGATGGCATGACTTGAATCCTCCAAAGCACACAGCAAGCGTTGCATCACAGATATGCTTTAGACGTGAGTGTGAGAAGTGCAAAGACGTGTGGTTTTCGTATTGCGAATAGCACGGCACACAGCATGAAACATCATGGCCATGTGCCACTCTTGCCAGGATGGCAGTCCATGAATATCGGAGGCTTCCCGCAAAGCTTGACTAACAGCCAGGCCGGGACTTGGTGCCTGAGTGGCGCTCGGGAGAGACAGCAAAGCCGGAGGCCGGGGTGGTGCCAGTGGCGAGATGGGGGGAACATGGAGATGCTCTCCACGATGATGACGCTCCGCAGCGGGTCCATGCAAAAATACCACCCTAGCATGTTCATCAGCGGCTCAGCGGCCTTGGTAGACTGATCTGGCATGTTGGAGTAACGGACAATAGCTTGGCAGAGCGTCTGCGCCCGTAGCATCTGATGGCTTTGTTATCCTGCTGTCGAGAGCATTATACCTTGGCTTGATCCGAGTCTCTTAATGTTGCCTCGCCATGGTTGCTTGTTACTGTTACCTCGCCCTCTGCATTGAGTCTGGTATTATAACATGCTTACATATAAGCGTGGTTGTTTAGTGACCATGCCGGCATTGCCTGAATGGGCAGATAGACTTATGCAAACATTTCTCCTTGAGCGTGCCGTGCTATTCCCGAGTAGATGCACTTACATGCTAGCTTAGAGCCACTATATCCAATTCAAAAGTGCCAGAGCCCATATAAATGACAACGTGCTGGCCGGCTCGCTTGGACGGCTGTCACCCGCTGAGCCGGAAAATAGCCGAACTTATTGGGTCACCACGCCGATGGTGGTGCGCAGGACCAATACCACCTCTCAAGAAGCAATGAAACAATCCATCGTAGATCGGAAATGATCAAGACCTGCTGCTGGATGGGCCTGGAGGGCGTCGATGGAGAAGGAAAAGCTCAAAAGTTCTCGTGACCGTGGACCCAGGCGGTTGACGCCCCGCAGACGGCGGATATGTTCTCCGTACTAGACGCCGTGCCCGCGATGCTATTTCGCCATTTCGCCGTTTAGCATCAGTCGCGATGTCAAGACGAGCTTGGGGATGAGGCTGGGCAGAGCATCGAAAGACTCATCGGCCCTTCTCTATAGCTCTTCTCCCACTGCTTGGCTATGCAAGACGAGGCCCAACACTGCTAGCTTGCATTTGGCGTACGTCCAACTGCTCTGCATTGCGACTTCGGGGATCCCAAAGAACTTCACCCAGTGCCTGGCCGATGCAACCCTCTTGCACAGTCAAATCGCGAAACGGTCCCGGCGTTCTCGGGTCGCCACCCCGGCGGTGCTTCATGGCATGGTATTCCTTGTACATATGTATTAGCAGTGCGTTCAGCCAAGGGCATGCAGGCAGATCCATTTCCAAGCAGCGTACTCTCGCCGTTCTCCAAGTACGCGAGAATAGGCAGCTCCAGTCGTCACTTGTCTATCACCACTCTGGCTAGCTTTGGGTGCACGACAGACGGTTGTGCGAAGTCGAGGCTGAAATGAAGGCTGCCGTGATATGAAAGAGAGAGACATTGAATCAGAAGAGCCACTGCTATTGGCCCTGGTTGCGGCACCTTATTTCACTGTGCTCGTACAGGTGGTACCTTGAGATCATAGGTACACATTTCTTTTAGACGCTGATCAGCACATACAACTACATGAAGGGACTATTCTTTATCCGGGGGCTGTCAAAATTGCATGCCCATGCGTCTAACAAACCCGTTGGTTCTCCGGCTAGGCGGCATTCCAGGCGCTGGATGCCGCTGTGGTTTGCGCAACGCACGGTAGCAGCAGGTACATGTTAGAACAAGAACCTGCAGCGCTACAACGGTCCAAACAATGTAGAGTTCCCCGTACCTGGAGCTAAAAAAGGTACATACGCGGAAGGCGCTTTTCCCCTTTTCTACTGGAGGCGAGCCCGCTTCTAGTGCAGTATATGGAAAAAATAAAGAAATTACTATACGCAGTTGCTATAATCCGTCTTCCGATAGCTGCCATTTCTCTGGCGTAGTGTCTCGTCCTCTATACTGTAACCGCATCTTCATTCTGTCATATTTCTCCATCTGTGCCGTTCAGCGTGACGTCGCGATCGACAGAAGAGATGACGCTGCCAGGCGTAGTTCTCGTATACCTACTTACTACCTTGACCACCTCCTGTAGTACCTAATACGTACGCAAACTGCCAAGCATTGGGCTCCTATTCTCGTGCATGCTTCGTGCTGTACGTGTGGCGCGACTGCAGGTTAATCTCGAGGGCGCGTCCCATGTTGCACGGCGTCGAATGCCTTTGCCATTCCGGCGAGTGAAATACACCGGTGGCCGCCATGATTCTCACCTGTGCTCTGCGTTGAGCTCGTCCGGAGCCCCCTGCCCGTGCCGTGCCATCACAAGCCTTGGTGCAGTGGGGCTTGTGCTGGCAACGAGAGATTGCCTGCTCAGCTTCTCCAGGCCCCCGGACCAGGCCCCAAGGCGCCCCAGCAGCCCGCGTGCAGGGGTCAAAGGCGGAGAGAGACACCAAGGCCGAGCGTGGACGTTAGCTGCAGCGCCGTCGTGAGCAGCGTGGAGGCATGGCGGGAAATCGAGAGACTGCCCGGCTGAGAGACACCGAGGCCAGCGCAGGGAGAGGGGCGAGGTGGGCATCAAATTTCTTGCAAGGCTCTCGATGCGACTCTGGCCCGGCGTATATATGTTGGACGTGCGCCCTCGCCATGGACGGTGTTTCCGGTTCTTCAAGCGAGAATCTCATCGCCAGCCGCCGATCCTGAGTCCCTTTGGTCGCGGCCACTCGAATCCATCATGAAGACCTTGTCAGTTTTTGCCGCCGCCCTGCTGACGGCAGTGTCCGAGGCCGCTGTCAATGTACGTTGCGTTCCTTCCACAGCACTGACTTCATGCCAATTGCCTTGAGACATTGGACTCCCCTTTTTACTTCAATGCCTTATGGATGGCTGCTTCTATGGATCTTGCGTGGGATGCCTCATTGGCAATCCATTGGCACGAAAACACCTGCAAAAACGCGCCAAGTCGCGAGATCCTGATTCACCACCCTGCCTGCCCTATTTTCCCGCCGATTGCATTGTTATGGTGCTTTGATACGCCTGCCAAGCCTCTTCCCTATTCACCTCCCCTTTGATCATGCAAAAAGAAGCAGCGCAGGCAGGCACGAAGAAGCCTTGCTGAGCATATTTGGCAAGATGGCCTCGCCTAGTGCTGCTTCCTGCGCGTTTGCTGCGGCTTGTATATCTTTCGACTCGCGAAATGCTTTTTTTTGCATCTCTTTTTCTTTCCCACGCATCTTCACGGCCTTAGCTACCACGTTCTTCAGCCATGAAGACACCATTTGTTTTGGCCGCCACTGCGGCGATCGTTTTGGATCTTGTTGCAGCTGCTAACGATTCCGACTCACAGCCTCGCATTGCTGAGACGACCGCCTCCCATCCTTCGGGCCAGGCGTACTCGCCCCCTTTCTATCCCTCACCATGGATGGACCCCAATGCTCCGGGCTGGGAGCAAGCCTATGCCCAAGCTAAGCACTTTGTGTCAGGCTTGACTCTTCTCGAGAAGGTCAACCTCACCACCGGCGTTGGGTAAGTTCTTGAGCTGACTTTTGTTGTTGTACCGTTTTGCCAATCGAGCAGCTGCTGATATTTGATTTAGTTGGATGGGTGAGAAATGTGTTGGAAACGTTGGTACCGTGCCTCGCTTGGGCATGCGCAGCCTTTGCATGCAAGACGGCCCCCTTGGTCTGCGATTCAACGACTACAACAGCGCTTTTGATGTCGGCTTGACAGCCGCCGCTAGCTGGAGCAGAGCTCTCTGGCAAGCTCGTGGTACTGCCTTGGGTGCAGAGGCAAAAGGCAAGGGTGTCGATGTCCTTCTCGGACCGGTAGCAGGCCCTCTTGGCCGCAACCCCAATGGCGGTCGTAATGTCGAGGGTTTCGGACCGGACCCCGTTCTAGCTGGACAGGCTCTCGCTCAAACTGTGATTGGTATCCAAAATGCTGGTACCATTGCCTGCGCTAAGCATTTCCTCCTGAACGAGCAAGAGCATTTCCGTCAGGTCGGAGAAGCAAACGGCTACGGATTCCCCATCACCGAGGCCTTGTCGTCCAACATCGATGACAAGACTATTCACGAGATGTACGGCTGGCCTTTCCAGGATGCTGTCAAGGCTGGTGTTGGTTCCATCATGTGCTCGTACAACCAAGTCAACAACTCGTACGCCTGCCAGAACTCCAAGCTTATCAACGGCTTGCTCAAGGAGGAGTACGGTTTCCAGGGTTTCGTCATGAGTGACTGGCAGGCTCAACACACTGGTGCTGCGTCTGCCGTTGCTGGTCTTGACATGACCATGCCTGGTGACACTCTCTTCAACACTGGAGCCTCTTACTTTGGAAGCAACCTTACCCTTGCTGTCCTCAACGGCACTGTCCCTGAGTGGCGCGTGGACGACATGGTTATGCGTATCATGGCTGCCTTCTTCAAGGTTGGCAAGACCATTGACAGCCTTGTCGAGACCAACTTTGATTCTTGGACAACCCAGGACTACGGCTTTGTCCAGGCTGCTGTCAACGAGAACTGGGAGCAAGTCAACTTCCAGGTGGATGTCCGCGCCGACCACGCTAACCACATCCGCGAGTCTGCTGCCAAGGGAACCGTTATCCTCAAGAACACTGGCATCCTCCCCCTCAAAAAGCCCAAGTTCCTTACTGTCATTGGTGAGGATGCCGGCGGCAACCCTGCTGGCCCCAACGGCTGTGGTGACCGCGGCTGTGATGATGGCACTCTCGCCATGGAGTGGGGATCTGGTACTACCAACTTCCCCTACCTCGTCACTCCCGACCAGGCGCTTTCGGCCCAGGCTCTTCAGGACGGCACCCGCTATGAGAGCATCTTGTCCAACTACGACATTTCTCAGACCCAGGCTCTGGCTGGCCAGCCCGATGCCATTGCCATTGTCTTTGCCAACTCTGACAGTGGTGAGGGTTACATTCACGTTGATGGCAATGAGGGTGACCGTAACAACCTGACTGTGTGGAAGAACGGCGACAATCTCATCAAGTCTGTTGCTGCCGTCAACTCAAAGACCATTGTTGTCATTCACTCTACTGGCCCCGTCATTGTGAAGGACTATGCTGCTCACCCCAACATTTCGGCCATCCTGTGGGCTGGTGCTCCTGGCCAGGAATCTGGACACTCTCTCGTCGATATCCTGTACGGCAAGCAGAGCCCCGGCCGTTCCCCCTTTACCTGGGGCCCTTCTATTGAGAGCTATGGTACCGAGGTCATGATGACGCCCAACAACGGCAACGGTGCTCCCCAGGATGATTTCACCGAGGGCCTCTTTATCGACTACCGCCACTTTGACAAGGTTGCCCCTGGCAAGTCTGCCAATGCTCCCACATACGAGTTCGGCTTCGGTCTGGGTTGGTCTACCTTCAAGTTCTCCGGTCTCAACGTCCAGAAGAACAATGTCGGTCCCCTGACCCCCCCTAGTGGCAAGACCATTGCCGCTCCCATTCTGGGCACTTTTAGCAAGAACCTCAAGGACTATGGCTTCCCCAAGAACATCCGCCGCATCAAGGAGTTTATCTACCCATACCTCAACAGCGTCACTTCTGGCAAGGAGGCTTCTGGAGACGCCCACTACGGCCAGACTGCCAAGGAGTTCCTCCCTGCTGGAGCCACTGACGGTTCTCCTCAGCCTCGCTCCGCTGCCTCTGGTGAGCCTGGTGGCAACCGCCAGCTGTATGATGTCGTCTACACCGTTACCGCCGTCATCACCAACACGGGCAAGGTCATGGACGATGTTATTCCCCAGCTGTACATTAGCCACGGTGGCCCCAACGACCCTCCCAAGGTGCTGCGTGGTTTCGACCGTATCGAGCGCGTGGCTCCTGGCCAGAGTGTCATCTTCAAGGCGGACATTACTCGCCGCGACATCTCCAACTGGGATTCTACCAAGCAGCAGTGGGTGGTGACCAACTACCCCAAGACTGTCTATGTCGGCAGCTCTTCTCGCAACCTGCCCCTCAGCGCTCGCCTGCGCTAAGCAGCGGCGGAGGACAAAGTTATGATAATGTGTTTAATTGTATAAATAGTAATTAGTGTTAAAATCAGCTTTAATGACAAGACATGATGACATTGAATTGTTCCTCTTGATGTGCATGTCTATGAATGCAAATGTCATGGAGTTGCTGGCCGCCAAGAATGAATTTTAGCTATCTGCCATGTCCTGCATCCACATGTTTTGTTTCGCCCGCCTGTCACCGGGAGCTGCTTTTATGCGAACCCATGCAGGCAAGCTAGGTACAGAATGCAACCACAGTAGCATCCCATCTACATATCTATACGCAATCCAAAGCTGGAGTCCATCTTGCTTGACGTGGAGCATGATGGAACGAATTCATGCACCATCGCCTGCTCTTGAACGAAAGGTCTCTAGCGCGATCGAGAAACAGCGAGACTGGAGGGGAAGAAGGCAAGACGCCCGCCGATTTGGAAAACGACAGCAGACAATGAATGCTCAGATCAGCTGCAGCGCCGATTCGACGAATGGCGTTTCACCGCTGCGGCATCTTGGCGTGACAGTGGGCAGCTGCTCGATAGTCTGGGCGCTTAAAACGGCAGATGTGGTCCGAGGCGAGGCAAAAGGTGTTGTTTGATTGGCCGGCGCGAGCTTTGACTTGCCCCATGGCGGTGATGATGTCGAGTGGATCACCCCGGCCTGATGCTAATATTGGACATCCAGTGAGTGCTTGGGAGAGTCAGAGTCAGAGTCGTAATTGGGACGCTTGCTGGGAACAGAGGAGGAAAAAAAAATTAAAGAAAAGAATAAGCATCTGCTGATTCTCTCCTCTTTTTTTCCCCTTCTTCTCTTTTCCCATCTGCATCGTGCAAGCGAGAAACAGCAAGAAACGAGATTTCAGCGAATCCATTGTTTCATTTTCCGCTAGAGGCAGCCCCCCTCTGCAGGTATTTTTGCCAGCGGCTCCGCGATTTTGAGACACGAAACGTGTGACGAGCGTCCCACCTGCGACAAGCTCTCTTTGTTCGAGAGTTTCTCCTTTGTTCGGCTGGGAGCGCTGCCGACGGGGGGAGGGAGGGAGGCTTGAAATTTTTACAGCTGCTATTACTTACTGTGCTGTTTGATTAGGAGGGAGATTGTCAACCTAAGCAGCCCCGTATGTATGTATGAAGACTTGTCATAGTAGGTCTGCTGCTATTTTACCCCCATGTATAGGAGAGCTGAGGCTAACTGTTCGACGTTTGATTAGCCTAGCCTAGGGTCTTGCTTGAGTCTTACCTTTTTCTTCAGCGCAGCGCAGCGTTTTCTTGACTTTCTTCTTTCTTCTTTTTCTTCTTTATTCATTTCTTCTTTGGTGTTTTTTTGGGTCGTGTGTGTGTGAGACTTTGCTACACTCTCTTTTTTAATCGCTTATACTCGCTGGCGGGTGGTTTTCTATCTTTTAATCAGGTCTTCTACCGTTTTTTTTTTTTTTTGAATTATATCGCTAGCGATATTTTTCATTGGGTTTCCCATTTTCCCGTCCCTTTTCGCGACAACATTCAACGCTCATCACGACGACATCTCGAGAGTTTCATTGAGTCTCAGCTGCCAAGACAAAAGCACACCACCACTTATACATCCTCAACCGAAAATAAATAATCCGTATCTCTCCCCCTTTTTAAACTACATCAAACATGGGCAACAACCTCTCTTCCACTTTTGAGCCAGACCTGTCCAAGGTCGTCCTCAGCCCGACGGACCGCCGCGCCGACATGATCCTCGGCGTCACCTGGCTCATTGTAATCTACCTCATGGTGATGATCTGGACGACTTGCGCGCTGGTCGACCGGTGGAAGGGCCCGCAGGATAGGATACGCGTTGGAGGGGGCAGAGTGTTTATGGCGCTGGTCATGTCGGCGGCGTGGCCGGCCGTGGTGGTTTACTTGGCAATGGCGAGTGGGTGATGATGATGGTGTCTTCTTTTTGACAACGACACACGGATGACAGGAAATGGGAAACTGAATCTGATTTTGGATGCAAGACTTACTGCGAGGAAAGGGGCAAAAATGAGGTGGGCATTGTGTACGTTTTTAGTGGTGGCGATGGGATATCCAAGGGGGGGTGAAGGTGAGGAAGGCTGAAGCAGGTGGTTACAGGTTTGATACCGTGCCACGAGCTGGCAGTCGTTTCTTTATGTCTGTTTACTAAGAATAAAAAAAAAATAATATCGTGGTATATTGCAAAATGCCGCACAACTCTTACACTCTCTACTTGTCTCTAATAGTCGTACATGGTGAAAACAAACACCTCAGGGGACTCAAGATTCATCATCTATCCCACCAGCGTGTTTCGACGGCTCCTGTCAGAGCGCATGTCCTTTCGCCCAACAATGCTCTCCAGCGTCTGCGCCAACGCCTTGGCATCATATCTCCCTCCCTTGCCCTTCCCGTCCTTGGGCCCATACAGCCTCATCGTGTCGATCCCCAGCTGCGCAAACACCCGCTTGTCCACCGCCGGGCTCGTGGGGCCCTCAATGTAAATGACGTGCGTCACGTACTGCGCATACTCGTCAGCGCTCGGCCGGGGCAGGCCTCTCGAATCGGCGCAGGCGTTTGCAATGGTGGCCACAAAGTCGTAGCCGGAGAAGGGGTCGCCAGAGGGGCCGGTTTCACGATCCGTGGTGCCGTTGAGGACCAAGATCTTGTTTCGGATGTGCGGGCTGGCGATGGCCTCGCCCACGCCCTTGAGGATCAGGTTGGGGATGAGCGAGGTGAAGAGCGAGCCGATGCTGTAGATGACGGTGTTTGCGCTGCGGATGGCCTCGAGCACGCGCGGGTTTGCCGGGATGCGGATCTCCTGGCCGTAGGGGTTGATGTACCAGATGCGGGCGATGCGCGACGGCAGGTCTTCCTCGTCCTCCTTGGAGAAGGTGATGGCGGGCCGGCGCAGCGCGGGCAGGCTGCCGGGGAGATTTGCGTCCTCAATGGTGTCGTGCTCGTCCAGGTCGTGGTTCGTCGAGAGCGCCGGCGTGATGATCCCCGTGCCCGTGCTGGGACCCGGCAGCGGCACCGCGGCCGTTGGCGCGCTGGGATGCGAAATGTCGTTCTGGCCCGTGATGACGGTGCCGTCGGTCAGGCCCGCGGCAATGTGATGCGCAAAGTTGGTGTTGAGCGCCGGCAGGACGGCCACCCTGTCGGGCACCGCGCAGATGGAGCTCAGCAGGTAAATCGCGGCCTCGAAGCTGCCCGTGAAGAGCCGCGCGCCGGTGAGGAACAGGTTGCCGATGCTGGAGCCGGAAAAGTCGAAGCGGCTGCTGGGCCGCATGCGCTTGACGACTTCCAGGTTGAAGCTGTTGAAGAATGAGCGGATGAGCTCTCGCTTGGGCGACGAGATGTCTTCCCACAGCGGGTGCGTGCCCTCGACGATCTCGAACCACTCGGCGCGGGCGGTTGCGTAGACGATGGGCAGGCGATGGTTGAAGAGATGCTTGATGGCGGTGGTTTCGGGCTTGCCGTCGTTGGGGATGAGCCGGACCAGTCGCGAGCGGACATCTCCAATGCCTGTTTGTCGACAGTTAGATGCGAAGAAACAAACAGATGAAAATAACGGTCAAATGTGAATAGGGGTGAATATGGGTGATTCAAAATGTAAATAGCAAAAGCAAACACATACCCGGACCCCCAAACACGCGGATTATCTCGCTCGTGCTGCCGCCATTGTCCGAGATGGGAATCACGTAACTCAGCGTCGCCGCGTTGGCCGCCGCCCGCACCCCTTCAAAGACGTCGACGAGGCTGTTGGTGGCGCTGCCGCCCGAGAAGACGACGATGCCCGTCTTGGCCTGCGGACTCGGGCCGGGACTCGAGGCGAGCCTGGCCAGAGGGGGCCGCGATGCCGGAGCCGGGAGGGGGAGCAGCTGGAGCGCATCTTGCGAGCTGCTTAGTTGCTGGGCCATGGGTAAAAGGGGTTGATTTTCTTTCTTTTTTGTTTCCTCTGGGAGAGCCAGGCAGCTTTTGCTGTTTAGTATGCAGTTTGATAAGCTGCAGTCAGATGTTGTAGCAGTAGTTGGCTATGAGTTGTGATTTGTCTTTTGTGTCTAGAGCTAGAAGTAAAAAGTGAGCTGGTGCTTGTAGCATTCCTCCTCACTCTCTGCTGCAATCTGACTTGTGTGTCTAAGCTCATCCAGCACTCTTTCTCTTTCTCTCTCGTTCCAGTCAGCCAGCTTCTTCTTCTTCTTCTTCTTCTTCTTTAAATGCTACCGTCTACACATGGACAAGTGTCCTGTTGAAGCATTGCGCTCGATGATGCCTCATACGTGTCATTTACGGGCAAAGCTTGGAAGCAACAGAGATTGCGTCTTAGAAGGAGGCTGATGCGGCGAGTTTTAATTAGTATGGGGTTGCACAGCCGCCAACTTGCCAGTACTATACGCGGATCTCGTGTTGGCAAAGAGATCTTGCCTCGAGACAGAGATGCCCCTTTAGTTGCATATTGTTTTTTGGCTGTATCTCTTTTTTTTCCCTTGGTAAAAACCGTTTTCAGGTGAATATTGAAAGCCTTCAGCGCTGTTAACATGAATAGAATGAAAGCTTAAATTTACAGCCAGAGGAATGAAGCTAATCGTCAACCTTTTAGATTTAACTTTACTTTGGTTTCAAAACCATTTCCACCCGGCGCCGTTTTAGACGCCGTCGCTGATTTTTTCTACGCCCTTCAGTTCTTCTCGCTCCCCGGGCGAGTAATTCATACAGCTGTGCATTATTAACCAGCTCTTACAAATCTGCCGGCACCAAACTAACTTGGATGCCCCACCTATCAACTATCTTCTCTGAAGCTTGGAACATGGGGCGAGACTCTACAAACTTGGCGACTCATCCTATTGGCAGATGGTATTGTTACAGTATTGTCTATATTGAGCCTAGGCGATCCTCGAAACTGGCCTCATGACATTAGCAGCGCAACTATTTTTCGAACAACTGCAGAAAAGAGCAAAAACTGACCTGCCGTAGAATTGAAACTACGCGAGTGCGACTCTGATCTAATTCCATTTGCCCTTTCACAGAGTACTTGTATCTTGAAGGAGGGCCTTCAAGCCATTTCCATTCTAAGAGGCAATTCCTCAGTATGGTGAGGCCACGCCCGGGTTAAGAGACTACTTCTGGATGTCTGGCCATGCGTTCTAGAGGCGCAACTTACAAATCTAGCGGCGATTCATTAGAAATGAGATTATTCTTTTTCCTCCGGTGTAGATAATGGAAGTGGGAACTGCGATATCTGATAGGAGACACACGATGTTGATACAAGTATATATGTATATATATGAGACTACAGCTTCCATGGACTACGTGTTTACCAAGTACCCATTCTCTCATCTAAACTAGGAAGCTTGGAATAAAAGAATCAGAGTCTCCAAGACAATCACAATGGCTTCCGAGCATATTCCAAAAACTGTCAAGCAATGGAACGTTGGAAAGTTTGGTGGCTTCGATGGGCTCATGTTCTCCGAGCAGCCCCTGCCCGAATTAAGCGACAACGAGGTTCTAGTTAAGCGTATGTGAAGAACCTCTTTAGAATCTGTCGCCATGTCTATAATAGCAGGAGAGAGAAGAGAAAGTGAAAGACATCAAAGGGAGCTCTATGCTAATGTTTATTGTTTTAATAGTTGAGGCAGCATCTCTCAATGTTAGTCAGCACACAACGTCATCCCTCTCACCTGCTAATTTACATTATATAGCATCGTGATCTCACCATTGATAGAGGAGAATATCTCCATGGAAAGAGAGAAGGCGTCGTCCCCGGATCCGATGGCACAGACACCGTCGTAGCCATAGGCAAGCGAGTCTCTCGATTCCAGCCTGGCGACAAAGTCGTCACCATGTTCAACCAGGGACACATTGGTGGCGACCTGAATCCCCAAACCCACAAAACCGGCACCGGAGGAATGCTCGATGGTGTTCTGAGAACTTATGGTGCCTTCAACGAACATGCCTTGTCCGTGCGCCGTCAGCATGGACAGCTCGGGAGTCTTCCACTCTGTCTTGCGCTGCGCTGACGGCCTGGAACGCCTTTTACGGATCTTACGACTATGTCGTCAAGGCTGGCTAATGGGTCCTTGTCCAGGGCACTGGCGGCGTGAGCATCTTTGCTCTGCAGTTTGCCAAAGCCGCCGGCGCAAGAGTCATTGCCACGACCAGATCCCCCAGCAAAGTCGAGACGCTGAAGAAACTCGGCGCCGACCACGTCATCAGCTACAAGGAGGACCGCAAATGGGGCGAGACGGCGAGGAAGCTCACCGGCGGCCGTAGCGTCGACATCATCGTGCAGGTTGCTGGCGTCAACGAGATGGAGCAGAGGCCGGTGATTGACGAGAGGGTGTTTAAGCTGGAGGAGCTTAAGAAGGCGTATGAGTATCAGTGGACGGGCAAGCACTTTTCCAAGGTGGTGGTTGAGATTAACTAAACAGCACAGCCTCAAAGTAGAATAGATAATGACAAGTTAAGAATCCGGTTTGGTCTCTCAAGGCGGCCTGTCCAACGTCAAAAACGCCTTTTTGTTGAGGATGAACCGTTGCGCATTGTCGGGATGATAGTCGAACAGGCCATGTAGGCAAGCGTTCCAGACCCATTGTGTTGGGACCAAGACATGCTGTGCTGTCGAGCTATTCGAATAGGCTCTGGTTACGCAGCAGCTGGCTGGGTGGATGGGGTGAGTAGAAACTTGGATAGATGTGGCCGCCCAGACGATGGCCATCTCTACCCGCTGCCTGTGGTCTGCGGCAAGTCCGAGTGTATGCATAACCTATATGTGCTATTTTTGATATAGCATACTCGAGCAAGAAGACAGTCCAGCTTATACATTCATCAGAGTTGTTTCTCTCCTTTGTACCATAAAGAATAGTACAACTGAATATCATGAACAGAGTTATCCCTGATTTCTACTATAACATTGTTTGCCTCCTAGCTTTCTTCTTGCACTAATCCAAGTCATCTGACTATTCACCAATGTGCGGCAGTGCATGAGTGCATAAAGGGAACACGACAGAGTCTAGTCTGCATGATTTTCTCACAAGAGGCATTTACGCCGCCCAGAAGAGGGATACACCGAAAAGAGGCAGAAGCAACTGTGTGTCATCATGACTAAATTAGAGCATTGAACCAGTCTCGGAGGTTGAGAAGCGTCAGTCACTGTATGTTGCCGCCTGTGGCTGCAGGATGACGGGTGTGATGATATCAAGAGCTTGCCTCGCTGGCGCCGTTATTATTTCATTAACTAATTACCAATTGATGGATATGCCCATCGGTATATGTATGTATGTGTGCGTATGATAGTAAAAGGACCGTGTCATAAAAGAATCGTTGCCTTCCTTGTCCATTTATTCCCAGAATGCCGTGCCCCCCCCCAAAAAAACAAGTAATCATCCCATTAGTTCGTAATGCGTCCGTGTTAATATGCCTGTTTGTTCCGTGCCGTGCCCACAATGCGTCCAGTTTAATCCTCATGAAAAGTAAAAGAAAAATCCACCTTTGCGTAGTAAATGAATGAAAATGATGAAAAAAAATGCCGGTAAAGTTGCGGTGTGGAAAAGGACCCTCTTTACTCCTTGTAGTCGCAGTTCATGCTCCAAGCCTGGAACCCGGCTTTGTTGTTGGAGCATTGTTTAGGGGCGAGGATCGTCTTGCCCTCAGTGCACTTGGCATCCGTATAAGCCGTCACTACATGAATCATGAATCAGTAAACATTTCCATAAAATCCCATTCGAGATGCGAGAGGTGGGGATGTGAAGAACAAGAAGCAAAGAATGAAAGAGACCGAGGGGATCTTACAAGTGCAGCCTTTGTTGATATCCGTCAGGCTAAGAGACAGAGGCACGTCGCCATCCTCGCTATCATTCAAGCTCTTGCATTCGCCATTCGTGAAATCTTCATCAATGACAGTCCAGACACCGAGATTGCCGTCGTAGCAACCCTCGGCGCTGTAAAGACGGAAATCTGCGACATGGATGTTGCGGGGGATAAAGAGGGCGTTGGAGCCAGCAATAAGAGCGGCAGCGGCAGCGACGACTGAGAAGAAATGCATCTTGACGCAGTTGTAGATGAGGTAATGAGAAAGAGGAGTAGAGAGTAGTGAGAATGAAGATGAGGGGTTGTCTGTTAGCGGTAGACTAATAGGTCATGTAGTATAGCCGAATAGTTGTTGTTTTTGCTGTTGAGCAGATTGGCGCTCGAAAGGATGCTTCTCGGCCGGACTCTTTATACCTGTCGAGACTCCGCCAGAGGCTCATCTAGATTTCGATCCGGACAGGCCCAGGCGAAGCCGATCTTTGACGAAAACAAACGATAGGGATACGAAATGCACCACAGCATCCGAAGATAGTGCAGTGGAGCTGCGCAGCTGCAGTGTTCCTCCCGGATACGATGTCTCTTCCCTCTGGCCCTCGAGCTATGCTTCTACGCCGAGAGGCTGCGACTCCACGCACTGTACGCAAGGGAGGCCCTTTACCGCATCACCCCATCCCAAGTCAAAGACGGGAGAATCAATCATACGACAAGGGACACGAATCATTCAAAAAGTGGGAGTCACAGTGCGCGCGCACACAAACCGTCCCTCGCGTGACCGCAAAACCCACAAAGTCCTGCTGAGCTCAACTCCTCTTTCAGAACTGACAGATAGAGTTCGAGTCCAGCCAAGCACCGCCGATCACTGATCTCATGCTAGGCCCAAAAATAACGAGGCTGGGCCAAGCGAGCGTCTCTGGCTGCTCCACCATTGTCATGTCCCGCAGTCAATCCCGCTGCAGCTTTGCTTCCGGACGCCTCGGTGGCGAGTAGCTCAACTGGAGCGCCGTTCTGTGCTCCGGGCTGTCAAGGCCCGTGGTTCTACATGGCGCTGGTTTGTTCTGTTTCCTTCAATGCTGTTTGGCTCTCTCCGCGGAGGCGTCGTCATGGGCGGAGTTTGAGCTCAAGGCGCTGGAGCCTGACATCATCGCCGCCTTGCCGGGTCATCGCCATTCAGTACTAGTGTGCTACTATGTATAGAGAATCCTTTGGGGGACTGAGACATGACTTGTTTGTCGTGATCCTTGCACCCGCGATGTAAGGGGAGGCCAGTGCATTGGGGACTCAACACCATCTGCACGAACACGGGGTTGGATACGAAAGCACGCCCGCAGGCAAATCCTCATTATCTAAAGGAAGAAAAAAAAAAGAGAAACAAAGAAACAAAATCATCGTATTCATTCCAACATCCGCCTCCAACTCGGCATTCCCGTGCTTCTGCGCCACTGTTGTGCTGTGTAACCAACGGCAGCACAGCCGTCCGTGATAAACAACTGCCGGCTCATATCATACACGGGCTGGGTACGAAATAAACAGCGCCCCGTATACCGGAGTAAAAATGTTCTCAAGAAAAGAAAGAAGAATTAGGCAAAAAGTTCCACTGCCAAGAAGAAAAGTTGTGGAAACCTGCATAATATCCACGAGAGCCAAGGCCGCGGGTGCAACTGAGAATTTTCGGATCGGACATTAATGCATCGACGTTTTATTCACGTGGTCTTACACCTCGGTGTGAGGAATAAACAATAGCTGCGGACATGGCATCAGAGGATACGCAGATGCAGCATATCCAATGGACGATCATCTGCTTCGTAACGTGAGCTGACATCTAAATATAGGTGGTAGGTATTTCTGTTTCGTACATAATCGGTCTACTTTTTATATCCACGTCATGACATGCTCCAGTGTGGAACTCTTATTACGTGTTCGAGAAACCGAATAGGAGACATAACGGCAGCAAGGAGTGGAGGAGAATCTCGAGACACACACCGATACTAGCATCGCAGGGTCCAATTATACATGCATCCCTTACATCAGCAGCTGGCAAATGACATAATTTTCACTTTAGGTAAGCATAAAGGGATGTACACATCCTTTAATGACTTTGAACAATCCGAAACTGAATAGCTGCATTCTTTCGCTCTATTATACGCAGCGGATAATATCTCGCACATGTCCTTCACCGCATGATAAGTATTGGACTATCAGTGAGCCGTAGGCTGAGTTTAGATCCAATAGTAGGGATATAGGCCGCAGTTTAATATATTTGTCGCCCCTTGCATCTTGAGCTTGCGGTTTAGAAGAGGTTGAGAAAGATGATTGGCTAGGAGTGGAAAATGAAGCGTAAAGCAAGGGAGCTATCAAATCGGCGGGATAGTAGTTGCAAAACAAACTGATGCTATGCGAGCAAGAGGAAAATATACGAATTTATGAAATAAAATTTACACGAAGCTGCTACTACAGTCATTTTATATTTAGCAATGGCTGCTTCCTCTTTCTCACTTGTTTGTATAGTTTGTAAGGGACCAACGAGTATGACCTATATAATAGGACCATGTAACTTGCGCGGGGTGCTGTACGAAGACGAAGCAATGCATACAAGACAGATAAAAATATGAGCTTGAGTCAATAGAAAAAAAAATATGGATGATAAATCAGTAACGCTTATAGAAACTTCTTAATTATAAATTAGCCCATACACTGATTGCTGTATTCCGCTCTGCAAAGTCGTGCCATATCTATGGTATTGACATGTTAATATCCACATCTTTAGGTGTAAGCCCCAGGAGCGAACTCACTAGACATGAAATACGTGCGTGATACACATCTAAGCTGGGGAATTAATAATACAAGTATTCGTGTACGCGTACTATCACGAATAGGCGTCTCTTTGGGTGACCCTCAAGCCCCGTTAGCTTGATCTGGCGACCGACATACGAGTATGCCTTGCCATTAAGTTGGCTTATAGCAGTGACAACGCTTGTTATTGCCTCGTGGAGAACGTATTGCTTTTATTGTGATTGCATTGGTGAATATGTCTGTTCTGCCGCCTATTAATGTCCTGTTTGAAGCAACTGAACGAGTCGCGCAGCGGCCGAAGCCGCGTTAAATCCTGAGTTAGAACCTGATTCGCAGCATCGTGCAGCACTTGACTTGTATTCTGAGCACGTAGACATATTCTTGGGTCTGGCTGGTAACTTTACAATAACAGGCCACGCACTTGTGGATCTTGAGCGCCTTACTAAATTATAAATTCCATGCCCTCTAGAGGTAGCCGGTGGCATATGATGAGTATATATTGGGAACTGAAGACTGTGATATCCATAACTTGGAGGATGAAATGCCATGCCAGTCTTACTATTGTCAATGTCCTTTACCTGATTAAACCCTCTGTTTTGAAAAGCCCAGCCTCTTATCTCCATTCATGTATAGCCACAACAGAGACTGAAAAGTAGACTCACTTTATTCCGTAGCCAGCTTCCTCATGGCTCAGCAGCTCGAGAACATTGATGAGATCATTTCCATAAAAACCAAAACAGGACAGTACACCGGATCGGCAGATACGGTCATATCTGCCGCTCCATGGTTCATCCCTCTCGGATATCATCCCCATGGAAAAGGCATAATGAGATATAGCGACGACAGCGTCTGTGAGGGGCTAGTAGGAACACGGCAATTACTCAGGAATAGGAAGATATACTTCAAAAGACGAGAGAGCATATTGAATCGTGGGTTAACAGTATCAACCAGGCCAAGATAGGATGAAGACATTGGATGGGATGCTCTATGAGGGAAAATGGGTTAACAATAAGAAGTCTCGTCGCTTCAAAGTCACTAGCTTGGCAACGGGCAGGGGGAAGTATAATTACTGAGCTACACAGGGCGGTGATTTGTTTATATGGGATTCTCATGCATCTACCAAGGTGTTATCTGGTGAAATAATTGTCTGTTTTCTGGAAGTCATACACAATGTCGTTGAGAACACTTCGTTAAAAGGCACTGGTAAGAAGTCCGTGATCAAACAATGGAACCTGTTAAAAATCGAGTGCCTTTAGATTTCGCCGAGATTTAAGGAGGTTTTGCTGGGGAAGGGGTTGGGGCGGAAAGGTTCCAATTGGGACGCTGGAACCACCAGGGATCAGCGACAAGTTATAGGTGAGCATCACGAATACGAAGACCAGCTTCGTTCTGAGGACTTGGACCAAACGAGCATTCAAACTGCCTCTTGCAGCTCCATTTAACATTGCCAACTCATTAGGATTGACAGTGTTCAATATGCATGGATCGCTCTAGATTCACAAGAATTTCTGGAGCCACGGTATCTTGCTGTCTCTTCAAGATGAGAATAATAGGACATATCCCCTGGGTGCGACTACAGAAATATCAAGTTCCACGCCCATTGCAGCTACAAAGGACGGAACGAAGCCTCGACTGCTCGCATTTCTGGAAATTGAGATTACCCGAGGCGAATCGACGAATTCACCGACATGAACGTTGACTTTGGCATTGAAGCAAACATATACCGCTATCCAGAACGACAAGGAAAGCCGAGAAGGTAGTTTTCTCGCATCCACGCATACCCCTTGGGAGCAGCTTTAGTATAAATCGGCCTCTGGCGCATCATCTCTCAGCTTTTCTATACACAGATCAATGAGATGTGGTGGTAGACGGCAGAGACGAAGCTGCTCAAGGTAAAGGATGAAACTGCTAGGCTGACGAGTTTGGCGAAGAAGGGAGCTGCCAAAGGAGATGGGCGAGAGATATGCCCCTTCGAGTTTGGCTTGTCTGACGGGGGAAGTTCCATAAAGATAGTGATGTGGACTTTTGTCGTTGGATATGGAGAAAGTTGTTGATGTTACGACACAGGGAGTCGGGTTGTAGCATGCTGGCAATATACGAAAACATAAATGATGGATGTAAACAGATGAATATGATAAGACATAGACAAGGCTACAGCCTCAGAAAGAGTGAGATGAATTTCTCCGAGATCCACTCCTTGGTAGACGCATAGCCCGCATGATGTACTCATACATGACACATACTTTGCAGAGAAACAGAGCTAATAGAAGTTCGTATCCTAATCTACCTCTCTGCATGAGACACGCATCGGGGATGGTAGTGCTGGTTCGCGTACTGCCTCACATATTGCTCTCGTTGTTGATATGTATGTACCTACTCGTAAATATGCAGACTTACTCTATATGATTTTCTCCAAGACTGCACTAAGACTACGATATCAGCTACTGTGTGTCTAAGCTCATTTGCTAAAGCAGTACAACATCTCTAATCGGTTAGATGTACCTGTGCTCAAGTCAACTGTACTAATCATGTATGGGTATGACTCGTGGACAGCATCTTCATCAGCCACACAGAGGGCAGAGTCTTAAAGTGCTGGGATCTCAGTCGACCTAGGCCAAACATCCGGCATTTCAGTAGACCTCGGTAAAATCTTCGGAATCGCAGCTGATTTAGGTGAATCAGCCAGTTTAATCGCCTACATCGCAAGCAGCGGAGCCGTCGAATCATCCGCTACAGTAAGCAGCAACAAACAAGATCAACAATCATGCGGTTAACAAATACAGCCAGTAATTCACTTATCAATCTTTTACCACTGCTCGCAACAGCTCAAGACAAACAAGCAGACTTCCTCCCCATAACATAGGACGAAACGACCGCAGACTGCGGAGGCCAAGCCGCATCAGCCAGTCCTTCTTTAACGAAAAGCTCAGCTACGTGCTCAAGCTTGTCGACGTTCTTTTCTTCTGCTATGCCGTTGGGTTCGGCACCAATATGGACGAATCGGAAGCCGGGCTCCGGGTCCAGCGGAGCGGTGGAGCCTGGTAGGATCTCAGGAGCGAGATCGAGTTGCTTAAGGCAGACCTGACGTCTTTGATATATAAGATCTCGAGACTGATTTCTCGCCTATAAGCTACGTGGATTTCTACGAACAGACTGGACAGAACAGACTGGACAGCAGGCAGATGTACTCGAGGTCTACGATGCTGCCGTACCTAATACGGAAATGGTTCTGGGCGATAGCCACCCGGTGTACTTGCATCTAAGCCAACTTCGGGAGCTGCTCCTCCTCCGAAAAGGGGGACTAGAATGAAGTCCACCATCGCCGGATTCTTCCCCAGACCCCGTATTACATTAGTACCTAGCATACTACTATTGTGTGGAGGGATACTGGGTCTGGACTGGAAGGGTCTCGAAGAATGCGACTATACCGGATATTCCGCCTGTACTAGCACCGCTCGCTTATGTTGGGAGCACAACAGACATGCAAGAGCCAGATACGAACACGAAGTCTGTATGTATAGTAAGAGCCTCATAGTGCTAGTTGTCCCGATGATTGCCATAAACCTCGAGAATTAACGGCTTGGGCCAAAAGTTGGACGGTGCGACCCATCCCGTGATGAGGGTGTCTATCGCCATCCAATACTATCCGTCGTACATGACTTCGGTTCGAGATAAGGGGGGGATTGGGTGAATCATAGCTTAGCGCAGCAAAGCCTAAACTGACTTCCTTGCGCCCTGAAGTAACGGACGTTTCGGAGACTTTTTGTTCCCATATAGACCTTGTTCTTGCCAACTGGCTAGCCGATTTGAAATCGAGAATGGTCCATCCGTCATGTCGCCATCATGTGCATAAGTGACAAATCGTGGCGATGATGTTGCAGTGCATGCCGTCCCTTGGGATTGCTCAATAGGAGATGCCATCGTCGCCCATGGTGTGTAACACAAGACGCAAGAAGGTACAAGCACAAAGCATAAAGTAGCGCATACGTGATGGTTGAAGCGTACTGGTTATATGCATCCCTATTAGGGTACGGAGTTCCGTAAAGAGAGCACACTCGTTCGACGTCCTAATTCCCTCTTCATTTGACATACTTGCAAACGCTGATGCTGATCTGATGTCGATGTCGATGTCGATGTTCAAGACACAAGCAACGCCAAAAGAACCCAGTCAGGTCAGATCCCTGTTGTGCTATGGCATTTTATCAAGGGCGTATTTGTAGCAGCAGCAGCAGCAGCAGCGAAACATCGCGCGCGAAAGGATCAGCACCGACAGCAGTGATAACAGACTCCTGAAAATTTAAACATGGCCAATGGGTCGTTTTTCACTCTTTCTGCTGCTGCAATTAGCCAGCGACAAAAGTTTCGGGGCGCTATTTTGAGCTTGTGCAGCCACCCAACGGAATGGCGGCGAGGGATCGAAACGCCTTCGCGGGTGACGATTGCGCCATCCCGGCGGTGCCAGCGGCCAGCCGAAGCGTGTCTGAGTCGAGTCGAAGAAGCGACGTGGAACTATCAAGGGGCTAGGCTTAGGTGGTCGTTGGGAAGAAAAAAATCGCTAACCAGAGATCGACAATCGAAAACAAAAGGCTCGACCCCATGGGCAGCAGGAGGACAGGTCGGCAGGGCTCCAGTTTAATAAATTAATCTCAAGTCGAGTGAGAAAACGAAGCCACACTGGTAGAGCCAAGTCTCTGTAGTGCTCGTGCTAGTCGCAACAGCAGCACACCCTTATTTCGGGTATGCGGTGGATGGGTCGAAACTAGAGGGTGTCGAGCAACTTTCTCCGACTAGGAGGTAACTGTGGAAGACCATCTCGGCCCTGCATCGAAGGACCTCTGCTTGAGGAAGCTGGCGCAGCGGGATGACAGGAAATAGAGTTGCAGTCGCCCAGATTGAGCCAGCGCCAGGGTCGAGCCGTCTGGATGCTACTAGGAGCAGCATAATGGTGTAGTAAGGCGTAGTAAGGCATGACGAGGTCGTATATAAGGAATGGATGGCTGACCGAGCGCTGGGATATCCGTCGCTGCAGCGAACGATGCCGCCGTCACACCCATCAGCTGAGGTCAGAGGATCCAGCCAAGGATTCGTATCAGCTACTATGTACTATCAAGCATCCCTGGCCTGATTGTGCTGCTCAGCGGCTGTCGGAGATTCTGCGCGGTGCCTATCGAGGATCGTCGCGGCTCCTGGAGCTGCTAGTCGGGACTCGGAGCCGCGCTGTTGTGCTCCATGGCGTCGATGGCGAGATTCAGTTTCGGCTCCGGCCAGGTGTTCGCAGTCACTAGCACTCCGTAGAAGTTGTGCAAATGGCTTATGTCAGGCCCGCTAGTGAGCACGTGGACAGCACGCAAGGAGGCGAAAATGAGCGAAAACAAGGCTAAACTTGGGAATTTGTTAAGATTTTTCTCCTCGACAATTTTTCTCTTCGCCTGCCTCTTTTTCTTTGGGGCTGCTGGAGACTTTTATGACTAAAGAGATCCTCCGCTACCTGTCCTAGCGGCAAACCTCACCTCTGGGCCTGTCACCACCATCGGGTCGTCGGGGTGGGGCTCTTGAGCGCTCCCTGGCCCTTCGCAGCGTCCGCCAGCGCTCTCATAGGCTCCCCGTAGTGCTTCCAGAGGCCCTCTGTAGGGCTCTCTTCCTAGCGCCCCATCCGTTAAGCTTTAGCGAGCCACGCACGCTGCTCGATAACGCCATTTCGGCCCCATAGCACCCAAGCACTGCTACAGCTAGCGGGCATTTGCAGCCACGGCTCTCCGTCTAGCGCCTGCTGACTTTGCTGCGATCATTTTTCAGCGTCCCATCTATATTGTCAATCGATCTTCGCCGCTTCTGCCAACCATCGTCCCCTGCCTGGATCCTCCTCCATCCCCTCCGGTGCCGAGTACCCTATCAAACCATTCTCTCTCTGTCCAGCTGCAGCGTTGTGTCGTGTGAGGGACAGGAACTGCTGCATATACCTGCCTCGATCCGTCGACCTCGCCAGATCGCCGCTTATTCGCCCGTCCAGATACCACCTCTGGCTTATTTCACCATCTTCACCACCAGCGGCGCCACCAGCTAGAGCTTCTATTCGTTATCCGCGACCCTCAACCCGACTCGACAACGGCCGTCCTGCGTCTTCGGTCGTGTTCGTATCGTCTCCAAGCCCACGGACCCTTTCTCTCAGCGCCGTGAGCAGACGGGGGCCCTTCTGCCAGGACGCAGCAGCACGCCTTGGGGTGGTGTCTCAAACATACCAAGCCCGGAGCACGCAATCGCCTTTGCCTGGCAGCGCATGAGCCGCCTGGCCGCTCGCAATCCCAATTAACCTTTGCGTCGTGCGATAAGGCCTCTCACCGCATATTAGAACCATGGAGTCCCTGTCAACTGCCGCCGGCCACGAGCCGAACTCTCTCTCCTCCACTCTATCTCGATCCCATTATGAGTCTCCTTCGGCGGCCAATGCAGCTGCCGCTGCTTCTCTGACATCAACAGCGCCTTCAGCGTCGCCCTCGCCCGCCCTCTCGACCTCCACAGTGACAACACTCCCCTCAACGTCCATCTCCTTCTCTGAATCTGTGCCCGCCTCCAACCCTGCTTCCACAGCTGCCTACCAGTCCTCTTCCCATCCGCCATCGAGAGACAACTGCGAGCGGCGCCGCGAGGGCGAAGAAGAAACCCCCTCCAAAGGACTGATCAAAATGCCCTTCGATCTCGCCGGCAAGACCCTCAGTCCCTTCCTCAAAGAACACATTCCCGGCCTGTACGCCCCCGTCGGCAAGAACCTAAAGAAAGAGGACAAGACGAATCCCAGTAATGCATTGGTACACATCAAAGACCCCAACACCAAGTATTGCTACCGTCATCGTCCCGACTCCAAGTGTCGCCGGGCAGCGGATGAGACCAAGATGGGTACCATTCAACGGGTATGTTGCCACTGAAATCGCAATAGCATCCCTGCTCAGCCTGCCTGACATGTCACTTTGCTAACAACCAATTTTCCCCTTCTTGCCTTGTAGGAGCTCAACAACCTCCCATCTACAGATCAAGAGGCCATTACCCATGTTTGGTCCCTCTTCTCAGCCGCGCCTGCTAAGCATCGCGAACTCATGCTGCAGGGCATCATCACCCAATGCTGCTTTCCCCAGCTCTCGACCGTCTCCCGCGAAGTTCAGGAGCAGCTCAAGATTGACTTCATCGCCACATTGCCTGTAGAATTATCGTACAAGATCCTCTGCAATTTGGATACCGTTTCTCTATGCAAGGCTGCGCAGGTCAGCCGCCGCTGGCGGGACCTGGCTGACGATGACGTCGTCTGGCACCGAATGTGCGAACAACACATTGACCGAAAGTGCACAAAGTGTGGCTGGGGCCTGCCGCTACTGGAGCGGAAAAAACTCATGGCCTGGAACCGACATCAACATACCGCGCATGCGAACCCACCCACTCGAAGCGCCGAGCAGTCGGCTGAGCCAGCCTCAGCTCCCGCCGCCCAAGGCTCCAACAAGCGAGCCATGGTGGTCCGCGACGATAGCGGCGCCAAACGATCACGAGTCCAAACTTCACCAGCCAACGGCCGAGCGCAACTCGACGAAGAGCGAAAGTTTCGACCGTGGAAGGACGTATATCGGGACCGCTACAAGGTCGGATACAACTGGAAGACGGGACGATGCTCTATTAGGACGTTCAAGGGTCATGAGAACGGCGTTACCTGCCTGCAGTTTGATCACAACATCTTGGCGACGGGATCTTACGACACTACCATCAAGATCTGGAATGTCGAGACGGGAGAATGCATTCGCACGCTGCGTGGACATACCTCGACGATTAGGACTCTGCAGTTTGACGACGGCAAGCTGATCAGCGGAAGCTTTGACAAAACTATCAAGATTTGGAACTGGCACACAGGCGAGTGCATCAGTACTCTTCAGGGCCACACCGATGGCGTCTTGTCTATCCATTTCGATGGATGCAAGCTTGCTTCTGGGTCCATTGACAAGACGGTCAAGATCTTCAATTTCGACACCAAGCAGACTTGGACTCTGCGAGGCCATTCCGACTGGGTCAACCACGTGCGCATCGATTCCGCATCCCGCACCGTATTCTCGGCCTCTGACGATCTTACTGTCAAGCTGTGGGATCTGGATTCGAAGCAGTGCCTCAAGACTTATTTGGGACACGTTGGCCAGGTTCAGCAAATTTTGCTAATGCCTCCCGATTTTGAGCCGGATGAGGATCCTAACGCTGACGTAGGAGATGCTGCATCGGCAACCAGCGGACGAGGTGACTCGCCGGTACCCTTGCCAGAGCAGGCACCCGACAGCCGTACTGCGTTTGGACCCGGTTTCTCGGATTCTTCTCGCCCCTTACCTCCACGTTACATGCTCACAGGTGGCCTCGACAACACTGTACGATTGTGGGATGTTGCCACTGGCAGGTGCATTCGCAGCATGTTTGGCCACGTCGAGGGCATCTGGGGTCTTGTTGGCGATACCCTCCGCGTTGTCACTGGTGCTAATGACTCCATGACCAAGATCTGGGAGCCTCGCTCAGGCAAATGTGAGCGTAGCTTTACGGGCCATGCCGGCCCAGTGACCTGCGTTGGACTAAGCGACAGTCGAATGGCAAGTGGCAGTGAAGACGGAGAGGTTCGTCTATACAGCTTCGAAGGCAACAGCTTGGAGGAAAGGGGGACGCCATCATAAACGTCGACGTCACCTTTCCGACTCGCTATTAAGCTACAAACACCTTTTACTTACAGTTGTTGTTGGTTTACACTTTTTGATCTACCTTGGCACTTGATACCATATCAACCACTGTACTAATCTTGATACCTTTTGGTTGTGTTGTGTTGGGTTGATATTACTTTTCATTTTCTTTATTTTCCCTCCTTTTACGGATTTAGACGGACGGGATTTGGCTTGGGGAAACTAGGTTGCGCTGGGTGCGCATGGACACGCTTTCTTATTTACAAAACACAAAACATAGAGCGATTTCTTCTTCTGACATTAGGTTGGTAAAGCAGCAAAAGGGAAACGGATGCCCGCGGTGGGTAATCACGGAATTGGCGTTTTTTGGGAGATGATTGGATTGGAGGCTCTGTACATATGAGGGAGTAGATGATGATGTTTTGGAGTACATATATTATGTATCGGTACGCTTGCGGCCCAGATATTTTGTTAGTTTGATTTGATTGACAATTTGTCGAGAACGATTTAAATGATTTTCTTTTGTGACTATCGCGATCTCATATCTTTTGTGAACTTGTGGATATCTTGGTGAAGAATGCTGTATACTACCTTACCTAGGTAGGTAATAGACTAGATGCCAAGCCTTCAATCTGCCTCCTGCCTATCTTATATGCTGTAGAAAGTTTATGCCAGCAAGGTCACATGACGACCTCAACTTCAACTTCTTCCCCCTTATCCAACTTGCTCATCCCAGGATAAACTCTTTCCAGCATGGCCCCTCGCCAAAAGAATCCATCTCGTCCCCTCTTCCAATAGACCCAATCGTCACTCTTTCATAATACTCCCCCTTTGCCTTCGGCTCTACCAGCATCACGCGGTAACGCCACTCATGATCATCCACGTCCATATCCTTCCTACCCGCTACCCTTAAATCTCGAGCCTCACAGATCAAAAAGAATTCCCGCTTGCATGGCGCTGGATTGCCTTTAAGCCATGACGTGGGCACCATGATCAAGCCGAGCTCGTCTCCCGACTTGCCAAAGATGCCAAGCTGCTTCCCTGGAGGCGGGCCTCCCTTCTCTGGCCATGGCGTTTTGGTCTCGGCAATTTCGAATACGGCTGATACCGTCCAGAATTGCAGGTAGCCAGAGTATGGCCGTGTGCTAATGACGTCGAAGTAGTATTCCGTAGGCTCAAACTCAGTCAACGTACGCGGAGTTGGCTCTGTCTGCGAGCAGTCAAAGGAGAATCGCTTTCTAATGGGCCCGCCATAGAAGTTTCGTTGGGAGTCTTCTGACATTCTCCCGTGCTTGTGCACAAGGCTGCAGCGAGTGCTGTGGGGGCCGTGTCTATGATACCAGACGATCCAAGTCCTACGTCTCAGGGCCTTTCGGATGGCTTTCATATCGCGAGTGTACCAGTCCCACATGCGTGGAAATGCGCCGCCCTGCCAGCCAGACCATGACCAACTAGGGGCTCCCTCACGGCGAATTTGCTCCTTTTTAAGCGGATGCCATAAGAGGAGCCAGTCGAAGTACTTGACGGGGAGGCCGTGACATATGTCGCAATTCAACTGCATCCGAATTTGACGAGCAACACCGGCAAAGGCGTTGTAGATATCGGACTGCTTTGTCAATTGCATCTCCGAGTAGTTCTGTATCGGGCCCTCTACCCCGTCACCAATATCGTTACCCTCTCCGGCGAAACTTGGTGGCCGTTTCGAGGAAATGACCGACTCATCGTCCCACGTATCTTCCTGGAACGAGATGTCGGACGAACATCGAAGCGAGACTTGGCCGTTGGCGAAGGTAAGTAGTCTGGTGGCGAAATGTCTTTCTTGAAATCTAAACGAATGTCAGCTGCACACGTGGTTGAAGTAATAAGAGTAGGTGCACTTACGTCCATCCTCTCTTGAAATAGGGAAAGCTCTCTATGCCATCGTGTGGCTTCTGGCGATAAGCAAGTCGAAATCCAGGTGCAATCTCCTCTATCGGCTGCATAAACTCTCGGGTGCCAGGTCGAACCCCCATTATGCCCGAGTGGGCGCTTCGACTGCCAGCGGCACAGATGACAACGTATGCAGCACCGTACACATAGTCCATCACTCGAATAGCCCCCATTTTACCCGCCATAATGACCTCTTCTTCACCTGTCATATTGTCTATGTCAATCAGATCCTGGAATATGCAAAGGCTATCAACCCAGAGATAGCGGATGCCAATCTCTCGTGCCACCGTCATGGCATCTTGTATCGTGGCAGGGATCTGGCTCCATATCTCCTCCTTGTCGAACGCACCCGGCTTCTGAAGAACTGCGAGATTTTCGGATGTCATACAAAAGAACGGCTCCCTCCCCCAGACGTAGCTAAGCGCGGCATAGCGAGGATTGCCGCTAGCACGAACGAGGCAGCGGTCTTCAAGGTCAATGAAGCGGAAATCCGGAATAGCTCCCGCAGGATCAGTCCAGCCCATCTGCTTCATATTCGCACGGTTTCCACAAACTTTGGAGTGATTGGTCTCACAAATAGCCAGCCAGCGCCGGACAACTTTGAAGTCAATACATTCAGGCTGGATTGGGCGAGGTAGGAAGCGTTGTGCCTTGGCTGGAGCTTCGCTGGGGAAATCGTTTGCAAGAAGTGAGATGTCAGGGAAAAGGTTCATCTCTTCGATACCAAGAAACCCCCCTGAACCAGTGCGACCATATATCCTAAGAATGCGAATTTCGCTTCGGCCGTTCCATGGCATGTTACGGTCTCTTGTACCGTCGGTAGTCCAACACATCTGAGCTTTGACTGGTGATCCATCGCTGGCAATGTTTGGTACCCGATCTCCACCAAGGGCCTGCAGCACCAGTCTGCAGAAGGGGCAGTTCTTGCGTTGTCTCATGTCTTTGACGTTGCCCAGCTCGATGAAGTTGGCATCAGGCCGTACATATCCACCATAGTCTGGATCTTTGGGCCATACGATGAAGCGACTCCTCTTTAGCCTTAGGATCGAGCAGTCATGGCAGAGCTCATCCCCGGGTTGAGAAACGTGCTCCGGGACAGGAAGTAAGGGAAGTGGTGGTGGAATTCTAGCGAGAACGAGCTCATCGTCGGCTGAAAGGTCGTCAAAGTCGCTCTCAGTCAACCAGCCTTCGCCTGGAGCCGAAGCATTAGCGATATCGACTCCATCTTCTGCCATTTCCTTGATCCGCTGGATGCGCCGTTTATATTATCACTTCCACTTCTTTCTACGTAGCTATTATGTCGAGCTACTTCACAGACTTTACACCGCAGTCTGCTGGGCAAGTATTCTCTGCTGGATTTATTTATTAACACAGTCCTCTGGTTGCGACAGACCTACAAGAGTTATAAAGAAGCAACCAAGGTCTTTGATTTTGCTTTTATATATTTACAGCAGCAAAGACGGGCACACTTCAGTACATACAGCCCTTCCCCGCACCCTACGCTAAAATTAAATCAACAGACGCCAGACAGAGAGAACTATCCCAATTCGTCCAAGGAAGTCGTGCAGGATGAGCTGAAAACTGCAAGCACTCGACGAGTCGGATCCTCCATTTTGAAGTTTGCACCGACTGATTGGGTGCCCCCCTCAAGTTCGGCCCGCAAACTCGGCCCCCAGAAATCGGTCGGGCTGAGCTTGTCAAGCAAGGCCGTTTTCTAGCCAATTAGTAGGGGGATGGCTGCCACCCACTACGCTACTAACTTGTTGCCTACACATTCCCAGACAAAGACTGCTGGGCAACGTTAACATGGAGGTGGGGGCGGTTCTATGCTGTATAACCCATGAATGCTGACAAGATGCGACCACAGTATACATAATTAGCATAAGCGGGCTTCGAGGCTCAATCTGGGGGAAATCTAGGCTAAATAGTAGACGCAGCCCCTTTTCAGCGGACTCAAGTCATCAAACTTATCTGAGAGTAGTTGCCTGACTATCAGTAATCTATAGGCGTTGCCTTGCTTTTCTACTTCCAACAATTTATAGAACGAGCTACATTCATTCTGGGCGGTTCAGAGCGGTTCAATTTGGGCACTCTATTTGGACCATAATTTTCGGCTACTTTCTTACCATCGCGGATCCCTTTTGCGACACAAGATTGTTATATTCTAAGGTGAGGAATCGTATCTCTTAAGGAATGGTATTAAACCGTCCCGACTCTATGGATGTAACGACGCAACTGTCTCGTGCCTGGGCAAAGTACATAGAAATGCAGACTTGCATAGCCCCCCACTGCGTACTTTGCACCCTAGAGATGAAAGCTGATGAGCCCATTTTTTCCAGTAAATATACTCTTCCGCATCAAAGAGATCAAGTCTGACGAAGAAATTATAGCAGTATCGAAGGAAGAGCCGATTTGTTTCAAGCAAGGTACATATCATCCGTGCGTAATCACCAACTGCCAGCATGTCGATGGCCTTGCGCTGGCTTGCCACTCAACCTGTGCAGCAGACGGTCTGCTGTCTCTGAAAACATTGGAAGTGACCCGCTGGGACCCAGGGTTTGAGCTGCCAATTGCACGATCGGCTGATCTCAAGCGCTATCTGGCAGCCAAAAGGGCCTCAAGGCTCGACCTGGCGCGATCAACTTTGCAGGTAAAAGAGAAGATAGCCGAGGCTTCAAGCGGCGAGGTGAGCACCTCGTCCCGTATATGGGCAACATACGTGACACTACACGATGAGACGTATGTCTCAGATCTAAGCAACAATCATGGAGATGAGGTTATTTACGATCCGGCATCGAATTCAACAGAAGATGTTATTTACATTAGACGAGGCCCCTTGGGCGTGAAGAAGATTGTAGTCGCGTGCTCAACTGAGAGTGTAGAAATGGAGAATTATCCATTGGACTGGTGGCAAGTCCTGCCGCTGATTGAAGGCTCAATACTCCATTTCGAATTTGACGTAAGTAGACCTCGCTTGTTCTATCTATCAGCTGCAATCGACTTGATACATGCTAACCCATTAAGGGACTCAAACTGCGCAATATTCGGGAAGCCGAACAAGGCGATTCACGGCCGTCGTTATGGTCAGCCCCGTTCTATTGACGAGATCTCATCCGTTTCATTGTGACACATTCATCGAAGCCATCTAGATTTAATCGTCTCAAGATCAATGACCCAGAAACCACAGTATACTCAGTAGCGTGGAACCCCTTTCACCTAGCGCTGAAGATTATTAGGCACATGGCCACGGACGACTGGTCATGCTACTCTGAATTGCCTCAAGACATGACAACATGGCTGCATATCCCTATTGGCCGCGGCGAGCTCCTCAAAGAGATTTGGCATCGAGAGCACACTCATTGTTGCCGAAGAGAGATGGACTTGGTACCGGTGACTACAACTGGCCGCGTGCATGTATTGGGAAAGCATCCGATACCAAGCCATACATATATCCATGAACGCATTACGGCATTTCGAAGCGAGCCAGATTACATTCACATCGACGACTCGGCCGGAATACGCAAGCTAGCTCTCAACCCAGCACCGCCGGTAATTGACGACCCGTTTGGTACCTTGAGCTTGCCAGTACCGGTGTCTCAGTACCCGAAGGCTACTTCTGCTGAAAGCTATTTTTATACTTTTGCATCTCTTGATAATCTAGATTTCTTCGAGGCATGTAGTTTCAATGGCATTATCACCGGTGTACTTTTACACTATGGCGACGGATCACGAGCTGTCGTTGGGCAGGTCAGGCTGGACAGATTGGCAGCGAAGCAATATGTCCCTCGCGACGCAACCATCCGATTTGTTGTCACCCGAAACGTAGCTCAATGCCCGAAAGTCAGTGCCGTCTTGGTATTGACGGCGGATATGTATGAGCAGCTTCCTCGCATGAATTTCGATTTAGACTTGGAGGTTCCTTGCCACGGCAAGTTGGAGTGGTGGTATACATGGAGGCAGTGTCAACTCGCTCATGAGGGACGTACCAGCGGATCAGTAGTATAGTGGCTTTGGAAGATGATTAGGTACTTGGTTTAGCGATTGCATGTTGGGATTGGGATTTTCTGCACGGCTCGGATAAGATTGGATTTTGGTCAATTGAAAATGAACATAGTGCCGGGTCACAAGAATAGACGCCGCTTAACGACACTGCTAGGAATGTTGACGATATACTGTTGGCAAATGCATCAGGGTAGCTACACCACCTGTGATAGATTGAAACCATATGAGATTAGAGCCATATGAGGTTGGCAAAATTGCTGTATAGTACTGCTTACAAAATACAAGCTTTCATAGTAACTATTATGAGAGTTGTCAAGTTGCCGGCTATGGTAGAGGCGAACAAGCATAGTAATATATAGTAATATATACAATCTCACGCTTACGGTAATGAGTCAAGCCATCTCGACACGCCTCCGATCAGCGTATACAAACACGGTCAAATGACTTCCCCTCCCTCTTCTTCACTGCTGCTGACTCTCTCTCTCTTTCTCTCTCTCTCTCTCTCTCTCTCTCTCTGACTCTCTCACATTATTGGCTATTTCTCCTGGCTGACTGACTCCCCCATGAGCCGAACTGCTGCGCCTTTGGAAAACGAACCTCGGCCCAAGACGGCAAATCAGCGGGTCAACCTAGGTCGCGCGGCTCCCCAGCGATTTTGCCGCGCCTCCGATCCCTCCCGGCCTAGCAGATGCTTTTCTTGTGTTGGTTTTGTTCTTGTCTTAGATAAGATTGGATTTGCACGGGTACGTACCACCCCCGGGTGCCGTCATCCATCAAGGTCGCTCGGCACCCCGCATTATCACAAGCTCGGCCTGTGGTCGGTACGAGGGAGGGAAGAATAACGTCACTTTGTTTTGTTTTGACACATGGGAAGATGATCACTCGGGATACGCAGCACACACAATGTGGAAAAGAAGGCTGCAGTACAGATTATTTCCTACCGTCCTCTAAATTTTCGTTTGGAGATGGGCGTCTCCGAGAACATGCATGGCAATTACTACTGCATGTATACATATACATACCGCAATAAGCCCCCCCTGGCACCACTCGTAGTATTTGCTCTCTCCCTCCGGCCACACGGAGCTCCTCCACACACAGATCGGAATGGCAGCCCCGGCCATCCAAGCCGAAATTCCTCCACCCGTCCGGCTATGGCCATCTTTCCTAGTACTACTACTACCCCATACTTGAACTGAGACCGAGCTGGCCAAGGTACTACCTACTCAGCTGTGCGTCCCAGTGCCCGTCCATTATTACAACCTTGAACCAAAAAAAAAAAAAAAAAAAACGAATGACTCTCTCTTCACACACCCCCCCCCGCTTTCCTTTCTTTTCCGTAGCATGTGGGGGTAACTTTGGGTTGACTCTCCAGAGCCGCGGGCCAAAACGAGATTTCCCCCATATTCTCCTTTGCTGTGTTTTTTTTTTTTTTTTGGTTTACGGTTTTTTTCGCGGGGAGAACCAGCGGCTTTAGCTTTTCCAAGCTTATTAGCAGCCAAACAATCCCCTTTACAGCCCATCATTTGCTCAGAACCAAACCCCGGCTTCCCGGCCAAAAGGGGGGGCAAAAAAAAAAACAGTTAAATCTAATAGTAGACACAAAGTCTACCGAGCTGTGGCTCACGCTTTTCTTGGACATGGGGGAGGGGCCCGTTTTGAGTCTTGTGATTGGGCTCAGCGGTCCAATGGGCAAATGGGCCCTTCTCTTTTCTTCCCAATGTATGTATGTAGGTACAGTACTTTCTTGGCCCCCTTTGCGCCTCTAAGCTCTAAACGGGCAAAAGGGGGGCGTGTGTACAAAACGCCCATTTTGGAAAGCTGGAGCTAGACGCCGGGATCATATGTCAAAACGGTGGCTGCTTTTCTGTTTAAGAAGCGTATATCGGCTCTTTTCTCTTTCAGAGTATGACTCTTCTTTTTTTGTTCTTATTCTTCTTTGCTCCTCTCTCTCTCTCTCTCTCTCTCTTGTCAATCCCTCCTCGTCCTCATTCCTACCGCCGGTGCAACTCTCTCTCTCTCGCCCTCTTGCCCCTGCCGTCTTATTCGCTTGATTGAATACCCGGCCGCCCCAAATCGCTAGCTATCCCATAGCTTCATATACAAAAAATAAGCTCGGCTCTTTTTCCGCCCCTTGTGGCACGCGATATCCTCGGCAGCAAGGGTAGTGACTCACTGTACGGCTTCGAGTTATAAGCAAATTCAAGAAGCATAAACTTGAGGATTCGGAATCGATCCTAGAGGAAGACAGACATACTTCCTTCAACACACATACACACACATCCTTTACAATGGCAAAAGATGGTTCAAAACAGCCGCCTACGGCGGCGACAAACCTCATCGGTGCGTTCTTGTTTATTTACTTTACTTTATGTGATTCAATGGGCTTTCAATGACATGTAACTAACATCTCTCATTTCTATAGCTGGTGGTGGTGCCGGCATGATGGAAGCCCTCGCCTGCCATCCCTTAGGTACGTCCCACCTCATATAAGAACAAACTCACAATAAAGGCATTATAATAACACCCCCACGCAGACACAATCAAAGTGCGCATGCAGCTCTCCCGTCGCGCGCGCATGCCCGGCGCCCCTCGCCGCGGCTTCATCAAAACCGGTGTCGAGGTCGTCAAGAAGGAGACCCCCCTCGCCCTATACAAGGGTCTCGGCGCCGTCCTAACGGGTATCGTCCCCAAGATGGCCATCCGATTCACCTCATTCGAGTGGTACAAGCAGCTGCTGGCCGATAAAACTACCGGCGTCGTCTCTGGCCAGGGTACCTTCTTGGCGGGTCTGGCCGCGGGTGTTACCGAGGCTGTGGCCGTGGTGACGCCCATGGAGGTCATCAAGATTCGTCTGCAGGCGCAGCATCACTCAATGGCCGATCCACTGGACATTCCGAAATACAGAAACGCTGCTCATGCGCTGTACACTGTCGTTAAGGAAGAAGGTGCTGGAGCTCTGTACCGCGGTGTTAGCTTAACAGCTCTGAGACAAGGATCTAACCAGGCCGTCAACTTCACGGCGTACTCTTACTTCAAGAAGTGGCTCAAGGACTACCAGCCTGAGTATGCAGACGGTAACCTGCCCAGCTGGCAGACAACCATCATTGGTCTTGTTAGCGGCGCCATGGGTCCTCTCAGCAACGCTCCCATCGACACAATCAAGACTCGCCTGCAGAAGACACCCGCCGAGTTTGGCACCACTGCATGGACGAGAATAACGACCATCGCCAGCGACATGTTCAAGTATGTTCTCCCTCAAAAACAGTTGATGCGCACAGAAAGCTAACAGTTCCCTCCTCCCTCCAGACAAGAAGGTTTCCACGCTTTCTACAAGGGCATCACTCCTCGTATCATGCGAGTCGCGCCCGGCCAAGCCGTCACTTTCACCGTCTACGAGTTCCTCAAGTCAAAACTAGAACAGAGCAACTTGGCCTTTGTCGGCGGCAAATATGAGGAGTAAGAAAATGGCCTTTTGCGAGTCGATTGCATTTTTTTGCGATATACCCCCTTTTTCTTTTTTATAATCGGCCGAGATGAGAGGACAAAGATGGTCTGACTATAGTCTAGTACTAGAACAGAAATGAAAGAGGGTCAGCCCTTGCATGCATAGGAAACTGGTTTATAGTCGTGAAGACGGTGATTATATGGCGGCAATCATGTTTCGTTTAGAGATTTCATTTGCATCCCTGGAATGCGGAGTTGGATCATGTACGTTTGGAAGGGAGAAAGGAAAATTTCCAAGGGGTTTTTTAGTGAACTGCATATATATCTTGTATAAAAGTATGGACAATGTTCTATTCAGGCTAGATCGTTCCGTTCGTATGGGTCGTAACTCGTGAGGGCGTTTACCTGCCGGGGCGCTTGGGTCTGCTAAAGCCCGATGATACCACCTTCTTGGGATGGAGATCGTTCAAGACTTCCTCCTCGGTAAGCTCGCTGGGATCCTCTACCTCAAACTTCTTCTCCAGGGTGATGCCGGCCTCTTGCTCGGCAATGGTGAGGACAGCACGCTTCATCAGAGGATATAGCATCCTGTTCTTAATCGCCTTGTTTCCAGCCGTGGCGGGACAAGTGTAAAAGAAGAGCACTGGGGTCTGCTCAGTCCCCTCGTGGGTATGGGTAAACCGATAAAAGGTGAACCGTGGCTCGACTGGCGAGATGCTCTTGATAAGATTGGCGAGGGAGCTAGGATCCAATGAGTCAGGCGCCAGCTCGACTCTCTCGGTGGCTGCGTTGATTTTCTGCGTCACATACGATTAGTCTTTTGCTTTGACCGCTTCATCATACGTGAAAGCAACTTACCAGTGTAGCCGCCGCCTTTTGCCCTTCAGCAACCTCTTTCATTGCCGTAATAGCATCCTCGTTGACCGGCATCGTCAAGCTCTTGCTGAGATGGATTTCCCGAATAGCAGTGCCGGATCCAGCCTCCTGCTCTGCTCTCTTGACTTCTCCAAGAGTCTTCTCTTCCTCCGTCAGGGGAGCTTCCAGTGCGTTGTGCGCATCGTGGGCCTTGAACCCCTTTTCTGTCAACTCGTGGGCCATGGTCATGAACGGCGTCTCGCGGAAATGCTCAGTGCCCAGCTCTCGCGTCAGCGTCAGACGCGTCGAGGCAAACAGCATCTTCTGGCGGACATTGGCGGCGTCGGGAACGTATGTCACGGCAACGAACCTGGGGGAGTCTTCGTAGCGGCGGAGGATGGCGTAGAGGGCAACATCAGGCTTGATGAAGGGCTCCAGCACAGAGAGGTTCTGTCCAAAGTCTGACGATATGCCTGGGATGGTCTTGACGGGCGCCAAAGTCTCGCGTTCGATGGTCACCAGAAGGGCAAAGTCGGATGGCGTCGTCAGCAGCGAGCTGAAGGCCTTCTGGAGCTCCTCGGAGGCTGCATCGAGATTCTGCGGTCAGCACACCGCAAGGGGGCAATTGATCGGCCATTGCATTGTCACGGCATCCGTACCTGAGATTCCAGACTGCATTGTGGCAATTTATTTTCTCACTTATGGCAGCCTGCTGGTGGTTTTCGGTCCAGGCCGGTCAGTTGCCTCGATCCGCTGATGAAGGCTGCAAGTTTCGGGGCTCTGGCCACAGCCCGACGACGCATGTAAGTCCAAGCTGGTGCCCCGCCACGGTTGCACAACCGCAAGAGCCCCTCCACACAGTGCCCCACCAGATGGTGAGAGGTCGAGACTCCATATTTACAGCTACCCTATAAAGGGGACCTTAAAATTTACACAATAGCCAGCCAGAGCAAGTATGTGACAAAATAAATTGATTGTAATGCCATTTGAGATACAAGACTATTTAATATCGACGCTGTTTTCTAAACGTGCTTAGAAATTTTAGTAGGTAATATGCCAGCCTGACGACAAGCACCTGTCTTGACTCTACTATGATAGTCTAGAGTCTAGATGAGCTTCTGGCAATAAACATGTCTGAATTACTCAGAGGATACAGGGTCAAAACGAGTAGTGAAATTGAATCAATTAGTTTGCCGTCTTTCTTGTACAATATTGAATACGTGCGTAACCCTTTCCTGCACATAGCTATCAACCACTGTGCCAGCCGTCAATCAGCTTCCAAAAATTCCTCAAAAACAATCCACTGAGATATTGCTCATCATTGAGCTCCTCCAGCTCATCAGCTCGAAAAAAAATAATTCGTAAGATTTTACCAGATAATTACTGCTGCCAGCAAGATAAATCCTCCACCAGAAAGAGGAGGAATGAACCCAGAAGGGGAATCTGAAGCCGGGACGTGGGATGGAACTGGAGGGTCACCCTCCGGTTTCTTGCTTGGCCACGGCCAGAGAGTGCTCTCAGGGGAAACGACGGGAGATAGATTTGGTCCCCCAGCAGGATCACAGTTATTCTCTGAGCTCACTCCACCAGGGTTTCCACCTGGAGACCCCGGAATGCTCTCTCCAGAATAGGAATCTGGATGAGGCAACTGGCAGTTTGGTGTAGTGGCAGAAGGTGTCGCATTTGGTTGTTGGTTCGGGTTGGAGAATGTCTTGGGCTCCGGTGCATTACCCGTTGGTGTCAGAGGTCCCTGGGGGGCTTGAGAAGGCGTGATTAAGCCAGTATTGCTCTCAGTAGCGCATGGAGATTCTTGAGGACTCTGAGACGCGGGAGTGCCAAGGGTTGGATTCACCGTTGCTGCTGGGTCTCCAGATGCAGGATCAACTGTTGGAATTCCTGGTGCTGGTCCTTCTGGCGTAATTCGCTGAGGCTGCGACGGTTCTCCAACTGACGAGACATCGGTGGATGTACAAGAAGTCTCAGCCGCAGCGACAGAGGACTGAGCGCTCGTTGGGTCTCCATATGCTGGTGCCTGACTAGGTGTGACTCGCGTGTAAATGTTGGCAATGACGGGTGAACTTTCTGGGCAGATGCTCCCACACATGCCGAGAATGCTGTCTCCCATGCATGGATAGTCACACTTGGTCTCGTCGGTTGGTTGAACACCATTCGCGTCATCTCCACATCGGCAAGAACTGCAAGATCCCGTTAGGGGGTGGAATATTGAGGTAGAATGCACTTGAAACTCACTCAGGAAGAAGAGCAGCGAATTGGTGACCTTGGCAGGCATGTTGACACGACTCAGGAGTCAGGCGGCCGTCAGAAAACACCAAGGCGTTGCCGAAGCAAGATGGGTCGATAGAAGCGCAGCCCTGGTAAGCGAAAGGGCTAGTGCTGTGCGTCGTTTGGCAAAAGCCACCAATCACGCCAATAATGGCGAATAGAAGGATGCCTAGCATCGTGTTGATAGGAGGGAGCGGCTGAGTGTGAGTTTTAGGCTCTGATATTGACAAACACGAGAACAACGAGAGACAAGGTTGCGTTAATGAAGGATGGACGCAAATTGAGACAGAAAGAAAAGAGTGGAAAAGAAAGAAAAAGGCTTCTTCCATGAGCCTGGGAAAAAATTGGGCATAAAGGTGGAAGCAGAAGTCCAGAGGGAAAGAGCAGGCAGGCACTGGGAGGCAGGTGCGTGTTTCTCCTTCCTGTAACACCGAATGATCATTTCGAAGAGCAAAGTTTAGCGAGGAGACCACGATTTAGTGGACTGATTTGGGCAAATTTGTAGATAAATAAATACAAGATAAATGAACAAATATACCAGGCAGAAACTCCTGGTTTCTTTGTGGTCGCGAGGTCTTCATCCTGGCTACGCGTGGCATCTTGTATGTGGAAGTAGAAATGACAGGATGACATCATGTTCGGTGCATGTTTCAAGACAGAAAGATGCACTGATATGCATGCAATATATATACTATTCTCAGGAAAAGTAGGCACCGAACAATCCCCTGTAATAAGTTGCCGGAGTTGATGCTCTACCTACTTACTGGACGCAAGAATATTTTCATATTTGGAGTGCTGACTCTCCCTCCCTGTATTGCATTTTCAGCAGTGCATGAGCATAAGACACTGTTCCTCATAAGTGGGTGCAACCAAAAAGACTGGCGGCAAAGGCTCAATTTATCGAGCAATTACAGTCTACAGCAATGCTTCGATTTCCAATTCGAGACGTCTCAAGATCTGAATCTCAGCCAGTCTTTACGAGATTGGTCAAGAATCTGTCTCCCAGATTGACAGACCCACAATACCTTATCCGGTGGACTCGGCCCACTTATACTTGTCGCCTCAGGCCAAAGAAACCCGCTAAACCCTTGCAAGCGCACAACGTGAGGAGAGGGCACGAAAACCCCAATTTAGCGAATCCATTTTCCAAGTGCGCCAAAGTCAATCATACCAGGGACTCGATTTTTCTGCCATCACGATCAACTCATCCAACCCACCGTTGAGCAACCACAGCCAAGATGAGCGCCATCAACAAGATCGCTGCCAACAGCCCCTCGAGGCAGAACCCCTCCGAGCTTGAGCAGAACATTGCTCAGGCTCTGTTCGATCTCGAGAGCAACACTGCCGACCTCAAGGTTGCCCTGCGACCTCTGCAGATCGTCTCTGCCCGTGAGGTGAGAATGACTTGAATTACCAACAGAAAAAAGCTAGACCGAACATTCTTCGACATCCTGTTCCCAAAGCTCTCTACGATGGCTTCGACGTACGATTGGCGTTCCCTCCTCGCAGAGAAGGAATATGTTGTATGAAATGCCGATTCGACAGAATTGAGTCGTTTGACAACCCTCTCTGAGAAAAAAACGGAAGAATATATACCATATTTTCTGGAGGGACGCGCCGTCTAGCCTGAGTACTATTGACTTCTGTGGAGCAGGACGGGAAGCGGTCCAAGGCATAAACTGTCCTGGAGCTCGCATGCTGACTTTGGGATCTTGATTAGATCGAAGTTGGCCACGGCAAGAAGGCTATTGTCATCTTTGTCCCCGTCCCTTCCCTGCAGGGCTTCCACCGTGTTCAGCAGCGGTAAGCAAAAAAAGATTCTTTCCCCCAAAAAGGAAGCCAAACTTGAGACTAATTTCATAATCTGCAGCCTGACCCGTGAGCTGGAGAAGAAGTTCTCCGACCGCCACGTCCTCATCCTGGCTTCTCGCCGTATCCTCCCCCGCCCCAAGCGCTCTGCCCGCTCCCGCAACACCCAGAAGCAGAAGCGTCCCCGTTCCCGCACTCTGACCGCCGTCCACGACGCCATCCTGGCTGATCTCACCTACCCCGTTGAGATCGTCGGCAAGCGCATCCGCACCAAGGAGGACGGCAGCAAGCTCCTCAAGGTCATCCTTGACGAGAAGGAGCGTGGTGGCGTTGACTACAGACTCGACACCTACTCTGAGGTTTACCGAAGACTCACTGGCCGCAACGTCAACTTCGAGTTCCCCCAGACTAGCAGCTCTGAGTTCTAAATTAGTTAGAGGAGAAAAGAAAATTTAATCGGCATTTCCAAAATTTTATTTCTCTTAAATTGGGAGTCCTGAGGAACACAAGGCAATTAAAAATGCGTTGCTCTATTTAAACAGCATCGGTGGGTTGGTCAACATTTGGGCTTGGCGTCTGATATCAAGGTAGCTTTTGTTTTTTTTCAAATGATATAAAAGCTGCTGGCATGATTTGATCAATTCACTTATCGCTTCCTCTTCCCTAAATATTGGTGCTCCTATTTTGCTCTTTGTCTATCTTCTGCATGTCTATCGCTGTAAAAGAAAAAAAAAGTCGTCTACCCTTTATTCTTGACTGATGCGCCCAACCCCAAGCACGCACCAGTATGCCAGCTCTCGCTTCTCTCTCGCCTCCTTGTCCTTGCTAGCCGGGCCGTCCATGTCCGCCTGTGTATCAGCCTCCCATTCCATGCGAACAAACATGGGGATCTCCAGGATATCTTCGCCGCTCTTGAGCGGGCTGGTGTCGATCTTCTCGTTACCCTTTTTGGGTTGCTGGTCGATTCGTAGAGATGCCGGGATGACCTCCAGCACGATGCTCACCCAATTCCGTCCCTTTTCCCAAATCTTACCCACTTCAGGTCCTTCGTCTGCCTTGCGGCTCCTGTCTTTCTCATCATCCTTTAGCGCGTCATCCCACATGTCGGTGTTGGCGTCCACTTCGAACTGTGGACAGAGCACCGTGACTCTGCTGGAGAAACGACCCGGGGTTGCATTTGGCGAGGCCAGTGTGACTTTTATATTGTCAAAGAGGGGATTCTTGAATGTAACAACAAAATGATACGGTTGATGAGGCTTCAGTGGTGCCTCCTCCTGGACCATGGGCCTATATGTTACAGGCGCCGGCGTAGCGGTTGGATTGAGTGGCCGAATCGTGATTGTGGGTATATAGGATTTGGCAAACAGGCGAATCTTGAATCTCGTAGACGTGACTTTTGCCTCTGGCTTTGATATAATGTGGCGGCATGCAGGGCAACGTTTCGATCGCTTACTGCGAAGCAGATATGCAATCGGTCGGAGTTGGTCCTCGAATCGTATGGGCTCTGTTTGCTCTTTTCGTTGTTCCAGAGAAGCTGTGGCGTCCCATCCTCCGTTGATGAGCTTCTTGATCTCCTTTGACTCATCTAGATTGGCAATCTTCAAGCCGTCGTTGGTGCCAAGAGCTTCGCGCATGATATCCGCAGGTCCCTGCTGCAAGCGCCCCTGGTGACCCCGGCCGGTGTACAGAGACATGATGCGGGTCAGAGCAGCGGGCGATGAAAATCCAAGTCCATCATGTAACGGAAGCCCACGTATTGAGGTGTTGGTTTCCGAGAGTCGGCTCTGGTAAAACGCCTTTAGGTGGGCAAACTGCAAATCCGCATCGACCTGGTCGTCGGGCACGGGGGGCTCGTCTGGGTTATCTTTCCGGCGATCCTTGACGTCTCGCAGCGTAAGCTTTGGCTTGCCTCCGTTGTTTATCTTTGAGAGCTGGTTGTATATGCCGCTGGGACGATCGAACTCGATACCAATCTCGGTCGAGGTCCAGTTGCAGTACTGGCAGAAGAGCGCGTACGGGCCCCCGGTGGGATTGGTTTGATACTGAGTGGGCAGGAGGTTCGCATCCGTGGTAGGCTGAATGGCTCCAACTTGGAGCGGGCCGATGCATACTGGGCACTGGTAGCAACTTCGCGTACATCTGGTTCAATGGCGATGAGTTTTGGTCATGACAAAGCTTGTTCGAGGCGAAAGGGGCAGTTTACCTGTTACCCTCGCTGCGCAGGTTGCTGCTAGGCACCTCGAAGAGGCAATTGGGACAGTAATAAGTGACGGATTCTTCCGTTACGCATCTTGGACATCGTATCTGCTGACAGTCTTCGCAGTAGAGGAGGTATTCGAGAGGGTATAGGCTGTAGTTTGATCGCGGGGCTTTGGGATCAAAGGTTCGCTCGTCTTCTTCTGGGTCGGACAGCGCATTGCCGGAACTGAGTACGGTCTGATCCGAGCATGGACACTGGATGTATGTGTATGGGGTCGAAAGCGACATCTTTCTTTTTCGCTACATCTCTGTTGGTTCACGAGTGCAGGCGGGCGTCGCTAGCCGTGCTCTAGCCACAGCAAAGCCTCGGTGAAGAGCTCCCACTTGAGCAAGGTGAGCTCGGTAAGGCCCATTTCCACGTGATCCACCTTTGTTATTAGATCGCCCGACCTTATCTGTCCGACCGCTTATGTAAGTCAAGGTACATACGTTCGTATTTGTTCCCCGCTTTCTCTGTTGCAGATGCGCCCCGGATTCTGGATGATCATCTTGGCCAAAGCTCTCACAACGGGCGATCGATATATTGCAATGACGCTTACATGATACGCAAAGGCTCTCAATTGACATACGTACGCTGGACTTTCGGCAGTGGCGGATCTGCAGGTCTTTGCCCATGGCGCTACCATACGAGGACGAGACGGAGCCGGCCGCTTTCGTTGAATGCTTTCAGCGCTTTCAGAGCAGATCAAACCTTTTTACTTCATCGCTGGATCACTTCTCGTGGCGACTTTTCCATCAAGCTTTTCTTAATCTTTCACTATGCTAATGAATTTCACATCTGTGAAGGGGTTTGGTAAAGATCGACTCTCCGTACTCGCTCTCGTGTAAGCCAATCGACGTCTCTTGCCGGCCCTTGATAGACTTGGAACCCCTTTTTCATATGCTTTGCAAGCAATACGAAGACACAGTGCAATTTGTTGTCTAGACGCAAATGCTCCGTCATGTGCCACTTATAGCAACACTAATGTTGATGCCTTTTCTGCAAGCTTGTTATGCGGCTAATGAAGGCAACTAAGTGTAATAACACTTCGTATGAAGCATTATGGTTCTAGACTATAAGGTGAACTGCCACTAGTGTTGTGATGTCAGTTGTATTTGCTGCCTTTCGCTTGCCATGGTTGGTGGTTCTACTAGGCTGTGTCTTAAAACGCAAATGCTGCCAACAAATGTATACGAGTATTCTCGCGCCGGGTTTTGTCGGTGAAGGTTAATGTGCTCTCATCTGTCTCATTGTTCAAACGGAGATGCTGAACCTGCACGTTGTTTGACTTTGAAAATATTCTACAATCCTTCTTATTTAGGAGATGTAAGCGGGGGATGAGAGATTTGTCTCAATGGAGGCGGGTTAGTTACTCGCCCAGATCGTTGTGCCACCACGCTTCTTGGTCAAATCAGGCCAGGAACAAAAAGATAAGGAGAGGCACGGGAAGAGCACAAGTAATCAGGAACAGCGGCTCGTGGCTCGTATTTAACCTTTGGCTTCAGCTGGGCTTAGTGAGCACATAAAATCATTATTTACGAGCGTACGTAAGGCTGACAAAATAGATGGGCAGAAGAAAGCAACGGGCTTGTGTACTAGGAATCACCTTGCCGAGGGTGGCTTGCATGGAACTGTCTCTTGTTGAACCGTTGATCGGGTGCAATCCAGAGTGTGGAGACCTGTCTTACCCAAGAAAAAGAAGAAAAAAGAAAAGAAAATCCAACCAAGTTGCAAAAAAGCAAGACAGACTAACCAGGAGGGGAAGAGGGCAAACACCAGGACCCAGCAGAGTCTCACATGCTGTGAAAACCACCTGTCTGGAGAGAAGGGAGAGAAAGGTGAGGGGAAAGAGGAGAAGAGAGAAACAAAGCAATTCTCGACTGGCAGTTGTCGAAATCGCCATATTCTGCTGGTTTCGGCCACCACCCAGCCTAGTTCTCAGCTGTTTTTTATTGGGGGCGATGCAGGTAACGCAATACTGGCAGTCAATGATGCTGCCCGCACGACGTCGGGCGTGTTTTGGCGCATCGGATCTGAGATGGCCGCAGCCCGCAGTCCGCCAGAGCCGCCCAAGTGGAGATGAGCTGGGGTGGTGAACATCGAGGACCCCTGTCCGATGGAGATGGAGGCCCGGAGAGACTGGATGGCATGGCATGATGATACTCATCACTTTTCTTCTTCGGTCCACATCCGGGCGCTTTCAAGGATAGGCCAAGAGACGACAAGGAAGTCCACCAGGATAGTATTCCAGCCATTCCGAAGAACAGAGGGTTGTGGGAAATAGCCGAAGGAAACCTGACGCTCCCAGAATTGATAGTCAGGAACACACACCGCATCATCGTCTTGGGAGCTAATGGGGAGACGAGACATGTAACAGGTCCAGCTCCACCAGCATCGTCGCGGCCAGCCCGCGGGCTTGCGACTGTGTAATTGTCATTGGGGCTGCTTGTTGAGAGGAAGCTCAGCTCGTCAATAGCGTGAGTGACGTGGATGCATCTCGTCTTGTCCCTTGTGGAAGCGGGCTTGCAGGAGAGAGGTGAGGCCAGCGAAGGATGCCTGGCGTCACTGCAGCACAGATATGCCACGGCATGTGCATAATGGTACATAATGGGAGTGAGCACTGCGTGGTGGCGGGACCCAGACCATGCAAAATCTGGTTTTTTTTTCTCTCTTCCCTCGTGGCCTGGCCGGTCGCGGCCTTGTCGATATTATGCATCCGGATGTTGGGCCATGGCCGTTGAGCAGGTTCCTTTCTCCGCCTGGAGAGGGGAAGAGATTAATCAATTCCGCTGTTGAGTGCAGGGATCATATGGTAGCATTCGATGCTGCTGTCTTTTGAATCAATTACTCATATGGGGTGGTGCTGTGCCCAGATTCGCTCTTCTTGCTTCTCTCGATTTTTTTTCTTCCATCGTGGCCTAGCCGAAGTGGGTGGAGTGAAGTCATGCATTTCGACCATATACATGCACTGTAAGACTCGGTGCCAGCTCACCACCGCCTCGTGGGCGCTGCAGAGCCACTGAGCGGCTGGCTGACCCCTGCAAGCGACGAACGCTTAGAATCCGACAGCGCCCCCTCCCCTTCCAGAGGCTGCCAAAAGACTGAAGAAAGACGGCGATGCCATCCCTGCCCTTCTGCATGTGCTCCATCGCTGTACTTGTATGGCTGCGCTGCTAACAGTAACGGCTCGAGGTACATGCTAATCTTAGCAATTGGACTAGTGTAATGGCGCCAAGGCGCACCAGCACTGTTTTACTTACAGGCCTCCATGCTGCTTGTAGAATAGGTAGACTCTGCTGTGTAGATCTACGTCTAATCTGCCTAGTTCTGGAGCAGTCCGTCAAGCTGACGTCTGATACGTGATGCTATGGCGATGGCAATGCCCGCAGCCCATCGATTCTTGCGCCCCGCGCTCTGTTACAGCTACTACCGACATCATGTACCTACTGTAACATGCACTGCGAGGGATTGTTACCACGCGCAGCACCTGGCGCTGATGCAAAATACAGGGGCCGCACCCTTGCAGATTTTTGGCTGCGGGCCTGAGCTTTTGCTGCTAGGGGAAAAGGAAAAATTGCAATGCACTAAGGCTGGGCTAGGCACCGCTAAGAGCAATTGCCTTTCAGCTCCCGACGCAGCGGGAGCCAGAACAGCTACGAAAACGTCGTCCAGACCTCTGGCACTGGGATCTTTTCCTCCTTTTCACTTTATACTTTTCTGACCGTCGCCAGCCAAACGCCCCTCCCGGCTCGTGTGAGCCCTCCTACCACAGACAAGGCGGCGATGGCACTGGCCAGAGACTGATTCCTATGGCTGCTTTCGACTGCGAATACGTACTGCCGTGATACCGCCATCGAGTCGACGGGCGTCCAGCAAGCTTCAAGCCTTGCAGGAACCACACGCCGGCCGTGGAACACGAGAGCGGGCTCGCCATCATTAGCCTGTGACGTCTCGGCGTTGGCCTTTGAGCTCTCGACCTGCCTTGCCCGTGATTCGTTGCTTGACACCGACTGGCTGCCGGCCTGTTTCTGTTTTACCTTTGATCCTGCTTGGGAGGGCTGGCGTGGAGTGAAGGACGCAAGACGAGGGGACACTTTAGACTTTTTTGCGGTGGATGCTGCAGCCTGCATATATCATATATACACAGGGTATATATATTAACTTGACGCCGGGTGGTCTGTCTCATATTATTGGAAGCTATTCCCCCCCCCTTGCCCAGCGGTCTGCCTCACCAAACGTCAGTCCTTTGCGGGCTTCGTTGCACTCCACTCCTGCGTGAATAGCTTTTCTGCCGCCTCTGATGGCCGGCCCGAGGGCGAGATCAAACAGCGTCCGCAGGGCTCGCGGACTTTCCATTGGAGAGGATGGCAAGGTCGTGCCGCTTAAGCGATGGGACGGCGCCAGCAGGACGTGCAGGGACTGGGATGGGCTACGAAGGGTGAGTTGAGTCTGCATTGCCGCCAGTGAGGCCTAATTTTGAACATGATACCACGCCTAGTTGCGTCTTAGTAGCATTCATCTGACTGTCTGTGCTATTGCTTATAGGACCCTGATATATGGGAGAGAAACGGCAACTGCCTCATCCACTTATACGCCAAGGGCGATTCAAAGCGCGGGCCGTCTTTCAAGCTGCCATTTGCCGCTCTGCTCTCGGCTGGCTGCCTCCCCCTCGTCGAAAAATTTCTAGTCCTTGAGGGCTTGGCATCTAATACGGCGCAGGAGATCGAACGGTGGGATCATCTGCACCCTAGGTCGACGGCTGAGCTGTATATACCAGCTCCGCCTAATGCCACTGATAAGCAGGCACAGCAGTATCACCTAGCAATCAGAAATCTCTGCGCATGGATTCTGGGGAGGCCAATGGTGGGTAGACACTTGGGTAGCACCCTCGTTGCGCTCCTTCACTCTATGCGCGAGTATAGGTCCACGCCGGGAAGTAACGTCGATGACTTGCTGAAGTATATGCGCCAGGCGCAGTACCTCGACATGGTCGGAGCGCCTACTCATGCGACGGCGGCCCTGTACGTAGCGGAGACATTTCAGCTCGGCAACTTGTATAAACGGGCTTTTGCTCACTGCGTTGGTATGCATGATCGCCTCTTCTCCAACTCGGAGTACCAGGTAAGAAACGACTCACCCAACAGATTGGGCAATAGCCCGTGCCTCCTTCTCTCTTTCTGCTTGTTTCGCTAGTGATTGAACGAAGCTACAGCCAATGCTAATTTTATCTCATGGAACAGCTCATCAGTGCGATATCGCGATCGCTCGTCCGCAGAGCACGCCTGGAAATGAACGCAATGCTCCAGCAGACAACTACCAGACTCCGGAGCTTTCTGGACGAGGAACTATCCGAAACGAACCTGGGAATTCCCGCTGTGACTCGCGCCCACCTGGAGCGGTTTCGAAGCTTCCTACTGTCCTTTTATTCAGCCAAGTTCGGCTATTATCCTCCTAGGGTTTTTGACGCTGGCCTGCTTAATACCATGGCGGATGATTTTGATGCCTTGTACGAGCTATTGGTAGACAGCAACTACACTGCGTCGGATAGCATTCCATCAACAGCAGTCGGTGGCATCTGCACCGAGCAGCTTGTCCAAACCTTTGACGAGAACAACCACTTTGAGCCTCTACCGCATCCTCTGCCTCAGCTGCCCCAAGTGGAGACTTCTACTGATGGACTCCGTCTCCTATGCAAGATTCCTTTCCTAGACAAGGTGGCACCGGAACAACAGCAAATTACAATTGCAGCTCTGATTACGGCATCTAACTGGACGGAAAAATGCTTCAAGAATGACCTCGTACAGGCGTACCGCCGGTTTGAAGAGGGCATGATCCTTTCCCCTAGCAAGGCCGATAAAAGCGAAAAGATCTCCCTATTGGAGGCGCGCAAGGTACGATGGGTTCTGGTCTATGCGGTCCACCAAGTCCTCCGCCGTGCAACACGAAAACCAATAGAGGTGGATGGTGAGAACGCGCCGTACCATCTCACAGCCTCGATGAACTGCATCCCTCCCTGGTCATCGGCACCTCGTGAATCAAAGAAGTCCTTGCGGATTAAAACCGACATTGTGGCTGTCGACGAACCCGCGCCCAAGCGAACCATCAAAATTCAGGAGGCGGCGGTTGGCAAGATAGAGATCAAGCCCGACATTGATTATTTTGCCCTGACGCACAAGAGTCGCAATCCATCCTTGTCTACCATGTCTGATGGTCCATCGCCCACCACCTTGTCCCGCTCAAGCTCATTTTCAATGAGCCTGCGGCGCAACTCGACTATCCGCAGGTCACTAAGGATATTGCGGAGGAGCTCCATGTCGGGATCACAATCATCAATGACGCCGGCTGGGAAACCATTGTACCACGAGATTGTGGTACAGGGCTATGGAAATGGAACACAAACAGTTACCGTAGAGCCGGACGAGGAGGGGCTGACGATGAAGGGCAATCTGGCGGGTCGCAGCGACTCGACGGCATCCTCGCAGTCGAATTCTAGCTCCGGCACCACGGCCTCGTCAATCCCCGAGAGCATGAGCAGCACGATCGACACGCTCTCCTCGAGTGCACTTTCCAGCCCAGCAACGCCTACTACAGATGCGGTTTTGGAGCTTGAGCTTATGCTCGCCCGCTGGGGCCCACAAGACAAGGCGCCGGTAAGAATGGGTCTGCCGCGTTCGGTCTCAGCCAGCGCCATTTCCGGCGACCTGGAAAACTTGGCGGCGGGGCTCCACTACTACCCAGAAGCCTTGCCCGAAGCCTTGGACAGGAAAGAGGATGTCAAGAGAAAAAGAAGAAGTTTAGAGCCCGCGCGGTCGGCGCCGGCGCCTGCCGCCCTGCAGCGACGCTACACAATGCTTGGAGACCTTCGACGGAAAAATTTTGGGTTTGAGGCCAGACCCATTTCTGTCCGCATTCGCGAAAACCGTATTACCGAGGAAACATGGACTCCCAGCCGGAGAGATTCCGACGATTGGTCCATGATGCTGGCGTTCATGGACGGGACTGATAATAAAGACGCTACAACTAATCAGAACGACGCCTGGGCACAATATTCGGACCTTGGAGGACTTACAGATATGAGTTAGTATATAGACATACCTATTGGTTTGGGCGTAATGAGAAATACGACTAAGAGGAGGACACATGCCAAAAAAAGGGAGACACGGAAATGACATTTTTTCAAAGGAGGAAAAGCAAGTTTTGGCATTGTATTGTTTTTTATGTTTTGTTTTTATGGCTTGGTTGATACCCTGTGTCGGCTGGCACGTTTACGATACCATTTTCTCCGGCTGTCATTCATTACTGGTGTATTGGACATTCTTTCTGTTTACAAAGTCGTGGGATATGGTATAAATCGGGATACATATACGAGAGGAGTTGCCCTCTTAGACTGGACACTTGAACATTTAGTTGCAAGAGTTAATTGAATCTGCAAATTGAGCATTGTTTTAATCTCATTCCTTCGTGCGAATTGCTTTGCGGGTATAGCGCCTACAGACAGAATTCATAAATGCATATCTATATACACACATTTGTATGTATATTTATACAAATACATACAGTGTTTTCCTATCAACTCTTCTTTGACTGGCTTAATAACACTGCTAGTGAAATGAGCAACTATTTTTAGACTGCTCGTGTCCTAAACGCAGTAAATAAAAAAAATCTCACCCAATCGCGTTTAATGAGTCCGTTTAGTCTCTCTTTGAGCGTGAGGTGGAATTGAGGCTGTTGATGAGGTCACCGCCAATAGACCAGATCATGTAAGTCGGGCCAACGAGCCAAGCACCGCTGTTTTCAGATTAGCATTTTGTTGTTTTTCTTGGCCCTAGAAAACAATTGCTCAAAAATTTGAGACAAATAGAAGAAAGAAAAACAGACGTACTTGGGGATGATCCAGAGGAGGATGAGATCATTGAGGGGGTTGTGGCCAATGTTGTCAAAGCCGCTGTAGTACTCGTTTGCCCCTATACAATTGTTCAATTGGCCCTTGTCAGTATGGTTTCACACGCCGCTGAGTAGCACAAAATAAAGTAAAATAAAATAAAATGGTTATTTCATCGCTTCCTTACAGTACAGAACCGTCTTGCTAAGCGTCATGACAGCAGCGGCGTAGCCAAACAGCGTAGCCCTGGCGCCGCCTCTGCCAGACAGGACTCTAGCACCCCCCTCGGTCTTGCTGCTAAAGAGCCAGGCGGCAAGATACCACAGATACATGAGCGTCTCGATGGCGTTGAGCAGGCCCTGGGCGCTGGTGAAGCCGTTGCCGGCGTGGAAGGCCTTCCAGCCGTAGATGTGGTCGACCTCGCCGTAGAGCTTGTAGGGCGCCCAGACGGGCCAGTGGAGGGAGCCGCCGGGCATGGAGAGCGGCCGCAGGAGGACGTAGCCGGTGTCCCAGATGACGAGGGGCAGGGAGACGGCGAGCCAGACGAGGGTTGCGGTGGTGGGGGCATGGCTGAATGCTGAGGCGGAGGAGGATGAGGATTTGTTGGATTTGGATCTGGCGATGCGTTTGGCGGAGGGGGTTGCGGGGGGGAGGGAGGAAGCGAAGGAGGGCTCGACGCTGGCGGCGCGGGAGGAGGAGGCGCGGGTGGTGACCATTTTGGCTGTGTTTTGTTTGGCTTTGGTGTTTATGGACTGGAGGTTTGTATGGCGGAGTCGTGTTGGGGTTGGGTGGTGGTGGCGAGACTATATCGTGAGTTTGTTTGTTGTATGTCGTTGTTATTGTTGTTGGTCTCGATATTAAATGAAGTGAAACGACGGATGAGACGAGAATCGGGCTACGGAAAAAAAGAAAATAGACCCCAATGGATGGATGGACGGAGGAATAAACAACGGAAATGAAATGAGGGGGAGGGGCAAAATAGCGCGTTGGTTGTGTGTTGTTCCCCGAATTAAACAGAATGGATGGAGCAGCACTCTTTTGAAGAAACGGCGGTCTTTGTCTTTGTCTTTGATTATATCGGAGATTTACAAGACCATTGATTGAAAGAATTGAAGGGAGAAGAAGAAGAAGCTTGTAAGGAGAACTAGAGAGAAAAAAAAATATATTAATACTACAATTGCTATGCGTGTTGGCGTATTACGTGTGTGTGGTGTGCGTGTGTGCAAAAAAGAGGACAGCATTGCATTGCAGAAAAAACACACGGCGAATCACAGCGAGGCGGGAAGCGACATGGTGGCGCCACGCTGAGAAGAGATTCGATACGACGCTGCTGCTTGCGCCCAAAAAACTAAGGGCTTTAGTATGTTGGAAAAGGTGACGGACTGTTACGGCGATGAAACTGATGACGGCGGTTGAACCTTGCTGTGTGTGTGTGTGTTGCTAGGACTACAGTGCAAGTTCTAGTATATGTGCCGAGGCTGGAGGTAGAGGAGCTAAGAGTCTTTAGCGGATTCAGTTGAGAATGTTGCTCCGGAAGCCGCTGCTTCGGGGCAATTTGTGAGATTGCATGGTGACTGAGGGACGGTGATTGAAATTAGCAGTCCGGGTTAGGAGATGAGGGCGCATTGCGTGTGGTGAGTTTGAGTTGAAAATTGAGCATTTTTATATTAGTACGCTCACTTTGGATATAATGATGTATAAGGGGGGTGCTTTATACTGCTCCGTGATCTCATCTCATGTCGCCTCATCTCATCTCATCTATAGGTACATTCGTCCTACTTAGATACTGCATATACAGCATACCATAATCAATGTCATATTAATCCTCACCACAGCTTCGCTCACCCGCCAAATGTCTCCCCCCCATTCTCCAGATAGTCGCGCTCCTCATCCGTCGTCTCGCGCCCCATCACCCGATTCCGATGCGGATACCGTCCAAACCGCTTTATAATCGCCCAATGCCGCTTCTCGAACCCCAAGTTTAGCTGAGCATACTCGCTGGATGCTTTCTCATCCGCCTGCACGGCTCTCTGCGCCGCAGCGCGATACTCGTGCGCCACCTCGGACTCGTCGCTCCACTCGACGGCCATTTCGGAGGGCAGCAGGCTCTCCACGTCGCGTGCTAGGCCCTCGTACTTTTCCACCGCGAGGTCGTGCAGCGAAATGTCTTCCGAGTGCATCAGCGGCACGTAGAACCAGCTGCGGTAGGCGAAGCGCCAGCGCACCTCGGGACACCTCTCGGGGATGCCGCGCTGGATCGCTGTGAGGGCGACCTCCCTGGCCATGGGGTCGAAGTAGTTGAAGACGACGCCTGCGCTGTCTCCGCGGTAGCAGTTGCGCGGGATTTGATCTAGCAGGAGGATGAGGCTGAGCCAGTCGTGGGAGTCGTTTGGTTGCAGGGCGTAGATGATGTCTTGGCCTGATTTGATACAGTCACGGCGGAGTTGTTCAAGAGTAGGGGCGAAGCGTTCTCTGTGGTGTGGAAGATGCCATCAAATTAGATGTTTGAAAAGAAGAGAGAGAGAGAAAAAAAAAAAGAAAGAAACGACAGTGAGTTCATGACAACTTACACGCATAGCTTGTCAAACTCTGCTCCGCCAAAGAACCATCTCTTATTCTCATCGGTAGTAGGCATAACCAAACTGTCTGGCCCTGACAGATGTTCGAACCAAAACTCTCGGACGCTCAGAAGCAAATCTGGCGATAGGATCAACGATATGCAAGTCATCTTGTCCTTTGATGGGGCAGATGAGGTATCAATTGAGTGATAGCGTGCACCAGTGGGGGCTGGTATGAATGCTCTCGGCCGTGGCCTATGATACCCAGACTGTGTCTGCTTGTGACTTGGCAACGTTCTCCCAACGTGCAGTCCTCGTGAGTATAAACGCAGTGAAACGGGAGAAACTAAACATATTCTTAGATCAGTTCGTTCTACACAATGTGTCATGAAAAGGATTTACCAACCCCGAGAGCAGCAGCACAGTGGCCCAGCTCGGTGAACACCGGACAGCGAAACCGGCGGCAACTTCATCAACGTTGATTATATGTCCGAGCCGAATGTGTTACTAATCACACCGAGCCATTAAATATCCGACATGGAAGAATACAGGACAGAGAAGAAAAATTGACAAAAGAAAGATGAAGATGCTATAAAGACCAGAATGCAGCCGTGAATACGCATTATTGGCACGGGGCCCAGCCCATATTAAGGTTGGCTGAATTTTAGCATTGCCGCTTCGCTCTAGCACCAAGACCGAGAGGCCGAAAGTGTATAGCTGGACCCGACGTGGGCAATAGAATGCACTTAATTACCATTATTCATCACTATAACCCGCTTACCAAGTCATGATTCACCGCGCGGGAAAAAAAATAGTGCATGCCGCTGCCTCTTAAATTTACACAACGCAGACATGCTAAGAAAACGACCTAAAGTGGAAGGATGAAGCCGACCAGCCAATCACACGTCGTCGTCCGAGGATTTATCATCATGGCGATACGCCAGGATACTAATTGGGGTGCGTTTTGCGTTGAACACTATTTTTCGGGCAAAAAAAGATTCGCACGACTCATTAGCTTGATCTTGCGTGCCAATGGCTGTATATATATATAATATATATATATATATGGGCGGAAGTGAGCAAAAACTTACATATCTCCATTTCTTCGAGAGATAGTCCCTTTGTCTCTTTGATGAAGAACCATGTGTACAGCACTAGAGCCCAGTTGAAGCAGCAAAACATGAGAAAAGCTTTGTAACCGAGATTGTTGACTGCTGCGGGCGTGATTTGAGAGAGCGTGAAGCCAAAGAGCCATTGAGTTGCGGCACCGACGGCGATGCCTCCTTCGCGGACTCGAGTTGGGAAGATTTCGCTCATGTATAGCTGTGTTTGCGCAAAAAAATCGGGTATTGGTTAGTATATCGTGTAGTTTTAGTTGCGAAGTTGAAAACGTACCCATGGTATAGGTCCCCACGAGATGTTGAATGTCACTGTATGCAGTCGCATCAGCAATCCGGACAAACTTGTATATACCATCTCAAAGCGAGACGAAATTTCCATTCTTTTGGACAAACAGGCCAAATGGGCACTTACTCGCTTCTAGGAAAACCATCGTCAGAGACGCAATGGCCGGCGGCGTCAGCGTCCCGCCGCTCACGGGAGGATATCGCTGCGTCAGCACTGCGATGATGAACATATAAGTGCCCATCAGAAACGACCCCGCGAGCAGAGACCATCGGCGGCCTATGCGCTCCACAAGGAAGATCAAGAAAAATGCACAGCTAATGACCTTGCATACGCCGAAGAAGCCGCTGAGTAGGAGGGCGTTTTGACCGGCGCCGACGGCCTGAAAGACTTGGGGCGAAACTAGATTGAGAGTTAGAGAGATGTTCACAGGCAGAATGGAGGAAAGTATTAGTCCATACAGTATGCCAGAGGTGTGTTTCCCGTCAGTTGAGCGCCTAGGAATTGGATTTGGATCATCAGCAGCCGCCGACAATCATCACAGTTTCAGCTCATGAAACCTACCAATTTGCAGAGTGACGGCAATGAAGATGCGATACCGATTCGCTGGCAACCAGTATTCCCTCCATGTGACCCCAGCAGTCTGCCGTTCCTCCTCCTCAATGCCCGCCACAATCTCTTGAAACTCCATCCGCACCTTTGTGCTATCCCCTCCTCGCACCCATATCAACGACTCCAAAGCCTCCTCGTGCCGATCACGCTGAGCAAGCCACCTCGTGCTCTCCTTTGTCAGAAACATTCCCAGTCCCAATATACCACCAGGCACAAGCTGCAAGGCAACAGGGACTCGCCACTGTCTCGTCGACGACGGTATATGTTGCGCGGCGCCGTAATCGACCCAGTAGCTGACAGCCACGCCGAGGGTGAAGAAGAATTGGAAGAGACTGCCGAGCTGGCCACGAATTTCCTTGGGCGCCATTTCGGCCGAGTACATGGGGATGATGACGGTCGCAATGCCTATTGCAGCGAAGTTGCAGTTAGAATTGAGTTGCGTATAAGCTAGAGACTTGCAGTTTGCTTTTGTATATGTCTTTGAGCGGTTGGGTTTTACCTGCGCCAATGCCTGATATCGTCCGTCCGGCATACCATGTGGCGATTCCGTGCTGGTAGAAGAGCTGCAGTACGGCGCCAATGTTGAATATGAGCGATCCTACGACGAGAGACCATCGGCGACCGTAGCGCGCAGTAAATGGCCAGACGAACAAGCACGAGAAGAAGGCTATATATTAGGAAACGTGTATTAGAACCCATATGTCCGAATCTACTTCAATTCCACGTTGTATGCTTCCTCTTGTTTTATTTTCAATTTTTTTTTTCTTATTTTTCCCATCTCGTATTCTTCGCCATAAACCAATCGAATAAACGTGCATATACAATACATACCTCCGGCTTGCAGCAGACTGGCCGACAGCGAGGTGACATTGTCTCGCTCCTTGTCGCTAAACCCCATGTCGCGCACAAAGGAATCCAGCGTCAGGACGCCGCCCACGATGCCCGTATCGTAGGCGAAGAGGAATGAGCCGACACATGATAGGGAGACGAGGTACGTGGCCCTCCATGTGCCGAGGCGCGTCATGATGGGTTGCTGGTCGTGTGAGTTTTCATGGGGAAATAGAGAGACAGAGAGAGAGGAAAAGAGAGGAGAGGGAAATATGGTGTGGGATGGACAGCCGTTGGTGTGTGTTAGTTTGTATGTATGTTTATATAAACGTGTGGCGTGGCAATAGCTTTGGGGTCTGAATTAGGAGATTGAATTAAGCATGCTGGGTGAGTGAAGAGCACTGCAACCTCGGAGAATTAGATTGAAATATCGTGAGATTCAGTCTGCAGAGGCGTGCATGCGAATACGAAGTAATGCTACTACTATCTACTATTTCATGACGGCCTATCAGCAATGCATCTATCCGCGGTCTCGGATCTCTCAGCAGGCCGTTTGACGTAATCCCGAGACTGCGGCCATTCAGCCGAGCAGGCAAAAGCACGCATCCGTAGCCCCCATGGAGATTTTCGCTGCATGGGGTGAGCAGTCATGCAACGTGCTAGCCAGCCTCTTAGCTGCGGGGAAGTCGTGCATACAAGAGGGTTGGTGCGGAGAGAGTGGGATTCGAGATTTAAGAAATTAGAATCCCGGTTGGTGATTGTGAAACTTGTTTAGTAGGCATTAGTTCTAGGCCATATTCCGCTTTGGGAAAGGAGAGCGTTTTTTAAATCTATTTCTTTTACACCAGCACCTATGCAGACATGACGGTTTGCAGCTTTCGAGGAGTAAGTGGCACAAATAGGAGACGGAGGCGGACGAGATATTTGTAGAAGGGGATTATAAGATTATGTGGGGTAAGGACGAGATGAAGACTTGGATGATTAGAGATGGTTGGAGATGCTGTTGTAGATGCACTGAATGACTAAGACGAGGTTCGCAGCTTTTAACAGCAGAGTAGATGTGTTGGCTTCTTAGTTTCATAAGTGAATCTGGCGCTTCGTCGATATCACTCAATACCATTGGCGTTGTAAATTCAGGAGATTGAATAGGGTTTATATTAGTATGGCCAGAAATGGCGTATACTCAACTTTTTCAAGCAGTGTATACTAGGCACCGGCAGTTGTCCATGTTAAGTTGTTAACGTTCGACTTTGCTAGAGCGGAGAACTTACGCACCGGATAGCAGATAACGGCAATAAATGAGTATTAATCTCGAAAATCTTCCTCTCCCAAAATGGCCACCTCTTTTGAGAAAACATGAGGCAGCGGCGAAAGAACAAGCTAGCTACCTTGCGTCTCACCCAAGTAATGCGACAAGCTACGAAGCACGAAGAGAGACGGGCACTGAACGACGTGATGACTACCATTGCGCCCATCATCCCTTGTATATCTTCGTTGGAGATTGTCTCAACTTTGCCAGATTGCCAGATTTAGCAATGGATGATGGCCTTTAGTCTCGCGGCCACATTCTTTCGTTGTCTCGCCACGGTAGGTCGAAAGCTTACCACCACCCTACCGCAACTGCATTACATCTTGGAAAGAGCACTCATGTCTCTGTAATTGGGGAAAGTTTTTTTTTAAACGTGAGAATTAGGTTTAGGAAATGAATCTTCAACTTATCGTCTCATATTGGCCACGTAGTGATGACAAGATGACCACAGTGCTTCACCGTGTCACGAATCTATATTGAAGCCGCCAGGCTTACAAAGTGTCAAGCCTACGATGCAATAACGTCACCACATTAACATTTTGAAATCAACCGTTTTTCATTGGTCTCATCGAAAGCTATTATCGTTAGATTAAACATAAATGTTCATCATAGATTATTTACCTTTCTAGGAGCTATCGAAGATTAAATATAATTGATCATCATAGATTATTTACGTGTTATAGGAGCCATGGGCTATAAAATCACCACTTCAAGTAGCTTCAATTTCATGCGTTTTCAACCTCAGCCGGAATAGAGACACCAAACTTCACACAGGCATGTTCAGTGTGCGCACCGTTCCTCTTAGATTGCGCCAGTGCAGCAAATATTATTCTCCTTTCTTTACCAGACGCACCATTCGCCAGGCTCTTGCAATGTCTACCATATCCGAAGCAATTATCAAGGACCACCGTGAGATAGAACAATACTACAATGAAGTGATCAACAATGCGGGCGACCATGATTACCAAACTCGGTATGGGAACCAGTTCATCTGGGAGCTCGCTCGCCATTCTGTTGGCGAGGAGCTGGTTGTCTATCCTGCAATGGAGAAGTATCTAGGTGAAAAGGGCAAAGACATGGCGGAGAGCGACCGCAAGGATCACGCAGTGGTGAGTACCGACTAGGACCATGCAGATGTTGTGGACATGATTTACTAAACATCTTTTACATAGGTCAAAGAGATGCTCAAAACTTTCCAGAATATGAAATCGTCTGACCCAGACTATGTCAACCAGCTGCAGAAACTTTGGGGGCCCCTCTCGGAGCATATCAAGGAGGAGGAGGAACGGGATTTACCCGCCTTGGAACAGCAGCTTCAGGCAGTCGAGGGGGAATCGACATCAATGGCCACGAGCTTTGGTCGCACCAAAGCTTTTGTACCCTCACGCAGTCACCCTAGTGCTGGGGAGCATCCACCATTTGAGACTGCTATGGGTTTGCTTGCTGCGCCAATCGATCACCTTGCTGACTTGTTCCGGAAGTTTCCTGATCAGAAGGTATCCCCCAATCCTTCGACCAAGTAGGACTGGTCGAATTGTTTAGTTTTCTTGAATACGTACATGCATAATATGAAGACGGTTTGCGCTCGTTTGACTTGACAAAGAATCCTACATATATTGCTCATCCAATTCTGCGTTCGGGGTATCAAAAGCCTTCGTTCTAAGCGACGATCACGCACTATGGTGCAGCAGGAGCCGCATTTTTAATTTGCTCTATTACAGGGAAAGAGAGAAGCATGATAGTCCTAAAATTGACTTCCTCCCTGGCCCTTTTTACTTCGTGGCGCTCAGAAATGGTTTCAACTTTGGATAGAAACGGCCGGCCACGATAGTAAGAAAAGTCCTCTAAACATAGCGGACAATAAAAAAAAATAATCTATGGGCAAGCAAGAACAGTTTATACGATCATGGCCACCTGTATTCCCTGTTTTGGCGGGACAGTAGTGGAGAAGAGAAAATGTTATAAGTTGCAACTATCTGATAGCTGAGGGTAAATCTGAAGGATTCAATAAATTGATCTCCCTACGCCAGACCACATTTTCAACGGTGCGTAATCTTGTGAGCGCGCAAAAGGTCTTATTTTGTATAGGCATATCGTGTGCTTGGGAATTTTGTGATTGGTGCCAGAATTGAAAAAATGGCTCCTCTCTTGGCCTTAGCCGAATTTGCCGGAATCTGCTAAACAATCCATCATTAATTAAACAGTTTCAATCAAATCGGTATACTTTCATCAAATATTACGAATGCCTAATGCCACGAGCGTAATCACTGTGGTGAAATTAGTCCGGCAATGATTCGTTATTCCCATTCCATGTCGATGACGGAGTGACGAAAAAAATGAATATTATCACGACACTACCCTCCGTCATTTCTAATGAGGGATGAGGTCATGGATACTCGTTTAAAGACAGACAAAGTACTGGTTTCATGTCTAATCCAAGGATCAATATGACGAGATGAGCCTCGATGCGCCCTGCGAAAATGTGATGGCTTATTCTCTTCCCTATTTACGAAGTGTATATAAACTTCAATACAGCCCACATATTACTCTCATAAATGCATAGACGAATAGACTTCCTCTTATCTTTTTAACAGCAACCTTATTTGTCCAATACCCTTTGTCGAATCCTAAACTTCAAAGTTAAACGACCGTTACTTGAACGGCGTTTACGAGGACTAAAAAGTTTTCTTCAAGGGGGATGGAGGACAATCGCTGATGCTATGAGTACAACTACACCTAAAAGTTACATTCCAATACGGCATATACGTTACCGGCTCAGGAGATGACTCTTACGATGGAGTCAATAAGAAGTCGTTGGATGATTGACGAGGTGTTTCTGAACTCGATGTTTAGTCTTCCTGCACGTAAGGCTAATGAGTGGGTGGTAGTGAACGGCCCTGAAATAATGACAAGAACAATATTCAGCAAACTGCAACATCAGGAAGCCTCAATGCGGGCAACAACAGTTATAAACCATATGGAATCATCTGCGATAAAGAGCCATCGACGACATAGAGCTATAGACAATATAGAGATATAGATTACACAAGACTTAAGATAGATCGCAAAAAGGTATACATCGCATAGAACGGTTTTAAAAACCATATTGCATTACATCGCGAAGCTGTAGCACATTGGCAATACCAAGACTAAAACTAACACCGCTTATTGAGTGATGTAAATATTGGATTTGGGCAGGAGTCGATAGAATACAATTCATTTGGATAGTTGTTCTTTGTCAAGAAGCGCTGTCGCCGCTTTTAGTGTTTCGCTCTGCACTTCATCCAGCGGCGGCACTACACTGATAATTGTAGCATCATATTCATCAATCCTTGGGCGCTCTAACACGTCGAATTGGCTGTGGACCAGGTTTGACTTGGCAAAGTGATTTTGTCTAGCCTCTGTCCTCTGCCGCAATACGGATTCTGGTGCATCAAGAAAGAAGAAATGCATGAGAGAATACCCAGCGAGATCGCAGCTTTCTCTCAGGATATCCCTGTGAGCTCGTTTCAGAGCCGAACATGTAATGATGAGATGGTGGTGTTGAGATTGCTGTCGGTTATAGGCCGAAGCTTGCTCGTTGATTGCTTCAAACCAGCCTTGACGGTCCGTGTCTGTCAATGGCTCGCCTCTATGCATTTTGTCGATATTGGCTTTTGGGTGAAGCTGCCAATGATGTTAGCATCCGTATAGTCAATAATTCAGAGTCATCTCACGGATCATACATCGTCGCCTTCTAAGTAATGGGCACCTAACCTCGAAGCGAGAAATTTTGCGACTGAAGACTTGCCTGAGCCTGTGGGACCCGAGACAAACAATATCCATGAGGGCTCCTTCACAGAGCCTTCGTCAGCACCACTGCAACCGATAATAGAAGACATGCTGGTATCAGTAGAGTTTAATGAGGCAGTCATGGTTTGAATTGAGATGGTTTTATTGATCGAGAAAGTAGGTCGCGCCGTGCTATCTAAGACTGACCGTATAGAGGTAATGTTGAATCCCACAAGACAATGGCCGGCCTTATCACAGCCAGTTAACATAACATTTTGTTGTCAATATGGGAAAATCGTCGCATTATTTGTTGCAGCTGCTGTGATTGTGGTTACTAACCGTAGTTATGGCGTAACATTGGGACTCCTGCCGCTCAACATGACGTCAAGACTCTAACTCCTCCAGCTCCCAAGGGCAAAAGAGATTCAATGAAAAGTGCTAGAACGTTTCGGTATTCCCGTTTCATCCTTTTCCGAATTAGTTTTAGAATAAAAAGAGTTCCAAATGCCGCAATGATACTCTGTTCAAGTGTACTTTCTGCCTCGGTGGACCCCAACTACATTACACAGTGGGCATGAAGTTTGCCCCCCATCATGAGCTTGTTGGGCTTATAGTTAGCAGCAGTATCAGCCGCCCCGTCATTCTGGCTCAATTAAGATATGATTCGAGCGCCCCTTTGATGGCATCAATTTCTTTTTGCATGATTAATTCCCTTTTCATTTTAAGTGAGTGTGCCATTCGGAGCGCTCTCCGAAACACACAGGTCCAAAAGCTGACGGAACCCCTTCTCGCCACTGGTGCCCTGCAAAAAGACTGTGGAGCATCAGAGCTGTAAGTGGCAGATATTTCAAGGGTCCATTGGGTATCAAACTGATCATCGTGTTCCCGCCCGCTTGAGCTGATTCGCATTCCGAAGTGCGTTTCATTTGTGGCGCTTTTGCTGAATGTATCATCAACCTGATGTATACATGACTGTGTTATGCAGCTAGTACGTCAAACTCTTTTCAGTATGTGATGTTTCAAACGTAGAATCGTTCAATTGATAGTCACCAATTACATGGTGGCTAGTATCTCGATTGCATTGGAAAGTGCGAATATCAACTGTAAATCTCAAAAAGCATTTATTAATGTCCATAGATGCCGTAACCTTGTAATAAAGCCACAGAAAACTAACAAATGTGCACCAAAATCTTCAGTCGGAAATAGTGCACAGCTTCACTCAGGTACAAGTCCAGTCATACCATTCAACTCAACTAAATCGCCTATTCCATATAACGACGCAATCAATACTTTTATGGCCCAAGCTACCTCGACGATAGAAAAAAAGCCAGATTCGACCCACGACTCGGGAAACGCCAGTCAACTGAGCCTTGCGCCGTTGAATACAGAAACGGGCTCAAGCCCTATGGCCAGCCATCTTATGCACGATTGGGGCATATTCGATGAGAGGAGCGATATCATGGATCCTCCCAATCTGTCCTCATACCAGGAATGGGTTCCTGCAGAAAATCAGTTCTATCAGCTTGATGACTCATACAATACTAGTCCTTGGCTGCCAATTAATCCAGAAGAAGCTCTATTCAATAGCACACAGGCTACAGAATCGCTGGGGAGCTTGAATTGGGTAGAATCTAGCTTGGCCAGCGACTTGCTAGACGGCTCAATATGGTCGCCTAGATCATCACCCAGAAACATAACCAACGTCCAGCTCAACCCTCTATCCAACAATGAGAAGCTACCATCGATATTCGACAAGAACGAAACGCACAACGAGGCTGTGGAAGATCATGGCAGCAAAAGGCGAAGAAGAAGCTCTTCCACTGACCTTCAAGCGACAGATATAACAGAACAAAGGCGCTTACGGCTCATAATCAGGAATCTAGAACATTTTGAAAACGAGCAGAGAATATATGGCAAACGGCAGCTGAGGGCAATAAAAGATGGCTTGGCGTAACGTGCGTCTCTTTAAATGGCAATATATATTTTTATAAAAATTGTTAAGCAATTCTTATAGCATTCATTAGCAAATGGCATTATGCTGTGACAGAGAACACTTCTCGAAGTTCCCATATGCTTAGCCTTCACTTGCTCCAATCATGTTTGGAAGATCTGAGGAACCGTGCAATGTTAACGGTTTCCCACCAGGGTACCTAATATTTTATTGGCAGTGGGTAGAACCTGTGTACGGCGATATTGAAGATCCGTTGATCTAATGTAGGAACTTTTGCGTGACGGTGGTTAGAACGTGATACCATGGAAGTGAGACTATTGATAATGGTGAATTTTTTTTTTTGCCAAGTCTAATTTCCAACGAACCGAGCGTTGAAGGGGATCGGGCGTCTAATAGCAATATTAATAACACAGTCTCTCCGCTTTACTCTGTGCGTCAATGTGAAAAGTCGTGCACGTCAGTGTGTAAACTTTCGCCGCAATTTGCGTCATCTGCAAAGTCTGAAATCTGTTCTACCATCTGACTAATGTTTGAGCGCAAACTAGATAAATAGGCATATGAACATATTTCATAAAACGCACCGTATGTACATACTTATTCCTTGATCCAGAGATTTATCATTCTATCACACACTATCTTTGTCAACGCAAACTCGAAATGTCTAGACAGAGGCTCACAATGGTGGCGCTCGCCGGCGCAGGAGTCATCGGCGCCACAATGTATTCCACACGAAAAAAGGAAACCAAAATAAATGATGTTCAAAATAGGAGAATTGAAGCACACGAGACGCGCGAACTTGAACGTGGCAGCGCAGGCGTTGGAGAAAATAAAATGTCTGGCGGTTCGAGCAATTCGGCGACACCATCCGATAGAGATCCGGGATACCGTGAAGTTAGTACGGCGGACTCGACAAAGAATCTACCCGCTGGTGGCGTCAGCAGCGGGTATGGGGGCGGAGGCTCGACTGCCAGCGTGACGGACAAGCTTGGGCGGTCGACTTCCATCCTGGGTGGTTCTGGAAAGAAAATTGCCAGCCGGAGCGACGAAGAGGGATATCACGACACGAGAGGCATTAGCAGGATGGGCCCAGAGATTCCATCAAAGAAACGCTCCGATGTTGCGGATTAGTGCAGAGGGGAGGCAGAAGCGGTTTATTCGAACATGATGTACGACTAGTGTCTGATCCCCCAAGGTCGTTTCTTTCTTTTTTTTCGTCTTGTTTTGAGATCATGTTCAGTATGGTGCATATATCACCATTTGTCAGATGCAGGCCGCAAATGAAACACAAAATATATACAATTATTTCTCGCTGAAACTTAGGAAATAATCGCTAATTCATCTAATTATATACATCTATTTTTGACTTTGAGTATCACGCAGTGAGTTGTTTGCTCGTAGAGGAAGCAATGCTATCTGGCTATACGATGTATAAGTCCAGTATAGCTGACGGCTCAGTTGTAAGAGATCTGATCTGAACTAAGGTCCAGTTTGTTTCCAACGCCTCCGCAACCACCAGCTCTATTTTACCTTTACTTTTTGAAATTCGATTCAAATTTAGCAATCTTTGCAATAACCTTGCAAGCTAAATGGTGCTTAATTGGTCTTTGTAGCTATTGCGGGGATAATCTATGCGGGTCTGCAAGCTTGAATAATTCCCGACATCGACGTCATGACAAACGAATGAAGCTTCCCAGCTCAGGCTACCTTGGTGAATTGATTGATTCAATATATCACGCCATAATATTGCGATACTTTCATATCGCAGCCTACGCGATTTGAAATTTAAAGCACCCAAATATTGATAACATTGCGCTCCAAAATATGCAGAGGATGGTACTCATCAGCCTAATAGTGACGTTCGTGTATAGCTGATAGCTTGATGACGCCCGCTGAACGTCATGGATATGTCAACGAACCAGCACATCGGAATATTCTGAGCCACTGTGACAACCCTGTCGCCATTGTATGGTGATTCCAGTTCGGGGAACAGACGAGGCTAATGCATGCCAAGCTCGAAGCGTGCGAATTGTGCCACCATCTAAGTTGAGATATGAACAGCAGCACGTCGCCCGCCCAAATCTGGATTGGTAAAACTTCCTCATTAAACTGTTGAGGGAGGGGAAAAAAAAAAAAGAAAGGCATCGCATCGTGAACCACAAGAAAAAATGGCCGGGGAAGTTATTGATCAACCTGATCCTCCGCCAACAACCAGCCATCTCCCGGTGCTGGTAGAAAAACTGGAGGTAAAGCCGCCAAAGGCGTCATTAAACAGCCATGATTTGTGCTCACTCAGAGAATTTCAACGGGCCGCATGCTATATTGCTAGTTGTGGGTGAATAGAGATCAATGTATGCTGCCAGCGTAGCACTAACCGTCTGACAGCTATGATCTTCCTCAAGGATAATGTTCTGCTGGAACGTGACCTACAATTTCAGGATGTGAAGCCAAGGCTTTTAGGTAAATAGGTTGTCACTTTAATGACTTGCAATTGCTGACCTGTGTATTTAGGGCATTGGGGTACATGTCCCGGGCTTATACTCATCTGGTCGCACTTGAATCTTCTCATCCGCGACAGTTCTGTGGATATGTTGTTCGTTATTGGACCTGGCCATGGAGCCCCTGCTGCGTTGGCTTGCCTGTGGCTTGAAGGTTCACTGCAGCGATTCTATCCAGACAGGTACCCAGTGAATAAAGAAGGATTGAAGAATCTAATCACAAAGTTCTCTGTGCCTGGAGGGTTTCCTAGGTATGTAATCCGGCAATGCTGATGCAAATCGCTGATAGCTAACATGCCCAAGCCACATTAACCCAGAGACTCCAGGCTGCATCCATGAAGGTGGTGAACTAGGCTATGCACTCTCAGTTTCTTTTGGTGCTGTGATGGATCATCCAGATCTAATAGTCACATGTGTCGTGGGAGATGGTGAGGCCGAGACGGGCCCTACAGCAGCGTATGCATCAAACCAAACCAATTTACTTTGGTCCATCCACTAATCTGTAGCAGAGCATGGCATTCTATCAAATACCTCGACCCGGCCGAGTCCGGCGCAGTCATACCTATTCTCCATGTTAACGGTTTCAAAATTAGCGAACGTACCATATTTGGCTGCATGGATGACAAAGAGTTGACCCTACTGTTTTCTGGTTATGGCTACCAGGTGTGCATTGTGGAAACGCTAGAAGATATAGATGTCGAGCTGCACTCTGCGTTATTTTGGGCTTTGGCTGAGATCAAGAAAATCCAAGGTGCAGCACGCGGAGGCCATCCTATCAGCAAGCCTCGATGGCCAATGATTATTCTGCGGACTCCAAAGGGATGGACCGGCCCTCGAATGGTTGACGACAAGATTATTGAAGGCTCATTTCACGCTCACCAGGTCCCCTTGACCAAAGCCAACAAGTCCGAGGATCATCTTCACATTTTGCAGGATTGGTTGAAGAGTTACGATGTGCACAAGGTATTGCCGAATGGGATACCATCGCACGATGTCTTGGACAACCTACCACCGGAAGAAGAGAAGAGACTGGGCCAACTTAAACTTGCATACAACAGTTATCGCGGTCTAGACATGCCAGACTGGAAGCCACACGCAGCTAATAAATCTGAACAAGTTAGTAGCATGGAACAATCGGGCAAGTTTCTCTATGATGTTGCAAAGAAGAACCCGCGAAGTTTTCGCATATTCTCTCCAGACGAGCTAGAGAGCAACAAACTCAGCGCTGTGTTGGACCAATCCGGGAGAAATTTCCAATGGGATCAATACTCTCGCGCCTCAGACGGCCGCGTAATCGAGATATTGTCAGAACATTGCTGTCAAGGCTTCCTGCAAGGATATACCTTGACGGGGAGAACGGCCATTTTCCCAAGCTACGAGTCATTTTTGGGAATAATTCACACCATGATGATCCAGTACGCCAAATTCTCCAAGATGAGCCGCAAATTATCATGGAGAGGCGACCTGAGCTCCATCAATTATATCGAAACGAGCACATGGGCACGACAAGAACACAATGGCTTTTCACACCAAAATCCTTCATTTATCGGCGCGGTTTTGAACCTTAAGGCCGAAACAGCAAGAGTTTACTTGCCACCTGACGCGAATTGCTTCCTTAGCACTTTAGATCATTGCCTCAAGTCTAAAAACTATGTGAACTTGATGATCGGATCCAAGCAGCCCACACCAGTTTACCTCTCCACTGAAGATGCGATCCAGCACTGCAAAAATGGCATTTCGATGTGGAGATTTGCGAGTACATACAACGGCGAAGACCCAGACGTGGTTCTTGTTGGAATTGGCGTTGAAGTGACATTTGAGGTCATTAAAGCCGCAGAACTCTTGGCCACGCTTGTACCAGAGCTACGGATTCGGGTCATCAACGTTACAGACCTGTTAGTCCTGCCGGTTGAATCGCATCACCCTCACGCCTTAGAGCCAAAAGAGTTCGACTCAATGTTCACATTGGACAAGCCAGTGTGCTTCAACTACCATAGCTATGCGACAGAGCTGCAAGGGCTGCTCTTTGGGCGCCCGGCGTTGCATCGCATGACGGTTGAAGGTTACAAGGAGGAAGGTAGCACCACAACGCCGTTTGATATGATGCTTGTTAATGGCGTCAGCCGTTTTCATGTTGCTTCAAGAGCCCTCAAAGCTTCAGCTCAGCAGAATGATGTGATTCGAGACAAGTTGAGTACGTTGCTAAACAAAATCAGCGAGGACATGACAAGTATCAAAGACTACATCGCAGAATATGGGAAAGGTGAGTCTCACGCTACACTTGCGACAAAAAAAAAAGCTAATGTTTTCCTAGATCCAGACGATGTTTACGAGCTGAATTTTGGCGGATCCAAAGCTTAGAAGGGACATGCATTGTTACACATAGCGACAATAGGTAAGCCTCGCCTGTTCATAGCATAGCAGAAGATTGAGACTATTACACAGACATCAAGGAATATATGAGTAATCGTTTCACCTGATCGCATACTCGCTTGTGGGCTCGCATGATTATAGTAGCTGTAACTTGTGTGGATTTATTACTCTACATGCTTAAGTGTCTCTGGGTTGTGTGCAACCCCATGCCCATGCTGGTCCGTGAAAACAACCTTGATCCAGTCAGTTCATGTGCCGCGAGTATTGGGCTTGTTGAGAATAGCCGCTGTAGTTTGATGTTAGATACCTTTGGCGGATGCTTGACGTTGGCCTTTTTAGCTTCTTCTTCTGTGTATACGACCTTTTCTACTTCCCCTTCGCGTTTTCCTCCCCTAATTGGAGTCCAGACGTCGTCACCTTCTTCAATTGGCTTTCCTTCTTTGTCTTGAACGGCTGGCGACATGTTATGGCTTGGTGGTTTTAATTTTTAGATATGGACAAGATGTTGTATTCTAAATCAGATTTAAGCTGTTTTAATGAAATCTTTTATACGAACTTGTGATGTAGTTGTACTGTAGGTTTGTGTCTAGAATCAATGACGTCGTGTTGACGCCCGCTATCTGTCTCCTGTATATCATCCTCAACCTCATCCCGTCATACATACTCGCGAACACATGATGTTTATGTCATATTACGGTAATCAGTATTCGGAGGCTGTAGCTTCAATGTCACATAAATAAATATGCCGTTGATCCCTTCTACCAGTAGCTCGAGAGCGTGGGCACATTGGCAGAGTTTCTTCCTATTGTACACCTCAAACGTTTAGTAAATATGGCAGCTTCAGAAGCAGCGTATCTGGCTGAGAAAATCATCGGTCATGACGATAATGCCATCACTGAGCAAGATGTTTCCGACTACCAAGGAATTGGAGCGGCGACCATGATGAAAGCGTTGGTTTGGAGAGGAAAGAATAAGGTTGAAATTGGTTTGTGGGCCCTTCTCATTGGTATCATGTGTGGCGAAACTTCAAAAGCTTGCTGACATTTCTCCCAGCCGATGTTCCTAAGCCCCAAATTTTGGAAGATACCGACGTGATTCTCAAGGTAACCGGTTCTACCGTCTGCGGCTCTGATTTACATCTCTATCATGGAACTGTTGTACAACTCGCAGATGGCGACATTCTGGGACACGAGTTCTGCGGAGTTGTAGAGGAAGTTGGCAGCGCTATCAACAAAGTCCAAGTCGGAAAGAGATACGTGGCTTCTTTTCAAATCGCGTGTGGAGATTGCTTCTTCTGTAAACAGAAGCTATCGTCGCAGTGCGAAAAGACAAACTCGAATACAGCTGCGAAGAGTCTATATGGTGGAAGGACAGCAGGCATCTTTGGATATTCGCATCTCACAGGCGGTTTCGCTGGTGGACAGGCAGAGTATGTGCGTGTTCCACTGGCTGACGTGAACTTGTTGGCTATTCCTGATGACGTTCCGGATGAAAAGGGTAAGCTTAATCTCAGAATCGGTCAAGACACGTATAATCAGAAAAGCTGACATGCCACCTAGCTCTATATCTCTCTGACGTTCTCTGCACCTCTTACCATGCTGTCAAAGACACCGCTGTCTACCAAGGCGACGAAGTGGCCATCTTTGGAGCAGGTCCTATCGGACAAATGGCGGGCGTTTTTGCCCTCGGAGAGGGAGCATCCAAAATTATATTCGTAGATACCGAACCGCGTCTTACCCTCGTCAAGCAGCATTTCCCCGTTTCACACAGCGATAAACTCGTTTTGATCGACTATAAGAAACTATCTCATGGCATCACTTCCAAAGAGACTGTTGTCAGCAAACTAAAAGATGTTTGTGGCGGACGAGGCCCAGATGTCGCTATCGAGTGCGCAGCTGGGGAATACGCCAAGGGGTGGATGCATTGGTTGGAAATGACTGTTGGTGCTGAAACTGACACCAGCGAGATTCTCAATGAAATGATTGAAGGAGTACGCAATTATGGCCGCTGTGGCGTCACTGGAGTTTATGTCGCATACGTATGTACACGTCCTACTATTTTGCTGGAAACTCATGAACTAATGGAATTCATTTAGACAAACCACTTCAACGTAGGCTCGCTCATGCAGCGAGGTATCCGACTTATTGGAAACGGCCAGGCGCCGGTACACAAATACTGGGAAGAATTGCTTGCCATGATCCAAAAAGGCGAGCTTAACCCACTACAGATGGTTTCTCATAGAGTAAGGCTAGAAGACCTCGACAAAGTGTATGCAAAGTTTGATGCAAAGGAGGATGGTATGCAGAAGGTGTTTGTTCAGACTAGATTCTCTATGCCAAGGGCTTCAGAGTCTCCCGAAGTAACTATCTATTAAAAAGGCTCGACGTATTTTATTTGTATGACATCAGCTTAATAGGAACTCTTCATGGTTCATTAATACAATCGCTTCAGGCTTCCTTTTAAATTAGTTTAATAAGCCAGACGCTATAACGAACGACTGGGTTACGGTAGTTTTACATACAAAAACATTGTAGCCAGTAAATGGTGTGGGAATCGAAAGAGAGAGAAAATAGTAATATGTCCGAAATCCAATTGTAAAACTTTGGGGTTTCTGTGTAGAAAGTCTCTCTTTTGGAGGAAAAGAGCCCTTGAATCACTTTGTCTTATGGTTACTTCACTGTGCCAAGATCATATGAAGATTACATGTATATACCTATGAGAATGCTGCTATAGTCCGATAAAAATCCCCTCTCTCTCTACATCATATTTCATCTTGTATCAGAACTAATAAGAGTATATTTCTCATTTCTAGCTCACATCTATTGCTCTTACGCTTTTGTGTACAAGTTAGAGAAGATAGATTTCCAGGCAGTATATCTTCGCTTCCAAATCTGTTGTTTTAGATTACCAGCCTTCCTCATCCAGCCAGCTATAATAATAGTAATAAGACAATTCAAGGCAACAGCTGCTACGCTCAATAACTCTTTAATAAGTTTATGTAGATGATATACTGCGAGAATCCTAGTGCAGACGCTGGTGTGTATGGGTGAGTGTGTGTCTGGATTGCTAGATGCTACGGCCACATGACTCACTTGCCGGGTAATCTACAGGGGGCTCCCCTCCATCATAGGAGTCTCCATACCAACCCTCCAAAGCGTACTGATATATGGTTGTTGATCTACTTCCTCCTCTCCCACCCTTCTGCCGTGAAAATCTGCTTCACATTTCTTAGAGCCTTTATTCTCTAAGCCTCCGTTTATTTTGACACACCCCCTGCACCGCCTCATGGAGAGCACTTTAGGTCCACGTGAGACTACTCTAGAAACTCACCCAACCCAAGGGATTTCTTTCTCTCGAGAAACCATTGTCAGCATTATTGATTTCCTTGTTCCTGGATGCAGAATTTTGGCTATCGATGCTCTGGAACATGGCCGATCATTCAACAATCGCATCTACTTTTTGAAGGTTTATATTCCTGACGACCTGCTCTTGCATAGCCTAAACAACGGAGCTGTCAATGATTTGGTTTTGAAATTGAACGGCAAGTTCTTTGACTATACGAAGAGCAAAAATGAAGTGTCCTGCTTGTCTCTTCTTGAACACTTTGTGCCCGAAATTCCGTCACCAAAGGTTCTTGCTTGGTCTGATAGCAAGAATTCCATCGTTCACAAGTTGACTGCCACGGGAAACTTAGCAACAAAGGAATTCGAGATTAATTCCGAAGGCGATGGAAAAGTTCAGGGCTGGATCCTAATGACTCGACTTCCTGGAGTTCCTTTGTCGACGCTGAATCTAAATACAGACAAGCTCAAGGTCGTCGGCGAGCAACTAGCGGACATAGTCTACCGCTGGAGAGAGTCGCTCCCTGCCTGGGCAAGCGCTGGGAACCTTGAATGCGAAATCTCTCATGAGGAGGAAAAAGCCCTAAATTCATTAGAAGTTCCCGGTTTGCGCATTGCGTCTTCTTCATACATGCCTGGTTTTGGTGTCAAAGTTGTTGAGCCTATCATAAGCCAGCTTCAGTACTACCAAGTGAAACTTGAGACACGGCTCCAGAAGCTTCAGGAATTCGATATATTTTCTGGAAACAGGCATTTAATAGCTCCAATCAAAGAGTTCATTGCCATCCAATTGCCTCAGCTCGGAATAAGTAGTGGGGAAAGTCGTTTCTTATTCACACACTACGACCTTTCTCCACGCAACGTCTTGGTGTCTGCGGATCACACGAAGATCACTGGCATTATTGACTTTGAGTTTTCTGGGTTTTTCCCTGAATTGGATGAATTTGTCAATGACTCCGTGGCAAATGAAGGCGACTGGCCTGATGCTTTTTACGAAGCATACTTGAGTAGGCTCGAGGTCTGCGGAATGAAAACTCCAAGAAAAGGCATCAAAGACCAATATTGGAGAGAAGCAACATCACTTTCTCGGTTAGAAGACAACGTAGCGCCCTGGTGGCTTGAGAATCTCGCACCAGAGGACAAGAACCAATACTCGGAAGACCTACGGAAGTCGGGGAAAACGGTTCTAGAGACAATTCAACTATTTGGTACTGGCCTTTGAGGTCTCTGTCCCATGGGCTTCGCTGGCATTTGGCCATCAACAGCATATGTCCCCCCAACGGGTTGCCCAGAAGAGCCCAGAAGAGCAACCTTCAAGAGCCAAATGACCAACCAACTAAACCCCCCCGAGCGGTTTGAATCACCCTAGCTGTAACCAAAGGCACTCGCCAGAACAGGAGGCCAGTCAAGCATGCATAGGGAGGCAGCCCTTTTCCTATTTTTTAGTGGCTATGGTCCACTAAACAACAAGCCTACCCACTAGATACTTGAAATCCGTCTCTCTATCTATGACTTGAAAAAGACATTTAATGTGCTAAGACTATCAATCCCAGCAGCGTCCGCCAGGTTGAGATTCAATATTGAGTAGATCAGAGGACAAGCGCGAATCGGGATTTCTCCAGTGCTATGCTGTATTGTTTCACAAACACATATACATGGACCTTTCCATTAGAGCGCATGGAGCTAGCGGGTACTTCAGATAAGCGGTCAATCTGATATGTCGTACATACTGGAAGTCGTCATGAGTCGTTCCAGTCAGCCGGATAGCTTTGTTTGTATGGTTGCACGTATGGAGATTCGAGGCCCCGTTGATTTCAACCAACCGGACGGATGAAGCGAAATTGGGGGCACCATAGTGAGTACCGGCCTACCCGAAACCGTAAATGGTATTCTGCTCGAGATAAAATACCACATAACCGCCATGGTATAGGGTCTAGCTGCAACAAGTATTTCGCATCCTTCTAGAATAGAAGAAATGGTCATGTTAGGCTCTTCAGAAGACACGATGTCCCCGCGTTCTTGGTCGACAGGCTCATTGTAATATCACAAGATCGGATTAAAAAAAAAAAAAAAAAAAAAGGCTTCACGGCATAAATACATATAGATATCTCTCTCGAGTATCAGTAGCTTATGCATGAGAAGAATGAAAATGCTCTATATCAATCAGTATCTATTTTATTATCTATTGTCATTGAAGACGGTAACTATGCTCAAATACCTTGATACACGGTACCCCCACTTATGCAGTATTGAAAGAATGCGAAATTTAGCTCTGGGTTTTAGCCAAGGTAAAAGCCGCAAGTCTCCTAGCCTTACAACGCTGTTGGGCATCAAGTAGAATAGGTATTTCTGCATAGTGGTCAAAATCAACGCTCGTAACACTATCCGTGCAAAGTAGAGCATCGGATACAACATGGAGCAGTCAGCTTCCTCCCCCAAAGAGGCTGCAAATCACCAGGTTGCAAATAGTCAGTTTGGTGATCAGAATAGGATACATCAGGGCAACAATAATACCACCCTCAATCTCCATCTGGCCTACCGACCGGCCCGAACCGCCATCCGCGTCATTCCATATCCACGCAACGAGGATCTAATCCATCGCCCGGATCTCGTCGATAGACTCAATACAATTCTGCCATATTCCTCAGTAACATCCCGGAGCGCTGCACTCTGGGGTTTAGGCGGGTCTGGGTAAGTTCGCCTAGATACATATCAATCGAATACACAAATGGCGCAGCGGTTAATTGACCTAGAAAAACACAAATCGCATTAAACTATGCATACCAGCGTTGTGCCGACGCCAGTTGCTCAGTCTTGTGGGTGCACGCCGATACCGAGGCAACATTTTCGCAAGATTATAAAAACATAGCGCGGAAACTTCAAATCGATAAGAGTCGTCTGAGCGAAGAAGATCTTCTTGAGGCTGTGCGCGACGGTATCGAGGCACTATCTAACTGGGTGCTTATTTTGGATAACGCCGACGACTTGAAGCTATTCGGCGTTGGGAAAACAGATCAAGAAACAAAGGCTCTATTTCAGTATATACCTCATGCATCTACGGGCACAGTGTTGTGGACAACTCGTGATGCTCATATCAGGGGAACACTTGTTAGCCAAGGCCGTAGCATCGAGGTTGCACGCATGAGACCTGATGAAGCAAAACAACTCTTGATGACATTTTGGAGCGCAAAACCAATCAGAGAAGAGGCTGAAATCGATTCTTTGGTGGAGGAGCTCCAGATGCTTCCATTAGCCATCATGCAAGCCGGAACATATATGCATCGGACATCAACAACACCTGAAGAGTATTTATCTCTTCTGGCACAAAGCAAAAAAAGATGGAATATACTTAAGACGAATGATTTTAACAGGCATCGAAGACCCAGTGTACCTAATAACGTACTTGAAACGTGGACTATTTCAATAACTCGCATTAGGCAGGAGAGCGAAATGACCTACAAAACCCTTCATGTTGTTGCGTACATCAGCAACGAAAACATTCCACATGAATTAATAAAGACTGCACTCAATCACATTGATAATAACCTGAAAAACGATTCAGAGTTATTAGAACATGAAGCTACCAAAATTATCACGCGACTGAGAGAGTTTTCGTTTATTGGCATACGCCAAGTGGAAGACGGGAGCAGAAGTTATGAGATGCATAAACTCGTACAGGAGGCTGTTCGGTATGGGCTGAGTATGAACAAGTCAAGCGCAATCAGTGAAAATGAAATCTTCCAGGATGGTATCTCGGAGAAGGAGAACGGGACTCGAACAAGCCAACACGAACTTATCGACTTGGCCGGCGTGGGCGATGGTAAGCACATGGGAAGCGAAAAATATTTCTCGAGCATCGCTCTGCAAGCCACAGCAGATCTCTTTCCTGAATCGCAACAAAATACTTGGAAACAATGCGAGAAATATTTAGCACATGCATTGCAAATTGGAGAGTGGGCAGACATTGGCGAGAAGCATATTGAGACAGCAGAATTGCTCAGCAGAGTGTCCGATTTTTTTGAGGACCGTGGGCGATGGAATGAGAAGGAGAGAGTAGATGAAAAGATACTAGAATTTCGACAAAAAATATTAGGAGACAAGCATCCAGATACAATCTGGACTATAGCAAACCTTGCATCAACATACTATAAGCAAGGCCGGTATAGAAAGGCAGAGGCTCTCGAAGTTCAAGTGCTTGATAACCGACAAGAGATTCTTGGTGACAGGCATCCAGATACAATCAAGGCAATGGGAAATCTTGCAGTAACATACTATGATCAAGGCCGGTATAGCGAGGCAGAGACTCTGCAAATTCAAGTGCTTGATATCCAACGAGAGATTCTTGGCGACAGGCACCCAGATACAATCAAGGCAATGGGAAACCTTGCAGCAACATACCATGGCCAGGGCCGGCGTAGCGAGGGAGAGACACTAGAAGTTCAAGTGCTTGATATCCGACGAAAGGTTCTTGGCGACAGGCATCCAGATACAATTATGGCAATGGGAAACCTTGCATCAACATATTATAAACAAGGCCGGTATAGCGAGGGAGAGACTCTAGAAGTTCAAGTGCTTGATATCCGACAAGAAATTCTTGGCGACAGGCACCCAGATACACTTATGGCAATGGGAAACCTTGCATCAACATACTATAAGCAAGGCCGGCATAGCGAGGGAGAGACTCTGGACATTCAAGTGCTTGATATCCGACAAGAAATTCTTGGCGACGGGCATCCAGATACACTGACGGCTATGCATAACCTCGCTTGGAGTTGGTATAGGCTAGACCGCCATCAGGATGCAATTGCGCTGATGCAACAGGCTTTGCAATATAGGCTGTCAGCATTGGGACCGAATCATCCTAATACTCTGCGCTCTGCCGAAGCTCTCCAAGAGTTTCAATCTTCAGTCGATAAGCCAAGATAAATCAAAACTACCAAATGTATTAGCTCTTCTTCCATTTATTAACAAATACAAAAATGAGTTGTTATAGAAGTGGATAAATACGTTGGCAACCATGAGTAAGCTTAGCTCTATTGTTTAGACGTCACTCGATAACATCAAGGATAATATTGCTATTTTCCATAGCAACTTGAAAATGAAAGCCGTCTTCATGAAGGGGGTGGTAAGAGGAAATTTAGAGATGTTGTTAAAAGAAACGGTTCATTTCTACTTTGTGTGTCCCTTCACTCTTTAAGAAGTACGTGTATGAGCTGATGAAACATGGGTTCTCCTATAATTGCACAGAAGAGAAAATAAAGACCAATTTTGATCTTCTTAGCCCAAGGCACATACTTGAATGCAGTAATAGCCACATATGAGTTTTATTGAAGTCTATCTAGCGAACTACGGGTCCTTGTTTGTAACTATAGCATAACTTACTGGTTAACTGTTGTACAACTCCTCTCAATCGTCTTGTCTTATGTTTTCATCAAAAGTGATAGCAAAATATATATCGCCACGTATAAGGAGAGTTCGAACTCAAACAAGAGTCCGCTCCTACACACTTGAGAAATCCAACTACACGCTCCAACCTAATGATTTCGAACTCTATGAAACCTCCCAGTATTATTTACTCTGCTATATACATGTAAACTCATGAGGATACGACCGCTCTCCCCAAGCCCCAGCCAACCCCTGGCATGACTCATACAGCCAACCCCACAGCGTCAGCATCCTTCGGCTACAGTAAGCAAAGCTACCAACCAATCGCTGTGTCAACACCCCTTATAAACCAAAAATTAACAGATGACATTTAGTGAAGTAGCTGGTAACTAGGTCATTTGACTCTTTTGGTTTATAACTAGAGAATCTCCATTGGTCCCGGAGTCTTCACTTTTTGCACCTCCATTCGAATTTCTCTTGTTGCTCATTTTTTTTTAGGGTTGTGCTTCTATCCTCAAGTACATTATTTCGGTGGTACGCCTTATCTGAGCTTTTGGTTCCTTTCGTCCTTTTTTTGTATTTTCGTTGCGCAGCCCTTTTTCTCCCCCCTCCCCCCTTTTCTTCCCTTTCTATTATTATCGTTTTCTCCTTCTTTCCCACGTATTGCTACACTAACCAAGTATGTTGTAGTATACATGTTCATGAAGGTTATTTCCTACCCTATATAAAGTCTCGCTGTTTGCCAGTATTGCCTTGCTCTTTATTATAGTTCAATCAAAGTCATCATATCCATTCCTTTTCTACTATATTACATCTCAACTGTACAGAACCAAGCACAATTTACGAATGTATTATAGTTGGTTTTCAGTTTGCAATCCATCAACTAAACATCAGCGCGGTCACTTATTTTCTCTTCTATCGTCAGAAAATTCTTGTCAGCATGTACCAACTCTTATGATGCCAAGGCAGAGTTGGTGTGTACTGTCTTTTTACGCATCTATAAAGCCATTTCACACCACTAGATACTACTGTAACAAAAGAGTCTTTATATCAATCCCATCACTACTAAAATTAGTATAGAGTTAACATAGAGTATATCCGCCTACATGATTGTATTCCCATCACACATCTCAACCGGTAAGAAAAAAACTCATTCCAACTTCAACCCAAAAAGCACCCAGAAGCATCTTTCACACAAAGCAAACTCCCATAGAAACCCGTAACACAACCCATCCCCATAAACACATCATGGATAGGACTTACAACATCCCACACCAACCACCCCAAAACCTCTCGGTGTGACTAATTCGCGCCTCCCACAGCCACCCCACAGCCACCACCCCACCCAAAACGCCACCCAATCACCATCCCCCTTCCGCCAAATTCACAAACATGCCCTTATAAGTCAAAGTAAAATGCAAAGACTTTCAGTGAAGTAGCTGCAACAACCCAAAGTCTCAGTAATGCACCGCTCTCCGCAAGGGGAGCCCTTCACTTTTTGTTCTCTTTTGGCTCTGTGTTCGAGTGTCCTTTGTTGTCTGTTTTCTTTGTCTTTTTTTTTTTTGGCTTGTAATTTGCTTGCCTTTGGGAAGCAACATTACTACAACAGCTACTGTTCGCATACATAGAGAACTGCCAACCTATTGCGCGCGGTTATGAAAACAATAACTTAATTCGACTTATTGTCTCCGGTATAGCTCTGTTCAACTACTGATGCCGCTGGTAAAGACTGGCAACTCAAGTGGTACGGCTGCCAAGTATGAACGTACGTAGACTTGCTCACTGTAGGTGTAACTCTACCTTGTGCGCGGCACGCATATCATCCAATCTCTTCCAACCAGTCGTTGTTTCGCATGAGGAACATCCTAGCGTAAAACACAGCATCAAAAGCATTCATCAACCGGAGGCTTCTTATCCAAAGTCACACAATATCCATTCGTTTACACACAGTCAGTCAATTGCTTTGGCCCTCAAAGTTGTTCAATGCATTCTATTCAGTCCGCTATCGGAATACATCTATCCCTAGAATGCACATCATGTGCCATTCCTTTTTTTGCCGTGGACTCAAAATCCTGACCACGCTGTTCCCAAAAATAAACCAAAAAAAATAATGACTTTGTTGATGATAAAAAAAGACAAGGAAATAGAAATTCTCTCCCGCCGCTAGTGGCAAGTGCCCTAAAAAATCTCCAAACGACCAGATCTTATATAGGACAAAGGGCAAGATGAGAATTCAAGAAAGCAAGAAAAGAAAAAGGATATGAAACATTTCCCCCAATCCCCCCGAATATTCCATAGATTTATATATACACGTGTCAATCATAATATGTTCAAATATTTAGAGTGCTTGCGGTAGCAAATACAGTCCGAGTCATAACTACCGTCTTTTCGGGACCACATCCCAGCAACGGCAGAGATTCAGCCGATGTGGGTAAGGAGAAAGTTCCGGAAAAGTATGGCTTGCCCGGAATCTGAAGGACAGACCCCATCGACTCACTTTCATTGCTAGGATTTGTTTTGGGCCCCGGCGCAGCAGTCACTGCATCTTCGTCGCCCTTCTATGACGTCTCATAAGAAATAGCAGTGCCACAGAAAGTGTTGCGGTTGTCCTTGTCAAGGACAACCTGCTGGCCGTTGAGGTTGACCATGCTGATACTAGCCTTGGTGCTGACACCAAAGAGCTTGACTGATGAGCTCTGGATGTCAATCATATTGTCCTGGCAGTTGTTGGCGTTGACACAGTCTTGGGCGTAGTTGTTAAAGAAGCTGTACATGCCAGTGCCGTAGATGAGCGTGTTGCTGGAGTTTACCACACGAATACCCCAGGTGCGAGCGCAAGTGGAAGAGGTGCACTTGGACCAATCAGGGTCAGCATACTTGGAGTTAAACGTGAAAGGAACTCGGGCATCAGGGTTGCCCTGCATGTAGGCGGTTTCGGTCTGGAGGATGCTGCTGTAAACGTTCTGAGCGCCGTTGAAGTTGTAGTTGTAGAGCTGGCTGTGCTCGGCAGCGGTACCCCAGAGCCAGGCACCCTTGGTGCTCTCAAGCAAGAGGCCACGGCCGTTGTAAATGTTCACCTGGTTGTGGTCAGAGAGATCAAGCTCGTGATCAGAGACCCAGAGCCAAGCGTTCTCCATGTAGATGCTAGCAGAAGAGGTAACGTGCAGAAGCAAGAAAGCGCCAAAGCAAGCTGAGTTAGGAGTTGTGGTCACGCTGGGAGTCTTGACGCAAGTGTTGGACTGCAGCTGAGTGCCGGCAGAGCCACCAATTCGCCAGTGAACGTCCCAAAGACCGGCAGAGCCCTGAGAAGCGCCAGCAACGTTCCACTCCATGATGATGGCACCGGGTTGAGGGCCAAGGGTCTCAAACATGAGGTCTTGAATCTCAACGTTGCCAACATCGCCGGGCTGACCAATCTGCCAGACAGGCTTGGGGTTGTTCTGATCCTTGAACTTGCTGCCGCCAACCATGATGAGAGGCCAGATCTCACCAACAATCTTGATATTGGCGGGGACCTTGATAGTATCGGTAATAACATAGGCACCGTGGTCAAAGTAGACGATCTGGCCAGAGGTAGCGCTGTTGAAGATGGCCTGGATGGCAGCAGTGTCATCAGTGGAACCGTCACCCTTGGCACCGTGAGCCTTGACAGACACAAAGTTGCTGGCAGCGACTGTCTCGTACTGAGGCTTGCTCTTGGTGAAGATCTTACCACCAGAGGTCAAGGCGGCGGGCTTGCTGACGGTGGCACGAGTGCCCTGAACAGCCTTTCCTGCGGCGGTGCCAGTGTAGGCGCGACCCTGGGACCATGAAGCAATGTTGGCGTTTCCGTTGAGAATGGTGGCGCCACCAGTGCTCTTGACAGCGATGGGGGTGTTTTGGGTGGTATCTACGTTATCCAGAACAAGGGAACCAGCGGTGCCGTTCTGGCCGGTGCTGTATCCGGTAAGCACACCGACCTTGGTGTTGGCGATTTTAGAGTCAGAAAGCAAGATGGAGCCGACTCCGCCCTGGCTCATGTCAATACCAACATTAGCATTGTTGATAGTCAGGCCTTGGAAACTCCATAGCCAGTTCCAGTTCATGTAGATGGCGGTCTGGCAGCCATTGAAGACGAGGTTGCGGCTGGTGAACTGCTGGTTGCCGACCCACATGCCCAAGGCACCACCGTTGAAGGTGAGGTCGTTCAGCCAGCCTCCAGAGCCATCCTCCATCCAGATACCCTGCTGTTTGTTGTTGGAAGAGGTATCGGTGTTCATGTTGAATATAACGTTCTGAATCGAAGTAGCTTGGGCAACCTGCCAGTGAATACCGGTACCAGTAGACTCGGGCTGTCCAGTCAGGTCAATCTTGAAGTTGCGAATCTGGCGGAAGAAGTTGTTCTGAGACGTGTATCCAAAGGGGTTGGAGTCGATGACGGCAATACCGGCGAAATTGGCAGAGGCCTTGAGGGTAGGGAGATTGGTGGCATCACCGATCAGATGGGTGTAGTAGTAGAGCTGAATGGGCTTCGAGACGAGATAGGTGCCAGGAGGGAAGTAAACAATAGCTGGCGTAGTGGTGGAAGAGTCGCAACCGCTGCCACATCGGTTTCCGGCGCTAAGAGCAGCGTTGATGGCTGCGGTGTCATCGGTGACACCATCGCCTTTGGCTCCATAGCTTTGCACATTGCGATAGATTGTGTAGCCGGAAGCGCCAGAGTAGGGGACAGCGCCATTTCGCGCAATATTGGGAAGCCACCAGCTTGTCGCAGCAGCTGCCTCGGTTACAGCCTTGGTATCAGCAGCCGGCGCCGGTGCCGCCAGAGCAGGCGCCGAGAATAGACGCAAGGCCAGGAGAGAGGCCGTCAAGACGGTTGAGAGACCCATCATGACTAGGAAACAGTTGATTGCCGCTTTTCTGCGATTCGAGTTTCGAGGATGGTTATGTATATGCTGTCCGGTAGGTATAGGCTACGCGAGAGAAAACAGAGTCAGCGGTTTTGTTCAAAGCAAAAAGAGATTGCCAAGACACAGGCTTTTTGTAGAAATTGCACGATTGAAAGTATGATTTAGTGTAGAAGGGATATATAAGAGCACGTTGATGAGAGACATGCAAAGGGGGAAAGGGGAGTTGTGAGACGGGAACCAGAGAAGAATGGACTGACTCTGAATATCCTCTCCCTCACAAGCTTCAAGCTCGAAGCTTTACTATCACAGCGGATATGCGCAAGACAGCTGTCAGTGCGCAGGGAGGAACACAACGATGATGAGAAGAGGTGTTGGTAAGAAGATTGTGAAAAGTGAGGCCGGACAAGGTCCTTTAATAGGTCGAGGCAGTGAATGGGAAGAGGCTGGCAATAACAAGCAGAACAATACCACGACAAAAGAGAAGGTTGTGGTGAAGCATGGTGTGTTGAATCGACACCCCCCTTGGCTCTCAAACGCCCTCAAACCCCACCATCACGCGCCGATTGCTCTTTGCATGAGACCGAGAAGGAGGGAAGCCAAGGCGAGAAGACGCTATGCAGCTTCTTCTTTGGGCTCAAGCGCTGGTCGCCGTGACGAGGGTCATGAGGCACCCGCACACACATGTGAACGGCGCGCACACAGATGCTCCAGCAAACCGTTACTCTCCAATATCTGGCACCAGAAACTTTTCTGATGCCTCTCGGGCCGTACAAATCGAGCGACCAGGGCCATCCACGCATTCCATCCCGCTGCTCTCCACAGAATGACGCCTCCGCATGCATGCATGCACGCAGCGTTGTATGTAGTAGGTATTAACTTACCACGCCAAGATGATGGTGCTGATGGTGATGATGATAATGATGATGATATTGTTGCGTACAGGTTTTGTACGGTAGATGCTGGTGGTAGAAGGCAGTTGTATGCGGCGGAACGTCAGGCACTTGCTAGCACCGTCTTAATGCTGGTGAATCTAATCGACGGATCGTCTATCTCTCCTTTGATATATCAGGGGGTCGAGGGGACGAAGGGCCGAAAATGGGTGGGCCGTTTATGCGATAGGTGAAAGTGATTTGATGCGAAAGTGATGTTGCAAGAAACGTTGTTCAAACACAATCGGACGACGAACAGAACTGACAGCTGGCGGCCAATGGCGAAACAGAAAGAGCTGCTGAACAAAAACGAAACAAAAAAACACACACACGCAGAACTCGAGCTCTTTTTCAATTGACTTTCAAAGAACACCCCCAACCGTCTACTAGGCGGTTGTTGATGAAACGAGACGGTTGAAAAGTCAATTGCAGCCTTATGGAGAAAGCACACCAACAAAACGCGTCGACAACAGAGATGGAGATAGGAAACCTGCCTTATATCGTGCCACCATGCCAAAAATAGGCCAAGTTAGAGTCGGCATTTTGCGCGTAGGGCCCTCTCAGCCTCTCCACCGGGGGCAGAAAAGCTTCTTCTCCCTACCCGCTCTCCTTGTTCCGCACTCGTACGCGCGGCGGCAGCTGTTGGCTGGGAACGGCGGGTTGAACCAGCACCTCTGAGACAGCCAGGAGCCTAAGCCTCGCAAGAGCTCATCTAAGACGAGAGACACAGTGGCCGGTGGAGCGCGGCGATGGCACGAGAAGCACTCCGTGTTTGGGTCTGGATGCTATTCGCGAGCTTGCCTGGGCATCAATGGCGCATTAGCCCGGAGTCTCTGGTCAGTCCTGGCTATTAGCGTAGCCGCCACAGCGGCGTGGTGGATACGCGGCTGGCCTCCAGGAACACAGGGATACCTATTGGCTGCCACCCTCTGTTTCAACATGGGGATCTCGACATGGGTGGCCAGCGACCATCCTCTCAGGGCCAGCAGTAGACCCCAGGGGAGCCGCGCTTCCTGGCCTGACCAGCCCATCGACACAGCGAGAGCCTCTGGAGAAGTTCCGACGCTGCCCATCTCCTGCTCGGAGATGCGCAGAAGAGAGAGAAACAGCGAGAAAATGCCGCCGAGCCCAAGAACGCCAAGCATGAAACAACGAGACTCCCCGAGTGAGTGAGGACGCTGCACTGTTCTGTTTCAACCACCCGAAAACGAGATTGAGGGCGCCACTACAGCATTCTAGTCAACGACTGATCGGCAAGGAAACGCAGACTATTCGACTAGCCTGCGTATATTTGCGCGCCAGAGCATCACACAAGCCGCTCAGCGGGCATCTCGTGCGTAGAAAATGGACCTTCCCGACCCTCATGACGAGCCGCATAAACTCAGCTGCTCCTGCTATGGTTTGCGCCTCAGCGTCGATCGGGATCTGGTGGCACGGCTGCGGCAAAAGCTTTTCGCTCGTATTCTTGATGATCGCTTCTCTGGCGGCGGGACAGGTAATCTGTTTGTCGCATCCAATCCTGGGATTGATCATGTCTTGGTGGAACAGGACAGAGTCCGTCTTGCCTCTGCGCTCTCCACGCCCGGATCGGGAGATGAGCCACTAGGGCTAAAAGGTTAGCGCCGCACCGCTGGAATTACGCCTCTGCCCCTGGACTAGCTGGCTCTGGCCGGGTTATTCAGCACTAGCCACAGTAGCTACATCATTTAAGGGATCAGGGCTACAGCGGCAGAGACGGGTGCTCTACAGTATGCGCGGTACCTGTACAACGCAGTCGGTGCTTCCAGGCCTTGTAGAAGCTCGGCTATTTTGATTCTGCTTGTACTTGTACAGCCGGGCACTCCCAGCTAGCCGTAGGTAAGTCTCCGGCGGCTTCACGTTTTAGCCCTTGCTTCGTGAAGCAGCTACAGCCTGAACCTTGAATTTACACATGAGATGCTTCTTTTGGCCCCGTTTGCGAGGGTCGAGTCGAACCACAAATCTGATCAGGTGGTGGTTCCCATGCTTGCTTGCTTGTGGAAGCCACCATCAGTCGCCCCGTCTGTGCCGGCAGCTGTTTATCTGTCTCGGACACGGCAGAGTCGCGCGCAGCGCAAGAGAGACAGAGCTGAATCACGCCGAATAGGGGAAGCAATGGAATGGAGGACAGGACGGATTCGCCGCCGCGGACGAGAAAGGAAAGAGAAGAATTAATTCATTGTCATGCATTTGTGAGATGCTACATACAACTACTTGATGCGCCACGAGGATGCTCCCAGTCAGCATAACGAAGGATGGATTAATACTCCGAGCAGCAGACGCTGTACCACCTACCTTACTTATCGAGATGCACCAGGAAGATCACAATTTAACAGCCTCTGTGGCATCTGGCACAGCAAACGCAGTCGGCCCATTGTCGTGGATCTGCGCCGCTACAAGTACAAGTAAGGCCACGTCCCCTATCCGCTATATCCGGCCACGCAAAAGACCTTGTGTGCGTGCGACAAGCTGTTACCTGAGGTAGCATTCCTTTCTTGTCGCAAAGTTCCCAATGAGGAAGAATGGAAGAAAGAAAGAAACAGGCGGCACAAGCCACATAACAATGCACAAGTCAATCAACACGACCGAAACCCAGGCAACATGATCGGACGAACGATGCACCGACAAAGCGCATTGCAGAGCACCTCACAGAAATGCATTTACTTGAGCCGAGAAGCATCGTGAAGGTGAACCAGAACACCATCATCAACCCCACGCCGACGAAACGCGGGAGTTGACAATTGAGCGTCCCAAATAGACAAAGGACCAGGGCATTGACTGGCTAGCGATTTCTGGAGTCCAGCCCCTGCAGCAAATCTGCCGCTATTTAGGCATCCAGCCTTCCAGCGAGCGAGCCGTGTTTCTGCTCTACACAGCCATCTACCGTTCAAGAAACGGTTGCTAGTGCCCCCTTCATTTCATGCCTTTTATGCCACTTACCAAGCTTTCCACACCGCAAACTTTTCCCTCACCTCACTACTGTAGTCACCTCACTACTGTAGAAGTATGTACACTCTCGCCACCAGAATCAATAGCTCGCTCGTCTATTTTACTACCGCGGTACTTTGCTTGTATAACGCCCCAGCTGGCCCCAGCCACGTCACCCACCCATGCAGATGCACCCCAGAAAGTGCCCGGAGAGAAGCCGGCAGGCCTGCTCCAGATGCCGCAAGACGGGAAGCTCTAGAGGCATAGAGCGCGGAGGAGATGCTGCTACGGGCCTGCCATGCCCTGGCCAACCCGTCCGGTAGATGCAATAAGCGAGACCGAGCAGACAACAATTCGAATTAAGCTTAGAGGAGAATATTGTGCTGGTGCCATAGAACTAGTAGTACCCAGCAGCAAGCGCACCTATCCTGTCTTTCTGTACAGCCCACCAGTGGCTGACTAAGTATGCCTGCATCTTCGCTTGCCTCTCTCGAGATACAGAGGCACGGACTCTATCAAAAATGCTCTCTACCAGATACTGGATACTGTGCCTATCACTTGCGCAATATCGCAGCTGCTGACAAGCTGCAGCTTCCAAGAATCCCAGACCGATGACAGCCAGGGATTCCCCGCACACAAACAAGGCGACACCACAAGCTGTTTTCTCATGCCGCGCTTCCCCGACCTCATCTGTCAGTTAGCCATATGAATACTAGCAGAATACGCTCGCCATATGATCAGATGCAACCCAAGCATGCAATGAAACTACCCGTTGGCACAGCAAGAGAGTAATTGGCAAAGCATTCATCGCTCTGATGGACTTGGCAGCCGCTCCTCCAGTCTACTAGAGCCCTGCAAGGAACGCCTCGTCCAGCGAAGCCCAGCACTTCGAACACACAACTCCACAGGGCCATATTCGTACAAATGCTCCGTAGACACTTGAGTAAGCTTTATTTTAGCCTCGCAAGCCTTGACACCATCCATCTACTACGTATACATCTGTCAGCTCACCGCCCGTTTCTCGGAATGGGCCGGTCCTGTCAAATTTCCCCTAACTCTTGCTCTTGCTCCTCCGTTGTTGAATAGTAAACCGTTATCCACAATGCTTGGTAACGTCATCTAGGCAATTTATTTGCGGCCAAGAATAATGATGCAGTTTCTTGTTTATAACGGGCCGAGAGCGCTTGATTGAGGCTGCATACACGTCAAATCAAGGTAGCGCTAGCTCGGAGAACGGTCCCGATGACTTTTTAACGGGAAATATGCCGCAGATGGATTCCAGCGTTTTGGACTCCCTAACTTGTATTGCTTTATGCTCTGTGTATGTGTTACAGTATGTAAGAGTTTTCTATGATACAGTATTTTCTTCGTGTTCCGTAGCTCGAGAAATTACCTAGTATTAGTTGTCACACCATATGGCTTATACACTTCATTTTAAAAAAAGAAAAAGAGAGAGTCAGCCGAGTTACCCATCTACATGTTTCCAAACACCGTATACATGCACCTCATCATCCAACACAACGCACTTCATTCCACCCTCACCTAACATGCTCTCAACTCTGCCTCTTGCCTCGCTCCCATTACATCCCCATCCCCACAATCTTCCACCCCAGATTACTTATTCAATTTTCTTCCTTTCTCTCTCTGCAAAACCCCACACCAAGACCCTCCCGCATCCCCACAAACTAACTAACTAACTCGGCCATACCCGCATCCGCACGCAGAAAAAACATGCACATGGCCCAAGCCTCCTCTTATTGCCCTTTTCCCTTTCTAAACTCCGCGCATTGGCCGAGCCCGCAAGAGAGATCATTGCTGCTTTTAGTTCAATCAACAAGTCTGCCCTGCTGACTTAAACTCCTAGCCAGTGTTATTTCATACACACACACACACACACACACACGTAGGTCCTTTTTTTTTCATCCCACCGCGCGCGGTCTATCCTCGGCTTCGTTTTTCCTCCGTTACTATTTTGCTTTGGCTAATGCGCCGAAGTTGATAACACAAAAATAAACTACCTTCCTTAAGTTATTAGCTTAAAAAAAGAGGCGTGCGTCATTTGGGTTTTAATTTCCTTCTTTTTAACCTTCGTCTTTTGCTCCGACTGGTTCTTTTCACATCCACCCCGTTCAGTCAGTGAAGTGCCCAAGCGATCAATAGTAGGTGCGTAGTTGTAGGACAAAAACGCAACAATATATTGATGATATCCACGTAACGCTCAGCTGGACAGGGATTTTCCTAATCCCATCTATCAAATCTAACACGCCCCCTCCATGAATGAGGGAAAAAAGAAGCAAAAAAGTAAACATCCCCATGTCAAAAGCTTCTCCCCAACAGAAGCAGCCAGGGGCACTTACCTATTTTTGTCTGTCAGATGAACATCTCGCAATCCGCACTAAACCGTCACAAGCAAGTCAAAATGCTCAAACCAAAGCTGAAAACCTTGTCAATCCGCCAAAGCTTGATGGAATTAAGAATACTGCCGAATGGGCTATTCATTGTCACCCTCTAACATTCGTAGAAAAGAAAGACAAAAGTAAATTCCTCTTATGTGCATATCATAGCATAGTCTCGTCTATATGTCTCGCGCCGCCACTGATCGAAAACAAACAAACTAAAAATCCCATTTCCCTCAATTTTCCTAAACCGCTCGCTCCCTTTAACAAGAAAAAGTAAAAGAAATAAATAACAAAAGAACCCATATTATGCACGTCTATGTCCTATGTGTGTGTGAAAAAAAAGAGAAAAAAAAAATTGCCCATATCCGGCATGCAGACTAAAAGGAATCAAAAAAGCGATGAACCTGTTCAAAAAAGTCTACCGTTGGCAGGCCAGGGCTTATTGCCAAGTAAAATGCCAAAACATGCTTGGTCTATTGCAACCCTATGCCCAAAAAGTCTATTCACCGAGTGGTGCAGCTGATGTACAGAAAAGCCAATCGAAACAAAGTCAAGTGTCAGAGAAACCGACGCCAAGGTGGCGGGCGCGCCCATAAGGCCCGTGATAGATGCAACCAAGGAGGAAAAAAAAAAATGAGAAAGCTAAAAGCCGATTGTGTGCGTCATTCCGTGATACCAACGGGCGATAGTTGGTGAGAGCTGCTATTAAAGGGTCCCACAGCCAAGCATGGTCTATAATAGTCGGACCGGATGCTGATATTAGTTTAAAGACGGATACCGCCGATGCCGGTGTTGGCGCTCTTCAACATCTCAATATTCTCGACATCTGCGCCAAAGTCCATAATCAAGATCTTGGGATCCTGTCCAGTGCTGACGATACGTCGGTAATCGCTCTTTGCGCTGAGAACCCAGCTAGCATGCCAGCGAGGGAAGTAGAGCAGTTGGCGACCAGTCTCCATATCCCAGACCTTGATGTCGGTGTCATAGCTGCCACTGATGAGGCGTCCGCTCACGCTATCAATGTGCAGGCTGCGCACCAGGTTGTCGTGTGCTCGCATCTCACGGACGCATTCTCCGGTATTGGCATCCCAGATGCGAATCACCTTGTCGTTGCCGGCCGAGGCGACGTATCGTCCATCTTCTGAGAACTGAGAGCAAGCTAGACCCTTGGTGTGGCCGACAAACTCACGAATGTTTCTACCCGTGTCAATGTTCCACAGCTTCACGCGGAAGTCTCCGGAGCATGATACGATCGTGTTTCCGCGCATCTGAACGGCATTGACGGGACCAGTGTGGCCACGGAGCTGACGGAGAAGAGCACCCGTTGCTCGGTCCCAAACACAGATGCTAATGTCCTTGCTGCAAGTCACAATGTGCTTGTCATCAAAGGCCAAGTCCAGAACGGCAGCGGTGTGGTGAGTGAGGCGGCGGATGGGTCGATATCCATTGCGCACATCGTAAACGATGCATGTGGAGTCTGATGAACCAGTCACCATAATCTCGTCATCATATTGCAAGCAAAGGATAGAAGCCTTGTGGTGTTCTGCAAAGGAAGCCACTTGTGGCTTGGAGGGAGCTGCTTTGTAGCTGTCGGAAAGGTTGACATAATGTGTGGGGTTGCCCTCAGCGTCTTCTAGAACGTTGGGGGCATTGACCACTTCAGGAGGTCCGATAACCAGACGGCATTCCAAAGTCTGCATATCCCAGATTCTGATAGTCTTGTCCCGAGAGCCGGAAACGATTTTATATCTACGTTCGAATTAGTACCACGAATGAGAAACTAGTTGTATGGGGGGAACATCAAGGGTGAGAACATACTCATCAAACTGTAGGCAGTAGATGCTGTCTGTGTGTCCGTTGAGATACATGGGACAAGCTTTGCCCTCTTTCCATTTCTGGGCGAGCTCTGCTTTGGCACGGTAGATTTGCCTCCAGTTTTTGGAGGGAGCAATCTCGGGAATGCCCAAACCAGCACCGGGCTGGACGGGCTCACTGGTGGCATAGGTAGTGGTCATCTCTCGTAGACAAGACTCTCGCCAGATGTGCTGATTGCGCACCACCTCGTTCCAGTGTCGAGAGACAACGCTGGCTTTGGCAAGGGCAGCAGCATCAAGATAGGCCAAAACGTGGATGGCGAGCTCGGACGGAAGCTCCTTGATAAAATCGATCCTGCTGATGTTGCTATCTTGACCAAGCATGGACCCATCATCACTGACACCAGACTCCATAAAAGGCTCAGTGACGACAATACCGATTCCGCTCTCGCGGTCATTGCTATCTTCGCTCGCAGACTGTAGCCATTGAGTGTGCATCGCCTGTCTGTTGTAATACTCGTTCTGCAGCGCCACCGAGGCCTTTGCGGCAGCGCCAGTGTTCATGGGAATGTACGGAGGCTCATCTCCCATCGCGGGAATAGGCATTTGATGGTCTAGCTGTTGCTGTTCGTAGAGGCCATCCTCGGTGCCATTAAGGCCGTAGACAGACCTCGAGCGACGAAAAGGCGCGGCGTGGCGAAGACGATTCCAGGTATGGTGCGCGCTAGTCGGTCTACCATTGGGCAACTGCTGATTCAAATCAGACGGCTCAGCCGTGACAGAGGGTCGACGATGAACATGGACCATGCCCTTGAGAGACAGAGAAGCTCGACGAATGACGCCTTTGATGGTGCCAGCGGTGCTTTGAGCGCGGCCACGACGCTTTCGAGCAGGCAATTCATGTGTATCTTCGGAGTCGTCGATGGCAACTTCGATTACCTGTCTCGGTAGGTGCGAGTCGTCGTGGCCAAAGGCAGTGTGTTTGTGGTGTCGTAAAAGATTGGAGAGGCTCAGGCTGCGCATACGCTGGTCATGGGGCTCGCCAGGTGCCGGTGCACCAGCGGCCTGATTGCGAGCAGGCGCCCCCATCACGTAGGACTGAGCATTGTTCGCCATGATTTACGTCTGAGCAAAGTCTCGGCCTGTAAAGGACGTGTTGGTGGTACAAAGTACGGGTCAAGCCACTAATCGAATGTAGAGATGGTCGATCGGTGGGTGTGTCTTGGTTGAGTGCTCAAAGGATTGAATTTCACCGAGGTGAGTGGATGGCGAATGAAAGGCCAGACAAAGGAATTTGTCGGATACGGAGAGGCCCGCGAAGTGGAAGATGGAGTTTCGTGTCGTTTATCGGTGGAAAGAAGGACGGCCGACTAGTCTAGAGATGGCCTGCTGAAACAGCCAGCGGATCCAGCGAAAAGAGGCGTCGACGAGCTAAAGGGACGGACGGGGCAATCCCTCGCGAGACAAGAGCAAAACCGAGAGAAGGCGAAATAATGGGAGCAAAAAGCAAAGCGTGTGCTCGTCCGAATTGATAACTGCGGTTGGAATGCGGAAGGGGAAACGAGATGGGCGGTCCTACGATTGCGCCACGCGGCGGCTGACAACACTGCCTCGTGCGTGTGAGTCCAGAGACTCGTCGTTTCGGTTTTAGTGAGAATGGAGTGGAACAGGACAGCTGCTAGGCGGTCATGCGGAATCCTGGTGCGCGGCAGACGGCAGCCAGCAGAATATGGGGGAATAGGCACAGGGGAGAAGGGAAAAGAGAGTGGTTGAGAGAGAAGAGAGAGGAGGCGAAGAGAGTGTTGCGATCAAGGTGATGAAATGTTTACTACGAGCGTTTAAGATAAAAAAAAAAAAAAGGGACCGCCCGATAGCGGTACGTATCTTCCTGGGCCTTTGTCTGCCGCTAATGCCACTACCGGGCTGTGTTGGCGCATGTACCGCTACCGCTCCCGGGGCGAGCAGGTACCTGTACTTTGGACGCTTCTGCCATTCGACAAACCTCGTGTGTGTCTGGGGGAGAAGGACAAACTTTGGCGCCTCTTTGCAGGCGATGCATAAATACCGAGTTATGCCGCCCGTTTTGACATCGATGAAACACACGGTCTTTTTTACATAAAGCATGACGAAATTGACTTTTATTGGGGATCCTCTTGACAATGTCTCTGATAGCACAAGTAAGTACCTGCCTCAGGGCAGTAGGATTCGATAAGTGGTAGTCGAGCAGCCCGCACAGGTCATCCCGTCAGGGGCATCCCCAGAGTATTGCTCAACGGAGAACCACAAAGCGTCGATGCCTCTCTCCACCGCGCTCCCGTAGTGTTTGGTCTAGTAGGGGTTAGTGGTCGAATCCGGGGCAATTCAAGGGGAAGATGCCAGATGAGTGTTTGACCAATGGCTTGATTCAATGCATGGCGATGGACTTGCCTACAAGATGTACAAAGCATCAAAATAACCAAGTACATGTACCTGTCGCCAGACAAGTGCCGTGTGCCGTACCATTTAAAAATCTCATCTCCCTTCCCCAGGGGCAACAGCCTTCCGCAAATTTTTTTTTAAACAGGGCCTCCCGCAAATGGCGGGCAGCCGTACCATCCCTCGTACAGATACTTTTGGGGCCGATCTATAATAAAGCGGAGCGTCCGAACAACAATCGAAAACTTCATTGGGCTTCTATTTTTTCTTAGCCTTCTTTTCAATTAATTTTTTTCCGCATCGCCTGCCTGCACGGCCATCCCGGATCTCCTGCAGCCTGGATTGGACAGCCGCAATGGCTCTCTGCGGAGCTTATTTCTGGCCGTCTGCCTCTGCTTTTCGGCTTCTCAAAGGATCATTCGCCACGTATGGTTGTCCACGCAAAGGTACGGTGTGATTGTGCCTGCCAAGCAATAGGCGGTTGAGAAAGACGACTGGCTCAAGTCGCCCAACAGCCCATGTCTCAAGAGTGCATGCAGGCGAGATTGGGCCAGTCACACAAAGCAGCACTATTACACAGTATATAATATATACTATATAATGGAGCACCGTCATTGGGCTCGTGGTATTATTATCCACTGCAGTGTCTCTCTTTTTTTAGACATCTACCATAATATGCCGATGGGCAACCGGGTACAGCTGATGCGCTGGCTACACTCTCCCTACCGCCGTAGAGGAATGAATGAAAGACACCAGAGACAAACGCAGCTAAGAGCCCCTTGGTAGAGCGTTGCACCCGGTCTAGCCAGGCAACGATCGGCTTCCCATCCCTGCTGATCTTGAAAAGGGAAAAGAGAAAGATTAGCCACGTTTTCGGGGGTGGAGTCGTACGGCAGACTCGCCATTTGCTTTGGGATAGTGGCCTACGAGGTGGCAGCAGCAGCAGTATGTAATACGGAGAGGATGCATGTATGTAGTATTCACAGCGACAGGGCTTGCTGCACTTGCATGTGCTCAGCTCACGTCCATTGGCACAAAGGCCAAATAGCATGTAGGTACATGTAATAGCGCAGTCATCCGAGAGGGAGCTGGTTGGACTTGGCCATCCATCTGCTTACCTGCTCAAAGACTCCATGCACACTCACTCACCGAGACTTGCCCTTACAACGCCAGCAACCCGCAGCAGCATCATGGCTCCTCTACGCAGACTCCCTCTTGCATACCGCCTCTTCTTCCTCTATCTCGAGCCCATCTCCGCCCTGGTTGGCGCATTCTTCACCCACTTCCGCCAGCAGCGCTACCTCGAGCTCCTAAACAGCGCAACCGCGCCCGCCAGGCACGTCCCGCTGAGCACCTCCGTAGCCATGTCTCAGCTCGCAAACATGTACTTCTTCTTCGCCATCAACGAGGCGCTCGTTCTGCGGTCAACCAGGGACTTGCGCGTCTGGCGTGCCGTTCTGCTGGTGCTGCTGATTGCGGACCTGGGCCATTTGTACTCCATGAAGGAGCTGGGCCCGGGCATCTACTACGACGTCGCGGGCTGGAATGCCGGCCATGTTGGTAACGTGCCCTGGGTCTACGCGGGGGCCACGATGAGATGCTGCTTTCTGGCCGGCGTTGGCCTGTGAGTGAGGGGCCGTCGATGCGATCCGTCATACTAGGCATGTGCGATGCATCATTTATATAGTCGCCAGAGTTTCCAGTTCCAATTCCGTGACAGCAGAAATCATCGTCGGCTCGGCTAGCAAGCACAGAATCGTCGTCGGCTCGGCTAGTAGCCCCGAATCGCATCCAGAATCAATCGCTGGGATGAAGTTTTCGGCACTCTTTCGGCATCGGGCGACCCTCTTCCGGCACACTTGCCCAATACGCACCTCAAGCCTGCTTAAGTAAGCATCGTGCGCCGGCTTGTCGCGCGCTCTCTTTGGTGGAACAATCGGATCGCCGTCGGATCATCTCCAGACAGGCGAAAATGGCCAACGCCTCGTCGCGTCGCTTCATGTGGGGGTTTTATGGAGGGGGGTCTAGAAACGCCTCTCATCCCGCAAAACTGTGGCTATCACTGACCTTCTCCCCCATAGCTCATGGATTTGGATTTGTGCGGGTAAAATGAAATCGCAGGCTGCCCCTCATCTGATGGCGATGGTGGGGTTGAGCGCGCGACAGGCAGAAGTGCTGTATGAGGTTGGGAGGCTTTATATTCTGCTGTCTGTCTCCCCTCCTCTGTTGGCAACTTGTTCTTGACTTGTTACTCTTCTCTTTTGCTCTCTCCTCCAGTCCATAGGTCAGGCAAATTGACAACTTTGTTTTCCACATCTCTTAGACTCATTTGCTCAATAAAAGACCAAAATGGCTGTCCCCGACAAGTTCACGGGTTTCCAGTCCCCCAGCGCCGGCAGCTGGCTCGAGTTTGAGAAGAACTCATGGGAGCCCAGACCCTTTGGCGACTACGACGTCGATATCAAGACTGAATGCTGCGGTGTCTGCGCCAGTGACCGTCACACCATCAGCGGTGACTGGGGCGACTGCCCTTATCCTCTGGCTGTTGGACACGAAGTCGTAGGCAAGGTCGTCCGTGTCGGTCCCAAGGTCACTCTCGCAAAGGTCGGCCAGAGAGTGGGTGTCGGTGCTCAGGTCTACTCCTGCTTGGAGTGCCGTCAGTGCAAGAACGAGAACGAGACGTACTGCAAGCACCAGATCGATGCCTATGGCGCCCCTTATCTCGACACTGGATACACCACCCAGGGAGGATACTCGTCTCACTCTAGAATTCACGAGTACTGGTAAGCCAATTCTTAGTCAAAATTCATCACTCATAAGAGCTCAATAGACTGAAATGATGCAATAGGACATACCCCATTCCAGATGCTCTAGAAAGCGCCGACGTAGCGCCCATGCTCTGTGCCGGCATCACCGTCTACAGCCCCCTGAAGCGCTTCGGCGCCGGGCCGGGCAAGAAGGTCGGTATTGTAGGCATTGGTGGCCTGGGCCACTACGGCGTCATTTTCGCCAAGGCTCTGGGCGCTGAGGTCTGGGCCATTTCTCGAACTCGCGCCAAGGAGGCAGATGCCCGCAAGATGGGCGCCGACGGCTTCCTGGCCACCTCGGAGAAGGACTGGACCAAGGGCCACGAGATGACCTTTGACCTCATCATCAACACCGCAAACTCCTTTGACGGCTTCGCCCTCGGCGAGTACCTCAGCCTGCTCGACGTCCACGGACGATGGAACTCGGTTGGTCTTCCTGGAGGCGAGGGCATGTCCATCCGAAACCAGGACTTCCTTGGCAACGGCTGCTTCATCGGCAGCTCGCATCTGGGCAGCCGCAAGGAGATGCTGGAGATGCTGGATCTGGCTGCAGCCAAGGGTCTTCAATCTTGGGTGGAGAAGATTCCCATCTCCAAGGAGGGACTCCAGCAGGCCATGAACAAGTTGGAGGATTCGAGCGTGCGGTACAGGTCGTGCATGGTCGATTATGACAAGGCATTCGGAGCGTGATGTGTATAGATGATGTGTGGAAAGAGCAAAAATGATGTGAAACGATAGAAAATGCGAAATATATATACATATACCCCAACCTCAATTTTCGCACTAGAAGAGCGGCCTGCGTCATGATATGATGTACCTTGATGGACTGCCAAAGTCTCCGCTTCATACCTAGGTCAAACAGCATACAACAACACGTCTACCTTATACAGTGGACTTACAAACCTCAGCAGAAGCTTAATAATATCCCATATCAGCCTCCAAATACTTCCCAAAGATAGGTGTTCTAGACTATCTACTCTCCAACTATCGCTCTCCAACTATCGCTCTCTAGCCTGTGGAGCAAGCATATACGACTTATACGAAGCAATTAAAAATAACCGCTTTGTCATCTTCTGATTACTAAGTTGAAGAAACGTTCGAAATCGAAAAGAAAATCAAGTTGCATGGAGACTACTACTAATGTACTTTTCCTATTCCCATTTCTGACGTAACAGTCTCCCGTCTAAGCTTAATCTCAAAGTGCGCGCAACCCAAATTCTGCTTACACGTGCCAAAGCAATCTAGGGAAGCTCGCGCCAATACGAAGCAAAGGGTGTCATTTTACACACAACCTTGTCACCCAAAAGGCAGCTTAAGCTTAAAAAAACAAGTGCATCTAAACCGTAATTATCTTGGTTTAAAAAAAAAAAAAAAACTTTCATATGCTTATTTTCCGTCATAATTCGTAAAGCACGCGCTCATAAACAAACGACAACAGCTTTGCGTGAATGAGTGAGTGAGTCACGTTCCACCAAAGAAAAAGAAAAAAATCGCCTTTCTGAGAAGACCGGTTCCAAAACTTGCCTGATTAGGCAACTTTTGCCAGCGGGGGGACCCAGCCCCGGCCGGCGAGACAGATTGAGTTACTTGGAATGTGGGGTGGAGAAGCTCCGGGCTCGGGATACTTTTTTTTTTTTTTCCCAGCTATGCTTGATGATCATTATCGCAGCTATTACTCATCCCTATAGCTTCAACGACAATTGTAATCTCCGTAGCTGTCTAGATTTCTTAACATAGTACAGTAGTTCTGGACTAGTTCCTGTTGTTGAAAGCCTCGTTGTCCGTGACTCCATTCGGCCCAAGGAGCACGCAACACGTTTTGCAAAGTGGGGATCCAGGCTGAGATCGGGATGGTAACTTCGCAGCGCAACAAGGCGGCCGAGCTCAGGAGGCAGGGATGACTATTAGCCCGGATATTATTATACAAACTTGCCTGCTCAGTAAACTAGTGTGGTTTAATAAAGCCTCAATTGAGCAAGTATAAATAGGTCGAGAGCCCGCTGATGGTTCGTTTTCTTGGAATGTCGTGATTTTGGGAGAGGAGATTGTAGAATAGACACACAAAATAAACAATCTATAGACTGCAGAAAAAAATAAATATCACTATTATTATTATTATCACAACTACCAACATCATTCTTGCCAATTCTCAACAGCAACAAAACACCAAATCCAAACACGCCAATTCTCAAAATGTAAGTCTAGGCAGTAGTCCACAACAAACACCTCACTTACACGAAAACCACCAGGGCTTCTCCCTCCCTCTCCCTCACTCTCCGCTTCACCCGTCCCGCCTCTCGCTCAGAAATCACCGCCGTCGGCATCTCCCCATCGTCAACCATCGCCTACGCAATCTACTCCGGCGCCCAGACAGACCAGCCCTGGATCGACACCTTCGACCTCAAGTCCCAAACCAGCTACTCCAAAATCATCGGCTGCGTCGCCGCCTTCTCGCCAACCGTCCACTCCTCTCCCTCTTCCTCTCTCCTTCGCATCAGCACAATCACCTCAAGATCGTCTCCAGCACCAGCATCATCTTCCTCCTCTTCAGCTCTCCCCCGCATCGCAACCCTCTCCGCCACACTCATCATCCGCGACTTCTCCTCCTCCAAGCCCATCCTCGAGCTCAGAGACGTCTTCTCCCCCATCGCCTGGTCCCCCGACGGCCGCTCAATCGCCGCCGCCGAGCCCCGCCACCGCGTCGGCGTGTGGGACGTCCGGACAGGGACCCGCATCGGCCGCGTGCCCGGCCACATCGACGCCGTGACTCACGTCGCCTTCACGCCGGACTCGCACCTCGTCACAAGCTCCCGCGACGGCACCCTCCGCGTCACCAACCCCGTCACAATGAAGACTCTCTACAAGCTCGAGATTGAGGCCTCGTCAACCAATCCCCGTGCCTTGGCCGTCTCGCCCGACGGCAGCACCATCGTCTCCATTTGGGGCACAACCGTGCACATCTGGATGCCCCAGCACGGCCAGCTTACATCGTATGGCCTCTCCAGCACCCGCCCTTGCGAAGGCTGGCCGCTTTGCATCTCCCCCGACTGCCGCTACATTGCCTCCTGGACCGAGGAAGGCTTTGATATCATGGACGTGGCTTCTGGGGCGGTTATTTGCACCAGAGAGGGAGGACCTCTGGTCACCTCTGCGGCCTTTTCTACTGACAGCAAGACTCTTGTTTTAGGCAGAATGAGTGGCGACGTTGAAGTTTGGAATGTTGTTAGTAAGGCGGATTTGAATTAGCTCTCTCTGTACCTGTAGAGATGCCAGATTTAGCATGCATGATTTGGGTGACAAAAAATAGGCGTCGTATCAGGAAGTTTCTTTTGCTTTCTTGCTTCTTTAGTTAATCGGCTTGTTATGATTGCATCGTGCTTTATTTTGCTGTTCTGTATTTTGTGTATTAGTATATCTACTTGTTTAAGCCCGCAGCGTAGCAGTATAAGTAAATGAGTGTGGTATTATGTATTTAAACTTGGTATATAGGTATATAAAGTGTAATAGCAATATTTCATTGAATTGGGTATTTTTCGCCGTATCCTTCGTGGCCTGAATCTACCAAGATCCAAACTTTTTTTTTTCCATCTTCAATCAGCAACAATCCTACCATGCGTACTCCGGATATATGTATATGCAGCGGAATGCGGCAACACCAGACAGCTCATATTATCCTCCCGCTCCTTTGTTTCACTAAACAATGTCACTCTCATTCCAACTAGACAATCATCACCACATTATGTCCACTCATAAAAGTCGCTCATCGCCCCGCCCTCTTTCTGCTTTGACCTTGTTCCATACACTAATAGTCGGAACGGATATATGTCAATCTGATGCAGAAAAACATCATCGCACTTTCGTTTGCAGGAACTCAGTGCCCAATTAGGCTACCCAACCCAAGGTTTCCAGCATGCCACGGACCTCAGAAGGCGGCATGCTGGCCACGCCGAGTTGTCGAACCATGGATCCTCGTCGCAAACGTTGCAGTCCAACCGCAAGCTTCCAGCCCTCGGTCTCCTCTACGATAAAGAGGTACCGCTTGGCTTCTTGGTCGCGAATCGTCGCCCGAAGCACATGCAAGCCCTTGGACTTCCACTCTCCAGTCTGCCCCGTCGATGACGGAATATTTGTGTTCTTGAACGTGCGGTCGCACATACCAAGCCGACAACACTCCCTACAAGTATGAAGCATATCTTGCAGGTATAGGTCTGCCTCATCACCAGTCAGGGCGTTAACGCCGTCACGATCCGGTTTTTTGCCAGCCATCTTGTGAAAGAAGCCCGAGTTTTTTCCAGTCGCAGATCCCGCTGGCTGTGGTGCGGTCAAACAGTGCGGTAGACACCAGACCTCGACAAGTTTGAGCGTCCAAGCCTTGACGTCCCACTCGCGCTGAGGAACACCCCGGACATCGTCATCGATAAAGAGTCCCTCAGTTGTGATGCGAAGAATCAATCCATCCGTCACCGTTCCAACTCCCGATATGAGCTGGCTGGCTGGTGTCTTGGTAAACTCGTTCTGGAAGAGATACACAGATTGAATAACAATCTTGTCAGGATCGCTAGTCGAATAGGGGCCTGATCGCATCGAAGGAGGCGGCGTTGTTCGTGCGGTTGTTTGGGAGGCGGCCCATGATGCATCAGATCCTGTGAGAGAAGACGTCGACTTTCTATGCCTTGGCTTGTTAGGCGGCGGCTGGTCATAAGGTGGCGGCGGCGGTGGGTGCTGCTGCTGATATTGTTGTTGTCGATGATATTGCTGCTGTTGCTGCTGCTGTTGATGATGTGGTGGTGGCCTGCTTGGCTGGTCGTATGGCCTGCTTGGCTGGTCGTATGGCCTGGCAGAGTACGTCTCCGAGTCCACATAGCTGCTATTGCTACTAACATGTGATTTTGCGGGACCATACGAGTGTCTCGCCGAAGGGTCTGTTCTTCTAGAAGCAGATGAGGGAGCTTCGGACGGAGTAGGAGCAGGAGGTGCCCTTTTCGTGGGACTCTCACCTCTGTCGAAAGGCCTTTCCTGTCTCTCTGTCTTTTCTGATCGGTCAGGCGATGAGGTTGATGGTGATACTGCAGAGGGGGAAAGGGGGGGGACGGAAGGCCGGCCATTGGGCCACATGCTTGTCTTTTCGCCAACGCTAGAGTATGCATAAGTGTTCCCAGCTCGGCTTGCCCGAAAATCAGTTGCTTTGGCCTCAGCGGCTGCTTTGGCCTCGGCGGCCGCTTTAGCTTCAGCCGCAGCCCTGGCTTCGACAGCGGCTCTGGCGTCTGCAATAATTTTTGCTTCTTCTGCCGCTTTGGCCTCTGCTCTGGCCTTGGCTTCTGCTTCAGCCGTCTTCTTAGCTTCGGCTTCTCTTCGTCGCAGCTCTTCCCTTTCTCTCGCTTCTCTTTCTCTCGTCTCCCTTTCCAGGGCCTCTCTTCGCCTGGCTTCCTGTATCTTTGCTTCTTTCTCTATCGCCTCCCTTTCTCTGGCTTCCCTCTCCCGTTGCCTGGCTAGCTCTAACTCTTCCTGTTTACGTCTCCTCTCTGCCTCAATTCGCTCCGCCTCTTCTCTCGCCTCGCGATCCTGTCGCTCCTTGGCTTCTTTGGCACGTAATTCTAGTAGCTTCTTGGCGGCTGTTTCACGGCGCTTTTGCTCCGCTTCTTTGAGTCGCCTGTCTTCTTCCTTCTTCCTCATTTCTTCACGAGCTTTCTCCCACGTTCCCTTTGGTGTTTCGGGCTTCTTCGCTTCCGACGGAGGAGGTGACTTTGGTTCGGATTCAGGGGCAGGAGTAGGTTTCGACTTGGGTTCGGTCGACGCTGGAGGATCTGTCTTTGTAGGCGAACGCTGCTCTGGCCGAGAGTCTGGTCTCGGCATGAATGGGGGAATGGGTGCCAAGTCTGGCATCCGAGGTAACTTGGATGCCGGTTTGGATACTGGTGTCGACATCTTCTCTAGCTCTGGAAACGTCTTTCTCTCTTGAGGAGTCATTGACACCTTGTCGAACTCAGGGATGCTTCTTTTCTTCTCGGGAGAAGGGACTCGCTTAGAATCCATTGACAGAGAATGTCTTTTTTCTAACGACGGCTGTTTTTTCTCAAGTTCCGGAGGGTTCTTTTCGGCCAATGGCGTCCTCTTTGGGATTTCAGACTGCTTTTGCTCAGACTTCACTGGCGCCTTCTCAGCTTCTGGAGGTGGCATCTTGTCGTCTACGAGAGTTACTTTCTTCTTTTTCTTCTTTGGGGACGCTGATTTCTCTGGTTCGGCAGGAGCCTTGTCCTCCGATGGCGGAGGCTGGCGCTGGCGTGTTTGTGGCCTCTCTGACTCTGACGCTGGTGCTCCTTTTTGAGACGGTGAACGGTGAGACGGAGATGAAGCGGGCTCACTTTCATGCCTAGGTGGCCGAGGTGGTTCCTCTGACTGAGTATCCGCAGTCTTCCAAGATGAATTAGATCTTTCATGGCGTGGAGGAGGAGGTGCACCGTTAGGAGGTCGGCTGTGAGGTGGTGGCGGAGGAGGCGCTCCGTTTGGGTCAGATTGTCCTCCTGGGTTAGAGCCGCCGAATCCACTCTGTTTGCCGTGACTTGATTCATAAGGTCCATGTCCATTGCTGAATCCTCCGCCTTGGCCACCCGATGTGCCTGGTCCACGCGCTGAGCCATTCGAGCTTGACATAGGTACCGGTCCAGCAGCAGTCTGCATCCGGCCCAGGGACCATGCTCCAATACCAACTCCCAACATCAGCGTCGTTACCGCCATACCAGAAACTTGAGCGCCGCTTAGCCACATCTTAAAGGCCGGAGCCATGAGTTGAAACACGGCAACACATATCAGCGCAGAGGCAAAGCCAGCCACGAAGCTATTGGTGTTCGGCTGCAGTGACGGCAGGTATAGAAAGCCGGAGCCTGACGAATGCTGAGGAATGACGAATATGTCGTAGTTGCCAGGAGGCAAGCCCGAAGGCTTGGGCGCCTCGCCATGGGGCGGAGGTGGAGGCGGCGCGCTCATGCTTGTCGCTCAAGTTCGTCGATAGAAAAACAGCTCGATTGGAATTCGTGTACAGAGGTGTCTAGAGCAGATGCTGAAATGGCAAAAATAGTTGCAATCGCCTTGAGTCTATGAGCGCATCGAGAAATCCATGGGTATAGTGGTGAAATTATCGCGACCAGGAATAGGCGTGAAAAAAGAAAACCTGGTTCAAGCAATGTCAGAGCTGGACTCAACTCGTCGCGTTCACCCGCCCCCTCCAAAATGTCAAAAAACAATATCGCGAGCGAAGCACGATGTTGATTGCGACAAGCACAATGCCTCTCTCTATCCAGCCATTTTTTCCGGAAAAGGGGGCTAGACAAGTGAGATGAAGGAGAAGATTGATCTCCGCGCTTCTGGGTCTTAGCGGGATGCAACTAACCAGTAACGACCAGGACAAGCAAACACCACTGAGAAAACAAACGCCGGGCTCCAGATCAAAAAAAAGAATCACACGCACAAACGCGCGCAGCACAGGCGGCTGTTGGGCTCTCTACGAAGCAGAGATGCGATGGAATCGACGCGTGGACTGCACAGGATGAGGAGGCGTGGCCTCGACATGGGAAAGAGGAAAAAAATAAATTAAATTGGAAGAGGGCTTTGGGGTGGGAAGTGGGGAGGTGAGCAGAGCTGGAGGTGGGAATGGGTTCAGAAGAGTGAAACCCACAGAGGCCTCGAGTCTCGGCTGTTTACCTGGAGCTTTGGGGGCGCTATCGCCAACCCACCAGCCACTTTGCGCTGGACCCTGGCGCCTGGAGGGGTTCTGGGAGGGGCGGGAGGCGCAAAAAGACAGCGGCTGGCTGAGGCCTGGAGGGCATTGGCCGCGCAGTGGCTGGATGCCCCGTAAAAAACGTCACAGAGGGGGGCCTCAAAGCCTGGAAGCTGCAAAGCCTGGCTACTCTCAAACAACACTGGATGCTGGTCATCGTCACAGCAGAGCATAGATACAGGCAGAAAAGAAGCAACGTGGCACTGGCTGCCGCTGTTACGCGTATGCGAACTCTTCTCTTGCTTGTATGTATCTGCTCGCCAGCCGACGTCTTGACGTTTCATTCATTCATTGTCTCTGCGCAGCTTTGCATCCACCAAAAAGCAAAGCTGCCCCTCTCCCAGCCATCTCATCCCATCACTGTCCCACCTACAGCGCGCATACATATACCTACCGTGCAATAATCTCATGCATGCGAGGTGCGCGAGAGCAATTGTGGCCATTCACAAAGTCCAATCGGCCGTCGCGACGTTGTTGTTTCTTCGGCAGCTCAGCCAACCCCCCGGTTCACGAGAACAATGTCTTCTTCGCCAATCATCGCTGCTCGCTACCGCCAGAGCCCTTGTCTGTAGTAGGGTCGGGTAACTGAAGAATGCATCCTCGTCCCCCACGGCCTGTTACCAGCATCATAGGCCCTTTTCTTTTTCTCTCAAGATCCACTGATAAACACCAGCTCGCCGGACGAATCAACAAGAAGCGCTTTAGCCAAGACGAAGCACTTTTGTTGCTGCTACTACCTGTGTTTTCCCTCCATCACAGGTCACCTCATCCAACGACGACGCAGCGCATCTGTGATATCACCCATTGCTTGTGTTTTCATGTGCGAGTTGACGTGTCCGATGGCGCGCTCCGCCGTTGCAGACACAGCCGAAGTGCATGCAGAGCTATTGATGCAACATGCGGCATGTCACTGGCGGAAGCTGGTTCATTGGGGGCTCGACGCCGCTATTTGTTAGTGGCGGGCAGGGCTGGTTTCGGCGTCGAAAAGAACAGCAGCGGCGTTGCCCAGCAACTTGTCAATCCCGACTTTGCCACTCCAATAGGTGACGTACTGTACGTTCAATTACAGAGCACCTACTCCGTACCTTTGAGGCACTGAGGCACTGGGGTAGGTACTATTAGTAGACGCCTCAACCGAGTGCCATGTGCCGTGGTCTGTATCAAGCACTCCAAGATGTACCTTAGTATGCAGCATGATTTCTTACCAAGTTGCCAAGTCCCAGCCCCGGCATTTTGGTCCAAGATGGTGTCGTCAGTTGTTCCAGACCGTGAGACACGGAGGCATCATGGGTTGCAGCCCTCGGCAGTTCAAGGCATCCATGTGAGGATTCGCTGAGCAATGCCACGCTCTGCATACAATGTACAAACAAACAAAACTACCTAATGAAATAAATCTTACGAGATGGAATCCTTGCAATGAGCAGTGGCGGTGTGATACGGAGCACATTGTTGGGTTTCACGTGCTGAGCGCCAACCAGCCACAGCGCGACTGGCTGTGGCCGTGGCCGTGGTCATAAGCCGGAGCTCAGCCAAGCGCCAGTCAGGGCTACGTATTCGTATTGCATATCGTGAACCACGCTCCTGATATTTGCACATGAGCAATTCCAACAGCAGAATAGCAAATGCTCGAAACTCACAGCCAGCTTCTAAACTGTACCTTGCTGCTCCAGCTATTTAGCAGAATAATTGATAACAGTAATTGTATTAATAAAAAAATGCCATGGAAGCTATCGTTACACCAGAAATCATAGCGATTGTACATCAATCTCACCCCGCTCCCAGTGCAAGAAACATGTTGCGCCGTCTCTCAAAAATCCAAAGAAGCAACGAGAACAAAACACGCAGAATGCCAAAGTACATGCTCATAAAACAGTGTTTTCATCGTCTCGCTTGCTTGCTCATTCTCTCCAAACTCCCCGCATTAAAAATGACACAAGGTAAACCGGCCAAAAAAAAAAAAAAAAAAGAAAAACAAACGAATAAAAAAAGGACGTTTATACCAGCTTCCCACCCTTATAAAGAATCACAAGCACAAACTCCCATACCCAAACCAAAGCATCAGACAGCGTCTTTCCAACCCAGAGCCAATAAGCCAGAATCCGCATCGCGAGAAAAATCATCTGAAGGAGCGCCATGATGACGCCCAGTCACATCTTCTTAATACGCCTGTTGGCGATCCTGACTTTGCCTTCGACCCGATCGACGTCCTCGTCGAGTGAGTCCAGCAGCTCCGTCTGTCGCTCCACCTCCTCGTTGATCTGGATGCCCATTTCTTTCTGCCTCCGTATGATTGCCGCCAGCTGATCGATCGCCTGGTCCTGGGATTCCATCTCTCGCTTCTGCAGCAGCAGCACGCCTTGGTTGTCGAGCTCCCTCGTCCGATCCGTCTCGGGTAACGGTGCACCCAATACCCTACCCGTCGGCGCGGGCCTATGTCCCCCCAAGAGGTTCGATCTGTTGGAAGAGGAAGCCTGCACTTGGCCCATTCCGCCACGACTGGTAGCCGCCGGAGCTCCTGGCATGCTGCTGGCAAGCTTATCCAACCCATCTCGCTCCATCTTGGCCGCCGAGACAAGGTCCCGTCTCCGCCGTATCTCGCCATCACCCAATCTACCCGACTCTTGCATCCTACGAAGACCATCGGAAAGATTGTTGACCAGTCCCGATGCCTTCACAAGCACCCTCTTGGCCGCCGCCGCAGCCTCCGCCGCCGCCGAAAAATTGCCGCTGTCGGCCGCGCCGTCTCGCTTCGAAAGGGATTGTCGCGCCTCATGCAAACACTGCTTCACTTCCCTGTGAACATCAAGCCAAGCTCCCGGATCCGCCACCCCCGAGGCAGTGCCAACCATACCTGCCGCCGACACTGTAGAATTGCTCGTGCTAGAACTGGGTAGATTCAAGAACGTTCTCCAGGCCGAAGTGTCCCGCCATCTCCGATCTGGCGTCTCTGCAATTGCTCGGAGGTATTTCTCGAGGCCGACCTGTCGCTCGTGTGTGAGGTCCGGGGAGTTGATGGTCGACCTGAGCCAGTGCTTGCCGGGCAGGGGGTGTGGCGGCGGCGCGCCGACTTGCTCGACCAGAGCGCTGTGGAGGGCGTCGAACTCGGAGTATCGCTTCTGGACGATGAAGGAGCGCAGTGGCAGGCGGAGGCTAATGTTGTACAGGGTATAAGGCTTCGACGAGCCTTCATCAGAAACGCTCGTTGAGGGTATCGCAATCTCGGGCGGTGGCGCCATGGCGGTATCGTTCGCCTCTATGTTAACCGCAGGGCTATTCAGCGAATGGTATTTCTTTCCGAGTAGATAATACAAGGGTTTGATGTTTCTTGTCGCCAACGTTGCTTGAGAAATCCACCGACAAATTCACGGCTCGCAAAGTGGCATCTATCTGGGTTTTAAAGTTCCGATGATGATGCAAGCGCCAGAATGACGGGCTCCTCGTCCGTGTACGGTATGGATCTTTGGGGGAGTCTCAGTGGAACCGTCCCGGCTTTTAGTGCCTGCCAGTTGATGGCCGCTCCCCGTAATGCTACCTCTACCGCCCTGAACTCAACTAGCGGTGGAGTTGGATGGACCCCTGCCCGGCTGTTTAATTGCCAGCCTCTCCCGAGTACGAGCTCAGCTGCGAAGCTAGGCAGCTAAATAGCAGCCTATTCACACGAGTACGGCCGGCCTGCCACGATCCAGTCTCACAAGATCGGACAAGAGATACGACACATCGAGAACAGAGGAAGCCTTAGATCTAGGCACTGTCGTGAATCTCTTTAATCTACAGGGCATGAGCCTCAATAGCCCTAAAAGCCCTGCATCTTTTAGCACAAGTGCCCCTCCAAATAGGTCACGACGGATGCCGGGTAAGGGTACACGTGCAGCTTCATTGCCCCATTCCTTTGTACCGTGCTGGGCGCTCGGATAGCATTGCATGCAAGATGCCGATGTCGCGTGCGCCTCACGAACCACATGCAAGCTGAAGGAGGTCGCGCTGCTACATGAAAGAGACTGTACAGGAGTTGTAAATGCGACTGTGGATACAATCCATGTTGTTCTTGTTCTATGACCTTCGTGCACTTGACCGCTTCCAGCATGCGATCTGATGCATCGTGCTCCGCACCGGTTGGGCTGACTGATACGACGATAAATTCGGGGCTCGATATTCCGTACAATGCACTAACTGCATTTTGATATCACAATGAAGGGCAACGACAAGACAGAAATAGCAACATCCACACAAAGACGTATTAATAGTAGTATTGTCCAAACAGTTATAGTACTAGTTTGCTCTATAGGATTTGACACCCTAAGTCCTCTAACAGCAACAAAAAAAAAAAAAAAAAGATGTAAATGACGGCACCCATGAATGCGTCTATCATGCATGCACGGCCATATGCTTTGAATCAATTCCAATTCCAATCCCCCACAGCACTCCATCTCCCTACCTCTCCCCCTCCCCCCTTTTCTAAGCAGCCAAATCCTACACCCCGACAAAAGACACTACCCCGTTTAGAAAGTCTCCTGGTCATCCAAACCCTCACCCTCGGCGGGAATCTCGAAGCCCTCCTCGGTCGAGTACAGGATGGACTGGATGTGCTTGACCAAGCCATCCTCCTGCTTCTCAAGCTCGGGATCCTCCTCCACAGCCTGTTGAATCAGCAGCTCAATGTCACGGAGCTTGCTAAAGTAGAAATCTCGCTCGCGCTCCAGACCAGTGACAGTCTCCTTCAGAGTCGCATTCTCTGCCTGCAGAGCAGCGGTAGCAGGGCTGGGGCCGGCCTTGGCGGCAAGGCGAGGGCCGGTGCTGGGGGTCGTGCCGCCTCTTCGAGCGGCGCTTGAGCTAACAGCGGCAGCCCTGGGCGCTGCAGCCGCGGCCGGCATACCGCCACCCTTTCTTCGTGCAACTGCGTCGTAGTCGTGGTCGGGGAAGTTGAGGTCCCAGAACTTCTTCGTCCATTGCAGGAACTCCAGGTTATCCTGCATCTTGCATTTCACCAACGACTCGACGGGGATGGGCTTATCAACTTGGTGCTTGAGGAAGGTGTCTATGTTGATGTGGGCCGTCAGGACATGGTCTGCGCAAAAAGGGGTCCGCCCATCAAGGGGGCTTGGGCGAGGGCACACATACTCTGCAACACCTTGAAGTTTTGAATGTACGCATAGTCGCCGCTGGCGTTGAACTTGACCTTGGACATGGGCACATCCATGAATATGCTGTCAAAGACCTGGCAGAGCGCGGCGCTGCAGAGAAGCTTCGTGTCAGACTTGTTTGCATTGTAGCGGGGTCGTTCGTCCGTCAGGCGGGGTGCCAAAACAATAACACTCACCCAGTGCCGCATTGCTCAACCTTGGTGATGTTGAGCTGCAGGAGGCTGTTCAGCCAATTAAGAAGCTCTTGTCTGTTGTCTGCAGTTAGCCGTGCTCCTCCATCGGCTCCCGGGGGGCGCAGCGTAGGGAAATGCACCGTACCTGGATTCACCCATTTTATCAGGCTATAGATAGTACACAACAGAAAGCAAAGACAGCCGGTCGAATAGCTCTCGCCGTGCGGATGCAGACGCTAAATGGGAAAATAAATAAGTAAAAAAGGTAGGGTGAAGAGGCCGGGTATCGCGTAGAAAAGGGACTGCCGAGCCGGTGTCGTGGCGCAGGGCAGCGAAATGAGGATGACAGGAGAAATTTATTCAGCTATTCGTTCGCGTGTTGTAATGTCAAGGCTTCGTTTACAGGCCTGTATTTTGACAGCGCCGTCCAATCAGCGGGGTTGCTCGGAGAAACAGCTAGGGAGAGATAGCCGCTAATCTGCCGTAATTATTGCTGGCTGGGGAGCTGCCTCACCGCCAAAATTTTCAAAACCGGCAGAAAAAAAGCGTCTGGGCGCAAAAAAAGTCACTGCCTCGAATTTTTGCTTGCGGCCCCGCCAGAGTTGGAAGTTTCTTGTCGCAAACACATTGCAAGTATTTTTCAACATGGCGCCGTCACAGAAGAGGTCAATTGAGGACGACTTCATCCATACCCTCTCGGATAACGACGAAGGAGTAGCCCAGGAAGAACTGGTTGCTGCTCAGCCTCCCAAGAAGAAAGCAAAGACGAATAAGAAGTCGGCCAAGAAGAATAAGGATGAAGAGCCCCAGCCTGAAGAAAATGAAGGCCAGTGGGGCCAAAAGGAGGAGGATGATGGCGCAATGGATTCTGATTTCGAATTCATGCTAGATGATGCTGGGCAATTCGGCGAAGACGAGTTTGAGGGATGGGGATTCGAGAGCGCCAAGCAGGGAATGGCAGTCGAAAAGGTCGGCGTTGATTTGGATGAGATTATTAGAAGACGAAGGGAAAAGAAGAAGGGTGGCAAGGAGGCTGATGTTGCAGAAGATGGCAATGAAGAGGCCGCGGATGGCAACGTTAACATCGACATGGACGACGACGAAGACGGAGTGCTAGCAGATGATGCATTTGGCATGAATGTCGACGAAGATGCCGAAGAGTCAGATGAGGATGCTGAAGCCAAGGGCTCTGACGAAGAAGATGGTGACGATGACGATGACGCGGCTTCAGATAACGACTCTGTAGCTACACCAGTCAACCACCCCGACGATATGTCCGACGATGACGACGATGACGAGGAAGATCTCGAAGAGAAAGCCAAACGAGATGCTTTCTTCGCCCCCGAAGAAAAGCAAAAGTCTGGAAAGAAGGTGGATGCTTCATCCTTCCAAGTTATGTCTTTGTCAAGACCCATTATGCGTGGTATCACTGCTGTCGGCTTCACTAAGCCAACGCCTATCCAAGCCAAGACGATCCCCATTGCTCTCATGGGCAAGGATCTCGTTGGTGGTGCAGTTACAGGTTCCGGAAAGACAGCAGCGTTCGTGCTTCCCATCCTGGAGCGACTTCTATACCGACCTAAGAAGATCCCCACCACTCGTGTTGTGATCCTTACCCCCACTCGTGAGCTGGCAATCCAGTGTCACGCCGTAGCCACAAAACTAGCAGCGCACACAGACATCAAGTTCACTCTAGCTGTTGGTGGTCTTAGTCTCAAGGTTCAGGAAGCAGAACTCCGACTGAGACCGGACGTCATCATTGCGACCCCCGGTCGATTTATTGACCATATGAGGAACTCGGCTAGTTTCTCCGTTGATACCGTTGAGATTCTGGTCCTTGATGAGGCCGATCGAATGCTGGAAGATGGTTTTGCCGACGAACTCAACGAAATTCTTACAACGCTGCCCAAGTCACGCCAAACGATGCTCTTCTCCGCTACCATGACTTCCACTGTCGACCGTCTTATCAAGGTTGGACTGAACAAGCCCGTGAGAGTAATGGTCGATTCACAAAAGAAAACCGCCGGTACTTTGACTCAGGAGTTTGTAAGACTTCGCCCGGGCCGCGAAGAGAAGCGTATGGGCTATCTGGTACATATCTGCAAGAACCTTTACACCGAAAGAGTCATCATCTTCTTCCGCCAAAAGAAGGATGCTCACAGAGCCCGAATCATCTTTGGTCTCCTGGGTTTCTCTTGTGCAGAGCTCCACGGTAGCATGAACCAGACACAGGCAAGCCGCCCTTGAATCTATCTAATGCCATCTAACCTAGTAATCCGCTAACATTTACCCTCTATAGCGTATTGCCAGCGTCGAAAACTTCCGAGACGGCAAGGTTTCCTACCTGTTGGCAACAGACTTGGCCTCTCGTGGTCTCGATATCAAGGGTGTCGACACCGTCATCAACTACGAGGCCCCCCAGTCTGTGGAGATTTACGTGCACAGAGTTGGTCGAACAGCCCGTGCCGGACGTAACGGTATATCAGTGACTCTTGCCGCTGAGCCCGACCGTAAGGTCGTCAAGGCTGCTGTCAAAGCCGGCAAGGCACAGGGTTCTAAGATCATAAGCCGCATCATCGAGGCCAAGGACGCAGATAAGTGGCAGGCCGAGATTGATGAGATGGACGACGAGATCGAAGAGATTGAGAAGGAAGAGAAGGAGGAGAGACAACTCGCCCAAGTTGAGATGCAGATCAAGAAGAGCGAGAACATCATCAAGCACGAGGATGAGATCAAGGCACGGCCAAAGAGAACATGGTTTGAGACTCAGCAGGATAAGAACAATGCAAAGCAGGCTGGAAAGGACGAGCTGAACGGCCCGCGCAGCGGAAAGAAGAAGGTCGGTTCAACTAAGCTGAGTAACAAAGACAAGAAGCGAATGGATCTGAAGATGCAGCGTGCCGAAGGAAAGGAGTGGAAGAAGAGCAAGACAGACGCCAAAAACGCCGCAGGCAAGACTGGCAAGAAGAAGGCTGCTCCAGCCAAGGGCAAAGCAAAGGTCCAGGTGAAGAAGCCGAGGGGGAAAAGGTGAACAGGTGAATAGAGCTGGTTGATGTGTAAATAATGTGTATTTTGCGTTGTCTACTAGATAGGCATTGCTTCATTCCTGAGGATTTTGCTGTTACTCAATAGAAATCGTTGTTTGGCGCAAGTTTTGTATAGGCTGGAGAAAGTCGTCATTGTTCAATGAAAATTGCTGCTCGGTGCACGTTGGTAGAAGTCGAGGCTGGCCGTTGCAGCTGATGGTGCACGTTTTGTATGGAGCATTGGCGCGTGCCGTTGTGATGACATAATGCACCCCTCGACCCTAGATCACTTTCCAACGGCTAGCTTCACTCTTGTCATGAACCAAAGGCCGCGATCACGAGGTCCGGCGCAAAACTCATTGGCTGCCTGCAACAAATGGCATCAACTGCGACCTGAAGCGACGCGCATGTCAGGCGCTCGCCGCATGTGGTAAATCCAGGTAGTCGACGGACAGCTGTCAGAAGACTGGCTCGCCTGAGAGGCCCTAACGCCGAATCGGGCTTCGTATTAGCCTTGCTGAAGCCTTGCGGCTGGAGATATACTCGTGTTTGCCGTATATATATATATAAAGGCGGCTCGAGTTCGCGAGCCCTTGTCCCTTTTGATTAGTCACTAAAAAGAACCCTGGTAGCAAAGCTGTCTCCCTTCAGGATACCGTTTGGCCTTGGGCGAGCTCGCACGCACCGTCGCCACAGCCAGAGCTTTGTTCGATATCTTCTGCCGCCGACTGTTCGAGATCGCTATCGCGAGCGGCTCTTCCACTTCCGCCTCAATACCTTCCCGAGCATCAAGCACCGCATCCAAAGCCGCATCTACCAATACATTCTCGGCCGACAGAGCAGGCGACGCACCAAGACTCGGGTCGTTGACCTCGTTGCTCGGCAGGGCCAGCGGCTGCTGCTGGGACAATCGGGACGGCGGCCGATCAAACATGTGACAGGGCGACCGGCAGCATCACCGTTTAGACAGGCCAAGATGCCACCGCCGGGGGACATGGGCTATGCGCCCCGGATGAATGATATGGGAGATGGTGTCGAGAGGGGCGAGAGGGGCTATCGGCGGAAGAAGTTTGCTGCCATGGCCGGAGCTGTGGCTGGAAACATATATCGGACTGGCCAGATTGCCGTGACGGAGATTCGAGAGACGTATGCTCAGTCCAAAGCGCGGGGCCTGGACGGCGAATTCGACGGGCCCGGTAGCATGCATATTCCGGGAGCGTTCCCAGGGGTGGCTATAACGTCGGAAATCAGCCCCGAGCAGATGATGATGTTCCCGTGCTACGCGAAACAACACACGAAAAAGGAGTGGGATCAGCCCTCGGCGTACGAGTCGGAAACCGGCAACCTGCAGGATGAGGACTACTGGAGGTCGGAGTGGGAGAGGCACCAAGACGAGAGAGCAATCGTGGACGTTGACGTCCGAGGCTGGGTCTATTCGCCCCATTCTGGTCCAATGACGCGGCGAAACCGCATCTTGATCGGCCTTGCGCGACAACTTAGTGGAATCCCGGTGCCGAGAGCAGACCAGAACCAAGGACCTACGCCCCCTACTCCGCAAGATGAATGGAGAGAGCAGGAGAAGATTGCCCAAGAGGCTGCTAGGATCGAACAGCAGGGCCGAGAAGAGAAGCGAATGGCAAACATTGGCGCTTACAGCGAACCACCTAGGGAAGACACTGGCTTGAGCGGATCAGTGTATCCTCCTCCGCCCAGACCTCCTCCTCGAAGAGATAGTCGAACGCCCGATTCTCTTTCTGGGAGCCCCAGGCCTCCAACCAGGCAAAACTCGGCATTGGCCACCGAGCTCACAGAGGCTGAACTAGCTACGGCAAACGCCAACTTGATGGCCAGGATAGCACCCTTTTTGACCAATCCCTCAGTGTCTCTCCCCATCACAATTTTTTTCTACAATGAGTCGCAATCCCAGTCACGCAACGTTCTCACCGACGATTCTGGTCATTTTGCCATTCGGGCGCCCCTGGAATTTGTTCCTACCCACATCAAGGTGCTCGTAAACGAAGGACTATCGACGACGCAAGAGGTCAAGTACATCGAGCCATATGGTGTCAGCCTGATCAGCGATATAGATGACACCGTTAAAATGTCGAATATTTCAGCGGGCGCAAAGGAGATTTTCAGAAATACCTTTGTACGGGAGCTGGCCGATCTCACAATTGAAGGAGTCAAAGAATGGTACGGAAAGTTGCAGGCCCTCGGTGTGAGTGTACACTACTGCTCAAACAGTCCGTGGCAGCTATTCCCCATGCTAGCGACGTTCTTTAAGATATCCGGCCTCCCGATTGATTCTCTACATTTAAAGCAGTATTCGGGCATGCTGCAAGGCATCTTTGAGCCTGTGGCTGAGCGAAAGAAGAATACGCTGGTCCGCCTGCTACGAGATTTTCCTCAGCGCAAGTTCCTTCTAGTCGGAGATAGCGGAGAGGCTGATTTGGAAGTATACACGGAGCTGGCGCTGGCTTACCCGGGCCGGATACTGGCAGTCTTTATTCGAGACGTGACGACCCCTGAAGCTGCGGCGTACTTTGAGCCATCTTTCGATATGACTCGACGGACCATGTCGGGCTTGACTGTGAACAATACTGCTCCAAATGGTAGACAAGCCGTGCGACAGAACTCATCACCAGGGCCAGTACATGCTGTCAAGGCCCCTCCAGCTGGACCAGTCATGGGCACCCTCATTGACTTTTCCGACGAGCCTGAGGAGGTAAAACTGGATGATACTGCAGCCCTGGAGCAAGTCAAGTCATCAAGAAGACCAGGCCCATCCGCCAGTGCCGCAGATTTGCTTGCTCGGAAACCACTACCGCCGCCTCGTCCGGCCAAGCCCGCTGCTCTAGCCAGCGCCCCCTCCATACCCACTGTTAGAAAGAGCTCTGTCGGCTTGGGGATTTCAGGAGCGACAGGTTCTGAACCACCGCCACCACTACCGAGAAGGCCTGTGGGACAGAATCAATCAGCTCACCCTCTGTCTCAGATTCAGAATTCGTCTCAACAGACTGGTCAATCACCAAGAGAGGAAAACAACAGGCCACCACCACCTCCTCCCCCACCTCGCCGTAGCGCAAGGAATCTCAGCCCCAAAGTAATACCCTTCGGACGCGGCCCATCATCCAATTCAGATGTCGACTTTGACCCCCTGCCGCCGTCACTCGGCCCTGTGCCCGCAGCTTCTGCCACCGGCCTTTCGTCATTCTATCGCCCCAGCAGCCGATCCGGAAACACCTCGCCCTCGGCATCGCCAACCATGGCTCCTGTGAACAAGAAGCTCGAGCTCTGGAAAAGACGACTTGCTAGGGCGCAAGAGCAGCTCGATCAGCTGGGTGTGGCGCTATATACCTGGCGTAAAGGGCAGGATGTTGAGGCTGAGGCAGTGGGCATTATAAAGCGGTACATGGCGGAAATGGAAAAGGAGAAGGCAAGGAGATGAATTTGGGAATAGAAATGCAAAGATAGAGAGAGAGGCTGTTTGTGTTTTTTGTCTGCCTGTCTGTGTGTTAATGCTTTATTGTTATGTTTCCTTTTATGTATGCGTTTTTTTTTACTCTCTCCTGTTTGTTTATGATATGGCGTGGGGGGGGTTCATTGGTGGTGTGTGATAGACTGTACTACACGATTATTTTTTTTCCTGTTTGTTCATCACTTCAACTATATACTACTATATGCTGAGATAGAACTTGCTTAAAGAGAGAGTTTGCATATATCAAGAAGAAAGACTACAATATCTCATTACAATTCATACAATCACAATTTGCTCTACATTAATTTCAATTTCATCATCTCACGTAATTCCTTGACTGAAAGGTATTAACATCAGGAAAAAAAAAAGTGCATATACTAAACGGGATATACAATTGTTTAAGTGATATTCTGTCTTAGCACTTCTTTATCGACATACAAAAAGCAAATTTCATACCCAAAGGCCGCCCCTCGCAAGGAGAAAACCAATAACAGGACAGTAGTACACAAAAAAGAGGTAAAAAAGGATTACATACAGCCCATCTTAAACAAAAAGCCCAAACAACTCCTCCAAAGTTTATCCTCTTTCCCAATGCTTCTTCAATATACTAAGGAAACAAGAAAAAAAAAAAACCGCCCTTTAACTAAAAAGAGAGGAAGAAGCCACCTCTCGATCGACCAAGATCATCTATGAATTTGAATTTACCGCGGGTTGTTTAAGTTTCCAGTCAGATTCATATGCATCATGGCATCCGCCGTCCAATCCGTTTCCGCTTCATCGTTGCCCCAGAAGTCGAGGCCTTCACGTCCATCAACGCCCGGTAGCCGGATTTGCGGTGGCCCTTGACTCAACCGCAGCCTGGCTGTCTGTGCATCTTGGGCGGGAGACGAAGGCTCGGCTGCCACTGGTTGTATGTCATGATCTATTTGCCTTGACTCTACTTGTTGCTCATGGTGTTGCGCTGGCTCAAAGTATTGCCCTTGGTTATAGTGCTGCTGCGCTTGATCATAGTGCTGCTCTTGATCATAGCGCTGCTCCCTTTCGTAGTGCTGCTGCTGTTCGTAGTGTTGCTCCTGCTCATAGCGTTGCTGTGGCTGTGGTGGCTCAAAGTGATCGTAAGCATGCCCTCCTTGGTTATTCGACGCTGGTGGGTGCTGCTGGTTGTAGTCATGCATGGACGCATTTTCTTGGCCGAAATCGCCACTCGGACGATACGCTGTTGGGGTCGGCTGGTCATCCTGAGATGAAATAGCATATCCAACCGGCTCCGTATGGGCCATGTGATCCATTTGCTGTGCAAACTCCTCTTGCTCAAGAATCTGTGGTGCCTGACCGACATTTCTGACGCCGGGTGGGAGGGTGGCGCCTAGGCTACGAAGACTTCCCGTAGATGCCCTGTTGGCATCAGCTCCCTCACCCTCAAGTACACTGGCATCGAGATCTCTGATAGCAAACTGGGCCATGGTGCGCATCTTGCGCGTTACCCATCCCGCAAGGATCTTTCCTCGTTGCTTCTCTCCCAGTCGAGATCTGGGGAAATCACCCTTATTCACAAAGGCCACAATATCTGCAACGATCTGATGTTCGCTCAAAATCGCGTTGACGATGACGGGCACCATGGAAGCGAGATAAGATTTGCGGCTCACTTCTACCAAAACCACAACCAAACCACCGGCTTGGAATACAGCACTGTAGTCAACTTGTTAGTCTCAAAATCGCGGGTTAGGTAGGAAACAAGGACAAGCAAAAAGGTACTTACCAGCCGTTCGGTACAATGTTGCGATGGCAGCGCTCTACCGACAACTCAATATCCATAGGGAAATGGCTAAGACCGTTGATCTCAAAAGTTTCACCAATGCTGCCGAGCACAAACAGGACCTGCATTTCTACAAGAGCACCGTTAGGTCCAATAGGTCGATTGACATTGTGAAGGAATCCAAGATCGCCAGTTCGCACATATCGCACGTTCGGGTCACCGTCTACAGTCCGGCCATTGAACCGCTCCACGTCAAACGCGTCCTTGGAGCCATAGAATGATTTGACACATGCTTCAGAGTCAACCCAAATCTCACCATACTCTCCATCGAAACAGTGAGTGCGGCTTTCAGGATTGACAATGGCGATTTGCGTAGATACCGGTACCATGCCAGAATCTTGCAAGAGGAGAGCTTGGGGATCCGACTCGTGGTCCACAGGAACAATAAGACCACGCCGAAGAGCCTTGGTGTCAAGCCAGAGTTCAATAGGCTCAATGCACATGTAAGATCTCGACGCAACCATCGGATTGAGTACATGGGAGTAGACGGTATTGATAGCCGTTCGGTCTAGTCCGGCTTGCGCAAAATGGAGCCGCACTTTTTGGAAAACATCCACTCGTGGCCGACCCTCCGCGGAGATCATCATGTTCTTAAGCTCGTGCATTGTAAAGCCTTTGCCTGCCATCATTGACATGGCGTGGTCAAGCATCTGCGGAGTTGCATATGTGTCTTTAATCTTATATCTCGAGAGAGTAACAAAGAGAGATATGGGGTTTTGGGCAAACTCGACAGGAGACAACAGGTAGGTAGGGGTGCCCACGTAGATGCCCATCAAGCAAGTATGGACAAAACCAAGCCCCGTCGTGCTTCGGACGCAGCCAAGGACAGGCCTCGAGCTTGTCATTTGGCATGTCTCCTTTTGTACTTTGCACATGCCCAGGATTGTATCATGTCCAAGCTGGACAGCAATTCTCCGCTGGTCTGGCGTCCAGTATGTCCAGATGAGGACGGGGTAGCCCGGCCGAATCCAGGCAGGGTCTATTGTCAGTTTAAGCTCTCGAAGACCGTTGTTCTGTTTGGGAGGTTTCGAGGTGTTGTACGTGTTTGGCATGGAAATTTTCAAAATTTGCGCCGACTGCTTGATGTGACTTGAGACTACCTTAATCTTTAGCAGATGGTCTACATCCTGGTTGACCAAAACTGCCTTGACTTTGTAATCGGCAATCAAGTGTAGAAAGGCTGGAACATCCTCGTTGAGTCGATTCTGGTCGAGCGGCGCCATTGGGATAATGACTGCACCGAGATTGATACCCGCATGTACTGCAAACACAAAATCTTCCGAGTGTGTATACATGAGGACCAAGTGATCTCCTGGTCGTACTTTGACTTTATTCTTGAGATACATGGCCACAGCAGCCACCTTGGTATCGAATTTTTTCCATGTAATTCCCTTGCCTTCTCTACCTCTGCCATCAATGGTACAGTAAGATAGCTCTTCTGGCTGACGAGCGACTCGCCATTGAATAAGATCAGATATGCATGAGAAGTTGTTGAGAGGCGTAGATGTCCTGTCGTCAATGACGACTTCTCTACGATCGATTCCAGAATACTGCTTATCAGCAGGCGCGAGAATCTGAGTCCGCGACTCTGATGCAATTGGAGACCAGATACCGCCAATGGGGTCAACTCCGATAGGGAGATTGAGAACCGCATGCTCGACGCCAAACTTGACATGCACACACGGAAGGTTTCCAAGATCAAACTCGCGACGACACAGCATGTTTCCAATCTCTCGTCTTCCGTTCTTGATCACTCGTGGCAGAGCGTTCGGGGCTGTGATCATAACGCAGTAAACCCGAAGATGATGCTCCTGCATAAGGACTTCCATGCATTTTTCTGCCAGCGAATCCAACAAGGCCGTATCAGGCTGTACTGGAGGACCTCCCGATGTAAGAGGCGCTGTTGACGCAGCGGCCGACTCGAGAACCACGACAGGCAAGTGCTCGTCATTGACAAAAACGTCAAATGCAGAACAATCGTGGATTTTAGGAACGTTCTTGACAAGGCTTACCACAATGTGTTGAACAAAGAAATATCTGTACTCGGTGATTCCTGCACCGCCATGCTCAACCCACTCGACCTTTTGTCGGATTCGATCCTCATAAAGCCCCAGCACGTAAATTTTGCCCTCGATTACAGTGCCAAGAAGACCAGTCCGCAAGAATTCTGGCTCCACGGCTGTTGGTGTCGGCTCTCCTGGTTCAAATTTATACGGGCGTGCGTGGAAGATGAGCTCTGTGTTCTTGGGCTGCGCCCAGAATCCGCCAGAGAGAGACGGTGAATCTACCCAAATTTCGCCAACCGAGCGTGGAGATGCCAGGAGACCAGTCTCGGGGTCCACAACGGCAAGCGTAGCATCCGGAATAGGGTATCCAAAGGCGCCCACTCGCACCATTGTAGATTCCATCGAGGTCTTCTTTCGAGCTTCATTGCCATGGGCGATGACAACGACTTCATTTGTCTTCAAGGCTTCCCTGTCAAGGATGACCTCTCCTAGCTCCATCTTCTCATCAAGCTCCTTTTTTGTGGTCCCTCCACCTCCTAACAGACTAGTGAATCCGTTTTTAGGTTTCTCATCCTCTTCTTTTTCATCTTCGGATTCTACGCCTGAGTCATGATCCAGCATCAATTGAACTCCCAGCCGTTCTTCACCACCAAGCCAGTCTCGAACACTGATAATCATGCCACCATGCTCCGGAAGACAAAGCATCGGAGCCACCACTTCTCGCGCCCGGGGGTTCCTCAAGGGCCGTAGCCATCTATCCGCCAATACTTCATGGAACTCGCTATCAATAGTAAGAGTATCAATTAAGCAGAGTTTTACCGCCTGGAAATTCGGCTCCATTCCCTTCTTGAAATTCCGTGTTGTCATCGGATCTGACTGGTAGTTGTATGCGGCTCGTTTTAATCCAGGATAATCAGCAATCATAACAGTTGCTCTATATTTGGTAATCAAATGTGCGTATAAACCGGGAGATTCAACAGCCTTGTTGTCGAACCAAACACTGGTATGGCCGCCGTACACAGTCAGCAAAACGCTGAGAATCAAACCAACTCCCTGGCGAGGATCCAGATAAGATAGCAATATCTCACTACTTGCTCCGCCGCCACCAATGAGCTTTCCATTCTTGTCTCGCAAAGAGGAACTAAATGTGTCTCCAGGACCGTTGCCGGGAACGGTAGAGATGATGGCGCTCAGACATGCCATCTGGTGCATAATGGTCCGGTGGCTGAGAACAACACCTCTCAAGTCACCAGTTGGAGCACGAGAGAATTCGATGTAGGCCAAGTCTGGCACGGTTAAAGGCGGAGCGTCCTCCTTCTTTTTGGGGTGATAACCACCAAACTCATTAGTCTTCCACCATTCGACTCCCTTGGGCCAGGTGAGCTTCTGGGTAGTGATATCTCTCTGGAAAGTTTTGAGGTTATTTTCTGTCGTAAGGGCTAGATGAGCCTGTGTAGAAGTGAGGATATAGTTCAGTCTCTGGTAGTCTTGTAGGTCGTTGATTGGAACAGCTACCACGCCAGCAATAAAACAGCCTAACAAGGCGGTGGCGAAGTCGATGATTTCGCTATCACGATAGATAAGAGCTACCCGGTCGCCACGGTACAGGGGACTCTTGTCTCTAATGACTTGTGCGACCTTTTCGGCCCTTGACGCGAGTTTATCCCATGTGATGGACGCCATCTCCTTGCCCTTGCTATCAAGGACCCAGTACGCTGGTCTCTTGGCAGTAGTGCGAGCACGATGGCGGAGCACTGCAGCCATGTTATCAAAGGAAGACATTGGCGTGTTGTTGTCGTGAGGATCATGGATGGCAAATGGCACCTCTCTGGGCTCGAGTGGAGCCTGATATTCTAATATCTCTGGAGGCGGCATGTCGTTGGCAGTGAGCATTGGAGGCGCCATGGCTGCTGTAGGAGAAAATGCATCGCCAGAGTACCTCGGACCCCCATAGTCGCCCATCTGATTCTGTTCGTAGTGCTGTTGGCCTGCGAAATCAGAAAAGTACGCTTGGTTGTCGAGCAGCGTTCTGGTTCTACCGTCATCTGGCTGATGGTATGGCTCCGCGTATGCAACGTGTTGATCGGGGTTGAAGGCATAATCACCAGAAACCATGGTTCCGCTGCGTGTGGGAGGGTCATTGCTGGGGCCTGGCAAGAAGAGCGAGTCTCGTTGCGGCATCATAGAACTCTCGGCAATTGGCCCTCCAGGTTGCAAGAGGCTGGCTGGCGAGACAGTTGGATTCGCGTATGAAGATCTCGGCGGAGCAGCGTAGCTTGAGTCGGGGCGCTGTGTATGATCGCCATAGTTGCCAGTTTGGTCGTGGTAGCCACCTCCAGCACCGTAGCCGCCTCCATAGCCTCCTCCGCCGCTAACGGAGGTCATGGAGGTCATTACGGATGCTCGGCGGGGATCGCTTGAAGGATGTGTCGAGGTCTCGGGGGAGTGAATGCTCAATCCAGAGCGAGACTGCGGAGGAGCTGGGGCGGGTGTTGTCGGGTGGTGAGCAAACTGCGATAATAACATAGTCCGCCGTTTCTGATATCTGCGATGCTCTCGTCAGTCCATGATGCTGCGGTGTGCTTTCTGCTGCCAGCGTGTCGGCAAGACGCTGCTCACCCCTTCTCGGTAATGTCGCCCTCCTGCAAGTCATGTCATCAGCCAAAAAGTTCGAATTGGCGGCGGGAGAAGCTTGGAGAGAGACGCTGCCAAACAGACGCTCCCAACAGACAACCTACCTCCAACTCGCGGTCCAGCTCCTGGAGCCGCGCTCGCAGCTCAGGATCGTAGTCCGCCATGGCCGACGAAACCGCGCGCGAATGGTGAATACTTTCAAAGCTCTTATGCTTGACCGACAGCGAGGGACGAGCGCTTCGCCATGCCAGACTCACGAGTAGCGCGAGTCTCGTGATGCAGCGAGGTTGAAGTTTCTACGGCGGGCTTCGGCTGCTAAGAACGGCGAGGCAGTTAAAACCTTGGTGGAAGCTAGAACGAGGGGCTGCCGCTCTAAACATCAGGTTTTAGCGGCTAAAACAACCGCCATTACGGAGTAGCGCTCCCTGGGCGATTAGTTTCCAGGGCACGGACTCGCTAATCCGATCTGGGCAATGCTCGGCCAGCGAACACGAGGCCAGACTTATGTAATGACGAAAATGAGAGAGAGCGTAGGTGATCAGACCGTTGCTCCATTTTATTATGCGGGTTTTCCCTTTGTATGGAGGATTCCCCTGATCCGATATTCCGGGGCTTCTATAGGCAGATACGAGGTTTATATTAGGGCAGACAGCTCTTCATCTAGGTACATCTATATACCTTCCATGCTAGGAAGTCACTCAGCCAACAGTCCAATGACAGTGAAGCGATAACGACAATGGACGAACAACACAGTGTATGCATATCCAGAAGACGCTTGAAAGCTTCGTCTTGTTTCGTGTCAATACGGAAGGTACATATTGTAAGGCATATCACCTACAGCCTATATAAGATATATATTTGTGTATCTTCTAACGTTTACATACCTATTTTCCCGGTTATGCAAATGTTGTTATTGAGTTTAGGGTACATGTTATTTTAGTGTACTTATAATAATCGAAACATCGCATTCTTTGCCCAGGAATAAGAAATTACGAGATATTAAAAGGAAAGAAAAGCTAAATGAAAGATTTTTTTCCCTCCCCGTAGATTCTTTGCTATCATATCGTTGCGATATGTCCCGATGTAGAACTGACGACAAGTAGACTAAACAAACATGGTGTTGAGCGCATATTTCGAACGAAACTCCGAAGCCCATCATCTTTGTATTAAAAAATTCTCGTATCAAAGATAATTGGTCTAAAAAAAGAAAAGCCTTAAAATGGTTGAAATCATTGTAGCCTTTGCCCCTGACTCACTATATGAAGCATTCATCTTGTATCCGCTATTCTTCTCGAGACTGAACAACCGTCAGTGCGCCTCCATCATGGTCAAGGGCTTTCAGATCTACTTTTAGTCCATCAACCCTCATAGCGACTCAAAAAAAAAAAAAAAAAAAAAAAAAAAAAGAAAGAAAGAAAGAAAGAAAAAAAAAAAAGTGAAGTATTATTTTCGACATCGGGAAACTGTTCATTTATCGGAGTTGATCGGTCTTTGGGCCATCTTTGGGTCTTCATCTTTGTCCAATATCTTTATCATCCTGTTCCTTCATCTCTTGTCGCGCGCCCTACTATGGGTTCTAAAATAGTCGTGAACAATGAACAGCACTGTTCAATGTTTATCTTGTTCAATATTTATCTTGTTCAATATTTGTTCAATTACCGCAAAGACCAGAATTTAAATATGCCCTGCATCGCCTAATTCATGAATATCAATTTTGAGTCATAACTGTCATAGAACACTCGCCAACTGCGATCAGCTTACATCCGCGCTGTACATTCATTGATATTAGTGTTTACCAAACTTTTAATATCAGCGAAGAACAAACCGAAAACATGTCATTGCCATATGACCCTCAAAATATTCATGATGAGGACTTCACGAATATGTGGAGAGACAACACCAACACAATATTCGATCCGGCGGACCTGGGTAGTTTGGATCCAAATAGAGACTCGCCGCAGAGTGCCACGCTGGAGGAGGCACAGTCAGTATCAGTATATTCGAAGCCACTAGACTTCATATCGCCAGCAAGCACGCATAATGTCGATGCCACAATTCAGCGAGGCAGCAGTCTCGGCTTTGATCATTTATCAAACTGGGTACCGTAAGTTTTGATCTGAGAGAAGTACGATGAAATTATGTATTTACTAATCCTATATTATAGGGCAGTAAATGTATACCCATTTCAAAATGCTTTCGTTTCGAACAATGCGTTCTCTCCGATGCAGATTACACAAGGCCAACATAACCAGCCAATTCCAGGTTTTAATCAACAGCTGTCTCCATACAACCTACAATATCCTGCTGTTAACGCAGAATTAGCCCAAGATAACCCTTTCTCTGTATATCCTCCCCTCGGTAATGACAATGCCTCCAACTCTCTGCCATATGGCCATTGGGTCATCCAACAGGCTCAACATGTCTTTCCTCCGCCTACCCTGAATTCTCACTCGGTCAACACCGGTTATACTATGAATAACCAGTATCAACCTGACAATAGCAGAATGGAAATTTCTCAGAATTCAAGAAGGGGAAGCGAAGCGACCTTGCGCGGCTCAAAGGTCAGCATGAATAGGGCTGCGAAACAAAGAAATGACCCCGAATGCGACCCGTCTCTTGTATACCCCAAACCAAGAACACGTGATTCTTGGGGAAGCAATAATAAGGAAGGGCGACATTCGTTCAATTATAACGAAAAGGGACAGTGGCTGCCTAAAGTCTACTATAACAATGAACAGTTGCGAGAATATGTGGATAACTGCCCGAAAGGCACCGTCTTTCGAGTTCAACAAGCTCCCACGCAGTGTTCACACCGAATGGAATCAGAATACACAAAATGCCGCTGGGCTAATTGCCTAATTCGCGAAAGAACCATTCCGTCTGGGTGGCTCCGCGTGACATTTGATGAGTTCCCTGCGGAAACCTCCGGTGGGACACGCGATCCGCTTTTATGCGCCGGCTCAATGCATCTATGGTGCTTTGAACAAGTTTTTGATCTCATGGAGTTCCACCTAGATGGGCGTCTGATACCCGAGACAAGACAGTTTCCTTTTGAGGACCGAAACGTGACGAGCCTGGAAAAGCTGACCGATGCGGGATTGGTAAGAGCAACTTACACACCTTGGTTTGAGAAGCGGAAAGCTTTCTTCAATATGCATGGGAAATTCCCGGTCTCACTAGGGTACGAAGATACTCTATCTTACGCTTTGAATCGCCATCACATTAGACACCAGACACCGGCTCGGTTTAAAACGAGGAAAATTCGGTCAATGAAGAAGATAGAGAGAGGTGAGATTCCAAGCACGATTGACATCCACATGGGCAACCTCGAGACGTATACAGCACTTACGAAAAAGACGAATAAGACAAATAAACGCAAGAAGCTACAAGAGATAAGGAAGCATATGGATATGGTAGAGCTGCCCAATGGTGGCTTGTACTCTCCAGATACTCTTTCACCGATATGGCTCCCCCCTCCTCTTAAACCTGAAGATAAAGATACAGAGACTCTTGAACAAGTTGGATCTGGACCACGTGCAAAATCATCTCGGAAAACATCATCTTCTCGTCGTCCACAAGCAAAACGGTGTTCTTGGAGGGGAAACAACTTGAAGAAAGCATTTGTCCGAAGACACCAAGGACAAGCACTCTTACCTCAGCCGCCTGTTGGCAGTGGTCAGGATATTGACATGGATACACGTTGTTCTGCTGTGGTGGTTAATTCGAATGCGAAGTACACGCCACCGGGCTATTTCGATCCCTTGGACCCAGTTCACAGAACGTTGCAGTCAACTGTTGCACCCTCACTTGGAATTAGTATTCCTTCTGGTAATCATCAGGGTAGTCTTGCAAACGCCTATAATCCTAACTTAAACCAAGCAATTCCAATGCGAAGTTTCAATACGGGGGATCGGACACAGCTACTTTCCAGCACTGTGGCACTCCCAGATGCAAGGGTGGAACAGGAGCCAGGAATCCGAGACGGCAATTTGAATACTTCGCTTAAGGCATCACAAGGGAATCATTCCTATCAAAACGAGACAAAGGCCATAGCACAAAAAGAAGGACAAGAAGCATTGAAAGTGCTCGGGGGCGGCGATGGCACGAGCTCGAATGACTCAAGCCAGGTCAATGGCCTGTGTCCAGAAGAGACAAATCCATACCAGTATCTTACCTTTAACGAACCTATGCCAGAGACTACTCAGTATCCAGTAAAAGGCAACACTGAAGCGATGGACAACTCCATAGCTCTAACACAAATGAATACCGATGCCAGCCAGCCTCTAGAGCTCGCGGCCTGTACCGAGAGCCCGCAAGTTGCCGCTGTGGCAGAGTCTTGGAAAAGCATGAGCAGCTTCATTGACCCCGCGAGCTATGGCGGCTATAGCGATACTGACATTCTTACTCTATTCGATGATTCCGCAGCCACCACCACCGATGGGACCAATGGCGAGAGCCGTAGCTGTTAACGATGTCAGCATACTAGCGAGCTGTCTGAAGGCCGCCCGGTTCTGAAGCCCGCTTGAAACGGAAGAATCTCAGCCCCCGCCCCGCGAGGATGCGCAAAGTAGAAGAGGATAACGAGAAGATTGTATATTGACACCTTGAAACAATGGAGCCACGCCTCTTATGGATTAACACAAGCGGTTCCCCGGCCGGTGTCGACGGGGGGTGCCCTTACAGCATCGATAAGGCCCATCGAGCTGCATCGGCACTCCCGAGGTGGAGAGCTGATTGGGCTTGTCGGCGTTGACTTGCAGGCAGGCGGGCAGACAGGGCTAGCTTTGAGGACGCAAGTAGGCCAATCAATGAAGCGAGGACGCTATGACTGCTTGAGGGCAAAGGAATGTTAAGCATTGGCCGGCTCTGGGAGTAGCCGGACAGCAAGACGTGATGTGACCAGCCTCGACTTTAGCTTGGCGTGAGCTGCACCAAGCACGGACTATTACCGAGTCCTATGAGCTGAGAAAAGCGTTTGCGGGACGACGTGCTCTGCGCGAAATAGGCAGACGGATGCAGCATTGTGCGTTGCTGTTTGCCTGCTTAAAGCTGGAGGGTGCCTATTACCAATACCTCGCGGGCATCTCCGATTTGCTCGTCTTCACACGCATCTAAAGATGGAGACATTCGCAGGATCATTCTCTTCACAAACTCTTGAACATGCAGTTGTAAAGCTGGCCCCGCTCTGTTCTGCATCTGTCCGATAGTCGGGGAAAATATTGAAATATTACATCAGTGATTTTGTCAGCCGTTCATGTCCGATTGAATTACACGCCGCAGGGAGAAGCTGCAACAATTCGTGAACTGAGGGTGGGCTTGATGTTGATCATGGAGTTAAAATGAGGCCTCGACAGGGGCTCCTTGCCATCTCATTGCGCTGCTTTCCGTCTGTTTTTAGTGTTTATTATTTAGTAGTGTTCTGCAGTGGTATTAGTTTTGGTTATTTGTTGGGAAATTTGCATCTTGGCTTTGTTTTATGGAGGAGGTTTGCGCGGCCTCGGAAACGTTTTTGGACTTTAGAAAGTGGTGTGGAACCGGCACGTGCGAGTATATTAATTGTACATGCACTAGGCAGGTGCCTAGGTATATACCTAGTACCTACCTTAGCAGGTGGTAGTATTCCACGGCTGTCTTATCAATATTAGTTGCTGGGGTTCTGGGAGTAGGTACTTGAAGTTACCTAGATGGGTAGGCCGAACGTGTCTACACGTAATAATAGAATGATATAAAATCACAAAATGGATAAGAGATTTGACGAGAGATTTACAAGTGTTTGTGGAGTAACAACGCCAACACCAACAGTGCATTAGTACGGGTAAGCATTGAGCTAATTGGCTGTGTTGCGAGTGCGTATACTCGTGCCAGTCAGTCGAGGACTTCAACCAACCGCATGTATTGTAGCCCAAGCAAGGGATCCTGATCAAGAGGCCCTACCTACCTAGTACCTACCTAAGGTAGTACGTCAGTAGTTAGTAGTCTTCTATGTTCACGGGCTTAGATAGGTATTAGCTGCTTCATGATGGTCCTCGGCTTATAAATCCAACATAGCTAGACGTGGATAGCCGTAAGGCTTTGGTACCTACATAGGTAGGGGAATATCCATCTAATGCAACAGATATGTTTAGACACCTCTATGTATGAATCCTTTGTCGATCTCGGCACCATTCTATCTACGGCTACACACCCCTCTTCATGCTGCTACTTGTATATTTCCTCTTCGTGGTATGCATATACATAACGCTCTTGTGGCCTCGCTTATTTTACCTACAGCACCACTTGGCCATGCTCGCAGCAAGACGATGCTGCACCTCCGTCTCCCCACAAGAGCCGGGGTGTGAGTGGATTAATGCAGCTACGGAGTGTGGCTTCAGCCCTCTGGGTGGCCGAAGCGGGCTGTGGGAGATCCAAAGAGGACAGATCCATGCGCGCTGATCAAACAATTGATCCCACGACGTCAAGTCGCATGCCTGCTAGCGGAGTGGCACTAACTGGTGGATGCTTGGAGCTATGGGCACGAGCAAGACATACAAGTCTTAATACAGCTTACATGTAGTAGTATCATCCTGACACTGAGCTGGAGGCGCTGCTCTGCGGCAGGTACAGAGATGAGACCGTGGATCAGAAAAAGTCTCAGCCCAGGGCTGGCAGACGCCCACGCAACGGAGCCTACGTGTATAAGGTTCGTACGGTGTGAGCATCGTGACCTGAAGAGAGGGGCTGCGCGCAGCGCGATGCAGGTTGTCAAGTCCCGGATTTGCCCAAGCTAGATAACGCCACGTTTGCGCAAGGCAGTCGACCTCTGAAGATCCTGCTGGCTCGGAGGTTACAGCACAGGCTCACCTGCCAAGAGCAGTATCGAATGCTACCTCCCGGGTCATGGATGTCTCGGTGTAGTGTCTTGATCACCTCACACGCGCTGAAAACATGAGGCAGATGTTACCACTGCGTGAAACCCGGAGACCCTGTAAATGAGGACGAGGAAGTGGCACTGCTTCGTCAGATAACCACAAGTAGAAGGACGATGAAGGCAAAACGGTGCCTATAGATATCATCGAGACACTAGGTGGGTACCGAGCAGCAAGTAATCCTCATATCCCGGTTCGACCATCCAGTCCATATGCGCATATGCTTAGATCGAGTGCTATTGGCAAGCAGAACTTGCAGTAGCGCACTAAGACGATGCGCCTCCGTGGGGTCCATGGCACCGAGATGCGTGTTTTATTTCGGCTGCATCGTTTTGGGGCGTGCTTGTCTTCTTTATTTTCACAGCAAATGGACCGGCGTAGATCAAAACCCTCCCAGCAGAGAGTCCACGGAAGGCCGCTTTCAGCCTCAAATATCTCCAAATTGCATGCCTAGATCAGTCTTTCTGCTCGTATACCAGTAAGCGCGGGGCAAAGCCGAGAAAAGTACCGAGTACATCTGGACTATCGGTATTCCCATCCAGCACAGGCGCTGTCGGCGCCGTTGCCGGTGGGGCCCCGAGTACCAGCTACCTAAGCACATGTTCCTGGATGCCGTACCAACGAAAGCCACATGCGTGCTCTCTCACACTTTTTTGGTCCTCTGTCTTGCACGCCCCCCTTCCCCAAAGCCCCAAACCCTGCAACCAGACCGCGGCGACCCCGAGACTAGGTGACAATGGCGACGCTAACTCCATCAACGGCCTGAACTGACGGGCCCTTGTGCTGCGTTGCGCTGCGCTGCGGTGCCGCGGGCGGGCAGCGGCGCAGGCTCAGGGCCGTGACGAGTGGGTTCAAAAGGCGAGCCGTGATCCTGCGTCGGCGCGGGGTGGGCAGAGAGAGCAAAGCGAACGTGAAGCAAACATTCAAAAAAACAGGGCGCGCGTCGACGCCTTCACCCACGGATCCGAGCAAGGGAAAGGGAAGCCTTGGACGTCCTTGGACGAGCAGCATCACGAGTCATCACCAGCTCTACTATACCTACCTACTGCACCACCTGCGAGTAGAGCCATTACTACATATAACCACGACGACGACCACCTCGTGCCGTGCCACGCAGAGTCTGCAGTTCCGTGCAAGAGAAGAGACAGAGAGACAGACGAGCCGTGTTGCGATAGTGTCTTGGCCACCATCTCTGCTCCCAGCTCGTGCCAAAGAAGGCAGGATTCCCGGCTAGCCAAGGGTGCTTGCATATACATACCAGCGCGATACTACTACTACCGCGTTGCTAAATATCGATCCGCCAGCCTAACAGCCGCCATCTGCAGAGCGTCGTCACATCTGCCGTTGCATGCCCTTCTGGCGCTTCTCATACAACGTGCAAGTATCTCCATGCTAGCACTATCAGTATTACTCGCACACATTGGTAACACGACACGTACCTGCGAATCAAGCAGAGGCCAGAGAAAGATCCTTGGCGCCGGGGGAGCATCGACTCTCCGAGATAATTTCCCAATTTCCCATAATATTTTAGATCCTTCCGTCCCTCCCAGCAGGCAGCCAATGCCCAACTATTAGACGCCGCGCGCCCGCCAGGAAAATATTACCTCGAGTGTACCGTCATCACTCCATCTTCGCTCGCCCTCGCATCTCGGTTTGCCATCTTATTTCCTCTTCAGCGAAACGGCTAGTCAGGGCAGCAGGCTCAAACAGCGCCTCGTGGGGGTAGCCAGACAAAGCAAAGCCGGAGCCGCGGTCACGTGTGCCCTTCGCCGCCAGCGCCGCCGGGCTGAACAAGGAACAAGGAGATCCAAGGACGCCTTCTTTTAGCCTTTGCTTTGAAAGCAGATACCCGCGGCAATTGCCTCTGGTGTTGTGTTTGGGACTCATTTCGAATTGACAATCCTCTGGAGTTTGGAACTGAACTGGCCAGCTGCGTCGGCGTTGAGCGTTGCGCATCTGCAGACTGACTCGACACAATTGCGGCCCCAGTTGATCGTTGCCATCGCGACTTGGACTGCAAGCAGTTCGCGCCATGACCGAGGCCGTATCACCACCTGCTTTGCAGGTAATCATATTGGTATGTTGATTTAGGATGCGCTTTTCTCTGTTCTTCTCTCCCCCGTCTGCATTTTCCTTCTTCCCAATTCGCAGGACGGGCAATTGCTCTGCGGCCTCCGTCAATGCTGACGGCCAATTTCCTGCTGCCCTTGGCCATGAACGCGGTGCGCCCTCATAGGCTCAGATCGGGTAATTTGGCCGTGGCATTTCCGATCGGGATGCGTTTGCCGCCAGGGGCCAGTGCCCCAGATCAAGGGACAAACACCCCTCTGCATGAAACGCCTAGCCGAGCTGTGCTCTTGTCTGCCCAGAGTCGCTGTCCTATTGGCACAGCTTATCGTGGGGCAGCGTCTCAATCCGACAGCGCGGGCTTACACGGCCGCGTGTGCCGTCTTCTCTTCCTGGCATTGCGCAGCCGCCTCAAGCATCCATATACACGCATCATCACTTGTAATATCATCATAATGGCTAACCGTTGGCTGCTTTTGCGTCCTTCTTCTACAGGGTTCTGGAGGTGGTCCCCAGGAGTCTAATACGACTGCGTTTCTGGTTCGCTCAGTGCCCCAGAACTGGCGCAAGGGCTCCATAGTAGCAGTGGATGGAGGTGTTCACCTATCTGCCATCACTCGTCTTATCGAGGAGGCTCTGCCCGATTCGCCGCCACCAACGCCGACACCATCATCTGCTCCTGCTCGTCAGATTCTGACAACTGGTCCTTTTGCGGGGCTAGAGCTGCCGTTTACTACAGCTGCGGCGAATGCCGCCCATGTCACCCGCACTCTTGTTGATACATATCTGATCACCCACCCTCATTTGGATCACATCTCCGCGTTTGTCATCAACACAGCAGGCCTGCCGGGCACTCGCCCAAAGAAGCTGGCTGGCCTTCCAGGCACAATCAAGGCCCTCAAGGACCACATCTTCAACAATGTTATTTGGCCTAATCTTAGCGACGAAAATAACGGTGCTGGTCTTTTGACATATCTTAGACTGGTGGAAGGTGGAAGTCCTGCACTAGGCGAGGGCTATCTAGAAGTATGCGATGGACTGCTCGTCAAGACCTGGAGCGTGAGTCACGGACATTGCATGGAAAAGCACACGCATCGTGGATCTTTTTGCAACCAACCGCCGACCCGTCAAGGCAGCCAAGACGGGTCAAGCATACCGCTTCGGAGAGACACCTACTACCCGCACGTTCATGACTTTGCATCGCACTTCGCCCGTCGAGAAACGGTCAACCACCTTTACCCCCCGGCTTTCTCACGGCGTCCGAGTATGATGCCTCAGGGAGGCACTTCGACGCCGATATTCAGCGGGGGTGAATTTGAGCCAAGACCGTGCGTTAACGACTCGAGCGCATATTTCATTCGGGAAGAGACGTATGAGCGTGAGGTGCTCATCTTTGGAGACGTGGAGCCGGATAGCATTTCTCTCAGCCCGCGCAACCTGCTGATCTGGCAAGAGGCAGCGCCTAAGATTGCAGCCGGCAAGCTGGCCGCTGTTTTCATCGAATGTAGCTACACTGACGCACAGCCCGACGAGCGGCTATTTGGCCATTTGAAACCCGCCTATCTCATTGAAGAAATGCAAGTTCTGGCCACCGAAGTAGAAATCGCAAGAAAGGCGCGTGCCCTCGAGTCTAAGAAGCGCAAGCGGGACGCCGAAGAGGATGCGCAAGTTCAGCGAAAGAAAGCTCCACCTACGTCCATGCAGAGCCCCGGGTCAGATGACCCTGTGTCTCCCAAGTCGGCCAATCCTTTCAACATGCCCTCTGAGTACTACTTTGAGGCCAAGCCTGACTCCGACACGCCGCACATCGCCACTCCCACTGGTGAGCTATCACTAGATGAGTTTGGGGTTCCTAATTTGGTGGTACCACCACCTATCCACGCCGTCAAGAAGCCCCTTGAAGGCCTCAAGGTCGTCATCATCCACGTCAAGGAGACGTTAGCGGATGGGCCGGAAGCCGGAGACTCAATATTGCAGGAGCTAATAGAGCATGAACAAGAAGCACAGCTGGGCTGTGAATTTATCATTTCTAAGCCGGGGCAGAGTTTCTATTTTTAGTGCCCTTGGTGTCGCTCGTTCGCCGACGACGGCTTCTTTTTCTCTTCTCTCTTGAATTACAAGCTTCTTTTTTTTTCTCCTTATATATATGGGTTTGGGAACGGCAGTATACGGACGGTGGCAGGGGAGTTTCACATGATTTTTTTGGGGGGTGCCGGCCTCTATTGTCAATTATGAGGCCATTGGGATGATCGGTTATGATTAACATGTATGTATACCATTGTATTTGAATATTACGCTGATTATTTGTCAATGTCTTGCATGATGGCTTAAAAAAGTGGGGGAAAAGAGGAAGATGATGAAGGAGAAGAAGAAGAAGAAACCCGTATAGCATTCAATCTCATGCCTAATCCCTATACAGATCTTATTGTTGAGGCGGCGGGGTCAACAATGGGTTGGATTAACGTGCGGTGCTCATGTAAATGGATAGATCGTGTACGCTTAGGCTCGTAAACTGTGTGTATATGCGGCTTTACCTCCTGTTGGGTTACAACAGGGCGGTGGTCAACGCTACGGTCCATGTAGTCTCCATGGTGCCCGTGGTACCCAGTCCCATCATTGTTTGTGTCTGGTCCAACGGTAATCCGACCATTTGTGGGCTTGTCTCTGCTTTGCGCTTTTGCTTCTTCGTCTTTAATGTCGGATTTTCCAAGTGATGGCTTCCGGTGGTGGGACTCACTGGAAGGAGTATAAGCTGCATCGCCCACCTTGGAATCATGGACCACATTTCGCGAACATTGGGGCGATGCTGAAGTTTTCTTCCCATCAGAAAAAGGAGCTTGGTTCTTTATGGCCGATGATGGTTGTGCATCTAGAGTGCCGGAAGGTTGATGTGGATAATTTATAAGTGGTGATATTAGAGCCGTATGCTGTTCATCGGCATTCGTGCCAGTACCCAAAGTAGATGTTTCTTGCGGCGGATTCCGAAGCTTGCTTGATGGCTGTGTCAAATTTCTCTCAAAAGCATCATTTACTTTGTGTTTTTTATTTGCCTGAGAACTTGTGCGTCCATGATTAGACGTAGAGTGATGTGGCCGTCTCTTGTCGCTGCGGTGGAACAGGCGGTTTGCCCCCCTATGAAAGGCATCTTTTATGCTGTCCAACATCAAGAAAGATGAAGTTTATCAGGGAAATAGTCAGCACTTAATTGGTAAATATGAATCAACATTACTGTCCCGGGGAAATAGAGATACTGGTAATGTGGGCATGGAAATATTAATATGTTCCACCCGACACAACTCATAAAGGCTTCAAAAAGTGACATAATTGTTGTGAGCTCAGAGACCATCTCATAATTGCTATTCTAGAGAACCACTTGATCTAGACCTTGAATCGATGGGTAATGACAATTAATTTCGGAGTTTAAGCTCCGAAGAACTGGTTGCAGAGCGAGTGTGCTATGGTGGAGGCAACAACATACGAGCTACTATTTATGGCGCTATATGCAAAGTGTTTGGGGCGATTTGCATTGCATTGTCGCAAACCTAATCGAAACTTTAATGATCTAATGAGGTTACTAAATCAACTTAGCTTGGTATCAATATAGCCTGTTGCCTGATATCAAAGCATCCTCTTGATTTAGTGCTTGCTCTGTTTTCCTCGTTACGCCATGCGAAATAGATAATGCACTACTTTTCAGTATTCGAGTCATAGAATGCAGCAGTTCCGGAGCTTTTTGGAGGCGAATTATGATGAACTGTGCTGCTACTTCTATTTCAGACAGGCAGAGCTGAGCTCATTGGTGCGACAAAACGCCGCTGCAATTGCCTTTTAGTAAACCACGCCTTGCATCCGTCGTATTTGTTCACGCAGGTCAGCTGATGAATCATAAACCACTATAAGAGAAAAATCTATATACCACAAAATAATTTGCTCAAGTAAAGTAACTTCATCATGACGTGCAATACTTTTGTAAAAAAAAACAATTTCAAGTTACTAGTGTCTCTAGGCTCGCTTTCTTGCGCGGGGTGATGGCGAACCATATGTATATATCTATATAATCTCACAATTCGGCCTGCTGGTTTCAATTCTACTTTTGAGTCAACGTTATTATTGCTGCTAATACACTAGTTACTAATACATACAGTATGCAGAAAGCTAAGAAAGTCGTTGACAACCTCATTTCCAAAGATGGAAAACACGATACTACCGTCGACGAAGAAGTGCGACGGCCTGTGACCGAAGAGCATGTTCGGCCCCAGGAGCATGAACGTGTCGCCACAGCTCGTGATAAAGAGGTCCATCAAGATCATCACCATACAACAGTACAACCGGTTAAAGATAGTGAAACTCTGTCAGTCGATCTCCACCAATGTCCAGACTTTTCCTAATGTCGTATATCTAGTCCCGAGAAACATTCTCACAAAGTTTTACCCACCGAGGAAAGAACTTATGAGCACAACAATAACAAGGAAGTTGAGGGACTCCTTAAACGTGATGAGGCCAAGTATAAAGACACGTCTGCTGTCCACGACACTACCCATACCTCGTCTGAAGCGCCCACCACCACCGGTGAGCGATGGCACCACCACGTTCACGAGCACGTCCAACCGGTTATCGAAAAAGAAACTGTGGCTCCAAAAGTTGTCCACACGACTGCTCCTATTCATGAAGTCCATCACACCACATCGGCACACCACGGGACCAAAGTCTTGCCTCCCAAGACAATGGACGAATTCACTGGCGGTCATGGTTCACTTCGGAGCCACGGAGCCAACAAGACTGGAGAATTTGAGGGTTGTCCAAAGTTTGATCGCAATGATTTGGAGAAAAAGAATCAGGCGCAGGGAGTTGGTCGTTGATCCGAAGATTGGATTCACCAAAGGTCGTTCCTTATATCCTGATGTGAGTACATGTACTCGTCATTCTTTGTGTTTTCTGCTCTCTTATCAATTTGAACTGTGAATGGTCTTTAATCCTTGATTGGAGCACTATTTTATTATTTCTTGGAACAAAAAAAGCTTAGATGAATGTATAATCTTACTCCGTTCTTTCTATCAAATCTGTCATCAAGATGTAGTCTACATGAATAGCCTTTTTTGTAGCGTTCACCCGTCTTTCGTAATAATTAGAGTAATGAGACAATGTATATTCAAGCCCAAGTGCAGTCTAGAGGAAGGTTTCGTATTGTAAGTCTGTATGCTCAATTTATTATGCGGCGCCAAGCCCGGCTGTTCAAGGTGTGTGACTTTTATCACCTCATTGCGTTATTAATAATGTACAATAAAAAAGGTTCGTAGCGACGTGAAGTATAAATAAATTTACCATTTTGAGAATTTCTGAGTATTTATTTACTGCTTTCATAGTATACTCCCTCCACCACCATAATTGCTTTCCCCCTTTTGGATAATAGCATCAAGGCCTCCTGAGCGTCTCTGTTGAATCAAAAAGATATTTATGCCAGGTTAACAAATTGGAAATCACTATCTTCCTAGAACACTTCATATCGTTTGGCCTATGAATTTTCGCTGATTGTCTGGCAAGTTATATTTCCTTCTTCTCAGTTCCAAGTGATTTGAAATAGCGCAATGTCATTACGGAGTACATAGACTGTTTCTTTTGTTGATATATATGCATATATACGTATGTCTAAAGCTATTTTTACCAAGAAAAGAGATGGGAAATAACGCCCAGCAAAATCGCTGTATCTGCAAAAGGGAATAAAATGAAATGCAATTTCAAGATGGCAAAAATACGAGCAGGACAGAAAGACAGCAAGAACAACTTACAGAACAGTCAGTTCTAAACTTCCGTAAATCTGCGCCTTGATTTCCAGCTCAATATCCAAGTTCAAATCCAGCCGCACCGTCAATGCAGAGCTTTTTCCTTTCGCCGGCGGCTGCTGCGTAACCACCGTGCCATTTAGACTATTTCCAGTCGTGTTTGTCTCCGCGCTTACAGCTCTAGGTACGGGCAACTGGTCGAGCGACGCGGGGTTGCTATTGCTTATGCTGCCTTTACTGCTTGTTTTACTGTATACAGCGGGTTTTTGCCTTATTCTTTGCCGCCGTCGCGAAGGCTGGGGTGGTGGAGCAGCTTCATTCTCGGAACTGGAGCCGAAGCCTTCCGCAGAGTTGGGCGGTACAATGTCAGTTGTAGAACTTGACATTGTTGTTGTTGTTATTGCTTTAATTAAGGAGGACAGGATAGAATAGGATAAGCTGAGATTCGAGAGAGATGCGGATATGGAGAGATAGGTAAGCTTTCAAGCATAGATGAATATTTGGTCGTGTCTTGACTATGCCTTTGATCGAAAAACACAGATATGTGGTGGCAAGGCACATGCTTAGTATTCACTTGTATCTACGCCATGTCGTCATTTGGCATGGACATTTTCTCTCCAATTCCAGCCTACCCAGATTTCCCCGCCCACACACCATAATGCGGAATCTTGTTTTAGCCAAACCAAGAAAGTACATGCAACCCTTGCGGAGGATGACGAGCATTTTAATCTAGATTTCGCGCTACTAAAAATGGAGCTTTTCACTAAAGAATGTCATTTGTGGTGCCCGCTGCTATTTTGGGGGGCGATGGTGTTACGGTTCTTGATTCATTCACGCTGAGCCAGCTCTTCTTAACAAACCTCCCGGGACCCAATCGTTTCCAGGAAGCGCCTCTGCCTCTACCTTGTTGGCCTTCTTGCGAAATGCCATTTTTGGAATTTATGCACCAAATATTGTCAGTTATTAACAAAGATTAATAACGCAGCGTGTCCAAACGCCAGTGTTGTGAATTTTGATAGACTGGCTTGAGCAGTTGCATAAAATAGAAGATGAGAGAATCTGTTTGATGGATATTGATATAGTGATGATGATGATGATGCAACGGTCAGGAACTTGGCAACTTAGCAGCAGACGGGTCACTTTATACGTTACGAATAGAGTGACATCTCTTGTATATTTCAACAATGCTGAATCATGTATTACAGACTGTATGAGTAATTAATTTGGTAAACATCTGATACCAGTGATAGAAATCTCCGTAGGAGAAAAATGGGAGAGGCGATGGCAATCTGATACAATAATTGCTTCTACTGCTTAGGACTTGGTACTCGTTCCACAGATGCAACTCTGACAGAGTCTGTTACCGAATGGATTCATGGCACGCAATATTCCGTGGTTTTTGGTAGCAATCATACCTTGCACAACTATCTATCTATGTTAGGACAACACCAGCTTAGACAAATTTGCGAGGACAAGTTGTCTTAGTGATTGGCTGGCAGTGATTCCACGTGCTTATAGTAGTAATCCATTGAATCCGATAGTTGATGCTGGGCACTTGCAACACGGGGTTGAAGATGCACAAGATTAGCCTCGTTAGGCGACAAGACCCGTATCAACCCATACTACTGATCATAAATATGACTCAAACCCAAAAGCAAACAAAAGCTTGATTCAATCACCAAGGCGTAGCGAGATACCGCGAAGATAGTAGAAATAGGTGTATAATACATGTACCTCAGTACCTACGGCAGATGAAGCCTTCCGGGGAGTGACTCAAGAGGAAGGGTTATGTAAGCACGCTAAACGGCCTGCAAGCGCCATTCCGGCAGCAGCGATGCTTATCGGCACTATCGCAGACAAAAAAAAGTTATCGTGGGGTTAAAGCTTGAGATGCAAATGCCAACCCTGGGCTCGTTTTCCTTGCTGCTTCTCTCCCTCTTTTCCCGCTGATGGAACCATGTGTATCCCGGCGCCTCGTCTACTCTGCATCATTTCCACTCCGACATCATCTTCTCTTCCATCCAGCCGGTAGACGGACACGGCGGCTTTCCACCCTTACCATTGCAGGCAGAAACGCTCCATCTTATTGCTACGATCCTGCAAGACCGCGACAGCTACGGGTGGAAAACCCACTGCTCGCTTCACATTTACTTCTGCAGCATTGTTCGAAGAGATTTTATTCTAGACTTTTCAAGAAGAGCCACGCCGATTCGACCACGATGACAACCACCGTCGAGCTTGCCTCTGTGCCTTCGGCCGATACTCCAGGCACCTGCATCTACCTGCATCATGACAAGCGCTCGTACGTGTTTGGTCGCGTCTCAGAGGGAACCCAGCGAGCGTTTGGAAGCCGCAAAATCCACATGGGAGGGACAGAACACGTCTTTCTCAGCGGCAGTGTCAACTGGGAGCAGCTCGGTGGCCTCTGCGGCTACCTGCTCAGCGTCGGCGGAGCCATTGAGTCAGCCAAGGAGTTTACGACACAGGAAAACGCCAAGAGAGAACAGAAGGGCCAGAAGCTGTTGAATAAGACTCTTCATGCTGGAATTGCAGTGCACGGCGCGGACAATTTGTGCCACACGCTGGCGGCATGTCGGCCAGTCATCTTTCGACAGCCGATTTGCGTGCGCACCTACGAGCACAGGACAGATCCCCGAGCACAAGATGCGACAAACCTCGAGCCAGATTGGTCGGACGATGCGATCAAGGTCTGGAAGATTCCTGTACGGAGAGCGCGATCAAGCAGCCCCCGAAAACGAAGACGCAGCAGCCAGGCGCAAGATGGGAACTCGGCCAAGGATACGTCCTCAGAGGAAGACTCCTTCCAACCACGAGCATCTACATCCGACCCCGAGGTAGCGAGTGCAATTGTCGAGAGGATCATGTTCAATGGCAGCCTGAAGAACAGGTCTGTTCTGGTACCGAAGAAGATACGAGATCTCAAGCCTACGGATAAGGCTGCCATCATAGAAAATAGCAATATCAGGTTATACAAGGGCCCATACGCTGCTGATGGTGTCGAGTTACCAAATCCGGACGATACTGTGTGGCATTTCCCTGAGCTTGGCGAGATTGGTGTGGATGATAGAAGCGACAACACTCTCGCAATTAACCACTTCCCTCTTCCTCGGACAACATACGGCGAGACTTCTATGAGCTACATCATCAAAGCACATGACCGTAGAGGAAAATTCAATGCCCCAGTGGCGAAATCCCTCGGAGTTAAACCTCAAGACTTTAAGCTGCTGACTGCTGGCCAGAGCGTTCAGGGGAAGGATGGCCTTGTAACGCCTGAAATGGTTCTAGGAGAGACTCAGCGGGGAAGAGGTCTCATTGTAGCGGACATTGGCAGCCAAGATTTTATTGAATCGTTTATGGAGCGACCTGAGTGGAAGAATACAGAGTTAATGGACAATATTGCCGTCATGTATTGGATCGTGGGCCCAGACGCGACTTATGACCAACGAATTCAGCAGTTTATCCGCCAACACCCCAACATCAAGCACATTTTATGCACACAAGATTCATGTCCCAACATGATCACGCACCCTGGCGCAGCGACTATCCAGACTAAGCTGCGCCGAATCGATCCTGAACGGTTCCCTCTCCTCAAGTTCGAAAACACCGTTCGATATCCCGCCCCTCCAGAAGGCTCTTCGATTGAGCTGGGACGAGCCGGACACAAATATCAGCTCATGCCACGCCTCGTATTCGATGATCAAGCTATCGCTCCGTTCCCGGATCTAGTGGAGGCGCATGAGTCGGTCGACGACGAAGTTCTCAAGATGGCTGAGGCGGCTCATGCTGAGGCTACAGACCCTGCCTTCGTGGCACGGATTGAGGAACAGGAGCTTGATATCCCGAACAGAGACGCAGAAATCATTCCTCTTGGAACAGGGTCATCTGTGCCTAGCAAGTACAGAAATGTCTCTGCTACGCTTATTCGAGTTCCCGGAATCGGAAACTACCTGCTCGACTGCGGTGAGGGAACTCTGGGCCAGATTCGACGTCTCTTTGACGCTGAGGAAGCGGCAGATATCCTGCGTAATATGCGATGCATCGTCATCAGCCACGTCCATGCAGACCACCACATGGGCACTCCTTCGCTCATCAAGGCATGGTATGAGCAAACTCTGAAAGACAACAGCAACGCTACGCTCGCAATATCTTGTATTGGACGTTATCGGGTCCTGCTAGAGGAGTTGTCCCAGATCGAAGATATTGGGTTCCATAGATTGCGATTCCCTAGCTGCCCCTTTCCTAAGGAGAAGGATCGCGACTTGACCACCAAGGAAGACCTCGGCGAGGAGAACTTTGGCCTGGCATCCATCAAGCGCGTACCCGTCCCCCACTGCTGGCGTTCCTTTGGAACCCAGTTGGAGCTCACATCCGGTCTCAAAATCGCCTACTCAGGCGACTGCCGTCCCTCGAAGCTCTTCGCCCAGGAATGCCGCGGCGCGCACCTCCTTATCCACGAGTGCACCTTTGGCGACGACAAGCAGGACCACGCAAAGGCTAAGAAGCATAGCACCATGGGCGAGGCGCTCGGTGTAGCGCGCGAGATGCAGGCCCGACGGACGCTGCTGACGCATTTCTCGCAGCGGTACTCCAAATCGGACTCGTTGAAGAGGGGTCGTGTCGAGGGGGTCGAGCATGATGTGCTGCTAGCGTTTGACTTTATGGCCGTGAAGTTGGGAGATTTCCAGAAGGCGGCGTGTTACTTGCCTTCGGTGCAGCGGTTTATGGAGAAGCTGGCGGATTAATTTTGTGTTAAAAGCATGTATTATTATGATGATGGATGATGGATGTGCCACTACTCCCCCCTTTTTTAGTAATATAGATATTAGACATGGGAAATTGAATATAGAGTAAGGCATGCCAAGTTGAATCAAAGACTTTTCGCCTCTCCTCATAACACCATCTAACCGCTTTGTTTTGCCTCACAAGTGCTACCATCCAATGCTACGTATATACAAAAACTGACTTGTATGTAGGTAGGTGGCCAAGTAAATTAACATGCATCATGAGATCGATCAGCCATCATTACTTCCTTGGCCCGCCCCATCCCATCGACTTAAAACACGATGCAGGCCTATCACCACCCTCGGACTCAACCAAAGTTGGCCTCTTCTTCTTCTTCTTCTCCTCCTCTTCTATATTTCTTTCTTGTAATGTTGCTGAAGTCTCACTCCTTCTTCTCTTCTTTTCCGCTCCTTGCTGCTCCCTTTTCCCATCATCCCTTCTGCCCTCCAACTTTGCCAATGCCTCATTCCTGAGCTTCTCTCTTCTCCTATCGTCTTCGTCTTCTGCCTCCTTGTCCTTCATCGCATTCGGATTCGCGTCAATGCGCTCCAGTGGTGCCGGGACGGCCGATACTCGCTCATAACGCGACAGCGGTCGAAGTCCCACGTCGAATGGATTCACCATGGCCACCATTGCATCGTTATTGCCGTTGTAGCTGTTGTCTTTATTCTGGATATCGCATGAATATACGCTCGATGCTTCGGGGGGAGCACGACTACCGCCATCTTCATGCTGAGTAGGAGTAGTAACCTCGGTTTCAGTATTCTTATTATCAGCGCTCTTCATGGCATCGTCGTCGTCGTCGTCGTCGTCGTCGTCGTCGCAGGGCATGATCTGTATTTCAGCTAAGCGCCCATCGTCGTCGTCGTCGTAGATGTCAGTGTCATCGTCTACGACTCCACTCGTCCAGCTGGATGCGCTCTCCTGCGGATCAACAGTAAAGGGAAAGACACTGCCAGAAGTTTGAACGTTCGATAGCCAGTGATCTCCAGGGAGTCTTCTATAGCAGTCGTAAAGGCTGACAAGGGTGGTTGTGCTTTTGACGTCTATTCTGCGTACTTCTTGAGCCCAGTCTATTCTGTTATGGCAGTCTCTAGCTGAGGACCTTTCTTCATTTCCTGCCTCTTCAAGAGTAAACATGACTCTTTCATCTGCTCCGTCATAGCCACCTCCATATAGAAACCCTTCTTCGTTGCCATTCTCTTCAAACTCAAACACGTCCCTGTCGTCTGTTCCATGATAGCCATTACCTCCCAAAAGCTCATCTTCGTCTCCAGCCTCTCCATCATCAGAATCCACCTCTGTCTGAACACCGCCTCTCATCTTCACAGAAGAAGAAGAAGAAGAAGAAGAAGAAGAAGAAGAATCCTCATACGTTGTCTCCCCATGACTCTGCGCTCGCTCCGTCGTCCACATCGCCGTATCTCTCCTCACCGGCCTCTTCCGTGGCCTGTCTTTCAGCGGTTCCGGCAACCCGTCCTTTGTCCACGACACCATTCCCGCACCCCAATCCGGCAGTGGAGGACTTCCCCTCCTTTGTCGCCTCCCAATCTGTTCATCCTCCAACCTCCTCGCCAAGACACGCATCTCCACCAGCAAATGTACGAACTCGTCGCTGTAGATGTTGATACTTCTTTTGGCTTCGCCTTGAATTAGCGATATCCACGAATCAATTACTCGCAGTAGTGGTGGTGGAGGGGCAGTCTTCTTCCCTTTCGATTTCATCGCCTTATACGTCTGTCGAGCTAATAGACTTGCTCTCAGAGCGGTGAGATAGGGGATAGACCCGCCAACAGTCGCCAGCATACACGCCTCGCACCTGGTCTTGACGCATTCCGGGAGATAAACCGTCTTTGTGGGACGGCATAGCTGGCGGTACTTCTTTTCGCCAAGCCACAACACCGATATCTCATTGATCCAATCCATCCACTTGTTCAGCTCGCAGTTCTGCTTGTCCGCTTGTTCTGGCTCCTTTTCGGTCAAATTCACTTCTAACCTCCCCTTTATCCGCAGCACCCGATATTTATTCGTCTCGGCCGTGCATTCATAGGCGATATTCCACAGCAAGCTGCGAATAACTCTGGGATCTAGCGCCTCGTGCGCTGAGCAGAGTATCGCGCCCTGTTGGCGAAGAGATGCTTTCCCCGCTGTTTGAAAAAATGCAGATTTGGAACGCAGCAACTCAGTGTTGGTAAGCTTTCCGACTTTGGCCTTCTGCCTACTGAGCCACTTTTCGGCTCCAGCACCCCAATAACTGTCAGAATCTATGTAAAGGATCTCGGTGATTTGCCGGACTGCCATGTCAGAGATGGTATCAAGGGCCATTGGACTCGGCGAGAAGATGCTCATACTGGCAGCCAACCTTGACAAGAGATGACGACTTCACTCTGAGAAAGAAAAAATTTCAACATAAAAAAGTCGATTGGATGAATCGCAACTAAGAGAACCAGCAGAGAAATATATGACAACACTATTTTCCATGAGCAAAGTGTAGATGCCACAATTAATATTATAATTCCCCAATTACTCTTCCAAGCCATTATTAAATATCCAGCCCTGAATAGTCTTGTTGTTCACAGATTAGTGATGGCAAACAGCTGTACATGACTTGAACAACAGTGTTGCAGTGAATGGCAATGCCTTCTTTCTTTGTGACAAACAAACAATACCGGTAAGCCACATGACGCGTCATGGTATGACCAGTACAATATCTTTATGTGTGAAGGGCTTCCAAATCTGGCTCCTTTTGAATATCCTGACTTTTGTGGTATAGAAGTAGAAAATGAAACGAAGGCGCCTTTTTGTGGCCTTGTAAGATGGCAACAAGCAGTTTTGAGGGAAAGAATCTGCAAGCTTTTATCGATTCCCAAACAGTCGATCCGTTTGCTTCAGGGATCCACTGTCGCTTTTCCCCTTGTGGATATCATAAATAACAATTGAATGATTGTTCCAGAGTCTATCGTCTCGTAAAGCCGAAATTCGGTGACGGGGTATAGTACGTAGTGTAACTTTGTAACGATCGCCATTGAAAAAAGAAAAGAAAAGAAATGTCATCCAGTAGGTAGCCGGTATTGCGACGAGGAAAAAGAACGAAAAAAAAAATAATAGTTGGTCAAGTTGGTAGTCGCAGGAACTCAAAAGAACTTTTTCTGCAAACATTTCTGATCTGACATTGTGGAGGGTATATTAGGAACTTTTTTTTTTTTTCTTTTGGAGAGAAGAAGACCATTGCACACACACGCTTCGTCCACCACAAGAAGAAAAAAATATATAATAAAAAGCGAAGGCACCCGCCCCCTTGACTGCTTCGTTGTTATATCCATCAATCCTTCCCCTGCCTCCCTCCCAAATGCTCACTCCTTAATCCGTTGAATTGTGGACGCCGGCCCTCCTGAACAAAATATGAACCTGAAGAATCAAAAACCCTGCGCTATAAAAAAGAAGGAAAGATAGAAAGCAAAAAAAAAAAAGGTATGCCACAAAAGAAAGAAAGAACAGAGGAAAAAAAAAGAAATGGTTGAAACAGCAGCCATCTGGGAGCGCTAAAGTACGATAACAATTCTACCAGGGACATGCGTTACTGGTATCCCCAGCGGCAAAGGACCCCTATACACATCCAGTGTGTGCGCTGTCACGAAACCTGATCATGCTCTTATGTAGTCATTATAAGACGAAAATGTGTAGTTGTTGAAGGGAATATCCATGGGCGTGCGTCACCCAACGTAGTGAGGTCGACCGTTTTTGTCCACCTCTATTCCATGTCGTCTCCTTTCGAATCGAATCTTGGCGGCCTCGGTTCCATCGTCGGGCTGTGCCATTTCTTTGAACCACGGGTGGTTGAGGGCCTGTTTAGCAGTGATGCGCTTTGCAGGGTCGTAGACAAATATCTTTCTTAGTAGATCAAGAAAGTTCTTGAAGAATGTTGAATTAGAAGGAATGATATCCTATCAAAATTCTTGTTAGCTTCATGCCGTGTCACAAATTATTCGTTGCGAAACTTACGCTCAGGTGCTTCATTGCCTTCACAAATCGTCGAGAACCCCTAGTCGTCTCTGGTGTTGGGTAATCGAGCTTGAGACGCTTAAAGTACCTGTAGAATTTCTGGTCAGTAACGGATCTCATTGCGTAGAAATATTTCGTTCGTATGGCGTTGCAGAATTTACTCACTTGGAAGCAGGATTCCCTCCACTTCTGGTGGACATCTTATTCACTGCCTGAACGAGATGGGAGTCTATCCGAGAGCCTACGACGGCCTCCATCATGGCCAGGTGCTCAAGGTTATCGTGCGTCTGGAACAAGGCATCACCAGTAAAGAACTCAACCAGGATGCAGCCTATGCTCCAGATATCACAAGGGAAAGACCAGCCTAGACCAAGGATGATTTCCGGTGCACGGTAGTGCCGAGTGCTCACCACTGAGGAATGATACTCGTCTTGGAAGGTAGCGGATCCAAAATCGATCAAACGAATCTCTGTATCGAGCAACACTCTGCGCTGAGACGCCTGCCTGTTGATTGTAGTGGATGATGAAGGAATCTTCCTGTTGTATGTAAATGTCTGGTACGAATTATCACACAACAGGATGTTTTCTGGTTTAAGGTCGGTATGGATTAGGTTCAGGTCGTGGAGGACTAGAAAATAACACCCAGGTCAGCTCTTTTCCTTTCTTCGCGGGTCAAGACTGTAACTTACAAGCCACGCTGGTGAATAATTGCCGGGCAAAGTTCTGGATCTGGCTGTTGGGAAAGGGGACAAAGCCGTTGCCCTTGAGAAAGTCGAAAACGCTCTGGCCCAAGAGATCCATAACGATGCAGATGTGGCCTCGGTAGTCGAAGCAGTCTCTCAAGTGAATGCATCGATTCCTGTTTTCTTCGTCGTTGGCCTTGAGCGTGGCCAAAACGCGAAGCTCGATTCTCGAGGCGTCGCGGTATTTTTGGACAGATCGAATAATCTTGACAGCCACAGGCTTGTTCCTCTTCACATCACGGGCCTCTACCACTTTGCCAAAGGTCCCCTGTCCTAGAAGACGAACAATTTGATCTAGAAATGACACAGTCAGCCATCAAAGGTCCAAGAGAAGACCATGAGGGGAGGGAAGGATAAGGAAAATCCATACACTTATCAGTCAATTCAGCGTCTGGAACTACGATGTAATGGCCGTCATCATCATCGATTTTGGCATTTTTACTGTAGTGGCGCTATGATGGGAGAGACGAACGTTAGCGACAAATCGAATCTCTCCATCAAAACGAGTTTGTTTTCTTCTTCTTTATTCCAAAGAAAAATCGTAACAGCTGTGGGGAGGGGAAAGAAGGACAAAAAACTCACATCGTGAATCAGCTTGACGGGAACCTCTGCAGATTTCTTGGGCGGGAAAGGTGGAGGCTTGTAGGCCATAAAGGCGCCTCCAAGGCCATCCACGTCCCTTCGCTTGGCCTCATTAGCGGCCTGCTGTCGGGTGCGCTTTCGCTTCAAAGGCGTGACCAGCTCATCGTACTGGCCATTCGCAGACAGAGACGTGGGCGCTGTTGTATGTAGTGCCGAGTTTGTGCGGTCGCTAGAGAGGGTCGAGCCAATAGGCGTGAGCTTCGGCAGAGGCGTGTTTGTGTGCGAGCCGGCGAGATACTGGACATGGTAACCAGGCTCGTCTCGTCTTCTCTTCTTGGCGGACGCCGACTCGGCGACGGCGCCGCTGCCATTTGTGATTTTACGGCCGGTATTGGCCTCGGGTTCTGGGGTGTCGTCAATGACGATGATTTCCTTGGGGAGGCCGTTGCGGTAGAAACTGTGCCAATCGGGCTCCCGAGAGCGCCGACGCTTTCTCGACGGCTGGTCCTCGGCGGCAGGGCGACCCGCGGCGGGCACGGCGCCAGAGCTCGCGTTGTTGGCCATGGCGGACGTGTAGCCGTCGTCGTATCGAGCGGCCAGCGATGGGTCAGCGGCGTGGTGAGGGGGTCTTGATGCCGCGGACTGCGAGTGCGGCTGAGCTATGCCATCTGCCAAGGTGTAGCCGTTGGAAGCGTAGTGATGATAGTACGGCAGCGGGCGAGCCGGGTTCTGCGAAGGAGACGCCGCCGCGTAGGGATTCGCAGCCTGTGTTGCGGGCAGCAACGACGTGCGGTAGTTTGAAGCTGTGGTTGTAGCAGACGAGTGGCCCTGATGGTGGAGGGCGTAGTTTGGCGGGTTGTACCGTGAGTGGTGGTAGTGAGGGAGCGTGGCCACGGCCGTGGTGGGCGTCGACATGGCCTCGTAGATCGGTCCCCCGGCAAGAGGAGGCGGGCGAAGTTTGCAGTCGGGATGTCGCGAGAGCCGTGCTTTTCGTTTTCGAGCCCAATGCACGGGTTTTGCGGTGTTGCAGAGATCAATGAGGCCGAGCTGAGGCAGAGCAGAGCAGAGCGAGCAGAGGCCTGCACCGGTCTTTCTTTGCGGCTGCTCAGGCGGATGAGCCGCTGGCTGGAGTGAGTACCTTTAGGCTTTTTAGCGCCCGTGAAAAATAGCTGCTGGCGGTGGAAGAAAGAGTCGGAGAAAAGAAAGGCGTCTCGAGTTGATGCCTTTGTCTGCTGCGTCTTTCCTTTGGTTTTGGGTTCCAGGCCCGGGGGATTAAAGGCTGGAACGCTCGCTTGGCTCAATCATCAGCGTCTTGGAAGCCGCAAGAGGCAGAGTGAGAACGGGCTGAAGCTGGAATTGCTTCTGGAAAGGATGGCGTGGTTGAAGCGTGACGGCCCCAAAATAGGGACATTGGCAATTCTCACACTGGCCTTGAGGGAGGACACAGCCGGCGCTGGTCACTGTGCTTTCAGCAGCCGAGCACCGCCCTGGCGCTGTGCGGAGCACCGACCCCCAGCCGAAGAGCGCTAAAGCATGGCGCGCTGCAGTGAGGCAGACAGCGCGAACACGCCCGGAAAGGCTACTGTAGCTTAGCACAGATCTAACAATGCCTACCGCAGGCCTGAGCGACAGTCCACACCAGAAAACGATGGTCTGGCTGCCCCTTTTTGCTGTCTTTTGAATTTTACATGCTTGATTCTTTTTCTATTTTCTACATTCGCTTTTACCGCAGTCTCCATGAACACATTGCTCGTGAGGTTCTCGTTGATTGGTAATTCTCCCTGCTGCAAATGCCGCCGTAAACTGTTTTACGGATTTCCCCCATTCCAGGCACTAAGCTGAAATTGTGCAGGCCAGTGCGGGTTCCCCGTAGAAAAAATAGCCACGGGGGGAATCTTTTGCCACAAAGCATGATATGATACGCAAACGACTCAGGTCGAAAGTTTGATCCTGGAGGGGAAAGGAAAATGAAAGGAATTTGATAGGAAACGAGGGAAAAAATAACAGCACGCTATATCTTAGCTGCAAAAGAGAGAGAAAAGAATGAAACGAATGCAAAAATTATTGAACTCTATCAATTGTTTACAGCATCAATCAATGCATGCCAGCTCAATTTCAAGCACCAGCACTTGGCACAGGCAACGTTGTGTGGCTCTGTATGTGTGCTCGTACCTGCACGTTTGGACATGGCAGGGGGCCCAAAAACAGCGCTTTCTCCAGTGGCTTCCAGCCAACAGGGCCGCTGTCGATTAATCACTTTCAGTTGTGTTGTTGGGGCGAGAAATAGTCAGAGGGAGGGGTGGACCATGCCCTACTACTACTTACATTGCTCCATATGCATCTACTGCTAACTGTGAGTAGCAGTAGCAAGGCACCACGGCCCGCAGGACCAGATGCAGCGTGTGATGGATTGACGGACGGATGGACACGGCACGATGGTATTATTGGTTTGGCTGGATTCAGAGCAACGGGCGGGCAAAAGAGCTGAAACCTCCCTTCTGGTGGCCCCGGCTTCGCATCCATAAATAGGGCCGTTCGAAAATGGCATTAGCCCCGGCAAAAGAGAAAGGGCCCGAGAGAAAGAGGAGGAAACAAAGAAACAACGGGCAGTCTCTTTTGGACTGCCTCCTTCGAGCTCGCTGGTGTTGCTGCTCTTGGACCCGGCACCTGACGCATGTAGTACGACCTACATGTAGGTACTGTACTCATACGCAGTCCGCGATGGTGCTGGCGCCGTCCAGCATCAGTTACAGTCCCATCCCTGCACCGCACAATCGACGACTCCAGCCACAGACTTTAAAGTGCTAATAAGCGCGGCCCATCCTGTCATCTCCGCTGCTCCCTCGTGCACTCGCAGCAAATCTCGACTCGCCCGCGACTCTCGGCGAATCAGACGGCGTCACACCCAAATTCCTTGCTCGAATCCCACCACTAGCATTGACCCAGCGACCCAGATCAAAGTCACGCATTGCAACGCCGTCCCGCTCGTCTCTCGGCTCTCCAACGAAGGCGGGCAGCGTGTCTCGTCATACTTGTATGAAAGGGTCCCGGGCCAAATTTACAATTTATCCTACATGCAACGTACATGCCGAAGGCGACTAGGCGGACCCGGCCCGACGTACTAATAGAGCCCGTCTCCTCACACACACGCACCACGGCACAGATGCACATTTAAACACGAGAACAAGTTTCAAGCCCAACGATTTCGACTTTGCCACCCCTTGGATCTCGCTCAAACGCCCAGGTGTCCACCCCAGACCAACCTCAGCCTTCATACTGTACCGTACCGTACACCGAGTCTTTTGATTCCCGTTTAGTTCCGCTACCAACCTTACGGTATCATTCTTCTTCACCACAGTGCAAATACGAGTGCCAGCCAGCCAGTTCCCGGCCCACCAAGCATTATGTCACCGGGGACTCGGTCCCGCCATCCCAGCCACTGTGGACTCGCGCTGCATCTGGTGCCGCAGGGCCTCTTTTCCCAGTCTCGCAACCCTGGTTGCAGAAGATACAGTACTGAAGCGACATGCAAAGACTCCCACACCCGTGACGTGCCGTGACGTGACGTGACGAGAGGGTTTAGAGGTTAATAAACGGGCAATGCAGGCAAACCTGGCTCTGTACCTTCTCCGCAGCTCAAGCACCAAGAGAGCAATGCCCAAACACTGATGCACGGCTCAATATACATTGCATACTTTGCCAACAGCCACTACGGGTTTATACTGCCTGCCCAGCGCGCCTAGACAAAGCCACTACACGCCATCCAACGCACGTTAATGTTTCACCCCTCCTTTCCTTTCGCAATCATGCAGAATCGCCGTGCATAACATTGCTGCATCACATGCTGGCAATGCCATCATTCGATTTGGCGATAAGCGGCGTTCCTGCTTCGCCCACCAAAGCCTCTGTGGAAACTAGATTAACTCCTATCAACTGGCTGCTGCTTCGACTGCTGCTTCGACTACTGCTGCTACCATACCAAAGCCCAATTCTTATGGGCATTGACTCTCCGTCTCCATTTGATTTTGCGTCACGCACGCACGCCTTGCATCGGGGCTAACTACTCCATGCCAATTCTGCAATGCTGAGTGCTGGTAGCGTCCCTGTCCCCGGTTTCCAGCGCGCACCGCTTTCTCGCTCGCTCCACTTCCTTTGGCTGTCCGCTGCAGTCTTACGCGAGCGAAGCCAAGCCCAGACTTCTGGATCGTTACGGAGTGCCGCTAATGCTATCTAGCACTGCTAGCGAGTATTACCCAATAAAGGGCAATCCGCGTTCCGACGAGCCTTTTGCCTACTGCATTATCGCCATATAACTCCGGGATGCCAAAGTCCACAATGCGTTGATCATGTGGCGATGCAAAAGTGCTAGCGACTGCGTCATGCTTCATGCCATCAAGTTGTCTGCGTCCCTTCTTTTTTTGGTGCTGGGAATGACCACATGTTAGGTGTTGGGTATTTTATACGGAGTACCTGCAGGAACACTGCTAAAAACAAGACCATGTAATCAACTTTCTTCCCTGCACGGACATGCACGCATACATACGCCCTGTTGGTGCACAAGATTCAAGACTCCGTTAACGAGCCCTGATCTATTGACTTTCCGACCCGCTCAGCTCAGAGATACAAAAAAAAAAAAAAAAAAAAAAAAAAAAAAAAGGACAGCAAAACCCGCATTGTCAGCATCCCAACATCTACTACTAATACCTAGTAATGGTACTAATACTAATATCCTCGCCATCAGCGGGATACGGAATATTCGAGGGCATAATTAGCCCTGTAGCGGAAGGCAGCCAAGGGCGTAATACTCGTAGTAAGACCAGGATCTAATAATAAGCGTTAGCTTCTCAGCAATGCTCCATCCATGCTCGTAAACTCGATAAAGAAAAGAAAAACCTTCCGACGCAGGGATGCAGGGAGGAGGGAACGTGCTCATCCAACAGAAAAGTGAGATATAACAGTGCTTCTAGATGGGCAGAGTTTCATCGTGTGAATCCTTCAATCCCCGGTTCACGCTCAGACAACACGCAATGCAATGCGACGTTTCCTCGACTAATTCATCAACATAGCTCGTCATGGTCTTTTATCTACTGTACCGTCTTCTATCTACTATATCGTCTAAAGAAAAGCAAATGCCACGCAAAAATGAAGCTTTGCATAAACGTCTGGGCATAAATTCTATGCGCTCAGCCTCCTGCTGTCTACCAATGCCACCTCTCCTTCAGCCCAACCCAGTGGCTGTGACACCTGTCTGCTCGGGGACTTCCCAAGCCTTTGCCCAGCCACTTCTCCGTTAGATATTTCTTGAATAAAGCATCCATCCAAGTAATATTTTCATATTTGTCGGACAAGTCACCATTATGCTTGCCGGGTTCATCGTCGAATAAACGAGCCCGGCCGAAGCGCTTGAAAAGCGCCCATCTCCTCGCCAATCCATGTCGAGAAGCGGTATCATATATATTGTCCAGAGTGTTTCCATGTTCTTTTACAGACCACGGTTGAACCAGACCTTGCCACCGTTGCCTCCCTTGCCATGGAACTCAGGCTCCAGGCTGTCGGCGCTGATTTCCTGCTTCTGGGGGAAGACTGCAAGTGCCAGAGGAAGAGCCACAAATCCAACAGCCGCAATCAGTCCCAAGTTGATACCAATGGGAATTGAGGCGGCAACTCGCGGTCGAGCCTTGATCCACTCCTTCTCCATCAAGTTCTTATACCAAGCCTGCTTGAACTGGATGTGGTAGAGAGTCATAGCCGGGATGATCATGATAGGTGTGTTGTTAATGACACGGCTGGCCGAAGTTTCGTACACTGCAATCTTGGCTGCCTTCTGACTCCTTCCCAAAGAAGGCACATCTGCCTCGGATTTTCCTTCCTCGGTCAGTTTCTTCTTCTCCTCGTCAGAGAGCACAGGGCGAACGTCAATGCCCGTGACGATCTCTCCTCGTCGCATCAGGTAAGCGTTCAGGGCACCGGCGGTAGCGACAGCGGCAAAGGGCACAAGTCTGCTCAGAACGTTTCGTGTGCTGGGGGAGACCTTCAATCTCGGCACCAGGGCGTTGAGTCCGAGCGCCACCGAGCAAGAGGCCGTGACGGCGATGCCGTAGGACTTGGCAAGATCCGCAGTGGTCATCGGGGAGGATTTATTTGCGTTCGAGCTGTTGATGGCAACGTTGAGGGACTGGTTGGCAACCTGCCATGCCACTGTGCCCGCTGTTCCCAGACCAGGCTGTAGCATGCCGGCCGTGACGATCAGGTTCGATAGGACGAAGCAGGACATTCGGAAAGGCAGGAAAACTGGTTCTCCGGTGTCTGATTGCAAAAGTCAGTTTTCTTTCTTCTTTTCAGCATATTCCCAAGGTCTTATCCGCTGTTTCATACCGGGGTGGAGAGTCGAGTCTACAATCTTCTTCGCGTGCCATAGTTCTGGTGTCATGTGTTGCAGTTTTCCAGTCTTATACTCTGTGACAAGTCTTTTGGCATTCTCGAGTCCTTTCGAACCAGCAAGCAGGGTGCTAGAATGCAACACGCAAAGGTCAGCATATCCGCATCAAATTCGTACTCGTAGACACTCTTTTGCAAGACTCACCTTGGATCCGTGATGCTCATCGTGTGTCTCACACGTCCATAGTATGTTGACAGGTCATACTGGGACGAAGGCAGGTCCCGCGACCCAGGCAAAGAAGCGGACATGGCGTGCAGAAGTCGATTGACGTCGAAGCGATTCAATCCAGCTGTCTCTGCCAATGCCTGTAGCTGTTGTCGTTGGGCTGGTGAGAGATGCGAATTGTCAACGTTCAATCCACCTGCGGGGTGCGCAAAGTCCAACTTTTTGGCCCAAAGCGTCCCAGCGAAACTTGTGCCGAATCTCAAGACGACGATAAGCGCAGCTCTTTGTTAGGTAGGTAGTACTAATAAGTGTTTGCTGCGCGACCCCGATCTCGGCTCTTACGTTGGCAGAGGATTTATTTGGGCAATTCTTAGTGGTCCAGAAAGAGCCCCCACTGCTGGTAATACATGGCACGCCAAATAAACAGCCATATTGGTAGTAGAGATGCCCTTTGAAGATGGGAGCAGAGCAGATGCCGTCAGAAAGCGCACATGTAGAATTGCCCAGCATGTCGCCTAGGGCGCGCTCCGTTTCAATACATCCATGCAATGCGGAGTACGTAGTAGGAGCAGCGGTCGATATTACACAAAAGGCTCGACTTGCGCCAGCCTCACTGTAGTTAAGCAAATCCATGCTCTTCTCCACAGCCAAATATGACAGGGAAGAGGCAGATCTCGGCACGTGGCTTGAATCTGATTCGCATGCAAGCACCAGGTTTTCCAAAAAAAAATATATATATATATATATATATCACACCGTCCATCCCAACTCGCAGCGAATAAGAGGAAGATGTGTGCTCAAAAAAAAAAGGTATATGGACAAAAAGAGATGCTCCTGTTGGAGCGTTTTGAAGCGACCACGCCAGGAGTCGAACCTGGAATCTCTAGAGGAGGTGAGTCTCAACCGAAATCTAGCGCCTTAGCCATTAGGCCACGCGGCCGATGCTTGTCGGCTTGCAATTTGGGTATACACAGCTTCTGCGGGGAGGGCGAGCATTGGCGCACTGTACATTTTCGCGCAGAGCTGGCTATAACATACCGTGGCTCTATTTGCTTGAATACTGTACTTTTCACCATCGATGTGTACCTAGCCTTCGTGCAGTCAGTGTTTCTTGTCGAGTTGCAGCGACGAGAGTGTCAGATTCTACACACTCTCGTTCATTTTCTTGGCTGTACATATATTTCAGTTGATTGAACACATATTGATAACTTTCGTTGTGTTAAAGATGTCAAGCATTTAGCTACGTGTGTCCGGAGCTCACAGTCCCTCCCCTATTGAATCTTATAATTACAGAAACAGCATAAATCTTTAGTCCCATATCTATTAGACATACAAGGGACTACGTCAGCTAAAGAGAAATTTCGCTATTCGCCAGTCTGATAACTATCTAATGATATAGCATGGCATGGTAGTAGGAACACAATTGCATTCAGAAGCAAGAAACTTGGTTGGCATATCAATTCGTAAATTCCCCATGCTACCATTCATCTTTTTAGACACAGCTCCTTCAGCTAGTCACTTGGCTATATATTCTCAGTTAGCAGAGCAGAAGCGAGCCAGAGTAACAAGCATTACATGTATCTCCTCACCGTCGCTGTTGAGGGTCTCCATTGCGCAGTATAAGGCATCTACTCCATAATTCATTTGTATATAAGGAGGTAGATAATTGCAATGCTACCAGTTATATCATCTAGCTTTGCTGCAGAAGCTACAAACTGCCTGAAAGCGTGACAGCACGTGAGTTGCTGGGCTCCTATATAGCTGCTGCACTGTCACCTGGCAACCACTCTTCTGCTATTTCCTTCTCACAACTCTTTGCACATACTTCGCCTTCTCTATTCCTATCTGCTCAGATTTCAATTCATTTACTTTCAATTTCAGCACCTTATTCTGCTCTTTAATCCACGCGCAACCTGAGGTAGCTATAAGGTTAGATTCCCAGCATCTCGCACTACCGGTCAGTTACTAATTGTTGAAGCAGCTGCAGTAATGGATCTTACTCCAGGATCTGGAAAGTCTGGCAGTGTGCCGGCTAAGAATGGCGAGGTCGTCAAGACATTCTCTACCCTCAAAGCATGGCTGAGCAATGATTCCAGTGTTCCTAAGACCCCCGTGACCCCCAAGACTCCATCTTTCTTGAAGAACCAAGTAATTCAAGAGAGTGTGGCTGTAACCACCGAGCATCCAAGTTCATATGAGACGAAAGAATTCAGTGACGCCTCAGTTCGCATGACTGAAGATCCTACTCATCCAAGCGCTACTGGCATATCGGATACGAGTCATCAGGAACAGGATGGAGTCCATTACTGCTTTAAGCGGCCGCCGTCTATTTTGGACACAATTAATAGAATTTTAAGCCCGGAAAAGCCCACAGGGCAAGAACCAGCCAAACGCAGAGCTATGCCAATCCATTCATCAAAGGTGACCGAGGGCCTGACTGAATTGGAAGAAAAGTCTCAACAAAGCAAAGTGTCATGGAACATAAGCGAAGCTCTCTCAGACAATGATGGCTATCAGAATGATCAGGCACAGCATACAACGCCCGAGGAAGTCAATGATTCGCGTACTATGGGATGGCTCCTCCAAATCTCTAACCCGCCTGCGGCAGTGGATTGGCTAGCATCTACCACTACGGTAGATCATTACAAAAAGGATATCGATCCCAACACAGGGGAATTCCTACCAGAAATGGTCCACCCCGACACATTCAAAACTCTCAGCGATGGCCCGTCCCGTGATCATAGAGATATCGCCTGGCGACAGGCCAATATGACAGCCGAGTTACAAATCAACCGAGAAATACGGAGCCGAGAGGCTCTTGCAACCAAGCTCAGATCGCAGATAAAGCCTGAAGTGGAGGATGTGCCTGTTGAGCCGACAGCTTGGCCCGATGCAGAGTGTATCGTACGACCTGTAAAGTCTGAAGATTTCGAAACCATTGCTACCATTATGAACTTGGAAAGAAAGGCAAAGAGTAATCCACAAGTGTTTGAATGGAAGGAAATTGTGGCTGCAGACATTCAAGAGATATACAAGTGCTGCCAAGTCAACTTGCGACCATTTGTCGTTGCCACTGCGGCAGAGGATCCTTTGCTCGACCGTTCCAAGTGGCCGGAGAATGCCACAAAGGCCTATCAAAGCTATCTCGCATTTCGTTCAACTCAGGCCGAGGTCTCGCAGGTCATATTTGGCTTTGCCTTTGTAACCGAAGCCAGGATTGGAATTCTTGGGACTGCATGTCCTGGATCAAGGCATGCTGGACAGATAAAAGTGATTGTCCATCCTGATCACCGAGGGAAGCTGTATGGATCTGCCTTACTTGACAGGGTCTTGCTATGCACTGCGCCGTTTCATCGAAGCATGGTGGATTACGAGTGGCGTTGCCAAATTCCCGCAAGGATTTATGAGAATCTCTCGTACCAGAATCATCGGAAATACGCCTGGATCTACATTGAAACATTTTGCGCTGATAGAGGGGATCCAGCTATGCAGCTGGTGACCAAGTTTCTCCAAAAGTTCGAATTCAAAGAGGTAGGCTGCCTGCCCAGCGCCATCAAGACAAACCGCTATATTGAGAGCCAATGGCTTGACTTGGTATTGTGGGCACGGGAAACGCAACCTCGCTCAAATATCATGGATTCTACGCCGGGCACCCAGTGTATTTAACATGGGGGCGAATAAGGTACATTTGAACGAAAATATTTGGTGGATGTTGCTGAGGAGGTTTGAGGTGAGGTGAGGAAAAACTATGGGGAACGCGCTCTACATCACGTGTACGTATACTTGCGCTGCTCAGCAGCACATCATAGGTAGCCATCTATCAGCATCAGGCAGACAAATAACCAGGAATTGAATCTCTTAAAAATCGGTGCCTAACCAGATATTATATATTTAAATACCCATTTCTTCGTTGATAATTCATTGCAAAGGCTCCGGCTCTCAACTGATCAAGTTCTGTCAACATACGAAAAGTCTTTTCTGGATAAACGTCGCTAGGCAGCACGATGTTGTCGATCTTACGCAAAGCACGGTTAAAGGACAAGGAAATGCGAATTCTGATGCTGTGAGTGTTAAATATTGAAGTGAAACTAATTTTCTTTTTTTGAATAAATCTAACATACCAAAAGAGGGCTTGATAATGCCGGCAAGACAACGATCGTCAAGAAAATTATGGGTGAAGATGTGAACACGGTGAGCCCGACGCTCGGGTTCATCATCAAGACGATAGACTACCAAGGGTAACTATATACTATCTCCTCTTGATCTCACTTTAAGATGCGCTTTGAATCTAACAATTCTAAATAGGTATAAACTGAATATTTGTACGGAGATCCCAGCAGATCTTTAAAACTGTGGTCGTTGCTAACTTCTATAGGGGATGTGGGTGGCCAGAAGACGCTGCGATCATATTGGCGGAATTACTTCGAAAAAACAGATGCCCTGATATGGGTCGTTGACACAACAGATCGGCTGCGAATAAATGACTGTAGAGAGGAACTCCATGGACTGTTAGAAGAAGAGGTATGAGCCCGCCCAGCCAGCCCCTTTTCTTTGGTCGATCAGTGCTAATGTGTAGGGTAGCGTCTGGCGGGAGCTTGCTTGTTGATATTTGCAAACAAGACCGACGTGGAAGGGTGCATGACCCAAGAGGAAATCGTCACGGTAAGAATCACTTTCATTGGCTTGATTGGATGCAGACTATTGAAGCTTACGGGAGTTGACTAGATGCTGCGGCTGCACGATATTCGTACACACCAGTGGCATGTGTTACAGTGTAGTGCTATGACGGGCAAGAATCTAGAGGAGGGGTTGTCTTGGGTGGTGGAGGATGCTAAGAAGCGGCTTTTCTTGTATTAGAACCTTACAAAGCAGTGTTTTCTTCACTATGAAAGTAATATCGCATGTTATGTACGGAACTGAGCATCATTGTATTGGCTACTGCCACCGGCACCACATCGTAATGAGCATCATTTCGGCCACTATCGGCGATCGGTGATACGGAGCACAAAATGAGCGTCGCACAGAGCATTTGATAAGCCTCGTGTGGACCGGGTTGTCAAGGGCGATGAAGAGTGGAATTGTGGATTACAACTCGCCTGACCAGCGTCTTGCGAGCGTGATTGGTCCGCGCTGGGTGAAATGCCTCGATCAGATTCAAGCAAGACAGGAGACTAGAGACACAGGAGCAGTAGTCGAGTCACCAAAATAGCTGCCGTTTTGCAGCCTCTACCGCTTTAAAACGCATTGTTGGTGGTGGGTTGACTCTGAGCTACTGCGTGCTAGCTATCTCGTGTTCGCCTCCCTGTTGTGTGTGTTTACTGTTATTGAGAGTTGAAAAAGTAAACAAACCCCCCATTTCTAGAAGCCCGTCGTGACAAGATGGAACAGACCGTGCTTTGGGCTTGGCTGCCATGCTCAGGGGAGAGGGCAAATGGACGATTTCGTCTAAATAAGGAGATGCGTGCCCTGTGCTCCCGTATTACTAGCACCTGTGCAATATATCGATTTGATTGACGTTGACCGCAAAAGCGCCCCTTGCATATTGCACCAAGCGGGAGGCACGAGCTGCTTGGACGCTGGTTACAGGGGGCCATCAATGCCTACGGGGCCCCCCTCAGAACAGCCCTGAACCGCCTCGATTTGGCGGCGACGCGCTAAGAATAAAAAAGGCGCCCAGCGTAGCAGGTCCCTTTAGACTGTTTCTGCCCCCCGATGATGCCGTCTGTTTGCCCGTAGCTCAGGTTCTGCTACCGCAAGTGCGCGAACTACGACCTGATCCTGCCAGCGCCCAGTGAGGCAACAGCTGGACCTGAACTTAAGCAGCAACCACCCCACCGCTACAACGCCAAACAGACATAAACCGGGACATCCTCGACCTCGACATCGCCGCATCTCCTGTCTTCGTACCTCCTTTTCCCCGCCGTGCCATGCCATTGACCACGACTGTTACGTACCGGTAGAGGCAGCCAGATCGTGAACCCAGAACCCGCCATGTCGGACGAAGTATCCCAGTTCCTCGAGCAGGTCGAGCGCCTGCGCGGGCAGCAGATTGAAGATGAGGAAATGCGAGCCCGAGAGCGGGAGGAATTTCTTGCCGCGAAGCGAGAGCGCCAGGCCAGGAGAGAGGGTGAGTCTCTATCTTGTCTCGTGCCTTTCCCTATTCCTTATTCCCGGCACGCTCCATGTTCTCAAGACAAATGTTATCTGGCGCGGTCCCGCTGGTGGGCGGATTTGACTTTCGGCGGTGCCTTGTTGCTGTGGTGCTCGTCAGTTGGAGCTATCGAAGGGTTGCCTCCAGGCCATGGTTTATTTACTTTTTGCTTTCTTATGGACCCAACACAACTGCTGCTATGGGGACCCTAAGCAACGAGTATTTATGAATTTCGGGACCTGACCAACTGATGAAACAATGCTGACCCGCCTTATCCAAAAGAACGCGCCAGATCAATCTCACCGCAGAAATCATCACCGGCCAACACTCCGTCTCCCCGCACACTTCGACGCACCGTCAACCTCTCCGAATCTCTCAGACTCGATTCTCCTGCTGGCGAGGCTATTGAGAAGCTACGTGAGAGGCCGGCCGGATCAGAAAAGCCCCTGGGAACGGATTCACAGTCCGATGCAATGCTGTACTCCACTCCATCGACGAAAGAGAACGAGGCCCCCGAGGATCTCGACGCGAAGCGGGGCGATGCCGCAGCTGCCTCTCGAGCTTCACCACTCGCCTGGCAGCGACGGACGAATCGATCCAACAGCCGCCCGCTGAGCGTTTATGCGGCCCAGAATGCTGCCCAGAGCGCGACGAGCAAGCCATTTGCTGAGACCCAAGAGCCCCACGAGCCGCCTTCTCCTACGCAGCCTCTTTCCAAGGATCAAATCGCCAAGAGCCTTGCATCTAAGGACGCATCGTGGTTCCGTCAAACCGCTGATCGAGGCGCAGACTCCGCAGCCTATAGGAAGAACCAGGTTGAAGACGATGACCGACTCGATATGTCCAGTCTCAGCTCACAGCTGCCTGGCATGACCAGCGAAAACTCGTCCGAACGCCCTGTTTCGCGGGGTAGTGAGAATGTGTTTAGCAAGCTTTCAGCTCCTTTCACCCTAAACCCACTTGGCTTCGACAATCCTTCTGCCGAGAAACCGCAGACGGAACCTGTTGCTTCAACGCCTACTGGTCGGTCCTCTCCAGTACGGACGACCTCTCCCACCAAGGGCATGGGAGGATTTGTGCAGAGCGCAATGATGAAGAGGAGCGATAGTGTAAAACGATGGTCTGTTGCTAGCCCGCCTGGATTGACTCGCCCTGAGAACATGGCTACGCATCGTGGTTCCGTTGACAGGACTCTATCCAGACCGCAGAGCATGTTTATTCGCGACCCGACAACGACAACGACAACACCAGGGACAAGTAGATCAGCTTCTCGACCATCGTCTCGTCCAGCCTCTCGGCACGGGGGAGAAGAATCCGCATTTGAATCGAGTCCTCGTGAGAGACGCCCAAAGACACCATCGTCAACGAGTCCGCCCCCGTTCCAAAAATCTGGGCTTCCTGATGACGCATCCCTCCCAGTCAGCCCGTCTAAGACAATGGAGCCCAGACGCTGGAGTCCTCAAAAATCGAGTTGGCTTGAGAGTGCGCTTAACAAACCGGATTCGCCAAAATTACCTCCTAAGCCAGCTTCTTCACAACAGCCGGCATGGATGGTCGAGCTCAATAAGAACAAGACAGGACGTGGCAACCCCACTCCAGAGCCAGCTCGGCCCTCTCATAAGCACCAAGTTAGTATCGATGGGCTTATGAGGTCCACGCCAATGGGGTCGAGGCTGAACCTCAACACAACTGGCCTGGGAGGCATCTACTCGCCTCCTGGCACGCAATCGGCAGCCCCAAATCGTGCATCAATGCAAAATTTCCCTCCAGTGTCGGAGCGACCAAGATCAAAGTCGAGAGGTGCTGTTGCTGACGCGAAGGATGAAATGGCGGTGGAACGACCAAGATCAAAGTCGAGGGGTGCTTTCGCCGATGTGAGGGACGAAGTGGCGGAGCGGCCAAGATCCAAGTCGAGAGGTGCTTTCGCTGAAGCGAGAGACGAAGTGTTGGCGGAACGGCCAAGATCAAAGTCAAGAGGTGCGCTCGCCGACGTGAGAGACGAAGTGAGAGAAAAGCGATCAGAATCTCTCAGTTCGGTGGCCAACCCACTGCCTGCCCGGGTCAAACCTGAAGCTCCCCCGAAGAAGGATTTGGATTTCCGCTCCAATCTGAGGCCACGAGCTGCCGAGGCCCCGGCACCAAAGACGCAGGAACCAGAGTTCAAGGCTGTGTTTGGCACTCTCCGTAGGACTAAAACTCAAAACTTTAAGGCACCGGACGAGCTAAAGGACAACATTCTCCGGGGCAAGGCGGCTCTCAACGCGACTGACGGCCCACAGAAGTCTACGATTAGGGATGATTTTAAGGACGCTATACAGAAAAAGAGAGATGATTTTAAGAAGGCCCAATCCGAAGGAAAAGGAATCGCCGCCAACACGATTACGAAGCCCAAGCCTCTTCTCCCCGAAGCACTCGCCATCAGGGCCGAGCTGGGTAAGCCGACAGCCGGGCTCCAGCAAGATGCCCCCTCGGAGACGCGAACTCCATCCGGTCAGTCGATGAAGCCCGATTCACCAAAACCAAATCCTCCACAGAGAAAGTCAAGTCAAGTGAACTTGGCTAGGCAGTCTAGCCCATCATTGACTCCCACGAAGGACCCCTTAACTGAGAGACCCAGGCTAGACGATGCGGAGACCGATACGCAAACGAAGATCGAACCCTCGCCACACTCCCCCGGACTTTTGAAGAAGAAGAGTGCTCCATCAAAGCTTGGCGGCCTGGCTGGACGATTCAACCCTGCGCTTGCCGGCATGCTGGCACGAGGACCACCTCCCCCAGCACTCAACGGCGGTAACCGAGCCGAAGAGTCGAGACAAGCTGGCGGAGATCCCCAGCCTTCACAACCAGGCCCTCAGTTGACGCACATGACTAAAGGTCGAGCGCGCGGTCCCAAGAGAAAGGCCCCATCTAATGTGAGCAACGCTACTACCACCTCCACCAATATCCCGTCAGAATTGCCTTTGGCGAACCGGCAACCCGCCGCTGTTGGGAAGCAGAACCTTCCTACACCCTTTGAAGCGAAGAAGCCGGCGCCACTGCCAGCCCAAGATCGAGTGGCTACAAAGCCTGATGTACCAAGCAAGCCGAAGCCAATCGAGCCGAAGAAGATGGAAGTTGAGAGCCGACCTGCGGAGCATGTGGCTCCCTTGAACTTTCGTAGACGCATGACACAGCCTGAGATCCCGGCGCAGGAAATATTGGCACAGCCTGAAGCAGAGTCGCCAAAGAAGCTCGACATGAAGCGCGTGTCAAAATTCTTTGAGCAAACCAACAATACGGCGACATCTGAACCTCCCAGGCAGCCAAACAAGCTTTCACCTCAGAAGACTGGCACGTGGGAGCCGGTTAAGGCCGCTACCCCTGTATCTGAGCCTGCCAAGGAGCCAACCAAGTTGACTCAACAGAAGACTGGCGGCGGGTGGTCTCCGGTGAAGAAGGCTGAGCGTTCGCTGCCCGATCCCCGGTCGTCTACACCGAACGTTGGCGAGACAAAGCCCGCAGTAGTCAAACTTGCTGTGTCGGAGCCAGTGTCTGCTGCTGTAAAAGCCCCATTACCAGGCCCCAAGCCATCAGCTTTCAATATGCCACCAAAGGAGATTGAGGCTCGCCCGCTACCTCAGCTACAGGCCGAACCAGTACCGCCATCACCTGCACGACCGCAAACAGGACACGGTAGCGATGTATCAGCCATTCTCCATGACTTCTTTGCTCCTCCGTATAAGCGAATTCCGTGCGATATGGATCCCGCAGATATCCTCACAAATTACCCGAAATTTGGTGCAAAGATTAAGACTTTGTCATTCCACATGTTTCAGATTGATGGAAGTGGCAAACAGACTATCGTTCCCGCTCACCGCGAGCGCGTTCTATTCGAACAAGAGATGTATGTTGCCGGACACAACTTCACCAACGAAGCGGGATGGAAAGTGCGTGAGGTCTACTTCTGGATTGGTGACGAAGTTGCGGATGCCGATGAGGACGTAGCAGAGGCTGTGGCACAGCAAGAAGCAAGGCAATTGGGCGGTAAGCTCATTAAGATTAGGCAAGGCAAAGAGACGTCAGAGTTTTTGCAGGCTCTTGGCGGCGTGGCCACTATCCGAAGAGGTGGAAGCACCAGATACGACTCACTCGCTCCGACCATGCTCTGTGGTCGACGATACCAGGGCCAAGTGGCATTTGACGAGGTTGACATGACTACAGCCAGCCTCTGTGCCGGATTTGCCTACCTGATTACCCACTCTGGCAATTGCTATCTGTGGAAAGGCAAGGGGAGCGATGTAGACGAGCTCAGCTGCGCACGTCTCATTGGTATGGACTTGACGTTGACTGGGCAGCTGATTGAATACGATGAGGGTAGCGAGCCTGCTTCCTTCTGGGACATGTTGGAGGGCCAAGCCAAGCCTCATTCTGCAGACCACTGGAGACTGAAGCCTAGTTATGGGAAGTATAACAGTAGACTCTTTTGCTCCGATGCAGAGTCTAGACAACAGGTAAGCATAGTCTTGTTATTCTTGGCCACTAGTAACGTTTGAAATGACTAATATATTTCTTCCCTCTTTAGATCTATGAGATCAGCCCATTTAACCAGGCCGACATGTCGACATTCAATATCTACGTGCTCGATGCCTTCTTTGAGATGTACATCATTGTTGGCTCGCAGGCGCAGTCCGAGTATGCCTCCTTCCGCAACGCCCTCGACTTTGCTCAGGAATACGCTGTCTTGGCAGCGAGTATGGAGGATCGCCCCTTTATTCCCATCTCCACTGTTGTGCTTGAGGGCGTGCCTCGCGACTTGAAGCGAGTGTTCCGCAAGTGGACTGACGAGCGATGTCCGACGCTCTTGCAAGTTCCTTCTGGTGAATCAGGCCTCAAGAGAGGCCGCAGTCTCAGAGTTGTGCCCCTTACTCAGGCAATCTTGGCTTTAAAGGAGTAGAATATTGAGTCGTCCTTTTTCTTTGGGGCTGGCTGAGTTGCTGCCCCTAGGTGGCAGTGGTGAGGTTGTGTAATTTGTTGCGTTTAGACGGAAAGAAGAAAAACATATGGGAATCTTATGGTTATGTGTAGAATGGAAGAAACAAAAAAAGGAGAGGCAGCCATAAAAAGAGTCGGCGGCAAATTGGGTTTGGCAGGATCGTTGAATTTTTAAGAGGCGTACGGGGAAAAGCGCACGTAGAGGTATTAGATATTTATGCTTTTGACAAGTTGATCGTGTAGATGAAGAGGCACCAAAATATTGTACTCAACGATGCCGTCCTTGATAATGAAGATACTTATAATATATAAGAAAAAAATAACATTCATAATAAATGCATACAATATTGTGCTATAGTATATGAGGGTTTTACATCTAATGGGTATCAATTCGAAATTGACATCACATGCCAAACCCCAAACCTCCCTGTCCGTCCCGAATTCGCCATATAAACCGCACCGACCTTGCTTCCCATCTGCCCGTTGTATTCTAACCCTTTGCCATGCCTGTCTTCTATTCTTAAGCGCGCTCAGTCCCTGACTTCTTCTAACCCTTCTTTTGCTGCGCCATCGCTAAAACGCTATTCTCTTGTCTCTCTCTCGCTCGCTTAATGTCTATGAGTGATATGATGTGCTGTGCTGTGCATTGATTACATGGCGTTTTTTTTTCCCCCTTCTTTTCTTTTTCTTGGTATTTATTTGTCGATGGCGGTGCTCTTGCCTGTGGAGGAACCGTTTGTGGCCGGGACGGCGATTGGCTGGCCGCGAGCCTTTTCCGTCAAGCTGATGAGTTCGCTGAGCATGACTTCGCGGGTGGAGCGGGTGAGTTCGTCGACATCGGCGGTGGTGAGGTTGGTGGTGGGGATTGGGGCCAGGACTGCAGTTGTCATTAGTATATATATTTTCTTCTTCTTTCTCTCGAGTTATATAAATAAGAAGGAATGTTTGTAGCATACCTTTGACGGGAATCTTGCCAGAGTTGAAAACCAGGTTCTTGACGTAGAGGACATGACTGTAGTTGGCAACGACGACGGGCACGATGGGGACGCCAGACTGCACCGCGAGGTGGAAAGCGCCCTTCTTGAAGGGCAGCAACATAGGCTCCTTGGCGTAGCTGCGCGTGCCCTCGGGGAACATGTAGACGCTCTGGCGGCTGGTCTTGATCTCGTTGGCGGCGCCGTCCATGGCCGAGCGCGCGCCCTGGCTGTTCTTGCGATCGATGAAGATTGTGCCGCTCAGGCTCATGAACCAGCCCAGGAAGGGCACGCGCTTCAGCTGGGCCTTTGCCGTGACGCTGCAGTACTTGGGGAAGATGGCGCCCAGCATGAGCACGTCGAGCTCGGTCTGGTGGTTGCCGATGAAGACGGCGGGGCGGGTCGAGCCGAGGACGTTGTTGGGGTCGTCGATGACGAACTCGACGCCGGTGGTGTAGCGCATGGTGAAATCGAAGGCGCGGCCGCAGGCCCACTGCGCGATCTGGCGCTTGCCGACGAGGGCGAGCAGGATGGAGGCGAGGACGCCGTAGACGGCGCAGGCGAGGAGCGAGATGTAGGCGGCGAGGACGCGGGCTGCGAAGCCGGCCTTGGGGACGGCGAGGGACGCCATGTAGAGGGAGATTGTGAGGGCGGCGTAGCCGAGGAGGAATTTGATGAGGTAGTCGAGGAGGAGGACCATTTTTTAAGGAGGTGGCTCGTCGCTGGAGGCTATCTGCGGTGGTCGGATCGTGGATATAAGAGACTGAGAGACTGAGAGACTGAGAGAGAGAGTCGTCGAGTGGCTGATGGAGGCGGCAGGGAAGAGTGGACTAGGGTTTCGCTATAGTTCCATGCTCCTGTTGTACAAGACACGAGAACGAACGTTTCTCTCTTTTTCTTCTGCTGATACACAGATAGCGTGCACAGTTGGGATAGTGTGACCAGGTCAGGTTCAACAGGAGGAGAAGAAAAACAAGGGACGAATGGAAGGGGAAATCACAAGCACGGCGAAAAAGTTGGTGGCCACGGGAACTAGTGGTTTAGTTTTGTTGGAGACAGAAATGCAAGTTGGTTTACAGGTGACGGGCGTTTGTAGCAGTGACCTGTAGCGGTGGCTGCGGGTGGGTGGTTGTGGCAGGTAGCGGGGACGAATCGGGACCCAACAACGTTGACTGGACCTCGGCGGGATGGAAAATGACGTTGGGGGGCCCTTGTGAAGCTAAGAGTCTCGGAAGGCTTTGGAGGGGCGAGGGGTCGCTGTGTGTGATTGGCCGGGCTGATATGTGCCCTGTTCGTTTCTAAGCAGTAGCTCAGCTCATCAGGTACCTCGTTGTTTGTTCTCATATTCTGCCGACTTTGGGATGTCTTTTGTGACAAAGTATCGGTGACCAAGTCTATGCTTGCTTGTCTTTTGTAGATTCGACACTTTATTGAGAAATCTGCAGGGGTGAGTGTTTCGGTTCCCTTTTGCGCGGAATCTGTCCGGAGCCTGGTCATTGTTAGGCGCCACTATCATAACCACTAAGCAGTTATTAAGCTGACCAGATACCGTGTGTTTATACCAGTGAGTTGTCTGCCAATTAATTACTTTAAGATGCCATTATAGACCCCGGGGTTAGTGTAACAATAACGTTATCGGGATCTCGAACCGTAGCTAAAGTTGATTGTCTGGCGCTTGTACTGCCTGAGATCATCCGAAACTCCGTCCCTAGCCTAAGGACTGGAGTCGAGCAAGAGTCGCATCGACGCCCACGAAAAAAGAGGATGAGAAAGAGACCAGTTTCGGGCTGGCCAGTAGAGCCGACGAGAACAACTTCTTGGAAAGTGTTTATCTCAACCACTCCAGCTGCTGTGTCCGGGATCTGTGAGTTGCTGACTCACAGCTCGTAAAATGTTTGTTCTTGCTCCCAAGAGATTTTGCCAATCCATCTCAATAGTGACATCGGACAGGAGGTCGAGGTCAATCATATGCTAGTAAAATTCCACACTCGCTGAGATCTTATGCACAACAATAGATGTGTGGTGAATTGCTACATGAGATTGGAGCGGGTCTGCTGCCAGTATTAGTGTTATACTGTTTGTAAACCTTTGAAGAATAAGAAATAGACAATCACTCTGACAGGCACAGAACGACAAAATGCCCACAAACCAAGCAAGCAGAAATGAATTCCCATCATTCTCGTGCTTTTAAGAAGGCGAAAATACTCTAATTTTATTTCATCAAGAAGAAGAAATTTAGAAGATATAATAATGAGCACGGTGTTGCCTTGCTTGGTTGGACATAATTAAAGAGTATAGTTTACTTCTCAGAAGGTGATACTACAGGTATAGGTGATTGAGATAAGAGCCATTACCACTGTGGAACTACTTTAGATAATGTGAACCCCAACGCCAAAGGCCTGCTCAGGACTGCCATAACAGGTAAGTAATATTTTCTCACATATCATAGCGAGGAGCATGTTAACAAAATTTTTAATAAAGATTGGCTGATTCTGCATTATCTCCGTAGAATCGTGAGAGATTGCTGGAAATCAAGCACAAAGGTGGATTGTGCTGACATAATTTTCAATAGTTTGTTTTCCATCTCACGTTAAATCCGCAAAGCCGGGGCATCGTTCCCTGTCTAAGTTATGTATGTGCATTTAAAGAGAATTTAAACTTGTGATAGTCTCTATACACTGTATAACAGAGAATAGAAATCAATATAAACGGAGTTAGACGGTGATAAATAGTCAATATTGAAGACCCGCTGTCAAATATTGATGTTGCTAGTTGGTAATTTGAACTCTGCCGAGATGATGTAACTCGATAGGCAGCCAAGTATTGGTAGACAATGGCCGTAAATGTTTACCTGTGATTGAAGACATGTATATAAGAAACACATGCAAGGAAATTATCGATCATGGCAGCACCTTCAAAACTCAATCCATCAGCTTAGAGGCAAACAACAATCACTCAACTAACTTATAATCAGAATGGCGTCCATCAAGTTACCACTAGTCGGCAAAACAGCTCTTGTGACCGGCGGCATCAGGGGAATCGGTCGAGGTATTTCTTTGGAGCTCGCTCGTCGAGGTGCCAACGTCGCCATGGTCTATGCCAACCCTAGCCGTCAAGATGCAGCAATGGAAGCGGTTAAAGAAATTCACTCCCTTGACTCTGGCGCAAAGGCTGTGAGCATTCAGGCAGACCTGAAGATATTTGATAACTATCAAAAGATTGTCGACGAGACGCTGCGGGAACTCAATGTCAGAAACATTGATATTGTCGGTATGATTAGTTTTCCGGTCAAATACGAAAGCTGTACATGATGAGCTAAAGGAGAAAAACTGGCAGTCCACAATGCAGCTGTCGGCTCACCTGTGTCGACGGAAGATACAACAGAACAGCTTTACGACGACACCATGGCCACAAACCTTCGAGCCCCATTCTTTCTCACTCAGACGTTGCTCCCATACATCCCCCATGGAGGGCGCATTATCCTCATTTCATCCATTGCAGCCAGACGGTTCTCGTTTGGACTGCATCAAACCGCTTATGCCATTAGCAAGGCAGCCATCGAGGCGCTTGCCAGAAATTGGGCTGTTGAAGTAAGTTTGCACAATCCCCGTGTTCTCTCAATAAGCGTTTGGAAAATCTGACACGAGGATCAGTTTGGACAGTCTCGTGGGATCACTGTAAACGGTAAGAGTTTTGTCCATAACCAAATTTGACTACGCATCATTGCTAACCGGCCAAAGCTTTATCTGTTGGATTTGTTGAGACGGAATTGGTGCAGAGTCTCTCTCCTGAGAAGCTTGAAGCATACCGCAAAGAAAATGCACGTGTTACGGCAGCAGCCCCAAGGAGTGGAACACCAAATGACATTGCTCAGATTGCTGCCTTTATTGCCAGTGAAGAGTCTCGGTGGGTAACGGGAAGCACAATTTCAGCCAATGGTGGAAAGTGGCCAATTTAATTCGATATCGTCTCTCGTACACTCTACATTGTAGCTCGTCCATATGCCTTTCAACAAGGAATGTATGTACTACGAAACCCATTTTCGATGCTCCTTCTATATCTTATATACAAAGTTGGCAACTACTACCTGTCCATAGTCAAAGTCATTAGATTTAAGTTTTGCTTTTGAGTGTTAGTCAGTAAACATCTATACTTCACTTTTCAAGGTTACTTTGCTACTTTGAGGCTTCTCGTATGACTAAAAATATGCCTACCTACCAGGCCATCAATAGTTCGACTCTGCCTTGGGAAATCGGTAGGGTGGGTGTGTATTTAATATAGGATCTGTAGCTGGTCATTGGTTGACGACCCCGCGACACGTAAACAATTAGGCATCGTTAATCCTGCATCCTGCCTGACGCGACTGACTGTCTTCAACACTACAACTCGCAAGTTTTGATATTTGAGAAAGAGATCAAACAGCGCTGCTGCCGGAATAGGCATCCGACTAGCTAATACTCGAAGAATACGATACAATGGGTGATGATCGCACCATCTGCGGCAATAATTTTGGACCAGATGTTCGCATTCATCAAGGTAGCATGAATGTGACGTTCCAGGGCGACACAACAACGTATTACTACAGCGCGCCACCTGGGACTCATGACAAACTACCGGCTAGCAACTCGAAGACGAGGGATAGAGAGGACGACATTCTGCGCCGCCTCTACACATCACCATACGAAGATCGAAAGGACCGTAACCCGCATCGGGTTCCTGGAACATGTGAATGGTTCCTATCACATGAGCTCTTTAAGGACTGGGAAAAGAGCGAATCATCAAGATTACTTTGGGTATCGGCAGACCCTGGATGTGGAAAGTCAGTTCTAGCAAAACACTTGGTCGATTCTGTACTCCAGAATACAGAGTCAAGAACGGTGTGCTACTTCTTCTTTAAAGATGACTTTGCAGATCAGAGGACCGTTGTTGGCGCTCTTTGCTGCATCTTACGCCAGCTATTCATAAAGAAGCCTATTTTATTTTCTGATGAAATTCTTCATCAATTCATTACGGGCGGAGAAACATTTGCGAATTCGTTTTGCGAGCTTTGGAAAATTCTTATACAAGTTTCAAAGGATCCGAACGCTGGTGAGATCATCTATGTCTTCGATGCCATTGACGAATGTGAAGATCAGGGGAGGTCTCAACTGGCTCAAGAATTATGCAAGCTTTATGGAACTGCAAATAACTTCCATTTAAAATTCCTGCTTACAAGTCGGCCTTACGGCAAAATTCACCGTGGTTTCCGGCCTCTGGAGATTCCGGGATTGCCGGTTATTCATTTGAGCGGAGAAAGCGAGAACGAAATAAAGAGAATTTCTCAAGAAATTGACATCTTCATTCGATTTAAAATTCAAGACATTGGGAAAAGATTGCATCTTATTAAAGAAGAACACGACCTCTTACTCAAAAGGCTCATGCAAATTACCAACAGAACATATTTATGGGTATACCTCATATTTGATTTAATTATGGACGATATCGGCATTGATGAAGCAAGAATAATTAAGGCTACCTCTTCCATCCCTGAAACAGTGGATGAGGCGTATGAAAAGATCCTCCAAAAGAGTCATGACGTCGAACAAACTAAGAAAATATTACATATTATTGTGGGTGCAATACGGCCTCTAACACTGAGAGAGATGAACTTGGCATTACTTATTCAAAGTAGCCACCGATCTAATAATGATCTTAATCTTGAACCTGAACATCGTTTTCGTCAAAAATTACGAGACATCTGTGGTCTCTTTATAACAATTGTCGATTCAAAGATATACTTACTTCATCAAACTGCAAAGGAATTTTTACTTCAGGATGACGGAAATTCTCTTACAGGTGCTCATGAAGGATATACATGGAAGAGTTCGCTAAATCTGCTTGAATCCCACCGTATTCTCTCAGATATTTGCATCTGGTACCTGCTCCTTTTAGAGGATGATGCAAATGATCACGACGAAATCGGGACCTTGTGTCTTCATGAAAAGGATAACATCTTTCTCGGCTACTCCGCGACATATTGGGCGACTCACTTCCGTGAGCTAGATGCAAACATACAAGAAGAGAAGGTCAAGCTGATATTGAAAATATGCAATGTGAAATCAAATATTTGCCAGACATGGTTCAAGGTATATTGGGCAAGCACAAATACTACATTTCCCAAAGGGTTAACGAGCCTTATGATTGCTGCTTATTTTGGACTAAACATGGTAGTTCAATGCCTTCTAGTGGACGCCATTGAGTTAAATTCTCGAGACGATACATACAAGCGATCAGCACTATCTTGGGCTGCAAGAAATGGCTTTGATCATATTGCCAAGCTTCTGATCAGAGGCGCTCCTCGTGTTAGACTATGGACGATCACTCTTCTACATGGACAAGGGGCCGAAGTCAACCTACCAGATAAATATGGTCGAACACCATTATTCTATGCTGTTTGGAATGGAAACATAGCTATGGTCGAGCACCTGGTTATTGCGGGCGCACAGGTGCACGTAAAGGATGAGCTTGGCGGAACACCGATATCCTACGCCGTCTGTAACCAGAACGAGCAAATAACTAATATTCTACTTCAGAATGGGAGTGAAGCTGGTGTTGAAGATGACATCAATAGTATACTATTCTCAGCTGCGGAAAAAGGCGACGAGGAGGTTATTGAGCTGCTGCTCAAGACAAAAAAGGTCGGTCCTAATGCGAAGGATCGAATGAATCAGACACCTTTACAATGGGCTGCGAATGGAGGCCATTTAAAAACAGTGAAAATGTTACTTGTCAAAGGAGCGAACCCAAATTATAAGAACGATAAACATCAAACACCATTGCTATATGCTGTGAAGGAAGGCCACACAGATATAGTAAGACTGTTACTGGAGAAAGAAGCAGACCCGAACTGCAAGGATATCAAACATCGGACACCCTTGCTATATGCTGTAAAGGAAGGCTACACAAATATAGTAAGACTGTTACTGGATAAAGGAGCGGACCCGAATTGCAAAGATGATAATCACCGGACGCCCTTGCTATACGCTGTAAAGGAAGGCTATCCAACGACAATAATGAAAGAACTGCTTACGAGAAGAGCAGAGATGAATTGCAGAGATCATAATTATCGAACGCCCTGGCTACATGCTACAAACAATGGTTATCTACCGACAATAAGGAATCTCCGACAGCAATCTTTACTTGAAGATAACAATACGCTCAATATTATACCAAATAGGCGCTACGAGGCAATAATTAAATTATTGCTTGAGAGAGGAGCGGACCCAAATTACGAAGATATGAACTGTCGAACTGCCCTTTCATTTGCTGCAGAAAATGGCTATGGGACGGTAGTAAAGGCATTGCTTGAAAGAGGAGCAAGCCCAAATGCATATTTTCTATACGCTGCAGAGAAAGGCAACGGAGCAGCAGTGAAATTATTGCTCAAGGAAGGGGCAGACTTAAAGTCACTCCTGCGCTGGGCTGCACTGAAGCGCCATGAGGTATCAATAACAGTATTGCTCAAGGAGCTCGAAGAGGCGGATTTGAAGGCACTCCATCCCTGGGCTGTGCAACACAGCCGTGGGATTATAAGAAGGGCATTCTGGAATGAAGTATCACGACGAGTTGCCAAGGGGAAATAGTAGGTGTGTAGACTTCCATTACGTCGCCGGGTGATGCCAACAGATCTTTAATGGTGGAATATGATTGGGCAACCTTGTATTCATTGAAGAATAGAGATGAATGACGCCGAGGTTGGGATGAGGTTCCGTATATGGTTGTCAAGGGCATCTGCGACTGTGCAGATAGGATATTTATGATGCTATATTTGGTAAAAGAGATATTTAGCCGATATGCCAAATAGACATGTCCTGAGAAAATACTAGCTAGATGCAGTAAGATTTTGTATACTATTAGGTGTTTGGTGTAACGTCTCTGTTTAATTATTGAGAAAAGATGTTCAACCTCCTCATTTTTATATGCCTTTGCGATTTTAAGAGGTCATGCTTGGACTGTTTTGTCGCATGTCAATTGGAATTCTCACCGGTGGTGGCATTACTCTCCGAGTCTAAGAGACAGAATTTGTACTCTTTGAAACATTCGGTCGTTCTTCTTATGGATATATTGTTTATTCATACTACACAAATAGCCGAAGTCAACATTTGGCAAATGCGTACGCATGAGCTCGGAAAAGCGGAGACTGTCTCTTTAATCATTCAATAGAGGAAGTGGAAACTGCTTTGTCGGCTCTTCGGTCCAAAGGGTGCAATTCGAAGCAGCACTGCTGGGGGATGCTGTATGATCTTATCGGGCGCCTGCATATTACGTACTCCATTTGCGCACGTACTACACCATCTGTATGTGGATGTAAATGTAAATGTAAAGTGAATCTTAATAGTACCTATTCCATAGAGGTCAAGTGTTTAATTAGGATATATAGCTGTCACAAACGTTGATTTAGCCTAATTTTCTTGTGAGGATAAATATCTGGGGAAAAGGAATACAACAGTAACTAGAACGGATTAAGGCTTTGGCATAACATAAGCTGATGGCAAAGAGAAAGACTTGGATAATATACATAAGGCTAATAATTGATACTTGATACTATATAATCTTCTATTCGCTCTGAATATCTTTTATTTAGAATACAACCATCATCTTACACACCGTTGGCTTCTATCCTTAATCTCTTCATTACAGAGGAAAAGATGCCTTCAATTAAGAACTCCCTCGCTCTTTTACTGAGCCAAGCTCTTTTGGCTACCAATAGCCAAGCGAATGGAGCGACCGTTAAGCGACAGTGCCCGGGGATCCATGTCTTTGGTGCTCGTGAAACTACAGCACCGCCAGGATATGGCTCCTCCTCTACTGTTGTAAACTTGATCATCGCCGCCCATCCCGGAACTACATCTGAAGCACTTGACTACCCAGCTTGTGGTGGTCAGTCTTCTTGTGGCAGCATCCCTTATAATACCTCTGCTGTGGACGGCATCAACGCCGCGGTCACAGCAATAAACAGCTTCCACAACTCCTGCCCAGATACTCAGCTGGTCTTGGTTGGATACTCGCAGGTTTGTCTCTTTCTTTCTCTCTCTATCTCTCATATCATTCATAGAATCAGTTCTAACCGGTAATATGAAAGGGTGGCCAAGTCTTTGACGATGTAATTTGCGGAGGAGGTGATCCTGGCGAGGGATACAGCAACACTGCTGTTCCGATATCCGCATCGGCAGCCTCTGCTATCAAGGCCGCAATCCTTATGGGAGATCCTCGAAATATTGCCGGACTGCCATATAATGTTGGAAACTGTACTGCTGGGGGTGTAAGTATTCGCTTCGTTGTAAAACTGGCCACCTTTCTAATTTTGCTATTCTTCAACCAGTTCGATGCCCACCCATCTGGATTTGTTTGCGCCGCCGCGTCTAAGATCCAGTCATACTGTGATGCCTCAGACCCGTACTGCTGCAATGGAAATAACGCTGCCACTCACCAAGGTTACGGCCAGGAGTATGGCCAGCAGGCTCTCGCTTTTGTCAACAGCAAGCTCTCCAGCACCGGTGGCAGCGGCCCAACCTCGACGCCACCCTCAGGCCCCACCAGCACTGGAAGCTCTCCCAGCGCGACCCAGACTCACTATGGACAGTGTGGTGGAATCGGCTACTCGGGTCCTACCCAGTGTGCTAGCGGCTACACTTGCCAGGTCCTGAACTCTTACTACTCTCAGTGCTTGTAGAGAGCGTGAGAGCGGGTGACGGTGAAAATGTTATCAAGTCGTATATTTAGCTGTATTTAGTACTCGTTTTGTTGTGGTGGAATTGAATACAAGTTATAAAAGTGTATGAACACCATGGGTTGAATTACAGTGAGTGAGCGCAGTATGTCACTTTACCGCAACAAGAACTGCGTATTAAATACGAGGTTTTCAATGATTTACTATAAAGTATACATATGTCAATGTTCTGGCTTAAGATATAAGAATAAGAAACAAGAAATAAAGGGAATAAGCTAAGAAGTTATAAATGCAGGCGGAGACTATTATACAAGCATCTGGATATAAGAAAGAAGATAAAAGCGCTTCACTTACATGTAATTAGGAACACTACCATGTATGGAAGAAGCAATGTACGTGTATTTCGTATTATAGTAAAATGACGAGTGTCAACTTTCGGTTGTGGCACTTCTGAATTGCGCAAAGCTAGGTCTAAAATTTATTGGTGCTAGTTGTGGTTTTAGTCAAAGGACATTGGTTCATGCACGCTTCAAATACGACTTACCAAGCATGCATAGCTGGGCTCTTATACCTTTGATGAGACTATTCACAGAGGACAAGAAGCTGGGCATGAGTCTGGGCACAGTGTCTTCTATAGCCAGAATGGCCATTATCAATATGAATACACACAACGGTTATATCAAGTTCCACGTCCAACCAAGCCAGAAGCTAAACTCTTACACACGCTTCAACTGCCATAGCGCATGTCACTCTCACGAGGAGAAGCGATATCCAAGTCCTGTAAACACAGGCCAGGGTTTATGATATGGCTATTACCGCATCTAAGCGCTCCTATATTTATTTAGAGGATAACTTCGCTTTGGAGAGTGATCTCTCTGGAATCGCATAACACGCTCAAATTTGTCGAATAGTCCCCAACCTTGCGTGAGAGAGCGTCTAAATATCGCTTCTCTACATATATATAGCTCACATTAAAAGACGAGACCCTGCATCGAGAGCTTCATGAGAATGTGGCAAACTGTAAGAAGCGTACATATAAGAAGCTAGCTTTAGAAATCCATGGAACACACGCAGGGCAGAATAATTAACATAAAGACGAAATCGGCTGAGACTGAGTGGCTTATAGCCACTAGATGTAAAATACGCTATATCATACCATTGCCATTTGCCTGTCAGACGCAATCTTGGTCCAATAGCTGCAACAGTAAAATTGCCTCTTCATTAAGAACATGTAACATCAAGATCGTAGGCCACTAACCAATCACCGCCACCGATCTTATGTTCAACCAGCTTAATCTCGGGGTTACGCTTATTTATTCCCTTGGCGAATAGCACTCTGGCATAAACAGGATCAAATGTAAATGTTGTTTCACGGGTCTCGGCGTTTACCGTCTCTGCTGTAGCGGTAAACTCATTGATAGAGATGATCTCCTCCATGTTTGGTACGAACGCCCTTTCTAATTGTTGTTTTATATGCCCTGCCGTTTTAGCATCAAGCCGGGTGTCGATGAAGTATAGTAAGTTTTTGCCTGCTGCTGCTACATATGGAGTATCTGGTGCTATAATTTGGCGACCGTATTCGGTATTTATGAATGTTGGTGTATAGTTGTTGCCTCGATATTCCTCTTGATAGGTTGGCGAATCTCCGAATGGTCGAAACGGATTTAAAGCCATACCGAATAATAAAGCAGAAAGTGTTTTCATCATAGAATAAATGGCTTATAGATGCTCTTTGCTGATTCGGTGTGCGCTTCTGTGTTATAATGTTTTTTTATTTTGTTTTTTTATTTTATTTTTTTATATATATCTTGTTGAATACTTAGATAGTAGGTATGTAGGTCATGAAAAGTTGTCATTGACTTAAAATCCCTCATCCCATGACAGATATTTCTAACGTCCCCGCGCTGGTTGGAAGGAATATAGCAAACACGGCAGCTGTGCTCACGTGGAGGAATGGGCTATAACCTTGTTGGAGCCACCACCTGTACGAAGTAAATGACGAGAACTTGGCCGGCGAATGAAAGCACTTGATGTTAACCCGATTGCAGAAATAGGAAATGTTACGGTACATTTATCTGAGAGGGGCTGTGCTTCTCACGCCCAAGCTCTGCTACCAACAGGCTCTGCTACCAACAGGGCGAGGTGGGCAAGGATGTGAGAGGTCGTAGACTTTTCGGTATAATAAAAGACAAATCTCGCAGTTGGATATCCGACTCAATCCTGTATCACATATGGCAATCCAACCCAAGCATATTCTTCATCGTGCGAGCCGAAAGAGGTTTCTTACACAATACGGGATCGGTCGAACACCATCTTCGGCAAGAATACTATCTGATTGCCCAAAAAGCTGCTCTCAAAGTTGGAAGTGGTGATTTGTATTATCTCACTGATAAATTTCGCACCGTCCATCAAATTGTGGCAAAATTGTCCTACACGACCGATCGTGGTAGAGTGAGAGATAGGTAGAAACTCAGTAATACATTCACATATGTAGATTTTCCCAAACTTTTGATTATAAATGTAAGTAAAAGCGATATCATGGCTGTAGCGCTAGCATCTAATAGGGAATAAAACTCTTTTCAGGGGCAAAACCACCTACTCTATAGTCTTCTTCTGGTATGTCTCTCTATGGCTATTACCAGTTACCTTATTTCATCATTCCACCAATCACAAAGTGTTCCCTTTAAAATACCATTCGATCTGAGAATCCATATCAATAGCCTAATTCCACGCCCATCACAGCTATTATGCGGCCAGTGGAACTTGTCTACCGTTGATGATAACTGGCGTCCGTTTCTCCATCTTCCTCGGTATCGACCGCCTTGCTACAAATTCGGATGCATATACCTATGGCATCCGTTCCCCCATATTCACAATAGTTGTCGATGAGATAGTGGCGGCCCTGCAGTTGTCGCTTGATTGTCGTATGCAATCACTAGGTGTCCCACCTCACAACCCCATTTGAAAAAGGAATCCCTCTTCATATAGTACCAAGGTCATAGGTAACTCAACACCCGTCTTGGCTGTTGGCTCGCATTTATTGGCTTCAGTCCCGTATACGAATAGATAGTCCAGGCCAACCTCCCAGACCCACATTGTTGGTTATCTGAGCTGAATCACATGCTACATGCCTCGCAACCTGACTCTGATGGACGTACTATGCCTGAGATTCCCGGGAAACAGTCGATGAGAGGTGTTTTGTGTCCAGGGCTTCTTAGATCAGAGGCGAAGGCTTCATAGCGCTTCCTGTCTGCTACATCCATCATATGCTGCAGATTTGGGTCCATACTCTGTAGTTTAGTCATTCCAGAGACGCCTGGGCTACCAGGTTGGGTGATACTGGCGCCTCCAAAGGTGGGATTACCAATATTTATCGCTGCGGGAATAACGATAGCTGCCGCATGGCCATTTGATCGGCTCAACCAGTCCAATGAAAGAATGAGAAGAGGAATCTAGAATCTCTTGTTGCAATCATATTGCTGCAATATTCGGGAACAAATCGCAGCGCGGGATTCCGAGGTAGTAGCCAACCAATATGGTTGTTGGTCGTAGTCAACTAACCTACGAACAAGCAATCTAGGCCAATGAGCTTCGGCTTATTGCTATCAGTGCGGGGAAAGTCAATAACCAATGCAAGCTGTACTTTACCAAGGACCCTTCACAGGAATACGACTTGGTATCATGTGAACTATCCAAGCAATATGGATGTTGGGCCACAACACTCTTTGCTATTTTCTCAGTAACGAACACCAAGATATGGCTGATACGGGCCAATTAGGAGCGGAAAAGCGTCGGAGGAGGTTTCGTGATTTATTCAAGCGATCGTCTCGAGCAAGCCCTCCATCAATTGCTTCGGCTTCTCAGACTCGGGTGCAGCTTTCAAGTTCGCAACTTTTATCGCCTGTACTGGCCTCTTTACCATCGTTGGGCTCTGACCCGCCTCAAGTTTCAGCACCTTCTTCTCTTCCGGTTTTAGGAGCGCCAACGGTATCTCTTTCAGGTCAACAATCCACTACATCATTAAATCTTTGGGAGGAGGTTTTCGGCAAAGTCAATAAAGGAACCCAAGAATGGATTCAGAAACAGGGACTCAATTCTCTGGCTTCAGCAGTAGCAAAGCCGGAAGATCTGATAAAACAGCTTAGTGATCTCATTAAAGAAAAGGAAAAGATATTTGAAGAGAAAGATTCACCAATGAAGATCAAGATTGGCAATCAAGAGATAATTTTCCGAGCGTACATTGCCGATGTGATCGGTTTTCTTACAATGGCTGGGGACGTCGCCATCAACTTCGCGCCGCCGCAAGCTAGTGCCCCTTGGGCTGCCGCAAAGGCGGTGCTGAAAGTAAGCGGTATTCACATGCGTGATACAAATGAAATGTATAATGTTGATGATTTCTCGGATCCCAGTCAAACAAATTGAGCAAATGGCGGCCCTTGCTGGAACAATTCAGCTGTTCACTCGTATTATCCGCCGAGGTCAGGTGTACGAGCTATTATACAATAAGGCAATATTGACTAAAGAGGGAGCCTTACGCAATCTACATGACGCCCTTATTGACTTGTATGTTGCAGCAACAGAGCTGCTGGCCCGGTCAGATACTTTAATTGAAAGCGGAATAGTCAGACAGACATTGAACACTATTCTCCGACCAGAGCAAGCCTCGGGTCTCATCTCAGATCTACTTAAGAAAGAGCAGATATTGTTATACGAAGTCCAAAGTTGTGAAGCTTTAAGAAATGAAAAAGCTACAAAACAAATAGACGAAAAGCTAAACACCTTGTTGGCGAAACTCGATAAAATCCCATCGCCCCTGACACGAATTGATGAAGGAGTCGCCAAACTGCTCGAGAAAGTCAAAAGTGATGAGCTAGAGAAGCTTATGGACTTTATCAGCTCTGAACAATTCGGAAAAGGTCACTCTACAATTAAGGATACAAGAATAAAAAATACAGGCGATTGGCTTATAAACCATGAAAGCTTTCGGGACTGGCAGGGTATTGCTTCATCTTCAACGCTATTATGCCTTAAAGGAACTGGTAGGTTTCTCTTGGTCCAAAGACTTATTTCAATTGCAAATTTTGAGTCTAATACACAACAGTTGGTACCGGCAAGACATATCTCACATCGCGTGTCATTGATCATGTTAAACAAACATTGGAAGCATCTCCACATGACGAAGGATTTGCCTTTTTCTATTGCACCCGATCTGGACCGTCAATGCAAGATCCCCTTGTCGTCCTCCACAGCTTCGTTCGTCAGCTGTCCTATAAGTCAAACAACTATAGCTATATTCAAAGCAACGTCATCCAAAGATGCGAAATAGCGAAAAGAGAAGGGAGAAACCTAAGTTATACGGACTGCAAAGAACTCATCCTGGAGTCCATGAATCTCTATTCAAAGACGACAATTATCCTCGATGCTTTAGATGAATCCGACATCACATCGTATAATCTAGCAGAAATTATTATTGATTTAATGGATAAAGCCTTAAAGCCAGTCAAGATATTTATATCAAGTCGCCCAGATAGAGAATTCTTGGAGGCATTCGAAGCCAAGGCTACAATTACGGTCAATAGTAGCAACCAGCAAGGCGACATCGAGAAATATCTTGCAGAAGTACTCTATTCTACTAAATTCTTTAAGAAGCGAAAAACAGGAATTCAACAAGTGATAAAAGAAACGTTTAGTTCGCAAAATGACGGAATGTGAGTTCAAACGGAAGTACGATTTGCTAAGTATTTTACTGATTAATGGATACAAGGTTTCGATGGGTGTATCTTCAGACAAAAAGTCTTCAAAAGTGTATCTCAGATGATGCAGTAAGAACGTGGGCCAAGACGATACCTCGTGATTTAATGGCGGCGTACGATCGGCTCTGGGATGATCTAGAAAACCAGCATAATGAAAGCGATATGGCACTCGCCGTGCGTGCCATTAAGTGGGTGTTGTGTTCATTTACACCACTTACATCAACAATTCTCTTGGAAGCAATTAGATATGCTCACAAGGGAGATCGTTTCGTACGAATTGAGCTGCGGGCTGAACAAGAAATCTTATCGCTTTGTCAAGACCTTTTAACAGTTGATGTAGCGAGAGGAGTATGGATGCTACCACATGCCTCTGTTGCTGAATATTTTGAGTCAAAGGGCATGATTTTAGGAGAATGTGACGCATTTGTTTCTAAAATTCTGCTCGGATTTCTTATGACTCCGAAGCTGGAGTCACCTTATGATACAGACGGGGAACCTTATGATACAGACGGGGATTCTGACCTAGAATCAGTCGTTTCAGATGCGGATGTTGGCTTTAAAGTGACCAGGTGGCATTGGCCTACGAAATTTAAATCGGTCGACATGGATGCGGAATTCGGCCTTAACGTGATCATTACGCATGGGTATAGCCAATTTAAATCAGTCGATACGGCCAGCGTCCCAGAAATGTTCGAGAGCTATGTTATTAGGACGTGGTTTAAACACGTCCAGCGCTACGACAAGTGGTTGGGTTCATTGGAAGACACATCTCCTGAAACAGAACTCACGGCTCTTCTCAAGTGCTTCCTTGGTTCGCCGGGAGACAGCAGTGGCTATTATAGAAGGTGGGTGTTTCACTTGGTATTTGGGAAGCTAGAGCCAACCAATATGGCTATTTTGGTGATGTGTCGATACGGATTCTACTACACTTTGCGTGATTGGTGGGAGAAGGACCAAATCGACCAAAACTTGGCTCTTACAGAAGGCAAAGGAAGTCTAGAATACGAGGACGATGGCTATTTATCTTTTAATCTGCTGGATCTTGCAGCAATGGGAGGATGCATGCCGATTTGCAGGTACTTGGTGAGCGTTATTGGCGTAATTGGCCACCAAGGAAGATATTGCCGAGCGGCGAGCAAAGCGATATCAAGAGGCAACAAAACTGCGGCCAAGCTTTTGGTGGAGGCAGCAAACGTCGACTTCAACACGATGTACAAGGATACAGACTGGACTTTGACCCAATTCACGGCAATGCATGGTGCTTCTGGTATGCTGCAGTGGGCTATGGATCAAGGCTGGGTCGACGTGAACAGACAAGGCGGCGTCAACTTTGGTAATGCCCTGATCGCGGCCTCAAAAGAAGGGACTCCTCAATCAGTTGAAATGTTGCTACGAGCTGGAGCTGATGCAAATGCCATTGCGGAATGCGGCAAGTATGGGAGCGCTCTCATTGCAGCAGCAGCTGCTTCTCCTATGGACCATTGCGAGAAAAAGATTGTGACACTTCTTGACAGCGGCGCAGACGTCAACCAAGTCCCAAGTGTTGGGAACTACGGCAGCGCTTTGGAATCGTGCATCTGGCGCGTCTTCTACATGGCTCAATCAATTTACAGACCCCGGTACATGGTCCAATTTATCGACGAGAATCACAACGCACGGATTGTGGAACTTCTATTGAAGGCCGGGGCTGATCCTGCGATGACCTGCAATGTCGGCGAACATGGCAGCGCACTTGCGGCTGCAGCATTCTTTGGATTGAAAGACTTCTTGGCGATGATGGTCAACGCCGCTGGGAGGGAGCGGGCAATCGAATGTCTGCGGCAGAGCAGGCACCCCTCAAAGGTAAGATTCACGAGACAAAGAAGTAATCGCCATAAAAGACGTAGAGCCGAAGCATGGAGGAGGGATGTAGCAGAGATTGCAACATATCTTGCTGTTGAGGTGGGCGTGGACAAGGAAACGCTCCGCGGTATTGGTGTCTATGGTGTCACATTTGAGGAAGATCATTTCGGGGGCTATTCTATCAGGTCCAATTAGGGCATCTCATCAGTCATCGAGCCCTGGCTTGCATGAGCCCAACTATCGAGACGAGATGTCGGGAGCCAGGCGGTTAAATAAGGTGTCATTTTTATATGCAGTGCAATCAGAATGAGAATACATGTTTGATGATAATATCGGGACCATGTATGGTTGAAAGCGAAAATTCAACACCAGTATACGTATTATAACAGCGTTACAACAAGACGAGAATAGAGCCATTAGAGGACAATCCCTTATCTGTTAGTCCGAGAGTTTCGCCAACACAGAAATCATTGATTGAACTGAAGACTTTACAGAGTAATAGGTATTGCTTCTTCGCCCATCAATCATGTCGCTGCCTGCCACGTGATCTTCACCAGACCTCCAACTGACAGGCTCCATCGCCAAAAAAGACACGCCATGCAAGCTGCATCATCCCTGTCGCCCAAGCCACAAGCTTCCAGCCAGCTACGTACGGTTCTACGCAGCGCCATGGCGAGAACCTGATTTAATTGTCTGCCTGATTTGAGGAGTGCTGGGAGCTGCGAACCGCCGCAGGGTCCCCTCTTCGCCTGCATCTGTGCACTATTGTATGCACATCACATCAAGCCTTCGTCTTCTCTCCGTCAAACGTAAACTTTTTACTCCAGCTATAGCAACACTCCGGAGCAGCTGCTAGTGCTCTAGGTCCACTCTGTGTCGATACTACCCGCTCACGACTACCGTACGATTCCGCTTCTCCATCCAACCGCATTGCATTAGCTATTGATTGCGCGCTTGCTTGGCTTAATCGCTCTACCATTGTTGCGGCTACGGCAACTCGCAATTCGTCAAATCCGTATCATGATCTGATCAGCACAAACAAATCGAATCTCGCCATGGCTCCAGCTCGCCGAGGCCAGCCGTCTGCGCTCTCCGTCCCTCTTCCCGCTTCTTCTGCCGCGCTCGTCGATCTGCCGCCCATTTCTGCTCTGTTCCTCATTGACTTTGACGTCAAGGCCGGCTACACAATTGCCTGGAAACAAGCCATTCCGGGTCTCGAACTCGAGGGTCTCGTCGAATATAAGTCGCTGCCGTCCGGCCTACACACCGTCTCCGATGACCTCATATACTTTGTCCATGATGGTGCGCATGCGGGCTTGAGCGCATTTGTCAATGAGCCTTGCGAAGAAGAAGAGGCTCGCCATGCTCGAATGATTTCCGTGGGAATTCTTGTTCCCCTGAGCTATGGAAGGCTGGGGCGGGCATGGAGGCATGCCGACAACTTGAAGCAGATGGCGGCGTAAGTAGTAACTCTTTCGGCGCTTTATATAAGCTAGAGCTAGAGCTAAGCAAGATGCTTTCGAACAGGAACCTCGTCAAGGATCGCACTCAAACCGAAATATTAGAAAAATACTGGAATACCAACAAGGCCAGAGAGGGAGAGAGTTTCTCAACTATCGCCACCCCCATCTCTCCGGTACCAGATTCGTCGCGCAAGGCTCACGACCGAAGTTCATCTCTCACCGATGGCGTTTCATTATTCCAGCCTGAGCACAAGCTCTCTCCTTACCATCCTGCATGGAGCCTTCCCGAGCTGCTGGACAGATTCGGGCCCTTGATTTTCCCTATCCATCGAGCCGCCTTGCTTCGACAACGTATATTAATATCGTGCCATGCTCCGGTACATGAGATTTGCAACTTTGGTATGCAGCCTCCGCCTCGGAATTGAATCTTCACAGAAACTAACAAGCTACCAAGTATATAATATATCCATCTTATCCAATATCCCACTCTCCATCACAGACTCGCTACCTACACCTTCTCCACCTCAGCGTCTTCGGCCTCTATTCAGCATTGGCGTGCATGACATTTCGTTTCTCATGGATGATCTCAAGGCATCAAAACGTAACCGCAATGATGAAAACGCCGTCGACGACGCTGATGAATCGGGCTCTGGGTGGATTGCCTGCACCACTGACAGCATCCTCGCAACCAAGGACACTCTCTGGGATATGCTCATCACGATGCCTCCAGATTACTCTGCAAATGCTAAAGAAAAAGCTTGGCCGATTGTAGAGTGCCCTGGCGGAAAACCAGTCAAGGCTACTCAGCGTGATCTGCGTCGCTTTAACGCCCTACGTACGGGCCTCGCACGCTTGGCTGCGAGCCCACCGACGCCGACTCTAGGTCAAGACCCCCGATCCCCTGAATCTGAGACCTCGGCAGTGAGGTTATCTACTAGCCATTCCGCTAGGCTAGTTAAAGATGAACCTTATGGAGCAACTGACAATCTCGTCGAACCCGTCACCTGGGCGGCTTTTGCCTATAATGGCTTCATGTGGTGGGCCAGCGCTGGTGAGCAGATTCGCTCAGAAGAACAGGAAGAGTCAACTCGCGATTCAGCTCTTCTTGCCGATCTATTATCTCCAACCAGCCCCAATATCGGATCTATGTCAATGCCCCCGCCTGCTTCGTCGCCGTCACAAGCAGAGCCCCTCAGTAATTCAATCGCCTCTCTTGCCGCCCGCCGCTCAAGTGTCGACGGAGAAGCTAACATCGAGCTGGCCATCATAACTTACTTCCATCGTCTCACCACGCAAATGCTCTCTGTCCTGGTGGACATAGTCGACGCTGCCGATGAATCGTATCGCGACAGCAATGATAGCGGAGGTGCCGACGGAGATGAGGACGAAACCGAGGACTTGATTCTCAGTGGCAGTGATGATTCCGACTCCGCTGTTACCATAGATAGCCGGTCCATTGAGAATATGGGCCTCGATGTTTGGAGCGCCAGCGATGCTCTGTTTGTGCAGGAGCTTGTTGCCGTGTACTTTGGCAGGCAGGTCGTCATTGAAGGGAAAGGGGTTGAAGTATGCGGCGTACGAGTATGTTGAGCTGATAAATTGCCGTTTTACCCTACTTTTTTTTCTTCTTCTTCCTATCCTTTACTTTCTATATCTTATTTTGGCAAGATGGCTTGAATGATTTATCTTATGACTACCATTGGGGAATGAAAAAATGAAGGCGAAGGAGTAATCTCTGGCGATAATAGATATTTCCATGACGTACATAGATGTAGGAGCAGTAGTAATTACAACAGGTGTTCACACGCACACACTTACAAACCCACATGCAACGAAAGCACAATTTTCCGATCAAGCTTTTTTTTTTTTTTGTTTCCATTTTACATTGTATTGTTCCTCATGATGTGATTCTAGGTAGGATAAAGCTAGGTAATACAAGTAAATTAACAAAAACCAACATAAAATTAAATCCTTATGCCATTTGAAAAAGAACTCCACGCCGTCGACGAGAACACGGCTACCCAACCCAGTCAAGTTAGTTTCCCTTGCCGCAACAACACACACACATTTGATGCAAAGTCAACCTCGAATGCTACTCTCCCAAAGTACCTAATGCTTTGAGGCAAATTTCTTCTCTCCCCTCACTCTTTTTTAGAATTTTTTTTTTTTTTAAAAAAAAATCTTTTCTTTTTCAAGTCTAATAAAACACACTCCATGACAACTTCCTGTCTAGGAGAAAGAACCTCAGCTCTCATCTTCCGTATCAGTATTCGTGTCACTTGTGTCATCCTCCTCTTCGTCTGTGCCGGACTCTTCGTCAGAGCTGTCCTGCTTTCGCTTCGGCTTGGAAGCCTGGGCGGTAGGTTGCCCCTTGAGAGCCTGCATTTGTCCAGCAATAGAGTCTGCATCAATCACATGTTAGCTGAAATCTTTTAAATATCCTATTAGGGGTGCCAAGATGGCTTACCTTCTTCGGGTTCGCTAATTTCGTCTTCGGCCTCCATCTCGGCCGCCTTGCTAGCATCTTCCACAACAAGAGTGACTTCCATCTTGGTATCGAAACCGACATAAGAATCGCAGACGACGTGCATGCAGAAAGTGTAGTGGCCTGGTTGAGGAGGAGCGGCGAACTGAGCCTTGAGAGTCTGCATGTTAAAGGTGGGCTTGCCGTCCTCGGTAAAGATGGGCTGATCAAACTTGTCAAAGGTGAAAGGAGGAACGGCCATCTTGTCCTGCTTGGAGTCACTGAGGAAAGCGTACCACTTGGGCGAGTGGTCTCGGGCGTAGTGGGGGGCAAAAGTCAAAGGTGGCAGGGCAGAATTCTCCTCAACGGCGACAGGCTTTCCATCAGGGCCCTTGACAATCTTCTTCTTGCGGCCCATAAGCGCATCCAGATCATCTTCAGCGGGATCAATATCTTCCAAGGAAACCTCATCGATAGCTGGAACTTTCTCGGTACCAGGAGGGATGAAACGGCCTTTGATGACCAGAGTGACAAGAGATGAAGGAATAATGACCTTTTCGCCAGTAACCTTGAAGAACGCCTTGGCAACACGGAAGAAAGGGAGCTGCTTTCCGACACTGATGGTTTCCTTGTACTGCTCTTCGGTAAGGAGATCCTTGCCAACAGCGAGCTGTCTTCGCTCGGCGTCGGGGAGGTCCATGAATTGCTGAACAGTCAGATGGATCTTTGAATCGCCTTCAATGGCCGCGGCAACCTTGTCGTTGATGTGAGGGAGCTGGAGGAGAGGAGATGACTTGGGAGATACTGCCTGGATGAGATGCTGGTTTGCTTTGAATGATCCTGCGATGGGGCCAATGTTGCCGAATGCCAATGCAATCGCTGCGAAAGACTGGTTCAGTGTCCGGGCAATCGCGCCAACTTCGAACTTGGCCTTGGTCAGTGCAGGGTCATCGAGCTCGACGCGACCAAGATAAGCCCACAGTAAAGCAAGCACCTTGCGTCGTACGCCACTATCGAGGTCTTCGAGCTTTTCCTTGTCCTTGAGAGAGAAACCACACGCAAATGGCGAACTTTCACCCTCTGCTGAGATCCGGGACTCAATTTTGGAAAGGCCAGACTCGGCTTGGTCTCCCTTGAGGATGGCCTCGAATTCCTTGCCAGTGCTGAGAGCAGTAATGATACCACCCTCGTCAATCTCTTCGTTGTAGTGTCTGAATAGACGGTTGGCACTTTCCATTAGGACGCCTTCTTTCGACATCCGCTTGGTACCATACCACCATGAGCCAACAAGGTAGGGAAGTAGAATACCCATAAGACCGGTGTAGAGCAGAATCAGGTATTTGCCGTTGCCCTCGGCGATGATGAACTGAGGTAGCGCAATGCCGATGCTGAAGCTCTGCTTGCCATCAGGGTGGCCGTACTGGATGTAGTTGTTTCGTACGTCCTCATCTGTCAGGGCTTGGTAGGCTTTTGTGAGTTCGACGTATCGGTCGTTAAGCATCTCCAGAGTCTCATTCTTGGAGGGGTCCGGCCTGACCTTGTCCGGGTGGAATTTGACAGAGAGTCTCTTGTAATGGGATTTGATTTGTTTTTCAGTAAATGACTGCGCATCATATCAATGTTAGCCTTGAAAGCGCAGAGTAAAGAAGAGTATGTCGCCTGGCTTATTGTCCCAGGCCCCGCCATCAGTCTTCTTGCTTACCTCTGAGATGCCCAGAATATCGTAGGGATTCCAAATCTTGGGAACGATTCTTTGTGTGACAATAATAAGATAGACCATGCCCGCCATGAGCGCCCATCCCAAAACAACGAATATCGCCCTCTTAATCTTCCTCTGCTTCCTCTTCTGCGCCTTGCGCAGCGACACTACGACATCGGCATGCTTTGTTTTGTAATCGGACGAGATGCGCGGCGCAAGCGCATCGTCGTCGGTGCTTCGGCGGAAAAGACTGTATGTCAAAGGGAGGGTGACCAGGCCGGTGACGGTCAAGATGAAGAAAGGGAAGAACTGGCCCTAAACGGTCGAGAAACATCGTGGTTAGCATCATCATCCCGGCCCCGACAGCTCCAGCCCACCCTGCCAAGGCGAATCGCGAGAGGTGGCCAAACGACTTCGGCAGAGCAAAGAATCCGGCACAAGGCAAACGTACCTGTTCGTCGTACGAGTAGTCTGAGCTGCTCATTTTGACGGCCTCGAGGAGCTCAGCCTGCTCCGGGAAAATGCAAACACAAAAAAAGTATGGCCAACGATGCCAACTGGAGCGACTGCCCTTCTCAAAAGTGTCCTTTGAATGATGGTATAAGCGCAAGGTCCAACGGCAACGGGGCAGTGGATTATCCGGCTTCCCCACATTTCATGAGGCCAGATATAGAAAAAAAAATCAGGACAGGCGCCTTATCACGCTAATCTGGGCTAATCTGCGCCTTAGTGAGGTACCGAACAGCTGCCGCAACCTTGCCAGTACGTACTCCGGAGTCTAAGAGGTAGCCAAGTTTGTCTGGGGCAGGCCGTCGTCCAAATAGGCATGTCAATTGCTATTGTGAGACGCCGGAAATAGCATCTCGTAGAAGCGCCGTGGAAACACATGGATGTAGCATACGTTGCAACGAATTCCACGCCCTTCTATCATGATACCACCTACTAGCAGTAAGTACTAACGGTGGTGCAGTTTTGAGTTGGTAGTATTCACATGTGATGATCACTGATCACTTTTACGCCACCATGTTTCTCGATACGCGCGTCCTACAAGCAATGATTTGCTGCAACTGGCCTGGGTCTAAAATCAATAAACTCTATGGACAAATCTGTCTTCTTCGCTGACACGGATCGCTACTCGTGTGCTAAATACTACTATTATACAGTTATGCGTAAGCCCGCCTTCTAAAATTCTCAATTGCTAGCATCATCTTTCTCTTCGCCGTCTTGCTGTAGCGGCGTAACTTCGTCAACATCGTTGGTGAATTCGCCATCCAGATCTGAATCGTCCTCTGTCGCCGTCGCGGAAGACACCATCGCCATTTCTCCCAGCAAAATGCTTCTCAAGTCATCATCGCTATAAATCGACTGCATGCTTCCCCTCCTGACCCACGGTCTGGTTTCTCTCCTCCCCTGGTCTATCAATGTCTCTATTTTGAGTCGGTTCGATATGAACTTGAGCTTGGGAAACGTGCTCTGCTGTCCCTCGTGTATCATTCGGGCCAGTCGCTCTGCATCGGGGTCTGTTAAAAGGCGCCAGTAGTCCGAGGGAATAGATTTGGGCCAGATGGTGATTGTTCCGCCAAATTCCTGCAGCCAGAGCTGGCTCCAATCTTGTCCCAGAGGGCGCGGCAGCAGCTCTGCATGTCTGATAAACTTGAGCCACTTGTTCATGTCAAGTTTGAGGTAGTGCTCAATCGCCGACATGAGATATCCACCACGCCAGCCTCGCCCCTTGCGATGAGTGACGGGATGGCCAACGGCGCCTCTTGAAGAAAAGAAGAAGAGGTTGATATGAGGGTTGACTTGGCTCACAACGGTGAAGTTGACGTTGAAGTGCGTATTCAGCGCTTTGATAGGGATGTCTGTTCTTAAGCTGCCGTCCTTCCACTTGTGGCCGAATGAATACGGCGCCAGTGTCCCATCACGCATCTTCATCATGAGGACAACAGGGTTGAGAATGCCGGGGACCGCTGCAGATGCTAGTACGGCAGACCAAATGACGCAGTCGGGGCTGGTCAAGTAGTTGCAGAGGATAGTTGGAGAGTGAGGGTCGGCGGGCACGCAGCTGACGTTGAGAATGCGACCAGTTCGCTCGTATGCCTCCTTGAATGTCATTGAACCCCTTGTAAACCATGAGCATCGCTCGGCCCAGTCAACCGAGTCAAAGCGGGCTCCAGTCTTCCACCATCTGGAGAACCAAGTCGTAAATGGCTCGCCGCAGGCTGTAATTCGGTACGCCAGAGCTGGCACTAGAAGCTGCTTCAGCTCATCGTTGGTGTGGGTGGCAACAAGGCCAGCTATAAGAGCACCTCCGCTGGTACCGGTGATGACGTCGGGTAGCAGGTCTGCGTCGAGCATCGCCTTCACAACTCCAATATGATAGTAGGCGAAAGTAGCTCCTCCGGATAAGCAGAGTGCTGTTCGGCCGTAGTTGGCATGCAAATGCTTAAACAGTATTCGTTTTTCATCGGCTTCGAGCTGCTCCGTGTGGAGCAAGAATCGGAGGCTCTTCTCGACTAGTAGCAAGTCAGCATCTCATTCGAGGACCGTTCTAAGGGGGGGTTGTAATGCAGAGCTCACCATCATCAACGAAATTTTGCACCAAGTTCTTGGTTCCATAGTATGTTTGGCTGTAAAGTCTTGGATTTTCCACGCCAACAAAGTTATTCTTGACGCAAGCCTCCAATAGCGCCCTCAAGTCATCAACAGCTTTTCTCAGTTCTTGGCGATTGCCGCTTGCTTCAAGTGCTTCTGCCTTGATTCTCGTCTTGCGTATCTGTCCCCATACTCGCTTTACTGTCTTTGAATCATAGTAGGCGAAATCGTCGACCTCTCTCCAATTTTTTCGACCCAAGAATTCATCCAGCTCCTTCGCTGCTTTAACCCAGCCCTCATAGCTAGATGTTCTGCGCATATTTTTGCGCAGTATTTCACGGCGACCGCGCCATGTAAAAAAGTGTTCGTAGAACCATATATACCATCTTGTGGAAAGATACGCGACGCTCAGTCCGATAAGCCACGAGAAGACAAAGAAAAGAAGCGGCCACTTTGAGAGCAAGTACAGGTACCCCTCTCTTGTCTCATCTTTTGTTCTGGTGCCTAACAGTCCCTCTACCGCCGCAGCGCCTTTCCTCCTTTTCTTCGTCCCTCGTTTGCTTCGATAGAGGTTTGGGTTTATCGGAGCCCAGTCGTTTTGCGCCGTGACGAACGTGCCTAGAGTCGGGGTTGGAGGCACAGGCAGATCGCCTCCAGCAGCCCCAGCGGCTGCTGCGACAGCTGCGACATCATCTTCCAGGACACTGCCGGCCACCGAATCCCTCTTAGTCAGGTTGACCGAGCTGACGCTTCTGGGCGACTTCAAGCTGGAGGTGTCGTCGACTGGGCTTTGCAGAGGGTCGGGCGCTTGTAGTGCCCTCTCGAATGCGGCCAGATCTTCCGGGTCGAGATAGTCGGTATCGATGTTGGGTAGCGCAGACGGATCGAAGGCATCGCGAGGAAATCCGTAGGAGTCGTCGTAGGGAGCGAGTTCAGGAAGAGGCTGCGCCATTGCGCCGACTGACAAGGAGATGCAGATGTAGTTTCACGTCTTTTGAGAGCTCATACATTTCCAAGAAGGTGTAAAAGAAGCCATAGACGGCTCGCCTACCAGTTATACACTGCGATTCGTGTGATCTTAACAAGAAGTCGTAAGATTAAAGTGCTGTCAAGCTTGGCCCTTTGCGCCTCCAGATACGTACATGCATCAAGCCGGTCGGCGCATGACGTCTACGGTGGCTGATTACAGCGGATTTTTGTTGGGACAAGTGGGGAGACTCCCTAATATTTAGCGGAGGGGGGCAATTAATCCAAGATGCGTCAATGATGGCAGGGGCCCACATGCAAACTGCCACAACCGGCAGAGTGGCTGGTCTGTAAGCTGGAGAGCAGTTCCAGTTACCTATTCCGGATTGACGATATCGTCGATTCTCTTGATCTACCCACAAAGCAAGTACCTATGAACTGCACATGCATTCTTTTTTTTTTTTTCTTTAACATAGCAACGGTTTAAAAATGCTTCATACCTAGGTACCTTAGGCATATCACATGGGTAACTAGGGGTACTTTGCAGCGCTCAAATGCGCTAGAGGCAGTGTCAGGGATCTCTCATGCACGACTTGCAGCCGCTCTCCGTGATGGGTCCCAGACCCTGCACTACGGTAGGTGTGCCTGCAGGCCAATATTTCAGGTGATTGAGGCGCTGCCGAGAAATGAACATCGGGGGGCTCGCGCTCCTGTACGGCCGCCATGTTTAGAAGGGAGTATTCATATTCAACTCTTACGAAATTCAGACTCATCTCAATGGGAGATTGCATATTCCCAAGTCGCCAAGTGGTACAAGCTATTCCAATCCCGAGGCCCAAGTGCGCTGTATTGAGTGACGAAGCACTTACACCAACCAGACGTCTCAGCCACGCTTCAACCACGCCTCCCAGACTTTGTTGTCGGCCTCCTGCTCTGAATTAAATGTGGTTTTCTTAATAGCATGGGCATGCACTTGCCGTTGAGCCCAGATGAAGAAACGGTTTAAGTACCTGTTGATGCAGGGCAATGCCCAGCTTATGAGGCAGGCACGCTGCAAATATTCGTTTAATGCAATTCGCCTGCTCGCAATGAGAAGATTCTTCTTCCTAACATCAGTTTCAGCAACTGTAAGTCGAGCATTCATCTACTATTCCGTATGCGTATCGCGTTTCTTTTGCCATGAAACCGACCATCCATAAAGTCGATCCGAATGGAGATACACTGCTCATCCTCCGCAACCCAAACGCGCCGTTTGCAGGAGATGCAACCGTTTGGCCTGATGCTCTGCCAAAATATCGCTCAGATAGATTGAAACGAAATGAGCGAGAATTGGAACTAATCGCACAAGCCGAGCACCCGACTCCTGATGGCCCGCGAGAAGTCCACTTCCAGCTCTCTTCAAAGCATCTCACGCTTACATCGGAATATTTTCGAGCACTAGTGGCCAACCGCTGGAAAGAAGCCAGCTCAAGCTGCGGCTTCGCTTACACTGTAACTGCTGAAGATTGGGACGAGGCTGCATTGCTCATGGTCATGAACATTATACACTGTCAAACCTCGGAAATACCCCAGGATATCGATTCTGAGATGGTTGCGAAAATGACTGTCATTGTCGACTATTACCAATGCACTAAGGCAATCAGTTTCTACGTGGATATATGGATGAGAAGCTTCGATTCGAGAGAGCTCTCTTGTGGTGGCTATAAAAGAAAGCTTTTGCTTAGGCTTTTCATATCCCAGCTCTTCTTCAATGCTGACGATTTCCAACGATGCACGCAGGTTATCATACGCGAAAGCAGAGGCCCAATGCATTCTCTTGGACTACCATTTCCTCAAAATCTCATTGGTGATTTATACCTTTGATGCTTGAAGATAGTTCGATTAGCCGGATGACTAACTCTATCACTAGATGCGCTTGAAGATGACAGGAAAAGTCGTGTTTCCCAAGTTATCACTGCACTTCACAAGTTAACAGAGGCTTTGCTTCTGGGCAACGGAGCGTGTTCACCTACATGCTCTTTAACATCCGCCTGCCTTCTAGTGAATACTATGAGAGGGTTGAAACTATCCGAGCCCAGACCAGCACCGCCTTTTGTGGGCTATAGCCTTGCGGCGATGAAAAATGCTTTTTCTAAAGTCCGGTGGCCAATATTTTCGAGGCCTATGCATTACAACCATTTGCCCGGATGCGATATGGGGAGGTACATTGAATGTCTTTTTCACGTGTATTATGACGGAGTAGATGGATTGAACTTGGGAGCATTTGTCGATATGAGCAAAAAGACATAAAAGCGTCTTCTCGGCTTTCGCTAGTTTTGGGAAGCAGTAGTATTGGGTTCGGTGTTCATGCCCGCGGCACAAACCTCATACTGGATTACTTCTTTTACGCCCTATCAGATAGCCTTGGATTGGACATGGAATGATGGGGGGGGGGGATAATCATTTTACACGTATAGATTTCTTCGCACCTGAATGGCCCAGAATCTTGTGTCTCGTTACAAAACACGATGCTGTGATTCGTCGCACAGGGATTGCGGCAGGATTTAGCCATCAGTGGTGGGGTGTGCTTTTGAACCACATGCGTGAAGGCGGTTCTACACGACATGTCACTGATGATCATGCGCTCAAAATCTCTACAAAGTCTCCTTTTCCTATCCTGGGTTACTACCGATAGGTTCGGCCTGTTGGATGCTCTTTAATCTCTGCGCACGGTAAAGTATTTAGAAGTGTTGGTTGGGCATCGTCCCGTCATCTCCTGCATCCCAGCTTCTATATAAGTCGCACAGGCATTGTTATGGTCCACAAGCATGGGCCGCTGCAGAAACCCTTTGCAGATCTCTTCGCTTGCCTCCTTTCAAACGAGAAAAAAACATGAGACATAGAGCGGTGCACGCGCCGCTTTGTCTGAACCGTGCACATGTAGGAGGGGGACATGAGAACCTTGATGAGCAGACAGCTGAGAGGCCATCGAGTGATACGGTGTCCAGGCGCCGGAGTGTCGCGGGAGAACCTGGATGGCCCAGTGAGGCTTGGGTTTGTCATCATGTCACAAAGTCCGGAAAACAGGACGCCGTCGATGAAGAAGCTACGCCAACAGCAGGGAGCGAAAACTCGGCCAGGCAGAGCTGATGAACAGTGGAGATTCAAGACGAAACCAACGTTGCTGTCAAACACACCGAGAGCACTGCTGTTGAACGCCAGGCGTTCTCCATCACATCGATTGCAATCCCCTAACAACCGCAACTATATTAATGGCCTAGCGCCTGCTTCAGGGTGCCGTCGCCACCAGAAATCAAAGGCCCCTCCTACGTCAGCGCTCCCGAAAGCATAAACTGCCGCCGTCCTTCAGACTTTCTTAGCAGCCTCTCACACCACACCCGCAACTGGCAGACGCCCAGAGAAGAGCGCAGACTTTGCTTTGCAACTGCAAAAAGACGGCAGCGAGCCTGCACCCGCGATCGTCGATATCCGTCAGGACTCCGCATACCTGCCAGCAGCCGACATACAGCACCGTTGCCGCCGCAGCCGACCTCGACTCTACCTTGACACTATTCGCGGAGAGACAGAACGAGAAACAGACTCGCCATGGGGTTGGAGGCGAGGGGTGTCGACAACGACACCCGCGGGTGGATTCTTAGCAGCGTCAGCGGCATAGGTATGTAGCAATCATCCATCGATGCCACTATCTAGACAATTACTGACTCTCATGGTCCTGAAGCTTGCGTCTTTGGCGCGTCCATCATCTGCGTCGATGCCTTGGTGCGCCTCATCCCGGGCAAGTCCAACTTCCGTATCCAAGACAGCAACATCTTCCTTGCGTGCTCACTGAGCTTGAGCTTCGGCGTCATGGTGAGTCCTCATTGCCCTCGTCTACTTCCTGTCCAATTATATAGTACAGCCAACTGACCGCTGCCCCCTGTCTTCTCTACTTCTAGCTCTTCTCCTCGTTGTTCAGCATGCTCCCCGAGTCCAAAGAATACTTTAAGCAAGAGGGTTGGACCGATCAAGCTGCTGGCCTTGTTATGATGGGCTTCTTTGCCGCAGGCTTTATTGGCATCCAGGTCGTCTCGCGAATCGTCCACCAGTTTATGCCCTCCCACGTCGTCGACTGCGACCATAGCCACGACGATACTGCCTCTCACGATGGCCATGCCCACCACGCGCACTCGGGCCGAGCACATTCTCGATCTAATCGCGGCCGTCGCATGCTCTCTCGAGCCCCTGACAATAAAATCTCTGATATTGTCGAGACGAGTAGCGATGATCAGCACCTCATGAGCGAATCAACTCCTCTACTCAGCTCAGAGAGCCGTAATGCTGATACGACGCTGACTCGCCAAACCTCTGCGAGAGATGAAATGATCCAGCGACCCGGCAGCCCCTTGACGCTGACCCGCAGCCGGACTACTACCGCTGGCGATTCCACAACCCCAAGCAGGCGACCTTCCATATTCGAGGTTCAGAAGAGGGTCATGTCCTTTGTCAAGGACACCAAAGCCAACTGTGACGAATCTGGGCCTTGTTACGGATATACTGATCCCTGTGGCCAAGAATGCTTCAAGCATATGAGCAGTCGCGCGGCCAGCAATGCGCGCCCGCTGCCGGCTCTCCGCACAGCTACTGGGCATTTCCAACCTCACCACTCCTTTCATGCTACCCATGATCACGGTCACGATCACGGTCACGATCACGATCACGATCACACTCGCAGAGATACCAGCGACGCACCTGTCAGCCCCAGCCGGGTGGCCTCTCGCGACTCCTTGACCTTGACGGATGAGGACACCAGTGAGAACGGCTTTCCCTGCGACCAGATGGACGAAGGCGATATGGAAGCTCAGCATCACCACCACGTCCCTGCCAATGCCTTCCTCGCTATAGGGCTGCAAACCTCCATTGCCATTGCCCTGCATAAATTCCCTGAAGGTTTCATCACCTACGCAACAAACCACGCCAACCCTGCCCTGGGACTCAATGTCTTCATGGCTCTATTCGTCCACAACATCTCCGAAGGCTTTGCCATGGCCTTGCCCCTTTACATGGCTCTTGGGTCCCGCTTGCGAGCCATGGTCTGGTCGGCTTTATTAGGTGGCCTGTCCCAGCCCCTCGGAGCAGGCATTGCGGCGCTGTGGTTCAAACTTGCCAACAAGACGCATATGACTCTAAATGCTGTAGCGTATGGGTGTCTCTTCGCCTTGACATCGGGCATCATGGTTAGCGTTGGCCTGCAGCTCTTTGTGGAGAGTCTCAGCCTTAACCATGATCGCAATATGTGCATGTTCTTTGCATTCCTTGGCATGTCGCTGTTGGGTTTGAGCAATGCCCTCTTTGCGGATCACTAACACGCCTATTCATGTATGCGTGCTTTCCGGTAAATTACATGATATAGTCGAGTGTGCATATATCATTCATAGGGCCTGAAATAGCCACTTTTCTTAATATGATACGGGGGCTCTATATTTCCTATGTCTTGTCTAACAATGCATTGGGGTTTTGGCTGCACTAGATTATGGATTAAGGAGTCAATCGGGGAATTTTTTATGGGATATCCTTACTTTTTCTTATCGTTGTTTCTTTTTTCGAGTGCAGTTTTCACGACAGTTACTGAATGGAACGGAATATGGCGTGCGGTCATTAATGGCTGCTGCGGGCACCTTAAGTGAAGAAATTAGAAGCGACACAGAAGCATTGTTTTGCATGGACTGGTTAGTACTTAGGATATGGGACGGTTTTTGCAGATGAATTAAAAATACCATTTGGTAATAAAATATGTTTTGTTTCTTTATTTCTTGTCGTTGTTCATTACAGTCGTGATGTCTGGTTGGCAGTATCTATCTATATCATGGCTAGTACTTGTCTACGTGCCATAGAAATGCATCCAGCGAATTGTATATACATGTTCATCTCCATTACCCCTAGTAATCTAACACCAGATTGTGTTGAGTCTAATATCCACCCAGCGTTGGGTCGATATTTCCATCTAAGCCTACTTCCCCGTGGGTCAGCATCATAAGATTCGCATCATCGTCGACCCAGCCCTCTTGAGAAACCCCGTAAGCCGTCTGGCCGGAGAAAATTTCTCCTTGTGAAAAGTCTTCTGGCCAAGTCTGTTCAACGGCATTTGCTTCAGGATCAAACATGGCAGGGTTGGTAAAGGGCATTGAATCAGCGGCGGTATCAACGGTATTTATCGGGTGTACGGCTGCGATGTGAGCGTTGAGGTCGTAGTAGCGGATAAAGCCTTCATTACACTGGGAACACCGGAGGGTTTGCTTCTTGACGTTGGTGACGCCGGAGATTTCGTCAATGACGTCTGTCGGGGTTGATTTCTCTGTTTTAGACATCTTCGGCCGCTCTTGGCCAAGGTGGATAAAGCGAATATGGTCCTCTAATCGAACCTTTGTGCTGAATTTGTCGCCACAGCCTTGGTCATTGGTCCATGCCTCGAGCCCAGGACCGGTTAATTCGACTTGGCCGCAGATAAAACGGAATCCTTCGTGAGCTGTACGGAAATGGACATTTAAATTCGATTTCTTGGTGAACTTCTTGTCGCAGCCGGGATATGGGCAGGCTACCGTCTTGCGATCTTGAACTGTCTTCCCAGAGTGGTGAATTTCAATATGCGTTTCCAGCTCCCATAATGAACTAGATTTGTAATCGCAAAACATGCAGTTTTGGTGTTCTTGCCGCATATGAGACTGTAGCTGTGGATCTGTCGTGAAGCCAACTCTGAATGTCGTGCCATCCTCTCGCATCTGTGGCGCACACTCCATACACCAATACTTGAGCGGCCCATGCTCCCTCTCCCGATGTCTATTGAGTGCTCCCTTGGAATCGAACGCAGATATGCATCCTGGCTCCGGACACTGGTGCGCCGGCAAGCCTTGATGTTCTTTTCTCACATGTTTGTTGAGCGTTTCCTTCTTTCTGAAGCTTTGACCGCAATCCTGACAGCGAAATCTGTCGGCTCCCTCGTGGACTAGCTGGTGACGTTTTAGTCTTGTGCCTGTTACGAAGCTCTTTCCACAACCGTCTCTCTGGCAGACGTATTTGCGATCATTTGTGTGCACGGCTTTTATGTGCTGTTTCAAGTGTTTATCTTCGATGTAATCTTTGGTGCAACCGTCGTAAGGGCATTTATGAGGTCGAGAGTTGGTATGAGAATTCATATGATCTCTCAATCGCGCTGGGCGATTAAAGCTTTTCGTACATCCCGGCCAAGAGCACGCCAACGTCTTGTAATCTGACGGAAATTTGGTTCGCGGTGTTGTCGCAGCTGTGGCTGTGGATTCGACTCCCACACTTGATCCCGGACTCGAAATTGGAGTGTAGTCATCATCGCCGTCGTCGATATCTAATTTTGCGTCAGTGACATTGGCTTTTTTTTTTTCGCAATGGAGCTTCTTTACAAAGCTATATACGTACATGAGACTCCAATACCGCCGGCATTCAGCCTCTTGGAGCGAGGCGTACTCAGTGCCTCCTCCGCAGCCGCTCGTTTGCTCATGGTCGCTTGTCAATTGCTATAAAATTGTGTCATGTCGTCGAGCTTGTTCAATGGCAGAAATTGGGAACTTTTTGAGTGGGTCACGGGACGATAAGATAAACAAACTGCACGACTGACGGCAGGACCCAGCAGAGAAGGCGCTAGCAGCGACCCGCCCAATGTTCTATCAGCTAGAGCCGGGGAAGCTACGGAAAAACTACCCTCCCCTGCTGTAACAACTTTTTTTGCGAGGCTGAGAAACTGAGCCGCCAACAATCGCAAGCCTCCTCCTACCGAGACACTCGACGTTCCAAGACTTTGGTGTTTTCAAGATGTCTGACTTTGGCGATGATGACGTTAGCGTTGGCGGGTGAGTATAGTTATGCGCTTTAAATAAGGCGCGCCGAAGATTCAAGAAAAGCTCCTGGATAGGCGGCTGACCCCTTATGCACAGCGACGAGCCGGTGTTGGAAGAAGAGGAGGTGACCGAGTTCTACGAGCCCGAAGTTGGCGAGGATGATGATAACGAGCATGCGAACGACCAAGACCACATTGTCATCTCTGGAGACCCATCTGCGGCTGCGAACGCTTCCAAGGACAAATCAGTCAAGGACAAGAAGATTCCCGACGACCAGCGCACGACAACGCCGTACATGACAAAATACGAGAGGGCACGTATTCTGGGCACACGCGCCTTGCAGATCAGGTTGGTCCCAATAAAATGAGAGCGTAGTGGGCTTGCGGATATGCTAACTGGGTGGCTACAGCATGAACGCGCCTGTGCTGGTAGATCTCGAGGGTGAAACGGATCCTTTGCAAATTGCGATCAAGGAATTACGCGAGAAGAAGATTCCTCTGATTGTACGGAGATATATGCCTGATGGATAGTAAGTCGAATACTGACAAGACCAAAATGGCCAAGGAAGTGCAAATGTCTAACACTATTCAAGCTACGAGGACTGGACTTGCGAAGAGCTTCTTCAGTAAACAAAACAGGACTTAGCAAAGACGAAAGCGGCTAAACCATAGGTTACTCGATTCAAGTTGACACTTCCCGGCTCCACGCATGGAGTCCGACGAGCACCGATGCCGCGACTCATCCACCTTTTCGTCTTCTGGAGGAAAGAAATTTGTACATCAGCGTGGCGTTTCGAGATTCGACTACATTCGTCGCTTGTTTAAGATAAATAAAAAGACAGCAAGTTGTTCGGCCAAGCATTGTGTCATTCTGCCAATGAATGCGGCACCAGAAATGATCTTCGTCATGGGCCGGAGGCTTTTCTAGCCACCAGCCTTAACACTCTAGCATATGCATCCACGCAAGAGGTCTCTGCATAACTAAGGGAATGGACGAAAGAGTCATGGCCAATGCGGGTGCAACACTCAAGATCTAGATTGCGCGGATGTGAGTCCTGGTTCTGGACTGTATGGATTGGTTAAAACTACTATGGTAGGGAAGCTATATTACATGGATTGCTGCAAAGTATAATGGTACAATAATAGATGTCAGCAAAAAGAAAAAAAGTAAAATTGAATTTTTTTTTTTTTTTTTTCCTTCTACGTTACAGAGCAACCTGGCGATCTACCGGGGACTGTATACGTTACTTGCGCTGTAACGTAGCAGCCGAAATCATACGAGCAAATAGCTGGTAATTTTGGACACAGTTCTAGGCTCATGAGCAAACAAATCCATCATCCGTGTGGATCATCGTGTTTTTGTCACCTTTACAGTTGACGTACATTTCTCCCAGGCTGCTTGTCTCTCCATGGTTTAAGTGCTTTTCAAGCCAGTATAGCTTAAATATAGCCAAGATTAAGGTCTAAGTGATGATTAACAGCAATCAGATTAGGTAATTAACGAAACCATACTTAAGGGGATATACAAATCGACTTTACAGAAATACAGCCGTAGATAGAATGATGTCTCCAGAATTCTATTATACATCAATACATATTAGTTGCAATGCAATCAACACGCTGGCCGTCCGGCTCCTACACGCTAAAAGTCCCCGCTATGGCTCTAGCCCACCCTAAAAATAGCGGCTCGATGCGCATGCATATGGGAGCACGCTCAGTGACATCATCACGCTTCGGGGCATATGAGATTGGCTCACAGACACGAGATGTCTTTGTTCATGTTTGTTGCTGTTGCTGTTGCTGTTGTTTATTCAAAATACAGATCAACACTCTGTTTCGGACATTTTCTCGAGACGGCATTGGCTATGCCTGTGGCACAAGATTAAGATGTTCACATACGCAGCGCCATGTGTGCTAATGACCTCATGCCACGGGCGCCCCATAAGCCGGCGGCGGAGAATTAAGGGTCTAAAATGCGGTTCCTGCATGCATATACGAGTCTGCGTTGGGCTGCGCAGAAAGACGAGCCTTTTCAGATATTGAATACGGGACTTTATAGTTAAAAGATGCTGCTGAAGCTACATTCAGTATCTCGGCAGCAGAACCTTTGCTCCACCAGGCAAGCCGGGCCTGTGATATCGCATCTCCCGTTGGATTAGATTAGACCCCAGGATGACAAAAAGCCAAAGCCAGCCAATGGCCATCCCGCAACGCCAGCATTCCTCCCTCGTATCCCCTCCCTCGACGTGCTGATTGATATCCTCGCTGCGAGACTTGCGGCGATCGGCTTGTCCTCCGTCTGCCAAGCCAGGCGTATGACGTCGAGCCTCCCGCAGACGAAGATCGACAGCCGTGACACGAACCGCTCTGATCAAAACCACCTCGTAATGTCTCACGGACCTTTCCCAACGAGACCCTATATTTTCAGAGGCGATCGTGCAAAAAGTCGTGTACCTTGGTATGCATATGCCACGGAGCACTGCGGAGTACCTGGCACTGCACTAGAATTGGCCCTGTCACCGTGTATCTCACACTTGCTAACCTTCGGGTGGCTGCTTAGGGGCCCGTGCCCAAATACGGGGTGACTTGTGCTGCGGCTTGTCGGATCTGCTGCTGAGTGGACAGACGTCAGAATCTTTGCTACAAGGTTATTGCTGGCAAATGGGGGAGGGGCAGAAAAGACGGGAGAATGAGGGAGAGAAAAGGTGGGCGCCGCATTACGTCGGTCTGGTCAGCGAGGCGAAAAGGGTGCACAACGGACTTGTGTATAAATTGATCGGGTTGGTTCCACGAAGAGGAAGCTCACGAGATATTCTGAGACAAACATCGACAGATACCTATTACACACCGCTGTCCTCCAGTTATAAGACATTGGATCTACCCTGAAGATCTTTCATTTTGTTCTCATCTGTGCCAAAATTGAAAAAGAGCCATTGAGAGACTCTGACTTTAAACTCACCGACAACCTTGACAATGAAGTTCTCAACCATCGTCGCCACAGCTGTTTCCGCAGCCATTGCCGTGTCCGGCACCCCCATCGAGAAGCGCGAAGTCGGCGGAGTACGTCTCTCTCTTCTAACCATCATACTATAATTGTTCCCGCTATAGTTGCTAGATCTAACTTGAAAAACCTCTTCTCTTCACAGCTCCTCTTATGCACCGGCGCCAACGCAACCGGCACCTGCACTTACAACGTCTACGAGCTCAAGACATGCCACCAGCTGCCCGCGCCCTTCCACCACAACACGAGCACTTTTGCGCCCGATGGCGAAGCCTTTAACTGCTTCCCCCGTATTGGCGACTGCGGCTCCATCTGCACCAGCCCGACGGGATGTACCTTTGGCGCTGTCGACTTCAACTATAAGAACAAGTTTGACCTTGGTGCTATTAAGTGGAATACCTTGATTTCCAGCTTTGACTGCGAGTTGAAGACGCCTCCAACCACGCAATAAAATGAAAGAAAAAGAAAAGAAAAGAAAAGAAAAGAAAAGAAAAGACCAATTATTGAATGAATTTTCCTTACTTTTTTTTTTTTTTATCTCCTTCTCCTCTGCTTTAATTAAGCGAGCTATGTGAGGCAGACAGAACGCCTCTTTTAATAGCGAGGAACCCTTTTTACATTCGGCCCCTCCTTATCCAACGAAACAAAACAAAACAAAGAGAGGGGGGGCAAAAATGACATACATAATGATATTTAGTAATGAGTCTGGACAGATCTATTTTTTTTTTTCTTGTGGTTCTTTTTTTTTTCTGCTTTGGATAATGATATGGCGTTTATACTATCACCCGATGCTGCGTTTTTGATTACTTTTTCGGACATTTTTCGGGGCGTCATGATGATGGAAATTATAGAGGCTTTGGAGGGGAACCACTATGGTGGGGTAATGCTATATAGCAGCAATCAATCAATCAATCAATCAACCGTTTCGATCACTCACTGTTAGTCAAATAGCATCTTATAAGTAATACCGAGTGGCTCATCTCATATAAAACTGCAACACCCGCTCACTCTCATTCTCAAGTAGAGCACACACACACTTTTGTTTGCAACACTCATCGCAGAAACATCCAAAACACCATGGCAGACATCACCACCAACGCCGCCATCCACTCCTTTGGCGGCCGCTTCCTCAAGCTCACCCACCAGTCGAGCGTCACCGGCGGCCCCATGAACTTCACGCTCTTCCTCCCCGCTGGCATCTCACCGTCCGAACCGGCCCCCCTGCTCATCTACCTCTCCGGCCTGACCTGCACGCCGGACAACGTCACCGAAAAGGGCTTCCTCCACGCCCACGCCGCGCCCCTCAAGCTGGCGCTGCTCTACCCGGACACGTCCCCGCGCGGCACGAACCACCCGGGCGAGCACGACTCCTGGGACTTTGGCAGCGCGGCGTCCTTCTACATCAACGCCACGCAGCAGCCGTGGGCCAAGAACTACCAGATGGAGACGTACATCACAGAGGAGCTGCCCGACCTCGTCTTCTCCCACTTCAAGGAGCTGGACCCCGCGCGCGTGTCCATTGCCGGCCACTCCATGGGCGGTCACGGCGCCCTGACGCTGTACCTCAAGAACCCGGGCAAGTACCAGAGCGTCAGCGCGTGGTCGCCCGTGTCGAACCCGTCAGCCTGTCCCTGGGGCGAGAAGGCCTTTACGGGCTACCTCGGCAAGGACAGGGAGGAGTGGAAGAAGCACGATGCGACGGAGCTGGTGAAGCACTGGAAGGGGCCTTTGAATGCCTTGCTTGACGTGGTATGTTTCTTTCTTTCTTTCTTTCTTTTTTTTTTTTTTTGTATGAGAAGAGGAGGGGGGGGGGGGGGGGCCTTTACATAAACGTTTTTTGATTTTGCTAATTGGAGAGAAAATAATATTCTAGGGCACTGCGGACAACTTTTACAAGCAGAGACAGCTGCTTCCCGAAAACTTTGCTGAAGCTACCAAGGCAACGGGTATTCAGGGCCTGCAGCTACGATACCAGGAGGTACTATACGTTTTGAGTTTGAAGAGTTTCTGCTGCTGAGTGAACGCTGATTCTAACATGTTATGCCAGGGCTACGACCACTCATACTTCTTCATCTCGACTTTTGGCGAGGATCATATTAAGCACCATGCTAAGCATTTAGGTCTCCTATAAAGGAATTATGAAAAGGCATGCATGGTTTACGAAAGGTATAAAGCATTGAAGAAGCAGGCTGTGCTGATAGGGGGGGAAAAAAAAAGTCCACCAGTCACAAAAAAAAAAAAAAGTATGTATAATATGATGAAATGACGAGTTAGTTCAAGTTCTGGTGTTGTATACGAGCAACACATGCTGGGTATAAGAGCGCTCAAAATAACATCTCCAAAAACAAAGACTTGCGTATTTCCAGAGCGCTATATGAAGAGCATGCCTGTAATTATCTCACACATGTCTGTTCTATGTCTTTTGAAGAAAAGAGGGCCTTTAAAAAAAATACCCCTAGCAAATATCTTTCATCCATAGAAGGCTTCCATCTCTTTAGAGCCCGACTAAATGAAACAAGCACCTAATTAATAAAGGGAACGCATTCCGTTATATCGTGCCCACGTCAATTCTGTTGCGCCTCTCGTCAATCCCCGTCCAAACACTCAATAATAATAATAAGAATCGTAAAAAGGAGCAAACATAATAGAATAGACAGCGGTAGGCATAACCCTCCCATCATTGCTCGCTAACATATACTCTTGCACCAATGCACGCTGATATGTGTTCCCAAATAAACATGCCACAAACGATCCCCCTTCTCTCTCTCACACACACAACGCAAAATTCCATTAAGAGCTTCAGTTGATCATCTTCTCCATAACAGGACTCAAAACGAGACCTTCCTTCTCCGCCTTAAACTTCATCTCTGTCTCAGCTTCGCGACGAATCCGCTTATACGCCAACTTTTCAAACTGGCTAAGGCTCTTCCACCAGTGCTGCCCAGCTTCATGGTCGGAGATTCGCTCCAGCAAATCAGCCGTCTTGATGCGCACTTCGCGGTCTTTGTGGAACAGACCCAGCGCGATGTAGAAGAGTCCGGCATGCGACTCGGGCGCTACATCGAGAAGCAGGCATATCTCCTCGTACGAGTGGATATGTTTGGATAGTGTGAGGTAGATATCCTTGCTTTGCGAAGGTGTTAGGCGTTGCATGCGAAGACGGTCATGCATATGAGCCAGGTCTAGCCCCTTCAATGGGCGAACAGTGTATATCCGTGCGAGGTCCTGACATCATGACTCAGTTAGTTACAGCTCAAAGCGCGTAAAGGGGGCTTTTGTTGGGGGGAGGGGGGGTTCTTTACCTGAATATAGCTGTAATAGCTGCGTGTGTTACGCCAGCCCTCAATTCTCGTCACGTTGCCGGCCAGCTCCTTAAACTTTGCAGTGTCATCCGCCCACACGTATCCATGACCACTGGCGCCCGGCAACGCCAGGTCTTGATCTTGGCCTCCGATATATAGAGCAGATGCGCTATATACGCTCTCCTCAAACTGGGCAGCAATTCTTGTAAATCTGTTGACCCAATCGCGCCACTTGGCTCGGATAACCCGCTCGCCGTGCCTTGCCGCAATGCTCCTAAGAATGTCCGACATAAAGGCCGCGTCGCCAGTCAAGTCTATCACATTATTGGAGACTCCGCTGGCGGTGTTTGCGAGACTGGGGTGTTGTTGTTGAAAGTAAATCAATCCTTCGGTGACTGGCGCCATCTCAATCTTGCTGCTGATCTTGATGCGGCCGCTGGGCAAATCGCACAGGACATCCCACCATTCCGGATGAAGCTCAAAGGTAGGGTTGGTAACGCCGGCAATAAACCCTGGCACGTTGAGCAAATCCTCCACTTTGGTCAAGTCGGTATAGGGAAAGGCATGCCGGGTAAAGCCCCGGAGGATGCCGCCAGATGCAAGAGCACACGCTGCAAGAACCGCTTCAGCCACATCTCCGGAAGGCATATTGTGGCCCAGGAAAATTACTCTTTTCTGCGTGAGTAGCCCATTAATCAGCACAATGATGGGATGCGTATTGACTCCGTTCGTCGTCAAATGGGGGTGCAGAGGAAACGGCTGCGGAGACTTGGCATGCGCCTCTGAAAAGTTTTGTATCAACTTGATGAGCGAGAAGTCGCCCACAGTCTCTGGCATGACAGCGGTAGGTACTTTGATAGGGATAGGAATGCCCTTATACATGACCTTACTCTCAAACTCGTGGGTGTCTCTAGCCACGGAATACGTCGACTGCCCACCGCCCTCAACATGAGCCTTGGTGCCGGCCCTCGAGATGCCGCCAGTAACCTCACCAGATCCTTCAGTAGCGGTTTCGGCTCTTTCCTCCGCCATACGCGTCTGGATTATACGCTCAAACTTTTCGACAAACAAATCTTTGTTGTCGCTTGCTAGTAGCAGATTTCTTTCGAGCAAGCTTAGCTTGGGCATAAGTGACAAGTCCATGTTATTGACCGCGTCATACAACATAGATAGAGTCTCAGGCACTGGGGACTTATAATACTCCTCTAACGCGAGAAGTAAAAGCGGCTACATGAGAGTAGTTGATGTTAGTATACAATGCTCCAATATAAATAGCAAAACATCAGACAACATTGGCCACATACCTTGTATATATGCAAGAAGGGGTGTCTCGTACAGATAGCCATCGCTTTGACAATGGCTCCTCGTTTCACTGACTTGTCGTGCTTGGTATTGACCAAATTGAGCACATAGATGAGCGGCGGGCCCTCTCCGCCATCAGGCTCGTCGTCTGAGGACTCGTCATCGTCCTCATCCAAATCATCCTCGCTCCCCTCCGAATCTTGTTCAGATTCAGCCTCGCCCTCGGGGACCAGCCCCGCCTCTTTGTCTCGGCGCCTCTGCCTTCGAGCCTTCCTCCTTGCTTTGGCCTTGCGTTCTTCGTCTTCATCTTCCGGCGATGTATCCTTGTGGAGGAAGAACATGGTCCAATCCTGATTACGCGCGTGGGCCTGATCTGGAAGCATCAGTTCAGCCAACATGTTCTCGTCTCCGGTGATGGCGACCGGGTATTGATGCTCCATGACTGGACCACGGTCAATGTCAAACGACGCCACCAAGATATACTCGACATGATTGGCGTCTGATCCACGAGGGTATTGTGATCGAACTCGCCTCTGGGGGTACGACCCTTCGTTCGTTCGGCGTGCTGCTGAGAGGGACGAGTGCTGTGAGGATGGCCCGATGGAAGAAGCTTTGGACTTCATGCTCGGGTCCGAAGTCCGGTCGGTTTCGGCCATGGGGGGCTGCGGTGACCTTGATGGGCGCGAATGGAAGGACATTTGCGATGGAGAGCGCGACGGGGGAAACGAGGAGAGAGAGGTTCGACGGTGATGAGGCAGCGAAACGTTCGAGCTGCTGGCGCCGTTTGAACGAGAGGCGTAGGGAAGAGCCGCCGCCATTGTTCAAGTGCCTCCCCGCCGGCCAGTGTGTTGTGGGATGCTATGCCCGTATACCAGATCGCCCGTCTCGACTCGTGCTTTTCCCAAATATATCTGAAGCTCGTCAATGGTATGATGTAGCTTAAAGGCCGTCGATGCCGAGCCTTTGGATTCGCCCGCCGTCCGGCTTCGTCGTCGTTTATTGCGCAGGGACAGCTATCTGGCTCGAGCGGTCTATGGTTGCGGACGCTGCCAGGGTGTGTTGGTGGTCTATACACGTTTCTGTGGTGGTGGTGGTGGTGGTGATGCTATCCACCCCGCATGTAGCAGCTGCGTCGCAATGGCACCCGAGCGCCGAGGGTCCAGCAGCAGCAGCAAGCAGCGGATGGAGAGGCCAATGGACGGATGAGCGATCGCAAGAGCCTTGGAAGCATCGTCTGCAGCATTTGCGCCGAGTCCTCTTGGGAGAAAGTCGAGACAGGGGCTGCTGTATTTACCTTAGTGTCACCCAAAAGGGGAAATGTGGTGTAGGGGACTGAGCAGGGTGGAGCTGTGTGATTCAAGGCCCTGGAGCCTTGGAGGGCCGTTCCCACTAGTGGCTGTTACAGCACCTGTTTCTCTGGGCGCTTGGCGCATCCCAGGCCCTCTTCTGGTGGGTGAGGCGCTGTGTTAGCGCCTGGAATGATGGTCGTGTTCAGAAAAAATAGGTGTTCTAGTGGTGACGCTACTCGCGTGGCTGAGACGCTCCCGCCATGCCGTCTGGGACGCCCAACTCGTGCAAGCGCGCTCCTCCCGCCACATTCACCAGCCACACCACACCGCGGCCGCTGCAAGTGACCCTGACAACGGAGCCAGCAGCTGGATTTGTTTACTTGGCTGCATCTTGATGCAGATGCCGTTATGCATTAACCTCCCCTCTCACAGCATATCCAGGACCAATCCACTGGTCCCATATCTCTGACGACATTTTCGCGATTATCTGCATTCTGTGCCTCAGTCAAGCACCAAAAGCAGCTCCGCCTACCGTTTGCTGGCCAACCGATTGCGGGCACCGTCACAGCACAGATCCCTTACCCATTACATTATGGTACGGCTGCGGCCCCGTTCAGTCTGGAAACTGCCGTTTCGCTTATCTGCTAATCCTTTCTCCTTTGCTATCCCCAGTCTATCTCGACAACGTTCAAGCCCTCTCCCCTGGGCCTCGGATCGCCTCCCAGCGTTCGTAACTCTCCATTCCGAAGGGGCGAATCTCCGGCTTCGCCATCACCCCTCCGACACATAACACCTACAAGCTCGCCTACCAAAGCTGCCGCCACAACACCCAACGGAACGTCGAGATTTGCGAGGCCAACGACACCAACCAACGATTTGCCTGAGACCAAAGAAGAAGAGAAAACTCCAGTCATGACTACTCCTACAAGAGCATCGCCGCCGTCGTGGAAGGCTGGGTCAAAGCTGGCAGTGGGCGGCTCTTTGGGCGGTAGCAATGCTCTCTCACAGCTTCAGCCTACTCAGGTTAGGACATTGAGAGATGGATTTCAGATCCTGGACCGAGACTGCGACGGCATTGTCAATAGAGAAGACGTTGCCGACATGCTCAGTCAGCTTGGTGTGTTGTGTTCCACCCTGTCCACCCCCGGCGAATGATGCTCAATTCCGCTGTGATGCCAACTCGTGGATTCTAACTGGTAGCAAGGCCTCCCCTCAGGCTCCTCCGACATAGGACGCTTCTTTCCGCCATCGAAACCGCAAACCATCACGCTAGCCGCTTTCCTCAACTCGATGGCGGAGTCCTTGGCTCTGCTGTCACCAAATACTGAGCTCTTATCTGCGTTTTCGGCCTTTGACGAGGACGACAGCGGTCAGATAGACTGGGCGGAGCTGAGGGATGCTCTGCTCAACACACCGCCAGAAGCCGGGCAGTCAGCACTCAGCGCTGCAGAGGTGGACAAGGTGGTCGAGGGATTCACGGGCCGGCGAGCCTTCAACCGCAACATGAATGCGCACTTATCGGCACGACGGGGTGAAGTGTTTAAATACCAGGAATTCGTCCATTCAATCATGGGCTCCAACGGCGGGTCCGAGGGAGGGGCACATGAAGGGGAGGAGCAGTGACGAGATTGATGATTGGCCTGCTGTCTTTTTTTTCTTCCCCTTCGTATTACGCCAATTGGTGTTTTCCTGGGGTTTCGTTTTCTGGTTGACACGAGTGACACGACGCAATTACTGCTGTCAGGTACGGGGTCCTGGGGCCGGCCGTGCCTGTCATCATAGAGGGTGAAGCAATCAGCCCGGTGCATAATATTTCTTTGTCTCACATTCTGATTGTTTTGTTTTGTTTTGTTTGTTTGTTAATCTGCACAGCTGTATGTACGAGATACTAGTAGTAGCACACGGATACCTATGGATAAGCTTGACAAGTTACGATTAATCTTCAAATTAAAGAAACGACACGTGCATCCCTGCTGGCACAGCTAAGACCACATAAACAACATTGCGGAGGAGGTCCTACTCCGCGTGATGGGCGCTCCAGGAACCTTTGAGGGTGATCAGCCACTTTGCCATGTCCTTTGTGTTCCCCCAACTCATATACACACAACGGCTAGCGACGACGGCGACGACTGCTGGCAAGATAAGCCAGCCACTGGGATGCGCAGCGAGTGACGAAATGAATGGGCCAGTGGCAGATTGCAGTCCCGGGATTGCCTGCGGCTGGGCCAATGACGGCGTACAAAGTCGCTGGGATCCCAGGCCGTGGGCGGCTGGAGCGTGCGGAGAAAGTAAGACCTTTTTAGCGGCAAGGGCTCCGTATTCCGTGCCGTGAAGTTGCGAGCGAGACTTTGGCTGCCTGGCTGCCTGCCTACATACATTACGTGTATGTTTCTACGCAGAGTGTGTGAAAAAAAGATGCTATAATAAGCATAGAATTAGTATTGCCAGATACTGGGTAGTAGTGCGCATGGGCATGTGCAGAGCGGCAATAGTGCGCTGGAACCCGAGCCTGAGCTGTACATATTCCTAGTCCTAGTACCTACCTATCATGGTAGACGTAGTTGCGGCAGTACTATATCGGCTGGTGGCGGCTGTGATGATGCATCAAAGTCGCATACTCCTACATGCTACATATACGACTAGTATCAATAAGTTGACAGCCCGAAGGCGTGGGTGTGTCCAGCCAAAGCTCAATTGGCCCTCTCAGGCACAGGCACAGCTACATGCCTCCTTCATATTATGGGCCACTTATTGGCCATCACCTAGCAGGAGGCGCCTCAGCTGCATCCGTTCCACCGTCAGCTCCCGGCGCAGGCAGAGTGGCTCCCTGTGCTCAGAGCAAACACACAAGACAAGACGAGACGAGACAAAGAGGTGTCAGTCAGTCTGCCAAAGGATCCGGGAAGGCTGGCTGACGCTTTCTCTTAGCTCTGCCCATCAATTAACTCTGACTTATTAGCAGCCGTCAGGGCGGGAACATGCCCCACTGAACCTTCTAGAACCGCTATGTAACCGTCGTCCTGATAGCTGCAAGTCCTCGATAATCGACTCCCAGCAAGTCCCGCCGCCACAAGCCCCCTTCTCCGGGAGTGAAGTATTCTGGGGCTTTTGGTGCACTGTGCTGTGTCCGTGCTAGGAAGCAGGAAGAGAAGAAAGAGTGGGCTGTATTACAGTGATGGGTTTGAAAGGAAGTGTTGGCGGCTGGGCTGGAGACCGGGGGTTGCAGTGCTGGATTCCGCGGCCACATGTAAACAACCACGGCCGTCAACCTGGACTCCATTGGCTAGCAAGAAGGGCTTGCAGGGAGCTGCAGGGAGTTGAGGGCTCATCGACTTCACTACGCGCCCGGGTGCTGGGTGCCTCCTTGGCGGCCAGGCCTATTATTATATCTCGACTTGTCTTGCTGCTGCTGCTGCTGTTAGCAAATACTACCACCTAATGATTGCTACTACTACTACAGGTATGGCACGTGTATTATCGTTAATCTGCGCTCATCAAACATGAAAGCAACGGTGGCATCCAGCAGAGAGATGGTACCTGTAGATACATGCATCTCTTGTAGGCACAGCACTAAGGTACCTGATCTGGTGGCCGCAATAGGGCGGGACTGACTGCCTTGTAGGCTCTCTGACTGCTACAGTACATGTGCCCAAAAGTCATAGTGGAGTATAGCGAAGCGGCCCGCCGCGCCGTGCCAAAGACATTCACTGCCTGCTCGTTCAAATTCCCACGCTTGCTGAAATTTCTGACGTGCCCCCCCAGCCCAGCAGTTATTTATTCGTCCCAGGAACCTGGCGAGCCTGGCTCGAAACTAGCTTCACAGACGGCCCTTCACAGTGCAGGCTGATAAATCGAGGCCCTTCCTCCTGAGCCGACGACTTCGCGCGTCCTTCTCAATTCCTCCACCTCGTCAGCCAGCCTCTGCTTTTTGCCAAAGTCGCTTGACCCTCTTTTGCCCACAGTGCAACCGCAGCCTGTGGCGCCAAAAAAAAAACCAAAAAAAAAAAAAAAAAGGCTCCCCCCTACCTAGACCACCGGGTTTTTTTAATGCCCGCTTATTGCCTAGGCCTCTGTACACTTCTCTGCGGTTCCAAATATCCGGCATAACCTTGTGTCGGGACAGCCTTTTTCCTCACCCAAGATTCCAGCGCCTCGACCCTAATGAAGTTCTTCAGCGGCAGCAAGGCTTCAAGGAAGAGCGCTTCTACTTCCAGTGTTGACGAGAGCGAGATTCCCCAGAGCCCCAACGCAGCTCCGTCGTCCTCGTCGCCCACCAAGAAGTCTGCACGGCCCGTCTCCCACCACCATAAAGACACCACCAAGTCGTCGTCAACGTCCAGGTCCTCTCGACTTTCGCGACACTCGACTGACGCAGGCTCTTCGCGCCGCAGCAGCAAGTACGACCCGGACACCCATCCATTGAATCTGCCTCCTGAAGAGCGAGAGCGGAAACGGCTGTCGGCCATGTCCAATTCTGCCATGAACTCCAACTCGATGGATATCGACCCGCAGCCCGTTAACGGCGCGGCATCGCCGCCGCCGCCTCCCACCAAGGGCTCATCGAATGCCTCTGCCCAAAAGAACTTCGCCGTGCCCATCCCCAATGGCAACATGGTGCCAAACGGCAACGATGAGGCCCCAGCGCCGCCGCCGCACAAGTCCAACCCGTCCAGCCCCATCCCCACGCCTCTAGAGGATGCAGAGTCATACAAGACGGCGGGAAACCGGCTTTTCAAAGAGAAGAACTATGCCAAGGCCATCGAACAGTATAGCAAAGGTATGCGCAAATACATTATGGCACTTTCTATCCCCTCTCCATATACATCCTCTTATTTCCCCATTGCGTTTCCTTTACCATTGATTCAACAAAGAAGAATCAAAGAAGCTTGTGGCTAACTTTTTTTCCCTACTTTCTTCTGTCGTGCAGCTGTGGATCTGTTTCCCAACTCGGCAACCTATCTGGGCAACCGAGCGGCTGCCTACATGTCAAATGGCCAGTATGAGGCCGCTCTGGACGACTGCAGTCGTGCCACGGACCTCGACCCTAACAACGCCAAGGTCCTGTTGCGCCTGGCGCGGATCTACACCGGCCTGGGGCGGCCGGAGGAGGCCATGACAACATACTCCCGTATTGTCCCACAGCCGTCCGCCAAGGACATGGCCCCCACCCGGGAGATGCTACATCACATCAAGTCGGCCAAGGAGACGCTCCAGCGAGGCTCAGCCATGTCCATGGTGCTACATGCTCTGGACCAGGCCGAGCGCGGCCTTGGCTACGGCGTTTCCAAGCCGCGTAAGTGGCAGCTAATGCGCGGCGAGGCGTACTTGAAGATGGGCCGTGAGAACTCGCTGGGAGAAGCTCAGGGCGTCGCCATGTCGCTGCTGCGTCACAACAACCAGGACCCTGAAGCCCTGGTTCTCCGTGGCCGCGTCCTCTATGGCCAGGGCGAGAATGAAAAGGCCATCCAGTACTTCAGAATGGCCTGCAGCTGCGATCCTGACTACCGAGATGCCGTCAAGTGGCTGAGAATTGTCCAGAAGCTTGACCGCATGAAGGAGGAGGGCAATGCAGAGTTCAAGGCTGGCCACTTTCAGCAAGCCATCCAGAAATACAGCGATGCTTTGGACATTGACCCGTCAAACAAGAGCATGAATGCCAAGCTACTACAGAATCGTGCCCAGTGCAAGATTAAGCTGCAGAAGTATGAGGAGGCCATTGTCGACTCGGACCGCGCCGTCTCCCTTGACCCCAGCTACACCAAGGCCCGCAAGACAAAAGCTAATGCTCTCGGCAAGCTTGGAAACTGGGAGGAGTCTGTCCGTGAATGGAAGGCTATTCACGATCTTGATCCCACGGACAACTCAGTTCGCAATGAGATTCGCAAGGCAGAACTGGAGCTGAAGAAGAGCCAGCGCAAAGATTATTACAAGATCATGGGCATTGAAAAGGATGCTGATGCCAACGACATCAAACGAGCATACCGCAAGATGGCTGTCAAATTGCATCCTGACAAGAACCCTGGTGATGCCGAGGCAGAGGCCAAGTTCAAGGACATGCAGGAAGCCTATGAGACGCTCAGCGATCCTCAGTAAGTTTATCCAGCCCCTGAACTCTAATATCGAATTTAGAACCTGTGCTAACACATGATGCAGGAAGAGAGCCCGCTACGACAATGGCGATGATCTCATTGACCCTGCTGACATGTTCGGCGGCGGCATGGGAGGTGGCATGGGCGGTATCGACCCTGAGATCCTTTTCAGCATGATGGGCAACCAGGGCGGATTTGGAGGTGGTGGCTTCCAATCCAGAGGCTTCCCAGGAGGTGCTGGTGGCTTCCCCGGAGGTGCCAGCTTCAACTTTGGCGGTGCTGGTCCTGGTGGCCGACAGCGAGGCGGCTTCCCAGGTGCTGGTGCTGGATTCCCCTTTTCGTGACCAGCCGACAATGAAGAAACAGAAACTGACGATGACGATGATGGGGAGGATGCCAAGACGGAAGCCGACTCTCAGTATTCATTCCACGATGCTTGGCCAAATGAAGAACCGGAGAGGAAGCTGCAAGACGATTTGCAACGTCGCCGAGAAGCTCGCGATGAGCTGGTTGAGAACTTGCGACGATATGGCTTGTGGCTGCTTGGGGCAGTTGTCTTGCTCCCGCCGCAATTGGTTGCAATGGGTTTGGTGATAACGGCATTCGCATACTTGTGCACAAGACGAGACGGCCGACAGCGTCATCACAGCAGACGCAACACTGCAGGATAGACATTGGGTTTTTTTTTTTTCTTTTTTTGTTCAAAGTCTTTTTTTGGTTTTTTTCTTTAATTCAGAAAAAAAAAAGACGCGCATCCTCATTGCTATGGCGTTTTTGGGACATTCTAGAAAGAGAACTGTGGAAAGACAAAACACAGTCGTTCTTTTTGATTCATTTGCACAAACTAACTACGGTCTTCCGGAAGGAGCAAAAGAGATATCTATTTTGTGGGAACCGGATTGGGAAAAGAGAGAGAGAGAGAGAGAGAGAGAGAGGAGGACCGTCGAGGACGTGGATTGCTCGTCTTTTTGTGTTGGCTTTTTAGACTGATTAGACGACCACGCTTGAATGTTGGAAATAAAAAGCGTCTTGTTCAGAAGGAGGTCAGGGGCAGGGCGGGGACGTAGTTGCAAAGGTTTATATAGATGAATGCGGGTGACCCGTCTTTTCCACAATCCACTGTCAGATACCCTTGTGTCTTTTGATTCTCAACCGGGCCTCCTTCTAATCTCTTCTCCTCTTCTTCGCGTTGATACTTGATTCGAGTGATGGCTGGCTAACGCCACCTCCTGTAGATAGCAATCAAGAAGACGTTGACAATGAATAATGCAAACTTGGAGCAAAAGAACCTTATACTGCTATTTAGTGACCTTTGGGTATCATGATACGCCCTCTTAACGCCTGATTACAATAATTTCTCAATATCTAGATGTGCCGAACCTGTAGAACCCCTTTTCTCTGAAAAGGAACATGTCCTTTTTTCTTTTTTTTTTTTTTTTTGCACCAATTCTCTTCCTTCACTGGCCGCCAGTTTGCCCACCCTGAACGGTTGACGCAGGCCTCGCGGGAAGATTACTGGTACCACTGCCACTCTGCCCAGCCGCCGCCGCACCCCCAGTCGCAATCGCCGGATTGCCCCCCGTAGCCTCCAGCACCTTTGCCACGTCCTCTCGCAGCTCCGGCATGGCGGAAGACATTTGCTCGGCGAGGATGTCGCGGAAAGAAGCAAAGGCGCTCTGCTTGCCGCGCATGAGCTGGTTCCCGCGGCGGACGAGCTCGACGAACTCGCGCGTGTAAATGTCCGGGTTGCGGCCGTTTTCGACGTACTCGAGAAGTTCGGGAGGCACGGAGGGGAGGAGGTGCGGAGGGGAGGCGGCGACGTGGACGTTTTGGAGGGAGGTGGAGAGAGATTTGCTGGTTTTTTTTTGTCGGGTTAGCTTTAGATGGAGGGAGCGGCGGGCCTTTTTTGTATGGCGGCGTACATTTCTTTGGATAAGACTTCTTTGCTTGAGACGCCCATTGAGTCGTATGTTGAGACTTGGACCATGACACGATAGAAGTCTTGTATGACGTCCTTGAGCTGTTCTGCGGCTGGGGGTTAGCGATGTCTTCTTTTTTCTTTTTCCTCTTATGTTGTAAATTGGAGCAGTGCATACGCTCAATGCCATCGTGGTCTATTCTATCGACGGGCGCCATGGTTGTGAAGAGTGAAATTGGGCGCGAGAGTGGGTGAAGGTGTATTGTATGGTGGATTTATGCAGAGAGGAGGTTGAAGTTGATGCTATGGGGAGTATGGAGGATGCTGCTTTGGTGGGGCACGTGTTAGCGGATGCATGCCGACACATCACTGTGGACAGGCGAGACGCAGACGGCATTTGCTGTTTCCCTGCGGAACAATCTCATATTCTTCTTGTGGCTTGGGAAATGCAATTATGATTTGCTTAATATGTACGAATAGCCTCTGGGTAGTAATGTATTCAGCCTCGTTCTACTGGCGGCCAGAGATTCGGCACGTGAAAGCAACGTTGTGTAGGCCAGCTTTCTAAATGCGAGTCGGGAAGGAGCAGCATCATGTCTTACACCACCCTCTATATTTCTTGAATCGCAATGGCTGGCAATATCTCGATGCAAATCTTGCAAGAAACAACCCAGTGGTGCTCACATGTCAACGCCTTTCCAGCATTTGCTCTCTCTACCACACCTCGAGCTGGCCAAGTTCCAAGATATCTCTGTCTCTCTCTTCACCGAACACTATTAGTACTAGTAATACGTTATTGCGGAAACGGCCTATTAACTAGCGGGTACTAATCTGCCATCTCTACAGGGCAAAGGCTGGGGCAACGAAATGGGCAATTATATAAGCTCAAATAACTTGCCAGAAAAGGGTTCTACAATCATGCTGTGCCTGTCGTCACAGGCAGAAGCTGGGCCTTGGTTTTGGCCGGGGCCGAGCACCTGGACAGTTCTTCGAGTGAAGGGCGGTGGAGCCGGTGACACGCCGTCAATGGCAGGCATCCTAGCCTCGGCGCAATATTGGCCACTCCGTGTGTAGTAGGGTGTACGGAGCAATGGTACAGGGTCAATATCCATCTGAAGTCTCAGGATCGATACAACATTGACGCTGATCCCACGTAACACGAGCATAAGCCTCCCGATACCAGATGCCAAAAGCTTCGCGCTGTGCCTCCTGAAGCATTTTCGGGTCATGTTTTATGGCCAAGTCAGCTTCCGAAGAAATACGTCAGCCGTCAAGACCTCGGCGCGGGATTCATCCTTGAGCTCCCCGTCTATACTTGACAGAATACGCCTACGGCGTGTCTGAGGTATAAAGTGCAGGACTAGCGTAAGGGGGAGCCTGGCAGTCGCTGTGACGTTTGCGCCGATATCCCCTGTTCGTGGCAAGAGTAGCCTTAATTTGGGTAAGTCGGCAATATTGATTGCCTTCCATGGTGCGTGGAAGGACAGTTCAGCCGCTAATATTACTGTACACGGGTGTCGGAGTAGACTCGAGGAGTCCAGTCCTTTGGCTTCATAGCCTGAAGAAGGTTGACCTAACAGACAGGCTTGATGCCGTACCTAGCAGCCTCAATAACCTTGAATGTCTGCTCTTTCTCCACGGGACTTGGTGGTTCTTGTACTTGCAGCAGAATTCATCTACTTGGGTTGGAGTAAAAAAGAGAGAGAGATGTTCTTCGGATCAAATCCTCGGATCAAACTTGAAAGATCAAATCCAATGCTCTTAGCCGAGAGCAGTGACAAGCCAGATGGTAGGTTGCCCGCTGGCATGAGCCGAACTACTGTAGCAGGGTCCGATCCATGTCCCCCGGCCGTGCTAGGAACGATCCGCGCACACACCGCGCTACTGGGCCATGACTCTCGCCTAGGAGGTCTAGCTCTACGGGTTTAATATCAAGATGCATTATTGGCGTGAATCTTGAGCCAATGGCCTTTCCTGCCAAGGATGTCAAGAATGGGGTTCGCGTGGGAGGTGGTGGTTGAGCTGAAAGACGCATGTCGGTATTGCAAGGCAAATAACAGCCCACCCACCATGAGGATTTGGGCCCATACACATGGTGCTCGGTGCTTGTACGAGCCTGTATCAATAGCCTGTCTCGGCGCAGAAAAGCAATAAGCTGGTTGACCTGGCAGATGGCATAGTATGTATAGCATGACTATTCTTTGCCGGCCTGACTTGTCAGACTCTTCCTCTTTCTTACCCTCTGCCGCGATCCTTTAGCCTATTGCGTGTACATCTCCCGAGCGCGCATACCAACTACCACACATTAACATCTGTGGAAGACGGGATATCGGTCTAAACTTAACTTCATCACTTGATACTGCATCACTGCATCAAATACTGCGCGCTAGACGGCTACCTAGCTTTTTATTCTCCGACCGTGAGCCGCGGTTGGCCGCTTTATATGCCGGTACTCTGCCCCCATGTCTTCGTTCAGTGCAACTCCGCTGGCTCCTAAGCCCGCGACATTTGAATTTGTCGTTGGGCAACGTCCAGACCAGCTTAACGCCGGATCCAACAAGAAGTTGCGATCGCATCTATCCAAGAGAGGATGGGAGGCCTACTTGGAGCAGAAGAACAAAGCATCAGCGCCAGTCTCAGTCCTAGTGGATGAAGCAGCTCAGCGAGCCGATGATGGGGCTAGGCGAAAGAAGCGCAGGCGTCATCGGCAGGCCATTACCTGGGACGTCGTAGAACCAGACGATCCAAGATTTCCAGGAACTGGAAATGTCAGAGAGGCAATGTTAGCCCTCGTCAACAGCGGAAGGCGCATGCCTTTGGAGAAGACACTTTCAATCGACTACAGACTTGGAGGTGGGCGCGTTGATCCTTTCAAGTCGTATCCCACACCATTTCGGTCTTACATACCTCCTTTGGTGGACCACTGTGAGTTCATTCTTTTATGTGCTGTCGGCTGACGACAACAAAGAATAGATATTAACATCTTCTACTAGACATTGTCCACATGGCCGTCGACATCCCTGAACTTGACCAACCCGGAAATGCTGGTCTTCTTCGCAGTCGCTGGTTCCGCATGGCCACGACGGAAATCTCCACGTTCCAGGTCGTCTTGCTCCTCGCTGCGGGTAACTTTGTCAGCGTCAAAGGCGCCGTGCCCGCAGAGCAGGGGTTTAACCTACACCAGCTCAAAGGTGATGCTATCAAGTCTCTCAAGTATGCCATGGATGACGAAGCCAAGGCCACAAGCGACTCCATCATTGGTGCGGTGGCCAAGATGGCGAGCTTCGAGTCCATGCACGGAACGGAGGCTGATTTCAGGCTGCATATGGAGCATACAATTAGGCTGGTTAATATGAGAGGAGGGCTGAACAATCTCGGTCTGGGGGGGCTCTTGCGAAGAATGCTTATTTGGATTGACGTAAACGGCAACTTCCTGTATAAAAAGCCACGATACTGGCCCGGTGAGAATTTTGATGGAAGTAAAGATTCGATTTCGGAGCCCAACCCGGAGCGATTCATCGCCATCTAAAGGTGTATGGACTGCTTCAAGTCTTGTTTTTTTATTCATTTAATGTTTTGTTCTTTTTTTGTGTTCTATTCCACTTTCTTGTTTGGGGATTTGGATATTCTTCCCTTTTTTTCTTTGGAAAGCACTCTGGCTCAAGCCCAGGCTAATGGTTATTTTATAAGCGTGTTATTAGAGAGATGGGATCATAGGGTGCTTTTGTTAGCAAATAATAATCTGTCAATTTTTGTTGTATTCAATCTTGCTTCATCAAGACAAACGAAACGCTACTTTCATATATACACAACGTGAGAGCAAAATCAGTAGAAAAATGGAAAAAATAAAGGGACACAGGAAATTCTCATGCAAAAAGGAGGGGGGCACTCAGAAAAAAAAAAGGTATATCGAAAATAATCAAAATGGTATCCATCAAAGAGAATCACAAACGCTGTATCGTTCTGTTTTTGCTTTATATCACGGAAACAAAACTCACTTCTTTCCTTCTTTCTTTCTTTCGTGCTTGCTTCCCATCCATCTCCTTCTTTATCAATCAGCCCCCTAATTGCAATCAACCAATTAGTTTGCTAATTATTCCTCGAAAACGTCTGCGACGCATCAACCAGCAGCGTCGCAAGAAGCAAAACACCGTTAAATCCAGCCATCATATAAAACGGCGTGCCACTAGACACCGTATCGAACAGGTAGCCACCTAGTTTAGTTAGAATCAGGATTGCTGCGCCGCCGCAAAGCGAGTACACGCCCGCAATGGAGCCCTTGAGGCGCAGCCGCGATACGAACTCCTCTTCCGTGACAATACGGATCAGGGGCTCCGTCTCGGCAGATTCGTCCGCATCAGGGGCGATGGCGTGTGGGCGGCGGGCAGCGCGCGGAATCTCGACGGCGAGAACGCCCTTGCCGAGGGAGCCCAGGCTGCAGACGATGGATCCGATTTGGCTAATGCCAATGAGGGTTACGATGACGAAGATGTAAGGGGTGCCGCCTCGGCCATCAACGTCCTTGATCTCTGGGCTTGAAAGCTGTGGGAACACAATGTAGCCCACAATTCCCATGACGGTGGCCACGACGACGGGATAGTTGACTCTGCCCGGATGGCGAGACAGATAGCCAAAGATGGGAGCACAGATCAAGCCCATAAGCTGCGCCACGCCGGTCAGAATGGAAGAGAGGACATATGCCTGGCGACATTCCTTCTTCAGCTCTGGAGAAGGGTCGTTTGGCGAACCTTGGCAAAATCCGTTGCCAATGAAAAAGGTGTTGATGTAGAGCGGGACGAAGAGCGAGATGGCAACCGTGGAAGCTCTAGCGACGAAGCCACCGAGGTAGCCAAGCGCGATCCGGGAGTCAGTGAAGCCAAGGAGCACTGAGTCCTTCATGAGATGCAGGTACGGGATGACCTAGGGATAATTGTTAATGGGAATTCCAAAGGAGAATATGTGTAGAAATAATTGTTACCTTGTTTTGAGATCTGCCAGAGTAACCTGCGCCGGTAGATTCATCCTGACTCTTGAGCCCGAACAGCAATCGCCATCCCTTGCCTTCCTCTCCTTGGAGATTGCGCAGCCCAAAGAAGACAAAGATGCCAACGAGCAGGGCAATGGCGCCGACAACATAGAAGCTATAAGTCACAGCTTCGCCGGGAGTCACCTCGTCAATCTCTCCAAACCTAGCCGGCAGGGGCAAAAAGCACGACAGCGCCAGCAGCGCGCCGCACCCAGTGAAAAGACCGACGTAACCCGCCAGCACAGATGATTTTCCCGACCGGCCTTGCGCGTCTGAGGATGATGCTCCCTCGCCGGTGGGCAGCGATCGCGAATAGGCCTCTGGCGTAATGGTGACTTCAGAATCGACGGAAAAGGCGGCGCTCAAGCGCGCAAACGAGCTGCGACTGCGACGGCGGGCGCGAGCGGCCTTGGCTCGCTCAAGAGCGCTGTTACGAATGTCTTCCTCTTCGTTTGTCAACGAAGGGAGGATGGCAGTGACCATGGTAGCCCTAATGATTTCGAACATTGCAAAGTTAGCACACAAGCTCTAGATAAGCAATCATATCCATCCTCCTCCTCTCGTATCCCATCCCCACAGAATTCAACCAAGAGCGCCGAATCAACCAAGGCAAAAAAGAAAAACCACATACGTAGCCGATGCTCCCACCGCAAACAGGATCCGCGCCAGCAGCAGCTGCGGATACACATTCCTCGCCTGCACAAAGACCGCCAGCGACACAGCGACAATCGTGTACCCAATGACGGCCACCCACCGCACGCCCAGGCGGTCCGACATGAGGCCCCAGGCAGGACACGCCACCAGGGCGACGATCTCGTCGGCGAAGCCCAGCGTGCCGACGACGTCGCCCACGCCGTTCTTCTGGCCGATCAGGTCGGTGATGACGAAGGAGACGGAGCTGTTGAGGAAGACGAGGAACGAGATGGAGAAGAGCGAGATGCCCAGCAGGTACGTGGCGGCCTGCGTGGGAGTCGTCGAGGCCGCGAAGGGCAGGAAGCGCTGGATGGAGAGCGCCATTTTGGAGGAGAGGCTTTGGCTGCTGTTGTGGCAGCGCGCGCGTCTTTCTCTCCCTCCTATCGCCGGGTTGTTGTCGTTGTTATAAGCAGTATGTATGTGGAAAAGGTAGAGAGATAGCTTCTCGGGCTATAGTAGCTTCTTTTTTTCCTTCCCGCCTCGGTTCTTGGTGTTGCTATCGCGAACTAGCGGATCTTCAATCAAAATGCGCTTTCTGGAACTTGGAAGAAATGAACAGCCTTTCTAGAGATATCGGAAAAGCATTCACATGGTGATACAATAAACGCAGGGCAAGAATCAAAGTCAATGGCAGAGAAAAGGCAGATGCTAAAACGACGAAGATGGAAATGACCGATGCAAAGGGCACGAAAGTACTGCTTGTAGGTATTTTGTTTGGCGTCTTACGACCATGAGGAGCTTCCTCTGCGCTAGCATTTAGCATTTAGCGCCTGCGGAGGTTCGGCTCCTTGAAGCTCCTCGGGCCAATCGGCGGCGCGCATCAACGGCCTATTTGGTCGGCATTTGGCATCCCTTCAACTACTGACCGCTTTAAGACGCGCCCTGGCCAATCTAAGAAGAAAAAGGGCAACCAATGTGGCGATTTGGGCTTGATTTGTTTAGTCTGTTTAGAGCATAGGTTGTATTTACTTTGGATATTCCGAGTTAGATTGTACAAGGTTGGATTCCTCGATTCTCTATGGTGAGTCAAGGCAGTGACGTCTCGGCTTCACTAATATACCTTACCTTACCAGGGCTTATTTAGCTTCTCACGAAAAGCGCTTATCAGCTTACCTACGCCACGGATCTGTGCAATAGCATCATTAAACGATTCATTCCCTTTCTTTTTCTCTACCATTGCAATCTTGCTGAATAGCAATCGACGTACTGCCTAATAACAAATGCCCCGTTTCTCTGATATCCATATCAAACACCTAAACAGGAAAAAAAAATTAACTAAAACTCCAATGCTCCCTCATGATCCTGTAGCCCTCCCCCTATCGTGTCCAGAACATACTCCGCACACAGGGTATATATGTATGTGTGTGTGTGATTTCGTGTCTCTACCAAGCCCAGAGCACCTTGTGGTGGAGTGTACGGGCGCCCAGCCTCTCAAACTCAAACGGCGTGATCCACGAGTCGTTGGTTGACAGCTTCGCAAAGACGCTGGCTCCCTTCCAAGTGACAACCTGTTCATCCATATCTCTCGCGCTTCGACTGACTAGGATCCTATCGTTGAGGTCAGGTTTTAACGCCTTCAGCCTCTCTTCTAAAACAACCGTGAGCTGCGGGACCTTGGCGCCGCCGCCGATGACCATGATACTGCCCAGCAAATCACGGACCTTCTTCTCATCGCCCTTAGCAGCGTTGTGAATGCTTGTGAGAATGGAAATGTCCAGCGGCGCCAGAGGCAGTACTTCATCTCTTTCAGTTGCCATGTCCTTTGCTCCGCGTGCTGCTGCGTCCACAAACATTCCTGGAGGCGGCTGCGTGGCTTGTGACTGTCCAGGAACCGGTGTGCCAGCCGCTCGAATGCTGCCCGGAGCAGGGCTATCGCCATTGACGCCGTCCTTGTTGGCTCCAAAGATAAATGGAGCTGGTACTGGAGTGCTACTGCCCTCGGGGGCTGGCGATCCGGCATGCGATGCAATCGGAGTGCCAGTTGCTGTCTCGGCTTTGGGAAGGAAATTAAACTGCGATTTCTCTTTGCTTGGTGTCGACACTTCAGGCTGTGACTGAGAGAAGCCGTTTGCGTTGGACATGAGTGATGGCTTTACCAGCGCCAGAATTGCGAGCTGTGCGGCAGAGGATGGATCGTCGGGGATATCCACGTCATAAGCGTTGTAGGAACGCTCGACGAGCTTTCTCCTTCCCCTGAGCTTGGTGCTGTTGTCGAAAATTGATGGCTCAAATACTCCCATCGCCGCAAGAATGACTTCGTCGTATGTCTTGAAAGCATATTTCCGTGTAGGCTGGTTGGGTGCTCGAACATGGAAGTTGAAGAGCTGCACCGAGATGTTGGCTTGAGACATGGTACAATGCTTCGCCTTGAGCTCTTCCGCTAGCAGAAAATCATATCTTCTCCGTAGGTTAATTTCCTGGTACGGAAAGTTGTCATAGAGCATCATCTTGATAAAAGTCTCTGTAATATCATAACCTCCATACTTGAGGTTGATTCGCGAGTCTTCGATGCATAGTCCGTCTTCGACACACGTCACAGATGTTTTCTGGGCACCGATATCCACAACGCAGGCCTGCGTATAGCCGGCGCCAAAAGTCGCTGCCATGCTTTCCTGGATAAAGCATACTCTGCTAAACTCAAACCAGGTCATGCAGGATCGCAAGACCTGCTCCACATACTTCTTGTCGTAAAGATCAGGAATGACAAAAACGCAGCTGTATTGCTGCCACTCGCTGTTTGTCTTTAGACCCAGCTCTTGGCGCAGCGCCTTGTCTAAAAGCGTTTCGAAATCGTCGAAGAGATGCTCTTGGCTTGTGTATCCATCCTCATTCCAGTATCCGTGCTGGATGGGCCACCACAACTTGAATTTAGGATTTGAATCATCAGGGACTCTCAATGCTTCGTTTCCAATAAAGCAAGATGCCAGTGACGTTGGATCCTCCAATTTTTCTATGTCGGTCCACTCAACCTCCAGCACATCGTTATGTCTCTGAATGATCTCGGGTTCCGTACGGCGATTGAATGTCTGGACAAGTTCCTTGGAGTTGGGAAGTACTTTTCGCTTGTTGGCGCGCATCTCTACCTTGAGATCATTGCACATCTTTTGGTATTTCTTCGACCACTCTTCTCCATATTGCTGATCCGTAGTCTTTGCTTCAAACTGGCGTCGGGGTAAAGCCTCGTACATCTCCGATTCGGTCTGGGGGAATTTGGTCGCTAGTGTAGTCGGGATAGTCTTGGGAAGTGCATCGCTCGCGAATCCAATGCGCAGATTTTGGCTTCCAGGATGGATGACAATCACTCTGGATGGATCCATCCCACCCGAGGGGGTCGCGGCTCCGTCATCTTCGCCGAGATCTGGCAGTGGTAGGGGCAGCTCGCCATTAGCGGGCTTCGAAAGGGCACGGTCGCGATCTCTGGCACTCTGTACTAGTCTATCGCGAGTCGCATCGCTTTGGAGTCGGAGGGCTAGGACCTGGTCATCCCTTTTCATATAATCTCTGCCGCCAGGAGTTAGTCGGCTCGTCCAGCCACTCAAGTCGCTGCGAATTCTCACGTATAGTAATTCTTCTGGTTGATAGGAGTCACATCGGGCCATGATGTCAATTTCATGCCATTGTCAGTTCTCTCCAGCCCTGCGCGGTTTTTTGATGTTAGCATTTGGCGGGCGGTGCGTTGACAGGAAGCCCAAGTTCCCCATGACACAAAGCTGAAGCTGTATTTACGTACCCTCTCTAAGAAGCACTCTCTCTGAGACTTTGCCAACCATTTTGACGGTGTAGCACCTTTGGCGCCAGGATTGGATAGCGGGTGGTGTTGTGCAGTGTTATGAATCAGGAGCAATTTTATGGTGCGCTCGTCATCTTGTCCTCGCTGTAGACGCGATTGACACGCCAATGCGATTAAACTTCCTTCGATCCTGGAGGTTCGAGCCGATAAGATAGCTTGTACCTGAAATTGGCGGATTTTAGATAATCCGGGTCAGGTACATGGGTACTAAGTACTGTACTCCCATATAAATTATGCCGTGATAAACTACTATTCAGAAAAGTTATACAATAAAAAAAGAAAAAGAAAAACTGCGTTTAATTAATATGGAATAATGGGAGATGCTAGCTAAATTAACTTGAATCTTACCTACTGTTTTATCGTTGCGCTATACTACTCACATCGCAGCGGCAATAGATGTCATTGGTATTTAGAGTACTATCTATGAACAGTCAACTCTCATGCGGCTATTATCAAGCAACTCAGCAGGTTCAAGAAGACTATGGCCTCGGGCAAGGCATAGACAGCCCATATATTACATACATTATCTGGAAAAGTGCCTGTCAAACATTACATGAATAAGTGAAATTATAGTAACCATCAAAACACCATTCACAGCGAACTGCTACCCTGGAGCCCGGTGCAGTCACTATGGCAATGAAGGTTCAGATATCTAAAGCTTGCAAAGAAAGTTAAGATGGAAGAAATGGGTGTATGCACGCCATATGATAGCACACGCTAATGCCTAAGGTATGACAAGTGATATTATTGATTGGGTGTATCTGTGCTAACCATGGAATCTGCCTTTATACGTGCTTCAAGTATTGGCAGCTAGTAGCATATGCTACCTACACGCATTGATAAACTAGATCATCGCCTTATAGGCCAAGTAGCCTACCAGGACCTGGTGCCTGCACTGCCCGAGCTTGAAAGGCAATTTGAGCGGCCGATTAATATCAGGGCTGAATAACACGAGGTACCTGCGTACCGCAAGTTGGAGGCGCTGATGATGCATGCTGGCCGGGTCACCTGACAGGCTACAAGTATGTCACTGAATGACGTAGCCAGCATTTTATCCTCAGTACCTAGAGCAGCCAGCGCCAACCTCAGACAACTTCGCCTCAGCTCCAACATCTCACTGCCGCTTTGAACGTATACGGATATTCAGCCCATGAAAGATCTATGGTGATAGCTACACCAAGCTGCGAGAAATACTAATTTAGTTATCGATATTTTTAGCATCCCCTACTAGGTGGACTTGTCCCGTCGACTCAACATGCCCGTACAGGTGTACACTTCGAGTCCCATCAATGCGACCAAGGCAACAGAAATCACTCCTAAGACACAACAGCCAGAGGGAGAAGGACCTCATGCAAGGCCACCTCCACCGACAACATCTCTAGGAAGCCCAACAGCGTATCCTCCTGCACAACCAGGCGCTCGGCCATCGCTGCCTATCCAGACTGGAGCGCCACAGCCCTCCAGCACTTACAAGCCATCGTCGACCCAAGAGGCCAATTCAAGCCCGCCTCCTCCACAGCCTGGTGCGGTGCCTTCGCCCCCAGGAGGAAATAGCCACCTTCCGCCTCCTCCAAAGGCTGGAGAGACCTTACAACAGGCCCAAACAGTGCCCATGCCGCCTCAAATGTCTTACCAGCTGCCGACAACAGTCCACCCAACTCAGGGCGGCTCATCAACTTCCACTTCTACAGCCTACTCGCCAAGTGTGCCTCACCCAAGACTTGTGCAGGTCTCCGAACCAGACTTCTCGCATCCCCCGGGCTATCAACAGAACGTCAATGCTGCAGAATTTAACCGCGACCAACGAGAGGCTTACAACGCTTCCTTTAATCAAGAATCCTACCTGGCCCATGAAGCGGAGAGTGTATGGAACACGGCAAAGAAATGGGCGACGGCTGCAGGAGACAGCATCGCCGCAGCAGAGAATGAAGTCTGGAAGAGAATTAACAAGGAATAGCACCCTTTCCTGGACAAAAGCATGCATAAGCCGGGAGATACGAGCTTATGGCCATCCAAACGACACAATCCGAGAAGCTTTGAGCAGTAGATTACAACAAACGAATATTGCAATGCACTACATTAAATAGGTAATGAAATCAATCTATACATACGAGCGAGATTTAGATACACAATGAGATCTCTTTCACCTTCTAAATAAGAAATGTTTTTCTTCTTCTTTTCCTTTTTTTCCCCGGGAGAATCTGCATGTTCCTACGCATAGACTGCACTGAAGTTAGATCGATCGATTCGTCAAAGCTTCGGGAGGCAAATAGGCAAAGAACAAGGTCGCGCGTCATGCATGAGCGCCCATTAAGACGAATCCGTGAAGAGCCAGAAAGATCTCAAATCAAGATTCTGACGCAATATACCCGTACAGATCCGTGACAGGGGTTACGAGATCGACACTAGGCGTTTTAGTAGTGGCAGTCGCAATTTGCTCCCAGAGTTAAATATAGCTCTGAGCTGGGATCTGCCTTTCATTTCGCCTACACAATCCATCAGCTGTTTACGGAGTTGCCTTGGAGAATGTTTCAACTCTGAGCTGACCTGGGTCCATTTTGTCGAGTCTCGAGTCTCGCGTCTATAATTTTGATCGCGGGCCATGAAACCATCACTTTCTGGAGGTACGTAGCAGTGACAGAAATACTTCAAACTCGTTTCTGCCTTTGGATGACCCTTCCATCTTGTGCTGGAAAAGTGGCATGAGAATTGGCAAATCAGGCTTAGCTGGGATACCTCGGACGCATCTGAAACGCGTATAAGTGACGGGGGCTCCTGGGCTGAGCTACCAGGCGGTACCGCGGATTTCTCGTGTGGCCGTAGCGTGTCGCGTGTACCTCCTGGTAAGCCTGCCGTAAGGCTGCGGACTCTGCAATTAAACTGAGACAGCGCCCCTGCATCCTGCCTCAGGAACCAGGCAAATCAGAGCTCTCGCAACGTCGCACAGCCCACTTTAGACCTCTTCAAAACACAGCTCCACCATAACCAGCTTTCCCCGTCCACCCATATCCATCTCGGGTCCGTCTCGAGGAGCAGACGGCCCGGCTTGCTTCGCTGACCTGTCGACTGGACAAGTAACCACGGCTTCGGCCTTTGGGAGAGCAGAAGAACAGATGAGAGAAACGAGAGAAAGTCGAGGCCAAAGCGGATGCGCAATTACAGTCGTGGAGGCCAATGCGGGCCTGTGGGCGCGCGAGAGAGCTCCGGTGCCACACCCGTGGATCGACTTCAACTGCATGTCAATGGGCATTGCCGGATAGCGTCTCTGCTTTCTACGAATAGCTACCGACCGTTTGTCTCCTCCTTAATCTATTGCGGGGTTCTGGGTCTCTTTGGTTCGTAGCCAAGCGTTTTATCTGCTTCCGTATATGGCTTTTGACACACGCTTAGCCAGGGCAGCGAGCTCGTGATCGGCTTCGAGTCCGAGTCGGTCATCTCCTCTTGCAGCGGCGACACCGTTGTTCCGCAGGCGTGATCTTGCAGCTGGACATCTGGCATACTATACGTACTCCGTATGTACTGGTATGGTTGCTGCCTTGAGCCGCTGTCTCACGGCTGGTCGGAGAATAGCCGTTTAGTTGGGCCGCAGGCACGGGCGGATGCTACCACACAATGGACGCCTTCGAGAACGTCCTACTGGTATGTCTCTCGCGATTCCAGTCAGCAGGGGGGCCTCCAATGGATTGTGAAGCACCGGCTTCGTGATGTATGCTGCAAATGGTTTGGCTCACATGCCCTCTCACACTGGTGAGCTGGCCAAGACTGCTATGATCTGATATCAAACCAGCTGCCTCCGAACACAAAAGGACCAAGCTATTCAGCCTTTCTGCCTCACCCCCCACACCGGAATTCGTTGCTGCCCCTCCCCATATCCAAGGCGGCCTTCCCGATGCTTGTGACGCATCTGCTCCGTTCTTCTGTGGATCTTGATTGTCTACTGGAGATTACCGTGTGATACTATCTCGCATCTCGTCTTCTTTCTTTCTTCTTTGGTGCGGGTCTCCGTAGCCTGAATGTTCTCCCGTACTTCTAGCCTCGTTTTAGTTGCTGTGGCACACCCAAGTGCTCCGTGCTAGTTGCTCAAAGAGAACTATCTTTAGAACGCAGAGCTGCAAGTGTAGCCGTGGCGTCAACCCTTGACCTTGACATTGTGCCTTCACCATATTTGCTGTTTACTATTATGTTTTTGGTCACTAGGTGATATTGAAGTGAGCTATCAGATATAATCGCAGATGAAAATCTGGAGATCCAAGGTTGATGAGCACTTGAGTGGACGAGACAGTCAACTCTGCCCGTTAACAACCAAACCAAAGGAGCCAGCGATTTGGGTACGGGGCACTAGACAGGGCCTCAAGTGAGCTCTTGGTCTCGACTTTCTGGATGTCACGTTATGTGACGCATACTACTCTCGCTGTTACTTGCGATATCTCCTAGTTTATTCCCAGGCACCAATAGGCCCTCGTGAAGTCTGCTCTGCTCTGGCCGACACTTATTTTCCGAAAGTTTCTTTTTTTAGTCGACTAATCCACCTCACCCGTGCCGTGTCAATTATGACACAGCTCTAGCTGTTAATGTCCAAGGGCGTTCCAACGATTGTTTCTCCGTTGCAAGATCAGGTTATGCCTGGGAGATGAATCGTTTTTTTCGGTCTCAATTCGGCTGCCCTGACTAGCCGTTATTACGACTCTTTTACTTTACCCGGCCTTCTGGTCCGTGCCCGGACATGGATTCTTCTCCCCAATATCGAGCCAAGGGCAGAGGGAAAAAAAGGTAACAAAGATAAATTGCATCGCTTAGATGGCTGCTTAGTTAGTGGCGTCATTTTCGCACAATCCCTGGTCGAGCCTTTTGGAAAATGGCGTTTCTGATCTGAGCATGGATATTTGGGAATGCTGGCGCGGTCGCCGCGGCGCGGGAGCTCCTCTGGGCTTCTCGGACTAGCAGCTGATCCTTTCTCTCGTTCGCCCCGGATATCGTGAAGCTGCACCATGGCCCGATGGTCCAGGCTGAGCCGGTGATGATACTACCTTTTCTCGGACTAGGCTGAGTGGGAGGCGTTGGGCACCGCTCACAACGCTCAACTTTCAGCCTTCTCTCCGCGGTGTGCGGGCTGGAAAATCTAGTAGACGCGACAGGCTTTTTGATCTCGTCGTCTTACGTGTTTATCAGCGAAATATTGACTGAACCTAACGAGAAGGGGCTTTTTATTACCTTGATTGGTTTCACTCGATATTTTGAATCGTTTCAGTGACACCATTTTGGCCTAACTTGAGGATAGAGGCGTCGCGGCCGATCTTCAACGGCTGAGGGCCAACATGCTGATTGGCCAACCAGCTCCTTGAAACTCCCAGTCTGTCCACCCCCTGTCGCCTAACCCTCTCATTGCCCACTTTCCCTGTCTGTGCCTTGCGGGTACGCCAATGCAGAGAGCCGAAAGCCTGCACGCAGGCACTGTACATACTAGTAAGCCAAGCCCAGGCCAGCCGGCTGCACCCCATATGGCCTGCGTTCCTGGGATCTTGAGAGGCGCCGGGGGTGCAGGTGCCGGCATTCAGTGTTCTGAGCATGACCCCGTCGGTTTGGCTCAAACTACGGAGCACGGAGTAGGACCACAATAGCATGGTGGTATTTTCGCTGGGGGCGAGTGCCAGTCCGGCTGTTCAGGGTGCAGCTTGTCAACGACTTATACACGGCCCCTGCCCGAGAGCCTCGCTCTCTCCGTAGGCCACCACCATTCAATCACTCATCCACCTGGCCAATTTCTGGAATCTTTTATCTGCTCTAGATTTTAAGTTTTGTCTTCCGCATCTATGCCCCATCGCTCTTAATCTCTGCAACCCCCCCCTTCCAGTGCAGATTGAGAACCGACTCGCATTTCGTTCATTTATCAATTTCCTGCTGGGCGCTCACGATCTTTACCCGTTAACATCTGCATAATCTTACAACACGACTTATCATATACTACTACTACTCTCACTAGTAGTTGGCCTGTCTCTTGCTGCTGTCCCTCCTTCTTACCCCCCCCTATTCTCTTTTCTTTTTTGACCCCCCCCCCCTCGTTCCCTACGACGCCGGCCCCGGATATACCTACTCCTTATACCAGACGATCCTACTCTTGCTCTCTCACCTCGACTCTCTCTAGCAATCTGGACATTCGTTTATCTCTTCTGGCCTCCGAAAACACGACGACTGCAACCATATTTTGACACCATCACGGATTAGTGTAAGTGAGAACTCTATAAGAGAGGGAACCCTGGCTATGCTATGAGCAACACAGTCTCTCTTAACCCCGGGTTGCTTTGCCTAAACGGTGTTGCATGACCGTCTCCAACGGCGCCGCTGATCAGCGAATAGGGCCTAGCCATTCATTTCGACCGTTAAAAATTATTAAGGCAAAAAGCACTGAGTGCCGAGTCTGTCGACTTGTCTATATTTAGCTATGGAGCCTAGTCACAATGGATTGTATGTTCCTTGCCTCTCTTCCTATCCTCGTCTATCGATACTTACTTGTGACCCCTTGTAAAAGTCGACAACATATTCAGAAATACTTTTTCCATTCAAGAGGCGCAAACAACAAGAACGATTCTGATGCTGCTCTTCAAGAGCCATCAATCAACACACTAAGCATCAGCGACATCCCTCAGAACGAGGCAATGCAATCGTCGGGGATTCCTTGGATGCCGCCAGCGACTCACCCGCAGCAGGTGCCGGCAACGGCTCAAGAAAGCATTTCCTACTACATGAGAGATGGTAACCATGCAGTAAATACCTGGGAACACTCGCTGCCGCCCTCCTCGACTTCCGTTCAGCATAGATCCACCGAGGCTGTGACTGCGCCTGTCACGTTAGCCCAGGGGCTATACCCTGCTAATGCGATGATGACTGCCGAAGTCTCTAGAGATCCAAGCGGCTTTGTTCTATCTGATGCATCAAATCGGTGGGCTCAAAAGCCACCGGGGGAGAACTTCGACCTTCCCGTATTGGATTCAGACGCGCCCATCGGTCAAGCGTACACCACCGACGACGCCGTTTCCATTCTTGATTTAAGGTATTCAACCCCGTCGCAAGATAACTCAGATCGATTGAATTTGGACGGCAGCGTGGCTAGCCATCGCTTGTCTGGCTCGTCCTATGCCGTGTCGACAACCGGAGGGTTATCCGACATGCCTTCGTATGAGGACTTCTCTGCCGCTCTCTCCGACGTTCGATCACTCAACTCTGACTACCCACCTCCTTCAAACAGGACCTCCCTCATGTCATCTACACAGCTGTCACCTGTGGCATCTCCTCGCCTGACGCCACAGACCCGCCCCGAGCAAGTCAGAACACAGAGTCGCGGCCGGGCCTCGCCGTCTCCACGGCCAAGCATGAGGACTGCTCCTTACGACATCACTCGAGGGAACAAGCAGCGCTGGTCTACCGGATCCTATGGCGTGGGACAGAGAAGACCCTCCCCCGCACTCTATCACTCGCCTCCCAGTGTTCCTCAGAGATACTCTTACCAATCATTGCCTGCGCCCTCCGCCTCGGCCATGTTCCCTAACTCACAGCCAATCAATCCTAGCAATCCTCTTGCTGCCAGACCGCCTTTTATGATGGCTGGCGCCCCGGGATTCAACAGGAACAACATGGTCCTTGCATCCCAAATGCAGCCGCAGTTGCCTAATCAGATACCCTCGTATTTCTATAACCACAACGAGACGCACGGTGTTGTTGCCACGCCACCGACCCTGGCCTCGCATGGCCTCCTCCGAGTTCTTCAAAGCAACGGCGAACCGCATCCTTTGACTGGTCTCTACGCAGACCTTTCGGACCCTCCGGATTTGTTTGGATGCCTTCACGAAGAGCAAGCACCTCCCCCACCAGAGGACATGAACCCTTCAGACCCAGAGATGGTGCCTTATGAGCAAGAGTTGCGGTTTGAAAACGACTTGTACACCCCCCGCTGGGTTCGAGGACATGGCAACAAGAGGGAAGGATGGTGTGGTATCTGCAAACCTGGACGATGGCTGGTGTTGAAAAACTCTGCTTTCTGGTACGACAAGTCCTTTTCGCACGGCATCAGCGCGGCAACCGGTACCCCATTTCAGGAGCCTTTGGATTCGAGACGTATGAATGGCAACCCTGATATTTGGGAGGGACTTTGCGGAAGCTGTAACGAGTGGGTGCCCCTCGTTAGTAGCAAGAAGAAGGGAACAACTTGGTTCAGACACGCATACAAGGTAAGTGCTGCGTCTTGGAGCAAGAAACTCTTTGCTGTATTGGTTAGTACTAACCAGAGCCAAAATAGTGTCATACACACCAGAAGGTCAAAGATTCTCATAAACGTCGCCGAGACAACAGCCAAAGCCAAGTTGGTGGCCACTTGCCACCTTTGCATGATTCACGACCAGATTCACACAGATCAATGACCCCCCAAATGTCTTCTCCAGGCTCTGGAGTTGACGTACCAAGCCTAGCGATGGCAGCCTCGATGCCAATGCCTTCGCAACCCATGGACTCGCGATCGTACATGCCGCTACAGCAGCAAATGCAGGTTCAAACGCAGGCACAAGCGCCTATTGGCATGATGCCGCAAAGATCTAGCTCTGTTCGATCACAGAATACGCCCATGGACTCATACCCCGGCATTATCTAATTTTCGACTTGCTATTCCTCAACATCTTTCAAACACACTCTTTCGCTTGCTCTTTTTTTTTTCCCCCATCTACTGGAACTACAATCGTTTATTAAAGTCACTTGCTGCTCGAAATTTCCTTAATTTTGGATTCGATACTCATGCGTCACGTTCTGGAAGTCTAATGCCTATAGAGACGCATGAAATTTAGATTATGCGACACGACAAGCTCGCGAATACCGCTTTTTTGGGGGGGCTACTTTTGGTCCCCCGAACCTCTTGTTTTTTGATTATGTCACTCTCTACACTCCTCTCCTAGACAATTTCTTATCTTTTCTCAGTTCTTTTTGTCCTTTTCTGATTGCCTTTTACCTTTCTTCGCTTCAGTTATTCCTTATTAGATTTTTCCCTTCCCAGTCTCTCCCTCATACACCGTTTATTCACGCTTGCAAAACAAAGAACTACGATTACGGGATACCACCAATCATTGATACCTTATTATTATTATTTTACGCCTTCTCACGCTTTATACATATAGATAGACATAGATGGAAACAAACGAGTACAAAGGGTTTATACTTTAGGATTAATTTTTGGATATGATCTCAACGAGATGGGAACAAACGGGAGGAAACAGACTGGGATATTCGGCGCTGCGGGCCAGCTGAGAGAAAGGGGGGATATACCACGGGATAAATAGAGGCTTCTTTTTTGGAATTTTTTTTTTCTGTTGTTTAATTTTCATTCGGAAGATGTATATTTTTTTCACATAGTTTGAACAATTTTTTTCTTTTCTTTTTTTTGCACCTTTTCACTCCCGCTCTCTCTTTGTTTTTTTGCTGTGATTCTGCCCGTACTGCAAGTCCGGTTCTAGGCTCAGGATAATACGAGCCGAAAAGGCGAAAAGGCCCATAGGCCGGTTCCACACCACCTTGACGGGAGACCCTGGTCTGCTTCCCCTCTCCAAAAAGGTAATCTAATATTATGCTGATTTATGCGGCTGAGGCAGGATTGGTAAACTGCAACGGTGTGTGGGCGAAGCTAATCTCGGGGCTGATGGTTCTTTTGAGCAGCTGCGCGCGCCCTTATTGCCTTTTTGCTCTACTGCTTTATCGTAAAAAGGAAGAAGAAACAGTAGTTCTAGTAGAGCAATAGGCGTTTGGTTGGAGTTGGGTACGACTTACACGCAAGCAGTAATATATTGATGTGGCTTACTACGAATATCGCGGTAAGGCGCCAATTAACCCACCCTGTTTAGCGGGAGCTGAAGCCAGGGGTTGCATGTATGCATGTACAGTGGTGTATGTGTGCTACCACGTAGCCATGGAACGTGAATGTTGTTGATATTCCCGCAGCACGGCATCAATACGGACGTATCCCAGCAGAAACAGGATCCTTTGTGTCTTTATCCAGCATATTGCATGATTTACACCATGCTTAGCAAGAAAAAAAGAAATAGAGACCTGATTCTGTTGAGAGGGGTGCTCAGCTGTCTTTGGGTAGGCATAGAAGCCGGGTTTCGNNNGGGGGGGGGGGGGGGGAGGGTATGCAGGTGTGGAGGTATTGTGGTCGCTGCCCAACCAACGGGAAAACATGGATATCAACAATCATGGCATGTGTAATGGGCTCATCACATGTATCCCGCGCGGCTGCTACGGACCGATTGGAGGGAGTGTGTGATTCTATCTGAGTATGGAGCATTAGTCGTGAGAGAAAAGACGCCAGGAGGAGCAGCAGAAACACTAAAAAAAAAAAAAAAAAAAAAAAAAAAAAAAAACTCACGATGTTGTTATTTTATTTTTAGCGCTGAAACAATGCAGGTACAAAACAGCAGTTAAAACCAAACATTGGGCCTGGGCCAAGGGTATCTTGTGTCCCATGAGGCCACACGATGCTTCTTCCCCAGAACCGGGACATGAGATGGTAGTAAAACGTTACAAGGGCTAACAAGGTTTCCGCTTGGTGTTTCACGGGATGGAGATGTCGGACCATGTTTCTCCTGCTTTTTGGTTTTAAAAAAAAAAAAAAAAAAAAAGAGGTGATATTTTTGGATGGCTATTTTTATCAAGCAGCTCATTCGCCATCATGTTGAACAGTATCTTGATGGTATCTTTTTTCTTCTTCTTGCTTTGTGTGTCTTTCTTCTTGCGGATATGGCCGGGTATGGGTGGGCGCAAAAGGATCCGCAGAGCAGAGCGCATAAAGTTGATTAATGCGAGCTTAGATGAAAAAGCGCATCGTTCAAAACAAGATAGATTGGCCGCTAATAATTATCGGCCAACTAGTCTAGCAGCTATCCCGTCTTGTAGATTTTTCTTGATCCATTGGATCTCGTGAGTTGGCATGTGCCGCATCATTGAGTCGATTGGGTAGGCGGCAATGCTTCCCCCCCCCCCTTCTCTTCTTTGCTCAGAAAGCAAGCAATGTGTTTGGAGAATGTTTTCAGGCGGAGGCTTCTTCTTGATGCGGTTTGTGTTTTATTTTGTGCATTGGAAGACATGCACATGCTTATGCCAGTTCTGGCCATAGCGTGGCTGCCTAGGTAGGTAGTTAATGAGGTCCGAGTCTGGGGAAGATCGAGATCGGATTTTCATCCGGGACTTTTCTTGCGGTGGCAATTATTCGAATGCGGAATGCGAAGATGCAAACGAAGTACGAGTATTGCAGGATATATATATATATTTATACATGTGTATATTCCCAGCGTTGTTTAAATGACAAGAGTGGTCGAGATTCCGCTGAACATTGTGATTACACGTCCACGTTTATGGCGGCATTAGGTAAGATAAGCATTGGTCATTGTGTCTCGTGAGTTGTGGTGCGTTTTTTCTGCTTTTCTGGCGTGAAAGCTCAAGAAAGCGCCCTGGGTTGAGAAAAAGGGAATCGAAGTAGAAGAGAGCGCTGTTGAGGTTTTTCGAAAGAAATTTTGCTAATTACTGGCAAATCTTTTACATTTAATCTGTCTGAAAGCTGCATATTTCAAGAGTGCCTGTGACGTTGGGCAGGTATTTTGTAGATATCATATACACAAAGTCCTGTACGGTGTTATCGGATCTAAAGATAAGGGTGCCATGGCAATAGCATTTAGATAGCTTTGTTTACGTACACCACAACCCCCGTACCACCCATTGATTACATGTGCCTAAGCAGTAATTATTAACTGGCTGGCATATATTTGTACTCGTAACACGCCCATAGATGATATTAAATGGCATTCGTGATAGCCGTGGCATTTGGCCAGCCAGAGTTGCGCAGCATCTTTTTCATCATGTCATTCTGCTGCGCTAATCCGCCCGTGGGATCCATGGTGGGGAACGACTTGTCCCAGATTAGGCAAAAGAGGCTGCTGAACCGCCCATCTATATATCAGTAGCGCTGTGAACGAACGTGCTGCTAGCAGTGCCTAGTTGTTGTAGTAATACTCGTTGCTATTATCAGTGGGAGCTGTAGACTGTACCACGGCGCTTGCGAAATTAGTAGAATACGAAGACCGTCATATTCACATTGATGGTGCCAAATAGAGTCGGAGCAAGAGATTTGAGCTGCTATACTTACTCCTTTTGGGCATGCGGAGAACAGCATCCAGCTGCCCTTCTTATCTAATCCATGCAGTGTGTAGGCCTATCCGGGAGAGATTTTATATAGCAACACACACGGAGTGCATATGCAAGTAAGGGACGTCCATCCATAAACAAAAGCCCAACGTCCCCCCTTTTTTGCTTTTGATCTGCCGAGTGCAACCAAGGCACCAACGCAGCGTGTCTTGTTCTGGGAGAAACATCAATGGCCGTTGAGTTCGCACGGGTTGGTTCGGCAGAAAAGTAGCACATACTGCTAAGATATTACTCGCACAAGTACTCGTACAAGCAGCTCTCTAGAGAGGGCCCGCGGATGGTTATATCCCCGGCGGCCCTTGCCCTGGTAGCCCTATCTCTTCAGAACAAGCCGCCTGTAGCCCACTGCAAAGCCGCTGTAATGGCCGCTGCAATGCGGCCGTGCACCACCAGCGGCCCACCCAGCTGCACCTGCGCTGCTCGATTGGGGCCTGTTCTGCCTAGAAAATACGGAGCATGTACCGACAAGACATCACCACCTTTGCCGGTCGCCATACTGTACATGTACTTGGCTTCCTCTCCGCCTTTGCGCTGTCCCATCTGCCGCCATAGACTCCGACTCTGCCTCTTTCTTCCTCTTCCTCTTGTCTGCTTCATCGTCCATTGTCTGCCGCACAGCCTCCTGGTCCGCCCTTGGATAGCTGGTTGATGCCCAGTGGAGCTCCAGGACAAGACTTGCCTCCCTTGGTTTTCGCCTGTCCCTCTCCTTTGCCTTGCTTTGTGCCGTTGCTCTGCGTTGGCTTTGCTGTTCCGGTAAGACAAACATCTCCCTCTCCCTTTTTCACGCCCGTTTATTGGGAACAGCAGCGCGGAGAGCAGCGAAGGAGGCTGATAAGACCAGCTTTTTGTGTTTTTCTTCTTTTTTGACCGCCTTTGCATTTGCAGAGCCAGTGCCAGATTTATACGACGTTTTTTTTTCTTTTGCATCTTGTCATGACCGTTCACGAGCACTTTGGATAATGAGAAACGAGCCACTGCGATTTTACACTACTCTTTGCCCAAGCAACCAAACACCCACTCGAACAGCTTTTGCGCACCCTTTGGATCTGATCTGATACCGCCCTCCCCTCAACGGAGAAATACCAAAAAACACACCACTGTTGATTGCATCGAGGGAAAGGAAATTGAAAAAAGAAAAAAAAAAAAAAAAAAAAAAAAGGCCTCCCTTGCAAACATTCATATATATCTGCCCATATACACAGCATTTTTTTTCGGGGCTTCCCCACGGCCCCAATTGACGGTGCACGCACTGGGATGCTTGTGTCTGGCTTCTCGTAGCGAACAGGAATTTGAGCTGATATGAGCGAGGATCAACAGCTAGTATCAAGGCATGTCCGCCTTGTCAAACACTCCGAAGAATGCCTGCCCTCCGCTCCCTCCAACAGTGGCTAACCAATCTTTCTTGACTCCGCACAGCAGCAGCTTTGGAGATCCAAACGCTCACCCGCCGCCCACGCCGAAGCAGACTCCAACCTCTGGTGCATTCCCAAGCCCGATTTTCGAGACGCCGAAACCTCCCCAGGGATCCTTTGCCGACACCAGCGGCCTGACGCCTCGCTTTGCTGAGGAGTATTCAGTCTTCAACGCCACGCCGGGCAATCTGCGAGGGGCGCAGTTCCCCTTCGCAGATTTTGTGCCCACCACTCCCTTCGCATCGGCCTTTCTAGGGCACAAGCGACAGCTGTCCGCCGACGAGCACGCTGTCGAGAGACTTGCTATCGAGATTGCAACCCGAGCCAACATACCGCCATCGAATCCCAATCTTCCACCGCCTCCCGTTGACCCTTCTCGACGCCTGCCCTCCTCACCGGCAGCTTTGATATCATCAACCAAGGCCGCTGTCAACTCCGAAGCCCAACTGGGCCCTGCCTTTTCCTCCTCCTCGCATACCAAGTCGCCGAAGAAGGTCCGCCGGGGTACAATTGAAGGATCCGACGCAGCCCAGCCTCTATCGCCGCCGCCGTCGGCTCACAAGAGCGACCAGAAGCTCGCTCCCAAGATCAATATGCAAGATGACCAGAATTATGGTCACCCAGACTTTGGCGACGGCTTCCAGGGCATGACGGGCATGATGGGCGGCGCCGAGGACATGTTTGTGTACCCAATGTCTGCCCCCCCGGGCCAGGCCAACTTCTGGGACCCCGCCATGGGAATGGACTTGGATTTCAGCACCGCAGGCGCCGCCTTCTTTCAGCCCTCGCACCGCCACACCGGTTCTTTCGACTGGAACAGCGACATTCAACTCTTCCAAGACCCTGCGCCGCCGCCTCCCCCACCATCATCGAACCAAGAGAACGTCCAGCCAAATGCCCAACATATCAACCAGCCGGTCCGGAGGGAGAGGATGCTGGCGCCCAAGCCGCCCATCATCACAGGGCAGTCTACGGCTCCCATGACTGCATCTACCATGTTTCAAACGTCCATGGAAGACTCGTTTGGCTTGGCAACTCCCATGGAAGGCGTAGATCCAGGACTACTATATAGTCGGCCCCCGACGTCTTCGATGAATGCCGAATTTAACCATATGAACACATCGTCCGGGGATATGATGCCTATCGCAGAAGCTAGTGGCAACTCTCGCGTGATGGCCCAACCTCGCCGGACTAATAGCATGAAGGAAACGAAAAGAGGCAAGATGCCGGATCGTTCCTATACAAGCTCCCCCGTCAAGGCCATGAGCCGCCCAGAATTGAACCGCAGCTTAAGTGAGAGCCGAGGCAAGAAGGCAATGGGCCGGGGCGCATTGCCAACTTTGGCATCCACCTCAAGGCCATCGTCACAGGCCGGAAACATGAGTATAAACACAGATGTAGGAAAGTCGGGATCACAGCTGTCTAGATCTGGGAGGATGTCACCCCTCAAGAGCCAGCGACGGTTGTCGAGCTTGGCGTCTATTCCCGAGTCTGCCTCTCAACCACAGCTTCATCGACCACGAACATCAGTAAGGTTCACTATAGATGCACATGGACGAGCTCGAGCGGAAACAACAGTCGTGGTAGAGGAGGCTGGGAGCATTACCCGCAGTCGAAGCTCTCGGGAGCTCTCATCGACGAGGAGAAGCTGGGAGTCTTCTGATGACGAATCCTCTACGGACGAGGAGCCAATCATCATTCCCAGCCGGGCTAATTCATTCAATGCATCGTTTGCGTTGCCTGACCCACGCAAGCCAGTGGGCTCAATCTTTCATTCAGGTCGGCGGAGCATTAGTGACAGGAGCAGGAGTGCTTCAACCCCTTCTCTCGTGACGCCGATCGATGGGGAGAGCGAGGCAGAGACAATCATGACAGATCATCACGAAAGGGGAGGAGATGCGGCAAGCGAGCTGCGTAAAGTGGTGGAAGACCGACAGAAGCGATCTATACAGGAGAATACTCGATCACATCAGCGTATTCTGACCTCGAGCGGCTCTGGAAATTTTAAAAACAGTGCCATATCTCCAGTCAGCATGGCAGACTCAAACTACAGATCAGATGGTCATAGGATTCGATGCGTGTGCAGTAGAAATGAGCCCGATGAAGACAACGGCTTTATGCTTCAGTGGTATGTCTAGTAACCTTGAGAGAGAGTAAAAACTGAATTCAGCTAACATGAAGCCGTTTCTAGCGAGTCATGCGAGATGTGGCTGCATGGGAAATGCGTCAACATTAGCAGACGTACCATGCCGAGCGTATACATCTGTGGCTATTGTGCCAACACCCCTAATGTTGCGGCACGGCGAGCACAGCAAAACATTGGCCGGGGAAGCAGTGGAGGGCAGTCGGCGTCATCATCTCTGCAAAGCAAGACGCTTCGGTCCCTTCGATAGAGGCACTGAGAAGAAAAAAAGAGAGAGAAGAACACAGAGAGTGTGCGCATGTGAATGTATGAGGAAAAACCCAAGGGACATATATGATTTTAACAAGAAAACAAGCAAGCAGAGACACAGGTTGGGCAAAGCAAAGGAATTTTTTTAATGCGTTATGTTGAATAAGATTAAACAGGGCTCTCTGCCACTACTTACTTTACTACTCCTAGAGAAACATGTAGACGAGCAGCAGTACATAGGGGGGAAGATGCCCCAATATTATATTGTTGGGGGGCGTAACTATTGAAGCACAAATATCTGAGGAGCCGAAATTGAATGTGAGAAAAAGAGGAACTGAGTTGTAGGAAGGCTGTCTTCGTATATGTGAGTATCAATACATGCTAGACAGTGAGCTGTTTGGCACATGTAGTTTGGGGGCTAATAGAGGTGGCTGGTGTGAGCAATTACGTCGATGATGCTCCACTGAGGGGGAAGGTTGGGGATAAGCATCATAAGCTCTAGAGAAAGCCACGAGCTGTCTTTGGACTCTGCTGCAAGGATATTTTGCTTCAGTGTAGAAGGGTTGAATTAGTAGGTAAAGCCTACACGGAATGCTGTAGAGCTTCCCCATCGACTATATTTCAGCTCTCAGCTATTGATTTCGGTGTATGTAGAAACGAGCTCTGCATATACAGGTGAAGTTCCAAGCAGGAAGTGACACAATATTGGGGGACTTGGTAAAAAAAAAATAGTTTAAAATCCCAATCCCATACATAATTCTCACCCAATTGTTCCTCTGGCTATTCCCGGCACAATTCGGCCCAATACTGCCATGTCTCTTAACTCGGCAATTGCTCAACACATGATATTCATGCCTCTCTCTCTCTCTCTCTTTTCTTATTAAAATCGGGACATCAGGTCCAATGGACGCCGAAAAGCGGGGGAGCCGTCCGAAAATCAATTGCAAAGCTCGTCCGATCGGGTCGGCTCCGACTTCGGCACTAGCTTGGCTTTGATCGTGCGCAGCGAAATAACCAAGCTTTTGATTTCTCCAAAAGTTTAAAAACATTCATCTTGTTCTCTTCTTCTTTTTTCACATCTGGTATATTATTATTATTTTTTCCCCGTGACTCTTATATTTTATTTTTTGGCACATTTCGAGGCTCACAGGGCATCTTGTAAGATCCATCTTTCTGTCGGGCATTATTAACACGCTTTCTTGGGCACCACACGATGGCGGAGCACAATATCGTTGTCTTTGCGGGAGACCATGCTGGTCCTGAGGTATGTCTTTGTCTATGAGTGCAGCAATGGGGGAGGAGCTTTGAGATATTGGCCGGGGAACTTGTGCTAACTTGGGGATATTCCCTTCTGTAGGTTGTTGCTGAGGCGATCAAGGTGTGTAACAGATCCGATCCGAGGTCGTCGCGGGGCATCGCGGGGCACATCGCAGCGCAAATGCAATTCATGCCATTGCTTTTTGCTCTTGCATAGCTTTTTGCGCCCTGTCTCACGACGAAGTTGGGAAGCTTTGTGAGCCTCGAAACGCTGACATTTATTGGTTTCAAAATGTATAGGTCCTCAAGGCAGTTGAGCAACACAGCCCCAGTGCCGGCAAATTCAACCTACAAGAGCATCTCCTGGGAGGCGTAAGTCTTTCTCTCATCTCCTCTCTGCGTCTCTGCTTCTCCGCTTCTGTTGCCATCGTTACAAGCCGTCTACCCTTCTCTCTCGTCATATACAAAGCTAACAATGGCTGCTTTCTTCTCATGCAGTGCTCAATCGATGCGACCGGCTCTCCCTTAACAGACGAGGCTCTCGCCGCCGCCAACGCCGCAGATGCCGTCCTGCTCGGCGCCATTGGCGGTCCCAAATGGGGCACCGGCGCCGTCCGCCCAGAGCAAGGTCTGCTGAAGCTGCGCAAGGAGATGGGCACATACGGCAACCTGCGCCCCTGCTTCTTCGCCTCCGACGCCCTCGTCGAGTACTCTCCCCTCAAGGCCGAGGTGTGCCGCGGCACAGACATCGTCATCGTCCGGGAATTGACGGGTGGGATTTACTTTGGCGAGCGCAAGGAGGACGACGGCTCGGGCCATGCCTGGGATACCGAGCCCTACTCCCGGGCCGAAGTCGAGCGCGTGGCTCGCTTGGCCGGCTTCCTGGCCAGAGGTCGTGGCGACACCAAGGTCTGGTCGCTGGACAAGGCCAATGTGCTGGCCACTAGCCGGCTGTGGCGCAAGGTCATGACGGAGACGTTCGCCAAGGAGTTCCCGGACCTGACGCTCGAGCACCAGCTCATTGATAGTGCTGCCATGATCCTGGTCAAGAACCCTCGCGGCCTGAACGGCGTGGTTGTGACGAGCAATCTGTTTGGTGATATTATTAGTGATGAGGCCAGCGTGATTCCCGGCAGCATTGGCTTGTTGCCTAGTGCTAGCTTGAGTGGCATTCCTGACGGGAAGAGCAAGTGCAATGGCATCTACGAGCCTATCCACGGTGCGTATACAATCTGCAGGAAGAGAAGATGGAAAAAAGGGGGTGTAAAGGAAAGCTAACGGCGGGGACATAGGATCTGCTCCCGACATTGCCGGACGTGCAATTGTAAACCCAATCGGAACTATTCTCTCTGTAGCAATGATGCTGCGATATTCGCTCAACCTGCCCAATGAGGCCAAGGCCGTTGAGGCAGCCGTCAAGAATGCTATTGACAGCGGCCTGCGGACAAAGGACATGGGCGGCAATGCTGGTACCAAGGAGGCCGGTGATAAGATTGTCGAGGAACTCGTCAAAGTCCTCAAAGCATGAATTATACCTAACGAGATTATGAAAACGTAAAAGGAGGCATAAAGACAAAAGGATTCCGACTGCAAGAGTTGGATAGGAAGTAATGGCGTATATCAATTTAATCCAAGTGTATATATAATACACATCCTGGTGCACTTGGTTCCAACGTATTCGTACTGATCCTAATATCACCTGATGATAGTGGACGATGTTTAAGCACAGGTCATGGAGCGTCTTTTTTTATGATGCCGTCTTTGTAGGGATTGTTGTTGCTGAATGGGGCTAGAGTCCGACTGTCTCTCTTGGACGGTTCTAATCTGTAACAGTCATGAGTATCCAACACGGAGAGTCCAAACTATTCATAGATCTGAAAGGTCCTCAGCCATCATTGGAATGGGCTTTGGTCGGCGGAGATTGAGTTTGAAAGCAAGATAAAAGAAGAAAACATTCCCACCAACCTGGCCTCTGTTCAGCGCCACCTGGCAGAGCGCGTCGTTTTGTCTTCGCTTTATGTTTCTATCAGCTTGCAACGCGCCATCTGGAATTGCATTGTTTGATTGGCTCATCCATCTGTCTTTTTTGTTTGTCGTTGAGTCTTTCTTCCACTGGCAATAGTCCCTCCCTACCCTCACCTTCTTCACCTCCCTCCCTTCTCGCTTTCGCACCTCGCCTATAGGCGAATAACTTCAAGCAGAGCGACTTTCAACACTCCAGATGGTTTGACGCAATAAACGGCGTCTAATAAAAAGAAAAGGTCCCCAAAAATAAAAATCACAGAGACCTCGTCCGCGAAGCTTCCGGAAAGACGACAATGGACGACCATACTAAGGAGTATCCTGCCATCGAGGACACCAAACCCGCTGGGCGTCGCCCAAAAATAATAAAGAATTGGCAGACATTCCCCATCGACGACCTGCCACCTTTGACCGTGTTAAGTCCCCGCAAGATCGTCAAGACATGGGGGGGAAAGGACAAGCCCCAGACACTGCCGACGAAGAAAGAGGTCGAGGGCAGTGCAGCTCCGCGAGAGAGCACCAAGAATAAGCAAGTTGGTTTCTCTTCAGCGGTGCCGTCTTCTACGAATTCTGGAGGAAAGGAACCCGTCCCAGTGTCCAAGCCTTTCGGCAAGGTCCAGAGCGGCCAGCCGGCCCTGAAGGACTCTGTGAATGGCCTGTTGGATGACCCAACGTACCATCCTTCGAGAGACGAACCACGGTATTTTTTGAGGGCTAACCCGGTGTATCCTTCGATGGCTGGCCCAATGACGGCTGTTAACCCGGTTCAAATGAGTTGAATATCGTACAGAAACGCCAAGTCCCGCCCGCAGCCACCGAAGGAGACGGTTCATCTGCCAGGAAGCGCCCCAAGTTGACAGAATGCGAACCCGGCCAACCACGCCGCACCGAGAACAAGATCGATTTCTATTCGAAAATGGCCGCCATTATTCGCGAGAAGAGTTCCTCTGCCATGAAAGAACCTACAAGCTGCACCACCTGTCAGACTGAACTTCAAGACCTTCGAAAGGCGATCAGCACGATGAATGATACTCTTGATGCAGTGGTTAAGAAGCTTGACGCTATGGCCCAGGATGCTAGACTCTATAGAAAGGGCACCCAGTGCCTTGTTGCAGCCGCATATGGCGAAGAGACGCCCGCAGATTCGGATAACGACGCCTGAGAAACTGCGCAGGGGGTTGTTGGGAGGGAGGGTCCCAGGTATTTGGGTGCGTGCGGAAAACACTGGCGATACTACTACTTGATTTTGCCATCTCATAGCATATTAAAAAGGGACGACCGGATTGGTGGTGGAGGTTTATCTTGCTGTCGGAAAATAAACGCCCAATGTTCTTCTCAACTTTTGTCTCTCTGCTGTCCACGAAGAATCCATGAACTTGGTCCGGTTGATGCTTTTTCAGGTAATTCGAAATCTCGTCCGTTATTATCACACGGTGGATTTGGACGTAGTATAGCAGAGATACCTGGACATTTCTACCCACCGATACTATATAATGATTGATATTAATGTCCATGCTACTTCTTACTATGCACGAACTCTTTCCATGGCAATAATGTTATGTTTTCCTCTTCGATTTGCCTAATGAGGCTAAAGCCACCAAGGAAGTGGGTGAGAAGATTGTTGAAGAGCTTATCAAGATTCTCAAAGCATACTAAAGCCAAGGGCGGAAAGCTCTAGGGTATATAAAAAAATCAAGTCATAAGGGTGGTTTGCGGAGAAAAGTATACATGCAGTGGAAAGGGGTATATATATATATATATATATATACATATAACAAAGGGCCTTGCGAAGAGTAAATACAAAAACTGTAAAAGCTACCTATACCTATGAGGTATTGTCTTTTCTAGGTTTGGTTTAACCAGAGTCTGCCTCTATCGAATTGTAATAAAGATGTACGTTGAGGGCTAGTAATATATAGCCGTCTTTCTACATTACAGCATTGCAGCCCTTGGTGTATCAATTATTGGTTATACAATCAAGAGCTTTTAGCTTTAGTAATGTAATACTGGAAAGTAAAGTGGCGTCTGGATTGTTATTTTCCGTGAGATTGTTGATGGTCTCTAATAGCTTGGCCTCTCAAGGTACCTAACTTTTTTTTATTCAAGAACAAGGCACCATGGTCCATTATATAACTGACCAAAAAAAGAAAAAGGCAAGTCATCATTTGCAAGTATTTAGGCTAGTAATTTTTCCCGCGTCTCACTTAACCACTTTCCCAGCTCAAGTACCTTTGACTCAATACCAACGGATCAAAAAAGCCCCCTTTGGTACAGAAAGTAAGAGACGAGGAGAGAGATTATACATGTCCCCGGGGAAACTTGGCATGCAGGATCCATCTTCACCAGCAAAGACAAAAGGGGGAAAGGGGGAAATAATGGAAAGGGGTATCAAAGGAGATTCTCCTACTCTCTCTGTACCATCAATGTCAAAACAAAGAGGCATCGAGAAAAGAATTAAACAAGCTTTCTTTTTTTCGTCGCTCTCTCTTCTCTGTCTCATTCTCTCCATCTTCCCCTACGTACATGGGAAAAGAAGGAATCAGAGATGAAAGAAGCAGTCCACTTGGCGTTGTAGATAGCTAAATTAGAAATAGTAAAGAAATCAAAGGAAAAAAAAAAAATAGGGGGAAAGTAGCAAAAGATTTTTCAGCCCAGTTGTTAAAAATCAAGTCAGTTCCGACGACCAACCGCGAAACCACATAATCAAACTTTTTCTCTTTTTTTTTTTGGTCAACTATCAAAACAGAAAAGAGGCTTAAAGCCCTCCACACATATTGGATTCTCCTTTTGTTTCTCTAAATGTGGGAAGCACATTGTAAATTTGCCCGGTCCGTCAGCCAAGGAGAGGGTCTTTGAGGACTTCATGAGTCGCTGGCAGTTTAGTTGCCCAGGCTAGGGAAGGCAGACTCGTCCTTGGTGTTGATAGAGGCAGCCTGGCCGCCACGTCCACCACGGAAGTTGCCCCTGCCGCCACGAGGCTGGTCACCACCACGGCCGCCACGGGGGCCGCCACGACCGCCACGGCCGGCACCACGGGTTCGCTCAGGCTCGACGAAGCGGGGGTCGAAGTCGACGGTCTGCTTCACCTTGCGCTCACGCTCACGCTGCTTCTTGCCGCCAGTGCCGGCAAAGTAGACGTCCTCCTCCTTCTCGAGGGGCTTGGCAGCGGCCCACTTCTTGTCGATCTTGCTTCCCTCGTTGGCAGCACGGATGTTGATCTCAGAGTCGAAAGCACCCTTCTTCTCAGCCTGCTGGGCGAGGTAGTCGGAGTACGAGATGCTCTTATCTTCGGGCTCAGCGGGCTCCTCAGCAGCGGCATTCTCGGCCTCGTCCTTCTTCTCAGACTCGGCAATGGCTTCACCGGCCTGCTCGTCCTTAAGCTCGGCATTGCCTTCGGTGGCACCCCAAGACTGAGCAGCCTGCTTGTCGGAACCACTGTAACTATTGGTCAATACTAGGTACGAGACTGAGAGCTTGAAGGAGGATGGTTCTTACGTGGTGGTACCAGACTTGTGGGGATGTCTGTCGTCACGGTCACGGGGGTAACGTCCGCCACGGCCTATCTCAGCATCAGTATATGTCTCTTCCAAGTTGCAAAGACTCCCATAAAAGGCAGGAGTTTTCAAATGGCATTTCCTCACCTCCACGGACGCGAGCTCCCTGACCACCACGAGGAGCATCTCTAGGGGTCTCCTCGGTGGAGCGGCCCTGGTTGCGTTCCCGGCCAGCGGCGCGATCACGGAAAGCTATACAACAACAATTAGCATCAATGAATCATACGTGTCCCCAAGCGGACCGCCACGATGGCATTGCCGTCTCAAAAGAACCGGAGATGGCGCAAACTTACCGCCCTCGTTGCCGCCGAGGTTACCACGGCGGTTGCCACCAGTCCTCACAGGGGCCTGGGGGGCCTGAGGCTCGGCATTGCGCTTGGTGGTGCGGGAGGTGGCCTTGTCGACGGTCTTGACAGGGACGACGGGCTTCTCCTCGCCGTCGGAGTCGTTGCCTGCAGCGTGAAGCTCGGGTCAGTGTCCTGCGATTTAAGATTTTTATCGCGGCGGGGGCATTTCGTTGACAGAAGGAGGGGCTGAGAGCCACAGCAAAGTTTGCGAAGAGGAGGAGGGGGAGTAAGTACCGAGATAGGCGAACCGGTTCTACATGAGGCGAGCAGTCAGTAACAGAAACACAAAACAGAGATGAATATATAATGTATATGAGAGAGTAAAATATTAGGGCATGGGATGAGGGCGACGGCGACAGCGACGTCTCTATCCGTGCGGGTAGGATTGCTTGGCCGGCGGCGCAATGCGTATATAGCAAGGATCCAGAGCCCGCTTCGCAGGTACACGACGGCGGCCGAGCATCGAATTGACGGGCAGGGAAAAAAAAAACACAATAGCGACGACAACGACATCATGACATCGGCCGTGGCAAGATGGTATCATAGGCGGCATACCTGGGAGGCGACTTGTGACATGTTGGTCGCTTTGGCCTACCGGAGGGGCTGAATACTGGCGGCGCTGGTAGTCGTTGCTACTTGGTGGTGGAGGAAAGGAAGAGGTTAAGATCGCATGGCCCTCCTGGCGCGCGAGTCGGTCTGTCTGGATGTTCTTCGGAGAGGCACCAGAGCGGCTGTGCTGCGGATGCAGTTGAAGAAAAATGCACGATCCGGCCTGTTTTGGGGGGGTTCGCTGCCAGCTCAATGCGGCGGGCAAAACTCTCTCTGATTCTGTGCTGCGCCAGAGCCCACTCCGGAAAAAAAAAAGCACTGCTGGCGCTAGCTTTGCTTGTTTTTGGGGGGGCTCGCTTAATTCCCGTGAAATGTTTTGTGGTGACGCTGTTAGGGCTCCGGGGCGCTGGGCCGTTAGTGCGCCAGGTACCGCGTCGTCGAGGCTGCCTAGGAGGCTGCTGCGGTGATGCGTTGTCTACGGCATGTTCCAGCTCCGGTTGTCTGCCATCTGCTGCATTCCAGCTGCAATTGACCTTGTCTACTCTACTCTATCCGAGCTCTTCCAAGCGACCGGCTTTGGAGGCATCCGCAAAGCTTCTTTGTCTGCGCCATGGGAGCCAATTTCCCGCATCCGGGGCGCTCTGCTGTGGCCGAGCTGTAGCTACGGGGAGATACAAGCCGAGCTACGACGCAGCCGAGGGGGAGACTAGGGCTTCCGCCCGCTGAAACCTTCACTAAAAGTGCGCCGTTCAGAGAGCTCAGAGGTACAAAGTACCGGTTACTGCTAGCCTCAGCCTAGCGCGCAGCATGTTGGAGCTTCGTCCAGCTGAGGTGCGACTCTAGCTGGAGCTGGCAGGTGACTTGGTGGCCGTGATAACGTCATCAATACGTTATCGCCAATCTGCGGTGCGAAGCTGCCGATGCAAACGCTCGACTGTATTGTATGTAGCATGCTCCATGTAGGTACTCTTTACATATGCCTGTCAATGGGTGTTCTACTGTACATGTATAATGGGCCCTGTTGAAGAAGCGTGGAAGCAAAGGTGCAGCTGCGCTTATTAAGCGTGGAAGTAAGCATATGAAGCTAAAGTGAAGTCTGCCGTAGAGTCCATGATGATGGTAATTAGAGGCGGACGGCATGATGAAATTGCATGTACAGAACAATTTGGCCAAAGGCTTCAGGGACTCATCTAGTGAGGGTATATCTAGCTAGGTGGCCACCTAGTAGGTAGGTCACTGGCAAACGAGCTGCAAGCATTCCCCAGGCCAAGAGGGACTCCTTGACGACTTAACCTATATGAAGCATTCTCTCGACATGCCAGTAATTATTCATGTCCGATATACCATAGCCGGACAAAGGAGAGGGGAACTGAATCATCAACCTGGCTCTGAGGACCGGTACAAGGGCAAGCAGCGACTTGACCCTCCTACACGAGATGGTTGAGGCAGCTTCGACTTTTGTTCAATAGGGTAAACACGAACTGGCCCTCCGTCAATAGGATCGGACGCGTTGGCCCGAATATTAAACCCAAACGAGCTCAAAGGCCTCCTAACTGTGCTGCAATCTCTTCTGCTCTTGTTGTTGCGCGAGCAGCCCGGTAAACGCACCTGTGACACTTTAGCATCGCCCCATATGATACACAGCTCCAGCCTCGAAATAACGCACGGCACATCCTGACATTAAGCTACCAACTCTCCCACCCTTCGCTCTCCGCCCATCCCATCGATCCCTCAACAACCCTCCACCAGTCACTCCCCCAGCTCCTCTCAATCCCTCCCAAAAAGCAGCATTCTCACCCTCACCCCTCTCCTCACCAACCTCCATCTCAATAACACAGTCCCAACACAAAGGCACCTCCGCAACCTCCTCAATCCCTCTCCCCCCAGCAAGATCCATCGCCTTCACCCCCCTATAAATCACACGATTCCCGCACAATAAACACCCATAACAATCTCCATGCCAGAAACACCAACCCAGACTCACGCCCCCTCCCCCCTGGAAGATCACCTCGCCGCATACCCAGCAGATGGAGAGATCGAATATGGCCGTCGAGCAAGAGTGGCACGCCAGACGGGATGAGCGGCCGAGAACGCAGGGGGAGCCGACGTAAGTGCAGCAGCAAAATGAGCATGTGAAGATGTTTGACCCGTCTGGGAGCTTCATGACGGTGACGTGGCGAAGACGAATGGTTAAACAATAAAACTAGTGAGAAACGTCTACTGAATATCAATGCTTGAAGATTATGGGTTCTTGGTTAATTAAGTTGGAGGGAGGTCTTTTTTACAGGAGAAAAAAACAAAAATCTTGTTGAGACTTCCACGAATATGGCAAGAGCAGCTGGATCATCAGTAAGCAAGATAACATCTAGAAAGTAGCCTTCTAACTTATAAAGAACGTCAATTGGGCATTTGCAGCAATTTCTGCAGTATACTCGTACACAAGCCGACTACGTGTCAGCCTATCTCAGACACAAAAATACAAGCCATCGTTTCCCTATAATTCTCAATTTCCCTTCCAGCGCCAAGCCAAACATAAGAAAAAAGGAAAGCAAATGTGGTCTTGAAAACCAACCATATCCAGCCAACATACAAGCTTGTCAAAGTAACAAGAGAGAAAAAAAAAAAGCTCTTACTAAAAACACCAAGGGATCCGTAGCTCTGGATACCATCATGCATTGTGACGTTTCCTTCATCATTGGCAAAAGCACCAAATGGGATGCACTTTCCAACGCCAAACCAGTATAATACCCCCCCAAAAGCCACCCTGATAAAAACAGCCACCCAACCAGTCTGACGATTTACGATCCGTTTCCGCCAGAATCTCTCCGCAATCGATCAAGAGAACTGGGGTAAAACTTTCCCATTCTCCTCTGTAGTGCCCATCTGGCTACCTAACCACGATTTTTAGGCTGGGCGAGCATGTTGAGGCGGCTCATACTCAATGTTGGTCGTTTCTTGGAGGGCGATACCGAGCTAACGGGTCGGTTAATGGGGCGGGTGGGCGTCTTACCGACGCTTCGAGCCATCGTAGGCTTCTTCGTACTTGCAGAAGGAGTTGAAGCCAAACGAGGAGCTAACAAAGCCTGGCCCTCTGGAACATGGCTGCTCTTGGCCTTCTTTCCAGCACGATCGGCCGCCTCTTTATCAGTATCCCCATCGACAGAGTCGGCACGATGGCGTTTCTTGTTAGACATTCCATGTGGAACACCTGAAAGCACTTTTGGTGGAGAGGGTGCCGCATTTTCTTTATCTGGGTGAGAGCTCGGCGAGACCGGCTCAGGAAAGCTGCCAGGCATATCTGATTTGGATTTGATAGAATTACGCACTTGGCGTACGCTCGACTGGCCAGGAGAGGCGCCGAAGCCAATGGGCGATGGCTGTCCGAATTTGATTGTGTGGTCGCTTCGGAAGGTGAATTTACCAGCAATCGAAGGAGTAGGGGTAGGAGACTTTGCGCTCTCAGGTTCCGTGTCTAGGAGGTCTTTGTAGGCAGACAAATCAGGATAAGCAATATTTCCCGAATCTTGTTGTGCCAAGGCCTCCTTCGTCTCGGAACGCTGTAGGATCTTCTTAATAGCACTGGTTTTATAAAGCGTCAGAGAATCCGGGTCAAAAATGGTTCGCGTAACTTCTGGTGTGAACGTCACATGCTTAACCACCTTCTTCAGGGGTTGGGTGGCAGCAAGACGGTTGAGGTTCAAATTGGAGAACCGCGGTGGTGTAACGACCGGTTGTGGAATGGAACTCTGTCTCCTAGGTGAGAATATGCTGCTTCCAAACACAGATTTCATCACCGATCGCCTCAGAGGCGTATCAGGCTGATTCAAGGCAGCTTCGTCGGATTCTTTCGGCTCTGTGAGCGCCTTTTGTTCTTTACGCTCCTCTATTTCCGTAGACTCCTTTGTTTCCTTCATCTCCCTGGACTCTTTGAGTCCCCTTGATTCCTTAAGCGCCTCCAATCGGCTCTTAAATGTTGGCTTTGGTGATGGTACAGCAACAGGCACCTCGGACTTTCTAGGACTGACCGCATTCGCGAGTGATGATTTTGTAGGGCTCATCAAGCGAGAGAGACTAGGCCGAGCAATTCTGGATGCAGCAGGTCTCTTGACGCTAGATGCCGGGCGAGGAACTGAAGTGCTTTCTCGCATCACCGGACGGGTTGTCGAAGCATCGTCCTCCGCACTCTTCTTGAATCTCTTGGGGGGAAGCGAAGACTGCTCGTCCTTTGCAGTGCCCTGTTCTTCGCTAGCACGAGCCTTGAAATCCAACTTCTTGGAAGGGAGCTGGCTGGCGCTTTTCGTTTCTGACGCAAGCTTCTTCGAGACGGAAGACTGTGACCCCGCTTCCGCTTTTGAGGGAGTCCGTTTCAAGCTACTTTGCGGAGTGTCGAGATTAGCCTTGGACAGTGATCGTTTCACTCCTGGCTTGACAACGGGCTGGAACCTTCCATTTTGTGCCCTCCAAGCAGACGCGTGTCCCTCAATCGAGTCCATTTTCTTGAACTCAGCCATATGAGCTGCGCTAAATCTCCCAGACTTCCCTTTGGGAGTAGCAATTGTGCGGCCCTTGCCGTCGGTTGATGCGGATGTCGACTCGTTTGCCCTTTGAGCAATAATGTCGGCCTTATATTCGGCAGCCTTCTCTTTGAGGCCCTCCAAGACACGTAGGGCTTCGGGCCCTAGCCCCAGATAATCGCCCCCATTGGGGACACGAAGAGTGAATGCGGAAGATGGCACACCGCCAACCTTGGTCGGAGTAGACTGAAGTCCAGCTCCATGAGAGCTATCGCGCTTCCTAGCAGCGGTGATGTCTGTGAAGCCCAACCTGAGGGCGGATGAGGGCTCTGCGGTCGTCGGGTGAAATTTGCTGGGATGCATCTCTGTGCTAGGGGGCTTTAAGGCATAGGTCGCAGGCGTGGCAGGCGACGCCATGGTGATTGTCTTCTTGGGAGTTCCGCTGGTGGCGGGCTCAACACGATCAGTTTCTCTTGGGAGCTCCGGCTCGACGAGCATCTCCGGCACGGTATTGCTCTGCGTCGACATTGTCAGGCTACAGCAGGCTTTGAAGAGCGTGTTGGGGTAGGAAAAATCTCACCTTAGCAAGCCGAGCCGAGCGGCGAGGCGGCGGCGCAGACATGGTCTGGAAAGCGCTTGATTCTGACTAAAACTGCAAGGTAAGATGGTATTGATAGCAGTACTGTGAAAAGCGCAGCTTGTTTGATGGAGTGTCTCGTTAGCCAGAGGAGGAATGTCGTGATGGAATCCAACTTGGCTAGGTGATGGTATCAAAACAATGGCACGACCTGGTTGTCCAGTGGAGGGGGGTTTGTTTACTTTCTCGTGGTCCAAGCTCCGAAAAAAGGGCACGCGGTGGGTCTGACAGTGCGCAATACAGTAAATGTAAGCGAAATTAGCATTTAATTAGCACGGTATGATGATGCTATGGAGACCATGGCAACAGCTCAAGCTCTCTATCTGTTGACGAATTAATCACATGCTTTATCAGAAGATCTTTGTGGTATGGAGATAGCCAGAGTACTAGGTATCAAGAAAGCGTCATTCTTGTCGATTACTCAGTAATTCTCCCCGGCCAAGATCGAAGAATTTGTGGATCTCTTGATGCTGGTCGCGCCTCATTCGCTCTCTCTCCCAGAAACCTCCTGTTCTATACCTTTGCGATGGTGGTCAATGGGGCAGCCGCGCGCAGGCTTTACATTCATTCTCTTCGTACAAGAAGCTTATTTACTAGTGCATAATAATAGATCTTTGCCCAAGTCTTACAAATGCGCGTTTAAGAGCCTCTCAGTATCCTCAGTATGAATAGCCGCTGATGCCGGCAATAAAGCTCTCCGGCCACTGATATTACTTACTACTATCATAGGTAGCTCACAAACCCGCAGTTTATTTTTGCCAGCCTAGATCTTCAGCTGTACGTGTTTCACGAAACTCGATCTGATTATTAGCGCTAGATAGACCATGTAACGGCATCCTACACCGAGATCCATCCAGGACATGGCATTCCTCTCATCTAAATGTAGAACGGCTGCTGTCAGGATGCCAATCCTCATTAAGCGCTCACTCTAAGACTTTAGTCGATTCCCAGCTCCCAATCATCATGCCCTCAAGACCAAGGATCTATTAATTCCGATCCCTAAAAGCACGACGCTGCGGAGTCCTCCGCACTCCGAAGCGACAACGGAGCGCTCTCGGCACACGGCAGCATAATGATGTGGTTGCGCTAGAATCCTTCGAGAAGTCATAGTTCATGGCCGAAACTTTGCGGCTGCTCAGGTGATGACGGCGCCGTCGCTGAGCAGACAGGCTGCCTGCTCCAGCCTGTGCTTATTTCTCTCTTCAGGGGGGCCAAAATAGGGATATATCCAAGTTTGTCCAAGTGGTCGGCGACGGCGTCTGAAGTGAAAGGGAACGAATTGCGTGGACGGAGCATGAATGAGTTTACGAGGTGGCGTTTGGTAGGCCGCTAAGCGTCAGAGAGAAAATGATCTTCGCTCTATGCACATCTATGACGGGCCATGGTATTTCTGGAGGGTGTCAGCATGCACGAATATCTTGATTACCGTTTCCCATCCCATGCGAGGGCCAGGATTACCTTGCCGAGCATGCATGTATGTAGTTTTCTCAGATTTACTAGAGGCTACACGGCAAGGATATGACGACAATTCGGCTGGGCAGTAGACAAAAGTCGCCTGTGGCTGTTTCAATCAGCTCCCGTCAAGAAAGTTGGACGAAAACTAGGTAATTCTCAACAATTCAACAAACCCAATAAACAGAGATGGGCAAACGCATTAGGATGTGTGATCTCTTGCGTTAGCGGCGAACGCCTCTCCAACTAGCTCCAAGAACCAAGAGATCATCTCGTTTGAGGAGAGGCGGATTGGCACATCTCCGAGGGCGCTACAGCTGATTGACCCCTCAGCCTACTAGGTACTAGGCAACAAAGCGTTCCGGGCTTCGTATAAGAGAGGAGTGCATTATCCGCAGCATGCATCGTAAACGACGGGATATGGCTGACAGCTACAGAGCCCCTTGCAGCAGTGCTTAGAGAGGACGGTGGCTCAGCGTGGCATCAATTCGGCATTTCCCCTCTTTGCAGCAGCTCTGAAATAGAACAAGATTTGCCAGATTTACGATGGACAGGCATGATGTTCATGCCTGTCCCTCCGTTCTCGCCCGCTGCTCTGATCACGCGAGCTATAAGCTTTCCAACAGTGTGATGAAGAGCTTGACAAAGCTTTTGGCACTCCACCACATGATTGATTACGTTCGCTCAAGTTTTGCATCAGGTGAGAAATGCCTTTTACCGTCGTGAAAAGCTCGGCACAGTCATCGTGATCTCCCCCCAGAATAAGCCTCACAGCGGGTTTGCCGGAAGAATTCAATATGGTTGGTCGAAAGATGACTCCGGTCAGGGGAACACCACTTTTTCTGCCCCCATACATACACATAGTTTATGTCGTGGAGCGTCCCCGCGATGGGGTCGAAAAAATTAGACGGGATCAGCGATCAGTCTTCGGTGAAGCCAGACTACCAGAGCCATCGAACGCCACCAATTGACCAATATGAGGAGAGCAAGACGCCTCGACCGGACTTCCGGCACGACGGCGCACGCATCCTCGTGCTCGTCCTCGTCTCCATTCTGTTGCCGCTGGCAAATGTGTTCCGAGACAGCGCATTCCGAGCCCGCGCGGCATATCGTCGCCCCATGCATTATTGGTTATTGGAGAAGAGAGAAGAAAGAGAGGCCATCTGTGGCTTGAACAAGTGCCTATTATGAGCTGGCAGTTGGCTGGCTGAGCGAGTTAGCGAGAGTCCAAGTCCATCAGATCTGCACCAGGGCAACCCTCTGGCTAGGCCGACCAATAGGATGCGAACCTCTCCATCGGATGGTGGATTTTTTTCGCTGATCAATGCTACATGCTGCTATCCCGCAGATGCAGCAGCCAGAGGCGAGACACGACACGCGAATGATTGTTCGCCAAGGGCGCGGTGAGACAGGTTAAGCTTAAACCAAGGCAACCCAAGTCTGTCGTCAATCGCTTCGGTGTACAGAACGACGGAGAGGAGTCCAGGATGTCCAGGGCGCCAGTGCTGGGCAGCTGAACGTAGATGATGTCGGCTGCATCAACCTCCAGGCTTCTCAGGTCGTGCAAAGACGCCTGAACGGGCAAAGAGCGCTTCGAGATTTGCAGCTAGGCAGTTCGGCCAGGACGGTGCATCGTTTGGGGGCTGCAATTCGGCACTAAGTACTCCGTACATGGTCTACGAGGCGGTTCCTAGGGTTAGCAGGCAGGCCAGTTGCTGTCAGGCGGCAGGTTGCAGAACGGTAGCCGCTGCAAGCCCGTGTGTACGTATGTACGTGCATTTATTCGATCCGAAGCACGAATTCCCTCGAGCAGGGCAAATCCTATCGATTTGTCGTCATCGTGTAATAGGTAAGCGGCATTGACTGATGTAGGTATTTGTGCCTGCCATGCCTGCATGTCGGACCATCGCTCGCCCCGCAAAGCCGCCTTTGGGGTACCGTAACCAGCGGCATTACCTTAGTAGTAAGTAGTAGGTACTACAAGTAGGTACAATGTAGGTGGGATGGCTCTTGGCAGCCGTTGCCGGTTGTCGGTGTCCTCAAACGTCGCTGCTGCTGATCAGCGTGCTGTATTCCATGCTAGAAAGAAAAATTTTCTGCTTCTTTTCTTCTCTCTGCGTCGCATGCAGCCATGTCAATATTCGCTCATTCGTGCTAGCGAATGGTGATGCTGTCGTGAGCGTGCGCTACGCAGCCAGCGGCTGGCCTTACCCCTGGCATCACAGGGAATAATAGCGACCATGGCTGGCTAATTGACGGCTTAGCATGTACGTCTCCAGCGCCTAAGGTAGGTACGCTAATACTAAGGTGACAGCTAATGCGCAGATGCGGATATTCCAGGCGGGTAAAGAGTCTGGCCGGCATCAGAAGCGTCCCCAGTCAGCCTCTCCGCCAGCGGCACGGCCATTGATGCGTGCGCGGGTCCACAAGGAGGAGCTGGCTGGACTTGGCTCCTCAGGTGCGGCGATGAAAATTTCAATCCCAAGCCGTGCCTCCAGTCTGTTGCAGCCCGGTGGAGTGAGGGTGGTGGGGGAGCGCGGTGACAGTCCAACCAGGCGCTGGCCACGAAGCAATAAGCAGGCGATGGCCATTCCGCGCTGTGCTCGTCTCCAGGGCCCCTAGCCCAGAGACAGTCCTAGCAGTCTGGGCCGGGCGACCACCTGACCGTCGGCTGGCGAGACTGGATTGAGGCGAAAGCCAACCGGCGCTGCGTCCTCGCATCCACCGCACACCCACTCGCATGGACACATGGTTGGCCGATACTAGCTGCGAGGGCGCAGCCTCTTTTTGGGAATACGGACCAAAGACGCCAGCCGTGGAATCCAGCAGCCAGACGCCTCTGCCTGGGTCTGGGGTGCAGTTTGCTGTCTGTACGCGGTGCGTCGGTCGCAGCGCATCTGTCGTCCGGCCATGGCAGGCTTCCGCGACTGCTGTTCCCTTGCGACGCCGGTGGGCACAGCCGGGGATCGTCTGCGCGCTCGTGGTGGCACGGCCCAGGCAGGATGGGAGAGGTGTACCCCGTGCATGCAGCTGGACGGCTCACGTCTCACAGGTACCCGTGCCGCCGCGCTGCCAGTTTTTGCTTCGCATCCTTTCCTTCAGCGCCAACGCCGAGCTCGCTCGCCGCTCCACCTGGCAATCGGCCGATCCAAGCCAGCCAGTCACCAGCCAGCCGAGTCCCCAAGTCTCCAAGTTCCAAGTCCAAGCCTAAGCTGCACCCCGTCGACGAGCCAGGCCCAGCCTCAGCGCACCCATCAGACAGTTAGTGGCTGGCCGTGAGTCGCAGGCGCAGAGCGGCCGCGGACTCTCTCCATAAATGGCCATAAAGACGGGGGGCCAGCACCAGCGCAGACGTTGCCGCCGTAGAAGCTGCTGGCTCCCCTCTTCTCAATTCCCATTACATAAAAGAAGTCCCGGCGCCGTTTCCCACCAGCTTTTCGAGCTCCTGTATCTTCGACGACCCTCTCGGAAGCCTGCAAATTATCTTTCTGGAAGTGCGGGCTACCGTACCTTATCTCTCTGCTGATATATTTTTCTTACGTTTCCGCCCGCCAGGCGCATTCTCGGCCTCCCATAGGCGCCACAGACGCGCTGCCGAACGCCTATCTCTCTGGTCGTCGTCTTGCGCCCAAAGGACCCTGCAATTGCATTCGCCCGCCGCCTAATCTCGCTGATAACAGCGTTTTCTTCAGCGCCCACTGGCGAACCAGAGACCACCTTCGTCGTCCGGCCGGCAATCCCTCTGATAGCTTGCCGCCGCTTGTTGAATCCAGGCGACGTCCCACCCCTGAGACGACGTCACAGGACGCTGTTTTGTTTTCTTAGAATCACTGGGGCGCTTGCCGCAGCGCGGCTGTCGTCTCCAAGGGCCAACTCAAAGGCATGGCCGACAAGATGTCCATCGACACCAAGCCGCCGAACCCTCATGACCGGGACGAGAGCGAAGAGTCGACTGGTTCCACCCCGGAGAGAGACCAGAACCCGTCCATGACTGCCGGCAGCGGCAGTACCATCATCAACGTCTCCCAAGACGGTCAGCAGCCCAAGAGAAAGGGTGGCCGCAAGCCTGTAAGTGCCGTTTCTTCCTTGTCTATACTCTACTTTTCACGCCATCCCAAATATTTCCCCATCAACAGGGTATATGAGCACCTATGTGCCTGCTCTGCATGCCATCATGCACCTTGCTGCCAACTACTACTACTACTGCCAAGTACTAGCAGTAGTACCACTAATACCCCTCATCCTACCCTTCCTCCAAACCAGCAGCTGCAAAGCAACGATTCGCTTCCACCAGCTGGGTGTAATGCGATTTCGTAAAATAACACCTGCTATAATGCGTTGCACACAACTTGCGGTTTGCCGCAGGACAGCCGCACGGGTGGCCGCGGCTTTCAATTACCCTTTGTGGTAATTCGCTTCAACCCCATGCTTGCTTCTTGTACAACATCACGCAACATCACGGCATAACCATCACTGCGCTCATCGTTAACGTCCCCTTGACTATACAGATCTATGCCACTTCTGAAGAACGCAAACAGCGCAACAGACAGGCTCAAGCTGCCTTCAGAGAGCGTCGCACTGAGTATATTAAACAGCTCGAGGAAACCATCCGTGTCCATGAGTCCAACTTACACAATCTACAGGCGGCCCATCGCACTGCCGCTGAAGAATGTCTGATGCTGCGATACAAGAATTCGCTTCTCGAGCGTATCCTCCTTGAAAAAGGTAGGCTGCCTTCCCTCCCTATCCCTCGTATCCTTACTTTCCCACTTTAGTCACCAATCAACTAACGTTCCTCATTTTGTAAGGCATCGATGTTCAAGCCGAACTCCAGGCCAAAACCGGCAGTCCCAACTTGGCGCCCACTCACATGCCGCAGAACTTGGTCCAGCCACCTCCTCTTCAACGCACCATGATGCATCGACACCATGCGCGCAAGTCTACCTCCAGCATTGCTCCCAAGACTGAACCCGGCACGGCTCTTCCACCACCCTTGCAACCCCATAAAACCGCGCCATCACCCAAAAATCGACCAACACCTTCTTCTCATGCCAATTCCCCCAATACGGCGAGCTCGGCATTCTCTCCCGCGGCCTCAGATACCTTATCTATGAGAGGCTCGATTTCTGGATTGTCCCGTCAGCAGATGACACCCATCTCCATCACGACCCCTTCGTCGAGGCAGCCACTGGCACAGGCCGGATCGAGGGCGGCAATGGGCTCTGGTGCATCGTTCTATCCAACACCTTCATTCCAAAATCACATTGAACAGCTTGGTAAGAGACACAAAGATTACATACAGACTACGGATTTGCGTGTTGGTGGGTTTACTAATGCGTCGCTTTACAGAACAAGAATACGAAGCAGATATGGTTGAAGATTCAGAGATTGAGACACCAAGCGGTCCTGGCCCATACCCTGGCGGTTTCAACGGCGAGCAGCAAACGATGCTTCTCTCTCCAGCTTCCACAGGGCCCGGGCATCATGTGACAACGGGTTCCCAGTATCCCTCAATGTCTCAACTTCTGGACCAAAACGCAGACTGGGGAGATCCATTTGGTCTCAGTGCTAGCATGGCTTTTCCAGCTCAGCCTTTTCCGTTCGACCAGGGACATATGAGGTGATTGGCAGCTATGTGACATCCGTCGGATGGCCCGAACGATCCGGTGCTGCAGGGATCGTTGACTCCCACCTGGAGCTGAATCTCAACACTTCCTCGGAGTCGAAATACTTTCCATTCTACTTCGAGTGGTTTTCTGAAGTACATTAGCGCGAGATGGTCCTCACATCTCAAGATGAAGCTCGCTGCGGAGGCTGGTCATGTGCCGAAGCGGATGGCCAAGCATGGACTCCCCCTGGTTAAGATTAGTATGATGTGCGTCTCCAAACGCTCCGGATCTAGGTATTTCTAGGACGCGAGACGCTTGGTGGCTCTCATTATGCCTGGTCGATCCAGGGTAAAGGTGTAGTACCCGGTCCCGCGTCAGACGGAATGTGGAGAACGAATCGAGATGTCCCGTGGAGTTGTTGAACTCTGTTTGGTTAACGGCCCACTGGCTATTCTTAATGCCTGTTATCATGGGTGCCATTGGGACAAGAAATCCATACCAGGATGACCAAGGGCTGCGGGTATGCCTCACGTATTCCACGAATCACCGGGCGTTGATTTTAGTTTGAAAAATTATATGATTTAACTCTAGCTCATGATGTACGAAGCATCACTTTGGTGGCATGACCCATGTCTTTGGGCTTCTTTTCTTTGCCCAGTCCGAGGACGACGACGTGGTGGATATACCCATTGTACCATTGGATTGATGTTACTAAAGATTTTAATACCGAGAGATGAAAAAAAAAACAAGGCATGAAAAAAAGCGAAAAGGGATTTTGGTACAAAAAAGTTATCTTTTTAAGGCTTTCGTGGGTATTANTTTTTTTTTTTTTTTTTTTTTTTTTGCGGCGACTTATCTGAAAAGAGATATACAAAGAGAAGGAGGAGAAAATCACAGCCGAAAGGGCATAGGAAATTCCGTATTAACAAGGGGAGCACTGGGACTGATAGCATGGTTTAAACGAATATAATGCATGTAAGCTTACCTTTTGGGTCTTCTCGGGGGATTTCCCTTTTGGTATATATGGATGCGTATGCATCATAGCTTTTTATTTTTGTTTTTGTTTTTTTCTTGCTTATATTCCAATATATATTTCCATAATTGTACATACTACTTACTTAGAGTCTTCCTTCCTGTTTGAGGCAATTCCCGAGGAGGTCTAGCGTGGCTGCTACTGTATATAAAACTCCGACGAAAGAGATAGATCTGTGTCGGAGTATAAATGAGAGAGAACGAGTGCCGAATGCTCAGACGGGGAATAGCCAGATCTGCGATGAATGCTAACACCTCCACTGCCCATGCAATAGTACTAGTATAATACGGATTCTTGTGCGGAGTATGTCTTACAGCATCGGCGGGTTGTCTTGAATATCACTGGCGATTTACGTAGGGACGTGCTTTTTGCATGTGTCAGATTGTATCAGTTATGACTGAATGAAGAACAGGGCCGACCACAGATTCTAGTGTGGTGTCGAGTGATTCTAAATTGAGATGATTGAGATCTACTAGTTCAATTTCTATTCTTAGTAAGTAGATACCTGTCTTATACATAGAAGCTACCAAGGTATATCAAAGTAAGCAAAAAGGCTTTCAAATCGTTAACATGAGTCATGAGGCATCGTGTGCGTTACCAAAGGAAAAAGACAAAGAAATGGAAAGGAGGAAACAAAAGGAGGGGGGAGAAAGAAATCCCGCCAGTACTACTACTCAACGAGCAGAATCCGTGATCCTCATGACGATCCACCATCATCTCCTCCCGAATTGGCTGGAGATACGGACTTGCTTATAGACGGCCATTATCCCATATTAACAAAATCTCCCCCTCATCTCCGAAACCAAGGCTCTCTCTGGCCTTCGTTAAACGACCAACAACCAGAAAACGCTTCCGAGACACAAGGCCCATGCCCATGCCAGGCTGTTACCAACGTCAGCTCCGGCCATCCGCGTGGCTGTGCTATTCCACAGCATGGTAGCAACTCCCGCCTCGGTCACCTCATCGATGCTGCACACCACCTTGCATTGCCCAGCGGCATCCGAGCTGCGCCGGAGCAGTTGCCCCCGGGGACCGACATCTCGGCTCCATAGCAACTGACTGGGATGATTCCGCTTCTTTGAGGGCCTGGAATCGGAGGTGTTGTAAATCATTTCTATCCACTGGATTTGGAGATTTGCCGAATCATACAGCGACATGTTGCCACTCCAGCTGCCGCCGTCGCTCCAGGCGTTGAAATTGATGCCCGAAGCGCCCGTCGGCACTTGGAAGCTGATGTTGGCGACCTGCTGGCCGTCGACGTACCAGACGCTGCTCTGGGCGGTCCAGTCGAGGCGATGAACGGCCCATTGGCTCCAGATCATGCCATTCGGCAACGTGACGTTCTGGGTGGCGTCGGGATTGACCTTGTCGTCGCTGGTGAAGGAGGGCTGGTTGGTGTACTGGATCTTCTCCCGCGGTCCGCGAGTCAGGACCTCCATGTCGGCCTCTTGCACCGCAGACGTCGAGTTGGGGTCCCGATAGGTGAAGAAGGCCGTGACGGCGCCCGGCCCGCCAATGGTTCGGGCGAGCATGCGCAGAGACACAAACTGGTAGTCTGACGTCTTGGTCTGGAAGGCCGCCGCGGACTGGAACTTGGGCAGCCGCTGGGTGCGCAGCGTCATGTACGTTTCCGACGCGGCGTCGCTGTCGTTGTTCTTCTGAATGTACACGTTGCTGGGCGAATACACCATCAGGACGGCTGCCGCGCCGGACAGGCCCTTGCCCTTGCCCTCGCTGTTGCTCCAGCCCTGGGGCTGCCACACGCTCGTCCACTCGGGGCTGGAAAAGTACTCGCTCGTCGGCTTGGCGATGGTGGCGAGGGTCTCGTTGGTGATGAGGGCTGGGACGCCGGCGTCTTTGGTTAGGTTGCGGAAGTCGAAGAACATGTGGTTGGAGAAGTAGCCCGGCTGCGTGCCATTGGTGAGGAAGCAGTCACAGACGGAGTCATCGCCGTTTGGCAGAGGCTGGGGACTGCTGGCTGCGGCGAGGCATGGGATGAAGATGGGTAGTATTACGAGTGCTGTTAGTGGTGTAAGGGGAGAGCATGAGGGCCAATGCATGGTGTTGGACTTGGAGGAGTTGGTTCAAACTACGGGGGATGAGCAAATCTAAAGAAGAATTGAAAAGTGATGCTGTTTAATGGGTGGGAGGAGGCAGATGTAGACTGGTAGGCAGCTTCAAGAGCTCTTCTTAACAGCATGTGAAACGAGGCATCGAGATAGTTATCATCGGCACAACACCAGCACGACACGAGAACGACGAGGGAAAATGGAAACAAGGAAAAACAAAGAAAGAAAGAAAAAAGGGAGCGCGAAGGATCAATTGGCCATGCCTATTGTGTACCGTGCCTGTACCTGGGCCTGTATGCAATAATGTGGGCTCTTCGATTTACGGATTACCGATGAACTGATCGCTGTTGGGTTGTCGCATTTTGACGGCGTGCCGTGATGCATGGGCTCGTATTTCGGACTACAGCTGCGGTGAAGGTGGAGTGAACAGGAATCGGACTCCGTTGAGATCTGCGCTATTGCAACGGCATAATGGCAGCTTGTTTCTAGGTCCGGTGGCGCTATTATAGCTCAATGGGCAGACACATGTATGTTTTGCTGTCAATTCCTCGGATTATTCATTTCCCCGAGCCTCGCCCAGATCCCATCTGCCGACCCGTCGCCTTGCTCCTTGCATAACCTCAGACCTACATACATACATCACTTTAACTATCCACAGTGGCGGCGTTCAAGGCGAACAGCACAAGAGCTTGCGAGGAAGAAGCGCGACAACCCTCTTTCCCACCTGCCTTTGGTGTTCTTGTAACGCGAAAGGAAACGGGCGGAGCAAACAACACGCGACCTGTAGCAATTGAACCACCTCTTTGTCCCCGCCTGCTAAGCTTTAGGTGCATAAGTATCATGTTGATCATGGCAATTTCAGGATACTCACGGTTGCAGATGACCTTAGATACCACAAGAGCAAGATAAAGCAAAAGGCCACTTGGCTATCTATCCAACATGTCGTCGCCAAGTGCCGCCTCTGCTTCCGTAGAGCAGCAAAAGGTCGAGTCGCCATCAGCAGTACTCGACTCTGCCCATGAAGCCGCAAAGGATGAGCGCGTTGACGACGACGACGCTACAACTGAGGCCGTAGAATTGGCTGGAGAAGCTGAGTCCGAAGCAGCAGAGAACGGTGCCGAATCTGCCGACAAATCACCAGGAGAGGCATCGTCTTCTGATGCTGCTGAAGAAGCACCGCCGCTGCCGAACGAAGCTGTTCCTGATGGCCCACCGCTGCCAAATGAACCAGTGCCACAGAAGCCAGAAGATGACGGATGGGATTGCCAGTGGGATCCGAATAGCCAGTCGTGGTTCTTCTACAACCGGTTCACAGGCAAGTCTCAGTGGGAAAACCCTCGAGTGCCAGACGCAAGCGCTGCGACCACCTCACAAAGGGTAGAGCCGCAGCCGCCTTCTGATGAGAAGCCTGTTGCGGGCGGCTACAACCCTGCCATACACGGCGACTATGATCCAAATGCATGGTATGCCAAGAATGACCAAGAGGATGAAAGTGCGTCTGCCGGCTTCTCTGGCGACCCCGCTGCCATCTATGGTGCTACCGTTTCTTTCAATCGCTTCACCGGAGCCTTTCAGTCCGGTGATGCGGGCCCTGAGCGGCACTCGGACGAGGCCAAGGCTAAGCGTCAGATGAACGCATATTTCGACGTGGATGCCGCGGCGAATGCTCATGGTGGCCGCAGCTTGAAGGCTGAACGCTCGAATAAGAAGCCAACTAAGAATGAGCTGAAAGCCTTCAAAGAGAAGCGCCGGGCCAGAAAGGAAGAGAAGCGCAGAGCTTGGCTGCGCGATTGAAAAACAATCTTCTCTAGATTCTTTTTTTTTTTTTTTTTTTCTGATACAGGACTTTAGGATTTCTACTTGCTTGGTTTGGTTCTCTTGCATGGCATTGGTCTTTTTAACCCCCAATCTACTTAACACTTTAGGGGTTATTACTTTTTTTTTTTTTAATTTGGCAGACTTGTCGGCTTGAATTTTCTCGAAACATACAGCGGCGTTGGAAAAAGAATGGGGGTGCGGACGGCATATTATAATTTTTTTGGCTGTAATCATGTTTCGTGTATGATTACCCAGTGGTGTTTACGTCCGGCTTTATAACTTATTGCTTTATACCTAACTTTACCTCTTTAGATTCTTAAAATTTTTCTCGAAAGAACTAAACCAGTTCTTTCAACTAGGCTTGGGACGATGGATTAGATTACTTCGTACATTACATATCCAAATATACTCAATTACAAGGCTCATGCCGCGTTACTCTCTAGCTTTCCCCCTTTTTTTCCTTTCTCCTTTGTAGAATATCTTCCTTTTTACATTTTACATGATTTCACTCTTCTTCATCCTCCTCCTCCTCATCATCATCATCCTCCAATTCCATATTCAAGTGTACACTTGCATCATCATCGCTCTCGGAATCTTCCGCATCCTCCTTTGTTTGTGGTACAACAGCAGGGAGAACAGCAGGCTCTGCTTTCTCAATCTCCTGTCTCTTGGGATTAAGGGGGACATCAGGGCCCTCATGCTTTCTCTTGGGCGGAGATGATGCCCTTTCCGTGTTGTTTGAAGCCCGGGGTTCAAAGGGGTTGGGCGCGGAAACAGAAGCGGCGGCGGCGGCGGCAGCGGTGGTGCTCTGGATTGGTAGACCGGCTTTAAGATCAGCTCCGGATGATGTCGCCTCCTTCTCCGGAGATTTACTCTCGGCGTCTTGATCTTGCATTTCTTCATCTTGCTGGTCTTGTTCTTCCTCTTGTTCCTCGTCAATCTGCTGCAGCTCTGCAACTTCGCTTAGCGAGGCAAACATTTCGCTTCCGCTGCCCGAAATGCCGCTAGTGCGCAGGTTGCTACGGAGGATCTCCAGGCCTTGGTCGTGCGGGAACTGCTGCGCCAAGTGAGGCAGGATGCTGGGATACATTCTGCCGTGGTGGTCTCGGTAAGGGTTGAGGACGCTGGCGAGCATGGCGTCGCGGTTGCCGGTGAGCATGGCCGTCTTGTCGAGGTTGCCGCGGTAGGAGGGCTTGAGGTGAGATTGCGGCAGCAGGGACAGCATGGCTGTGAGGAGCTCGTTGGCTGTGTTTCTGTGGTCGGTTTCCAAGGTGGGTGACTCGCTGGCTGCTGCGGCTGCTTGGGGCTGGAGGAAGAGATCGGTGTTGACTGGGGCAGCGCCGCTCTTTGTGCCTTTCCCGGTCGTATTGGAGGGAGCGGGTTTGTCGGCAGGTTTCAAGAATCCGGTATCTTGTTGTAGGTCTCTACAGCATGCTCCCATGACAGGTTCCAGCATTTCCACGGCGGGTTTGGACAGCGTCGGTCCCGCAAGTTGCAATATGGTATTCAGGGTTGTGTATCCTGCTATCCGAACTGAGGGGATGCTGATGCCAGACTTGAAGACACGGATGAGGTGGTCCAAGAGTTCAGGGACCAGAGGCAGCATATGTCTTTGAAGTCTTTGGAAGAGAGAAACAATGAGTTTCATTGCCGCCACGTGAATATCCGGCAGCAAACTCCATAGCTCGTCCTTTTCTTCTCTGCCGATGGAGGCATTGGTGTCGACAGCCTGCTCCCAGGTCTGGGATTTTGACAGTCGAGCAATCAGACAGACCCTAGAAATAGTGTCCACAAGACCGCTGATGGGAATGGCAACGGCGGCCTTGGTGGGATAACTCAGCAAGTCGCCCAAAAACTCAAAGAGGCCAATTAGTCGGTCAGTGCCGGCAGCGAGGCCGGACCAGCGAGGTAGATGCTCGGCAGAGCTACCTTCGCCGTGCGGCTCTCCATCAACATCAACCTTGGATCGCGTACGGCCACTAGTTGCCTCCCATGATTCATCAACGGCTCGGAGGACCTGGTCGGCGGTGGTGTGAAACTCCTGAAGAATACCATCAACGAGCTTGGCCCATTCATCGCTGCCACCTGCCTTGGCCGCAACGAAGTGAAGAGAGGCTACGAGGCGCCTGGCAGCCCGTTTCAGTGATTCCGGCACACTGATTTCATCCGAGCAAGTTGGCGCAAGGTATGGTCCGACAGCGGTGCGGACTTGGGAGCTGAAAGGGCGGAAAGTAGGTGGGTAGAGGGGAATCAGAGTCGAGAACGATTCGCAGATGGTTTCAATCAGGTCCATAGGCGCCAGTACTGATTGTGATTCACCCTTTTGCTTAAGAAGCTGCATGCAGGCCGTTGCAAAAGCTGGGAGCGTGGGTGTCGCAACCTCTCGAACCAGGGTTTGGTAAGGATGAACGAGCATGTAGATTTTTGTGAGAGTCACAATAGCCAGCTCCTTGGAAGCCGGAGGATCTCCTTTCTGGAAACATTGTAAGCTTTCATAACAATGAATTGATCTACATGATGAGCCAAACACCATACCTGTACAATTGAGAGCAGTCCTGATACCCAGGCAGCAGAACCTCGGAGAGTCTCCCAGCCGCCAACGTCAACAGCCGCCTTGACTAGGCCAATCGCAACGAACCTGCCCTCGCGGCTGCGGCCATTCAATAGTGTCGTGATGCTCGTCTTTAGCTTGTGGACAAGCATAGAAGCCTGAGATCCATCGCCCTTGGCTTTGGGGTCTTGAGGGGCGGATAAAGCATCACGACATCGCAGCACATGGCGGATGAGAGAAGGGAGGGAGTGAGGCAGCTGCGCCGGCGGGATGGATGTGAGTTTCCGCGTAAGGACCCGGAGGTCTATGGCGGAAGTTGATGAAGACATTCTGTACGGAGATGCACCGGCGATGTGTTACCGGCGAAGAGGCGAGAGGGAGGTATCGGAGGTCGTCGTAGCAGAATTCTTACGAGATGCTCTGCTTGTAGCTGGTCTAATCAACCTACAATAAGACAGAGGTAGGCGCAGGCAAAGCTCGCCACTCGCTCAAGGCAACGTTTGGAGGGTCAAGATGAAACGAATTGGATATCTTCAAAAGAATACACCCAGTAAATTATCGCCAATTGACTCCCAGATGCATCGCCTTATAAAAGCTTCACATCCAACATGCAGCTCTCATCTGCTGCTTGCCAACGGTGAACTTTTTTTTTTTCTTCCTTGCCCATACAGGCAAGGTTCAGGTACCTTGTCAGTCGCCGTGGGGTTCGGTGCTGCGCCGCTGATTGGCCCACTGTGGACTCGCAGCGATTGGGATTAGGTATTAGTGCACGTCGCAATCACAAGGCACAGGCCAATTTACAGGCGCTCGACTGCTGCCAATTAGGTGCCGCTTTGCTGGACCACACCTAGAGCGTGGCCTAATCTTAGCAGGCCATTCACTGCCCGGCTGCATTAGGTCGTCGTACAGCTCGACCGCTGCACTACGTCAAGGGTAGGATTTGCCTCTCTCCCTTTGGACGTTGTTCATCTCCCCTTTTTCGAAGCCTGCGATCGCAACTCCTTCTTCTGCGTCGCGGCCGCTGGTTGTCAGAGCTTGTGCTGAACCCATCAGTGACACCGGCAGCGTCTGTTTTTGCGCGTTTGCTCCAGAGCTCCACGTATGCGTGCGTCGGGGAGGCTGAACAGCTGCGAGCCTCCATTCCCAGAACCCTTTGTCCCGCCCCTGAGCCTGTCGCAAAATGACTGTAAGGCACTGCCGCCAAAACGATGGAGAATTCCATGATGCTGACCTAAATCTCTCTCTTGCCCTCAAATCTAGACAAAGGCAGCTCGCTATGCTGAATCGCTGGACGACGCCCGCTGCGAGGGCACCTGGGCAGACGTCCCAGAGCTGGTTCGCAAGGTCCGCAAACACGATCCAGCGCGAGAATGTGCGTCGTTGCCCCCCAAGATCCGGTCGTCGAGTACACAGGAAAGCTAATTGCCAACGATTGGTCCATCACAGGCCTTACGTTGACGGCCGAGTCAGAATGCGTCATCTCCAAAGTAACAGCCGCCGGCGATCAGCTTGCCGATCTCGACGTCCCCAATAGACTTCCGAAGCTCATGGCTGTGCTTGATGCCGAGACTAATTCTGCCGAAGAACGATTCCAGGCCCAGGTATGTGTTGGATGGATGCATTGGGTCGTTGGAGAATACGCGCTGGCGCTGGAACGGCTACCCAAAAGTCTTAACAATCAATATCCGGACATCGACCCGGCCAATACAGCATCGGAATGGACCAGTGTGTGTGCTTTAAAGGCTGCCTACCTCAGGGCTAACTGCCTTATGAGAGATGGCCACAGATTGCAGGCGCTGGAAGCACTGCAGGCGGGCCTCCCATCTCTGGACCGAGTCTGGTGTGGCCATGGTATCCGTAAGCAGCTGCGGTATTGGTCGGAGCTGTTTCTCACCGAGCACTGTATGCTCACTAGCGAAGCGCTTCATAATAACGAATTTACATTGGATGACCCCAATTCCATTGCCAGCTTTCGATCTTGGGCAAGGTACTGGAAAATCATGTCAGCCCCCGTCACGGGCGGTTTTGGCTTCAAAGGCGCCGTGCCTCGAAGAAGGATATGGCACGAATACTATCTGGCCTTGTCTCGAATCCTGGAGAACGACTTACCTTATCCACCTGGGCAAGCTGAAAAGATGGTGGAAGACATGTCAGCCCGAGGCCAGTTGAGAGTTGAGATCCAGCGTGCGGAGGCCGCCTATCAAGCCCTCCTGCTTGGTGAGACCGCTTTTCCACGGGCAGATGAAGAGCGTGCGGAGATTGAAACATTCATCAAGCAAGTCATGATGAACTGGTCCATATTGTGTGGCCGTGGGTGGAGTGAGCAAGATCTGGGCCAAGGAGGCCGGGATCTTCTTAGCCGTAGCGTGCTCGATACCTTGTACAATGCCGCCACAAGGACGTACCACTCGACAGCCATTCTTAGATCCTTATTTCTCGTCCACTTATCGGTTGCCGAGTTCGACCTAGGGTTTAAGGCGCTCGACTCATATCTGGATATTGTCAAACAGGGCAAAGCTCGTGTTGCGAAGACAGGACACTTAGAGCCGAGTTTGGACGACGACAAGACCGCGTTAGAGACTATATCACAGGCTATAATGATCCTATGCTCCTACGGACATGAACAAGCCGCAGAAAAGGCCCGACATTTGGGCTCCGAGCTAGAAGATTGGCTTTCTAAACTTCCACACTCAAATCTGCAAGAGAATGGCACCCCCGCGATTGCAGAGGATAGAGAAGAGATCAAAGTACCAGCTAGCGCCCCGCCTCCTCAGACCATTGCCCTTGCGTGGCAAGCTATTGGACTCAGTCATGCTCACTGGTCTCGAGTGACGACTGATGCTGGGTCGAGGGCCGAGATACAGTCCAAAGCAATCAGATGCCTTCGCCGGTCTTTAGCTCCCGAGTATGGCCGCTCAAAAGATGTCAGAAGCTTTTTCGCTCTTGGACTTTTGTTAGCTGAGCGACGCGAGCTAACTGCAGCTATAGAGCTTGTCAGGTCTGCATTAATAGCCGTGCATGGATTCGAGGAAGACTACAATCTGTTCTATGGGCCTTACTGGCAAGAGAGGTCTCTAATTCCCTTGTGGCATCTCCTATCCATCCTCTTAAGCGCCCGACAAGACTATGTAATGGCAGCAAGGGCGTGTGAAGGTGCTTTGGACCAGTTCAAAGATCCAACCGTTCTCTTTGGAAAAACAGAAAGCCGTTTCCGCAGCGAGCATCTCAAGGATGTCGAAAATAAAAACTTGCCTCCAAGAGGACTCATTGATGACATGAGCGATGAGGAAAAGATCAATATCATGGACGTCAAGATGACACAACTCGCCTTGGTTGAGCTCATGGAAGGGCCAGATGTTGCTGTGAATGCCAGTTTGGAGTTGTTGACTTTGTTTTCACGACTATTCGGTAGCATCGACGTACAACAGCAGGCACTCAGGCCCCCAGTTATTGCAGAGCCTCCAAGGACCTCGCGCACATTCAAGGGTAGCATTTTTGGGTCGCGAGCTGATAGGTCAAGACAGACAAGCAACCAAAATTTGGGAGAAAATTCGACTATACCTGTTCGCCCTGCTACGTCTCACACTACTGCTGCTGCAAGTATCGCTCCAGCGGTCCAAGTGACAACAGAAAACGGACATACAAGGTCAAGGAGTGGCAGTCTGGGAACTCAGACACGCAGGAGCGAGTCTGGGAGAAGAAACAGCTTGAAGAAAAAGTCAAGAAGCGGCAGCCAACGACGTAGATCGTCGAGTGCAGGCGGCGTGTCACATCAAGCTACGATAATTGGAGATGCCGATTCAGCTAGTCAGAGCCATGACTTCTTCTCAGCATCTGGCCGACGTCTACAGACTCGGATGGCAAGCTCCTCCCGAGGAAGGACAATTTCCTCACTTAGCTCAAACCTCACCAACAGTTCCAGGATGACTGACGATTCAGAACTTTCAATCGACATCAGCTTTACACTGCCTCAGCTGCTACCTCTTATCCAATTCCCAAGAGAAAAGGAGAGGCGCCAGCGGACAACAGTTCTAGTTAAAGTATGGCTGATGATTGCTGGGTTCTATCGGCGAGCGGGAATGTTGGAGGACTGCAAAGGTGCCGTGACCGAGGCACAGAAGTTGATTCAGACACTAGAAAGCGACTTGGCTAAGGAGCTTTCCCTTGGACCAGGCTCTACCAAAGGCCCGGCATGGGGCGAGAAGAAGAGTATCGATGAGCTATGGGGGGACCTTTACTCTGAGGTGAGTAGCACAACTCTCTTGATTGCACTTTATAGTATAGATGGATTGCTAACATACGTTTCAGCGGGGTTTGATATCGTTGGCTAAACAGACGCCATACGCTGCCAGGACCGACTTTGAGTCGGCCTTGACGCACTATCCGGACCATCCTGGGGCCATTGTCGGTCTATCCAATATCTTGCTTGATATCTACAGCGAGAAGCTGCTCCCCACGCCATCTATTCCACCTTTGGATGGACACGAGATTTTTGATGACGCAAGTCATCCCAAATCTGAACCTTCATCAGGCGGCCTCAAAACTCTGCCATATATCCCTTTGGGACTCGCCTCCGATCCTTCTACAGTTGAAGTCCCCAGCCCAAGTGAAGAGAATGAGAAAGAGGAATCCAAAGCCGCGGATTCTGGCAGCGATTCTCAGGACGAAGATGAACTTCCTGCGCCATACAAAGCCTCTCATCTGCCTCTTATAGATCGACTGGCCGCGCGTGACCGCGCTTTTACACTACTATCGGGCCTCACTCGCCTCGGTACGGGCTGGGATTATTCCGATGCATGGTTCGCACTCGCTCGCGCTCATGAAGAGAATGGACAGCTGGAAAAGGCGAAAGAAGTCCTGTGGTGGTGCGTCGAACTCGAAGAGGCCATGGGAGTGCGGGACTGGCGCAGTCTTGCTGGTGGAGGCTACATAATCTAAATAATTCGATGGGCGAGTTTTTCTATTTTTTTTTTTTTCTTTTTCATTCTAATTGTTGCTCTACTTTCATACAAACAAGCGGATAGAGAGAAGTGAATAATTCATGACAGACAGGTATTATATATGGAAGAAAGAGGAGGAGAATATGATAGAGGTATGGGGCGACGATAGTCGAGGTACAAAAAAAAATTGATAGAGCACTTAGGACGTTTTTTTTTTTAACGTTCTTTTCTTCGTTTCGACTATCTTATTTGACTTTCTTCTTGGCTTGGCGGCAGCAAGCAGCGTCGTTGTTAATATTTGTATTTTCAATATAGATTTGATAGGAAATTCAAAGGACCATGCAAGGGATAACTATAAAAGAGGTGCAGCCTTTCATAGATTGCATGAAAAATTATATATACGCTTCGACGCATACTATAGTAAGTATCATGGCTCTCATACGCCAGGGCTATACGGTCTACTTATTGCAGTGCTGTTGAAACATATCTGTATATATATATATATATAGGAGGGCAGTCACATTTTTCCAAGTTACCGTATAGATAGATAGTGCTTCAAGGAGAGTCTAGAGAGTGTAGGCGTGTTATCATTTCAACCATCGTCTACACGATTTCCATTATATATATATGCTATCCTACCCAGCTTCCTACCTACCTACCCAACATATCCTCCTACCAGATACCGGAAAACCCGTCATACCAAGCCACCACGCATGTGCGCGGACCAAACAAATGAAAAATCTGATCTTCTTTTGTCTTTAATTTTTTTTTAAAAAAAAAATCCATAAGGGGGATAAACGTTGCAGTTTTATGTGTTGCTTCTATGATATGCCGCACACCACCTCCTCTTTTTTCTCACATGATACTCTGTGTCGTGTCCATACACGGCTTCAATCTAGCACTTTGATATGCCGCTCCTAACCACCGCCTATGCTATTGTGTATAAAGTCATCAATCTCAAGTGAACCACAAATCCCCACTACCTATTGCTTAACAGCTGTTGGAGGTAATTTGAGAATTGTCTCTTGTCCGTTGAGGTTGTCAAAGATCGCAAAAAGTCGTCGCTGTTGATGCCCAAGCTGGGGAAGACTTCATTCTGCATTTGGTGGATGTAAACATTACCGGTTTTAGTATATATCATCTGCTCCAATGCCGCAATTTCCGTCAGCACCTGTTTTGTCTGTGCATCGGATGAAGGCTTGAAGCTGGGGTTTCGCATAACTTCCCAGCACGTTGAGTGGAACCTTTCCATGATGAAATGGTCGAATCCAGGAATTGCTGGGCTAGGGCTACCAGTCGGTGCTGTTGGTTCTCGTGAAATTGTGGCAACGTCAGGGCCGCCCCAAAGAGCGGAAATCCGAGCCATGATCGTAAAGGCCAATCGGCTCGGGCCAAGATTTCCATCCAAAGTTTTTGCCAACTCGAGAACAGAAGCAATCATCGGCTCAAAGAAGCCCTGGTTTGCTTCACTAATAAGAACTCCCTCCAGTCCGTTGTTTAGAATGATCTGAATGAAGGAAAGGTATTCTCGTCTTAGTTCCGCCAACTGAATCTCGTCATCAGTGCCAGAGATGGGTTCTCCAAGGCCCCCAAAGATGCGCTGAAGAAGTGGCGTTAACAACATGTTGAGGACGTCATAGATCTCTGTTTTGAAGCCAAACACCACTTGATCCAGAAGTCGCAGGAACATTGCCATCTCATCCTTTGAGGAACTTTGTGAAAGTAATCCTTCGATCCACTTTGGAAGCTGTGGGAGAACAGCAGCACCCAGAACGCCGAGCAACTTGGAGAATGCAGACCTACAAGCGGTCCTGATTTCCGCCGATGAGTTTAGCTCGCGAAGTGCAATGAGAATGGCCTCTGCAGCGCGAGAAAATTCATCAGAGACAAGCTTGTCCGGGGGCCCATGTTGATTTGCTGCGGTCGATCCTGGAGTCCAGTCGGAAAAGCCGTGTGCCAAGGTACCTAGCGCCATGACAATGTGATGGATTTGCAAGTTCGCTTGTGCGTCACCACCCTTGGCTCGAGGAAGGTGGACTTCCATATCTTGGAACAGAGGATCCATTACAGATCGAGCATATAGTGCCTGGTTTTCGGCTGGCGTGCTGTGCGTAGAAGAGATGCATCCAATAGCCTCGAAGAGGTAGAGCTGACTAGTGAAAAGAGCATCCGCTGAGTGGTCGGACTCATCCGACGACATGTCATCGTCGGCATCTTCTCCAGGTACCTCGGCCTTGATGGGCAGCAGGTCTCCGATGGACTGGATGACAGTTTCGGCCACATTTCCTACACGTGATCGAAGATGTTTGATGAACCTGTGGAATAAATACCAGGATCGTGTCTTGATGCGAACATGGTTGTGGTGGACAAGACGAACAAAATTCTCCAGAACTTGGGGGATATACTGCGAATGGGTTTCAAAAACAACACAATACCGGACGCAAATTTCCATGTATTGAAGAACAATTGCTGGGTGCGAGAAATTAGCGATTCCTACATCCGCTTGTTAGCCAAATTCCTGGTACCATCGCTGCAATAGCTGCTTTTTTTTCGCTGATACTTACCAGATTCGACCATCTTCTGCATCATGACAACCAATCGCTCGGAAGCTTCCGTAGATGGTTGGTTCTTTGTACCCAGACCCTGGTTCGGTAATGCAAGTTCGCCAAAGAGGTACATCTCATGCAGTGCAAGGTCAAGATCCCGCCAATCCATGTGCGACCCCTGCTGGTCCAGCGTCTGGAAAGTGGTTGCCACCAGATTGCTAAGCACGTCCATATATAGATTCTGATCGATAGCGGCAATGGTTTTTTGAAGGTACTGCAGGCGTCTTCGAAGTTCTTGAAATTCCGCCTCGTCTGTTTGTTCATCCTCGTTACCCCATGATGTCGTCTCATCGTATCGCATCTTTTGAACAATTGCATTCAGTATCGGCGAGAGCATGTTAGAATAATCTTGGTTGAGCTGCCCTAGTTTTCGGAGAAAAGTGAGGAGGTCGGTCAATGATGGAATGACTGTGGAACACACTTCGTCGTACTCGTCGGAAAAGAATCGCAGAAGCAGCGGGAGAAAGCCGTCCAGGTGCTGTTTGGCCCTTGTCCGGGTGTCGTCGCTGGCCTGGCCATCGTCAAGAGCCCTAATAATGTCCGCCACGGTGGTATTGACGAGTTTAGCAATAGCCTCGGCAAGGTCCGTATCGTACTGCGGAGTGCCTTTGAGATCGTTGAGCATTGGGCTGGCGACCAACTGGCTGACAATATCCTGCAAATTGAGGAACGAAATCATATCCATCTTGTCCGTCGAACGCATCTTCTTGCCACAAATCTCAGTCAAGGTGTCGATGGCAGTATCTCGCACTTTGTCCTCGCTACCCGTTCGTCCAACTACGGGCAGCAGCAGGTTAAGCATATCCTGGCTGACTACCAGGGAGATGTCCATCCAGCTAACCCACTTGCCGATAACTTTCAAGACTAGGTCTATAACGACGTCATTTCCACTGTATCTAGAAAGGAGCTGCTTCCAAGATTCGGCGACTTTCTGCATGTCTTGGGCACGGAGCTGGTCTTTGAGCTCGGTATTTCGCTTGGAATCGCCGCTCTGCCGTGAAAGGAGCATGTCTGCAATCTCGTCGTGTACCGATGATAGGACTCGCAGGTAAAAAAGAACACCAGAGACGTTGTCGACATTCTGGTGAAGGCCGGTCAATTCGAGGAAGTCGTCGAGGAAACTCTGCCAGCCGTCACGGTAGAGAAAAACGAATAAATATGTCAAAGTTTGCGTAAGCTTGTTCTGGAGATGAACAGGGTCCGGCTCCTGCTGGACACCCGCTCCGTATGACTGGCGGACATACTGCAGCAAGGTGTGTTTGAGAAACGCCAAGCTCTCTCCATCTAGACCTTGTGTATGAACCGCATAGTTGACCACCTCCAAACACACCATGCGCACGACTTCAGACGTTCGGGGGATCCGGGCAAAGAGATTCGTACAGGCCTGCCATCCTTGCGGGTCGCTCCGTAGCTGGTTCAGATATTCAAATGCTTGCTCTTTCACCGACTGGTCGGACGTAGGATTCGACAGAATCTCAACCGCATTTTCGACCTAATGCAAACGGCGTTAGCTATCTCTGAAGCCTCCAAACGGCAAGCAAAAGGCACATCAGATGTTGGGGGGCTGGGTGCCAAAGATCATCACGTCTCTATTGTGTGTCTCTCTCAATCCATGACAGCTTCAGCGAGGAGGCTCCGATGGCGGGGCAGCAGAGCAGGGATGCCAAGAGGAAAGCAGCAGTAAACTGACGTACCTGGGCCTCCATACTCGAGATAAAGTTGATTAAACAAAGAAAAACACCAAATGGAAATGTATGCTAAAACGGGATGCTGCTATAACTCTGGCAGCCTTGTGCATGCAGCATCCAGCATGCTTATAATTATTAGGCGGCGACAAGGCTACCGCAGAGGCATGCCTAGGTCGGAAGGTTTTTTTCTTGTGCTCTTGTCGTACCGAGTTCGACTGGAAAGGGCGTTGGTCGTGAATCGAAGGTGATGAAAACAAGAGGCAGAACCCACAGACGTCAAAGTCAGCCTCTTATCGTCGCTCGGACACAAAATGTGCGTCTTTATTCGCTATTTCAAAAGTCGGTGCAGGCTCAAATGGTATATGTGGGGTGCTGCGTGAGAAGAAGTTTGGTGCGGATGATTTTCGGGCAAATTCCGTGCTGTGGGCACGGAGAATGGCACTGTGTCTATCCGCAGTCATCTGCTATAATATCACAGTATGAATTACACCAGATTCGGTTATCGCCATACCACATGTGAGGCTGCGATAAGGGACTGCACACTAGAGAGCCTTGGAGCCTAGAGCTTAGAGCCTTAGAGCCTAAAGTTTAGAGCCTAGAGGCAGTAGTCATTCAACCATTTAACCCCAGAAGAGGCTCAGTTTTCATAAAGCAGTAGAGATCTTGCGGACCTACAAATGCCGATACTGAGCGTTACAACATCAGCTTACAGTTTGTAATACTCATGTCGGATTAAACCACTGCAGCTGCTAAAATATTACTGAATTTCGTGCTCACGTGAAGCATCCCAAGACTCCCTACATGAGCAAAGTTAGGTACGGAATTCTATTATACCTAGGTAATGCCTATTCTTGACACGGTATTACATAAGTCCAAACGTGACCCAATGATAGCAATATTGGCAGAAAAGCCGGGCATCTCAGACCATGGAGGATGATAAATGCTAGATATAACTTCTTCCGTGTGTATTCAATGAAGCCCCATACAACTTGCTTTCCAAGCTAGCTTAAAGCACACCATCTAACCTGTACTTGGAGATTTTGCACATTGATTTATCCATTAGCTAAGCTTACAAAGCGGGCATCGTAGATACCTGATGGATGCAGGGCAGATCTGTCACTGCTGCATGAATGGCTGATCACTGCAGACTCGGGCTTTGCCGTCTCACGATACGGTTATACGTCAAACTGTATGGATCAGTCTGACGTAGCTCGACTATATCTAGGTACTTGCTTAAGGTTGATCATCGTTTGGCACATTGCTGTGTACATCGCTTGCCATGCTATTTTCAGCAATAGGACTGAGCATCAGTACCCTAGAACAGAAACAAACTCAGTATCTGTTTGAATTAGCTTGAGCTAGAATTTCCCGAAGAGAAATTAAGCTATGATGAATGTGGCTCTCCATGTATGATGAAGGCAGGTCGATGTCTATCTTTCCACCTATGCAGCCTGGTTGATCCTTGATGCTGAATTCAACCACTAAACTCTATTGTTAATGTCGAATTTTGAGGGGCGGGGGAGTTGCTGTGAGGACCTAGGTCAAAGGAGAATTCAATCAGGGGCCTTATCAGAATACGAAATGCCGAATCGAAACACCAACAAAGTACAAGTAGGTAAGTCGCAATTCCAATCAACATCCGGAGGACAGGTCGATCTCAGTACTATTTCTGTTGGCACTTAATGGCCTTTGTTACATCTCTTAGGCGACACAAGTCTAAAAGAGGCGAAATTTGTTGCTGGTAGTGGTTGTAACATTGGCCACCTCGTGACCGTGCGCATGTAACCAACCTGCAACTCGGCCATCTCATCTCTCATTTCATACAGCTGAAGTTGATCAACCTTAATTCTGGGCCGCGAGATGACAATTCACAGGCCATGCTGGCTGAAGCTGGGCGTGCTGGCGCCGCAGATATTGGCATAACGTCATTGCAGAAGACAAAACACGAGACACGCACAGAGAGAGACAATGCGCAGAGGCGCTGCCAGCGATCGACAGGAGCAGCCTCTGGCCAGCGGGTGCCAAAACGAATCACCAGATGCAGCCGCTGGGTCTATTGACGGATAAAATCATTCAGCATACGCGCCAATGCGATGATCAATGGAGTGGGTTTAATTAGGCCGTGCCACAGAGCAGGCCTCTTGCCACTGCGCACAGTATGAATAATGCCGCTGGACGGGGCACCTGCGATGCCAGCTTGTTTGGCACCAGCATGCGGTACTTCTTTCACCGCCTCCAGCTGCTTCCTCCACGCATCCATCTCCTCACTCTCCTAACTTGCCTGCTTGCCCTCCTCCGCAATATCGCCCTGCTTGTACAACCAGCAAGCTGCGCTCTACGAATACTCCATCACGGCACATAGTCATGTTCCCTGTCCGTGCTCTGGAAATGGTGCCCAATCTGGCCAACAAACCCCTCAATCCGCACCCATTCGCCTTAGCAGCATCTCGGTGCAGGAGGAGCCAAGTGTTGCTAGCTCCAGGTAGCTTCGGGCTAATAATCGTCAAAGCAATCCCCCTCATTCGACCAGGCGAATGCCGCCGATTTCACCTTCTCAGAGTAGCATGGGCGACCAAAGGCTAGCAGCTCTCCGTGGCCGCGGCTAATTTACATCAAATCACCGCTCTGCTTTAGCACCAAGAGAGCTGCTCTTAGGGGCGACTCCACAAAATGCGGGCGACCAGCGAGCAAGATTGGCTCAGGCAAGCCACAAAAATGCTTGAATCTCTCTGAGATGGGCGGGTGAACAGCGGTTCCTGCATTAGCGCACTTGTGGCGTTCCAACGGACCAACTTCAAGTGTGTGTGTCGGCCATCCTTTTTTTTTGATTACAATATCCAGCATTTGAGCAGCAAGACAGAGAGAGCACGTACATAGTATGTTCTTGTGCCAGCATGCAGCTACGGCCGTGACATGCTCTACTTCAACTCTGCAATAACTGTGCTACTTGCTGGGAAAACATCGGTGCCTATGGGCTTTCCTTTTTGCCTACCAACTCAGGCCTAGTCGAATCCATGCTGTCAGTGTGAATTTCACCGCTTGTTTGTTTCACCCCTTGCAACGCCTTCTTCTAGAAGGATGCTTGGATTGGCAGAAGCCTCTGTTCTGGCATGAGTACTGATACGGAGCAGGACTGTTATTACCCAGGAGTATTCCTCCTACTCGGTTGATGTTAGCAGCACTCTAAGCTCGAAAAGTGTCTGACGACCCACTCAGTCAGCAAAGAGACCTGGCATGCCCTAGCAGGAGAACGAAGGACACAAATATGGAGCAACTAGGTACTATGGAGAGTACGGATAGTGTGTGGCAAATGTGCAATCTTCATTTACTATGTACGAAGGCCATATTACCTGTCACTACACACTACAAGTATGGCATTGCGTGCGGTACAGTAGAAGAGCCGTGCTGTAACGTGTCAAGTGTGTTCGGCCAATACGGTATACGTGGGGGCTGCTGGCAGTACTTGGTACCGGTGCCTGCACTCATTCCTTTCTGTGCTGCAAGCATCAAATGACAGGGGCCAATTGCCCCTGGCATACGATGGCATCGCTTGTACCAGTATGCTGTTTTGTTTGGAAAGATCTGGAACTTTGCCAAGAAATGGCTCAAGCAGACTAACACGAACAATAAATAAGTATATGTCCGCCCCTATGAGGAAATGAAGATCACTGACTTCAATGGCTGAACTTATGATGTATTCCAAGCGCGCAGATTTATAGACAGCAGCACACTGCAGCACTCTCTACTCAAGAGGCAAGGCGCTATGATGAGAATAACTTGGGCTGGGTATAGCGTCTAAAGACGTCCCTGCCGCTTAAAGAGATGTCCGTGAAAGGAAGGTTAGATGCTGGGCTAGACGGCTGGATGCCTTCGTTGTCATCCCCTGGCAGTATAGATGAAAGCAAATACAGGCACTGCTGGTGCCGGCGCAAGTGCTAGTAGTAGTACTACCTTCATGTTTGGGCACTGGAAATATCCCTGGAGAATGAAATTTCGCATATTCCGTACTCGCTTCTACTGCTACTTTGTTATGACAGACGGCCTCAAATGCTTCTCTTGCTCGGTGGTGAAGGTGAGCCAACTTCGCCAATCTGGTCAGTCTCATGAAAGTCCTAGCAGTCTGCCGGGCCCCTTCTTTTCTCCTTGCGTATTCTGCTGGGTTTGTTGCAGGCCAGCCAACACTTGTCATCAAAGGCAGTCCTCTTAAAGCCCACAAAAAGATCAACTTGAGACCGAGCTTCGAAAACACAGGCGCAGAGGCCCGCCTCCCGAGGCGATCGGCCAAGATCCTCAGCGGTGTCGCTTTTAGAAGCGCCTTGGAAGGGCGATGCTTGTACAATAATAGCACAGAGTACTCCGTGCAGAGCGTGTGGAATACAGGTACGAATTGAGACTATTGGTTCCAGAGATTAAATGCAAGCATGCTCAAACTTTTGGCCAGCGGAACGATGAAGCCGGTGACTAGCACAGAGTCGAGGGGGGGCACTCTCTCGCGTACTCCGTCGTCTTATCTCCAAAGGCGGTATTGCTGCCGAAGAAGCTCCAGCTCATAAACGAATGCCAATTTAGAAGGTTGAAATGAAGGCACGTATCTCTTAATTGAATCATTAACGACGGTGAGTTTTAGCACTGGCCTAACAAGATTACTAGAGTAGGTATACATTTCTCAAGCTGCTGCAACTGTTAAATGCCTCCCCGCCTATCTTATTGAATGGCAATACAATACATACGCACTCTTGACCATCCATGGCTACCTAATCGCTCACTGCCATGGCAGGTCTACGTCGTACAGAGCACCTGGCACAGCATGGCCCAAGACATGGGAAAACAAGGGTCATGTTCAATGGCGAGCTGATCTGTTGCCGCTGCAGGAGCGCAAACAAGCATCATGGTTCGCGCTGCTCATGCGCTCATTCGAACGCTGGCCTTGGCCGTTTGGCGCACAGTATGGAGCGATGTTGTACCTGCAGAAATCACAACAGGGGTTGGCTAGTCTTGCGTCCGGGATGGTTCGTGGACCCCTCCATCTTGGGCATTCTAAGAGGTGGATGAAACTGGCGCGACATGCATCTCCACCCAGACATCCACTCAGGAACCCCCTAGATGGACATCCATTCTGGACGCAATTTCCCGGGGTATCCAATGGGAGGGAGCGAGGCGAGCGCTCGCAAAGAGCTCACGGTCGATGTTGATATGCCTATTAATATGAGGCCACGCTCGGTCGAGCATCATCTTCTTTTTTCCCTTCTTTTCTCTCCAGCCCACTAAGCATAATCGCCAGCTCGCTCTTGACTTCGGTCGTCCATTCTTTCAAAACAACTGCAAACGAAGCTTCACGCTTTCATCCACTCTTTCAACCCAAACTAAACTACTTCGTTCTTCAAGAACCACCAAAACCAAAAAAACATTCAAGATGCGTTTCACCACCGCCGCTGCTGTTCTGGCCACCTCGGTCCTCGCCCAGGAGCCCGTCTCCACCGACTACACCACCGAGTTGGTCACCATCACTGCCTGTGCTGCCTCCATCACCAACTGCCCGGCCCGCCACCAGACCACCTCCGTCCAGACCAACTACATCCCGTTGACCACCTCTACCTTCTACGTGACCAACGTCCACACCATCACCTCTTGCGGCCCTGAGGTTACCAACTGCCCGGCTCACAGCACCGTCCTCTCCACCGAGGTTGTCCCTACCTCCACCGCTGTCGGCCCGGTCTCTGCCTACCCCACCGCTGCTCCCACCACTCAGGTCTGGTCCAACGGCACTGCTCCTTACAGCTCTGTCGTTGCTCCTCCTCCCTACTCTGCTCCGGCCGCTCCCCAGAGCTCCGCCGCTGCCGTCTCTGTCCCCGCCGTCTCTATCCCGGCTCAGCTCCCCACCAGCGGTGCTGCTGCTCCCACTGGCGGTGCCCCCGTCAGCTCCGCCGCCGCTCAGTGCCCCGGCAGCTCCGTCGTCGCCGTTACCAAGAGCTACACCACCGTCCTGACCTCTGTTGAGTACCAGACCGTTGCCGTCCCTTGCCCTACCGCCCCTGCTGGTGGCAACCCCGGTGCTGGTGCTCCCTCTGGCACTGGTGCTGTTCCTCCTCAGCCCACTGGCCCTGCTGGCAACGGAACGTGAGTTTTAATCCTTTTGATATTCAGATGTAATGGCATATATGCTGACTGTTTCTATTTAGCTCTGTTCCTCCTCCCGTTAACGGCGCTGCTTCCTTCACTGGCTCCGCCGCTTTCGCCGCCATTGCCGGTGCCGTCGCTCTGTTCCTTGCTTAAATCATTTCCTTGTAACTTTTTCTTGAGTTAAAAGGCCTGCGGGACATGGCAACATACACACGACAGGCATCCCTCTTGAGATCTGGTTGGACATGTACAGAGAGTTGGACTAGAACTTATTTTCAATAATACTAGAGTTTTACGGCAAACATGGGATTATACCCCCTTGGAGTGTGTACTTAATATTCTAATCGCGCGGGCGTTCGCGGGGACGATCTCGTCAGACAACCGACTGCGGGTCCTGTCCTGGATGTCTTTTTTGAACGAAGCATTTTTTTGGTCACGAACTGAGATATCAAACTATTTAACGACTGTGCTTTTTCTTAGCCTTTTCTTCAAGAATATTTTTTACCTTTATAAATTTCATTGCCCAAATCTCACTGTTATGCGCTGTGGTATCATGGTAGAAATCGGGACTTGTAAAGATTCTGAAAACAGTAGAAATGGCACCATAAAATCAGTGTAAAACGAGCAAGACGTTTGTTAGAGGGTGCTCATTTCGCGAAGCGCACGAGCTGGTATAAAATAGAAATAGGGACTGAGGAGGTTTTAAACACACAAAGTAGTTACTGCTACTAGCTATCCACGCACTCAGAGGCTAAGATCAGCCCCACGCTCATGGTGCTCTCATTGTTGCTTTGTACGTGGATATTCGTGCTGCGATCCCTGTTTGTTTGATACCTACGAGGCGGAGGCGTTTTCTGGTAAGAGATCAGGCAAGAAGTATGCTCTAGCAAGAGTTCTGCTGAGGTTTTTTTTTTTTTTTTTTTTTTTTTTTTTTTTTTTTCAAGCAAAAAGAGTCACCCACCAGCAGCTTAAATCCATGACTGGTTCTCTTTTGGTCCTTTTACCATCATCTTCCTCTCGCCATATCTCTCACAAAAAAAACCCCTTAAGGCTCCTCAGTACCCGCTTGGCGCCCAAGCTCTTGTTCTTGTTTGTGCGGGTTCGATTTGTTGCCGCAACGGATAATAAGTCGGCAGAGGAATGTCACGGGGACGGAAATTTAATCGGAATAGGTGAGAGTCGATGTGTGATTGGTAGGAGCGCAAGGGGGTGAGATGGAGTCATGCGAGGTTATGCTGCTTACTTGTTAGACTAGAATATAACGAACTGAAGTAAGTTATATATAGGAAGATGTCGTGTTTTATTAGCGTGGCATGCTTTTGCAATAGCCAGTCGTCCATCAGGTGCACTTGCACCATTACATAGTTGATTTGATTCTTATGTCCTGATTCATAGAATCTGATTGCAATTGGATGTTTGACTAGGGGGACTTTTTGTTAGTGCAGTGTATAGAGAAGCTCCCCCTTTTTTCTTCTTGAATACCTTGGCTGTATTTTACTTACTTGTGCTTTATAGTAATCATAGGTACTGCTATAAATACTATATCAAAATATAGCTGTATATATTACTAGTATAAATTCTATAGCTTTTTCTATACTAGCTGTTTTCTCGAGTATCTACCTATATAGCCCTGGCTAGCGTAGTTCTCTCCTTATAACGGGCTTATTTAAACTTATTCTCGGTTAAGCTGACTGACCGAGTTTTATACCATATTAAAAATCCTTGCTAAAACAAGAATAGTGATTTTTCGAAAAGCTTGAATCAGAAATCACACAACCTGTCCGCGGCTATGAATCAGGGCGATAGTCTAGCTGGGGCGGGTACATTTCCCTGTCCTTCGTAAGACGATAAACGTTCCTTTTATAGTAGCTCAAGATGACACGAAACGGGGGGGCCACTTGCGCCGGTGCTCCGTATTACGGCATCCAGCGAAGCGGAGCGGAAGGCAACATGATTGTTTGTACTCCGTGCTCCGGTATTTTGTAGCACCATAAAGGACGAGGAAGTTTTTTTTTTTCTTGTTGGTTTTTTGGGGGGGTGTTCCTGAGATTGACCCAGATTGCCTAATTCGGGAATCGGCAAGTCGATTGCTGCCAACTGCCGGCTTCCAACTACCCGCGCTAGCGATGAAAATGCTACACTGGCGTATATGATAATAAGTGTTTGATAATGGATATTCCAAATATGGCTTGGTGAACTAGAGACATGCTTTTTATAGCAGAGGAGGGGCATTTGGGTACAATGTACCAGGCAGGTTGGCTTTATCGGACTCACAGAAGTGGTGGTTGAAGAAAGAGGTAGAGTGACCGTGTCGCACATGCGATAACCCACAGCCACGCAGGTGCAACAATGTAAGACAAAAAAGAAGAAGAAAACACCATCGTTCGCATTGTTACCCCACGTGGCAACAACATTCGGTGTCTCTCCTGTGAATGAGACGAAGTGGGCTGAGATGGAACGAAGATTCGCAACAGGGGCTAAGCTGAGTCGTGGGGCGGCCGTATAAGACATTCTTAGACCACTCCCCCCCCTTTTTTTTGCTTTAGAAAGCTCAAGAGGAAAAAAAAGTTTCCTCTTTGGGTTAAATGTGAAATGAAAGTAACCAACAGCTGCGGACCATTCGCCGATTTGAGTAATGTTTCTGAAAAGCCTATTCTTCGTGGGGGATAGACTACAAGTATGTGAAGATGATGTTTGGACGAGCAAGTTTTCAGCAAATGAAATTCAAATACGGAGTACCATACGTCCTTTTTGCTCTAATACAATTTGAGTAGTAGTATAGACGCCCGGACGTAAAGTTTTATGCGGGATTGTGCCGACTCCGGGTGATCCTATATGCCAAGACTGCACGTACCTATCTATCATATACCTAGGTATGCATCATGATATCAGCCTTTGGCTTGGTATAACTGGCGCAGGCTTGGCTACAGAGTAATTCACTGCGTCGGATTGATGTGAGGGGGTCGAATTCCAGTGCTTTTGACATTGTATATGCTCGCTTTCGTCGTGTTGGTGGGAGATGGAGATGGGCACGCTTGATGGGTGGAGGGGTGTCTGAGGTATGCATAGATGCAACTCAATACTGAGCGCAATCTACTCATACATACATACCCACTGAACCGATATTTAGATTAGTAGGTATCTAGGTATTATGAAGGGCCGAGATCAGTGGAGGGGAGCATCTAGGTAATAGTACCGGAGAGCTGGAATATACAAGATTTATGACAGGTCATGACTTATATATATATACTTTTAACCGCATTATTGCTCTGCTGCTGTGATTTTTGGCAAAAAAGATAAAAAGAGCTACGGACTTCATCCTGCCAGAGGTAGTGCTATTGTATTGGCTGTCTAGACGCCACGAAACTAGAATAGGGAAATCCTTTCGAAACATTCTGCTGCAGCCATCGCGTGATGTGGCGCCCTAAGGCCGCGCAATGGGCAAAAGTTTGTTATTTACGAAAAGAAAAAAAAGGTGGCTGAGATGCTTAATGCGTTCGGGTGTCCAGTCGTTTGGCATATTGAGTGGCTGAGAGCTAACGTTTTGCGTGCCATATTGGCGTGATTCCTTCGCGCGGGTTTGATTCATTGACTGCATTTAGGCATCAAGCAGGACCTGTATTGCGATATTGCAATGGGATGTATTTCACCGAAGAAGAAGAAGAATAGCCATCTATTCATCACACACACTTTGTGATTTTCAGAGGATTCAACAGTGTCTTTCCCCCTCCAAAATAATAATAATAAACAAATAAATAATAAATAAATAAATAAATAAATAAATAGCCTACGCGTAGGTCTGGATTAACATTATCATGTAAACACGCAAAGCGCAATGCTTAATTGCTGGAGCAGCTCCACCGCGGTTGGATGGCGTGGGAACACGTCAATCCCTTCCACACGTCAACCAACTCTTTTTTGCCCTGCCCTGCGCTTCTGTCTGACTCGTCCTCTCTCGGCCTAATATCTAGCCTAGATCCGCCAGCGCAGCGCAGCGCAGGGGGTGGATTCGATGCAAATTCAATCTCAAGGCTTGTTCAAGCCTTGCAAGAGGAAAGAGGCTGCGAGTGTTGTGTTCCAGGGCCCGAAACGCAGCTCCATCAGCAAAGCAAATAATCAAGAATAAAATAGTAAAATAAGAGGAATAAAATAAAATAAAATAAAAGTCTAAGCCTTGAAACAGCGCTACAAGATCCGCTTTTTCTCTCTCTCTTTTTTTTCTCTTTTTCTTTTTCTTTTTTTTTTNTTTTTTTTTTTTTTTTTTTTTTTTGCTTTTAACCGCCCGCGGGGCCCGCGCCGCGTCATTCCCGCGATCCTTTGGGCGTTTTTCAACTCCGTGCTCCGTCTCGCACTCGGATATCGAGCGTTACGTGTGTGGCTGAAGCGCTGATTGCAGTGGCGTGGCTTAGATGTTAAGCTTCTTGGGACAATTGACCACGAACGGGGAGATGGAATAAAGAGTAAATGAAAAAAAAAAAAAAAAAAAAAAAACTGTTAAATTTATTCTATTAATAAAGTTACTTTTGAAGCTATATTACGCTCCATATATCCCTGTAGCGCTAAATGTATTTATTCTTCTTTTCCCTTGTTATTCAACAGCTGGTTTTGCTAAGGTCTAGTTGTCAGCCTCTGCCTGCCACCCCCCCATGGCACATGTAATATGGAGCTGCCACAGGGACCAGGCCACTACATACTATTTTTAAGCCCCCTCCAATACGGAAAGAAAGCACCGCCAGTCTACCACCATCTACAGCTCGCATTGATGTACAGCGGTGTATTGTTTTCCACCCCTGGCCCCCCTTGCCCAGCACCTGTTTGTGTTGGTAGACAGCACCCGTAGCCAGTCTCTCTTTTGCTCAGCCTGACCAGCTCCTGGTCAGCCTCTATGAATCAGGGCATAACATTCGTCCTGTGGGCATCTCTGCAAGGTGCGATCTGCCGGCTGGGTCTATACGTGTGATATTATCGACACTCAGGACCCGATTTTCGCTTGCTAAGCGGCCTTCGGCGGCCATGTATCATGTATCGTCCCTGGCACGGCAAGGATTCGGCCGTCTTGGTGAACCGCCAAGCCCTACCCAATGGCTGAGGCCGGGCCCCGGGCGTGTTTTTTTGGCTCCATCCCGCCGGCCTGGACATACAGCAGAGGACGATAATGTAAGATCGTTCAAGCGGAGGGGGGGGGGTGGGAGGGGAGGGAGGCTTGTTGATAAGGGCTTTGCCGGTGATGACGCATAACAAGTGCTCGTTTCTGTCCAAGATGTGGATAGATAAAACGTGCGGGAGCGAGAGCGAGCGACTATGGGGCCGTGAGCCTTGAGCCAATTACGCGGATCTACCTAGTTTGAGGCTGAGTATTTCTCTCTCTCTCTCTCTCTCTTTTTTTTTTTTTTTTTGTCTTTGTCGTTCAAAACAATAAAGGGAGCTGGTAGCCCCCCTTTGGACCGGAGAGTCTCTGTTATACCCATTTTCAGTGGTGATAATACACATCACACGTACATATATACCAACACGCCCTCTACCACCCTCGACCTCCAACAAACACCAAGAAACAAGAAAAAAGACCTAAAAAGGCGACGTGTGTCAAAGCAAATCATCACTCATCACCGCCTTCGCCATGTCTTCGATGATTACAGAACCCCTTCCCGACCCCATCATCACATTCGGACACGATGTGACGTGCAACCTTCACAACTGCCCCGTGGAATGGAGCATCCTGAGCTACCAGCCCTCTCTCGCCGCCAACATTGTCTTTGCCGCCCTATTTGGCGCCGTCGGCCTGGTCCATTTCTATCTCGGCTTCCGGTGGAGGGTTTGGGGCTTCACCTTCCCCATGCTCGTCGGCTGCGTGACTGAGATCATCGGATACGTCGGAAGAATCCTGCTTCATTACAATCCCTTTTCTTTCCCCGGATTCATGATTCAGATTGGTAAGGGCGAACGATTTCTCTCTTCCCTATCCCAATTTTTTTTTTTGCTTCCGTTCGTTTTCAGACTAACCGTCGTGATGCAGTCTGCCTCACCATTGCTCCCGTCTTCTACACGGCATCCATCTACGTAACTCTCTCAAAATCCATCCTCTACCTCGCCCCGGATCTGTCCCGCTTCAAGCCCCAGCTCTTCTACTACATCTTCATCCCCTTCGACATCGTCTGCCTCGTCCTCCAGGCCGCCGGAGGCGCCATGTCCGCCAACACCACCGGCTCCAACAAGGTCGGCGTCGACGTCTCCCAGGCCGGTCTCAGCCTGCAGGTCATCGTCTTGGTCCTCTTCATCCTCTCCTTCGGCGACTACATGTTCCGCTACCTGCGATCCGGCCGCGCCTCCAACTTTGGCTGGCGCCTCACTGCCTTCTTCACCGGCCTGACGTCGGCCACGCTGCTCATCCTGGCCCGTTGTGCCTACCGTGTTGCCGAGCTGCGGGACGGATACAGCGGAAAGCTCATCAAGGAGGAGACTCCCTTTATTGTTCTTGAGGGCGTCTTTGTGTTTTTGGCCGCGAGCATGCTCTGCTTCGGAAACCCGGGCTTGGGATTGAAGGAAGACGGAATGGCACGGGTAAAGATGGAGAATGACAGCGAGACGGTTGTTATGGAAACCATTGAGCGACGGAAGTAAGGCGAGTATTTTTTTTTTTTTTTTTATTTCAAGCTCCGACTACGAAGAAAGCGATGGCGGGTTATTAAAAATACAGAATCACAGCTCGAGCCTTTCTTTTCCTTTCTTTTCTTCTTTTTTTTTTTTTTTTGTTTGAAGAGGGGAGTTTACTACCACTACTAGTTTGATATGGGAATTCTGATAGACGAGACCGTATATAATGGAGAGGGGGGGAAGATACATAAGGAATATGCGCTTGATTTTTTTTTTTATTTCTGTTTTACGATATTGTTCAACGGAGAGATGTTTGTTCCCTATTTTCCATCCATGTTTAAATAGCGAATTATACCAAATGAAGATTTACAAAAAAAAAAAAAAAAACGTCATATACATGTACATGTATAGAACGGCATGAATATGCAAATCCAACGTTTTCATTACTCTTTCGTTATCGTGCCTCGTACCCCGTACCCCGTATTCCGTATAGTATAGTATAGTATAATCATCCCCATCATCCGTTCGTTTCTTACTGTATGCCTCTACACTTGCTGTCCGTGTAATCAACCCTACCCGGCACTTCGGCCCATGGCCCGGCCCCGCCTTCGGATACCACCGCCTTAAAACTCTAGCGCCGCAGTGCCGCATCCCGAAAGCTCCAGCGACGAGTCGCAGCTACTATGGAACTTTTGCCCTCCGTCAGAGCTGCTGCCCCTCCACACTCGACGAGAGACGCAGCAACTGGCTGAAATTTTGTCGCTTCTCCGCACCTCTTGGATTGATTTGGCAGCTCCACGGATACGTCTCGTCTCTCGTCTCCTTCTCCCCAGTCTGTTGTTTTTTCCCTTCCTACTCTCTGCATGATCTGCCTCTTGACAGCGAGACGGTCGTCGAGGATAGCACTCCATTCTCTCGCCAGCACCAAACCAAGCCCAGCAGCCCTACCGTTTTCAACCACTGCCTTCATCATGGCTCCCCCGCAAGAGGCCCTCGACTTTGTCGACTTTGTCAATGCGTCTCCTACTCGTACGTCCCGCATCCACCTCCACTGTCTTGTCTTGCCTGCCAAACCGCATAGCGTGTGCTGAAACAGCAGCTCTGAAAAAGCCTACCACGCCGTCCAGTCTGCCGCCGCCCGCTTTGAAAAGGCCGGCTTCACCCTCATCCGCGAACGCGACTCGTGGGCATCAAGCCTGCGCCCCGGCGGCAAGTACTACCTCACCCGCAACGGCTCGTCCATCCTTGCCTTTGCCATCGGCCGCAAGTGGCGCCCCGGCAACCCCGTCGCCATTGTCGGAGCCCACACCGATTCGCCCTGCCTGCGAGTCAAGCCCGTCTCCCGGAAGAGCAATGTCGGCTATCTGCAGGTCGGCGTCGAGACCTACGGCGGCGGCATCTGGCACTCGTGGTTCGACCGCGACCTGAGTCTTGCCGGCCGAGTTCTGGTCCGCGAGGGCGACAGCGTCGTGCAGAAGCTGGTCAAGGTCGACAAGCCGCTGCTGCGAATCCCCACGCTGGCCATTCACCTGCACCGCCAGTCCAACTTCGACCCCAACAACGAGATCGAGCTGTTCCCCATCACGGGCCTTGCCGCCGCCGAGCTCAACAAGGGTGCCCAGCCCGAGGAGCCTAGCAAGGATGATGCCATGGAGGAGGACGAGGACTTCAAGCCCCTCGAGAAGATGACTGTGCGCCACCACCCCGCCGTGCTCGACGTCATCGCCAACGAGGTCGGCACCGACGTCCCCTCCATCGTCGACTTCGAGCTCGTCCTCTACGACACGCAGAAATCCGTCATCGGCGGCATCAACGACGAGTTCATCTTCTCCCCACGCCTCGACAACCTGGGCATGACCTACTGCTCCGTCGAGGGCCTCATCAAGTCCGTCAGCAAGCCCGACGCCCTCGACAACGACTCCACCATCCGCATGACCGTCTGCTTCGACCACGAGGAGATTGGCTCGCAGTCCGCCCAGGGCGCCCACTCCAACCTGCTGCCCTCGGTGCTGCGCCGCCTGTCCGTCCTCCCCGGCAACCGCGATGCCGCCAGCGACGGCAGCTACGAGCAGGTCCACCACGAGGGCGAGGAGTCCACCGCCTTTGAGCAGACGCTCTCGCGCTCGTTCCTCGTCTCCGCCGACATGGCCCATGCCGTCCACCCCAACTACGCCGGCAAGTACGAGTCCTCGCACCAGCCCGCCATGAACGGCGGCACCGTCGTCAAGATCAACGCCAACCAGCGCTACGCCACAAACTCTCCCGGCATCGTCATGCTGCAGGAGTGCGCCCGCAAGGCCGGCGTCCCGCTGCAGCTCTTCGTCGTCCGCAACGACTCGCCCTGCGGCAGCACCATCGGACCCGGTCTGGCCGCTAGATTGGGCATGCGTACCCTCGATCTGGGCAACCCGCAGCTCAGCATGCACAGCATCCGTGAGACTGGTGGAACGGCCGACGTGGGACGAGCTATTAAGCTGTTTGACCAGTTCTTTGAGAGCTACGGCGAGATTGAGCCCAAGATCTTGGTTGATTAAGTCAAGCGGGGAAGCATCTGTTTGGAGGAGGAGAAAGCGATTTAAGATTGTTAAGTTAGGATTAGTATATGCATATAGTAGTAGTATAAACTACCTGTGACACTAATGAGTGTCAATTCAAGGGCGTTGATAGGGTGGCGATAGGATAGGATACGAAACTCTGGGCGAGACCAATGAGAAAAAAAAATGAGACCAAAATTTGATGCCAAGGGTACTCATGTGACTGTTACATGAAAGAAATAGCCTGTAATACCACTAAGTGAAATGAAGAAATGGTCATCATAGTAACTCTATATCTATTCTTTATAGTTTCGTTAAGCTATTCGTGTAGAATTGCGTCATGATCGTCATCTAAAGAGCTGTGTCTTACCTATTATAACAAATACATTGGAGTGATCTTGATATTGGAAATCAAGCCAGAAGAAATTGGCTGCTCATTTTTTCTTCTAATATTTTAAATTAAAAAGATAGTTCAATTGCGCTCGCGTCATGACCTTTCTACGTCATTTGACGCCGTATCTGTACATGTGCTCCTCAGAGATGATACCGGCGCTGGTGCCGGGCTCGACTGGAAGAATTTAGAAGGAGAATCCAGTTCGCTAATGGGAAGCAGAACCGTCTTGTCTCTTTCATTACTCCCAGCTTCTTCTTGTGACTCAATGCGGTCAGGCGTGTTTCCCCTGGTCTCTACAATAACACTCTCCTGAGAGGCAGGTAGAGTCATAGCATCAGATGCTACCGATGTGGTGGTCGACACTTGTGACAGTGCGGGCACCTGCGGGATTGAATCCGCGCTTTGGGCCCTACTATGCGTATTCGTCGGTTTCGTATGGGTAACGGTATGTGCTCGTTTGCGTGTAACTGTTGATGGAGGGAGGGGTTTGCGCTGGAGTTTGGAGAGGGGAATCGTTGTTTGGCCGGTGCGCAGCTTGTATCCTGCGAGACCAAGTCGCAATCGGAGAATCTCTGCTTTCTAGATGGAGGGTAACACCCGCTATTAGCTCTTGTATTTGAGGTGATAAAAGAGAAGAGGGAAGAGCTAGAGAAGAATTTACCTCTCTTGCCTGCTCCCTCGTTAATGCTCTAGGCCTTGTAGCTGTCAGTAGCGTATCTGCAGCTGTCGTGGCCGTGTCTGGTTCTGTTGGTGCAGTAGCCCAGGAAGCGTCTCCGGCAGAAGTATCGAAGAGAGAGCTCGTTTCAATGCTGGGTGACCGTGACCGCGTAGTCTAGATCCAAATGTATTAGCAAAAAGGCCAAATCACTGAATGGCGAGCAACAATATTGATACTCACCCCATCAACACACGTCTTCTTGGTCTCCGGACTCTCGTCCGCTACCTCTTCGCCCCCCTCTTCTGCCGTTCGCTTCTTTCCTTTTTCTGATACAGTTCCTCCCATTGGACTGCTCACCAAGAGAGATGAAGGTGTTAACAGCATTGGTGTTCCTATCCTGGTAATTTTGTGTGTACTCGGTGTTGTCAGTGCCGCGTTCGCGTCCTTTGCACCAAGCACGGCGCGTCGCTTCATGGGCGACGAGGTAGCTTCCATTGTTGAGCAAATAAACGAGGACACAAAGGAAAACCCAATAGAATGTAGAAAGTGAACAGCAGTAAAAAGGAAAGAAGGAAAAGAGAGAGAGAGAGAGAGAGAGAGAGAGAGAGAGAGAGAGAGAGAGAGAGAATGAAAAGTGTGGTAATATGGAGCAAGAGTCGCGCGCGCAAAGATGTATATGAGATGGAGGAGTGGTAGTGGGGTGTGTTGTTTAGTGGCGATGGCAGGTCGCGTGTGTAGAGATAAATCGATAAGAAGCTCTACCAGCCCGATATACTTTGTACATGGATACAGCAGGTATGATAATGTAATTGGCGCGAACACGTGAACAAAAATACAAAGCGCGATTGATGATTTCTTATAAAGTGGTGAATGCCTGCTAATTGAACAGCCAGGCTATTGTGTCCTTTGAAAGCAAGAGACGCAAGAGCTACTCCGTAGCAGTAGCTTTATGCAAGCAGATCACAAATACGGCACAATAGCAAAGCAAAAGGGGAGGCGCGAAACTGGATAATTGAAGAATAGGAAAATAAGCCATCAAGAAGAAAGAAGAAAAAGTAAATAACGCCTAAAACCAGCCTTGATGCCTCCCCCCCGGCGCGCACAGCCTTTGGACTTTGACGAGCTATTCAACCTTCGTTCTCACAACGCGACCGACCCTGAAAGTTCCCCACTCTGCGCCGCAAAGGCAGGAACGGTCTCCCACACGCTTCGTGCCCGCCCTCAGCTCTTTTCTCCAAGAACTGGCTACTCCATACTAGCTTTTCTAACTGCTTTCCTACGAGCCTTGCCTTATTCAGACTAGCTCTCAGCAAGCACGCCGCGTCTTTTCCTTCCCGTCAACGAAAAGCCCGTGTCGTCGGCATCTCTTTTCTAAACCTAATAAGGAATAGTGTAGAATTCGACCACGAGTAGAAGAATGTGGAGAGCTTTATTGCTTCTTTGACGGGGCGAACCCCTCCCCAAGAATTCTACGCTAATAATGAGGTACAAAAAAAAAAAAAAAAAAAAAAAAAAAAAANTCATTTCTTTTTTATTCCCAAGAAATAAGAAAAAAAAAAAAAAAAAAAAAAAAAAAAAAAAACCAAGACTGGGTGGGCTCCATTGATCTGATCCCCATATCCATCGGCATCAGATCTCGTCACATGCAAATCACGCTCAGAGACAGTGCTATCCTTACGTAGCCAGACCTCAATTCCAAATCATTCAGTACACAGTAATGAAATTTATTGTCGTTTCTACTAGACACGTCGCTGCACGCCAAAAAAAAAAAGTCATAAAATAGATGTTATTTTTCATTTGCTCAGAGGCCATCCGGATGATGCCTTTGAACACCAAGCCCGCGCTACATGGAAATTGAAACGGATGTACGTTACAATAAATAAGATACAGCTTTGTAGAATTCCATTTACTCCAAATTAAACTCGAATCCGTCATTTGAATCAATATATTACCCCGCCCATACACTGAAATCACCTCAGCTTCATCATCTAAAGAAAAGTGAAAACGAAAACGTAAACGGCCGTGACAAAAAGAGAGGTGGTAAAATAAAAACATCAACAGTGAAGAAAGAGAAAACAAACTTCTGTGCAATAGCATCCATTGCTGCCATTCTTAGCCTTAACGCCAACCAGACTCTTCTTTCAACAGTCTCATCCCATCAATTTTGTTTTAGTTTTTGACTCAGCTTCTCCCTCCTCCTTCTGTTGTCCAATAAACGACCACTGTTATATCAGATATGACGTAATGCTGGGTATATATCCTAGGTCCTGTCCTGGGCTCCAAACAAGTAAATCAACCGAAACAGACAAACATGTATAAAAAAAGACGAAGCGAGCAAAGTAGGAGAAGAAAAAACAAGAGAGAGCTTTCTTTTCAGCTTTTGTAGCAGCCTGCTCTCAACCATTACTCCAAATCCAAACTCGCTTTTCGCTAAAAAAAAGAGCAAAATTTTGGTTCTGTTAAGAAAAGATTTCTCTTTACAAGTCGCTAGTAACATCGAGAGAGTAAAGACTCATGTCGAGTTCAAACGGTTTTGTGAAATCGACTTGGATTTCATCCCAATCCGGAACGCCCGGCGGCCCAGCTAAAAGAAGGGTTGGATCGATGTTAGCCACAGCGGCCTTTAGGTTTTCTGTCGAGTCCATCTCCCCATTAATGCAGGCGTTGGTGAAATCCATTAGAACGTCATTATCAAGGGTATGCCAATTCATGTCAATGTCAAGCGCAGCACCCTCAGAGATATCGCTATTAGGCTCGCTCGCACCGTCCTTGCTAGACTCTGGGGTATCCTTTGGCGTGAAAGACCTGTACATGTTGGCCTCGTTGACGATATTTGGCAGCCCGTTTTCAAAGCCCAAGTTCTGTAGGAGTGTCTGAGGGTCAATAGTCGAGTTGGCCCATGGGTCCGTTGCATTGACAAGCATTGCAGTGCCGTTAACCTGCTTCCCATCGCCAGCCTTGGCAGTCGCGTCCAACTTGACGCCGGCTTTCACATCTTGGGCCTTGCTCATGGCGCTGGCTGATCGCTTCATGCCAGTACCATCCACGGACATGGGTGTGCCGACAAGATTTCCGGAAGATTGACCCTGTTTTGAAGTTGACAAACTCATTGCTTGCGCCCCCTCCTTCTGCTCCTTTTTGATGGTGCCGTCTAGTTCTAGACCCAGTGCCTCCGCAAGAGACTCTCCCACAAATTTGTACGGGTCGGCTTTGGGCTTAGTATGCTCTTCATCGATGTGATGTTGAAGAGCTTGTTTACTAGGGAATCCAGAAATAGACTGGTCGCAGTCGGGCTCCGTGCAGAGATGTAAAGGTTTCGGTGGGCCTTGCTGGCGTTGGATATCTGGAGACGCATTCTTTGAAATCTGTGGCGAGGGAGTGGCCACTTGAGAAGACGGACCAGAATTTGTCAGTCTTGGCTTCTTTCGAGCAGGCGGTAGCTGCAAGTTGATTTCTTTAGGTTTGCTCATGTAAGTAGGGTTACCATCAGGCGAGGTCGCTGCTCCGAATGGGAAGGGTGGCTGAGCGCTTGTTGGGGCGGGGGGCGGCACTTGGCCTGCTTTATTGGCCTGCTTCTGCTGCTGGTTCAATTTGTTCATCGCCTGCGCGTTCTTCTCCAGATTAGCGGCATTCAGAGGAGCTGGCTGCGTTAGCTGATTCTTTTGCTGTGCCTGCTGCATTTGCTGTTGAGATAACGGTTGAGCTTGTGTCTGGCTGCCTGGCTTCAAATGCCGGCCGCCCGCCACACTAGCAGCCAGATCTTTAGCCATACTCTCAAGCATAGCGCGAGCCTGATCCAGTTCAGAAGAGCGGATACTGAAGGCGTCCTTGATTATCTCCATCTTTTCGCCGTCCACATGTTGCTTGATGAGACGCAATCGCTATAGTCAAGTTAGCATATTGAAATTAAATCTTTACGGCGTTTCCGTCCACTTACAGTTCTAAAGAACATTTTGGCACGCGCGTCATCTTGCGTGAGGGAATACCACTTGCTTAGCCCACGGCCAACCTTGCTCATGTCCTGGACAATTCGTTTGAGCTTTGCTGCGGTTTCTGCGTACTCCTCAGGGCCCATTGGAATGTCCGGAGTGGATTCTTGAGCGAACAGCTTTTGCTCTTCTTGCCCAATCATCTTGAGGCGCATCAGAGACTCTGAGGGTACTGCTCCTGTAGCAGCCGGAGCCGGAGCCTTGCCTTGCATCCTCAAAATCTGTTCATACCTAGCTCTTTGTTCGGGATTCAATTGAGCCTCTTGTTGAGGTGTAAGCTGCGGCGGGAATTTCGCCCCTGGCCTTTGTACTGGCTGTTGGGTTGGTTGCGATGCCGCTGCCGCCGATGGCGCCGGCGGCTGTCGTGCAGCAGATATGGAAGCCTTCATGTTGGCAGCATCGGCACCGTCATCAGGGTTAGGGCGTTTAAGAGTTTTCGCAGCTTGGGATTGGTTATTGCGTGCCTGATTCGCGTTCGGTTGCTGCTTTAAGTTGGCCGCTTGCATCGAAGCAGTCTGGCTCATGGCATTGGGCATCGTCTGCGCCTGGGTTTGTTGAGGTGTGAGATTAGGTTGAGTCTGCTGGATCTGCATGGGGTTTTGAGGGCCCTGGGCACCAGCCATATTATTTGCGGCGGCAGCTTGTAGCTGCTGGTTTTGGGCCTGCAACTGCTGGGCCCTCAGCTGCTGCTGCTGTTGCTGTTGCTGCCAGCTACTCCTCTTCATCGAGATAATCATCGATCGAAGTTGCTCATCAGGAACGTTGACCAACCCAGGTTTCTGACTTCGGATATGCATCATCTCCTGAGGCGAGACTTGAAGCAATTGTGGTGGTAAATTGGCCATCTGTCGCTGTATTCCAGGTTGTTGATTTGCCACTTGCATTGGCATCGCAGGATTCATGTTTATAGCCTGTCCAGGCTGCTGGGGCACACTGGCAGCCCGCCTTTGCATAAGCACTTGGAATTGCTTCTGTTGGAAAGCAGCTAGCTGGCCACGAACAGTTGGTGGAAGCGTATTGTTTTGGCTGATCCACACCTTCAAATCTCTCCATTTTTTAACTTCTGCAGGCAGGCCGTTGATTTGATTTATTATGCTGGGAGGCAAATCCATCGAGTCCATCACAAACTGAAGCTGGGAGCCCTGAGGTGTCATACGGTTCATTGGCATTGGCTGTTGTTGATTGCCTGCGCCAGGAGCATTTACTTGTTGCATATTCTGAGGACCAGGGGCCATGTTCCCTGCCTGGTTGAACTGGTTCTGAGGTCGATTAGCCATCTGTTGCTGCATCATCGGATTTGCATTCATGTTTGCTATCTGCTCCTGTCGCTGATTTTGCCATCGACGCATGACTTCGTTAAGCTTGTCCGGAGGAAGACCGTTGATTGCTTGCCTTTGTTCTGGGGTCATGTTAGTGAGCATAGCGTTGAAAGCGGGATTGTTAGGCCGTTGAATTCCCTGGTGAAATCGCTGGTCGCCAAATGGAGATATGCCGTTCTGGCTCATACCCTGCGGCGCCATGGGATTCATAACGCCCGGTCTTGATACGGGAGTGTTTAGGGTATTCATGGCTGGGCTCTGCGATGTAGCCATATTTCCCGTCATTTGCTGCTGGTTCTGCATCTTCATTTGTGCCTGTGCTTGTAAAGCTTGAGACTGCTGAGCGGCTTGGTTCAGCTTAGCCTGCTGCTGCTGTTGCTGCTGCTGCTGAGCATTACGAGGCGTTTGATTTTGCATCTGTTGATTGGAAATGTTTTGGTTACCAGGCTGAGGAGTGACATTTCTTCCATTGCCATTGCTCGCTGGTACGACAACTTGGCCCGCCTGTTGAGCCATTAGGCCGGCCACCTGCTGATCCTTGATGCTATCCATGTTTGGGGTGAATGGAGGGAAATCATGGCCTGCACCAGGCTGCTGGGCTGCGTTTATCATATTTTGCCTCTGTTGCTGTAGAGAATTTTGGCTCTGTTGTTGTTGCATCATAGCAGCTTGAGGGTTGTTTGGGTTCGCAGGACCAGGTGGCTGGAATCGGTGCATTGTGGAAGACTGCTTAAGGGCTTGAAATGCCTGATTCTGGTACCACCAAACAAGAGGATCTCTCCCCTGCGTCTGGAGTTCGGCAAGCTGCTGAGCTGTGAGCCTTGATTGTAAATGGAGCCGTGTGCTAGCTTTTTGCTGCTCTGTAGCCTGAGCCATCATCTTGGTCGCAAGTTCCATGACTTTGTTTTTATCAGCCTGAGCCAGTCTCGCCACATCGTTAGGGAACATATTTCTATTAGGACCGCCAGCCATGCCCATCGCTTGTGGGTTGGGACCTATACCGCGGCCGGCTTGGTTAGCCATACCCATGGCAAGCTGCTGCTGCTGCTGCTGCTGTTGCATAAACGATGGTTGCTGTTGCTGTTGCTGCTGGGGCATCTGAGTGGCTTGCATGGGATGCGGCATGTGCTGAAATCCCTGCTGGGGAGTCTGGCCACGGCCCATCTGAGCCTGCAACATTAGTGCCTGGGCTTGTGCTTGAGCCTGGGCATGCGCTTGGGCCTGGGCACTGGCGTTGAGGCTGTTTTGAAGGCCAGGTTCGTTGGCCTGTCGTTTCTTGAAAAAATCCATAGTCTTACTTGCCATGGCCTGGTCATACGCTTCCTAGAATCAATAGGTTAGCTTTGTAAATTTTTTGACCAGCAAGATGGGGAAAGAAAGTAGCAGCAGCAGAGACGCACTTTGGTTGGTGATTTATGAAACACTTCTCGTTCGAACTGACATCCAAAATCGGTTGCTCGGCTGTAGTCAAGAGTGCCCATGGCGAGAGTGATGTTTGTGATTCTGCGACCCATATCAGTTAGAGTTCACACCGAGAGAACGTTAGAGTTGTAAATGGAGCCAGAGAGGAAAAACTAAGCTATGGGGCCAGTACGTACAAGTCCAATGTCTTTCCCATTCGCTCATTAACAGAGAAATTTGATTGCCAAGTCATGCCATTTAATGGCGGTGTGTTTTGTTGAATATTCTGATAAACAGCCTGCTGCAGCTGGCTAGCTGTGGGCTTTCGCAGTTGTTGAGGCATCATCTGGCCTGCCCCAGCCATGTGCTGCATGTTGGCGGCCATGGCCGCTTTGAGTTTGCGCCAGTTACGCCCTCCAACCTTTTATAGAAACGAGTTCGTATATCGACGAGCGCCAAAAGGCAGAATCCTGTAATGTGGGCAAAATTGAAGAGAAGCTTGGCCAGTCGACTACGCTTCGCAGGTAGATGCGGTGCACGCAGGAGAAAAGAAGTTCAGTACGTAGACGAGCGGACGAGCCAGCCAAAAAGGTTTGTCGGCAGTCTAGGCAGATAGCAAGTAGCCACAGTAGATGCTACAATATGCCTAGCAACCTCCCAGCCCGCCTATGAAGAGCTTCGTAAGGAATGCACCTAAGCAAATACGTTTGCTGCACTTGCACTTGATAGGGGTCTTGAGATATAACCATGCGCTCGAACTCGAAGCCCAAAAGGGGCGTGCCCTGTATCGCAGCCTGTGGGCGGGTGGTTGTGGCGATTCGCTCCAAACGCAAGAGTCTCGGCGTGGTGGTAAACAATGAGGGTTGGTTGACGCAGGTCGGGCATTCAGAGCCGGTGCAAGGATGAGCTGCGAAGCTAAAGGGTTCGACGATGGTCGGCAGTAAGATACTGAGCGAGTGTCAATGGGGCGCTCGGAGAAGAAGAAAATCGATGTGTCGTCGACGTCGTAAAAAAAAAAAAAAGGAAGCGGAGGAAGGGCGACTAGCAGAAATTGCTATGGTGAAGCAGTGGATGTGCGGCGAAACACGAGGGCGGATAGCCTGGCTCAGGATGCGAGAAGGCCTGGAACCAAAATCTCCACGCTGAATCGAGAATCGAAACAGGAAAGGAAAACGGCACCCGCGCGTTCAAAAAGCCTGCGAGAGAACGAAATCGCTTCAGCGACAGGCCGGCACGAGGTGGGAGAGGAGAGACGAAGAGGGTGTTTTGGAGAGTGAGGGCGAGAGAAGAGAGAGAGGCAAGACAAGCGGATTAGAGTTACCGTGGGCTTGGGGGGTGGTGGGCTGGGAGGAAAAAGGTACAAGGGTACTTTGGCTGAGGAGAGCCTGATGGGGGGACGAAGGGTACCTGATACGTGCGTGTGCGGTACTGCGACGACCTGACGCCAGCCTGCGCAGCACTAACAAGCAGAGCCCGAGGCAGCGCCAGACAAGGCGCAAGTACAGTACGAGCGCGCTGACTTTGTCCCAGGTATCCGATACGCAGACAGGCGGCTCAGCTCGTCATTCGCAACAGCACAAAGCCAGAGACAGCGCCTGACCACCGTTGAGCACGGCAGAACTGGCAGCAGGGCGAAGGTGGCCAACGGTGCTGGCGGACGAGCGAAGTGTACCATACGGTAGTCAGGCGGACACTAGCAGAGGGAGGGGGGTTTATCAAGGACGAAAGAGGATGGAGCTTGCAGTACCTGCACGGCCGTACCAGGTACCGACTGCGGCTTTGAGGACGGCTACGACGACATGGATTCTGCTCTGCTGTGCAGCGCTGGCAGAGGAGGGACGGGAAATGCCACTTTGGCTTTTGGAAGGGACGAAAAGATTTGACTGAGCTTCGTCGCGCGGTGCCGCTTAGATTTAGTGTTCTCTTGAGCGCAGCGAGCCCATACATCCAAGCACTAGCGCTGTATTAGAGTTGTCCACACTGACAGGTGGCTTTCCAGTCGAGCTTTGCGGAAGCATAGCATGTGCGAGGAGCATCTCTCGTCTCGGTGTTTCTTATCTTGCTGACAACTCGTTCAGTAGGCCGTTGCCGTACCTGCAAGTTCACGCACTGCCCTGTGAATCGCCCGGGGATGGTAAACAAAACACGGTGCCTCCAGCACAAGAACCAAAGCTTAACCTTCGACAACGGGCGACGACACAGAGAGACATCTGCAGCATTCACTCAACTAGAGACATCCAGGTCCATGGCGTGGCATGGATGGGCCTGGGATTGGCGACCGGCGGTGGATCATTCGGGGGTCCTCTTGGGCCTGGCAGTTGTCTGTCCGGCGCCTGGGCTCTGGCATCGCTGATCTCGGCCGTGGGTAGGCCAGGTAGGGCTCTCTCACGGCGAGTTCTGGGTGGAAACGCTAGTAGATTGGCCAGGGATGCCTAGCATGGGGGTCCCACATGGCGCTCAATCCCTGCCATCCACCTCTCTCCATCCTGGTCTGCAAAAAGCTGCGAGCTCGAGTTAGCGAGGCCATCGCAGCCACCAGGTCGCGGCTTGGGTCAAGGTACCGGTACGGATGGCTGGCGGTGCTGGCCAACTGGCGGTAGGCTTTCTGCCCGGCGCTGCTAGTAAGAGTACTTGTGTTCGCTTGAGGCAGTAGACACGGCCACGAAGACGGCAGTGGGATGGGGGCCGAATCGAAGCATTTTTTGCGTACAAGTAAGCACTGATGCCAATGGTTTATAGATTATATGAGATGGCAAGTGCTGCTTGAAATTATTCACTCATCTGGGAGACTTACTCTATATCCGTAGTAACAGTCGCCTACATACACAATGTACTCGTATCAGCGCTGCATGCATGTCCACCTAGTCTGGCACGGGAGAGGCGCCTATCACATCCGTGAGCAAGGTTGCTGGAGAGGAGTGCGTGAGAATGCCGTGCCGCGGACCAAGAGGATTCCATGCGTCCGTTCAGCAGCAAATATGGGTCTCTCTATCAAATACATACGTAGTAGCCCGTCAGATTCTCCATCGTCGCTAGATAGACCGAAAAAAACGCTGAGCAGAGCGTGATTCTATCTGGTACACTATCAGCTTCATACAGCTTAACTCAAATAACGCCTGTCCCTCTGCATGACTCGATAAATGTAATGCGTTGAAGCCTGTCGTCTATCAGGCGGTGGATTTGATCTTGCATGTATGCGCTATACAAAAGCAACCGTGAGATTTTCTTGACAGGCAAACTGAGACGCCAAAGCATCAATGATACCGCGGCCTGGGGAAATGGCAAAAAGAGACGGCACTCAGGCTCCCCAATGGTGGGCGCTTTGCCCTGGGACTACCCATGTCTAGCGCATATGGTACGGGTGCTAGTTTGCTTAACCCCCCCTCTTGCTATAGAGGTCTTGGAGAAGTCATCTCTATCGATGGCAATGGCGACAATTTTGCGCAATCATGGTCTGGAGCTGGAGAAGACGCAAATACACCTAGCTGGAAAAGCTGCGGAGATGCTTCTCCTCGTGACGAGCCATAGCGGTGGAACATGGCAGAAAGAAGAGAGGTGAGGGGAAGAGAGAGAAAACAGGAGAGGATGGAAAAGTATATTTGAGCTGGGCGTCAGAATAGCAATTTTAATTGATGCTCACAACCTGGCGGCACTTCCAGATTGCCGTACATTGCGCAGAGATGCAACACAGTAGCCAGCGCGGGTTGCAATAGCGCCTACACATTTGGAGGCTGATGTTCGCACACGGCCTTACATGGCGCTCTTGGCAATTGAAGGAGAATTCCATTTATTCTCTACTATACCTACCCGCAAAGTACATCAGTAGGTGGTAGGTCAAATTGTAGGCTTACGACTGCAAGGCAAGAGATGTCTATATTGGGCGCTAGAGGTGCATAGGTATTGCTACCTCACCTCTACCCACCCGGTGCGCAGCAACCTTGTCGATGCCCCAAAAATTTGACCAGATGCAGGTTTCCAGGCAAGCACTAGCCTAAAGAATCCTCGCGGACAACTTGGAACCTGGCATCAAAGTGTGATGCAGAGAGGAAGAAGAAAAGCCAAGCAGCTGAATGGGGCGATACTACTGATTTAATTCAAGAATTACTTGTAACCACCAACGTTGAGCCAGCCGCTACTAGGCACATACTCTACCCTACCTACTACCTCAGGTACCTTATACAGTATACCTTAGTACTACCTAGTACTAAACTGAGTTACTACAGCTACCTGACACTGCGGAGTACCAGTACTACAAATACCTGGGAGCATGTACTATGGAGTATGGAGTACTGTGCTACCAGCCGCGACTAGACCCACCAACGGCCATCTCCATTCTCGAATCCAACGTATCGCCAAGCTCCTCTCCAAAACACTGCTCGTGGCACTCCGTGCCAAGGTACTACTACAGTACCATCATCGGGGCGAAGAAACATTCGATGTCTTTGTGATTTGATGCCGCTGCCCGTGCTCTGTGATCTCTTTGCTAACGAAATATCCCAGCTGAGCTCTTCACCTGCGTCTTCTCGAAGCTCCAAGAGACGGCAGAAAATTAGCAGTGTCTTTGCCCCAGTTCTCATTTCATTCAGGTCGGCCTCCCCTTGCGTTCTCGCAAGCCACCCGTGTTCCTGAGCCCTTGATGCGGCTGCGGAGTGTGCATTGAACGCTCTAGGAAATAGTGCCTGTGCTCCGCGGCAGAAACGGACAATCTACCCGATGAGCTGAGCGAATGCATGTTGTACAAAGCAGTTCTTCTTGAGCATGCTACTGTATGGGAACATTGCCGTCATGTTTATTCCCTCTATCGCTAGCAGCGGTACGTTCCGTCTAGGCTGTGCAGACGTAGCACAGTGATTCCTCCTAGGCTGGCGATCAACCAATGAACAAGTTTTGGTGAGGCGAAAGGAGATCAGGACGAGCCCCACGCGTGTTAGCTTGCTTCGCCCACGCCTTGGACTGCAAGTTCTCGGCAGCTAAAACCCTCCATGCATGAGTTTTCTTCCCACTGTTTCAACTTTCTGCTGGCCTACCAATCCTAGACGGCAGCCAGAAGGGAAGGTTGGCTGGGCTGGCCGCCTTGGCCTTTTTGGCCCTGATCTTGCCTCTATGGGATGGGTGCGAAAAGGAGCCCAGGAGCTGCATCAAAGGGGCAGCCCCAATTGTATGTGCGCACAAGTTGAACAGCAGGGGAGACTAATTGCGCAGAGCACACACACCGTGCCAGGACTACGAGGACAAGAATGCGCAACTCGCTCGTATTGTGATACTTCCAGGTAGCATTACTTGCTCTATGCTCGGCGCTTGTCATGTGCAAAGATGGGAAGACCAATGTCAGCCGCCGCCCACAGCCCCAAGGGTTGCCCAGCTGCTGCTGCTCCTGGGGCTGCTTTGAACCAGCAGTAAGACCGGGGCCCTACGAGAAGTGTCGATTCACCAAGCAGGCTGACAGCAGCGGATGGCTTTGCCCCTGGAGCGTTTTGATATTTCGCACCCAACGCTGCGGTACTGCAAAGCCAGGATTAAGGGACGAGGAAAGGGGAGATTGTTGTTGTTGGTACCAACGCTCGGATCCCGGCGGATTTCATCTAGAAGTACTCTTCGATCACTGATTAGCGGTCGAGCCCCGGCCGATTTCCGCTGCCTGGTCTGAGCCTTGGACCACCATTTTCTGGGGTCCACTCTCTCGGTTGAGATGCGCCGTAGCATGTGGTGGATTCATGCTGGGCAGGTCGCCCACGGTACCCTTTATTACGGAGAATACTCCATAATACATGCCATACAGTACACGATTGCCTTGTACGAGTACAGGAATGGCACCGAGGAGATTCCTACCTTAGTAGTCACCATGGCCATCGCATCAGGCATCTACATGTTAGACTACCTTACCTCCGTGTGGCTTCAGAGGGCCGCCGTTCATCTTGCCAGACGCAGAGGACAGGCACACGCACGTACAAGTACATGCATATTTGCAGCGAGTCAATCAGCGCCCATTGGCCGAGCCTTGGGAGCCTTGACCAAGCCACTGCCTCCGCCCGTCTCACTGAACTCATACGGAGTAGCGATATTGGCGTGCCCCAATGCTTGCAAGTACAAGTAGCATTCTCTGCCAAGTACATACACGTAGCTTGGGCAGCTCATTTGCGTGGTGGCAACTCGTCTGTGCGTCACTAGCTCCCGCGACTGGACTCGACTGTTTTGAGCAACGGGAGGGACGTTGGTCTGCTGCTATGAGAGTCATCCGCAGAGCGCATGAGATTTTCACGCTGGCAGCGCAAACACTTTCGCCCTGACTGATGACACATTGCTGCGGGCACACTTGAAATTGCGACTCTGCTCTTTGCATCTGGCGGGCCGGCTACTTGCACTCGCCGTGCTAGCAGCAGCATTCGCTTACTACAGTACGAGTAGGTACAACAAGTACCTACCTATATCTAGCAGAGCTAGTGGCTTCCAAGCTAAGCGAAGAAGGCTTCAGCAGCACAAGGGTCCGCAATGGCAGTTCCGAGACATACGAGGCTTGCCGCTCGAGTCCCCGCAAGCATACTTGAGGAGCCATGGTGTCAACATGCTGGCTGCATCGGAGATTCACGGTTCAGGTTAGGTAATCTTGGCTGCTTCAGTGTGTGTGCAAAACACCTGCCAGCTGCTGGCGCCATCTTGCATCGTGGCACTGCAGAGGACGGTAAAGCCGAGGTTTCACACCACGACGGGCTATGGATTGATTCGCGAGGTCGGCCAGAGGTCGAGGAATACCTTGGATTTTCCAAATAGCAAAGATCCATCGGAAAATTATCCCATCATCTTTTGCATCGTTTGCCTGGGGGTGTCTCTTCCCCTCTTGGTTGTAAACTGACTATCCTACTATTAGTTTGGCTAATTCGGTCTTACAACCTACAAGGATAGGGAAATGGGTCTGAAAGTGTGTCAGAAGCATTGCATAGACCGATGGATGGAACATGCGATTTGCAAGGCAGATACTACCGTGCCGCTTGAGGAGCTAGGATTAGGTAGTATACTCTCCTGCGTCAGAATACAGCAGCAGCAAAAGAGGGCGCCCATGGGTCCAGCAATGTTGCTAAAGTCAATGGGCCTGGCTACCGATACTCCGAACGGGCTCGACGGTTTGTCTATTCGCCACCCGAAACCAGCTGCTTCAGCTCCAGCCTGACTCGCGAATCGTTTTATCTGGCAGCTATCACTCCACGGCGTTATGACTGTTGTTCTCAGATCAACAGGCCGTAACACTCCGATCTCCCCAGAATTGCTTTGACACGGCCTCCGAATTGCGTTTCTTGGACCTGAGCTAGCTGTCAGGCGGCACTGACTTTGTGATTCAATGTTCTACAGCGCCCTATGGAGTCATATAGCATTCACCGCTCTAGTTCTTAGTGTTATATCCCCGTTGCTTCAAGGGAGGGCTTTTCGCAGTACAAGTAACAGCTCACAAATTATTGCTAGTAACTCACTGCCTATAGTCGATCGATACAAACTGCTAAAAACTACGTTGGTACCAATTCGTTCTGTTGATCTTCTCGAAAAGATCTTGCCTGGTGATAATCGGCGGATGGAGATGTGCTTGCAAATTACTGTGTCACACCCTTACCGGGGTCCGGGCCACAGACAACTGCTAGTAGCAGTTTTAGTACAAGCATGAATGGATGAGCCGGGGCTAGGCTGGTCGGCGGGTATCCCCCTCCCAATAAACTACGTCGATGGACTGGGCTTACTGTGCTAGGTATTGCTCATACCGAGATTCAATCAAGAGGCTGCGCTAGCCAGGTATGTACGAAGTTACGCACCAACAAATCGACATCTGGTGTTTGGTACTGTCTACATCGTCCGTTGTTCGCGATTACAAGCAGGACCCTTGCACAAAGCCTTCACCGGATGGGACACCACTCTGAGCTCTTTCCACCAAACGAAGCAGCACAGATGTTGCTCTTTTTCGCTCTGCCGATTTGGCCGACTCTGCTCCTCTTGCCTCGTGTCAGCGGGCCTGCACTCTTTGATTGGACGCCCCCTCGGCAGCGCTGACGTTTAAGTGGCAGCGCTATCGAGCCTACGGCTCTTTCGAGTGGAAGAAGATCATGCGCCGACTGCATTGACCTGGCGTGGCGTTTCCCAACTGATTCCTGGCTATGCCAAACCTCTCCAGCCTTGTGGGCTGGGGCAAAAGGTGGGCGCTGCCACGGCGATTAGCTGTCGTTAGCATGCCCAAGCAGCAGGGCTTCATGGCAGTTAGGTTGTCGTGGCGTGCGTTTATTCTGTGGCATTTGCTTGATAGTGCACATTCTTTGTTGCGCGTGCCCTCGTCTGTCCTTCGAGAAACGCCCGTAGAGAAATGAGACAAAAAGAAGAATTGATAGGCTACTTAAATGGCTGACTTACAAAGCCGGACTCGATGTGGCATAAGTGCATTCTTCTTTTCCTTCTTTTTCCTCTCTCGCTTTCCAATTGTATGTTTGACTATGTGTTGTGCCGTTAATTGCGGAGTCATAATTCGGCTGGCAATTTCTAGGATTGGTTTAGCTTCTCACTGCACATGCATTACTCTACGATGTGCGAAGCTTTACTTATGACGGCGTGCTTGGCATTTGATCTTTCGATTTTGGGTGTGTTGGTCTTTTTTATCTTTTTTTCCCTTCCCTTTTATTTTCGACTAGGAAAGGAAAGCAATTGAAGAGGAAAGTAGGGCTACTCAATCGTGTAAAGCGTGTAGAATAGTGCGCCGGCGATAGTTCTGAAGGGGATATTTCCATCCCTCTAAGATTCTTGTAAGATGGCTCATTGTATCTCCGCTTTCTATCAAGCATCAAAGAGAAGAGATAAATCTCGTCCTGACTTACCCATGGACTTTTAACGTTAGTCGGGGTTAGGTTTGAAGAGTATTATTAAACGAAAAAAATAAAAGAAAGCAACGTCCCCTGTTGAACCCTCCCTTTCCAATCAGATCTCTTGAGAACGAGGCATCCAAACGCCACAGCGCGCCATTTTTTTCTTTTTTTTTTCCTTTTTAATTTGTGTGTATCTGGTAGTCTCGCGAGTTCCCTCTTAGAAGCTTGTGCTGATTTTTCTGAGAAAAAGTCTACATTGCGTGGGAAAAGGCTTATTGGTAGATGCCGGGTTGACAGCCGGCACTAAGGGAATCTTAAAAGCACAACGTGTGTTGAAAAGGGGGAGAGTGCTTATTCTAAGGGAATGAGTATTACGCTCCTTGTAATGTATAGGAGATGCTGAAGAGGGCTAGGTACCTATATGATGTAACGAAAATGCTTTATATATATATATATATATATATATATATATAGACAGCGGAAAATAGGTATGCAATGAAGTTGGAAATCGCCTGAGGGCGCCAAATTAAATTAAAACCATTGGATTTGGAAGAGAGGACTTGCAAATCACCCGCGGAGCACGGGTAGTAGCGAGAATTCATAATCGATACTGAGGTTTAAGCTTTCTACAGCAGCACAGCGCTCTCATATATCGCGGAGATATATTGTGGATTTGCTGGTTCATTTCATTAGAGTGAGAGTGAGTCTCTTGGTGGTGGCTGGTGTTGGGATCTCCAAACTTTTGGTCGCAAGCTGTGTATATACCTATGAGTACTAGCTATCATACCTTTGGTATCGTAAGGTACTACCTGATTATGGTATTAGCAGCCAATTAGTAGGTACCTACCTACCTCAGCTCCAAAGTACAGTCTCATCTCTTTCTCTTGCTGGATCGATAAATAAAAAGAAGTGAAGACAAAAATGAGAAAAAGCGATTTTCGTAATTGATGTGCAGGCGCCAACCTTGTCAAGATCGCGTGCTCCTTTTTGGGGGATCTTCCCTAGGGATCTGTGCCGCGAGGTACTATCCGCCGGCATCTATTGGTCTAAATGATGTTGACTCTATATCCTTCAGCCGCAAAGCCCCTGAAGCTGGCGATGAAATGAAGGAGCCGCGCAACAAGAAGAAACCCAGCAAAGCGAAAGCATATAGCAGCACCTTTTATAGTGCAAGTTTCTTCTCAGCACGTTCGCTTCCATCTGTATTCAGTCCGTCCGATATCTGGTCCTCGTGCAATTCTACGTCATCATCCAGGTACCAGCCCAGCCGCCCATCAACACGCAGCCAGCGATGTATTCCTTGATGCTGCGGTGCATGCATGATGCACCGACCGGCTCCTCCACCCCGACAGATCGCCCCTCCACCCTGCATTGGCTTCCACCCCAGACTCGTCCCCAGGTCAAATCCTCTGGATCTAGAATCGGCGTGGCTACCACTCTTTGCTTCAACACCACAAGCTCAGTCGTTTTTTTTTTTCATATTCTGAATTTTGTTTCTTCAAGCGAGCGAGCAATACCTCATCATGATTTTATGTGCATTATAATGTCCTTTTTTTTTCCGGACCTGTTTCTTCTTGTATCCTTACAGCGATAGAAGCATATAAAGTAGCATGCGCTGCTATATACCCGCAACATCTGAGCCTCACCTTCAAGTCCCCCTTCTTTGCAAACCCTGTGAATTGGCCAAAATCTACTAGAGAGTAATGGACAATGAGGAGGCATTTCCTACCATCCCCGCAGATAATACAGGCAGCTCTTTGCCCGATGAATTCGCCAGCGAGACACGTCCCGTCAGGTTTAGCGATGCTGCTGCCGCGAGCTTCGGATCTTCGGATGAACTGCAGAAGGAGTCGCCCAGGGAGCAATCGTTGGACGCCGAGTTTTCTACTCAGGGGGAGTATGTCGGCATTTGTCCAGATTGTTTGTATCCGCTGCTCCTTGACAATGCTACTCAACAACATTCGGACTACTGCCATAACATGTTTGTTCAAAACCTAAGAGCTGAGCCATCCTCATTCAATGATAGAGAAGAGAGGAATTTTCTTCTTCAAGGTAAGAACTGCTAAAGGTGTTTCGCCGACGAGCTGCTAACCACGAGTAGATTACCTGCGTCAATCTACACATACTATCTCGTCGGGTACTTGGATAGATCCATCTCTATCTACCGCCACTGCAGTCCCAAGTGCCACCAATACATCAACGGCGATTTTACCAGATGTCTACGAGAACACAACTGGCGGGAGTCATGATACGGATGAGCCTAGTTTGGGCTTCTCTTCTATACAGCCTCCTCAGCTACCACATGTGACCAACAATCAACCTCAGCCAATCATGGAATCTGGAAGACACTCCTCCGATAATGCTACCTCATCAGATGAACAAAGGTAAGCCAGCCTAAGCCAAGATTGGAGATAAATCTTCATCTATCAAACTGTCCCTAAGAAGCAAATCCATCCTCTGGAGCCGGCCATTAATATGCCCTACCTGCCAACAAGATTTCACCAACTCGAGATCTGATAGCTATGCACGCCACAGGAGGGAGGCACATGAACCGGGAAATTATCCCTGTCCTCACCCACAGTGCAAGAAATTCAAGATCCCCTTCAAGAGGGCAGATAAACTGCAAAATCATCATCGCAACACGTGCAAAATTGAGCGTCAGCTTAGAGGGACGACATCTCCGAGTTGACATGAGATCGACAATTTATTTGGAGAACGATTGAAATGGCGGACAGTCTATTTTTTTTCTTTTCTCTTTTTCTTTTCTTTTTTAGGCGAGGGATAAACCACCAATACGAATTTTTGCCAAACCACGATGAGCTAAAATTGCATTACAGCTATACATGAAGATTTGCTTTGTTTGTTTTACGGGGATAGTCATTCAATTACAGTATATACTCATGCAGATTGATGAAATACAATACGACTTTATATTTTTATAGTAGAGTTACCTCCACCCACCCCAAGTTACCTGAATCATCATATCTGGGGAGATCGAGTTGGTCTCTATGATCTACCATAGGATGCAATTCACACTCGGGCCATCAATTCAATGAGATTCGTGCTTGAACTAATTTGCTCTGAAACCGCTCATCAGCTGCGTATATGAACACATGGTAATCTCCCCGCCTCTAATCTATACCAGTACGAAGAGGGCCTCCAACCGTGGTGACAGAAGCTCCTACTGTAGTGATTGAAGCCGCTACTGTGGTTATAGAAGCCCTCCAAGGCTGTGGCAAAGGAGGAGGTTGTGGTGGCCGCACTATAACCTCGATATCATTCGGCATTGTCTTGGCGTCTCCATTTCCCTCCCGAACTGTGGTTATTACCTCAACATCAGAGAGTTTTCTATCCCCATTGCCATTATCATCCGGGCATCTCTCCCGCTCTAGCTTCATATCCATAATCATCCTTAGCTCTGGGCAGTATTCGAGTATTTCCCTTCGGCGAGCTGCGTCCCCCCATATCTCTTCGTTCAAGTTTCCCCCGCCCTCACGAACGTGATAGCCCATGGGTCTCTCCACGTAGACACCTTCAACGGCAATGGCACCATCTAGCTTGGATGCGACTTTAGCTCCTGGCAACGCCCATAGACGTTTTCTGAACCACTCATCTTCAGGTTCTGAATCGTTGAAACGTGCCTGGAAGCTGAGAATTCGCTTGATCACAGATACTCTACGGAGAGAGGCGCCCCCATTGCCAGAGAAACTGTCGTCATCGATGCTACACGTGCATATTGCGTCAAAAAAAAAAAATGAATTCTGCTTTTACATGATAGAGGCAGGGACCTACCGCGACACACCAGCCCAATCCCAGTCAAGGCAGTCATTCAAACTTGTCTCCGAGTTTGCACATAGAATGCTGTCATGCTCATATTTCAAGACCCACTCTACGCCTGGCAGGAACTCATCATAAAATCTCGAATCGGTAAGCAGCCTGAAAACATCCTCTTTACTGGCGGCACTCCATGGAGAAGGAAGTTGCATCAAATCCAGCTTACCAATGACCTGCTGGTGCTTGATCGAGTAGGCTTGACTGACGCTGTGAATACTCTCGCGCGAGCCGATAAAGAGGAATCGCCAGTCAGGTGGCACCACCGTTATCATGTGTAGTATCAGAGGGGAAAGGTGAGGTATTGGCCTGGCTTCGATGAGAAGAGCAAGCTTAGACGAGTTGTAAGCGGCTCGAGGATCTTTGGTGGGTGGAGTTGGCCAGTCTAATTTGACGTTGGGAATCAATTTTCGTGTTTCCTCAAGCCTGGAGGAGAACTTGGATGTGATGACGGGCTCATATTGAGAGTGCAAACGACCGAGATACCACCTAGAGGCCGATGTTTTTAGCAGCTGAGCGTCGATTGAGCACTGGATTCGAATCTTGAGACTCTTATTGAACACACATAAAGACCAAGAGGATTGGGAAGAGGATCCGAATAGGGGAGGTGGAGAGAACCCCTGAACTGTTGAATCCAGACATGGTGGCGGTGATGGTTGGCTGCTGATACAGTCGTACCAGCTCCTTTTCCACAATTGCAGCATTCAAAATCAACTAAGAGAGCCAAGTTGAAGCGCTTCAGCAACTATAACTTATCCAGATCGCTGCCATAAACCAAAAATCATCCATCATCTGATCAAGGCGGTGAAGATAGAGTTTCTGCAAGCACCCGTGCCGGGAAGGATCGAGGTACGTACTTCAACATGCCGCCTCCTGACCGACTCCGAGGTGACCCAAGATTTGGAGCAACCATGAACAACCTGCTGAAGGGACATTACAAAGAAAAAAAATGACGTTGCACACAAGCTCAATGCGATGCCTCACCGCCGATTAGTCTATAGCAACATTCAGCGAACGAGTTCAACGGGATGCCCGCCCATCGTTATGTCCAGTTTCTCCGAAATAGGGTCATGGCATTTCTTTGCAACTCGAGACGACGACGGTTCGTGATGTTATGGATAGCCATCGTGTTGGTTTACACTTGCAATGCCTCTCACATACCTTGCCCGCCCAGCCCTCTAACTGCATACAGTCTCTTCCTCCCATCACTCACATACCTCGCCTCCAACTCCAACATTTCAATTTACGTTCCACGCATCAGCTTCGAATACCCAGACAGGCCGCGCATCCATCCATACAACGCCTCCAAAGTCGCCCTCCTTATCGAAAACCGCCCCAGTGCCATTCTCGCGCCGATCCTGCTACACTTTATATCCGTCGTACCGCCCGACTGGCAGTTCCGCTTCATGGGATCTCCCCTTTCAGTGGCTTCGATCAACCGCTCTGCCGCCATCCGGCACCAAGTTGCCTCCGGGAAGCTCGATCTCACATACATCCCCGAAAACATGAGCACAAACGGACAAGAAGAAATTAGCCAGTTTCTCACCACGCTATGGCTGTACGAGGTTGTGCTTCAACCGGCAGAGTGGCTGCTGGTTTTCCAAACAGACTCCATGCTCTGTGCGAGTAGTAGGCTGAACCTCAACGAGTTTTTGGAATATGACTGGGTTGGAGCGCCATGGAACCCTGGAGGGCAATGGGGTGGAAATGGAGGCTTGTCGCTGCGGCGTGTGAGCCGCATCATCGACATCCTGCGCAACCAGCGACGTGCCAACGGCTCGCAACCCGAAGATGTTTGGCTATCCGAACGTCTTGCCCATCATCCCAACGGTAAAGTGGCTAATGGATCCGTGTCACTGACGTTTTCTGGGGAAATGCACGGCGGGCAGCCAGAGCACTCTATGAATAATTCAAGTAGCTCCAACCTTGACCATGTCGGCGATGGCGAGTATATGTCGGGAGTAGATGACTGGAGAATAGGATTTTACGAGCCAATGGGATACCACATTGGTGGTAGCGGTTCTTTTCTTCATAGTCCTATTTGGGGATCGCCAGAGCTGAGGGAACACATGTGGAAATACTGTCCGGAAATCAAGATGACGTTGGCGATGGATATAGCCAAGTATATCCCTGGTAACTGCGGCGCGACGTGGATATAAGTCTAGATGAACTTTGAAAACAAGATTGATTGTCCATGTACAGTTAACAGCTTCACTATAGACCTATTGTTTTGAGACTAAATGTAATAAGGGGTCCGGAACTTCGTCTGCCCAGATCCTCCAAGTTTAGCTTAGAAATAGATGTGCGTAGCAATTAATTAATTTTCTCCCAGCTGCTGCATTCATAAAGCCAGATATTAACCACCGCATTAAAATATCGTTACAATGGGAGGGAACAAAATAGGGGGATAGACGCAGGGCAAAAAAAAAAAAAGGCCCTTTAAGCCAGCCCTTCCGCCACAGCATGGCCAACAGCACCTGCAAGCTCACCAAACAGGATGCCCCTGAACACGCTCTCGCCCATATTCTGCGTCCATGCACCTGCCTTCTGCAGCCTCTGCTTCCAGGCATTCTTCTGCGCAGCAGGTAGTTCGTCCCAAGTCTTGGCGGGGCCGTGAACCTCTTCATCGTGGACATCCAAGGAGAGCTTCTTACCGCCAGGGCTATCTTCAGCATCCAGAGCAGGATGGTCCGCCTCCCACATAACGAGAGTCTCCGCAGTGTTAATGTCACTGCCAGCTAGCCTTGAGATGAGAAAGTCCTTGTTGAAAGCAGCTGGTGGGTGAGTCGGATCGCGCAAGGTGCCATGCCAAGACGGGAGGAACTTTTGCGCATTGATGATGGGCTTGCTCATGCCATACATTTCCATGATACCCTGTCCAATAACGGCCATGATGAGGATAATGATAGAAAGCGTGATGACGACTGGTCGTCTAGAAGGCGCCTTGGCACGTAGGGCAGTGACATATCGGGCTGCCGTCTCATCGATCGGCTTTCCAGGGAGTACGTCAATATGTCGCCTCAAAGCGATGCTATGAACAGTCACGCCACTCTGAAGAGTAATACTAGCCAGCTTGAGGAACTGCTGAGTGAGGTGTTGTTTGGGAGGGATGAAATTCGAAAACGCCAGGCCGGTGATATTATCACCTTTGTGAGCGTCTTTCAAAGTGTAGAGTGGGTTTAAGTTGGAAAGAAGCTCTATAGAGGCAAGAGCCTTGTGATCCATGCTATAAAAATAAATGGAGGAGTCATTGCCAGCCACCGCAATGACAAACTGTGTATTGCCCACGGGAGTCGATGGAGACGAAGGAGGCGATGCGTTTGCGATAGCGAGGGCCGTTGCAGAGATATTCTTCGGGATACGCACTGTCGCAGATATCCGCGCCTTGTCGTGGCCTGGGGTGGGCAATCGGAAGCCCTGGAGGATGACACCGCTTGACTTTGGTAGATTGGCAGCGGCAAGGATAAAGCTGGGTGTCACAAATCGAATCGAGCGGAACGCAGCCAGCTCACCATGGTCATCTGTCATTGTGAAAATGAGCTCTGGATCGCTGTTCTTCTTGCCGATTTTGACCAGGTACAGCTCGTACTTGTGGCAGTACGCAAGCAAGTACTCTCCATCTTCGCACTGGATGATGTCCAGGTCCTCCGCATCCTTGTCCAGCCCCAAGACACCCTTGGATTTGGGTTTCGGCCCCGAGGCGTCAAAGATGGCCAGCTGAGGCTCCTTGCACATGCGTGTGGCGGCGGCGCCAATGGATCCAGAGATGCGCAGTACGGGTTGGTAAGTGTCGGCATCCGGGTTCGTGAAGAAGGCGCTTCGAGACACCTCTGCGACCTGTACATCGGGGTTCTCAGCACCGGCGGCTCGCGACTTGGTTTGCTCGACGGAAAACGTTCGGAGATGGTTATTCTTGCCCTTGGACATCTCTTTGGGGCTTGAGTTGATGCCGGCGTAGACATAGGACGGCTTGTCGTTGGCGCTCTCGGCAACGGCGAGCGACATTACGGAGTCTTCATCGCGGGAAAGAGCTATGTCTCCAGATACTCGTAGCTCGCCCTGGTCAACGGTCTCAACAACAGACTGTATGGCGAAGGGTGGTTAGTATTCGGGGTGGACAAACAACTGCTCAAGGCACCACAGAGAGTCACGCACAATCTTGTTGGCCACGCCAGAGCGCCCAGCGCCGCCGCCTCCACCGACAACTAAACGATTCGCATCTTGAGGATCAAAGCTGACTGCGTACAGCGGATAGTCGAGCTTTATGTTGGCTTGTGGGAATGGCAGCGCCATGGTGATCGATGATGTCAGGATTAGGTCTCGCGATTGTGTGAATTGTTTATTCGCTTCCTTTCGCCAAGTCCAAAAGAAAGGAAAGAATGCAATACGAGCTGGACAAAAGAGGTAGCGAGCGGCCTTTGATTTGTAATTGGGCGCGTTCGGGTTCAGGAAGCCATCGAGATGATTCCAGCGACGAATGCACGAGGCTGCGGTTTGTGGCCAGATAGTCGAATGGCGGGAGCTTGGCGAGATTTGGCGGGGGAGGATAGCTGGGAGCTGTAGCTGACAGGGATGGTTTAGCGCCATGCGCCTTTGTAACTCGGTACCTCCACCCCCAGTTGTTGTTAGCAGCCGCATGAAAATCAACTACATGCTCTCCTAAACGATGATAACATAGGTAGGTGATGGCTTTTTCCATCGGCCACATTTCTCTGTAAATCTAAAAGTGTTTCCACTTATACCATTTCAAAAAAGCTGTGGATAAGATGGCGCTCGTGTGTCGATGCCTGCCTAGGTAGGTGGCTGGCATCAACTCACTCATCCGTCAGGTTCACAAGCACCGCTTTAACAGTATAATATCCCTTCAATCCATCTTCACCAAGCTCTCTGCCAAATCCACTCTCCTTGACCCCTCCAAAGGGAACCCTTGTATCGGAATCATTGCTGCTATTCACCCACACCATCCCAGCTTCCAGATCCCGGGCCACGCGATGTGCTCTCCCCAGGTCTTTCGTGAAAACCGCACCCGCAAGCCCATACCGACTCGCGTTGGAGACTTCTATAGCTTCTGCCTCGCTCTTGAACCGCGCAATGGCTGCAACTGGGCCGAAGATCTCTTCCTGAAAAGCCGCTGTGCTGGTGTCGACGTTTGTAAGGACCGTCGGCGGGACGAAGAAGCCCTTTGAAGGCAATTTCCCACGGGGATGGAAAACTTCAGTACCGGCGCTTTGTGCCGATGATATGTATGTCAAGATGTGTTCTGCGTGTGCTTTGCTGATCTGGGGCCCCTGATACGTCTTGGGGTCAAATGGGTCTCCCAGGACCGAGGTCTTCTCTGTGAAAGCCTTGAATCTCTCCACAAAACTATCGTAGATTCCATCTTGCACCAACAACCGTGACGTTGCCGTGCACATCTGCCCTTGGTTGGCCATGACTCCCTCGTGCGCCCATCTCACAGCCTGCTCCAGATTCGCGTCGTCAAACACAATCAGCGGTGACTTGCCTCCCGTCTCGAGAGTGACTGCCTTTAGTGTGCCAGCTGCCATACGCATCACTTCTTTGCCCGTCGCTGTGCTGCCGGTAAAGGAGATTTTATCCACTTCTGGGTGACGTGCCAGAGCAGAACCAGCCTCTCCGCCGCGTCCGCTGATGATGTTGATAACTCCCGGGGGGAAGCCCGCTTCGCGTATGAGTTTCGCCATGTAAAGCATGGACAGTGGTGTCTGCTCAGCCAGTTTGAGCACTACCGTGTTTCCGCACGATAGGGCAGGGCCAAGTTTCCACGCTGCCGTGTCAAGGGGATAATTCCAGGGGATGATCTGGCCGCATACGCCGACAGGGTGCTTAACTGTGTAGGCCATCTTTTTTGTTCCAATATCAATCACCGAGCCTTGGTTTTTATCTGCCCATCCGGCATAATAGCGGAGCACCTCGGAGAACTGCGGCACATCGTAGCTTCGTGATGTGGATAGCGGCTTGCCATTATTAAGCGTCTCGACGGCAGCAAGTGTTTCGCTATGCTCGTCTACTAAGTCTGCCAACCGGTTCATCAAGCAGCCCCGCTCAGTACCAGATAGTAGTCTCCATGAAGGTTGCTTAAGTGCTTCTCGAGCAGCTTGAACTGCTCTGTCTACATCGGGCTCCCCAGCTGCGAATACAGAGCAAATCTCCTGTTCCGTGCTGCGCCGGATTGAAAAGAGTCAGTAACCGAATCATGGCCCGCAAATGCATTCATCCACATCTAGGAAGAGTATAGCAGGCGGCAATACACACTATGGGTTGGTCGTGGCAATTTTATCTCCTCTAATACTTTCGCTGAATTGGTTGTTAATAAACAAGCCCAATGGCTGTGTCCATCTTGTCCCATTTGGTGCGGATAGTTCAGTCTCGAGATGGGGCGATGACAGCCGTTGAGAATGACCAAACTGCCGAGTGTAGCTCAGTCGATACACGACATTTGGAGCAGGCTTCATCAGCTTTGCTACTGGCGTGCATCTCCTTCCTAACATCTTGAAATAGTTCTCTGGTGCGTGATATTTTGCATAATCAAACAAAAAAAAATACTTTACGTTGGGCTTCACATTTACATAAAGCCGCATCTGCTGTCCAGTTTATGAAATACAATGCTTCACCCAGTCTATAGGTAGATATCCAGAGCTAGGTCGAAGCTACTACTATATCCGAGGTACGCTTGAATATGGCCTATCGCCCCACTATTCGGAGATCGGATCTGTTGTCTCCGGTGGAATATGGTACGTGCCATGCTGGACTGCGGCAAATCTAACATGTTTCGAGCAGAGCTGGAACTTCATGATATCATAGGACTTTATTTAGGTGGCTGTCAAAGTAAAAATAAACAAGGTTCTTTTTTCTTTCTTTTTCTTTTAAATCCATGCATATTCTGTTAACCCCCCCCCCCCCCCTTCTTTTTCCTGACCACAATGCATTATTTTAGTTACCCAAGTGAGAGGTCTAAGGCACAGGTATGCTCATCCTATCCCTAGCAACTTCCTACGCAGCCTCTTCTTTATTCGCCAGGTGGTTATGTTGTTACATTAACTGGCTTTCCTTTGCCTCAATAAGTACGTACGAGAAGTGTTTCACTATTTCCAGGAAATATAATTTCACCAATCTCATTGTATATCTGCCTGATTCTCATTACCAAGGTAATACCAAATTTCAAGGACATATGATAAGAGCAAATGGTGGCATATAATGATTGAATATAGCCTTTATTGAATACCGTCACCCACGCTCCCCCCAATTTCATTATTCTCCAGGTTTAAAAGCATTCTTCCATGTGTAGCATTGATCCACTAGGGGTATCTCTTCGCTGGTCGTAGGTGGACACCCTTCAGGGCAAATATTTCATAACAAATAAACAGATAGACAAACGAATGTGGTGTTGAATCAAAAAGTTGGTTCATTCAACTCGATCTATTTTTATTTTCGACTTTTTTGTGGTTGAGCAAATCATTCTCATAAGAACGAGGAGGAGAAGGGAAGCCCTCCGCTGTCCCAAGTCCACAGACAGATTAAGCAAGCATAGATAGAGGCCGGTCGCTTGGTGAACCGAACAGCAGAAATATATAAAATGATAGTATCAAGAGTGTAATTAGAGAAAGGAATTGTATGGTAAAGGCGAATTACTATGCGTAAAATCAGAAGTGTCGGTCGCCCGACGTAGATTGTATTTGCGCTGGTACAAGCCAGAAACTCCCCCCCCCCCCCCCAAAAAAAAAAAAAAAAAAAAAACTAAATGCTGTGTCCAAATCCAAAGAGGGAAAATTAATCTTATGGAAGTGACAAGATATTATAAGTATGGGTGAGATTGGTCTGTGGGGTGCCGCATCATTGCCGATGCTAGCACAAATATATTATCAGGAAGAGAGCCATGTTCGAAGTCGCACAGCAGACGGCTGAATATTGTTACCAGCGGGGGTTATCTTGGTGCTTTCTTGGTGCAGTTGCCCAACCCGTCTCTAGGTGGGATGGCTGAGCTGCCCTCCACTGCCCGGTTCTCAGATCTTGTTCTTGAGGTTGCCCGGGGACCAATCCAGACATGGGGGGATGCGGCCCCTCCATCACTCGTAACGGCGGCAGTCTCTCTCCGCTCGTTGAAGAAGCCGCGGACGAGGGCCTCGGCGGAGGCGCGCCATAAGCTTGGCTGTGCATCGACGGGAGGCCGTGCGGCGGACCACCAGGCAAAGCACCATACATTGGAGGCGAGAAATCCGGACGATCGTCTGTGCGTCGAACCGGTACGGGCCGTTCTGCCGACGACACTTCGCTCAGATAACCTTGAGTGGGAGTGGGAATGTGATGAGACTGCATTAGGGGACTTCTATCCACAAAGCTGATACTCTTCGATAGTGCCGGGCTAGGTGGCCCGGCTGCATGGTTGCTTACAGCTGGCGTCCGGGCCACAATATCTCTGAGTCGATTGCGATCGTTCCTGTAAAAGTCCCGCTGATTTTCGAGTTCCTCTATTTGCTGCAGCATCTGCTGTCTCTCTTCCTTCAGTTCCTGCAGGTGCTTCATGTTCTCCTCCTGTAAGGTCTTCTTCTTTCTGCGGTGACGTGTCGAGGCTTTTGCATTTCGTTGTCTCTTTTCATCCGCTTTCTTTGATGCTTGGGAGTAGTCTACTTGAACCGGAATCGGCGTATCGCTGCCAGGCAAAGTCATATAAGCCTGTTGGGATTCCATGCCAACAAACGAACCTGCTTGTCGGCGCAATATATCTGGCCATGTCGATGTTCCCTCCGTTAGGGCTCCTCCCGTTCCCGAAAGCGGTCGACTAGTAGACACACTGGTGATTCCATGCTGCAGTTGCGAAGTTGTATGCAATCCATGCGATCGACTCTGAAGTTCTCCTGGCGGCGGGATTGTTGGCGGCTGTACATAGGGGGCATCCAAGGGGCGGGCTAAAGGCTGAGAAAGAGATCTTGGTGGCGTTACCATCGGGGTATGCGGGCCGGACGCAATTCCTGACGGCTGTTGCAGTCCCGGAGCATGTCTGGGTTCATCGGGAGTGTCCTGCTCATAGGGTCGTTTTGTGGGAAGCATGCTGGGAGCTAAGGGTTGTCGCGGATCTAGGTCTCTTGGAGAGTGAGTCTGAACTAGGCTCGAGACTCGGGGGGCCCTCGGGCTAAGTATCTTCCTCGGGTTATCCATTATAGGGAAAGGGTACGCTGTCGATGGGGAGTTTCGTTCGGATATCGGATGTCTGCCTGTAGGCATCACACCTGCAGTAACTGGAGTCGTTGGTACGGAGCCGGAATCGGCATGGCCAGGGAAATAAGGACGCGGAACACCATAAGGAGTTGAAGATGCTGGGTAGACAGGCTCTGTTTCCTTTGCTTGCGAAGGTGGCCCTCCTCTGGCATCAGAGCCCATGGAATGTGCCTCGGAAGGGTTTAAAATATTATGGACTCCAAAGGCCTTGGCTGAATGCTGAGCAGCACGACCGATCTCAGGGGATATTCCAACCGATTCATACCGTTGCGACTTGAACTGAGAGAAGGGGACTTGGTCATTACCGACAGGAGATCTCGATGAGAGACGAGAGGGCGAGCGATGGCCAGGTCCCCTTTGAGACATTGAGGCCTGATCACCTGCGCACTCCTGATCTCGAGGATCAGTGCATCGACTCTTTTCGTTTCCAAGCAAGAACCGCAAATTGTTGATTTTGGGAGACTTGATACGGGACAGGGTCTTAGAGAGCCACGAGGGAGTAGTTGGCGTGCTGGGGGAATTTGGCGTCGTCGCCCCAGAGGAGTCGGTGGCAGGATCAGGGCTGTCCTTGACTAGAGGCAGCGCCTGTTGCCGCACGTCTACGGAAGAGTTCGCCAGGGCGACCGTGGTGTAATTGGGGACCGGCTGGGATTGATACCCAAACAGCCCCAATGATAATCGATGGTAAATAATTCGGATAGAGATCCGGCTGCAGAATTGGAGCGGACGGTGGGCGGTCGAGCCGACTGTCCACGATACAATTCGCTCTTCTATCTAGCTCAATAATCTCCTCGACCAGACTCGAGATGGATGAAAAGTCCGCTAATTATTATGCAGCCAGAACGTCAGCTGAAACGAGGGTTTCGTTTAGAATTTCAGCTGAGTCCAGACGTATTGCTATCAAAGTTAGCTCAGGCGACTGGAAAGCTCTTCTCGATGCAATGAAGAAATATCAAGTCCTGTTGGCGGATATTTATGGCAAGTATGAGATATCGGATGATCAGGTGGCCCAGCCAGGAATCTGCCCGGTATACACAGTTTTCTTGCCTCCACAAGAGGAGGGGAAAGAGGGGAATTAAACGCCAAACTGCCTCCGAGAGAGCATTTCACGGCTCAACACCTTGCTTTCGAGAAGCCTGCAATCTGCTCTGGTGGGATCCGGGCGCTCGAAAGAAAACCAAGAGTCTTCAGGCCCGCGGATCTCGGATTGCGTGCAGTTTCCTCTTGATGGCACTCGCATGTTGAGGGATTCGAGCGGGAGGCCAGGCAAGGAGGGATGAGGGGCGTGAGTCAAGGATGTGACAGTGAAAGAAGGGAAAGAGGAAGCCACGAGTCAAGAAAAGAATCGGCACAAGGCAGAAGGGCCAAGACTGGGACATGGAGTCGAGAGACGATGCCAGGGAAGGAACCGCTTACCTGAACAAAAGTGAGGTCTTGGTGAGGCAAGTACCACCGCAGAGCAGACTACACTACTCTGTACTTTGTACAATCACGCTGACCCAAAGAGAAAATCGGTGCCTTTTGGGCAATTAGATGCACTCCAAGTCCTACAACTCCCAGGCGAGAGATCAAAAAGACGTTGGAGCTTCTATCTCGGATACAGCCTCGGAGACTTGGAAGGAGCCTGGAGAGAGAGACGGGGGTTTCAACAGTATCAGGAATCACTCGTGGCACCGACAATAAGAATAAAGCAGAGAAGGGGGAAGTTGAGTGACGAGAAAAGAAGCGATGGAAGGGTTCACAACAGAGCTTTTGGCTGGCGAAGGATGGCAAGCCACACTGGAAGCATTGGCTGTTGACGGTTCGGCCGCCCACAGCTTCGTCTTGAAATATGCCACGCCGACCCCTTGTCGTCGTCTCGATGAAGAAAGACCCAGTACTGCTGCGAAAGCATTCGCATGGTCACGCCAGCCCAATGGTCTGTCCCACAGCCAGGGTTTCTGAGCGAGCATGGGGGTGGAGGCGCCACAAGTAAATGGAGATTTTTTCATGGATAGAGCCATCAGTGATTCGACCCATGCCGAGCCGGACCAGGGAGAGCGAAACGTCAGTCGAGCTACTTGTACAAGCAGGTAGAGGTGCAGGAAAGCCGCAGCACGACCCATCGCTGTCAACCGTGGTCTCTCCACTTTGAAGAGCCCGCTAGTAGCATTACAGCTTTTGTCTCTGTTCTGGGTCCACGACGGTGTTGGAGTCGGCGAGCAGGGATACTGAGTTGCGTCTTAGTCTCCAGGTAGGCCACGGTGTGCGCTCACTACTATCCATCACCCGTTCACCCCTCCCCCCTTTTGACCTTCCAGCAACCCTTTTTACTGACAGGGCTCAGGGCAACAGAAGGTTGGTTTGCTCTAGCACCGGGACTAGCCAGCAGTTGCTAGCATCGATTGATATGCTGCTAATATGAGCACAGAGTCCTTTGACTGGCATCACCGCAATGACTAGCTGGCTCGCTGCCATCGTGAACCATGACAGGTCCCGGGCTACCTCGCTCTGCAACAAAGGCGGGCTTACGAGTGCACTGCCGCCATTCGAGTTTGTGAGCTGTGACTGGTGAAAATTTTGCAGCATTGTGAATGGACATTTCGACTGGGGTGCAAGCACGCTGTACAGCTGGCATACGGGGAATAAAAAGGTGGACGGACTAGCAGAATGGCGCGCGCCACGGTTCATGTGCAAAATCACCAGCCGCCAGGCTGTGTCTTCTCTGGCACGCAGCCCCCAGTGTTCAGCCCTCCATTCATTTTCTCAGCAATATCGCCGGGTAGCCTTCCGGCAGCGACTAGCTCTTCCAACCAACGATCATAGGTCGATGAGCCACACATCACAGACTTGTGTGTACCAGGTACTTGTAAACCTACAACAACAAATGATGGTACCTCCGGGCAACGCTCATCTCCCTCAAGCTTACTAGTCCTAGCAGCCTCCTTCCTTGCTCTTCTTCTTCTTCCCGTCCCCACCAATGCGGTGACAACAGTCGCTTGTGAGCATGGGCGAATGCATACATGACGCTCTACTATGAGACGCCAACTGCAGTGTGGGCTACAATTACTATGTGTATGCATCTCAATACCATTGGCATGCATATACGGAGTACTCCGGCACCCCATATCATTATCCCTGGCTACGGCGGCTGCTCTTGCTATGGCCTGAGAATTATATCATCCTTCTTCGCAAAACCCGCATATACACAGCTGAGGCTGGATAGGCCACAACTGCATTACTATTTCTATTACTCTAATAGTCTACTAACTTACCCAAGCATCTACGCAAAACTTTTCTCTGAAAGTTATTTGTCTGTCTAGATGATAGGAGAGCCAATTTACTTCTCATACGGCTAACAAACAACTTTTCTGTGGAAGCTGCTTCGTCCATCGTCCGCACCGGCCTAAGATTTCGATTTCCAGGAAGTAGAGCAAACGATGGTCAGCTCCCCTAAGCGCGCCTTGAGAGTTATGACGCGCTGCCACATGACGTTTTCCACGTTGGCAGACAAGGAACAAGGGGTGCCAAGTGGCCTGCCTGCATATCTGTAGCCTGCACTCATACAGGTAGCATCTGTGACCTGTAGGTGCGGGTGCCTGGTCTCTGGCGGAATCGAGCCGACGCGGCGAGAAGGCGATGCCAACTGGGCCAGATTAGCTGTTTTGGCATAGGCGTTGCCCGCTTTGGGATGGAGGCTGCCAACTCTCATGATAATGAGAAGGGCGGTCAGCACCGACGGGCTGGCTGGCTAGTCGGCTAGCAAACGGAGCACTTTCATACGAGCAAGCAATATACAGAGACGGGGCTAATAGTCAGCCACAGCCGAAAAGAAAATCTGTAAAAGAGCCCCACGACAAAGCGCGAGTTCCAAGCCCTCCAAGTTAACACGTCGAGCTGTCCTACCGTATCTCAAGCAATACCCAAGCCATTGGTTGCAACATAATGCCACACTTCGTACACCAACCACATCGCTACGTTACTTCTCGACTCTACAATGAGTCGCAATATCTTCACTAAGCAAGCATCACTCACCCCGGCTCAGAGGTGTCGCGTAGAAACAGGCGGTGCGCACATATGCAGACTGAACTACGGGCACTTAGGCTTGGGGAGCCCACAGACACGTCGACCATACATGCAAAAGTCGCATCGGCCGCGCTAGCTTGAGCGGCAATGAGTTTCCAATTGAGCGGTCGCCAAACAAGCCTTGCAGAGACAGCGCTAGTTTAGCATGGCACGGCGTTGCATGCGAGACTACCGTGGGCCATCTACTAAGGTGGGTGCCCGAGTGGATCGTTGTCTACCTTGAATAGGCACTCAATGATGGAGCCCAAATTGTCCACATGCTCGGAAAGAAAGAACAGCTAGGGCTCCCTAGTTAGTGCGTAATTCCGAAGCCTTGCCAGCCCGCGGGTAGAATGGAGAAATATACGGTTAACACACACCATTATACGGTCATGCCTGTCATGCAACTACAGTACATGTACGAGCTGTTCATCACAAAAGGCGATTGACCCTGGTACGGCCTCTGATACCACCTCGTGCTCTAGTGTCGACTACCAGAATGAGAACAAAGACACACCTAAGCCAGCCAGCCGTAAGCAGCAAAAGGATCATTGAGGCTACAGGCACACTAGCTGCTGGGGAGCTCAAGCACACTTGGCAAATTCAATCTCTAAACGCTTTATTCGAGCTCAGGTTATACCCTAGGCAATGAACAAAGTATACAATATTGCCACCACTAGCACCGCTGGCACGTATAGTACGAGAAGGACTGCAGAGGACTTATAGCAGGTGCTTGTTCATACTTGTGCTTGTGCTTATAATCACTACTGGTACCAGCTCAATATTCCCCTGCTGTCGCACTTGTACAGCTGTTCCTATTACCTACTATGACTACATTCAACCTTTCTCTTGTCTATCCTGGGGTATAGTTATAACGATCTCCCGACTCTAGCTATTCAGAAGAGGCGAGGGGAACATTATTTATGTATGCCGTCATAGCCTCATCAACGAAGGTTAGAATAATGGAAGAAGGCATGATGTTACGACAAGACACTCATGAATACGTTGGTATATCGTACCGTGTACTCCGTACTTCATACGCTAAAAGAAGTAGGTACTACTAGAGAGGATCGACAACATTCAGTGGAATCCGACTACTTACAGGCGGCCACCAAAGTCCAACGTGTGTGCGCGTCACGCCCGTACGTCGAGCTGCTGTATATACTACTCACCTGTCTTATACTCTCAACAAGGCGCAATTTTCTGCAATTCTCTTGCTGCCCAATCTTATAACTAGCGGTATGTCGGCCTTTGGCAGGCGAAAGAGCGCCGAATCTACTATACAAATACAACCATAGCCGCATCCAATAATACTACTCGAACAATCTCAGTCAAGAACGGTAGAACCGACCCAACTCAGTTAAGCACAGAGTGTTAGTTCTTTTTACGACTAGTTACGGCCAGTATTACTACTCATACGGAGCTCGCCCACATGGCTTGGTGCATGTCTTGCGTATATTCCACTGCGTCGGGTTTTGAGGTCATGGGTGGCTTTTGTTCACAATCCAATTCTCTTCGCCTATCCCACGTCTGTGGCGCCCAGACTATTATGGGAGGGAGTGGGCAGTTCCTGGGTTTTCGGTGCTGGCAACCCGTGGGGAAACCGAGGAAATTGGGAGCAGATATTATGCAAAGGAGACGAAGCCGAAAAGTTGCAGCACGTGGTAATAATACTTCTCATTCTGGAAATTAATCACTATGCGAGCCAGGTACAGAGTGCAACAACATATTACCACACCTCTATGCTTAGGACTCAGCGCTTTAGCACCTTATTCCTAACTGTGCCCCTTGCTATCTGAGCAAGCTCACCAAGCTACTGGCAGCTAGTGGCCAAACTATACTAGCTAAAAGAAACTTAGAGAGTTTCGTCGGCTTTGACAAGGGTCACCCAAAAACTAGAGGCAGCCCATACCTATGCTCGTTTCGTGCGGAACATTTGTATACCAGCACAGCGGTACCCCGAGAGAGCTACGACCGCACTAGCACGGGAAGATGGGTGTCTACTTGAACGAGTATCAATCCTGACGAGCCCTGCTAACAAGGCCAAGGAGCCCTACAGCGTAGCAAATTCGAGGTTGGTACTATCGACGTGTCAACGGTACGGTACTTGTCTCTCCGCTCTACTTACGGCGGTGTAGCCTCGACCCCTACCCTGTCATTTAGTATCTGCACTTGTCTAGGTAGTCTGTGCCTCATGACAACAACACCCAGTGCAGGCAGGCTATCACACACTCCGAAAAATAAGATACCGTTCGAACCCTTTCCCTTTTCATGTAATCTCGCATTGGACACGTCGCGGGCATCCATACTGGTACAAGTACTTTCTGCAACTAACTTGACGGAACCAAACAAAAGAAGCATCCACCATGTCTCAGGCTCTCCCTTTAATGCAAGTTTCTCACTTTGGACCTTGACCTGCTGCTACTGAGCACTGATGGTACGTAATACATAATGCTTGTGTCTCAATCAAAATCGATGGCGGCTGACCTGGAACACACATACGAAGGAGTACATCCAACCCCGGTTACGTCTCGAAGGATTTGCCTGCTTGCTCGAAGTACACGGGTCTCGCTCGTCATCGCCGCTCAACTGAAGGCTCATCACTTAGTTGCAGGCGACCAACCACCCCAACCACCAATTTTATCGGCAATAAGGCTTTACGATTCGATGGGATGATCTCACTTGCACAGACCAGAACACCCCGCCCGCCCTAATGTCAGGCATGTCTATACCCTTGTTGCTTGGATACCCTGCACCACTCTTGCCAATTGGCGCTCACTTGAAGCCGACATGTCATAGAGCTCAAATCTACGGAGTATCGTTTTCCTCTTTTCCCATCTTGCCTACTTATCTGTATGTGCCGGTACTGCTTGTAGTATTAGAAGTACACTGTACTTCGTAGATCCAGGGTAAGGAAGCCCTTCATGGTATTTACAGTCACTACTCTCCCATTGTGTTTCATTGCTAACGCCGCAAATTATGGTAAATCTACTTTAGTTAGAGATTCGTCGCAAGCAGTCGCACTCCTAGCAATGCGTTCATGCTTATGCACCTCAAAGTCTCTCATATTGTCTCGTACAGGCAGCTCCGGGCTGCGCTGGCTTCGACCTTTGACCTTTGACTAGATACAGTTCGATGGCCGGTCTGCTGTGGCAGTAAGATATGAAGTACAAGGGTGGGCAAACAAAGATAAATGACAAAGGCGCACAACGGAGCTGAGGGGAGAGAAGAGAGAAGAAGTATTGCACACCTCGTACCCCGTGCACAAATACAAATCTCGACATTTTTTAATTAAACATTTCATGCCGTCATTTAATTTCACACCGACGACGGCCACTCCCCTACGGGTATACTTAAGCCGATATGGAGTAGGTACGTACTAGCAATATGTGTGCATGCGTTGGCCGTGATGTATGTAGTAATATGCTACGAGTGTGCTCACACGCTACATTCTAGGGAAGCATCACCAAGATTACTTACTGGATAGAACGGTACCCCGTCTCTGCGGGTGCTTTGCATGTCATTGGCTCTAACCAGAACGTCAGGGCGGCTAGTAGTGTCTATCACGCATCACGCATGCATGGCCTCGACTAGTGTCCACGCCCGTCCCTGACTCCCGGGCCCTACCATGGTCACGACGCGGGGGCCAAGGGCTCAAATCCCAACTTGTCCTGCCGAGACACGTTCCCCTTGAGGCCAGTTATGCGGCCGCTCCTCGCCACACACATGCGCTTGCACACATGTGTGTTGACGCTGTCCTACACCTGACCCGGCTCTGTGGTTTTTGCAGCGGGACGTGGTTACCTATTCGCCCGTCAGATGCGGAACTGCTGGAAAAAACTTCCGGGGGCATGATGCATCAAGACGCATTGGGGGATGATGAATTTAGTAGAAGTCTTTACCTATGATCGTACTTGTCCTATCACTCTGTGACGACAGACAGAGAGACACTCTGGATGCCGACTTGCATCTATACTACCGCAAAAATACCATCGCCGAGTTTGACACGGGAGCCCGCATTCAGAAACCGGAGTAGGTACCAATGAAGGCCAAGTTTGGTCACTGTTGCGCCTGGGGAGCTTTTTTTTTTTCTGACCAATCTAGGCTTCTGTATGTGGAGTGGGCAATGCTACTTACTGACCACATTCATTCAAGCAATCTAATTCAGCCAGCGCCAAGTCTCACCTGATGTCTCAAGTGCTTTCGCCGTCTTGAGATATTGGGTAGCTCACTAATTTACGCACACCACACTTGCTCATACTCTCGTCTCGCTACCACTTCAAATATGAACGCGCTACAGAGCAACAGCATTCCATTATGGTAATCGTACCAGTGTTTTCACGCTGTTTTTGCAGAATACAAGGACCAGTATTCCATCTTCATGTAGGTATGTATTCGCAGGGATGCACAGAGTAGAGCTCAGTAACATGGCGAGGCGCTTTATAGCGCTAGCATTGCTAATCCGCCTGGTCAATTTAACACGAAATGAGACGAGAAATGAGGTCGACTAGGATATTAGAGAAGCGGAGCTTCTGCCACAATTCTGCGAATCGATGGCTTGCATCGTCACCCGTCACAAAGGATACCATCATGATGAAGCGCCGATATGAGTGGCTGATTTCTGGATCCCCCTCTTCCGTAAGGGGTGGTGACGATGATCGGGCATCGTCTGAGCCTCCCTAACAACCCAATGCCGCTACTCTGTACTATCGTTAGCATTACACTAGCAAGGACAAGGCATGTGCGGAATGCTCTTGATCCATTACATGGCGCTTTTTCAGCTGGCAATTTTGGATCACTAGTGCTCAGGTGGTTGTCACCCAAGGCGAGTAACCCAATTTGAACTTGGAGCCAGAGACTTGCTGGTGCCGAATTTCAGCATGGCGCTCTGCCATGGTAGATCTCCAAAACGAATGGTGCATACTCTACTCCGTATGTGGGATGCAAGATTTGAGATTAAACACAAGCCCTTAGCTGATTCACGGCTAAGATGAAGGGTATGTACAATGCACATGCGAGCTGTCTTATCTGCTTTCTAGCGCAGGCACCAACCATCAACCCAGAAACTCGACGAATCGCAGCTACGGCGAGGGCAGAAATCATAGGACGCCAACTCAACCCTTAAAAACTTCTTTGCTTCGGCCCGTCCCTAGTTCTAGCTCAGCCAAGCTGCGACTCTTTGGTGATTTTATAATAGCGGCACAACATCTCCTGAAGGGCACAGAGTCTTGCGCTGATGGGCTGGCGCTGTGTAAGCTTTGTCACAAAGAGGCGGTGGCTGGCATTCATCAGGTCTGGTAGCGCAGCGCCACCGAGATGTCCGTTCGTATTTTCTTCTTTTCTTTTTCTTCCATCTTTCTTAATCTGGATGCGCTATATCTTGCGGGCTGCTTTTTGCGCCTAGTTGGGGCTGAGAAATTACGGGTGCGTGCGAAGTACATACATACTGCCACCGCAATACTAGAGCACTTGCCTTGGGGAGAGAAACAAGATCTTTCACGGCCCATGCCACCCATGCTCATGGTATGGGTGAACTAACCAGCAACCTTTGCAAGTATGGTACAGAGTACATGTGAGAACGCTCCCAGTACTTTGTGTGCAGACGGGTGGACACATCAGATGGGGATAATGGAGCAGGCCAGAGCAAGGGGCCTTCCAGATGACGCGACGAGTTCTCCGTACGTATGTATCTATGGCATGCATTGCATGCAGACTAAGCTCAGCAACCGGTCCCTGCAAACTACCGTGGACTACTGACTCCATCCGCCTACCCGGTTCATGCAGCATTCTGCGGTGGGCCTGTCAGTCCGACGTGGTGCTTCCACGAAAACCGCAGTATGGAAGGGAGAGGCTGCCCGGCTGTTCTCCGATAGCATCGGCCGACAGAGCGAGGGGCTAGGGGAGATGGCGAACGTCGCCTGTCCTGGGGCTGGCGCTACCCCAACGGTGTCCTATCGAATGTGATGGAACGTGTATCAAACGACCAACCCGAATCACAGAATCCTTACGTGGAGCGAATGGTCGCTTTGACTTGACAACAATACGAGAAGCTCCAGTGTGTTGACAGAAGAAAGTGAGCGGTGGTGGTGGTTGGCTGCGCATCTCAGCCCCACAAGCCTTGCTGCATACCAGACGTGGCAACCGACTAGCGGTGGACTTGTTGTCCCCCACATCGCTGGGTGGTTAACAGTAGGCTAGAAGCAGATGCCCAACCTCGAGGAGACCTCGAGCTGCGTACTACCTACTCCTGCTCAAGCGCAGGTGCATGGTCGGGGAGGAAAGATGGATGATGCTGCTTCCGGGCCTCAATGGCTGCCCATAGTCGAAGCGAAGCCTACTTTCACCGGACTAAAAGGTGCAATTGACGCAGGCGGGGCCGCACATGTCGGCTCTGAGACATACCACTATTCTCACCGTCACTAGCATCATGGGCTGCTTCTCTGGTGCAACATTGCTGCTTTCTCTTACCAGCACGTATAGTATATCACCTACAAGTACGTGGATCATTCATCACTCCCGCATCGGATGCACATGGCAGAATACTTGCACGGGATGTGGCATAGCAGGGGCAAGGTCCCAGCCCGGATACTACTAAATGCAAGCATCTAGCGGTTTACGAGTACCGAGCCCGGTTGGTTCTGGGTACCACCTATGTACAGCGGTTACAAGTACGGAGTAAGCTGTATTAACGAGATGCAATTTGAGACATCATAATCGCCAGCGCTTATCCGCATTGGCCAGCGGCCACGTGAAACTTGTCTGATGGTAACCGCTGGGGATGTGATTCGTCATGTCGGATAAAATTCTTTTGGCAGCTTGCCATGCGTGTGGTGGTTGTACGCTGCATGTATGATGACACAACAGCACCCCTAACATGTGAATATGCCAACAAACGAGAGAAGCCTGTTGAGGGAGTAGCGTTTTTGTGTTTACATGTGGCGAATAACTGGAATCTCTATTCTTTATCATGTTACCATGGGCATTATAATAGACTTTCCTTGCTACAACATTTGATCCTAGGGCGGCTCACCTTACCTGATTCTCCACGCTATAGAGGAAGGGTTCAACGGTTTGGCACAAGCAATCGAGCTGGTCTTAAACGTAGCTACCACGTCGTTTTTTTATACACAGCTAGCAGACTGGCTCATGTTCAACCATCAGACTTGATCATTCCAACACCACCGGGTAGCTTGGCCAATATTGCTCGTTATGGGGTCCAATCTACCTTACCGGGAATTTCTCCGTAAAACTCCACATTAACTCCTACCCCGCCATTTGCTCCTCAGAGATACTCCGGAATCGCTCGAGCAACAGATATAATATCCGACTATTGTATCTGGACGTATGTTTCCAACTACTTCTCAAAAAATCAAAGCTCCAAATTCCTCTGACCGTGTAATAGAACAATGGCAGCCCCCGGCTTACAAGAGTGGAGAGTGATCAAGCCTTGGCTTGAGCTAAACTGCGCACTTGGTGAAGGGCCATTTTTCGAGAAGGAGACAAACTCAGTGCGCCTCGTTGACATAAAAAAGCGTCAGATACTTACTGTATCCGCCGCTGATAACGGGGATGGCTCTTCTCTGAAGGTAATTCAGCTGGATACGCGCCCAACCGTCACAGTCGATATCGAGGGAGTGGACCCTCAGGATCGTATCTTGATCGGTGTCAAACATGGAGTTGCTGTGCTGGACCGCCGGGCTGGGACATACACAATGCTTGTGCAATTTAATGAACAAAATAACGAGCGTATACGCTCCAATGATGGAGCTGCAGACCCCCATGGAAAGCTGTGGCTAGGAAGCATGACTGACTTTGAGCACGGAGAACCCCAGCCAGAAGGTATGGCGGCCTTTCACTGGCCTACTTTATGCTCCTCTTCTAGTGGTTAGCTATCTAATGCTGACGTTAACCATCTTTGATAGGATTCCTTGCGCGCTTTGATTCGTCCAAGTCCAAAGAAGAGATCCTGACGGTCTTGCGCATTCCCAATGGGATTGGATGGTCACCAGATAATAAAACCATGTACTTTACTCACTCCGCATCTCGAGAGGTGTTTGCATTTGACTATTCTCCCGAGACTGGAGCTGTCAGCAACAAACGCCTGTGGTATCGGCATGAAGGACCAGGAGAACCTGATGGCTTCCGTGTTGACGTGGATGGGAACGTGTGGCATGCCGTTTGGGGAGAGAGCACGGTGCTCAAAATTAACCCCCAAGGTAAAATTATTGGAAAGGTAACTTTACCGACAAGACACATCACCTGTGTGCAGTTTGTGGGTACAGAGTTAGTCATCACTTCAGCCGCGGACGAGGAGGGCGATGATCTAAGTAAGAAGTATGGCGGTAGTGTCTTTAAGGTTGATGTGGGGACTACGGGATTGGAGCTTTTCAAGTTCAAGTTATAACCAAAGGGCATCGACAGTAACAAGCACTTGCCCTTGCAACTGGAGCTTTAACGCCGACATCGCATTGGTTACGAGCGAGAGGAGCCTGACTAGCGGAAAACATATACGCCTGATACTACATAGACCCTTGACACAATTGGAGATGTTCAACTTGGTCCAAAGCAATCCATAGTCGAACAACTCTTCTTTCGAAAATACAAATCCTGAAGCATGCCCAATTGTTAACTATTACTACTGCCGGGTTTTCATACGCCCTGTTTGCTTTACGGAAGCAAGCAAACAATAGGAAGCTAGATATTCCCAAATGGGCGTTAGGCCCGCCTACAGGACGCCAAGTATGCAATCCTGGGACAGACCGCCTGCAAAGGAAGCCCAAGATGCATACACCATACACGGATAGGTAGGCGCTCCGTACTGTGACATCAATAGATGTGCCGTCTACGAATAGACGTAAGGAGTGGTCGATTGAGAAAAAAAGATTTACCAAAGGATGCTATACGCTTGGCTTCGTCACATGGCCAGCAGCAGCTTTGAAGCATTCGCTTTCGATGATCGCCTCTGCTCTCTCTGTGCTGCGGAAGATGATAACAATGGGCATCTTCTGAGATGGCAATATGGCATAACAACGTACTGGTACATGCTAATGGCACATCAAGCCCACAATATCCTCCATCTGTTCATGCAGATCGATCTGGTGGCTTGAGCTTGACATGGATAAACCTACTTCAGTCCTACTGAGGAGGGCCCCTGTAATGTCAAAGCTCAAGAACCGGTCAGCAGTATAGGAAGCTGGCATATATCCGGTCAATGCAAAGCCTGGCTCATCCCAGCCATCATACGATACTCCTACAGTAAACAGTCTTGAAGCAGGATGGGGATAGAGAGTAAGAGAGCCATTGCTCACCGCTGCTATCCGTTGCCCAAACCTTGGCTTCATCGCCAGCCTGACTTGCAGACCCGACTTCAAGCGACCCCCATTCTAAACCCCTGGTTCCGCTTCACCGCCTGCTACGACCCCCGGCCCCGGTCTCCGGATTCCCGGCCCCGCACGCTCGGGGCGGTTCGGTCACGTCGCTTTGGACCAGGGCATCTGCCCAACTACTACGGAGCTCTTGTACTAGCATTCCACTAGATGAGCCGCCATTATGGAGAGGCAATGGCTGCAGAGAGTCATGAGAAGAACAAAAGAACAAAGTGGAGATCAATGGGCGGCTCTAGCCTAATTGCCCTTGACCAGAGCCGGGAAGACAGGGGAAACGTATTCTCGAAAGCTCGCAGACGTGCAAAGAATACAAGTAGGAGCGCTACTCGTGCTAGAAGGCACAAGCCTGGCCGATAAACGGCCCCCAAATAGCACTATGCTGCAAGTTTGAGAACGACCGGGGCGTCTCTCGGCGCCCTGAGGCCACCTAGCGCAGCCAGCGTAGCATGCGGCTGCAGTTCTCTCCCAAGCAAACGCAAATGCACACACAGGGCCACTTGGCCTGCAGGAACTACTAGTAGCGGTACAAGTAGGAAACAGCAGAGACACAAAAACAAGGAACAGGGGAGATGCAAAAGGAAAACGTGCGGCGCTATCGTTATGCATACGATACACAGACTAAAGCAAGTGCGTGCTGCAGGCATCTCGATCTGGATATCAGAGCCAAGACTTGCGACGGGATTTCTGGGCCGTGAGAGCGGGCGTTGGTGCAAGGGGGGGAGAAGAGACAACGAAGCTCGGCTAGCATTGATGCGGTCAAGATGTTCGCTTGCTACGCTCTGCCTTCTAAGAAAGGGCGGATGGATTGAGGGAGAGAGCGATAGGGGGAGAGCGATTGGGAGAGAGCGTGTTTGTGATGCTGTGATTTTCGGCCTTCTCAGCCTTCTCAGCCTTCTGAAGGCCTTCTTATGGGCCAAGCTGGAGCTATTTGGTTGGTGTTTGGGATTACAATGCTGCTCTCTCTCCTGCTTTATCTGCCGACCTCATTTGTGGCTACTACTACTGCATGCAACCATCGACAAAAGCACATAGGCGCCGCGGATGGATTACTGCCGCTTCCTACACCGCTTTCTTCCGGGTAATTTTTTTTAACCTCCCCCCCGGTCAAGACAGCAGAACCAAGAAAAAGAACAACGAAAAGAAAAGTAGAGCCGGGGCCAGGGGTTCCCAGCCTCTCTAAACCCCCTTTGGGCTTTGGAACAGCACGAAAGCATTAGCGGGCCGCCTATTGTGTCGTGAGCCTGCGACTTATTTGTCTTGGTGTTCTCACGGGGAATGCGTTCTCACGGGAGAAAGGGAGAGCAGGGAGATCTAGCTGGGACGACTATTACGGAAAAGAATCAAAGTGCTGCTGTGCAAGCCATAAGATGCTGACCTGAGGTAGACGCAGGGCGTGCTGTACGTACTTTGTCGCGCAGCAAACCCCGTTCCAGATGCTTGTGACGGAGCAGGTATGAAATACTACTTTGCTGGAATACACGAGGCACGCCGTATGCCTCCATGCAGGTAGAGGACCTTGCCCGGCCATGTCACGGATACCTGCCTGTGCTTAGCCAGCCAGTCAAGTCCTTTGGCTGGCTGATCCTCGTTTCGTTGTCCATTCATCCGCCTCTCACTCACCCGTCAACGCGCTCGTCAAGGCCCCAACCTTCTGCTTTTTTGCGCGAAAGCAACCCCACAAGCGCAGCAAACATGGTGTCGGGCGTGCTGATCACGGTGGCCAATCGTGGCTCTCCATCATCGGCCCTCTGCACTCTTTGTCTTCAACAACGGCGAGACGCATGCGAGTCCAGATCTAGACGAACACAGGGAGTACCAGTATATACAGAGTGTCTGTGGACAGTTTAGACACTTGGTTCCATTCATGCCATGCCTGATATGCTCGAAACGGCATGCCCGTCTCCATTGTGGGTTTGGCCTCATGCCCGCTCACATCACAGAGCGCCATTCACAGCAACTCCATCCTGTCAAACTCTGCCACCTCAGACCTCCCTCCTTTTTGCGTGTTCGAAGTGCTGTCAGTTCAGACTAGGTAGTACTGCCTAGTATCATACGTACTGTACTAGTATCAGCTCCCCACCTCGTCCATGTTGCCCATGGCCGAACCCTGCTGATCCTGCGAGGCAGACGAATGGACCCGGCGTGCTGGCAACCTGAAAAGGGCTGTCCCGCTGTTGGGCTGACATGGGTGTGTTGGCATAGCTGACCGGGCTCCCCTAACCAACTTGCTCCATCGCCCTCGTCTCTTTTTGAACGTGTCGGTGAAAAAAAANAAAAAAAAAAAAAAAAAAAAAAAAAAAAAAAAAAAAAAGAAAGCTGCGAGGGTGAATTGGGGGAAAGGGAGGCTCAAGTCTCACGATGGCCTCATGAGGACGTCCTCGCAGACCCGATTGATGCCTCCGCTGGACCATTATTGCTGCCCTGCTGTCTCACAATTCTTCATCTTTGGTTTTCCCCGCTGCTCTGTCTTTCACCCCTAGCAATCGTCGCAGATGAGAGCATAAGCATCTAAGAATAGTAGTGGCTTTTTCTTCTCCCGGTTTACTATTGCATTGCAGCTGTACAAAGCATGCTTTCATTCAAAGACATGCCGCCAAGACCATGCCTTTCTTTTCTTTTTTTCTGTTTTACAGACCGCTCCTTTTGCTTCGTCCGTCTCGCCAACTTGTTAGAGCCTTTTTGCTCTAATTTACACCGATATAACGCAAAGCATACCATTCTTTCTCACGCACAGACGCAGTAGTAGTAATACCTACCTATTGTTATTGGTTTTTCCCCCGGGTTCGTTAACCGCGGCCGTGCCGAAGCCCCAGCTGCCCCCAAAAGATAGAACAGCAGAAATAAGACCATTCCCACGTGTTACGGTTAGAGTAGTACCGCCAGCGGGTGCGCAGAAAGCGAGTGCGGTGTCATCAGGGCGAGCGGCCTCGCCAACAGATGAGGCCCTTTGTAGCATCAACAAGGTACATTTCATGCGTGTGGATAGTCCAGTTTCACACCCCATTGACATGTTGGCATTTTGTTCATGATAGCACAGTAGTATGGAGTACATGATATTCCGTGGTCATATGTATGTATACCTACATACAGATAGTAGTCGTCTACTGCAAAGATGCCCGCTTCTGACGCAAAGCCACGCTGGGAATAGCATCCGCAGCAGCTAATATTTGGCATTTTGGCATTTTGGCATTAGCACGTTTTCCCTTTTGCGCTTATTCGATGCCACGAGACGAGGAGGACCCGGCCCATCCATCACGGGGATTGGGGGATGGGGGAATATGGGGAGGGGGCCCGGGCCGCCAACGAAGTCGAATCAACCCATATTTGGGAATAAGTGCATTTTGCAGACGCGGCAGAGAGGCAGAGAACCCATGAAGGATGATCCTGCTATGGCCGCCACCTAGACATACGCCTAAAACTACAGTACAACACACACGCACACACGGAAGGGAAAGACAAGGGGGGAGTTTAAGAAAAGAATAGGAAGAAAAAAACGAGGGGGCTGGGCAGAAAGAAAGTCTTGCCCATGGGGGTTTGATGGAGAAAATGGGGGGTGTCTATTTCTCTCTGTTTCACTCTCTCTCTCTCTCTTATCAAGGGACTTATGTTGTGACAACGAGCAATGGGGTAATAAAAAGGCATGTGATTTGGCATTGAGGATAGTCCACGCACATGCTGCATATGACAACGAATCTTTGTTGTCTTTTCTAATGGACCTGCCCTCTCCGTCTTGTCAGTCAGTCAGTCAGTCAGTCAGTCAGTTAGTTAGTTAGCAGTAGGTATTATGTAGTAAGTATTTGGTTTGTGCGGTGAGAGGTCGGATGAGGAATGACGGGACGTGAGAATCAGGTTGGGGATAGCTACTACCTACCTATGACTATCCAGAAAAAAAAAAAAAAAAGATCGACAATGGCTCTATGTATAGTGCTTTTCGTATATTCGTCCAGTCAAAAGTGTCCAAACCCAGCCCAATCTTTTTGCTTCCTTTGCGTACCGTCGTTACACTCGCGTTGACTCAGATGGAGACATACACCCCCTTGGTTTGTCCAATAGACAAGAGAGTTTGTGTATTGTAGGACCCTTCCCCTGAAAGTGATATCCAATATCTAGTGTAGCGAATGACAGCACGCAGGCCGTCTAGTACATTAGGCAGCGTCGGTCTAGTTGCGTATCAACGTCAATAGTGCGCAATACCTGCCGCTTGGCGTGGAACAGCGGGAGAGGGAGCTATTGGCTTCTTCATTTTCAACTCATTTTACTTCTCGTTTTGGGCCGCAGGAAGTAGCTCGCGATTTTAGAATATCACCAAGTTCAGCTTTTTCTTTGTGTGTGTTATAAGGCTTTCTGTAGTTAATAGTTGTTGATATTGATTTTTTTTTTTTTTACTCATGGACTTCCTATTATTCAGACATTGGTCTACCAAATCGTCGATCAAAACAGCTCCTCGTGATACAGGTAACGAATACTTTCATATAATGCATCTTAGACATGACACAAACCCCACTGTTTACCTTGCTAGCCACTGAACAAGCTTCGCTGATTACTCTCCAATATCGCCCAACTCTTCTTCTCTCAAATCTGTATTGAGAACTAAATCCTCTTTGTATCTTCTGTGCACGATAATAGTTAGACCCTCGATGCCGTAGTCATTGTATTGATCATGACGCGAAGCCGTCCCCAGCCCTTGTTCAACGTTATCTGGATTTGATTGGTGTTGTAGCGCGATATCTAACTCGCTTTTCAGTTTATCAAATGCAGTACTTAGCCCCAAATACCGTGAGCGCCATTCACAGATGTGGTGACTGATAGGCATCTCAGGATCCTCATCAGGGGCTGTAAGAGTTATCTTTGGCTCTGTTTCAGCAATTTCAGCAATTTCTTCCACAACATTTTCCATGTTGTCGTCTATAGATCCCATCTGCTTGTGTGCCCCAAATGCTCGCTCTTTGGTCTCTACTTCATGTCGTCTTGATGAGCTGGCGGATATTCTTTCGTTATGAAGAAATACAGCTGGAGATTGGGGAGAGTGTAACTGAGATCCGAGAGTTGATGGCGAATGTGTCTTTTTGAGGGAGTTGCTCCTCGACAGTAATGTATCTCCGACTTTTCTCAATTGTTGTCTCCACGTTGAGGCGTCAGAAGATTCAATGTTTTGTTTGGGACTCTTTGTTGAATTGGCGACGGCGGCCTTCCTCAGCGAATCTTGAAATCCAATCGTTTCTCCAGCTCCTCCTCCTTCTCCTGCTCCTGGCGTTTTTGAGATTAAATCGGTTGCTTTTCTGGTGGGCGAGCTTCTAGTGTTCTGTAGTAACTCCTGTTGCTCGTTTGCCTCAGTATCCTTTGTCGGCTCATGCTTGGACTCATACTGATGCTCTGCTGGACTGCTATTTTCTCGAGATAGTGGTGTACACTGCGAGGCCACGGTTGTCTTTGAAACAGCCTTGCCTAGTGGAGAGGCCCCTGAATTTGCTAAATCCAAATTCTCAATCTCAGCCTTTTCCAAACTCAACATTGAAGTGTTTTCGTCACCATTCTCAGACATAATAATTCGCTGAAACGTGCTTGGACCTTGTGCCTTCGTCCAGAAAATATCTTCGTCAATGCTGTGTAAGCTATGAGGCGCCCTCTGAGTATTTGTAGTGACATCGTCGGCAAGATCATGTGCTCTTTGGCGAGGTGAAGTTCGCAAGGTATTGTCAGTCCATTGGTCATTAGTACAAAGTCCTTGCGAGGGTGATACAACTACGTCTTATATATATCGGTATTTATCAGCATCGTTTAACTCCAGTGACGTTATAGCAATGCTAGTCCCATACTCACCTGCTCTACCCTCAGACAAAGCCTCATACTCCGGTGGCTGAGACAAGAAAGGCTCTGCAGTCTTATAATTAGATGAGAGTGAAGTGGACAAAACGACATCCATTTCAGCTTCGTTTGGCCTATATATGGATTTGAAGGAGTTTTTTGAGCTACTCTCGTATGTCGCCTCTTCTTTGCTCAAGCTAGGTCGATCAACCATTTGTCGCCTCAGTGGAGAGTGGTGAGCGAGGCAACATATGCTATGCCTTGCAGGATCGCTATTTGTATGACAAGTTGGGCAGCTGGAGCGTTGTTCATGGCTAATCATGTCACTGTAGGATTTCTCCAGACGCTGTCGGCGTTCATATCGAAATTGGTGACGTGCCTGCCTTTCTATCTCACTGCGTTCTGGTTGACTTTCTTTGCAAGTGATTGAGTCGCGGCTCTTTGATTGAGGTAGCTGATGGCTCACTGCATTCCAAAGTTAGTCCTGCTCTTGTGATCTGGGGCTGCATGTCGCCTACTTCTGCCTTCCCTACTCAGGGGCTCAGATAAACTCCCAAGGCTTTGGCTGTGAGCTACCCCTTGGCGCCGCGCCCCTAGCTCTGGCTTCTGTTGTTCTTGCGTACGTATGCGACCTGTCGGAAGGGGCGTAGTTAAAGCACTCACCAGCTCTGTTTTGCATTTGAAGCAAAATTCATGACCGCACCTTGCGCAGCGTGATCGTGCATGCAAGAACCCACCACAAGAATGACATACTTGGATAGTTTTCATTCGTGAAACCTGCTGTTGTTCTCGGCCATCTGATAGCCAACCTTCAGGCCGTGAGACGCCAAACATGTCAAACATATCCAGTGCGTCTTTCTGTTCCTCTGCAGAGTTGTCTAGAGCCGGCTGTGCGGTCTGGATAGTCGAAAGTGATGCTCGCGGGTTGGCCTGGGAACGCCCAGAAGACTTCTAGTCCAAATTTGAATCGCCGGCTCGGTTTGACCTGCGCGAGCCCTGGAATCTGCTAGGACCCCGAGTTGGGCTCTGTAAGCCCATAGAATTGGTTGATCTTGATGCTCTCAAATTTGGCTTTACATTGTACATATGAGCACTTATCGATGTCGCTTCCCAAGCAACTCCGTTGTCATCGCTGTGACTGTCATTAATTCTCAAGCCCGGATACGAATGTCCAACTGGAGGTGAAGCAGTGACCTCAAGCCGTGTACCCTGGCAAGCCGGGCTGCAAACCTCTTCGCCTTCACGCACGTTCGCGACATGGAGCGAATTCTGAAGCTTGGGGCGGTCTTTGCTTGACATGATATTGAGTTGCCGTATTCGAGACTCGACAAATCCAGAGGGCACAAGATTGTCCGGCGGCGGTCCGTCTAACGATATCGGATCCTTGGAGGGAGTCATGGGATCATTCAAGAAGTTATAAGCCATGTTGCTCGTCCAACAAAAAGCGTCACTTGAGCTAAGAAAATATAATGGGGTCGTATTGTTAAGAAGAAGAAAGTTAGAGAAGCAATTCTGAAAAGAAGAAGACTTCAAAACAAGCAAGAGAGAAGTTGCCTTGCCATCGAGTCAAAATGGGAAGGATGATTGATTCCTACTGAGACAAGGAGGAAGGAGGGGTATGATTTCAGTTCATTATGTCTAGGAACCGCGGCTACATACAGCAACGCATATTGTCCAAGAGTCTGCCAAAAGCAGCAGAGATGCAATCTTTTTTTTATGTAACAGCACCGCAACTGGAATCAATTGTATCGGCTCTGCGCTAAAGACAGGTAGAAAAGTTGTACAGGAATTTATATTTCTACAATCGTTTATTTGACATGGGCAGCAAGGGTCTCGAGAACCTATCGACAGCATGTTAGCGCTTGTTTAATGACGAGTAGAGCCATGTCGTATTTTGACGCACCTCCAGCTCGATCTTGGCCTCAGCGATATCCTGCTCGCTTCCATTGCCGCTGGCGACCTTCTGGGCCTCGGCGATACCAGCACGGATAGCGTCAGCGCTGAAGTCCTCCAGGGGGTAAGCCTCGGGGGCGTTGATGCTCAGGACGGAGTTGGGCTGGACAGAGGCAAAGCCACCAGACACTATATGCGCGTTCATCGTCAGTCCTGCTATCGGAATTCTAGTTGTAGATTCGGAGGGGTTATCAACGCACGGAAGAACTGCTTGGCGGCGCCACCCTCCTCGATAACCTCGACCACGCCGGCCTTGAGCTGCTCGATGGAAGGGACGTGGTTGGCGAGGATACCCATGTCACCGGACTCGGCGGGAATGTTGACCTGGACGACATCCTGGGACTTGTAGATGGACTGTGAAGCATTGCGGTAATTAGCATCGAGGGAACATCTGTCGAGCGTCGCATATCCTCCACTCCAGCACAATCGGATCGCATTTCCAGTAAAACTCGATGTTCTCAGGGCGCAGCATTCATACCTGGTGAGGCAGGGCCAAGCTCAGCTTGATCTATAAAAATTTCAGTTAGCGATATATAAATTGCATGCCTCTTGAATGCGAGGCTCCGGAACATCCCTCACCTTGTCGGGGACGGCCTCAGCGTATCCTCTCCGCTGGAAGGCCACTCGCATGGCTGAAGGGCGAGCTCGGAGAGCCACACGGGCAACACGGAGGGAGTTCATGGTGACTGTGAGGACGATTGAGTCGTTACTTGTGGTGAGCTCAATTGAGGTCGCTGGCACGAATCTTTACCGGACTGCAGTCATTAATTCGGCTAGCGGGAAAATCGTTGCCGCAGCACGTGAGATCGCACGTGATTAAATCACCTTATGACGATGTTCTGCTCTGACTCGGCGCTGGCCGGGCTGAATATTGGCTCAAGCCTGCAAGGCTTTGAAAAGGCATACAAAGTTCTATAATTGCATTGAATGAGTTATGTACATGGCGATCCAAATCCTCAACGTTGCAATCAATGTCACCGTGCACTAAGATTGCGCTTGGGAGCAATAAAGGGGTGCTACTACTTACAACTTAGAGAAGCCAGACTCTACATCTAAAGCTATTCATTGATAAGGCGCTGCTAAATTGTGTCTTCGAATAAACTCTAGGCAGGCATCGATCATGATGTAGCTTATAATTTTAAGTTTGGAAGTTTGGGTAAGCATTCAAGTTGTAATCCATGACTGAGAGCATGCGAACCCGTCTTTCGAATGAGTGTCATGCATGGCTTCCATGTTATAACGGAACCGTAAAGTTTCCTTGGATAAATTTGGATATTTCGACTGCCGGTTACGCTTTTTCATTATCTCAAACAGAAAGTGAACATAGATATCGGTTACGAAGCAGCTTAGGCAGATTCAATAATTGGATTGCAAGATGAACAGCCCGGGAGACTCTATTTTTCTAAAGAGTCTCTTACCGCAAATTCTGAAGAGCCTCTTACCGTAACCTATAACAGACTCACAATTTGGTGAAGTCGGGCTCGGATATTTCGAATGAGATAGAAAAGAAAATGAGCCCGAGAAGCCCGATTGGAAGCTACATGGTAACTACATGACCGAATTGGTACTACACGGCTTCTAATCAGAAAACTTCCCGGGATCGAGACTGCTTCACGTTGTGTAAATATTTGATGAAGTTAACGTCATCAAAACTGCTTGCACATTAGACATGCAAGAGGAAACCACATGCAAGGCAAGCTCCGGCGTGGATATGCCATTTACACTGCAGGAATGCGGCAAAGCAGCTTTACCTCTGTCTCCAGCTACCTTTCACATCTTCAAATGTCAGTCCGTTTTGTTTGACGATGGCTTCCACTAGCCCTCTAGTCTGGGCGAGTCCAAGGCCCGTGTTATCCAGAGATCCGAGGAATGGGCAGCTTCTGCAGGGTGCCACAAGCAGCTGACAAGGCCTAGAATCCCGTGTGGCCATCTCCTCTTTAGCCTTTCGCAGCGCTCGGGAAGCATAATTCGGCCCCTATAAGATTTTCACTTGGAATGGGTTGCAGAGAAGGCCGCAAGGGTGGCTAACACACCAGCAGCAAATTGACTTTTTGCCGCCAAACTCTCTCACATAACTCCGTTATCGCTGCTGCTTTGCTGTCTGTGCATCACCAGAAATGCCCAGAGCTTGTGTGCGACAGCGCGGTATGTCAACTCATCTGTGTAGCCTGTATGGTTCACAAGTGCCAAGAGAGGGGTGTGACTTCGCGTCAAGTTGCCATTGCTCAAGACTTGAAGCCAAGAGATCTAGACTTATGAAGAGAGACGTCTCAGAGAAACGTGTTTCAGAACAAGAAGTCTATGTGAATCGGGATTCAAATCAGCCCCCTTTTCCTTTATACGAGAGCCTCGGGCGCGAGAGTCAATCAATTCATGCATATACGGAAAGTTTGTAATATACGTGCTGATGAGCCAAACTGTATATCGATGTAGTTACGAAAAGGGAAACGAGCTGAGCAGCCAAGGCATGGATACGCGCAGCCTCACCTTCCAAGGTGGACACCACGAAAGGAATTTTTTTTCGTCAATAGGGAAAATTTCCCCAACCCCAACGTCCCCGTGGGCCAATTATTTCTTCGCTCCTTCTTGCGAAACTTTTTTTTTTTTTTTTTTTTTTTTCCCCTCCATCTTCTTTAGAGTCCGCTTAGCCGCTAAGAGGGCGGTTGTCGTCGGTGAGCTGGGGCCCCCCATTATCGGAGCGATCGTTTTACTAGCGAGAATGCGAGAAAAAAAAAAATTGCTAGAACAAATTTTCAACCAGAAACAGTCGGACCAGACAGCTAGCGGCTGGCTTAGAACCAAAAAGTCTGCCACTTATTGACGATACACTGTGTACCTCGCGGAATTTTTGCTATCGCTGCCCCCCTGGGGGCACGAAATAATAAAACAGCCCGAGGAGAGACGAGGCCGCTAATGCTGGTGTCCGGTGTTTCTCCAACCGTCAAATCTCCAAGCTTGAGGAACCCCCACTGACATCTACGAGCTTGTAATCTAGCTTCGTAAAAGTGATTAATTTGCTCTTGGCTTGTCTCAACGAAATTTGCAGTCTGGGCCAATCGCTGGAGGGCAATTGAACATTGCAAAATCAAGCATGTCTAAGATGATTGAAGGAATTGGTTCACAGCCCGGCCTAGACTGGTCATCCTATTTTAAGCTTACACATAGAAGTAATAAGACATCTCAGCCTTGGCGTTGACTGAGAGCGCACGAGAACGCATGTTTCACCAATTTGAGATTGCTTGTGTCTATGTCTCATTGTGCAAAGCCTTGGTTTTGTTTTAGAAGCATTGAAAGACATGTGTGGAGGAGGAGCACACTGTCTACGACGGGCTTGTCTTTCTTAGATAAAGGTGCATAAGCTATGTATGGGGCACAAATGCGGAGTATCCAGATTGCCATATCCAGACGCTGCACAGCCGGGTTGTATGTGTCAGTACGAATAACAGCAGCAGCGAGGTACTACTCATAGAAATTAGTCAATTTATTTTAGCAGACCTGCATCGATGCTTTGAGGATGCTACGGCAGGTCCCTTATTGACTGGCGACTACAGTGCATACATGCATGTGACAAGATTAAGGGGACTTGCAGCAGCTGTCCGTATTTGGCCATGAAGCCATTGGCTGCTGCAGGGCGCGTAGTTTCAAGACCAAGAGCACAGCACGGAGCACAGCTCCGCAGCCCATCGTTATCTACCGTGGCCGAAAAGGGCTGTTGATGGCCCGTTCTGGCGCCATTTGGCTGCTCATGCACGGCTCTGACTCTCACCGCCGACGGGAGCCAAGATGCGCCGTCGACGAGCACGACTCGGACATGCCTGAGGCTCAAGGCGCTGCGTTCCACGGCAGCTTCCAGCCGACGTTGACCCGTGGACTTCCCGTCCCGCACCTCCACGGCCTGTGGCTTCTTTTTCGAGACGTGCAACGGCGAGGCGAAACGCCTGGCTCTCATTCGCGACCTGTGCCTGTTGGATGGCTTACGCATGCGCCTCCAATTGGCCGCCTCTTTGCGAAACGCCCTACCTAACCTGCGCATGAATGTGCCTGGCAATATACATCGCGGCCTCTGGATCGAAGTGACGAGGACGCTTTGGGAAGGGCTTCAACATGCAGCATGCAACGGACGTGTCGGCTGAACCGCTTACAAGTGTGGCGTCATTCTCGCAGCCCTTCTGGTGATTGGGTCGTCAGTTGCAGCTCGACGGGCAGCCCATCTCCTCAATTACGAAGAGCTGCTTCCTTTGGCCCAGGGCCCTTTTATTTTCGTGGTCATGGGCCGTCGCTGTCGAAAGACCTCAGCAGGAGATGATGCGGGGGTTGTGCGTCAAGCCGTGGGGTTTCTGAGCCACATTACTGTGCGAGAATTGACGATACCGCGCAAAGCGACGTGGTATGTAGCCATTTGCGGCTGGCAGTTCGTGTCGGGCTCGCGGCCGATTCTGGCGTAGAGCTGCCTCCCAATGGCTGCTGACCCGAGCGTCGCTGACGAGCAATGCGAGTCTGCCCTCCAACCCCCCGCGCTGCTGTCTGATTCGGCTGCATCGTGTGTTATGTGGCGACGGTTGGGCTTACATTCATTGCAAGTCCTGTTGTAATGATGGCGACTTGCTACCCAGTCAAGCCAGTCGGCGGTTGGCCTCCTATTGACGGTTGTCCTTCCGACTCCGATCTGTACTTTACACGCTCAAGCTAATGTACTGTATGACGATTTGCCCACTTTCGGAACATATGTACGGAGTATACCACCTACATTCAAGCCCTCCTGCCGATCTCAACGTGCCCAAACGAAGACGGATGTGGCGGCGGATTGCAGGTCGGAAGGGATCAGCTGCATACACCGGCTCTGACGGTAATCGGTTTACTTTCCTGGCTGTTTTCCTTTTTCGTAAATGGGCGATATTCGTGAAGGGGATTCCCATTTATTACAGTACATACTACAGTCTGCACCTTGGATGACATCCATGTCCATTGCAAAGCGAGGCAGCACCCAACTTGCAGCTATCACTCGCCACCATGTACTCTGGACCAGGAAGAAAGCTGCATGCAGCCGGGTGATGGGAATATGCTGCTCGGCATACATCCGCGGCATGATAGGCGAGGCAGAGGCAACGTGGTGGTTCCAGCTGGTGTGTCACTTGCGATTCGCATGCATTCAACTGACTGGCTGCAACATGGATTGTCTCTTGATTAAGGGGGTAGCATTCCAACAGCCTGATCGACCCTTCTAGAGTCATGGGAAAGCAACTGCCTCGTTCCCCGATCTGCCAGCAACAGATCAGGGTTGCCATTGTTTGACAGGAATTTGGCGTCATGGCGCAGTTTTGCTGGTGATCGCCGTGTGGCAGTTCGAGCCTGAATTGGCACAGCATGTCAATTATGTGGGCAGCGCGCCACGCGATGACAAAATGCATGGCGCATCCAACGTCTCCTGTGCTTTTACTTGTACTTGCAAGTGCAAGTATGGGGTATGGAGCGGCTGGTGCATACTACTACTGTATGTGTACTAATGTACGAGACCTGATCAAGTAGGGGTCTCTCATGCACATCGGCGTTTTACGGCCCTAACCCAATATCCTCCCCTTTCCCTACCTCTGTAAGCGGGATTCCCGTGAGGCGAGGTACAGCACTCAGTGGGAGTGAGGCAATGCGCGTAAAGGGGCAGAACGCTGAACAGCCTCGGCAGCCGAGTACCGTCACGGAATCAATGCTCTTTTCGCCTCCGGCAGTCGACTCGGCAGAGCAATTGGCAATCAAACGTCTCCTGTCCATGAGGTGGAAGCCGTAGAGAGAATTCGGGCAAATACCGGAAAGGCCGAGCCATTGCGAGATTCCGAGGAGGCCAGCGGCTTCAGCGGTCTACCAAAAAAAATAAAAAAATCTTTTTTTTTTTGCGCTTCCTACGGGTCTCGAGCTAGTGAAGCGTGTCTGTCTGTACTCAGGTCTGGACTCGACCGTGTGCTACTCTGCTTGCCAGGCCAGGCCATCGCAACAGCAGCTGGAGTCTTTGCCACGGCTCTCCGAATGCGGCCGTGGTTAGTGGCGCTCGCGCTTCGCTTCTACGGCATGATTTTGATTCCACTTGCACTGTAGAGGAACGCTCGATTTAGGTAAAGTCGGCTGCAGAGCAACGTCGTTCCAAGACAGTGCGGTTCGCATCAGGACAAGCACGCAGAATGCTGCTCTGTGCGGACAGCGCCCGCCCCAAAGAATCATAGCCACAAGCAAGAGCTGCAGGCTTGCACGGCCTTGGCTCGGCTGTGGCCCCGACGGTCCCTCACAGTTGGCCTCACAGTGAAGCGAGATGCCTGCTAACCCATCTGCACTCTGTGCATATGGGGTATGATTATCGTGCTGCCGCGGACTGCGGCTGGACCTGGATCAGTATTGAGTACAATCTGATTGGACATTACTGCCGCATCAACCAGATGCTTCAGGCCACGACTCATTGGTCAATTATACAAGCAGCAGCGAGGTCTCCTATCTGGCCCTGAGCACTGGCTGTGCTGGTATGTACTTGAAGCATGGGGTGCGAACTCATCACGTATAAGACCAAATACGGGGTGCCAATCAACAGGTTTGCGATATATGACGGCACTGTGGTGTATTTTTAGGCGCGAATGTGAGCTTCGCCTGCTGACGGTCCCCTGAGCGCAATGAGGATCATCCTTGTTGGAGCAATCATCTCTCTGCGTTCTGTTGTTCCATCAGCGTTCGAAATGTAGGCGGGCGAATGGGCTGACCTACAGTACAGCACAGTACCAGCACGGTCCATTTCCAGCGGGCGGTGAATAGATGAGAAGAATCCCCATCCGCCTTGCAAGCGGAGCTTCGCCCTCGCTTGTGGTGTTCTCTGAGCAATGGGTGCACAGCTGCTGCCCCAGCTCCAGCTCCATTCTGCTCCATCCAGCACGCAAGCAAGCTCACGCGCCAAATGACCCCAGCAGCTTCGCGCTAAGCTCTCCTGGAGCGGCTTTTTACTATGAGGCATATTTCGCTGCTTAGGCCTTCTGTATGTGGTTTTCTCTCAGAATGGAGAAGTAAATTTAGGGAGTTGCTTGGCAAGCTAGCCTCCCGTCATCATCATGATGCTGCACTAGACTGTTGCATAAGGAACTGGTTTTATGTTCGTTTATGCGCACTCAGTGCCGCCTAAACGCTTGATGGCAGCAACTGACTTCACTCCTCTTCGCTGGCTGGGCATCACGACAGCAATTACCTAGTTGCATTTCTGGCACGTGAAGTTTCCCTTCAATCTCTTGATCCCTCTTGTGCTACCCATGCTGCCATGCAATTGGATATCACCGGTATGAGATTTGCCAAGGAAGATCTCTGTCAAGCGGTGGAAATTGATGGATGGATCATTTCTCGCTTGCCGTGGGAAAGGGATTTGCTATAAACAGACATCCCTTACTTGTATACTTGTACATACATGCATGAATGCTCACGAGAGGGAGAAGTGCTGGGATGTACATGACTTGAGGTGACTTGAGGCATGGGGAACGTAGCAGCCGGAAGGAGCTGTAAAGTATGTACTTGCAGAGCAACAGGGTCTCGATCCTCGTATTTTCGATCCATATTCGGCCGACGGACGGCTGTCTGGGACATGTCTTGCGCGATATATGCTTAACAGGCAAGCCATAGTGCCAGGGCTGCTGGTCAGTTAAGCGACAATCTGTGAGACATGCAAGGCGAGGCGAGGCGAGGCGAGGCGAGGCGGAAATTTGCAAGGTACGGAGCATATACCGCGATCCCTACTTGTAGTGCCTTGCCTGCACGCGTACGAAGCATGTACATACGAGCTCTGGCACCGATCGGGTCCCGGGAGTGGCTACGGAGCAAATATGGTGGATTATGGACACGAAATAGCGATTACAACGCCAGTATGCGCATATAGAGGTACGTCTGATACCTGTCTGTGTGCAGTACTTGTAAGTGCTGCATGGAGCTGAAGCTGAGAATCCCACGGAGACGCTCCTTTTGCTCTCGTGCAGGCCGTTGCGCGCTCCCCTGACAAGGGCATCGACGCTTTGCTCTCTGTTTGTTGTTTATTGATGCAGATGCAAGCGGGGAAGCGAGCGGCGCATCGAAAGAAGAGCTGCCCATCCCTTGTTTCTTCTCTCATTTGCTGCCCCCCTCCAGTCTCTCGAGCCTCAGGCAGTCGAGGCTATCGACATTTGACAGAGGTGATGGGAATGAATCTAGCTAGTGGAGGGCCATCAGCTCACCCTCCAGCTCACCCTCCACCATCGGATGCCCTATTTTAGCACAAACGATGCGCATTGCATTCGCCAGGAAAATAAAATGGAAAAAGCAGAAAGGGCCCTTTGGCCGCATCATGACGACACCGACGATGTGGATGGATGCGTCTGGATTGGGGCTAGCGCAGGCTCGCAGGCTGGATTCGACTCGATGGGCTATTTCCGGCCCAGCAGCGCGTGCTGCCAGACTGTGCTGTGCTGGATTGTACTGACTGTAGCGGAGTGGAAATTTCGCCTGCCCGCGCTGGACGCAGAAAATTTGGCGCCTGTGCATCGATCGGCCGCTTGATCGCAGGCTGATGAGCGCCAGCCAAGAAAAACCACTCAGTGGCTCTTGATTTGCGGAACCCCCCTAAGACCCGCGCCCACACCCCCCAAAGCGCGCCCACCCATCGCTGCACTGTGACTGAGTGGTGCTCAGGTGCCTTGCGCTTTGTGCTTGTGCAGCCCACTGTGCGCGAGCCCCATGCCTCTGGCTGCGCGGCTGCAGCGCCCGCACACTGTGCCCGACCCCCCTCTCTGCGCGTTGTTTCTGGTCCAGGTGCGCTTTGCACGGCGTCGCAGCCGTCCAGAAGCGGCACGAGGCCCTAGAACAGGATGGTCTGGGCGCGTGCGGGCTTTAGAAATAACACTGTACGGGCTAGGTTTGGTGCTGCGCTGCTCTGGGGCCCTGATTTACTCATCGCCTGCTGTACGCCAAATTCCCGATGTACTCCGTATGAACAGAAGCACGCTTTTGTGCTAGTCTGCAGTGGCGGCAGATCAATTAATTATCCCTCACCTTTTTTCTTCGCTGCCTTCGCCGACGCTCGAACTGCTTCTTCCCGCCCGCGCCTGTTCTTTTCTTCTTGGCTTCTTCCTATTCCTGCTACGCGTGTGTGGCGGCGTCTCGCTTCTCTTCTTGCTTTCTCCCACCCCCAATGCCCATCTCTCCCGCACCACAACGGCACGCAGCGCTCATCGCATCACCTCACAGCGCCTGTATTGCATGTCTGAGACCTTGGGTCGCCTCTATTTCCAAATCCAACATCTCCCAAACATCGGAGATCCCTGCATTGGCGTCTACACACACCCCTACCGACCTCCCGGCGTTCTGTCGTGTCAGGTCCGCCACGCCACATCTGGACGGACGTCATCCGGAATCTGCCAAGAAGCCTCCTCTGCTCTATAATCACACACCCCCAAGACCCTTTTTTTTTTCTTTTTTGGTCTACGTTGATTTGACCTGCGAGTGTCCCCCCCAGATCACCAGAGAGGGTTGCTAAAAGTGGACTGGGCCTACCATCCGCTCTTCGCATTCACTCTTATACCACCCGCGCGGGCCCCAAAAGCCTTTTTAGTCTTTTTCACATCCACTGCCTCAACTCGACTCTCTGGATATTGAACATGTTGGCTTTGATGTTATAGCATCGCGGTCCTCAGGGACAATCTTTTTGAAGAGAACTTGTTCTCACGAGCTGGAAGCCTTGTGTCGGCTTACACGCTTTGCCTTGCTACGACACAAATCCTTCATTCGCCCCTCTTGAGTTGAGACGACGCCGCCTTATACTCGCCTCACAGTGTCTTCGTTCTTTGGCTCAATACCAAAACGGGGCATTTGACGAAATCCTTCTTGTTGTCACTGTTGGATCTCTTTCTCAATCTCGAAATCTAGTTTCCTACTCACTGGTTTATAATTCACTCACCAATACCGGAGCCTCAACCACCGACATCAATGTTCAACCTCACAACAACATCGATCATGGCAACTCTTCCAACATCACATCACCTCGAGTGGGCGACGCAAGGGTCAGATCTCATTGAGGACCCCGACGAGCCGCCAGAAACTCAGCTGTATATGCCCGTTCCCACCAAGCCTCTTCCTTTCCAGAGAGCGCCGATTCGTCCCCAGCAGGTTGCGTCTTCGCTACTTACTCAGGCAATCTTGGGACAATCAGACGAAGAGGATGGTCACGTCTTCCACCCTTCCAAATCCTACAGCCAACGCCGCCGTTCCATGGTCAGCAATGCCAGCATTGCTTCTACCGCCGATTTGACCAGTGATACTGGTCTTACCAGCCCTTCACGAACCAACACCCCCAGCCCACCTCTCCCCGAGCTGTCGACGCTTCGTCTTAATGGTGCCGGCGAGCAAAAGAGCGGTTTCTTTGGCCACTTCTTCGGCACCAGACGAGTAGTTGAGGAGCCCATTCAGGAAGCTCCTCGAAAGCGATGCATCCAATTTGCTTGTGCTAAGCCTCAGGCTCAGCCACAAGCTGCTCCTGTTGCAGCCGCCCCTCCTGCTCCCATGCTCAAGACGCCTGTGGCACAAGCACCAAAGCGAACCTGCATCAAGTTCGCATGCACTGCCCGCCCGTCTTCTTCACACAAGACCTCTCCTAAGCCTTTTGAGCCCTCCACTCCCAAGAGGAGCATGACACATCCTGTCCCCGTTTCTCCTCGACCAGCCCCTGCTGGACCAGAGTGTTCCAAGGCCTCCCTCGTTCGACCTCGATTCCTTCGTGCTTCTTCCACAGAGCTCATCAAGGATGGCTCCCAGTTCCACGAGTTTGCCAGTGGCATGGCTCGTGAGGATGATTGGATTCGCCAAGAAAATTCCACTCAGAAGAAGCTTACTATTTCCGATATCCTGGTCAAGGAAAACTTGATCCGCCGCCTAGGAGCTGAAGCTGAGGAGGAAGCCGAAATGGAAGAGGCGGAAGAGGAGGAGGCTGAGGCAGCCATGGATGAGGATGAGGACGAGGACGAGGACGACGATGCCGATGAACTTGATGAGGAAGACGAGGAAGACGAGGAAGACGAGGACGAGGACGAAGAGGACGACGGCTCTGATGGTTACCATACCGACGAGGAGACTGGCTTCGCTGACTCCGATGAGGAAGACGACGAAGACGAGAACATGATGATGTGGACTCCTCGTGTTCCATCTGTCTCACGCCAGGTCACTCCTCGCTTGGCCCGCCGACTCTCCATCAACGACCAGCAGTCGGATGATTCCATTGGCTCCCGACGCAGCCGTCGCCGTGTCTCCAAGGCTCGACCCTTTGGACCACAAACTGAAGCTCCTGACTTGCCCGACAGCACTGACTTTGTGTGCGGCACCCTGGATGAGGACCGGCCTGTCGAGGATGCTTACCTGTCTTGCCTCGCTGCCCGCAGAAACGAGAAGCGTCGCATCATCCCTCAAGACATTGACCCTAGCTTCCCGGCTTCGGATCTTGACGAGGAGGATGAGGAGGATATCTACGTGGCCGCTTCCGACAGCGATGACCACGCGTGGGTGCAGGGTGTCATGGAAGATCTCGGCAGCGAGACCGACCGTGCCCGGAGAAGACGGAAAAATGAGAACACCTCTCCCCGTCGTCTCCGTTCTCCACCTCCTAAGCGACGCGGCTCTCCCGCTCCCAAGCCTCGTGCTCGCTCTCCTGCTCCCAAGCCTCGTGCTCGCTCTCCTGCTCCTAAGCCTCGTGCTCGCTCCCCCAGACCTCTTTTTGACCGCCAGTCGCCTCGACGACTTCGCTCCCCTGCTCCCAAGGCTGTGGCCATTGCAACCCCGATCCAGACTCCCAGACAGGGTGCACACGCTCATTTCCAGCTGGCTGGTCGCCCTGGCCTTACTCATACCAAGTCTCTGCCCAGACCTGCGGCTATCTTCCGTCACCAGAAACAGCCCAAGGGCTCAAAGACGTCATCCGACACCGATGCCCACATTCGCAGCGCAATCGACATCGTCAAGGGTCTTGAGAAGAAGCGTCTGCGCCGCAAGGAAAAGTTCTTCCAGAAGTACTGTGATCGTGCCAGACGCGGACAAATCCCTGAGCGCAAGCCGGTGCTCCCTGGCCTTGGTGCCGAGCGCATGCGAGAGCTTGGACTGCTCATGGCTGGTAAGAAGGGTCCAGACTACGTCCTCTCTTGCTAAGCCAAAAAGTTTTCTGCTACATTTTCACGCATGGAAATGACATACACATTGAAGAAGAGTTTTGAGCATTCCGATAGGCATGGGTTCCACAGTCCCGTCGTTTGTTGGGCGGCGTTTTTACATTCCGTTGACGCAGTCGCTTACATCCGAGTCCTATATACCCAAGGTGTTCACAACCTTCTCTTCTTTCGCTCCATTATTTTCTTTAATTATTTTTCTCACGATTTTATGACGACTTTTATTTCACATAATTACGTGATCTTTCATTTTCCGGAGATGCCTCTAGATAAATAGAGACTCCTGTATATACCGAAAACAGTACACATCATCTGTGGCTACAGAGGGATACCATACCCAGGGGAGGCTTTTTGTTTTTTATCTGTCTGCTTTTAGGATACACCCAGGAGGCCGCATTTGGGAATGCGGACCTCTCAGTTGGCGTTGGTCGGCAAGACGCTTCTTTGTGAAGCTGTCGGTTGATATTACTAGATAGTAATACTGATTCCGAAGCGAGATTCAAACTCAAACTTTATATTCCATCTATGCCTTTGAGTGTGACATGTATTGTGTGTAGAAATTTGCTTATTCTGCAGAGCAACTTGGATGCGCTTTGAAGCCACGTAATCTTTGAACCTGCCTCAGCCACTGTACAGTTTACCGCCTATCTTAGCAGCGAGGGCAACCCCCAAAATGCGGCCAATTTTGCTTCCAATCTGATTCTTTATCTTTCGGCGATGTCACATGATGAGATTTTCCACGTCACGCCATAACAATCACGATACTGTCTTGTTTCTTATTTTTGGCCTCTATTTCCGTGATGGCAGCTGATCAATGATCAATAATTGTAGGTATCCGTAAGCCTTAAGACTTCTCTCACAAGGTACCTATCAAGGGCGCAACCTTTCGCCACATCTTTTCCGCAGTGTATTTTTGGTGCCTGAGCAACAACGCATGTCACGTGTCTAAATGCCCCCCTCCCCCCAAAATAACAGGCGGTAAAAGACATCGGTTGATTGTCCTTTCCCGGACCCGATCTAGCTCGCATCGACATCATCACAACACCTTCCTCTTGCTCTGCGAACTTCAGCCGGGCAATCGTATCTTGTTCCTTTTATTATACCCTTGCCTTTTCACTCCCATTTTTTTCTGGCCTCCAAACTGTGAATAAGAAATAAAGATACTTCCATCACCAATCGCCCAACATGTGGATTGTTAACTGGTGTATGTATTCATTCCCCCCCCCCCGTCAGCGTTGTCTATCGCTTCCACTACCGCCACCTTTTTCCCCCCCAACGACTTGCACACATGCGTGATTGCATTGCAGCGACGGTAAATATGGAGACTGACTTTTCTTTCCGTGTTTTTGCACTTTAGTCTACGATGTGCTGTCCTCCCTGGGCCTGCTCAACAAGCACGCCAAGCTGCTCTTCCTGGGTCTCGACAATGCCGGAAAGACCACGTTGCTTCACATGCTGAAGGTACGTCGCCAATAAGAAAGTCAAGGGGGGGTTCTGAGACAGGGGGATGGTTGAAGGGACGATCACTGCAGTCTTTACAGTGGATAGGCCGCTGCGCATGCGATCGATTCCAAAGATGCAGGACATGAATTGAGGTTATGAGAAGAGATGATGGTCTAACATGATGGGATTGCCGTAGAACGACCGAGTTGCTATCCTGCAACCTACTCTTCACCCTAGTACGTCTGCCGCCCATTACCGCCGCGGAATTTGCGCCGACGGCCTTGTTCGCTCCTTGCTCCTTTTCCTTCTCCAAAGAGCTTTGTATTCTGACTTGTTTATCTTTAGCTTCTGAGGAGCTTGCCATTGGCAACGTTCGATTCAACACCTTTGATCTGGGTGGTCACCAGCAGGGTATGTTATTAAATCTGCAATCCCCCCCTCTTTTCCCCTCAAATCTTAGGCTCTATCTGCATAAATCTTGTTTATATATGCTTACCAAGACCTCCGTCACTTCTAGCCCGTCGTATCTGGAGAGATTACTTCCCCGACGTCAACGGTGTCGTCTTCCTCGTCGACGCCAAGGACCACGAGCGATTCCCTGAGGCCAAGGCCGAGCTCGACGCCCTCCTGTCGATGGAGGAGCTTTCCAAGGTTCCCTTCGTCATCCTGGGTAACAAGATCGACCACCCCGACGCCGTTTCTGAGGACGAGCTGAGACACCAGCTGGGCCTGTACCAGACGACCGGAAAGGGCAAGATGCAGCTGGAGGGAATCCGACCTATCGAGCTGTTCATGTGCTCCGTGGTGATGCGACAGGGATACGGCGACGGTATCAGATGGCTGTCTCAATACGTTTAAAAAAAGGAAAGAGAAGCGAGGAGCGTGTATGTCGTGCAAAGAAAGAATGCAGTGGTGGGGAGGAAATGAGGTCATCTGCATGTAGTGACTCCCGGCGATGATACGATATATTGAGAAAGCAGGAGTGCAAGAGGCGTTGGGCCATGAAGAGTTATTTTATGAGACTCAGCATACTCTATTTTTTTTAGGCGAAACTTTTTTCTTTTTTCTTTTGGCTGTGAAATTCAAATTTTAATTCCTTATCTGATGCTGGGTCTTTGTTTTCCCTTTACCTTCCTGCTGCTGCTGAAGTCTACGGCTGGTGTTGGCAAGATAATGCTCTACAAGTTAATGGATGCTGTGAATGGACATGGGAGACGTGGACATCACCATAGACGCCGTAATTAATGATAATATCTTCATATTTTAGCCATCTAGGTATCTGGGATCAAGCCAAATAATCAACTCATGCTTCAATAATGCTAATAGATTTGGTGCCATGAATGCATGCGAAAAAAGAAAAAGAAAAGAAAGGAAAGAAAAAAGCCCCGAACATGAAAACAGACCCAGCAGTCAACGCTCTTATATCGCCAATGCGTACGCTCTCTTCTCTCTATTCCAAGGGGGAAAAAAAAGTGATAAAATACAATCAAAAGTGAGGATAAAAAAAAAAAAGAAAAAAAAAGGAAAAAAAATCAGGTTTCTCATCATGCTAAAAACAACAGCTGTAGAACAAAAAAAGTTAAAACAATCATAATGCTGATGCTAATAGATGTGCTTCAGAATTCATTAGAGAAAGAAAAAAAAAAGCCAAAAAAGAAAAAAAAAGAAGAAAAACAAAAAAGGCAAGCATTATATGCTCCTGAGAAGAAACCAAGAATAGAGAACAAGCAGATTCCTCTCTTACTTCATATATGTCGTAGAAAAAAAAAAAAAAGAGATCGCTTCGTTAGAAAACGAGAAACCGGGAATATTACAAAAATATGGGCATTACATCCTTTTCTTTCTCTCTTCCTCTCCTTTCTTTCCTCTTTTTCTTCTTATCATCGGTCGGTACGCAAAAAAGGGTATATGCATAGGCGTGTTTATGCGTGAATAGATCTCCAGTCTGGCATGAGCTGTTGCTGTTTGGCGATCATATGGCCAGCGGAAAAAAAGCCGCATCACTAGAATAAAATAAATAACAAGAAAAAGCGCAAAATGCAATGCGACGCTGGCTATGCTTCTGCCTCTACCTCTGTCTCTGCCTCTACCTCTGCCTCTTCCTCTTCCTCTTCTTCGTCGTATTCTCTTTCTTCTCTTTCTGTAGGGGTATCAAACGTTTTCAACCAATCATTCGCGTATAGGAGGTGTTCCCTCATACTCGATATCATATGGTGTAGTTCATTCTTCAAGTCCTCCTGGGAACCCAGTCCTTGCAGGACATTTGGTGAAGGGGCAGCAGGAAGGGACGGCATAGAGCTCACGAGGGAATTTCGAGCGCTCGTCATGATTCCCAGGCCAGATGAATCCCACGCAATGTTTGATCTCTCATCAGGGGTGGTGGGAGTGCTCTGTAGGTCGCTCGGCTGCCGCGTGAGGGAAGGAACCGACTCCATATCATCATCAATGTATAACGAGGGTTCTCTTGTGTTGATGTCCGCAGCGTCCGCCTCAAGCTCTAGGTCGAACGCTAGAGAGCCGTGGACCGAACCAGATGATCGAACATGAGAGCTTGGCACGAACGAATCGGGAGCGCCGTAGCTCATGTCATCCGCCAGAGAGGCATCGAGATCAATGAGACTCATGGCCGATTCACGATTGACCGAGGGGCCCATGTCATCGTCCTGATGAACTATAGTCGGATAATCTTCATTATCGCTAAACATGTCTGGATTAGGAGTGGAGGTAGCCGAGGTGGGCGTCATGGCAGGGAAAGTCCACTCCGTAGTGTCACGCTTGCTCGTGGGAAATGACCATTCTTGTGTGTTTCGCTTCTCCTCTGTAGGGAACGTCCATTCCTGGGTGCTTCGCTTCTCAGTAGTCGGAAATTTCCATTCCGTGGTCTCACGCTTGTTGGAAGGGAACGTCCACTCCTGCGTCTCCCGTTTATCTGACGTAGCAAACGACCATTCTTGAGTAGCGCGCTTGGTTGGAAAGTTCCAGTCCTGAGTCTTTCGTCGCTCATCAGCGGATCCGCTCAGATCGATTGAGATGGGCCGCGCAGCTGGCTTGATAGTCTCTTCGTCAAGGCTAGGTAGAGATGGAGCGCCGATATCATCCATGGCAAGATCAAGATCAATTAATGATTCGCGAGCTGGGGCTGGAGGCTCCGCGTTGGGATTCGGACTGATACTCCGGTTGGGATTCGAAGTGGGATTCGACGTGGGATTCGAAGTAGGGGGCTTTGGTTTCCTCTGTGTCGGCGGTGCTGAAGTTGGAGGTGGCATAGGTATCCTGCCATACCAGGCTCTCGAGTTCTCTCCATAGTTGGTGATGGTGTACGGGTCAAAGACTTTCTCCAGAGGAGCCTTGAGCTCCTTCATGGTTGGGGGTGGCCGCCTGCGACGACCACGCTGCATCGGCCGTGCCGTACGTTCAGGTTCAGGGCTTGAGGCGACGCTGGGGTAATAGTCGGGAGTAGGGACGCGCGGCTTAGCAGTGTTTTGGAACATGAGCTCGTCCACCTCGTCAAAATTGCCAAAGTCCCATCCGCTTTGACGAACGGGCGATCGATCCATTCGAGGTCCCTGAGCGCCGCCGGCCGAGAACAGAGACTGCCTGCTTCCTCCCTGAGATTCCCAGTACTTGTAGTCAGCCACCAGCCTCGACAGGGAGACGGTGGGATATCTGTCCTGCGTGTTGAAGATGTACGGGTGTCGTTGAATCTCTTCGATAGGCGGCCGTCGCTTGGGATCCTCGACCAGACAAAAGGCGATGAGATTCTTGAGGTTTTCGGAGAATCGGTCGCCCTGAAGACGAGGTCGATGCTGCTTCAGATAGGCCCCAAACTGCTGGATATTGATTCTGGCGGTTGCGTTTGGCGGCAGGCCGTTGGCAATCTCGTAGGCCATGGACCCAAAGGCCCAGATGTCAACCTCGATGCCGTAGGCGACGTGCGGGTCGAAGAGCTCGGGGGCCATCCAGTGCAGCGTGCCGGTGATGGTGCTGCGCTTGTCGAACTTGGTCTCCATGATGCCGGCCACGCCAAAGTCGCACAGCTGCACGCCGCCCGCTTCGGTGATGAGCACGTTGGCGCACTTGATGTCGCGGTGGATGATGCCCTGCTTGTGCACCCAGAACAGCGCCTCGGCCACCTCTCGCAAGATTGGGACGATCCAGCGCTCGGCCAGGCCGCTGGTCGGGCGCATCAGCGACGCGACGCTGCCGCCGGCGCAGTACTCGGTGACCATCCATACCGACTGGCCAACCAGGTGCGTGTCGAGCACGGCATTGACGTTCCTGGCGCCGGTGTTGCTCAGCAGCTTCAGCGTGTTGACCTCCTTGATGATGTCGCCCAGCGTGTCGGCCGCGCCTGGCTGGATGTTGTCGCCCTCCTCGATGCTGATGACCTTGACCGACACGAGCTGGCTGGACTTTGTGCCGCGGGCCTTGTACACGCGCCCGAAGCTGCCCTTTCCGATCAGCTCCAGCAGCTGGTACGGCGGCGCTTCTCGGTCGGCCGCGGCGCACTCGCGCAGCACGAGGGCCTGGGCGGCGCGCGCATCTTCGATGGCCTTGTGCTTGGTTGCCGAGTAGTTTGGCGCTGACGTGAAGCCGTTGCCGTTGGGGAGGCTGCCGGCCTTGAGGGGGGGATAATGCATGATGTCGTCGCCGTCGTCGTCGTCGTCGTTATAGGGGGCTCTCCAGCATTCCCAGCGTCTCCGGTCCACTGGAGGCTAGCCCGCGTCAGCGTGCCGCCTGCGCTGTAGCAAGCTCACTGCGGCCAGAGCCACAGCTGTCGGTCTAGCAGGATTAGCGAGTCTAAGATGCCCAGTCACGCGGGGGAGCTAAGCAGGCTGCGCTTCCACCTGCCTCCCAGTCTCTCTCGCTTTTTCGCTATTCCGCGTGCTCTCGTTGTCCGTGTTTAGTGGCCGATTTGCGGTGGACACAGCAGAAGGTTTGACGGAGAGAGAGAGAGAGACTCGAGGCGTGACAGATCTCGGAGGCTGCACGGGACGAGATATTCCAGAAACGAGCGTTCCCAGCACAGGGGCGAAAAAAAAAGCAAGGAGAAGAAGGACGGAGAAACAGCATGAAGAAAGAACAGATGGGTACGAAAAAAGAAATGCAAAATAAAAATAAAGAACCATGGCAAAGATAAAACAGCTCCGTACCCAGAAACAGTAGAAACGCACCTCTCCCCCTGGCTTCCACATAATGCGATCAATAAGCATGTTGCAGCCCCTGGCCCGGCTTGGGGGCAAAACCGCCTAAGGCAAGCCGCTAACCCTGAGGCTTTCACAAGGCTCCGCTGGCCGCTAGCAGGCGTGGAACCCGAGGACCCTTTGGACGGCAAAGCCCATGCGCTTAATCTAATTTTTTTTTTTTTGCCTTCGGGCGATTCTTTTTTTAAACCCGTGCTCGTGGTTGTGCTTGTCTTGTCTTTCTCCTCAGCCTTGCCCAGGGGTCTCGTGGTCTCTCAGCCTGGTCGACAGACGACGTCAGTGGTTTCATGGGGAGGCTTCTCACGGGAGCACATGCGCAAGTGCTGTGAAGTCGCCTAGACCCTCAAGGTGCCCCTCGAGATAACATCGAATCCCGTGAGCGGCTTTGGGCCTTTGCCTCGTGCTGGCTCTTTTTTCTTTTTTTGTCTTTTTTTCGAACTACACTTGACTTGCTGCTGTTGCGCTCTCCAGGTGGTTTCTTTCTTTCTTCTTCTATAGCTAATACCCCGTTATACAAGTATATATATATATACTATATATATATAAGGCCAACCTCTCACCATGTTCAAAACATCGGTTGCAATCGCTGCCCTCAGCGCTGGAGGAGGCGCCGCTCTCACAGCCGCTATCTACTCTCTTCGTCCCAAAGACAGGATCGCAGACATGGCCTCCTCCTCCTCTTCACTCTCCTCCACAGCCATCGTCTCCTCTCCAACCGCCGTCACAGCAATCCCCGCCAACCAAGTCTTTGGCGGTCCTGGCGGTCCTCCTCTACCAGTCCCAGGCACAGCGCCCGTCAACCCAGGCGGCCTCTTCGAATATGGCTTCCCAGGCCCCGTCTCCGACATCGCGACCCGCGCCGCCCTCATCTCGAGCTACGACCGCCGCACGCGCAACCCCCACTGGGTCGTCGAGCACATCACACCCGAGTCGCTGGCCACGCGCGGCGGTGACCGCAAGAACAGCTTGTTCCTCGAGGACGACGGCGTGCCCGCCAAGTTCCGCGCCCTGCTCAAGGACTACTTCCGCAGCGGCTATGATAGAGGACACCAGGTGCCCGCCGCAGACGCAAAGTGGTCGCAGACCGCCATGGACGAGACGTTCTACCTCAGCAACATGTGCCCGCAGGTTGGCGAGGGCTTCAACCGCGACTACTGGGCGCACTTTGAGGACTTCTGCCGTCGTCTGACCCAACGATATCCCTCGGTGCGCATCGTCACGGGACCGTTGTATCTGCCCAAGAAGGACCCCGTCGACAACAAGTGGTACGTCAAGTACGAGATGATTGGCACGCCGCCCTCCGTCGCTGTGCCCACGCACTTTTACAAGGTCATCTTCGCCGAGGACGGCCGTGTTGGCGGCAACGTCGCCGTCGGCGCATTCGTTCTGCCAAATGCCCGCATCGATAACGCCAAGCCCATCACCGACTTCGAGGTGCCCCTCGAGGCGGTTGAGCGTGCCAGCGGCCTTGAATTCGCGAACCTGCTGCCCATGCAGCGCAGGAAGAGGCTCTGCGCTGATACTACCTGCGCTTTGGTCATTAAGGATTACAACGATAGGCAAAAGACTTTTGCCAAGAGCGCCAAATGAGCCTCTTCCTAGTTGATTAGGAGATCGCCTCAAGGGAAAGGTTCGAGACCCTGGATGTTACTATCATTGATGAGAATTGGCTATTTTAAAGCGCATTTGGGAGCTGAGACCGTTATGAATTTTATGAAACACCCCTCCTTCGCACACGCTCTCTATTTTATCCCTGCCTCTACAAATGACGTATGCTACCATAGATTAGCTTGCTTTTCTTTCATCAGCAATTAAATATCGCTGTAGAGACTGACAAAGTCAGTCATCATTTGCATTCATCACATCAGTACGATTATATAAATCGACAAATAGCTACACCATGCGGCATCACATGGCACATCATATACTAGAATAGCACATCAGATAGAACTCAGATATTTAAATTTCCCCGTAGCCAATCGCTGTATATATCCTTGGAACCCTTCTTGTAAAAATGCTAGCAGTTAAAGAACAAAAAAAAAAAAAGAAAAGAAAAAGAAAAACAATTAGAAGGTATAAACCCTGTCTGAAACGATGAATCTCTTTAGCAGTTAGCTATCCCGACAAAAAGGCCCCTTCATAATCCCATCCCTAGCCCATCAGAACGCCATTCAAAGAGGATCTCGACCAATCGACCAAATAACTTTCCCATAGATACTCAAAAGAAGCTGTTACCGGGCGCGGGTATACTTTCCATGTCGTTGCTCTTGTCGGAGACTCTCCTCCTGGCTAGGAAGGGGTATGCGCCGACGATCCGAGTCATTAGGATTCATCGGTGGAGGAATGGGAAGCGGAAAGTTGCCTGGTAGTGGAGGCATCCCCCCCGGAGGTGGGATCAGACCCGGAGGGAGAGATCCTGGAGGTGGCATGGGTACGCCGGCCTGCTGCATCAACTCGAGCAGCTTCGCCGGGTCAGGAGGGTTGTGGAGATCCAGACCGGGCAGCGGAGGCGGCGGTGCTCCGTTGAAGCCAGGAATAGCGAAAGGGGGAGGCGGAGGTGGAGGCGGCGCCGTTGAACCAGCACCAACTCCAACTCCAGGCACAATTGGAGGCGGCGGGATGCTTGCGCCGAGACCAGGGACAGCACCTCCGCCTAAAGGTAGGCCAGGAATTCCACCGGTCAAGCCAGGAACAGTTGGTTTTTGCGCATCTTGGTCGACCAGAGCGTCCATCTCGTCCTCCATCTCACGCTGCTCTTCCTCTTGTCGCTGGCGGCGATTACCACGGCGGTCCCAGGTCCCTTGTGCCTCGGCAGCTGCTTCGCCAATATGGTACCTGTCCTGGAAAATTTCCGTCTCGCCAGGTCGAGCACGACCCCAGAATCGAGTAATACGATCATTTGACCCAGACGCAAGAATATGACCCTGGGGATGCCAGTCTAGAGACCAAATAGCATAATCGTGAGCGAATGGAACTTTGTGTGTAGGCCATATTGACTGGGCAGGAGTTGATTCTGGGTCAAGGCTATCATAAGGGGCGACAGTCAGGGGCTGGCCGGCTGGGGGATTTGGTGTATCTAGCATATAGTGGAAGAGCGAACCGTCCATGCCACCCGTAGAGAGGAGGTTGGCATGTATCGGGTGGAAAGTCAAGGTCGAAATGTCCTTTTCATGACCCTTTAATAGCACAATGTCGCGCATCATTCGCAAGTCAAAGACACGGGCTGTCTGGTCCCGTGCCGAGGTCGCGAAACATCGACCGAGCTTTTTCTCGAATAGGACCTTAGTGATGGTACTCTTATGACTATGTAGAGTAGTCAGGGCTCGCGCAGTACGAGGGTCCCAGAGCTTGACCAGGTGATCTTTGGATCCGGAAATGATAAGTCCTTTAGTTGGGTGCCAGTCCACCGACTTGGCATCCCAGCCGTGGCCTTCAAGTTTCAGCTCTTCCTGGCCAAGAGCAAAGTCGAAGATCTTGAGAGTGGAGTCGTCCGAGGCGGTGACGAACTTCGAGTCGTTGGGGCTGAATGCAAGGTCGCGGATGGGATCTGTATGAGCATTGATGCTCTTGACGTTGTTAAAATTTGGCTGCCAGTACTTGATGACTCCATCATGGTCACCCGAGATCAACCAGTCGTCGCTATGTGAGTATTCCAGGGCACGGATGGCAGAATCATGAGCCTGCATAATAGTCTCAAAATTGAAACCGGTGCCGTTCCAGAGAGTGAATTCGCCGCTAGTCGAAGCTGTAAGCAGTCTGCGTCCCTCCGGGGTCCATCGAACGACATTGATAGGATGCTTAATCTTGTTCAGAGAAGAATGGAGGTGCTTGGCCGGAATAGAATCAGCTGGGAACACTGGTCGTCCTGCTGGTGGAATCATCTCTAGGGGCGTTAGTTTTACTCTTGATTGGCATCTTTGTCTTCTCGAATTGCTCTCACATCCACAATATAGCTTGCGCTTGGACGCTCCCTCTCACCCGTGTAACCACCTCTGTAGTTGGGGGCGCGGTCTCGCATCCAATGGAGGACACTGGCACTATAATCCGTCACAGGTCCTAGTTGGGGAACCGGTCAGTCCACTGAATAAGATGATCTTTGTCCGATTTCGCATATCCTCCACTTTGGTCCCCCGGGTATGATACATTGGCTGAGTCGAGGCGAACTCGCAGCTATCTCTAAGCATGAAATCATGATCATGTAGATATCTCGATAGGACACTTGCCCAAGCAGGTTTAACAGCTAAATAACTATGCTATAAAAGCGTAGAGAGATGACACAAGGACATGAAGACTCAGTGATATAAAAGTGCAGTAGGCAATAGCTGCCGTGAAGCGCATGATCAAGCCGAACAATAGATGCCGAGAACCAGACGAATAGGCTCCGCTAGTAGCAAAAGGTAAAGAGTGTAAAGGGAGCTACAAAATGAAGACAAAAACTGACTCACTTCGACCTCGTACTTTCATAAATGCGCCATCTTGACCTTGACCACCGCCTCCCCGATCGCCATACTCTCCACGAGGCTCATAGGCCATCGTCGCGTTGCAACAGTCAATTGATGATCATACACCAGCGTGGCAAGTATAAAGAAGCCGAGATAGAGCAGGAATGTGAATGTAAACTGTTATCAGTAAGAAGCAAATAAAACTTTAGCGAAGACCAAGCCTCAATAAAGAGCTTGCCGAGCTGCCAATGAAGATGAAAGTCTCATTCTGCGAGGCTCGCGCTTTGAGAGCTCTGATAGAGCGCCGGCGAAACGCATGCTCTGATTGGGCGCAGGTCATGTGATACATGCAATGTGCTCGATCTTAGTCAGCAATGCTTGAATACACGTATTGCGGTGGAGAGCCACAGAGCATGGACTAATATTGAGCCTACAACGACTTATTTTTCTATTAGTGCTGTATTTCATAGAACTGATTTTTTGGGCTAGCTGTAATGCCAAAAGCAATTTCTGCGGTATCTGCTGCTTATGCCACGAGAGGAAGAAAACAGACACGCTTCCTGCGATGCATAGTCTCACATTTTTGGCCTATTAGTTTTCAGCTGCGTGGTAATCTGCTACTGTAGAGCCCGGCCCTTCTCCCGCTGGAGCATAAACTTTTTATAAAACCCGCGCTTCGTCTTCGTGCATGCAAAATGAATCGTGACAACGTGTGAATTTGGTGCTCCATATGATGGCTTGTGAGACTTGCTTGGCTAGGCTGATAATATCAATGCAGCCCTTTGAGCCCTTGGCAGTCTGCAGTTTTCACATGCTTTTCTCTCTTTTTTTTCTCCCACGGCACTGCAATCTGCTGCTAAAATTAAGGCAAAAGGCCAGTTCAAGCTCCTGCGCCCCACCCAGTTCGGAGCCAGCTCTCCATGCCCGCTATTTTCCGCCTATGCCACCACTGGTCATTTTTGGCGATGGAGCGATCAAGGCACAGATTGCAGAGACAGGTACCTCGCTATATGGCATGGCACTTGGCAATACGAATCTCACTCTGATTCCCCCCCATGTGGCTTTTGGCACAGGGTGAATTTTCTTTGGGCCTGACTGCATCTCTCTCGTCACCCTTGCATTAGATAGGGATCCTGACTCTGTCACGTCTTAATTTCGGTCGACGCCGATAACGTTGGATATCCTCCGAGGCTTATGAGGCAATTTGCGGGCCGCTGCTAAAATACAAGTACGAGTACGGGAGCGAATTAGTGACTAGAATTAAGGCGAGTCGAAGGCAAACTCAATGTTAGTCTAAGCCCCTCCATCCCGGTTGGAGCTCGATCGGTAGCTCATCTCTTCCACGCCGTTCCCCAATCCATCTCTTTCACCATATCTCGATTTACACCTGCAAATCCTCTGTGCAGTACAGAGTGTGCGACAGAGACTGAGGATGGCGTCTCCTACAGAATCCGCAACTACGACGAGCGTCGAGGCCTCCACTAGCTCTGTCTCTCGCCGCATTGCCTCCACAGACGATAAAGCAGATCTAACCTCAGTGGAGCCTCCCAATGGAACTACCAAGGAGCGGCTGTCCAAGACGCTGCCAAAGAAATATCGCCATGTCGCGGCGGTTCATTCTCAGACGAGGCCGTCGTGCTTGAGCCACGACTCTACTGCGGCGCCCAGCTTTCTTGGATTTCGCAATCTCATGGTCATTGTGTTGGGTATAGCTCTCTTTTCAATGGACAATTTTCTATGAGAGCCTCTCACTAACACATCATTAGTTGTTGGCAATCTCAGATTAATGATTGAAAACATTCAAAAGGTGCGTTGGATTACCTCGAAATTGATGCTATGAGGTGACGCAACATTGACATCTGGCTTTGGTGTAGTACGGCGTCTTGATCTGCATAAGATGCCACGACTATAGGCGGCAGGATCTACTGCTTGGTCTTCTACTCTACTTTCTCATTCCTTGCCATCTCTTTGCAGCATACGTCATTGAGCTTGTTGCAGCCAAGCAGGCCGAGGGATCAAGAAAACGAATGAAAGAGAACAGCTCTGGTCCGTCAGAAGCAGAGCGAAAGAAGTTTCACTCCATTTGGGTTCTCGCGGCTCTGGCCCATGGCATCAACATCACGCTTGCTCTCGCCATCACCACCGTCGTGGTCTACTTTTATGTCTATCATCCATTGATTGGCACGCTGACAGAGATGCACGCCATTGTTGTGTGGCTCAAGACGGCTTCATACGCATTTACTAACCGAGATCTTCGCCATGCCTATTTGCATCCGGTAGAGGGAGAAGAAGTGCCTGACTTATACAAGGCATGCCCGTACCCGCAAAATGTGACAATGAAGAATTTGGTTTACTTCTGGTGGGCTCCGACTCTGGTATACCAGCCCGTTTATCCGCGCACCGACAAGATTCGATGGGTCTTTGTGGCGAAGCGACTCGGAGAGATCTTCTGCCTCGGCGTGTTCATTTGGGTTGCCAGCGCTCAATATGCAACCCCCGTTTTGCGCAACTCTTTGGACAAAATTGCATCTCTCGATTTATTCTCCATCTTGGAACGACTAATGAAGCTCTCTACAATCTCTCTAGTCATTTGGCTAGCAGGATTCTTTGCTCTTTTCCAGTCTTTCTTAAATGCCCTTGCAGAGATTACGCGATTTGGCGATAGATCATTTTACGACGATTGGTGGAATAGTGAAAGCTTAGGTGCTTACTGGAGGACATGGAATAAGCCTGTCTACACGTATTTCAAGCGTCATGTCTATATGCCCATGATTGGACGAGGTTGGAGCCCAGCCGCTGCCAGCTTTGCTGTTTTCTTTGTTTCCGCCGTGCTTCACGAGATTGCTGTTGGTGTTCCAACTCATAATATTATTGGTATGTCCCGATCCTCCGAAAGACTCAAGCAGCCTGAATATCTCAATCCAAAACTGACAATGACTATTTTCCCGCGCCAGGTGTCGCTTTCTTTGGCATGTTCCTTCAACTTCCTCTTATTGCCATCACCACCCCTCTCGAGAAGATGAAACTCGGCCACGGTGGCCGCATTCTGGGAAACGTCATCTTCTGGGTCTCATTCACAATCTTCGGACAGCCATTTGCCGCTTTAATGTATTTTTACGCCTGGCAGGCCAAGTATGGCAGTGTGAGCAAGATACCTCAGCCGATACTTCACTAATATGCGATTTTTGCAAATATATGCATAGCTGTCTGATTCATTCTACATAGACGATGTGTACGGAAGTTTAATGAGAGAGGCCTTTTGAAAACAAGAGGTTTTACTAGATATGACGATTATACGTCTTTGGGTGAATATTATAAGGATTACATACATAATGATGATCGCTAATTTTGCCACCCTGTAAATGCTTACTATGCCAATGAGTATCAGTAAATGGAATACCTATGTTGTTCAGCTGTCCACAACCTAGCCAATCTTCAGTTTGTAACCCTACGCTATAAATGGAATTAGTGTGCCGACTCTCTTCCTATAAGCCACATAGTCATCGCCAAAGAACTGCACCAACTTCTCTTCCTCCATCTCGATCCTGCCCTTAAAGAACATGTATAGCACAGCCGCATAGGCCACAAAGCAGATTGCATTACCCAGCACAAGTTGCGTTCCTAACCCCCAGTAAAAAAAGCCAAAATAGCCCGGATGTCGCAGCCATCCATAGATTCCAGTCGTCACGAGGAGATGCGTTTGGGCCTTCTTTGTTTGGACATAATGGTTGAAGCTAGCTCCCGCGTGTAACATTGCTATGGAGCGAATAGCCTGGCCGACAGCGACTAGAAAAAGGCCAATGAAGAGAAGCAGGTGGCCGGAATTGAAAGGTGCCCAGTGGCGGTTGGGGAAAAAGACGGTCACGACGAGGCATTCTATGAAGGCGGCGGAGTGGGCTATCGCGTAAGACGGCCAGTTTGCCGTGAGGAGGAAGCTATCGATAGTGGCCACCGCGGTGTTCTTCTCGGCCGTGGTCCAGAACTCCAGGAAATGGAAAGTAGATAGAGACAAGAGAAAGAAGGGGATGCGCCAGATGGGGCTCTCGGTGAAGATCAAGATGGATACTGTGCCGATGATGCTTGCTGAGAAGACTATGCCCAGGCAGAACGCGCGCATAGCGATCCCAGAGAGCGACTTGGGCTGTCCAGGATAGAACGGTTTAAGAGGATTCTCGGGTTCGCGCAACAGTGGAGAGTTGCGGGCAGGATCTGACAGGTAAGGGGGAAGGCCATCGTGATGGTCAGGCTGATGGTTGAATGAGTTTGCCATGATGGATGAGAGTGTGTAAAAATGAGTACTATTCGAGGTAGGAGTTGATGTGACCGAGCAGCCAGTAGATATGTGCCTATATCATGACCTCCTTCGTGATGCTGACTTTCTGCCTCGATGCTTGATAATGGCAAATATCGGGCTGTGGTGTTTTGTGTTCAAAAAGCTACACGTGGGGACGCGCAAACGGACTTATGAGGCGCAGCTCGGGTAGGAAAGGGGCAAGGCTTTTCTGCCCAGTTATATAAAACGAGATTAAACACGATACAGTAAAAGAGAGAGAGAAAGGTCGTGCCTATAAAGTTTGCTGCCTTTTGCAGATTGTCCTCTGGTGAACAATGCAAAGTACTGGCGATGGCTCCGCAAGTTGTGGCCGTAGAAACTCTTTGCAGTGGAGTGTCGGGGATTTGGCTGGAGTTGGTGGCTTAGGGGCGGAGCTTTGGGGCTAACTAGCGGCCAGAGCAGACCTGCCTAGGCACTCTAAGATGCAGCACAATACGACAGACAATGACATCCAATGTTCAAGACTTGAGACGCGCTTTGACGGTTTAAAATGTTCTTCATTTTTATTCCAACATGGAGCTGCTTGCCCCCGCACAATCTCCTTTGCTTAGCTTAACCACAGCTCCTTTGGCCAGCAACCTACCCCACTAAATTTTCCTTCGTCGTTTGCTCGACCGATCTATATTGACTCTCATCCGCTTAGACTAATCATAGGAGAAGGACAAGCCTCGAGATGCCAGATGGGGCATTCACTTTCCAGAATCGCAGCTCAATGCGAAACGCTTTATGGTCTGCCATAGCCACGGTTTGATCTCATTGCATCATGGACCCCGCAATTGTCGACCCTATCATTGTAGTTGATATCATTCCTGGAGAGACCCCGGAGATTGTCTGGAGAGCTTACCAAGAATCACTCTTTGATCAATATCTCACGCTCCTCCATGATATCCAGCCAAACGACTTGGTTGCCCAGGGCCATTCTTCTCGTATTATTGACATCTCCGAGATTGACCTACTCGAGGTATTGGGCGGCAGAGGCTACTTCAAACGGCTGCAGTTTCAAGATGCAGGGAAACTATCAACGCTTGTCTTCAAAGGATTTGATAAGTCGATCCAAGCGATCGTCCATCGTTGGGGAACTTAACAGAGTTCTGGAAACGCGAAGCATATTTCTTCAGATAGCGGTCCACATATCTCTTTCTCTGCTTTATACAGTCTCCCAGGTATAGTTAAGGCGATAGAAAATAATGCATAGCACTTAGTTATACCATTTTCATTGACACTAGTTGGGCTTTTTGGTTACTACTATCCTGATACCTGGCACGGGACTTTTGTGGTATATGTCTATGTATGTGCCCAGCTACATGCGGGTCTAAAATTGGCTGTCCACTATTGTCTTACTTGACAAAAGAGAACACCCATTTTGCCTTTGACAGTATCTTGGAGTCTTCCAAGCAATGGATTTCATAACCCCGTTCACCGAGGTACATTCATTGCCTCGTTTCGTGATGTCTCTTGGCGAAGTTTCTCCGTCATCTTCTTGGGGCCACATGGCCAAGGCTTTCGGTATCCGATATGTACAATTGCAAACACAACTTGAACAAACCATCTGCTTCTCATGGAGCTGGTTATGCCAGTGGCGCTCAATCTCAGCTGTGATGTGTGCTGACCCATACCCACTATTCGAAAGAGAAATCATCGTCAGCACAACTGGTCTGGCAGTGGCAATGTGTGTGTATAGTATCTTACCTCTGACGTAATTCTACATTTCTTGGTATACACGCACATTTCGAGGCTAACTTGCTGGACCTTAGCTGTGGTAGCAGTAATCACTAGCAATAATCAAGGGTCGCGGTGTTTAGCTGCATAGTTGCCATATGTATCCAAAGCTGCGTGTTGAATATGGTGTAGATTCTCGGCGTATGTTTCAAGGCATACGATTTCATCCGAGTCTCTTTGATCAATTGTTTTTCTGTAAATTTTCGAACTGCCGCATCATAGTCCTCCTTGTATCGAAAAGGAAGAGATAACCAACGTAAGAACATTGATAAATCCCCATGTGCAGGGAATCCAAGTGTTCATTTCATAGTATCCCGCCTGGTATACGGCCCCAAGCCTGCTCCAACAGTCAGCACACATCTCCGCCTTTTATATTCCATTCATAACTGACATGACTCCGACAATAGTCCCAGAGAGCAAAGCCTCAAGCCCGGCGACTCCCAGGTAGATAATCGGCGTCAACCAAAGATACTTCCACGACGACTTCTTCCACCCGTGCGTGAACAAGGCGATGAATACGGCGCCGAGGTGGAACAGCGCAAACGTGATGAGAGTCCATATTACTGTGAAGCGCCACACATCACTGATGTAGTAGAGCGTAAATCTTTTGTCGGGCGTGGAATCGAAGAGGGTGTTGACGTTGAGGGACGGGAAATGAGGAGTGGTGTAGTTTCTCGGAGGGATCAGGCGTCGAGCCATCTGCGCGGTCGCGTTGGTTTACTGCTCACTGTAGTTGTTGTTAGTCGAGATCTGGGTTGGCGCTTGGCAGAAGTGCGTCTTTACCTCTTGAGACCTCCCTTTTCTCCCGCATTGGGAGAGTTGCCAGTGATGGTATCCCTCGTTTGAGACAAAGGCGAGAGGCTCTCCTTGCTAGGTAGCTGCAAGTCGCTAAGAGACGGCAATTTTAGTGGAGCTCAGCACGGCATCGGTGACGTCCCTGAGAGGTACCAGAACCTCGGCAACGGCCTGCGCTCAGTCATCAGCCGCCTAATAATATGCCATCGCGTCGACAGCCGGCCAGCCTCGCCTTCAACCAACAGCCCTGACGCCAGTTCGAACAGCGCATTAGCATTGTAGCCACGGCGCAGCAAATGCAGCATCATGCCTGCTGACCAGCTCCTCAATACGGTCCTGCACCATTTCCAGGACCTCCACGATGCGAAAAAGACGGAGCAGATCATCGGCACGACCGCTCACCTTCTCTCACAGCTCTCCAACCCTCTTAACCTCGGCGTTCTCACGTCGCAGCTATTGACGGCTCCCGCTATATGGGAGAGACATGATGGGTTACGTACGGCAGTCCGCATCATCAGCATCTACAACACCGCAGCGATCCGCGTGCACGACCTCGAGATAGAGAATGAAAAGAAAACTCTCGACGGCCAACCTCTTGAAGGGGGCGCTTTGGGGTGTGACGAGTGGACACGAGCAGTGGTCAAGGGCGCGGATGAATATTCAAAGAGATGGCAACATTTGCTGGTTATGACGGGCGTCCTTATGGGCATGGAAGGCAACGACAGGCATGCGTTATCCAGCAGCCTCAGAGGGACGCTGGAACAGGCGATTGTGACGGCTGCCAATATGGCTCTGGATACCCATCGACAGGATGGACCGCTTGCTGGCTCATCCATTGCACTAGCTCTAAACTTCTCATTTCCCTTGCTCTCAGAATTCCACAAGTCGCAGATCAACTGCAACGAGTTATTACCAGTTACTGTGTGGGCCATGACGGGCCCGGAAGGCTTTTGCGAGGGCCAGTTCCTTCAGGTAATTGGAGATAGCATTACCGAGGCCCCCGGCCAAACGCTCTCCTGGACTTCACAAACGCCCTCGTTCGGCCTGTTACAGGCAATGGATCAGCGGCCCCTAATGGGAAACATAGGCCCCCTCTCAAAACTTGCCGCCTACGCAGCACTGCATGCCACAGATACCGTCGCTGTTTTGGCGGCACAGGATGCGCTGCTATTATTCTCACGCCAGGTTGTGGATGCCTGGAAGCTGAATAGATTCAATGACGTCGATCCAGCATTCGAAGCCAACAAGCTGAGCCTTGAGACGTACCAGAAGACGTGGCCGGTGCTGTGGCAAGTCCTGCGCAAGCTGCTGTTTGGCGCCGTGGCTGTCCTCCAGGCCATTGTTTCTCGCAGTCTGCTGGATCATCGCATGCTAAACGTCGTGACGGCCTCGGAAGTTGCCACCAAATCATTGCATATCCTTCGAAACTTTTATTTTATTTCCAGCCGGAACAACAACAGTGCTTTCCAGGTGTACAACTTCACCTACCTAACATCTATCGATACCCTTTCTCGAAATCCGCCTGCGTGTGAGATGTTGCTCAAAGAGATACGACCCACTGAGAATTCGACGGTCCCGGTTACGTGTCTCTCGAGGACTCTGGATCTGTTTTACTTGAATCTTGCTGAGCACTTGCCTTTGGTGCTGTCCACGGACGCCTGCGAAGCTTTAATAATCAAGCCCGCAACTTCATATCTCTCCCATGAGGGCCCCATGACTCCCTCGATAGTCGAACTCTTTGAGTCTTCTCACAGCGCCATTCTTTCTGTCCTCTCCTGCCCACAACACGGCCCGCTCACCATCAGCATCACCCCCTTCTACATTGTCAAGCTCTTTGAATCATTTCCCTCACAAATATCGCCCAGGCAGTTCCGAGTTGCCTATAAGACCGTCATGCAGACCGTCTCTCCGCCTTTTCCAATCGCCGCTGTGGAACCTCATCTCTCAGAAACTCTCCTTGAAATGCTTCGCGCATCCATTCCTACGGCGGGCACAGCACTTCTGCTCCAAACTCCAGATGCCGTCTCATTGGATGCTACATCGCCAGAAGATTTGGCTCAGCAGCCTCCAGAACCTTGCTCCGAGCAGAGCACGCTGACCATGGCTCTGATTGATACTCTGCCATTCTTGCCCTTGCCTTTAGTGGAAGAATGGCTTACCATTACGGCACAAACATTGAATACGATTGAAGATCCCAAGCTGAGGGCACCGGTAAAGAAGCGATTCTGGGATATTCTCATCAATGGCGAAATGGATGTAGAAAGAGCAGCCATCGGAGTCGCCTGGTGGGGGAATCAAGGTGGAAGAGAGCTGTTTCTCTCTAGGCCTACACCGCCCGAGGCGGCGATGATGAGCGGCGCAATTGTGTCTGATGATCAAATTAGCAGCAAGCTGTAAGGGATCACTGACGTGTAACGGTACGATGGAAACACAGGCAATGGGTTTCATTATCACAATTTAGAGTTGTTAAACTTGATCACTGATATTTGAACTTGTGGGTGAAAATGTGATTGAGAACAAACAGTCTTGAACTTTTGCTATGTGGGCACATTTGTTTAGCGATGATATACTGCAATGGGGAAATCATTTAATGTCAGGAGGATCGCAGGCGGCTGGCATGGATTTGATCGAAGGCCTTTAGAAGTCTTTTTAGAGTTAATATACTTGGATATTAACCAAGTAAAATATAATAACATGTTCTTCAACAATGCGTGCCTCGCTCTGGGAGGCTTATACCTCTCAATATCCTTACAATACATAGCTGCTGCGCCTCCGCGAAGCAGCTGGGGTACTATGATGAACCCCTTCGTCGCTGTTTCTGTCTCTGCCGGCATGGCTATTGAAGAAGCTTCATCGCCGACTATCACCGCCTGGGATACCTCACCAGAACAGTCAGAGCTACCAAAGCTTACACAGAGCACCAAAACATCTCACAGCTGTAATAATATCTTTTGTTTTCCGATATCACCCTGGCCAGAATCGGAAGCTCAGCCAACATCAACATCAACACCAATCTCAGCTGTAAGTGCGAGTGCCTGTTTACAGAGTCGCCCTTCAGGCCAGACTGGATCCGCCATGAAGTTCAATTTCACAGACACATGCGATGGTGCCTCGGATATGGCGGAGGATTGCCGAGTAACGCTGGACTGCGACGCGTCGCAAGGTCTATATCCGACATGCGAGCGCGGGGAGTGCAAATGCTTGGCCATGGCATGTTTTCGAAGGTCAACGTGCTTGGCCTATCGCCAGTGCCGCGAATTCGACGACCACGCCTGTATAAAGGAGAGACATCATAATAGCACCGATGGCTTGGGCACCTGTGGGTGCCAGCCCCGGGTCGCGGATTGTCTCTTCCAAGAGAGTCCTCACCATTACTGCGCGATGCAGTCGAACTGCACGGAAAAGCATTTTTCACTGTATCCTGAGTTTCCGTACTGCAGCACGGGGGCTTCGCAATATCCTCGGGGAAGATGCGAATGCCGTTATTTCGATTGCTCCCGGACGGGAGATGAGAGGGATTACGAGGTATGCAAAGACTTGGTTGACTGCGGCTCAAGTCCATTAGGATCGAGGCCGTATTGTAGTCTCAAATACGGGGATGATGGCAGAGGCGCGGAAGATGGATATTGCACCTGCGGATCGTGAATTATTTGATTCAAAGAAACACCTGTTTGGGAACATCTTGGAATCGCTGTGTTGTTACGAAATTGCCGCTCCCCCCCAATTGTAGACTTTCATAGTTCAGGCAGATATTAACACCCGTCATTTATTCATTACAGTTTTACAATTCTTGAAACTAGGTACTAGGTAGTTAATCCTTTGAAACGCATTCTTCTCATTTCACGAGACTTAATAAACTGCAGGTATCTCTTCCCATTTGTTGGTATCCCGACGTGCGCCTTCCTCGAACGAACCCGTCTAAGCACTAAGTACCGGCAGGGACGTAATGAGGAAAGCACGTTCGTCAAAACTTCCCTCGACCTCTGTCTTTTCAATGTTCTTTTAAATTCAATTCAATTGATTTATATGTGGACAATCTCCTACCATACTCTAAGCCTATTTGTTCTTTCTTGAGCAACGTCTTTTGATGCACTCGCATTTTGCTTCATTGAGCTGGGCACCATCAAGACGTTCCCTTTATTTTTCAGCAAAGTACTTCAACTCCTGGCAATTCTATACATAGCCCGAGCAATATCAATCACTCAGTACGATTACGGCGACATGGGCAATCACAACCTGCAGTCGGCTGCAATTCTCAAACAACCAGACGACTACCAACACAGAATAGAAGCACGGGGAAAGGTGGTGATGCAATGCAGCATCCTTTCGCTTCCAAATCAAGCCGACGGGTGCCTACTCTGGGACAGGAGCCTCAAGAAAGGATGGTTGCCGTCTTGGTTAGAAAGCGCCGGCTCTTTCAATGATGCCATGGCACGTCATATCTTACTGAGCTCCTACGGAAAGCGAAGTAAACCCCTCCCTTTTACTATCAACACCCACCTCCTTCGCCTCATCGTGGTGCGGTATATGGGCGTCAAGACTGGCGAGGAACCGGATAGCAATTGGACGGATGCAGCCAACAGACATCACTTAGACTGCAAGCCCCTCATTGCGTGCGAATTGGCATTCCAATCCAGTTATTTCCATGTACTCATGGCAGCCACTACTTAATGAACGTGGTGCGCAACGACTCACAACTCACCAGCCAATTCTGGAGCCATTGCATGCGGCCACTCCTGGTAAAAAGCCTGGCATCATATCTATGCAGCTAGGTATGGAGATGGCTCATCCGTCATAGCCAACTAGCGTCTCCAGATCTGCGACTAGCCCGGCTTGCGAGATGCGCTCATCAAAAGATCACTTTCGACGTGTATTCAAATGAGGCGCTGGATTGGAGCTGGTTAATCCATTTATTACCCCGCCGCTAACTCTTGCGAAGCTTTTGTCTCAGATGACGACGGCGTCTTCCAATCGCCATGATCAGGAACTAAGAGCGCCACACGTTTATCGCCATCCAAAGCTTGCTGGATGTCGGCGGACATGACGGGAGCAGGATGGAGGGGAAGCTTAAGCTGCTACAGTTGGTCAGGTTGTTACGAGGTCTATCTCACGAAAGAAAAGCTGATTGGGTCCAGAAGAAACGGGAAATCAGCAAAAATGATATCGTTTGTGTACGAAACAAACCTTTTCTATATTTGGAGCGTCAACGTGCGTCGAAAATCGAAGCTTTATTAATTGAAGCTCCCGCAACAAGACAAGGGGAGGCCTCTAGTATGGGGCTGCCGGGCGTGGCCCGGGGGCGGGGCGCTTGGAGAAAATTGGAGATAATCATGACGAATTCAGCCATGACCAAGCTGCCTTGATTTTATGTACCTTGCAGCGTTACTGCCATGTACTTTTCCCTTCATGGAGTCGTGGTTACTGATCGGATTCTCAGTGGGACCTTCTCCGTATACCCGGTGGCGTGCGCCATGGCAGCTTTCCCAGACATTCTGAGCATCCGAATGGTTGTGAGTATGAAGAGACGAATTCCTTGGTCAGTTACCCAGTTGCAGCGCCCCCCCATCTCTTTGTATATAAAGGACTGTGAGTCGTCTCGATTTCAGCCTACCGATTTTTTAGAACTAAATCTATAATCTCACCATTACAACTACTATTAAATATTTTAATCTCTTTCTAATAAAACTACCTTTTCAAAATGTCTTGGCGTGGCGACGACAACGTGAGTTTACCACCTTCATACTTCTTCCTCGTCAGTGGGACAAGGACTAATTCACATTCCTGGTTTATAGCAGCAGCAGCAATACGGCGTAAGTTGAATATGTTAAGAATCAACGATTCTCAACAACACCTACGCTATAGTACATTCACTAACAATCAGTAGTCTGGCCGTGACAACACTGACAACTTTGGCTCCACAGGAGACCAATTCGGATCCGGAGGAGACACTTACGGCTCGGGCAATCGCCGTAACGATGATACTTCATTCGGTTCTAGTGGCCAAGGTCAATCCTTCGGCTCGGGCAACGACACCTACGGCTCCAGTGGCAACTACGGCTCCGGCAATGACACGTATGGATCTGGAAACACCGGATTAAGCAGTGACACATATGGCTCCGGAAATCGTCGTAATGATGATTCTACTTTCGGCTCCAGTGGCCGCCAAGATGACTCGTATGGCTCATCGAACACATATGGCCAAGGCGGCGACTCGTATGGTTCCTCTGGAAACCAACAATCCTCGGGCTTCGGCTCCTCTGACACCTCTGGAAACACGCGTCAAGGCGGCGGCGGCCAAGGTCTGTTTGAGAAGGTGAAGGATAAGATGCACATGGGAAGCGGCCGGAACCAAGGCGGCGATAACTACTAGGCAGTAGAGATTGCATGTAATGGATTAAGTCAAATGATGTTGATGTAATAGTTTTGATTTGATAATCACACATCAGAATGAATGTGAAACGCAGGACATTGGATATTTGTGCTCTTAAGGGCAATGAAAACCGAAAAGGGACAAACAAAGAACAATTATATGAAGAAGGCGGCTACAAACTATCTACTGTCTTATCGTCTACGTTGAAAGCCTTTCTATCTTGACCAGTAATGCTCCGTCTGTTGCAGCTCCCTTCGTATTCCTCAAATGGACAAATCTATACCCCTGGCCAAGACGATCGAGGCGCACACACGCCCACGCCGCTAGTTCATCCCTGCCAATCTCATCATCTCGTATCGTAAATCTCACAAACGTAAGTTCTTCGACCACCCCAGGAACGCCCTTGAACTCAAGCTTCTCCGCGCCTAGGTCAACGTCACAGCCTTTGTACGTCTTGGTGCGGACCTTGTACTCGCTCTCATGGACGTGGCCATCGCTCTCTGCGTGACTATTTTTGGAGCCTTCCACGTGGAGTTCGACTTTGATGTACGGCTTAAAGCCCTTGGCGGACTTGTCGCCTGGTGGGAGGGGGATGTTTTGGGCGGAAAGGAAGGTGAAGGCGAGGGATACGGGCTTGCGGGTGATGGTGATGGGTTTGGAAGCATCTTCCTCCTTCGATGTGAGCGAAGGGCGGTATCCTAGGAGATTATGTTGGTTAGCAGGTGGAAGTCGTGCAAGTAAAGCTGGAGTAAAATGGGGTGGTTAAGCTTTTACCCTCTGGTTTTAGGACATAGCCGCTTGTTCCTACAAACATGCCTTCGTTCAGCATCATGCCTTGGTCAGTTTCTTGCCAATTCAAGGCGATAATCTGAGCACCGCCGCCCCAGAAAATGGACGGGTTCAAGTTGGAAGATCCAATTCGGAATCCTGATGGATAAGCCCTCAAGAAATATCGCTTGTTGTGATTGAAGAGAGTTGTCCACTGCTTTTCATGGTACTCGATGAACTTCTTCTCGGATATCGAGAACATGTGCGTGGGCATCGTAGCTTCTGGTTGCGTCCAATTCTTGAATGTCACTCCCTGGGTGTAGATTGCAAGGCGGGCGAGCTCTTGGATCGTCTTGGCGGGCTTTGGCTGTGCGCCGCTGGGCGTTGGGACCTGTTCGCTCCGTATGGTGTCGACCTTATCAAGGGGCGTACCGGCTGGGACGTATTTGGTCTTGATGAGAATCTTGCGTCTCAGGTCGTGGGGGCTGGGCAGCGCCTCGACATCACAGTCTGGGTCGGTCACTAGGAGACCATCCCAGACCTCCTTCATGATGTCCACCATGACGATCTGCTGTTTGGGACTGCAGTGGACTTCCAGGCTCACAATCAGCGGCATTTCTGAGACGACGAATGCGCTCTCTCGAATAGCAACACAAACATCCCGGAAAGGAACGTCCTTTGTGAGTGTGTGTCCGTGGAGGACTCTCGGCTCTGCCGCGGAGGGTGAATCTGACTTTCTCTTCACGGCCTCCTCTATCTCTGCCACCTTCTCGGTTGCCTTCTCTTCCATCTTGTCGATTTTCTTGCTAATGTTGATCTTCTCCATCTTGCTTTTCAGCTGGTCCCCCCAGCTAGACTTTGCCTTGTCCTTGTGCTCCTTCTTCTTCTTTTTGAGCTCTGCCTTTTTTGCCGCTGCTTCATCATCGCTCGTCTCGCTGTCTGATGACGAAGTCTCTGCGTCGCTCTCATCGCCATCCCAGACGTCGATTTCGACGCAGCGACACCCTCTCAGCAGCACGTTGGTGTAAGCGCCGGTGGTACTATTACTCGACAGCTGGTTGCCCGTCAGATACGTATTGTGACTGGAGCTGATGTAGTAGCTGGCCAGCGGCCATGAAAAGTCCTCATTCTTCATTGGCAAGATGGCGTCGCTCAATGAAGAAGTCATGTAGGCAAGGAAGCCGTTGAGATCGAGTTCGGGGGCATTGAGTAGCGCATCCGAAGTTGCAGGCGTTGTGCCATTGCCCTGGACTTTTTGCGAAAAGACTCTGACCTGATCACTTGTCCACTTTCCTTCGGGGGTGGCGTGAGACTCGAAAAGGCGCTTTAGATAGGCGAGCGAGGTGCTGCTGAGAGCTTGGATTGTCCGTTTGGCTGGGACAGAACCGCCGCCAGATTGGAGCGAGGCGTTGGCGGCCTCATCTGCAGTAGCCATGGTGGATGTAGAAGAAGGAAGAGTGAGTGAGTGAGTGAAAGTGAAAGCAAGACTAAAGCTGAGGGAAAAAGTGAGAGTGGCTTTAGTGGTCTGAAGTGAACAACGATCAAGAATATGAGATGAGATGATGCTTCTCTGTTGTGGGATATAGCAGAATAACAGCTGACGCCTTTGAGAATAACCGCAGGGGCACTAAGAATCCGAGCCAAGAGGAAGCAGAGGTTCTAGACCACTTTCCCCTAAGCCGTGAAAGTCTGCCTGCTACCCTGCAGTGACGAAACAAATGAATCTCCAATCACAGATTATCGTCGCAAACCGTCTTACGCAAACAAAGGAAAAAAGAGCTGAATCGCTGCAGATGAAACTGTGGCTCAGCTTCTGCATAGCCCAAGGAGAAGCCCCTCTATAGAGACTAGGTGGAGTCGCATGTCGAAAAACCGCTGACATGAATTGAGGGGCTTAGCTTTGATAGGTTGACAATCCCCTATTCAAATGGATAGACGAGTGACATTGTGTCTCAGAGTTGCTTTAAATTCCAAAAAAATTGGGTATGTTAACTATATTAATTATATATCTCATTCACTTACATAAACGAATCATATACGTTGAAAGTACCAACGCCAACACGTCGTACAAAGCTCCCTTGACGTCGTGACGTGGCGATGGCGGATCAGATAGCGTGGGTAGTGTCCGTCAACTGCATCTACCAAGAGCCAATGAGCTATCTACTGTATGAATACCACATTTATTATTAGATTCCATACCCAAAACGGTACAGCAGATAAACGGTATTAGATATGCTATGCTACATATTCTAACCTATATATGCATTCACATGCGCACGCATCCGTCACATATTCATCTTCTCTTCTCTTTCGACGATTCAGATCTATGCTTGTCGAGAAATTCTTCCATGTCGACATGAATCCTCATCCCCTTCGATGTCATCGTATTATACACCGCTTTGAGTTCATCAGACTCCATATCGCGAATCAGGGTCACGAAGGCTTCCATAATGACTTCCTTCGACCCAGGGCAGTGCCTCAAAGCTCTGTAAAACACATCCTTTGCCTTAGCACGTAGCTGCTTCTGAGCATAACAGAAGCGAATGTAGGATGTCCACAACACAGAACTATTCTGGCAAACGTCGCTTGCCAGAGCATGCTCAAATGCAGCTTTTATCGTGTTGGTGTTGCCGTGTGTAAGCTCGTGTTGAATGACAAACATGCGGCTACTAATGCAGTCATGCTCTTTCACTAAAATCTGGTCATACAAGAGGTCACGCGTCTCATCAATGACACGGAGGCTCGCATCTGCCCACTCAAACATGGAGATAAAAACTGTGTTCTGCGGGAAGTGGTGAATGAAAGTTGAGAGCTTCTCTCGTAGGTACACTTTCCTGAAGGGTCTATTTGTAGCAGTTAGCTTCATACTTGACGACGATTTTGTATTAATGATGCAGATGAGCACATACCCTTTTGATGCATGTAGGTATAAAAGTTGTGCAGCAAACTGAAAAATACGCTCGTGAGCTTTGGCACCGACTTGATCGTGAGATTGGAATTCTCGAGAAATCGCGTCAACTGTGTTCATTGCTGCTGCAATATTGCCTTGTGATGCTGATGTTGGCTCTTCATTCCCCGAAGCTGTGAGGTACGACAGTAAGATCATGCATTCCGCAAGTGTGCTCGCTCCAACAGAATCTTCACCTGTTAGATATTGATGGAAATCTGAGGTGAATGTTTGATGGGACTTGAGAAGTGCAGTACTGCCAACTTCAGGAACATCTGTTCCAATCACCTTCGGGGTGTCGTCCACTGATGAACAGAGCCGCAGCTTTGCCAAGCCGATATTTCCCTCCTCAAACTCCATCCAGGCCCAGGTTCTATAAAACAAGAATTTGTACCATTTTTCAGACAGCTAAAGGCAGAATTAGCTGAATTGTTCTTATCAAAAATTTCAATAGCTTAATACTTACCGAAGGTGATTCAATCGCGGCCCTCAACACTTTACTCGCCACGTTTGGATCATTGGCGAACTCGCAAAGGGCATAAGCATTATATAGCTCAGAATTAGCAGGGTATTGTTTGAGAAGTGCTTTAGCAGGCCTCTTGATGTTAGTAGGCTCATTAGAAAACGCTACTGCAAGGTAATATTGAGCTAGCTTTTCTATTCCGCCGCTGTGAACGAGCTGCTTTAGTGCCTCTAATACCCAGACCGGATGGACTGTAGGATTTTGTGACTTCGTGGTAATATACTGATACCACTTCAAGCCGCTAAATAGCAAAGAAGGAGAGGTGGCCGCCTTTACACCCGTATCAAACCGAGGTTCGATTCTCTGCCAATTGTCTGGATCATCATTGTGCTTAACCGGCTGTAAGTCGAATTTGATAAGGGATGATGATATAAACTGGTCATCATAAGCTGCTTCAGTCCAATTGCTCGCTCTAAATGCCGGTGGGAAGCCGACGAAGAGCAAAAATGCGTCAATAAGCTGACTTGAAACCTCTGCTAGAAACGAAGATGGTATCAAAAAGAGAAAAGGCCTAATATCAGAGTACATCACGACTCTGAATGGGTCATCGTCAGTTCCGTCATCCATTGTTCTCGCTGGCATCTTAGCCTCTTGCGAATGAGATTGCTCCAGGTAAGCCCAAGCTTTGTAGACATCTCGCGATGAAGACAAGTCAATTGAGCGTGCCTTTACTGGCTCTGCCGCATCTCCGGCGCCTTCAGTCTCGACGTAATGTCGAAAGCCTTTTGCGCCAGTGTCTCCTATGCGAGGAACTTCGCTTTCCCAGAAATCGTTGAAAGACTCCAGTGCGGATTGCTCGTCCTCGACGGAAAGTGGTCTAAAGAGGTTAAACTCTAAGAGGCCCTGCCAGGCTGCAACCGCAAGTTCTTTGTAGCCGGCATCATGAACGAAGCGAGTAGCCCTCAAAAATACAAATATGGCTTCTTGTATGGCTTCTTTTGGCTGGTCTGATGTAAGACGAGACAAAGCAAAGCGTAACCGATCCAGAAGCACTTTTTTTATGTCTTCATATTGAAATGTTGCAATATTCGAAGTCAAAAAGTCGAGATGTGTTTTCCACAAGAGAAAATCGCTGTCTTCATCTTTCATCACATCTGACCATTTCTTAGCAGTTGTTTTGCTAGTCCACACTTTGACACCCTCTCGCATCAAGGGAATAAGAACGCGTCTGCGATCTTCCGCGTTTTTGACGTTTCCAAGAGCTGATTCAAGCATGGATACTTTAATCTCTGCGAAGCTATGGGCTTCGCTTTCTAGTATCGTATGGTCAAAATCTTCACCAGCCCTGAGCAAGACGTCCTGATGATTTACAAGCTCAAGCCAAGCATCAATGTCATCTGGAGAGTCCTTGACTCGTTTGCTCAGCTGGATGGATTTTTGTTTAAGCGGATTGTTTAGATCTGTTGCTAGAATGTTGGTTAACATGTCGGAATCTTCATCTGAGCCACTGTCTGAGTATTGCCGTGGCTTTGCTTTGCCTTCAATAGACCGATATGAGGGTTGTTCGTCATCTGAAGATTGATCATCCAATTGGACTCGCTTTCGTTTTCTGGATGAACTTAATGGTATGTACCCCTCGGCTTCATCTATGGCATCCAAATTTGCATTCCGAGTGGCGGCCCTAATCGGCCTGGATGTCACCTTTGGCAACTTTGATCGGAGCCCATCCCTGCCTTGAAAAGTAGAAAATCCTTCTCCAGGCATGCGAAGACTAAACTGGTTTCTTGGCCCATCACGGTGGATTACTAGGCGGCCAACCGTACCAAGGACCCTGCCGCCCCCATGGCGACGGTAGGCAGGTATCTGAGATTTATCAATCCCCCCGTATTTTATAATCAGGGGGTCGCCTTTTGTATCGATCATGAAAAGACCTGGTACGCCCTCTAACTTGGAAGCAGGCTTCGGCTTTTGCTTTTCGATTCGATCAGCAGTTTTCTCACGACTTCGAGATCTTCGACGACCACCGTCACGATCTCTGCGGCGGCGAGGCTCATGGCCACTGCGCCTGGAACCACGGTCCTCGTCAGTCCGGCGACTACTTGGTCTCTCGTCATCACGGCTCTGCTTCTTGCGGCGTATTTCATGATGCCCGTCCAGTGTTTTAGATTCCTCTTTGCTGGATTCCTTCGATTTGAAAGACGAGAATTTTGGCACGCTAAGCTTTATGTCCTGCCCGTCTTGCGAGGCCATCTTTGATGAAGCTCAACCTGGTTTGTGAAAAATCAACATGGCGCTGATTCACCGCAAGCATACAACTGATGGCTCATAAGATTCTCCGTATGTGAATGAATATGACGTTGGAATGGCTGCGCTAATGCAGTGTCGAATGCAAGTTATAAGAAGCTCAGTCAAATTAGGCATATAAAGGTACTTAAAGCTTCGTACCTTCATGTCGCGTATCAATCCACCAGCAGGGCACGTGATAGTGCTATAAATACATTGTTGGTGCACCTAATGCCTAAATCGTTTAGCTACAGCGATTGGGCCCACCAGAGCTATAGCAGTATCGGGCCACGACCAAAACACTAAAACCTCCGTTGAACCGCATCGTCGTCAGCACCAGCAATAAGAATAATCGGGGCGCATGAAACCTAATTGCTAGCCAACACGGGGCAATTGAGCTGTCAGCTCTTATAATCTTGCAGAATAACATTCATTCTCGCTTCAACTTCTCCCTTTCATCCCTTTCATCCCCTCATCGCTTCGGGTCATGCCCGCAGACAGCCTGCTGAATCAGTTGGTCTGGATCTTGCCTGCTAGTATAACCATTGCCATTGGCATCGTCACCATCATGGGTTTTTTCGGCGGAAACCAGATGCCTGTTGAAGGCAAGGTCAGTATTCGGTCTTTGTTGTCTTGATCTTTTTGATGACTTCATGTAATTAAATGGCATGGTTAATGATGAAAACCTGAGCTTTGATGCAGACCGTCCTGATCACGGGAGCTTCAGAAGGCATGGGCCTATCAGCCGCGAAGATGCTGTCCTTCAAGGGCGCCAACGTTGTCCTTATTTCTCGCAGCGTCGATAAGCTCGAAGAAGCTCTCAAGATTGTCAAGGTATGCTCCTGCAATGCATGCGTTCCTCTATATACATCGTCCGACTGACATGGTCTTTCTAGGCTGCCGCCAAAGACAAGAGTAAGCAGCGATTCCACTACATTGCTGCCGATGTCTCTGCGCCGTCCTACGCTACTTCCCTCCTTGCTGAGGTTCGGGAATGGAACAATGGCAATCCTCCTGACATTGTCTGGTGTATCGCCGGAATGTCTACTCCGGAACTGTTTGTCGACATGGATATGTCATCTCTACGCCGCCAGATGGACGTCAACTTCTACGGCACAGCTGAAATGTCTCACGCCATCCTCAAGGAATGGCTGGCAGTCGATGCTCCTGTAGAGAAAGAGGCTAAGCATCTCATCATGACTGGTAGTGTCCTGGCGCTGTATACCATCCCTGGCTACGCACCCTACTCTCCTTCCAAGTGGGCGATGCGAGGCTTGGCGGATACCATATCCCAAGAGGTGATGATGTACCCGCAGAACGTCAAAGTCCACATGGTCTTCCCTGGAACTATTCTTTCGCCTGGATATGCCCGTGAGATTCTCACCACGCCTGAGATCACCACAATCCTGGAATCTAGCGACCCCCAACAGACTCCCGATCAAGTCGCAGATGCTGCAATCAAGGGACTGGAGCGCGGTGAATATTTCGTTACTGTGGCATGGCTTGGTGCGCTTATGAAATGGGGCATGCTTGGCGGTTCGTTCCGTAATAACTGGTTTGTTGATACCATCATGGCATGGATTGTTAATTTCCTTTGGATATTTATTCAGCCTGATCTTCATGGAAAGATCAGGAAGTATGGCAAGACACATGGTCATCCTAGCAAGGCCAAGCAGGAACGTCAGGAACGTCAAACGTAAATCGATTTGTTTTTTCCTTTTTGGGTCTTTTCTCCTTCTTCTTTTTTTTTTTTCGCACAACTTGATAGTACAGACACGTCCACATGAGTTGTATGCATGCATATATACAATTTGAGTGCCTAGACTTATATCCTAATAGTTAATTCTATATACCGTATGCCCAGTGCATTATACGCCGCTCCATTTGCCGAATTTGACATATCTCTTGAACATTTCTCTCAGGATAGCTCTTCCGCTAGCATCCATAGCGTCATTAAGAATCTTCCTCACTTCAGGCGGCGTCACGTCGAAGATCGAATTCATTGCTGGCTCAAGAGCCTCTCGTACCTCCCTCGGCACATCGGCCTCAAGCTGCAGCTTCACGTACTGCATCAACACCATGTAGACGTGCCAGCCGGCAGAGCGTTTGGCTGCGTCCGTTGCTGAGTCCAAGGCGTTCTGATGCTGTGAACGGGAAACGGCTCCTGCGGTAGGCTCACATATGAAGGTAATGAGCCGGCCGTACAGGCGGGCCATTGACTCTTGCGTCGTGCCATCTCCAGTGCTCTTCGGTTGTTGGATGATTAGGCTGTTAAGCAAAGCTTGTACAGTAGTCAGCAGCAAGTGGTGGTGGCCTTCCAATCGTAAGCGGTGCTTCTTGATAACTGTTCCGACTAATTTGCACAGCCAAGTAAACGACACCGTTGGTCCAGTTGTGGGCTTCGCTGAAGCCAAGTCGTTGACAGTACTCAGGGTTACTTCAATATTCCACTGTCCCATGGCCTGAGGCTTCTTTTCAAGAAGAGTCTGGATAGTTTGGCATATATAGCCTGCATTTGGGGATTTCTTTAATAAGCTGAGTGTTAGCTCGCTATGAGCTGCCGATAAATCGACGCCTTCGCTTTTACCGTGTAGATCAGTGCGTTCTGGTATATCCGTTAGCCCAATTCTTTCCAACAATTTTTTCTTCAGAATACATACCAATCAGGTGGCCAACGACTTGACCGATGGCAAGAGCCTGGCCATCAGTATCGCAGCCCCCCGTGAAGTCACTAATTAACATTTGAAGGTAGCGTGACACTTCGGCCACGTTAGCTTTAGCAATTATAGATGCAACATACTCTCTTAAAAGAGGCTCGCGGGTCCTTGGCGGCAGATTTGCTAGAGCAGTAAATTGAGTTGGATGAGGATCCTCCAACTCGCTCGGTAGATATGTATGAAGGAAAATCTGAATCTTCCACGCTCTCAAGTCTCCAGTAATCATTGCTTCTTTGGTCCGCTTCTCAAGCTTTTGAACAGCCGATGACTTATGCTGTGAAAGCCCTGCGGCGCTATCCATGGCCTCTGCTGCATGTACTGCTGCAAAAAGGGCTAAATCTTTTGAGTTATCATGTTTTGATAATAGCTTTTTGTTTGTAATAAACTCTCCCAAAACCGCTGCGACGTGTTGCGTCAATGCATTCTTAGCATTTTGCTGTAGCTGGCTGAGACTGGATTGGCTCTGAAGACTTGATGACCGGCTAAGTTCAACAACAAGAGCCTTTAATAGGGTTACATGTAGCGAAGGAAGGCCCAAAGGATCACTCTTCACCTCTTCTGTTGCGCATGCTTTAATGAACTCGAGACCTTTTGAGAAATATTTCGTACTTCGCTCATCAAAATTGTCCGACATTTGCCTTATAATCGTTGCTGACATTGCAAAATACCTCTCAACAAGTTCAAGCAGTGTCTCATCATCCAATGTTTCTTCAAACGAGAGGCTTGAAATGGCATCGGCAAAATCAACAAGATTAGAAAACTGCATCTCCTCATGAAAGGTTGGTCGCGTCATCATCTTGGTCGTCAGGTCGAGAACCAACTTCCAGCCTTCCAACGACACGCGCTTCGGAGAATTGACCATCTTTTCTCTCCTTTTTTCCAAGATACTCATGATCTGCTCACGTTGTGTGCGGTTAAAGGCTTCCGACGGTACGCTGCATAACGTCCGGATCCACAGTTGTCCATATTCTCCAGGCCACCCTTTCTCCTTCTCAGACTCAGAAAGGGCCGTGATTAGACGGTCGAGAAGCTTTCTCGAAAGTTTCGCGTCATTGAGATTCGTGTCATTGCTTAGAAGAGCACTCCACAGCGCATGCAGTCCAGGTGGGCTGACGTTCTTTGTAGATGATACTGAATCAAGCAACGGTATGTCGTCTACTTTTCTAAAGTATAGCCGATAGAAGCGACTGGAGCCCCGAATATACCAAGCCAGGTACTGTTGTAACGAAAGGTCTTCGTCAAATTCTGATGCTGCCTCCAAGTCAAGAGAGGTTGATAATTTCGCAAAGTCCAAGATGTCATATGACGCTAGTTCTTCTACTAAGCGTTGCGTGAATTTCTCTATAAACTTGGCTGGCTCATTAGCAGACTCTTTCTCTTGACTCATCGAATCCCAAGCCTGGTAGCAGCACTTGACAGCTTCGAATGTTTCAGCTGACTTAACAGTCCCTTTTCGGAGGAGCTTTGATATCTGATCCTTCACTTGCGCCCAGACATTGTTCCGCTCTTCGGGGGAGGCTGACGAGATTGTCTTAGACACAACTCTCCATTTTAAAGCCGATTTCGAGGAGCTTTTTAACGGAGAAACTAGGTCGAATAGCTTCAGGCCGACTGCATCAACAAATGACTCGCCATGCAATCCTTCAGCAATGATACTCGTAAAGACACACAGAGACTGGGGGGATGAGCCAGACTCTTGTTCCTTCAGCCACTCGATGAGAACAACAAGCTGCTGCGGTGATAGTTCGGATTCTATCAAAGACGAAATCGAGTGGCGCTGATGTCCTTTCCGTCCAATGTCGAACCAAGGGCTGCTTGAGACTACCTTTTGTTTCTCCGCCAGACAGAGCTGAGAGAACCATAGTCGCAAAAATCCAGATAGGTCTCTACGGGTCTGGAAGCTTTTCTTTATGGCAGCAATGAGCTTCAGTTGATCTTTGTGGCTATGCGAATCAGAGGCTTGGCCAATGCTTTGTACGCAGATCTCATTCAAAAGCGCGGTGCCTTCTTCAGACATTTGAAAGATATCCGGGTTGCATGTAGCAGCATTCGCAAGTAGACTCCAGTCGATTTCCGTTCCCATACCATAATCGCGACATACTTGACGCAAATCTCCTGCATCAATGGATAGCGACTTTCCTATGGCCTGTGCCAATACCTGCTTCATCAGGATATTCCGGTCTGCCTTTGGACGAACCTGCTCCTCCACAGCTTTAAATATCCGATCCATCCACATTGTATTGATCCTACGCATATCGCTTTCAGTCGAAAGATCAGGGATTCCGGCAGCCAAAAAGTATAGTACCGGAGCAGACGTTCTCGTTTTGTCATTTGATACATCAAGCGCCTTCATGATGATCTCAAAATCTTGACGATTCCAGAAATATGTTCGGGCAGGGAGAATGAAATTTCGGTGCATAAACTTTTGAAGATCTGCACTCCATCGGGTAGCCAAGGCTTCGTTGACAGTAGGTGTTTGGCCTTGTATGGAAGGCTCTACCTTTTTTAAGATTGCAGATGCTGGCCTGAAGAGATGAATCGCAATCTCTAGGGCGTCCTTTTCTCCTTGTAAATGGAGATCCCATATCCTAGAGACAGTTACAATCCAGTCTTCCTTGCCTTCGATCTCGTCACAGATATCGCTAGCCAGTAGTAGAAGGCAAACTATGAAGAATGAAGAGGCTAATGTCGCAGATTCGAGAGCAGATGTACTGAAGAGAGATTTGATATGTTCAGCTCCAATCCTATCGCGTGATCCAACGCCGCCGGTTCCCAGCCGCCCAAGCAGAGATTTCAGAGCCTTGAAGACGGCCTGACCAGTCGCTAGACAGCCTTCTAAACCTTTCAGTTCGTCCAAGGCGTAGCGTGGAGCTAGCGATCTCTTTCTTTTCGGACTTGAGGAACCAGGCTCTTCGCTGGGATTTGATGCCTCCTTCAAAGTCTGCTGCAGGACGGCCACAAATTTCCTATCCGCCAGAGATTTGGCAAGCGAGAAGAGCGGAATCTTTTGAAACACAAAATCCATAATCGTCCAGGTCAATGGGTAACGCCGTATGGTCTCCGCCTCAGGTGAGTTTCCGTTCATAGATTTGAGCAGCCACCTCAGCGCGCTCTCTTCTGCCGCGTGGAATTGGTGATCCGATGACTCTGTAAGGCTGTTCCACAGCTCCTGGAGATTCTTTCCATTTTCGACAGACCCCTTCTGGTCAAGACCTCGTACGGTCTTGACAAGATCCAACTTTCCCTGCTCAGCGCATGTGAGCTTTACTTCATCTCAACGCGACCAATTATAAGGTGGGAAAAATCTTACCATTATCAGAAAAGACAAAAATCAAGAAAACATTAAGAAAAGGAAGTGAAAGAAGCAACGATTGGATGATAGCCGTCTTGAATTGACCACAGCTATCTCAATACTTTTAAAAGAAAAATCTGTACATGGCAGGAATAAAATTGTATAAGCTCCAGCCGTCACTGTCGCAGCTCCAAAATTCCGAAAAATAAAAATTCTGCCGCGATCTCCACCCCGATTTGGCAATCACCTCTCACCGCCCTTCAAGTCCAAGACCGTGATGCGGCCGGCCGATTTTCGTGCAGCTTGACATCACTGTATCCAAAGCTTTTTCTTCCCTTTCCCAAGACCCCCGTTTGGCCCTGACGTCAATTGCACTTCGCACGTAAGTATAGCTTCGCAGCTAATCGCTCTACATTCAACATCTCACGCCATCGACCGCAGAAACGTCCGCCACCATGTCCGAGACCACCGCCCCTCGCTCCCCAAGCGCCATTTCCCGGCCTGTTAGCGAAGCGCTTCTCAACGAGAAGGTACCGAGCCGAGCTTAGCCCAGACAAGATTCCAATTCTCCAGCGTGTTTTGTTTACTAATTGATTCTTGTTGAAATCAACCACAGTGGGATCGCTGCCTCTCCAACCTCCTCGTCAAGTCCACTCTCGGTCTCGGATTCGGCGTCGTCTTCTCCGTCCTCCTGTTTAAGCGAAGAGCCTGGCCCGCCTACCTGGGTGCCGGCTTTGGTGCTGGACGAGCCTACGAAGAGTGCAACTTCAACCTGAAGCAGGCTGCCCGAGACCTGAAGAAGCCCTCAGCATAAATGGAATAAGACAGGAGAAGAAAAAAAAGGTGGAAAGCCGTGGGGTGGGAGAAGACAATGGTGGAATGGAGAAGAAAAGAAAAATCTCAGCAATGTATAAATTGCACATGTCGAAGAAATAGAAACATGGCACCGGCTGATGAGGCATAGAGCTTGTATCACGAGCTTCTGGTTGGGCCACACCAAAAATTCTGGCGACAATTCGAAATTCACTAGTTTTCATATTGTGGTTTTTAACTATGTACAACAATTTTTTATTCAAACGATCCCGATCCCTAGAACGCCAGCTCCATGACAAGTGAACACCAAAAGCTCAATATCCCGAAGACAGGTTCATAAATCCACGAATCGATCGCTATTTGCTCGTGCCTGTTTTTTGTCAAGCTATTTCCAAGCAACATCATATGCTATGCGGGCTAATCATTCCTTCCTTTTTTTTCTTCTCTCATTCATGTTTGTCGTCCCGTCTCTGAGCTAAGAGGGGGTTTGTTTTCTTTCCCCTTCATAAGCTTGCACACGCCAATTTTAACGCCAATCATCAATGCGAGGGCCTTTGCAAAACGCCAGTCAAATGCATGGAGCTGTTATAGCTCCTAATGTTTCGATTTAATCTCTCCATCCCTGCTGAAGAGATGGTCCGTTGGGTAGGGAATTGCGTTGAAGTGTCGAATATTGCAATAAGAGTAAAAATAATTCATCCACAGGTAAGTGGTCGTGGTCTTTTTTGGCCCTTTGGCTCAGTAGATGGCACCTCTGTATCGAGGTCGGCCTCTCCCGAAGCAGTGCGGTCGAGTCTTATACGACTCGGCACTTACTCTCAGCTTCCGGGACTGGCTGTAGAGATCAAGATTGAAGAGAATAATGGCACCAAGCACGGACACTAGGAAAAACACCTCGGCGGCGAGAAGGACAATCTCAAGCCTGATGTCTTCCAAAGAACGCTGGAACTGGGCTTCAGACATTGTGCTGGTGGTGTTTGTGTGTTGATGGAGCTTGTGATGACGCCGGTGCCCAAACAGTCGGTGTGTACATGGAACGGCCTCAGATGGAGCACCGGGGGGATGGTATGCTTATCAGCTGGGGGAGCTTCTGCGAGTGGGAAGTGTCGGGAGGGGTACAAGGCGGTAAGAAAATAAAGAGGATGAGCTCGTAAGACAAATGCGTCGAGGTGCAGAGGGATATGCAAGAGAATGAGGCCGGTTTATACGTGGTTGTTATATATAGGTGTATGTTTACTCTAGGGCGTACCTATTAGGTAGGGATGCCAGGCGGTTTTCTTTGACGCAAATCATAACCCCACGACCAGCTGCAGACGGACAGACAGCGCAGCACGGCACAGCATAGCACGGCACAGCACAGCACAGCAAACAGCACAGCACAGCGCAGCGGTGGCGCGTCCGTCGAGCCCGTGATGCGGCGGGCAGCAAATGAGTGAATAATGTCAATCTGCAGCGGCGGGGACCATGCATGGACATGCATATTCGTGCCCTCTTCGCCTGCCAGACGTTCGCATCGCGGCCCAAAGGACAAGAGCGACAACTGTCCACGCGACCTCATGCAGCCGTTAACCTTTGGCCGGCGCCTCGGCCATCGTCGCCAGGCTACGGACTAATTAAACGCTGCATTTCTGCAGCGCGCGCGCCTTTGGGCAGCGGTGGATTACGCAGAAACAGCAGGTTTTTATCATGTGTCAAGAGCAGGGGTGGCTGCATTCTCCTCCCCTCCAGAGGAGCCCCGGAAGAAGGCTTCGCTTGCGGATAGAAGACGAAGAAGAAAAAATCCTCATGAATCAGTCAAGAGGGTGGGAAGCAATAGACTAAGAAGCACTATGTATGTATGAGAGAGAGCATGTGGGAAGAACCACCAAGACGGTAAGACGAAAATAGTCGCAGCTTGCCGTCATGTTTTTAGGCAGAAGAAGAATCCATTTCCATCTAGCACGCAAATATGACCCAAAGCAAGTAAATGAATCGCTCTAGGTTGATTAATCGTGCGAATAAAAAGTGTATCGAAGAAAGGAAAGAAAAAAAAAAAGTTCACAGGCACGCGACGGCCCGTCTATACCTACTAGCAGACACAATCGATGGATATCACGTGACAAATCAGGGTCTCCGAGCTTTTTCATCATAAAACGCTCCGCTTTTGCAAGCAAGTCACAAATTTTCTCAACCTTGCATCAGCACTGGCACATGCTCGATGCAGGCAGCAAAAAGCTCGAGAAGCTGCCCGCAATGGCGCGGCTATTCTCGACTCGACTGCACAATGATCTCATGGCCTTCTGTATCCTACGCCTGTTGTAGGCAGATGTCACTGCCTGAGATCAATTGATTGGTAAGTTTGGAGAGGACCTTTTGTTGTGCGCCTCTCTTTGCCGTGCTCTTGATGCGTTATGTACCCACGATTTGCCTACACCTCGCCGCTTTTCAATGCGCAAGCGTGTCAACTACTTTTTTATCGTTCGATGTGGGAGATGAAACCAGCGGTCTAGACAACCAGTCTGTTCCACCCTGATACCATTGAGAAAATGTGTGGCATCGGGACTAAAACCAGACAAACATATCATACTGTAGCCTTTGTGAGCTTGCCGTGACTGCATACTTTGAAATTGCCTGCTGTATCAAAGTATCTACCGTACATGTACGGATATAATATGTGTATTCATACAAGATCTGATATAACTCCGTATAACCCAAATATCAAATACCCTGCTGCCGCTTGTACTATGTCATCAAATGCCCATTATCTACCTATAAAAACGGATATTTATGAAAAAGCAATAGAAATCAGGTCATATCTTGCTTGCAAAGATTACGCTTTCGTTAGTAAATGATAGCAAAAACTTGGCCACCAGGCGCCCAGTGTAAAGGAACGATGTATCCATAGGATATGGATGCTCCTCTCGGTGGAGCAAGAGCTCATCATCAGCGAGAAACTGCATGTCTTGCCCTGCAGCAACTGTTAGTAGTAGTCTGGTATGGGGTCATCCAGCAGATGGTGGGAAACTCACAGTCTTCCCCATGGAAAAGCTCTCTCAGGTTCTGCACCATTTCCACCGCCGCAGGGTCAAGTTCACCCTGTTCAAGGAAGGCGTCGTCGAATAAGGGGTTGAAGCTCCTTGTATTTGCATCCTTTGTATGAGTCTGGTAGAGGTGGTGGAATTGATATGCAAACTGCTTGAACGGCATGTTCTCCAGCTCCTTGCAGGTATCTTGTGCAAGTGATCTCTTGTATTTGGGAGAATACTTATTCCTCTGATCAATCTCATTCTGTGATACGACAAAGTTATCCGCAGCCGTCTCAACAGCTTCCATGAAGAGGCAAAGAACCAGGAAGGACGCAAGGCACGGTGCCCATTCTCGTCGGAGCTTGGGTTTGAGTGACTTTGAGAAGAGCTCAAAGAGGGACTGCATATCGCGTAAAATGAGCTCGTCAACAAGGGACTTGATTTGCCGGGCAAGTACTCGGGGAGTGACCCATGGGGTGTTCTGAGGTACAAGGCCCGTTGGCTGTAGAGAGATGATGGACTGGCGGGTTAGGCAGAGATGCCGTGTCATGACATAATGCATGGTATAGATCGAAAGAGCTCGCTTGACCATCGTGGACTGTTCTTCCCGTCAGGTTTTTCCGTTTCTCCTTGTTGTAACATCACTCGACTTACATCTGACTGTTTTGCAAAGTTTTGTACAATTGCTAGAATCTTGTTAGGAAGCCTGGTAGATCTGAATGAGTCCGTCAACTGATCTGCAAGCAACGGCTCATTCACTAGAGCTTGAATGTATCCCTTGGTCAACTTTTTCATTTCGTCTTTCTGAGGGCCTTTGTTAAATTCGATACCAATGGGAGCCGATCCCTGGGACTGGAGATCAACCTGATTCTTCTCATTACTTAGATGCCAGTGCTGTAAAACATCGCATGTCTTGGCCGTGAAGAATTTGGCTTGAAGTGTCAATGTAGTCGTAAATCGTGGGCCTGAAGAGAGCTCAACACTACAAAGCCGTTCGGATCCATCCACCGTGAAGCCGTCGACATTCTCAGTGATAAAACTAGCCATAGCATCCTTCTTGAAGTGCCCACGGATGAAATCGGGAAATAATACCGGCAGGAAATCCTGGAACTGCCAGCATACCACTTGTGGAACTGAAAGCATGAGCTTCTTGCAGTGCTTACACGGCCTCTCTTTATCACACTTGACTTTGCGGCTATGGCAACAAAAGCATGCGCCCACTCTCCGAACCTGCAGGGCGCTCTCTTTTGTCTCATTCGCAAGGGGGCCTTTCCGGCCCTTTTGCGTCGTCCTCATAGCCTCGAAGCATTCAAAGGGATTCGGCTTGCCAGCACGGGCATGAATTGTTGTCGGCGTCATAATGACAAACTTGCTGGAGGATTCGCTCTTGTTCTTCTCGACTTTGCCGCTAATCACTTTGCGCATCGTCTTTCCGGATTTGCTGCTCCCCTCGGATTTGATAGCAGGCGATTTCGGGCTCGAGGAAGAGGCGATGCTTAGTTGGCTCGGCGAAGAGATCATGTCCTCAAACACAAACTTGCTTTCGGAAGCGGCAATACTGGGACTTGACTGGTGCCATGAAGAGAGGCTGGGATCAGAGGGTAGTGATTGAAGCGCATTTCGCTGAGGCAGCGACTGCTGTACCGGACTTGTCTGGTTGATTATTGAGAATGGGTCGGCTTGGAAATCGTTCAGAAAAGGTGTTGTTAGATCTACATCTCCGTCAACATCAATGCCTTCCCAGGAATCCACGAAGTAACCCACCGTTAAGATCTTGCGGCTGAAAATCCGACGAACCAGACGGCATAAACAGATACTGCTGCGGCGTCAAAAATGCATCGTTCTGTGGAAACGCCGCGTTCACACTGCCCGTAGATCCCTCAAGAGTGCTCGGGAAAAGGTCAGAAGTTATAAACTCAGCATCCGGCTGATATGTGGTGCTGGCCGGGAGGAAGACCGTAGGGTCCATATCCACGACAGAACCAGGCGAAAGCCCGGCCTGAGGTGGTGTAGAAACATGGCCGACAATGGCGAAGCCGTTTAAACTGCCGCTTGCTGGGCTAGGAAGGAATCCTATTGAGCCCGAAGCGGATGCGCCGCTCGAATAATCAATGTATTGCCATGATTCGTCGGTGTCGCCAGTAGAATCGAAGTCGTAGACTGAGGCAGAGTGCGGGGATGCGTTCTGTGAAGTTACTGAAGCCATGATATCAACTCAAGCCTTGCCTGCCAAGGCCAATAAGTGATATCAAGATATCTGCTCCGGAGCTTCGACCGCTTGAATCTGTAGATAGCTGCTGGATCCTAGTCGACTTTAATTTCCTTGAGCAAAGTCGTTTGCAACCCGCCGCGCGTGTAGTTCCGTATTGCGCAGCGTATTTGTATTGTACAAGCAATAGCTGCGACGCTGACCTTCAAGGCTCACTCCATTTGCTCCCGCTATCGTGCCAATACGCCAGAAAATGAAACCGGCATCAGCGACAGTAATATACTACTAGTAAGACTGAAGCACAATAAAACGTCAATTTTTGAAAAAAAGACCAAACCGTTCGGTCGCAAACCCAGGCTGACGGTCGCTGTAGCTGATGCCGTTGAATCGCTGCGTCGGCACCACCAGCAGCCACTAACCGGAATAGAACACCGAACCGCCTTGCTATCAATCGGGAGCGGCACCGTCATTGGCGGTCTCTGATGGGCCCGGCAGCTCGAGTCTCGATCCAGCCACTCACAGGCCTGGGCTGAAGCACATGCATTGGCTGGTCCCAATTGGGGATATGGGCATGTGTATTTTATCCAAGCTAGATTTCACGTTCTATATTCTACATACCATTGTAGTATTAGTGGATGGATAAGTGAGGGCTTGAAAACAATGGTCTCTTTAGTCATGAGGTTGGCATATCATTACGGCTTCAGATACTGCAAAGATGGAGAGAAAATAGTCACCTGGGTATAAGTTGCTCAATAAAAATAGTACATAAAAGGGATCATATAATAGGCAGTCTTGCTGTCTATAACATTGAAGCTCTCGACACCAAACAAAGCAACGATTACCGACATCCAATCGAGACACCGAGCTGTGCCGCCAGCCTCGTGCTACGATTCAGCCTAGAGACTCCAAGGCACATCTCCGCTTATATCAAACTATCATTATCCGACATCATGCCACACTCAGAATCTTATTTTTATGTTGACATTTAATCCGCATTGATCGCCTTTGCTCCCTACAGCATATATAGACTACATACCTGGGTATATACAATGTCGTAATTTGCCAGTTAGCCCCAGCCCAGGCTATTATCTTCACCACTTGCAGATTAAAAAGGCATCTTCAACCCAAATAATTAGATATCAGTACTGAGACTCAACAGCAAATCCGCTGAAATGCTGCAGTCAATGGTTACACTACAAATTCATCTCAGTGCAACTGCCAACTTACAGTCCCTATACACAGATCTTTACTTTATACAGTTTAATTTCTGTGAGCATGTTATGAGTTCAACTGCCGTGAGCACATTATGCACGAGGCAGCACAAAGCATGCCAATTGCCCTATCCAACAACTATCCACAATTACTCATTTTCCAACGGACATCTTCAATTGCACACGCTCATTAGTCATAGCCTGTCGCCTTCCTCAGAGAATGCACAGGGTACAAAGCGCATAACTGCATAGTTCCAATTGCCGTTCCGAGCAATAACACAGCTGCCTTGCATGGCTCCATTTCCATCTCTTCCCCGCATTTCCCAACTCCCCTTTCTTAGGGTTATCTTTTCCCTATTTCCCCCTTTAACAATTGCAATACATAATATGTAGTAGCAAGGTTAATTGTCAAGATACTTAATACAGGTTAATGCAATAAGATGTATTGGGGTTTCATGCCGACTGGTCAATTGAAAGATGCCTGGTTTGTTATCAAGGCCAAGTATAGTTGCACAGCTTGTTTGCTGATGATGACTGAAAAATGAATGTCCTGTAGCTTCCAAATGCAACGGCCACCATGACTCGGGCCAAAATCGGAGGTTTGTAATAGTATAAATAGAAGAGCCAGAAATAACAGAAAACATCATAGCTAGTCCCCAATACAGCCCGTCATTTTACATTGCTCAAGCAGGCCGCCTTAGAGCATACTTTTTTGGTTTACGTGTCGTCATTATTATTCGTAATGGCGTACCATGAGTAGATATTGTAAACTGAATCCAATTAGTTAGTTATGCGTGGATAGGTATAGGAAGAGGGGAAAGGGGGTTGATGGGGGTGTAACGCACACAAATATTTATATTCTCCTATTTCCTTTTATGTCGAACGGAAAACGTAAAAAAAAAAAAATCATCAGTCATTTTCAAATTTTGCAGTCTCATAATAAACGTGATCATTAATGCCAAAAAGAGACTGGTGGAAATGGGACGAAGAAGTTTTAAGATCGGAATCGCGCGTTGGCACGCTCCTGTATCTGCTTCTCCGTTGAAACGTATAGTCGGTCGAGATAGTCCATCGCCGACGCATCTTTCAGGATTTTAGCCACCTGAATACCAGCCGAAATGAGCTGGAGGATGTTGCGATCATCTTTCAGAGGGCGGCTCTGATGCTTAGCAGCATGCCGCATCTCTAGTGAATTCTCGAGTATTGTGACAAACTGCTTGATTTGTCCGTTATATAGCACTCGAGCCGGAATGCGTCGTTTGGTAGCAAGTCTCTTTAAGAGGTAGACCCACTCAGTCCACTCTCGATCTTGTGGCCTCTCTACGGGCCTCATGTCTTGAGTTAGTGGGATTGGAAACTGGTATTTAGCCACAAAATCATAGGCGCATTGAGACAACCGGTCATTGACCTGGTTGAGAACGTTGTCTTGTTCCTGCACGTGAAGGTTGGTTGGCAGATGCGGAAGTTCTCTCTCCTGCATAGCAATAACATCTGGTGGTGGGCGCTGTAAGAATTGATGGGGGCCATCAAATTCGTCTCGATTCGACGGTCGTCGCTGCGATCGAGCTTTATTGTTTTGTTGCTTTGGCTTGTTGGTAGGGATGCCAAAGTCTAGCCCGTTGTCCAAAGAGTAGTCGGACAGACTTGGAGAGGCAATGATATCATCGACTGAGCCTGTTGGTGAATATCTGCTCTGTCCATCCCAGGCAGACGATCTGCTGCGCTTGTGAGATCCATATACCGGTCCGGGATAGATGGAATTGGAGCCGCTGTTTGCCCCGGGTGGAGAGCGAGGGACATAGGATTGCTGGGCCGACACTGGAGGATCGATTCTCGAAAAGTTTGCGTTCGGAGGCGCGGGAGGGCTATCAGCCCAGGGATAGGTGCTGGTCGTGAGGTTCATGCTTTAGTACATCATGGTAAGCTTGGCGTTCGTCAACTGATCTGTTATGAGCTTGTCTTTTCTCACCTAGAAATTGGATACAGACTGCCAGCAAGTCTGCCGCCGTTGTATGGCTCAGCGAAAAGGCTATACTCGGGTTAGTCAAATATACTTCTTTATTCTAGGCTGGAGTTGTCAAGTCGCACCTGCGAGGCGGATTCCAGTGGTTGTTGGTAGCGGAAGGCATGTTGTAAGCAAATCCAGGCTGTGCCATGTTTTCAGGGCTCATAATGCAGCGATATACGTCCGGAAATCGGTAAATAAACAGATACCAGATGCAACAAGAGCAATGAATACTTGCTTAAGAAAGAAAGAAAGAAGCAAGAGAAAAAAAAAAAAGACAGGCAGGAAAAAAATGAGATACAGATAGGTTCAAAAAAAACACTGTTAGAGGCCTGCAGAATCCGGCAAAAGTAAATCCAGCCAGCACCGTGGGCATTGATCCTATTGCAAGCAATCCAGGAGGAACTTCCAAGCTTCCAGAAGAAAAGGAAAATCCAAAGGAGAAAGTAGAATTCCGAAGGAGATGAAGGTCCTTTGGGTCTTCTCACAAGGTGAGCTATAGCTATAGGCGGTGTGTTGGACAGCTAAGGCGACCAATCCAGAATGGCCAACTTCAAGCTGGGCTGTAGCTCCCTGGCGGGTATGTAAGTTGTAGTATCAGGCACTAAATTCAGTGCGAAGGCCCGAATCGTCCTTGAGGATCCAAAATTCCAGGCAATAGAGGAATAGACGCTGCTCGTCTAGGCAAGATAGACCTGTAAGACAACTGCTTCGTCAGCCCCGGAATGGACACGCTTTATGTACTACTATGCAGAGGCAGGTAGATCAAGCTCACGCGGTAGGCTCAGCACTTAGCACTCGTTAGTCCTTGGAGCAGAGCAGGGCGGCCCCGGTCTCAGTCGATCACTAGTGATGCTCGGGTTGGCATCGAGAGGCGCGAGGAGAGGAGAAAAAAATCGACAGGCACAGCCAAGTCTCGATACGTCGAGGCCACCTGTTTCGTCCCAAGTAATCGGGCGCCTACGACTAGATCCGGGGTCAACGGGCCCGCGCTTGAGAGGTGCAAGGGGAAGCTCTTTCATACTGGTCTTGTTTCTCGCTCGCTGCTGGTGGAGCGCGGGCTGGGCTCCAGGAACGTTGTGGACGTCGGCGGAAGCCTTCGGTGGGACGAGATGCCGTATCAAGGTCAAGGGTGCGAGCCGACAGCTACCGGCTGGAATGGTGCAACCAATCTGCGACTTGCGGCAAAAGACAGGACCAGAGTGGCAAGCCCCCGAGGCTGTTTCATGACGCGGGTGATGCTCTCTAACCTGCTTTTTGGAGGAGGGAAGAGCAGAGTTGCTTCCTGGATCTCGTCGCCTTGCAGGACATTTGGAGCGAAGCACACGATCGTGGGGTAGGGCAGGTTTCGGTTGGGCTCCGCTGATTGTTGCCCAAAGCTCAAAGCAGTAACCGCGGTCATCCTGGCCGCTGGGGGTCCGGAAATTCCAGGCAGGGAACATGGCAAGGGGAGCGGTCAATGCATGTGGTAGGCTGATGTCCGTTTGGGCATCAACATGAGAGTTATTAGGCTGCGTCTGCTTCCAGCCCAACCGCATTGATCCGGACAAGCTGCCCACTTAGATCAAGGCATGGGCCACACAGAACTGGAAACATTCATGCGAGGACAAGCGGATCCGCGAAAGAGAAGCAAGTGAGGAGGTTTCGACGATTAATTCAGCCGATCCGCCCGTACCATATGCCGAGAGCTGCTCGAGCTTTGCTGAGATTCCAGACGCCGTGAGCGTTTGAAGGAGCTTTCCAGTGGGTTTGGGGTGCGTGTAGTCGGCATGTACATGTAGCATTTGGCAGCGTTCTAGGCGGCGTACAAGAGACACATTGGCATTGGTCGGTGTTTATGCATGCATTTCGCACGCACATTGAAGGTCCTCGGAGCTCTGAAGAGCTGGATAGAGCTCGAAGCCAAGCTTAGAGCTCTCTGTCAGGATCACGGTCGATTGGGCAATTGGATTGGAAGATTGGCGGCACCAGCTGGATCGGGGATAAGCGAGCACGCGAGAGCAAGGCTTGCCCGATGACATGGATGAACCTCTGGCGCTCCCGTTTCATGGGTTGGACAATATCGATCGCAATTTCGCGATGGCCCTTGGAGTCGACGGGGTACCTGGAACAAACCAGCGAGCTAACACGAATCTGGGCGCTCTGCAAGGTACCTCTCCTACTACAGAGTATAGTTACCTGCCTCTACGATATATCGTCAGATGCATTTGTTTCCGAGAATTACTGCAGCCTCTGATCACGGAGTATATGCTCTAGTACCTTGCAGGAGTGAGCAACTTGAGATTGCTTCAAACTGAGCGCACCTACGTCGCCGTTCTCTAGTGCAATGCTCACCGGAGTGCGTGGAGACGTTGGGAGCCAAGCTCGTATACGGAGTGCGGCGTAAAAGCAGCCGAGACAGTTTCAACAACTGTCCCAAAGCAGCAATGGGTGGCTTTATGCCACATTATACTAAGTTGCGGGTGTGTCAATCACAGGTCGGTCCTACAGAGCACAAGCGCCGTACTTGTAGCACTAGCGCTAGCACTGCCAAGTATTCTTGCTTTTCTAGAATGTTACTGTGTGTTATACTCGGACGTAGTGCAAATTGCTAGCACAACTCCTAAACATAGCATGCAGAAAAGCAAACCATGAGCTGGGCATTACGAATCTGTCAGGCCTCAATCTACCGCCCCGGTTACATCCGCCAAACCTTGTTTTCAGCGTGGAGCTCGGGACAGTGGATCCAACTCAAAATGATCGGCAAATCTGAGCAGCAAAACAATGCAAAGGAAACAGAGAACGATGTGTTCCCATCTCCGTCCAAAACGGAGCTGATACCTAATGCCAGATTATTCTCCAAATACTGGCAATAACCGACGCCGGCAATTTGGAGATTTCGTCATATGGATGAATTTCAGTATGTAGGGAATAGGATAAATGGCTTATTAGTAAAGAAAAAAGAGAATGGGCGTAGTTGAAAGGGGGTAGATAGCGTAACGGCTGGTTATGATCAAATCAGGCAGCATTTCGCTGCAATAGCACTCCAGCCGAGCCCAACGGGCTGATACCTACTACCGGTGTCCCAGACGGAAATTGAAATCAGCCCATCCGATATTAATCTTCAGGCAGCATGGAAGATTCTATGAAGCCTGGGCGATCATCATAATGCCTTGCCGCGGCTGAAGGCTAGGTTCGGTGTAAGCCTGCGGCTGAGGATTCCTGCAAACGAGATTGAGCACACTTATGCGCACAGCACTTGCTGTGTTTCCAACCTGGGGGCGGAATCTATACCAATTGAGAGATCCGATAGGTCCTTGATGGATTGCATCGGTTGTCAGGCAATGAAGCAACCTGCAGAGAAAGAACCGGTCCTCCCTGCGCTGATGGGTGACAGGCGTGAGCACCAGATATGTGAGAATTGCCGCTGGGATAACCACCATTTCCTTTGGGATACAGGATACAGCATCAGAGGCAGCTTCAGACCGTCTGTATATATGAGGTTTTCCAGAAATAAATGCGGTAAATATCAAATATCAAATATCAAATATCGTCGCGAGAGGTTTGGTTCTTCCACGAGGAGGGGGGAATAATCGAGCACGAAAGATGCCACTGCCAGGCGGCTTAGCTAATGCAGCCGTCACTGCGGTCTGGGCTGTCTCAACCTCAGTCGCTCTCCTCCAACCAGTCGATACGTCGTCTTCTCTTTTATTTCAATGGCTCACCTGCTCGCGCGCGGTGACGAAATGGCTGAGCAGGTGCATAATCGCGTTTCTGCGTGATCACCGTCAACGCTCTTTATTCGTCTGCGACGCTCCCTGCCTGCATGCCAGCGCATCTCGTCCGGCGGCATTTTGGACGTCGGTGCTGATAAACCCCGCTTCCAAGACTCTGCAAGCGGCCAACGAGAGGCTCGAGATACCCTCGCGCGGTCCACCATGTTACGCTTCACCATGCAGAGCGCAGCGTTTGGTCGTCTGATACGAGCCGCCGACAGCATGTACAACACATACAGTAGGCTGACTTGGCCGGCCCTGGGGTGCGGCCGCCGGCAAAGACGGAACTGAAGCTGCTCAACGCCAGACCCGACTTGTTTTCTTCGCTCAGCGTAGCTATGACTAGTTACAGAACTACTAGCTATCAACCAGGGGGATACTGAGCCGCCGTGCCTTTTCCACAGACTCGCAATTTGTTGGCGACGAGCTGCTGCTTCACGGCTCGCCTCACTTTTCTTTTACCGGGGAAGGCATTATATGTCAAACGAGACCAAACGTAACAACATGCGGCACCGCCTCACCGACCGTCTCCTCCTGCTGCAGCTACGGCAGAGAAAATTTTTTCGTTGGTGCCCGCCTACTCTGCACTGCTGTGTTGTCCTGCAGCCATCACCACTGCCCATCACTTCGCACGACGATGCTCATCAATGATAGGGTCCTCCGTCGGTCTCGTGCTCCACTAGATCCATCCGACAACCAAGGAACAGACCCGGCCAGCGCCAACACACCATGCAGGCCCCTGTAAAGCGAGCCTATCATCCTCAATGAAAACACGCCAGCGCACTCCTGCGGCCAGCACAGAGGCCATTGCGGCGGCCGTTTATTGGCATTGCTGAGTGGTGAGACACGCTTGCGGCGGGGGTATTGCGCCTACTCGGATCAAGAGTCAGACTGGACGGCAATGATAAAACCCGCAGGGCCCCCTCGTTGCCCAACTTCCGCTCCTGTTTCTTCTTTCTGCCCAACGGTTTCTGCCCAAAACATCCTTGAATCCCTTATCATCGTACCAAGACCGACTTTTCGCTTCTCATTTGTATCCACTTGCAGCCCCCATCTCATCAGTCAGCTGTCAGGAACTGCAAGTAAACCCAAGGGACTTTTCCATCGCCACCATTACTTCGATCTTCACCGTCAACTCTTCCAAGTTGACCTGCCGGATCTGCCATCCAGGGCCCTGTTCACAGATTCCATCCGGGATACAATGACAGCTGCTCTTTTGCCTCACCAGGCGAACATGCCTAGCTACAATACTGTTGACCTTGATGAGGTCTCTTCGCTGCCCAGGTACTGTTTTCTTTATGCTCAGGATATTGCGTGTGTTTTTTTCTGCTTTTGTTTGCTTTTCGTTTTTCTTTTTTGTTTCTGCTTTCAAGCTGCTTCATGTTGAGCGAGATATCATGTAATTTCCTTTTCTCTTGTTTCTGTCAGCTTGTCTTGCCGCCTTGAAACCAGCCACAGGATACACCAGGATGCCAAAAAGCCATTGGAATAGCCACGCGGACCTTCTGAGCGGAACAGAACTTTTTTTTTGGAACAGGACTTGTCCAGCCGGACAAGGAAACAAATGAGAAATCAATGAAATATATAATTTTTTGGCCTTGTGCCAGCGGTAAGTATCGGCCCGCTATTTGAATTGAAGCGACAGATTTTCGATATCTTCCATTGGCCAAATCTTTGCGTGAGCCACGTATATGCTACGGAGAACCTGCGGAGCCCAAGGACCTTCTGGACCATCCAGCGAATGTACGGACCTGCTTTTCTAGATCTCGGGATGACCATTCACCGCACGACCTACGACTGTACAGCTGGCCCTAAGCGGTCTACACGTGGACTTGGACGGAAAGCAGTTTAATTTGACTGCGAACGCAAACTTGCAGAAGCGGATCTTTGACAACTGGCCTTACTCTGAGCTGGACCTTCACCGACTCTAAGATTCATGGATCTTTCGACTCACGTGTCCGGACCTTGTTGGCCTTTCGGTTCGAAATGAATGTACGCGACTATGATTTTTCGTTAGCTTTGTTCTTTTGCTTTGCCATTTTTGCCCTGCTTGACCTGGAATACCACATCGACCCAAAACAAGGACTACACTGGACCACGCCAACTCATCTCTTGAAGCCGGAGCCCAATATGGATACATTTCATTGGGATTGTGAAGACTTGCTGTCAGAACAACTACCTCTTTTGTATATGGCTCGGTTTGTGTGACCATGTTCCCCTATTGACTCTACGATTAGCTTACTGACCCCCCTCGTAGGATCAAAGTTGAATCCCAAGCCTAGTCTTGTTTCTTTTTCTTTTTCTTCTTTTGCGTTGATGAATCTTGGTGGTGAGAACAGCACACTAACCTGACCTAGCAACTTCAGCTACTCTCAGTCATCTATGGCTGCGCCTACCCCTGCCATGTTTTCTTTTTCTCATACAGAACCAACGGCGGACCTTATGAACGGTTCGTCGTGGGGTGCAAATGCAGAAGGGCCACAGAACTTACATGATTACCCGGACAATGGATCATCGCACTCAGGAGAAGCCGAGGAATATCTTTTTGCATCTGGTCATAACTCACCTAGGGGACCCAGACTTGATCAGGCCCAACCCGCCGAGGTGGCATGGGCCGCTCCCAAAGCGCCCATGTCCATCCACATAGGAGCCCAGGCTATGTCTCGAGCTAGCTCGAGCCGCTCCAACGGCTCTGCTGTTTCACCGACACAGATGTCTAATATGAGCACTAGAGGTAATGCACAAGCTTTCCGGAGTGGACCTCAATCTACTGGCTCCATGGCCGGAATGGATTCCTGCCTCTTGAACTCAGATGCCCACGGTGTTTCATCCCACCTTTACTGGTCCGACTACGCCTCTCTCGAAATGGGCCTGGGTGCCGATGGCGTTGCTTTTCCGGTCCATAACGTGAACCCGCTCCACGTGGTTCCATCTCAGATGCAGTTTGCCAATGATGCTGTTCCGGATGTATCATCCCCCAGCACCTGGGATTGTTTTTCTAGCTCCATCTCCAGAACTTCCTCCCCTGCTACCATTGATGATTCATGGCAATCTGCTCCTTTTAGCCCTGCCTCTTCCCCCGAGCTTTGCCAATCGCCTAGGTATGTTATATTCCACTATGTGGATGAACTATCTTCTTACCGGCTCGATTTTAGAGACAGAAAACTTCCCATGATGCCAGAGGACCTTCACAAACACGCCGTATCCCAGATGGAAGATACTTCCTCTCTTCCCCAAGCCTATACAGCTCGCCGACAGGGAAACGAAGGAGAGTCTGCCCGAGACCATGCCTTGTACAAGAACGTCACTCCTAAGGGAGACGGTCTCTTTCACTGCCCCTGGGAGGGCCAGCAAAACTGCAACCACAAGCCCGAGAAGCTTAAGTGCAACTACGAGTAAGCCTGGGTGATCCAGTTCTATCTGATTCAAATTGCTAACCAACAATCCCCTGTACAGCAAGTTTGTTGACTCCCACTTGAAACCCTATCGATGCAAGGCTGAAGCTTGCGAGGGCGCCAGATTTTCCTCTACTGCCTGCCTTCTTCGCCACGAGCGTGAAGCTCATGGTCTTCATGGCCACGGCGACAAGCCTTTCCTCTGCATGCATGAAGGCTGTGAGCGATCGATTCCTGGCAGCGGTTTCCCGCGCCAGTGGAACCTGCGCGACCACATGAAGCGAGTTCACAATGATCACGGCAGCGCTGGTAGCTCCCCTACTGGAGCTGCTCAGCAAGCCGCCAAGGGACGCAAGCGCAAGTCTGATGCTTCTGATGCCCAAGGCTCCACTAGCCGCAAGGCCTCAATCAAGTCGATGCCTGCCCCAGAGCCAAAGCAGCCCCCTGTCAAGCCTCTTATTGAACAGTGGATGGACCACCACAAGGTGGTAACTGATATGCTTAGCCGCATGACCAAGCCCAACGATGTCCACAACCTCCAGCACATCTCTGAGGCCCAAAAGCACCTTGAGGCTATGCTCAAGATGACTTCGACCCAAGTGAACATCAAGACCGAGTTGGCACCCAATGGCCGACACTATTTGCCTTGAAGTGTTGATGACAGGTTTTGTTTTGGTCTCTCGTTTATTACCATGACATAGCACCAAACTGGGCTGTTTCCTTTTTTCTGTTTGCATCATACATACAACCCCCTCACATAGGAGGATGAACGCCAGCATCCTCTGATGCTGAGCTTATCGGGATATAAATCCCATGGGGCGTCCCGCGAGTTCACAGTCTCGCATAGTGGGTTACGTCCATCACAGACTGCTAAGCCTAGCAGAATAGTGGCTGTGCGCACCACAAAATCTCCCTCAGAGAAGGGCTGTTGAGCAAAGCTCATCATGCGCCTTCGCGGTTTGAGCCGGAGCGATGTTTCCATCGGGTTTATGGATGAATCAAAAGCATCACAGTTTTGTTTTGTTTTTTTTTTTTTCTCTTTGTTTCTTCTTTTCTTTCTGGGATGCTAAAAGTACTGGCTGGAATGGGATTGGGTTTGGATTTGGACCTGGATTTGGATTTGGATTTAGGCTAGGATTTGGGTTTGAAAGGGATAAACAGCGTTTGATTTGATACTCATTCTTGTCTTCACACATGGTTTTTTTCTTTGTCAATACCCTCGGTTTCATTTTGGTACTTAGATTTAGATGCCCTTTCTTTTAGGGCGCCGGCATTCGCTCAGCCAGTTTCACTGGTGATGATTTTCTTAGAATATTTTTTGGTTGGAATCTAGGTATATATATTCATGATGACAATTCATATACTGCTGCTTGCTTGCTAATCAATGTCTTTGGCCCATTAACTCCCCTGTAAATAGCTGCTGTCTCCGCCGTGCTTAAAGCGTTACAGGGCACTATTAATGAACAATCAGCTATATACTGAGGCTCAATTGATGACATGGATGCCCTTCAAAAGTAAAATGTCACTAACATTCTAATTTGCCGCAGCGGGACTTAGTATCCAGCTTGTCTGAGTATTTGCAGAGAAGTTTTCATGCTCATGATCAACGGATACAAGCTTTGAATCAAGTTGATAGCATACGTCGTTGTCTCGCGAACTGGCTTCAAGGCTGTTTCAGGGCCCCGCGCTGCGGTTTGCATCGCCGTGTCCAAAGTCAGGAGGCTTTCATTGATGGCAATGATGGTTGAATGGGCCATTGTTAGCTCCTGATCTAATTGGTTTATGAAATTGGACATGTTGAGGAATTTTAAAGATTTTTTTTTTTTTTTTTTTTTTTAACTAAAGCGCTGAGGGAAATAGTCTAGACGCGACTGGCGTTGCTATAGCGAGTGTAAGGTGCAATGAAACCCATGATATGTGTGCTAGGGTAGCATGATGAGTTGCGGGATGGCATGGCGATGTGTGCATATATACAGGCAGGATGTTTGTGTGTCACTTTCAACGTCTGGTAATTTGTTTCAACTTTGAAGTTGATTTGGTCCACTTCAAACGATTTATTTCACCCAAACTGGAACTCAGTCACTGGTGTTGTAACAATTCCATTCATACTCACTTGTAGGTTCATGAATCATGTATCGAGACGCCACACACGTAGCCTGCTACGTGGATCTTCTCACTGTGGGAAAGCCAGAGGAAGAACGTTAAAAAAAAAAAGGAAAAATGCCTCAATTATTATACAATGTTATCAGATGTAAATAAATATTTGAAGTCCTCTGGTGGCTGTGCCATATCAAACAGGCCCGTAGAGAATGTCTGGTCTCTTGTACAGTACTCGTAGCCGATGGTGGGGCCGATCCCAGCACAGAGCGCCGTCTACCGGATTTCGGCGCATTTGCGGCACATGTTTGGGAGCTAGACAGCTGCTCTGCCCCTCCACCCGAAGCTCGAACGTTTTCTCGTGCTACTGGTAATCTACATCATCGAAGCAAGCTTCATCTCTCCTTTGACTGTGTATCTGATTCCCAGTAACTGTATTCGCTCAATACCCTTTTATTCCAGTCACCATGGCTCGCAAGTTCTTCGTCGGCGGCAACTTCAAGATGTGAGTTGCGTTGCTTTTTTTTTTCTTCTTTTCGTCGTACCATCTCCCCCGCCATGCCCCGCGCCTCCAAAACAGCGCAGAGCTTTGGGCCGGAACAATTGCAATTGGGAGCGCCACGAGGCTGATTGATACGTACTGCTAGGAACGGGTCCATCTCGTCCATCAAGGAGATTGTCAGCAACCTGAACAACGCCACTCTCGACCCCAACGTCGGTATGTGCTCGTTTTGTGCTCTGGTGAAGGGGGATGAAGCAATTCTAACCGCCTTGTTTTTCTCTCTCTAGAGGTCGTCGTTTCTCCTTCCTACCTGCATCTCCTCCTTGTGCGTGAAAACCTCCGCAAGGAGATTGAGGTTGCCTCCCAGAATGTCTACGACAAGCCCAATGGCGCCTTCACCGGCGAGGTCTCCGTCTCCCAGCTGAAGGACAGCGGCATCAACTGGACCATCCTGGGCCACTCCGAGCGCCGCACCATCCTCCGCGAGAGCGACGAGGTTGTTGCCCTCAAGACCAAGTACGCCACTGAGAACGGCGTCAGCGTCATCTGGTGCTGCGGTGAGTCCCTGGAGGAGCGCGAGGCCGGCAAGACCATCGACGTGGTCAGCAAGCAGCTCGCCGCCCTCAAGGCCCAGGTTTCCGACTGGTCCAAGATTGTCATTGCCTATGAGCCCATCTGGGCCATTGGCACCGGCAAGGTTGCCACCACTGAGCAGGCTCAGGAGGTTCACAAGGCCATCCGAGAGTGGCTCAAGGCCAACGTCAGCGATAAGGTTGCCGAGGAGACTCGCATCCTGTACGGTGGCAGTGTCAACGAGAAGAACTGCGGCGAGCTCAGCAAGCAGCCCGACATTGACGGTTTCCTCGTCGGCGGTGCTTCTCTCAAGCCTGCTTGTAAGTTGAATCAACTAGCCTTGCCCTTTAGTGCCTTTCATTTGCTAACCAGCCTTAGTTGTCGACATCATCAACTGCCAGAAGCAGTAAATGCTTTCTCCTACCTAGAAAACGTAACTCGACAAAAATTAAATATAGTGTATAAAAAAAAGTAATGAAGCTTCCGATAAGACAATAAAAGTCATAAATGATAGGGACGGTATTCCCAGCAGGTTGCACTGATTTACAAATGTGAAGGTATCATTGCTAATATGTGTAGCGGTGTGTCCTATATGCACCAGCAATCCAATACCAGTTTTATCTATGTGCTCCATCCTAATACAAATACACAGGCATAATACATAAAAACCGTAGTAAAAAAAATCGCTCAAATCATACAGCCATGCCCTTGCCGTGGTACGGAGACCAGATACCTCTGACACTGGGCTTGGTGCTCAGAACAGCCTTGTTCGTCCGTCTCAACTTCTCTCCACTAGCATCTCTTAATAGTTCCACCTTTTGAAGAATCTCGTACGGCGAGAGGTTGCGTACGCAGATGGGCTTCGTACGGCCGTTGATGTAGTGTCCAACAACGACAGGGTGCTTGCCGGGTCGTGGGGAAACGGCGAACTCGATCTGGGGGTTGGCGGCTGCGAATTTGGGGAGCAGAGATTTGATGAAGCCGCTGTGCATAAGATTAGCAACAGTTAATAGATCATGCCCTCGGCTTATGTGAATTGCCTACTTCATTCCCTTTGAGCTGCCTGCCCAGTCGCAGTAATGCAGATCCAGCTTTCTGCACTGAAGGACAAACGCCCCCAGGCCATTCTTAACCCCAAGTCAGTTCGTTTCCGCTGATGATTTGTGCAAATCGGCCACATACCTTGCCATCTGCAATGGCTCGCAACGCCTTGACTGTCATTTTGGATGTGGTCTGAATGTTCCAGCCGCTATTCGCATGATCGAGCTCGTAGCACGTCTAGCGCAGCATCGAAAATTGTAACATTTCGAAGGCCAGACGGATCGGGACTAGCTCCGAAGGCACAACCCCGGCAAAACTCAATTCCAGGCATTAGTGGCAGTCGAGCTACACGAATTTACTGCTGCCAGAGCGCGCGACAGCTTGTCTCACGCTACTTGCTGCAAGCAATAACCCGTCGCAACAGGGCATCTCGATATCTGGACGCCAGAACCCGTGGTCGCTCTCGACCGGATCGTCCTGTATCTTCTTCTCTGCCTGTACATCGATAGCGACGACGGCAATCGCCCAGATCCTACGCGATGACCGACAAGCTACCCCCTAACTTGTTGGCACTCTTTGCCGCGCGACCTCCGCTACGATGGGTAGAACCCTCTGACCATGCGCCTGAGAAGCGCAGGACAGCTCCCATCAGCGGCGTTGCTGCTTTCCTGCCTGAACTTCAAAAGTACAAGGAGACGGATAAGTATGAGCCCACCGAGAGCTGGCTGGAGATGCGCGATCGGAAAAAGCGAGAGGCCAAGGAGAATGCTGTAAACCTGGTTACCGAGGGGCCCAAACAATGTAAGGATAACGCAGCTTTGATGCTAGTTTTGTCACGTTACTAATTGGTGCTGATAGTTAAACCAAACGAGGATCCCAACATCCGTGGCGATGCCTTCAAGACTCTCATTGTTGCCCGTCTCAGCTATGACGCCGACGAGCGTGATCTGGAAAGGGAGTTTGGGCGGTTTGGCCCCATTGAACGTGTTCGTGCCCACCGATCCATACGTTATTGCTCAAGATTTAGAACTGACTTGCTTCTCCAGATTCGCATCATTGTTGATACCCATGCTCACGAGAAGCCTAATAAGAAGAAGAAACCACACAGAGGTTACGCATTTGTCGTTTTTGAGCGCGAGAAAGATATGAGAGGTAAACCATTCCAATCCTTCTATGCTATATGACCATTCCAAATCCAATTCCGGTGGATATACCTCGACGATGCGGCCCTCAGGCTTGCCCATCTGTAGAAGCATACCCGGAGAGACATCCACTAGGCCCTCAAGCTTGCCTGTCTCATTCCTCCCAATTCATGAATCGTGAATCACGCAAAGTTTATGGTAAGAGTGGCTAACATTGGCGTCTTTTGACGCAATAACGAATAGCTGCCCTGGACGCTTGCGATGGTATTCGCATCAAGGACAGGCGCATCAAGGTGGACGTTGAACGCGGCAGGACTGCTAAGAATTGGCTGCCCCGCAGATTAGGTGGTGGTCTAGGTGGTCGAGGATATACTCGAGCAATGCCATCTCGACCCGGTGGCCCTGGAGGCTTTGGAGGAGGCGGTGGAGGAGGGGGCTTCCGCGGAGGCTTCCGCGGAGGCTTCGAAGGCGGCCGAGGTCGAGGCGGCTTCCGTGGCGGCTTCGGTGGTGGCCGTGGAGGTGGCTTCCGAGGCAGTGGCGGCGACTTTGGCCCCCGAGGCGGCGATCGAGGCGGCGACCGAAGCGGCTTTGGAGCACCCAATGGAGCCCCGTCCGGCCCTGGATTCGACAGAAGAAACGGAGATCGGGGCTTCTCTGGTGGTGGGTATGAGTCTCGAGGCAGCGGACGCTCATATGATGACAGATCTGGCGGCCACCGAGATGGCGGCCGATATGGCGATCGTGACCGCGATCGCGACCGCGACCGTGATCGAGACCGTGACCGTGACCGCGACCGTGATCGAGATCGAGACCGCGATGGACGTCGGACTGGTAGTAACATGGAACCCATTGGCCGCAGAGAAGGTGGGTATCGGGAAAGGGACTATGATCGCCCACGCGATGAAGACAGCCGGAAGCGAGGATACGAAGGTGGTGGCTACGAAGATCCTAGAAAGCTGCGCCGCTACTAAGTTACATGACCGGTGCAAGTCGACAAATTGCGACACTTGGTGGGTAAGCAATAATTGCTTGACGAATTTCCTTCGCATCCTTTCTTTCACCTCTTTTGGGTAAGAAGCCTGCCGTCTGCCACCAGATCGTTCTCAGACATTTAGATCACCAAAGTTCAACCCCCCGATCCATCTTATCCTGTCGTCTTCTCAAAGCTTGTAGCCCACGATTCTTGATTTATGGGTAATGCTCTTCTTTTCGTCTGGTTTCTTGGCTAAGAGAGAGGCCACTACTATCAAATACTGAGTATCAACCAGCTGTCACTACTGGACAGGAAACACTTAATAATAGGGACAGAACGAGAAATGTTTGTCTCGTAATGTATTATAAGGCGTTTGGCAGGTAAAGCAACTAAAAATTTGGAGCTTGAGGTAAAGTCCGAGGTAAGCTCTTGTGACCTGCTGATTGCAAGACCGAAGCAATTGCTTTTTTCCGTCATTTTCATGTTCTTTCTTTTTTTTTTTTTTCGCATCGAGTTTTAAGGACATTGAGCCAGCAGAAGAAAAAAAAAAGAGGAGAAAAAAAAGAAAAAGTAAACAATTGATGTGCCAATTATCTTTTGCATTTGTAGCAATGCGAGAGCAGATGCATAGTTGTTTTTATTATAACTATGATGAGAGATCTGAGATGCAGACCATCTTTATTGCTTGATCATCATTTTTAGGAGCATATGCATATATGTGAATGTGTAATGTCCTCTATTATTTTTTGAAAACCCTGTGAAGAACCTTGGAAACGCCGAAATACCCAAACAAATCCGTTGCTGGTATATGTTGCACGCACACAGAACATTTTCCACCAAAAACCACAACCTCAAAAATCGATGGCCAAGTGCTTTAATCATCCTCCTCAACGCCCTCCATGGCGGCTTGGTCGATTTCTGTTACCTCGCTGGTCGCAGCGCTCCAGTATCTGCCAATTGTTAGATGTAAACACCATATGGTGGTAATGATGGGGTTGTGACAAGAAACTTACGCTAGAACCTTGACTCTGAACTCGCTCAGGCAGACATCAAAGAGCTTCAACAGTCTGGTTTGCCGTGAATCCAGAACCTCGCCCTCCTTGCAGACAGTGTAGCCCTCTCCCTCGCCGTTCTCCTCACCCAGCACGACCTTGCCCTTGACCATTCTCGTGGGAACACCAAGTCTTCGCAGCTCAGGCTCAATTGTGTGTCCGAGAGGGATGTCATTCTCCTTGGGGACCTCGCCACCAGTAGCGTACACGACGCCGGGGGGGATAATGAATGAGCGTGAGGCAGTAACACCGGCGCGGGCGAAATCCACGGAAACGATGCCGTTGAGGTAGTCGAGAACATCGTTCACGGGGCGGTTGGTGAGGAGGAGGCCGACGGTACCGGTGATGTGCGGCGCGAGGCCCTCAATGCCTGGGAGGATGGCTTCTTCAGGGGTCTGTCCGAGGGCCTTGGCCATGAGCTTTGTCTTTCCGAAGAAGAGTCTAGATTCGTCGCAACATCATGGTTAGTTAGGGCCTTCATTTTTTTTCGACTTGTATAATTTCTCTTCAGTGACGACGTACCGGCTGTCGGAGAGCTCCCGGCGCACCTCCTTGAGGTAGTTGTTGCGCATGTTATCGACATTGAAGACGATGCAGTGCTGATACTCGGGAACCTGGTCGCGAATGTTTTGGAACAGCTGGTCCTTCTGCTCACGAGTCTTCTTGGAGACCTGGGTGAGGTGGACGACCTTCGCGCGCTTGGACTTGGGCATTTTGGCGATTTGAGAGAAAAGTGCGTAAACGATATTAAGATTGAGTGAATTGAGAAAGATCGCGAATTGGGGCGACCAAAGGGGGGGAAATCGTAAATTCGTTGGAGGCTTTGAGTAGGTAGGCCTCTTTTTTTTTTTAGAGGGAGATTTTTTGGCGATAAGAAAATTTATTATCACGGTGGACTAAAAATTATCTAGGTGTGCGGCAACACCCCGCATTGGCTCACCGAGAATTTGGGCCAGGGATCTTGACCAGGCGCCCCCTACCTGGTTACACGTGTGCTTGTAGCTTTTTTCTTCTTTTGGTCATTGAGAGAGAAAAAAAAAACGAGGTTGCTTTCTTAAATGATGATTTTTTGATGACAATGAGGATGTGAAACTCATCATGGCGGCATGCTGGCGGCAGTGATAGGAGTGCACGCCATACTGTGCATTGGGAACTTGGAGCAGTTTATCTGGCTACCCACTTTAACAGCATCACTTGATGGCATCTACTTCAAAGAAAAACACCATTGTCATCTCTGCACTCCTTCATTATTTATTTTTAGCAAGATTTCTTGCTTGTCAAGCTCAAACACAAAGATTGGTCCGCTATAAAACTTCAATTGGCTGGGGAGTGGACCCACAAAGTAGCATCGCAGACAACGATGAGCATCTGCTAAACCCCCTTGGCTTTGCATCTCTTTCAAGATCTACTAAGCTTGGGACTTGCGGGGCAGAATGGCTGCCCATTACCACACCATCACACGCTGTATGTGATGTGTAATACCTCGCTCTGCGTGTTCCGTCTACTACCTAGGCATGTACTGTAGGCTGTATACATGTATGTATGCATGCAAGGGGACAGAAACAAAGAAGCACTCGATTCTAAATGGGACGCTACACGTGCTTTGTTTGGGCTCCTCATTGTTCAGGCATCATGATTCACGTGCACAAGAAGACCGCGATGCTTTATTGTTTCTTTCACCTCGGAAACAAGCAAGTTGCAGCCATTAGCGGGCCATGTCTCTTTATAGGTACTAATCCATGGATAGCACCTTTAGCCGCTAGCTTTCGCTAGATCAACAAAGAGCAGACGCCATGATGCATGCACGCCGGGAAAACCTCCCCCGCGATATTATCTAATTCCGTTCCGAAAATGAGCGCCGCGCACGGGCCATGCGGCGTTAGGCGACTGACCCCAAAAGTTGGTATTTTTTTTCCTTCGCCCGCCCACGAAACATCATAACGGCAACTTCAAAAGAAGCTCCGAATCTCTTCCCCTTGCACCCGTGCAATCCGTCTCTCTTCTCCCCTTTCTCCTCTCCATCAGCCACGACTCCGCTACTTCGACCATCGCCGTCCTCCACCCGTGAGCTTCGCCAGCTTATATATCCTTTGGACTCTCTGTGCCGCTCTCAACCCCCCTCCCACCTGTGCTTGTGCATCGATTTCGATTTGTTTGTCATCCCACAAGTGCCCGCAGCTCCTCCACTCGAATCTCCTCAGCCTCCCCCCTCCTTCTCAATCATCGAAGAATTGTTTCTCTCTTGGACTAGCATTCAGCTCGTTGAGACAGTCATTTCCTGCTTTGTTAATTCTCCTCTTTTCCTTCTTCTGGATTGCGTTGATACCCAACTTCGACGCGATCGCTGCCCCACGATAACTTCACTTCGCTCCCACGCCTTTGGATCTCCAACATAATTCCTTTTTGACCCCAGCTCCATCCTCCAACCATGGCTACCAACGGATCATTCGCCAACCAGGACCAGTACAAATCCGCCGAGCAGCCGGCCGTTTCAACGGGTCCGGCTGACGCGAGCGCTTCTGGAAACAACCTTTCCAAGGATGAGGTCGGCTGGTACTTTGTTGAGCAATACTACACTACCCTGAGCAAATCACCAGAGAAGCTGCACGTTAGTTCTACCAGTGCACTTAAATGACGTATATTAAATTCTGACGAAATTGCATAGCTTTTCTACGGTAAGCAGTCTCAATTCGTTTCCGGACTCGAGACCCAGGTTGCCAACGTCTCGGTTGGCCGTCAGGTATGGCTTTCCCCCCTCTTCCTCCCCACAAAACGATCTGAGCTAAAATTGGTTCACCCAGGCAATCCAAGAGCGCATCAAGCAGCTTGACTTCCAAGACTGCAAAGTCCGAGTGTCCAATGTCGATTCGCAAGCCTCATTTGACAACATTGTCATCCAGGTCATCGGCGAAATCTCAAACAAATCTGGCGAGCCCAAGAAATTTGTGCAGACTTTCGTTCTTGCCCAGCAGCCCTCTGGCTACTTCGTCCTCAATGACATGCTCCGATACATCAGCGAAGATGAGGAGGAACAGGTTGTTGCCGAGGCTGAGCAGGAAGCCCCTGCCGCCGAGCCGGAGGTCTCTGCTCCTGAGGTGCCCGTTGACGCCGCGCCTGAGTCCGTCGAGGAGGATGTGAAGGTCGAGCCTGTCAACGCCGAAGAGGTGGACCAGAAGCTTGAAGAGGCTTCCAAGGTCAACGGTACCGATGCTGAGGAAGCTGCCGAGGCTGCAGAGGCCACCGTTGCTGAGCCGGAGAAGCCCGCTCCAGCTGATCTTGAGACCGCTGCTAAAGAAGTTGCCGAGGAAGAGGCTAAGGAGGTTGCTGAGCTGCCCAAGGAGCCAAGCCCTACTCCAGCCAACAAGGCCGTTGCTAAGCCTGAGGCTGCTGCTCCTGTCGAGCCCGCTGCTCCTAAAATGCCAATGACCTGGGCTAGCCGCGCTGCTGCCGCTGCCGGCCCGCGACCAGTCGTTCCTCTTCCCAAGACCGCCACTCCTCCAGCTCCAGTCCAGAACAGAGCTCCCGCACCCGCTGCTGCTGCAGCTCAACCTAGTGCTGCGGCTGCTGCACCGGCATCTGCCCCTGCTGCTGAGGCTGCTAAGGAAGTTTCTGGATGGCAGACTGCTGGCGCTGATTCCAAGCGTCAAAACCGACCTCAGTCTATTGCTGCGAATGCCGAGAAGGAGGGCACAATGGGTTACGTCAAGTACGTTACGGAGAAGGTCCAGGATGCCGACCTTCGAAGTGCTCTGGCCGCTTTTGGCGAATTGACTTACTTCGACATTAACCGTGCTAAGGTGCGTTGATAAGCCTCCCCCTTCCCTTTTTTTTGACGATGGGTAAAAGTACGTTGTACTAATTCGTATGTTTCTTAGAACTGTGCCTTCGTTGAGTACAAGACTGTTGAGGGCTACCAAGCTGCTCTGGCCGGCAAGAACCTTACCGTTAATGGCGAGAACATTGTTGTCGAGCCCCGACGACCCAAGGCCAACACCTACGGTGGTAACTTTGGCGCTGGCCGTGGAAATGCCTCGGGTCGTGGCCGTGGTGGCTTTGATGGTAACCGCCCTGGCGGCCAGAATACTAGAGGCAACTTCCCTGGACAGGGCCGTGGCCGAGGCGGTGCTGCCCGTGGTCGTGGAGGTGCCCAAACCGCCAACGTCTAGATGACGAGCGTACGAGTCTGAGCCTTTCATAAGACAAAACATCAACAGCATATCAAAACAGAAAAAAAAAAATTAGCTGCGAGTTTTATCCATGCCATACCCAACAATGAGGATGGCTAGCATGATGGTATTTACACTTTCGTGGGAAAAGCGTACAAAATAGGTTTGGGGGCTGCCGCAGCGGAAGTGGAAGAAGCTTGGAGATGGGACTGGATTTTGGCCCAGGCCCTCCTAAAAGTTATCTGGTTTGTTTTTGGTGGTGGAGTATAAGCAAGCCCAGGCTGGCGTCGATTTTTTTTTTAATTCTTTTTTCTTCATCATTGTTCTTCCTTTTCTTTTTTCATCTTACCATACCTTTATTGGTATGGCTGCATCTGTTCATTGCGATTAGGGGACTCAGGGGCTAGTAGGACAGTCTACTGAGCAAAAAAATAATATGGAGGAGGATCATTCGTGTTTTATGTATATTTCAAAGGGAAAAGGGGGACTCTGGATGTTGCTTCGGCTTGCTGTCATATCGGTGGGCGGAGCTGTCCTTGGTTGGCACGGCGCACGGCGATGGGTGGTGATATTTTCCTATTTCCACTTGGCCTTGGTTGGTGGAGAGAATTCTTGGCAGCATGTGTGCGGGACATGAAAAAAAAAGGATGTATATTAGGCAGTTACGCGAGATGCAAATAAAGTATGCCATGACTTTACGTTGTTATGACTACGATGGCACTGGCTTTACTTGATATGCTCCATGTGCGACTGGCACTTTTGCGATATCATGATGAGACTTGTTGCTAAATGGCTGTTGTCTGTGTCTAGCATACTACCACTGATTTCTGTGTTAAACCACCACTTATTTCTTTCCATAGTTGGCATGTTGAACAGCCCTCGAGTTATAAAAATTTTGGTTCTGAGATTCGGGAATACTCTTCCAATGCTTGTACTCGTCCTTTGGATTAAATTGGATGTTTCCATTACGACCAAGTGTAATAGATTGATGTGGATTGTTTGGAAAGTCATTTTTGCCAGCCATTTACCGATGCCATTTTGGTTATAGGCTGCCTTGATGGCGTTTCAAGCTTTGTTAATTTCACCGTCTTCATGATAGCCTCCATTGTGCTGGATAAATTTTTCGATTTCCTTCAAACAGTTGGAAGATGTCCAAATATCAGTGACATAAGCTGTCCGGTCTTTAGGTAAGTTTGGTTTATCACGAATCTTCAACGTCTTTCTCACAGTATTTGAGCGTTTCGACGGCCTCTTTGAAGAGTTTCACCTGTTCTGCAAGCTCTCTTACCTCTATGGGGGCCGTTATAGAGAGCTTTTTAATGCCGTGTGCCGATTTACAAAAGCGCCACTATGTCGCCGAAACTGACGCCAATGGCCTTCGAAGCGGTGTTCACAGTCAGGGAATCTCGAGTAATATACTAAAGGACGCAGGAATAGCTCACGATATCCACGCTCAAAAGTAAACTATATGTGTCTTCATTTCTTTCGTATTACGATGAAACGTTGAAAGAGGGGGCTATTAAATGACATCTTGTGCTATTGTGAATATTCAAGTCGTGGCATGGATTGGCAGGACTAGAATGCTTTGAAAAGTTTAAAATCCAAGTGTAAGGCAAAATAGTGTGTTTCAATTTTATAGTGTTCCCTCTGGGTTTTCACCTTTTATGTCGGGGATATTAGATGACATCCATACACTTCTGCAAATACTCAAGTCATAGGGCAACGATTGGCAGGATTTAAAACCTCTGTCACTAAAATCTAGGTGCAAAGCAAAAGACTGCTATTTACACCTAATCTTGAAGTTGGCAGGAGGGAAGTGATGTTCTAAATGACGACTAATAGCGCTGAAATCGAGCCATGAGAAAATCATGCTTAAGACGCTGGTCAATTAGCGTATTAGTGCTCAGAAATAGCCATCTGGAGAGCCCAAGAATGGCCAAGAAGAATGAGAAGGAGACTGACATAAAACGCTTGTCTGCTTTTTGTAGGCTCTTCAAACACATGTAGAAAATATGTTGCAATCTATATCTCATAACGCTCTTCCAAGATCCCCCATGCCAGGAAGAGAGAAAAGCAATAAATTGATATGAATGCTCTTACTGACCTCCTTTCTCTTTTCTTCTTCTCTCCCTTCTCCCTTTTCCTTTTTTAATCCTGTAAGATTTTCACTCAAAACACTTATTGTAAGCCGCTTGTGTTGACATCTCTATAGAACTGCCCTATTAAAACTCAACTTGAACCTATGATTACTTTAGGTTAAAAAGTCATAGTGGTGACTGTACTATAAGCAAGCATGACGGCGATGATTGCAGGAGTATACATCAGAGAAAGAAAGTTAGAAGCTGGCATTGAGAAAGGCAGCGTAAAATAGCTTATTTGCTAATATCTTCGCCTCATCAAGACGGGTAGTATGGCCCAACTCATTTTGGATATCTTACTATATAGTTTTACTTCACTAATCGTCAATACACTTATTCCCTAGTACAGCTTGAGAAAATATGATTTGCACAACTCGGCAAAAGATGTGCCACTGGAGTCTGATGAAACATGACCGCAAAGGTTACATGTCATTTATGTAATTTAGTCTTGGAAATGAAACCGTGACACTCAGTATGTGCACCATTGGAATAAGCGTCAAAAAAAATGAGGTGGCGGCGCTTCACATATGCATGGTCTTGGCGAAATTATTTCTTTAATAGAGATGCCATCAAGGTAATGGACATTGAGGGGGGAACTTTTTTTTTTTTTTTACAAACTACGGGCACGAAGACTGTAGCAGAGTGGAAAAATAAGCGAGGCAGATATCCAGTTTTCTTTTCAAGGCATCATACGATTGCCCATGGCATCGCTCACGCTGCCGACGCTGCGGTTACGTTGCCTGGTTTCATGTCGTGATGGCTTCAAAGAATCAAAAGGGCTAGACGCGCATAGCGACGGAACAAAGAGGGGTGAAGAAAATGAAGAAAGCTCGTGCCGGTGAAGACCCATAGCGAAGAGGAGAGCAGAAGGTGAAAAAAAAAAAAGATCCTTGTTTTCGTGGTAGTAAGTAGTAGTATGCGACTTTGATTTGATGCTTCCGGAGCATCAGAAAGCCCACTTACACGGCGACCTTGACCATGTACTTGTCATATAATGAATGAATCAGGAACCTGGACGCTTTATTCACTAGGTATACTCCGCTGGCCGGATTGCGCTTTTAGTTAGTAGTTTATTTCAATGGACACCCATCAACCCATTGGATCTTTTGGCAGTTGTGGTTGTACTTTGTGGCCAGGGTTTCGTAAAAAAACCAAAAGCCAAGAGCTGGGCTCCTAAAATGGGACAATGGGGTACCAACTATAGCAATCGTTCTGCCCAAGATGGCAACGGGGCCGAAACCTTTAGACATTACGAATTAAAAAAAGACTCGCCCAAGTACAGTTGTACATGGTAGTAGAAAGTAATCTTTAGAGATCCTCTTTTCTCTTCTTCCAAGAGCTACCCCTGGCCTCGCCAATTCCGTCGGTAGCCATAGCCAATGCTGTACATAGTACGTACATGGCGGAAATAAAGCGCTATGCAACATCAGCCTCAGAGAGAAATGTTTATCAGATCTTTTAGATCATCAGCATGGCTCGGATAGGAAATTGCCAGGTTGGCTTCTAGAAGGCGAGTGAGAGCATGTTGTCGTCCTTGGGCCATACATGTACCTACTACTAGACTAGTAGCTGATACTACACACACATGTGGTCTACGGTCCTTGCTTTAGAGTTGAAATAGCCATCCTAAGACGCCGCTTTGGTGGCTGCGGTGGCAAAAGAAGATTCGATAGAACAAGGGAAAGCAAGATGAGAAAAAAAAAAAAAAAAAAAAAAAAAAAGTCCCGCCGAGGCGCACGGCCCGTCCGTGGTACTATTGCTTCAGCCCCGAGTCAAGCTGGGCTGCCCAATCTTTTACGTACTCAAAATCTGGCGACTGTCTGTCTATACACGTGCGATGTCCCGAAACCAGGCAAGTCGACGGAGATGCAGCGTCGGAGAGGCCGTTTCGCCGCCTGCGCTGGCTGTGCTGTGGGTGCAAGTCCTTTGTGTGTAGCTGGACGCCAAAATGCTTGGCATGGCGTATAAGGCGGTGCTGGTGCTCCTACTACCTATGTACGCCCATTACCTACAAGTATACCATGAGCTATGAGTGTGAATGTTGGTAACGCTACTGTACTGGTTTATTGGAATGCAGGTGAGAAGGATGCTCATCATGCATATGCGCTCAAAAGTGCAGTGCAGTCTGGCATTGGGTGCCAAGAAGCAAGGCACATGGCATGGCATGGCCGCATCACGATCATCAACAGCATCAGTACTAATAACTACTACTACATAGGTAGCACTTCTTATAAAGCATGCTCGTATGGCGGACACTGCGGTTGGCCGATGACCCGGCAAGATGGCTGCCCCCGTGTCGTCTAAATAAAGCAACGTTGTAAACATTGTCCATACAATATTAGTCCTTGTACTTTCTGCTGCGTATACGAATATTCCTTCCGGGAGCACAGACCCGTTTCGGGCTCCGGACGTACAACTGCCCGTCAGGCCCTTTTGTAAATGGCTTCCGCTTACACGGCCATAAGAATGGACGCAACATGCACACTGCAAAGAGGACACAGCTCCGGCCATGGTGCGCTTCAGCAAGCTCATAGGCTCGTTCACGATGCGATGCGCGCAGACAAAGGAACCTGCCTTTGTGGAGAGCAAGAAGCGAAACGGCATCGTGTTTGTTTTAGCCAATGGCTGCCAAGCACGCTTCCTCGGCGGATGCGTCATCCAAAACAAGATGGAGCTCTGCTGGACTACCTCTGCTTTTAGCCCAGGTGCCTCTTTGCTCCCAGCTGGCTGGCGAATGGCTTATTAGTGCAAGGGACGGGGATCCTGCCCGAGTGCAAAAGTTCTTTCAAAAGCCAGTGCCCGGCCTCGTCTCTTTTCCTCCTGAACGCTTTCGTACGTGTCCTCCGAGCCCTACAGTATGCATGTGTGCTGTAGATAGTAGAGCCAACCATTACGTGAAACGACATGGTAATCGTCACACACGTCCGAAGTGCTTTTGTCTTCTTCTTCTGCTTCTTCGCTCTTAGTTGTCTTTGTGTGTTACGGTTGAGCGACTTTCGGACTACGCCATCCCGCAAAAAGCCTCAAGTTAGTAAACGTACGCACAGTAGTTTGTCGGATCTATGGCTGGCCGTCAAACATGGATAAGCATGAAAATTACTAATAGTAGTAATTAAATGCACGGCCATGACTCTTGTGTTTTTCATCAGAAATAATAAATGATCGCCAACACTCTGGCAGTGGAGAAAGGGAGAACAAGGGAGAAAAAAAAAGAGGGGAGGGTGTGAACTTCCAGAAAACAAAAGAAAAGAAAAAAAAAAAAACGGCAAAAAAGTTATCCGAGGAAAACGAGCTGTAGAGGATCAAAATAAGGCGCAGCTATCCATTCTCTTCTCCACAAGGCACGGCAGATTGTCCAGAAGGTGAGGATGTGCATTGCTAGTGAATCGCTGCCTAAAATACGGAGTATTAGTGGCATGTCTGGCTCTGTACATCCAAGAACCCCGTGTTTGCGTGATTGATTGATTGATTGATTCATTGCTCCTCGTGTATGCTACTAACATACTGCACGTACAGTACAGTAATAGTAGTTCTACCGTAATCAGATGGGCCATGATACGATGGGCCACAAGGCCCAGTGCCGGCGGAAGTGCCGGCGCAAGTGACAGATTCGTGCAAACGTCGCTCGATATGGTTTGACGATGGCAGGGTATTTGGCATTAGCATGGACGGATTGGTGCGGTCAGCAGGGAATCCCCTCACGCAGCATATAAATACATGTGCAGTACATGCGTATCAGACGCGGGCTTGCATGTTTGGGCCGTTGTAGCGAGCGACACAGTATTCGTATCCGGCGCTGTACTACAACATGAGCTGATTCATGTACTGCATCTGCCGTTGATCACCAACCTATAAGCGTTTAGATGGAGTAAAGGATACAACAAATCTCGATAACGCTGTGCCTGCCAAGAGGAGTAGGAAAAGCCAAGCAAAGAGGTAACTACAAGCTTGGCCTTGGCTTTGGCTTTGACAGGGCCCTAGAAGGAGCGACGAAATTACGGAATCCTTAGTATGGCCGATCATCTCTCGAACAAGCCAAGCCATGCTACCGGCTATGCACTCTGCGCCTTGCAACTTCACAAGAACACAGACGATGACGATGACGACGACACTTGGGCGGTAGATGCGTGTCTTCACGTTCAGACAACTACCTCCTCCAGGCGATATCGGTCGCTGCCAAAAAAGACGTCCGCTTGGATAGCGCCGTGAACGGACTAATGGCTAAAAGTTTTGTATGTACATACATGGAGCGCCAACTGACTGTGCTGTGGCTTGGGCGAATCGGCCGGGCATGAGACGGATCTGTTTATGCACAAGCTTCACGTCGCTAGATGCTAAGAACCACATTATCCGTATCGGGGAATTAAGATCGGAGCCGACGGCCGGTTGAGCAGTTGCGCCGTACCTACAAGTATATCAACTGCTGGTGACATGTAAGCTGCGCCTATGGCCATGGCTACATTAGCACTTTTGTTTGGGCAGTTGTCGTCGTAATAGTACCATATATCGAGATCAGTATATAGAGTACAGAACGCGAAATCAAAGACAAAAGGGGCATGATGGCGGCCATGCGGACATAAGCCTGACTTGAGCCCAACAGTAGACATGGCCTGGAGTTAACACTGTCGAGACCAGGTCTCCCAGCCCAGTCGTACCACCGGGCTACATGGCGACAAATCCCCCCGGGCCAGCCTACCAATAGCATTGGAAGAGGCAAGTTTCAAGCGTGATGAATACCAGCAGCGGTTCTGCTGCAGGTAGCATTACATGCGTAGTACGTGCCCGCCAGAGCGAGAGAGCACTCGCCAGGTGGAGTCAGAGCGCATAGCAGGCTGGCCTGTTAGCAATATATGACTCGTAAGAAGCCGGCAGCGATGCGGGGGCCCGGAGCAGCAGCGACGCCACAAAGGGCACAGAGCGCCAGCCAGGGCTCCTGGAAATGGAGGATGCGGCTTTCAAAGGTCCCCCCTCGCCCAAAAGTTCCGAAGGGCTAGGACGGGAGGGTGTGATGGTCGAGAAGGGGGTATATGAGGCCAGTCATGGATGGCGTGTAATTTATCTAGGAAATAGGAGGACGATGTGCTGAGGCAGAGGCAGGAAAATTACTTGGCACAGCTTCCGCATTTGCCTGAAGCGGAAGAGCAGCAGAGCAGAGCAGAGCATAGTATTGGCTGTAAAGAGACGATAACCCTCCACGTCAAGGTGAGGAGAAGAAATCGTTGGAGCGAGATGAGCTTTCAGGCTTCATCGGCGACTGCTCAAATAGGTAAGTACCCTTTGAAGCAAAAGTCGACTGCCCACTACCTACCTACTAAGGTATGCTATAATACGGCCTTAGCACCCGACTACCTGTTGTTGCTGCAGGTAGGTCTGCACGTACAAGTACCTACTCGAGGCGCCAGTGAAGTCCGGCACGAACATATCTGGTAGCGTATACAAACTACAAAACCACCAAGCACGAGATTCGTGCAGTTAGTTCGGCCCGCCGGGAGCGATTAAAAAAAAGCTTAAGCAGAAGGCGCGCGCTCCTCCAGTTCTAAAACAGCACTATCGCGCCAGCGTTGACTGGGCTCTCGCTGGCCCTCACCTTTGCACCCATGAAGAAATGGCCGTTTGCTTGGCACCATTCCGACATTGCTGCACTCGGGGCCAGCTTTGCCTGCCACAGCACGGGCGCCATCGCCGCGCCTTGCACGAGATTCGCCGGGCCTTTTGCGGAAAAGGGCCTCCGCAGAGATCAATCAGATGCGCCAATGAACTAGCGGTGTTTGTGCCGGAGTAATAGGCTGTTTGGTGATGCGCACAGCGCACAGCACAAGTGCCTCACCAGCGCTGCAACGCGGCGAAAAGCAGCAAACAGCACCTGAGAGACTGCCCCGGCTTTTGATTGAGTCCCCCAAACCCCGCCCTCCACATCCTGCGAGAGGCACCTACCGCGCAGGGCTTAGCGCGCACACAATATAAACAATCGACCGTCTGTCCGTCTCTCTTTCGCAAGTAACTTCGCGCTTTGGTAGCGTTAGGGTAAACAGGCCTCTTACAGAAAAGGGCGACCCTCTTTTTTCGTGCGTTTCTTTTCTTGGTGCCAACTCCCGTGCTCCGTGCGTGCTCGAGACGAGGCCCCGTAAAATACAGCCCAGCTGGCCAACGAACGGCAGGAACTTTTTGATCGCGCAGCGCAACCCGACCCGGAAATAGTGGGAGTCCGGCCAGGAAGCGTTATTGTTCTAGCACGACCATTGTTTTCTTGGCAGCAATAGATCCTTGAGGCTGTCAATGGTCATTTCTACGCGAGGTACTACCAGCGGCGCTCTTGATGAGATGAGGATATTCGAATATTTTTGCATCTGCTCTTGATAGGTAAGTAGATACCTACCTAGTAGGTATAGTAGCCCAGCTCTGCAAGACAAGTTCATGGCACTGGTACCGCTGCCATGGAACAGCACCATGCCAGGTCGGTCTTGCCTCGAGTTTGATCAAGGGAGCAGCCGCCAAATTGCAACGCTCAGGTGCTGCAAAGAGCTTACGTGGTACCTGCCAATACTACCTAGTCCCCTACCTGTATTAGGCTACTCCTTCTTTCCCCGACGGCCCACCACAATCAAGCACTACTAGGTAGGTATCTGTACTCTGTCTGGGCTGCCTCCATGCTCTGCATTTGTCGCGTTTGCAGGTACCCCGTACGTCAAGTAAGCTCCATGCTGCGCTGGTTTGTGCGCTATTCTCCGCCTTCCTGAGTACAAGATACCTTGATGGTGCTGTAGCAGGTGTCTATCATAAGTTCCCAAGGCATCTGCTGCTGTCTTCTCCTTTCGCCAATCTCGTGAAACATCAGCGATGCTGCTCAGCCTCCTTTCTGCGACATTACCAATCATGCTCATGCCCCCCTTTGAGATCGTCGCATCACAGCCATCGCCATCGCATCTTTGGTTGGCGAGAGAATAGGCACCTGTAGATATTCCCGCGTGCGGTTGGCTGGCCTGCGCCTTGTGTACGGCTCTTCCGGGCCAGGCTCCCGAAGGCGTCTCAGCTGGGTCAAAAAGGGCCCGTAGTCAGGAAACAGGCTTCGTTTGAGAGGCGGCTAACCGTCAGATCTAGTGAAATCCGATGCTCTGTATCGCCGTGGCGCTGCTTCGGTCGCGCACCTTTGGGTCCCCATCGAGTTCAAGCCCTCGGCCCACGCCCATCCCCACAGAGCTGGGCCCACCCCTTCGACGACCAAAAACCCCTGGCGTTGACTTACATGAAGGCCAATGTGTGCCGTGTCCGCCGCTGCGTCGTCGCCGCTCATTCGCCCGCGCCGCCAACGTCCTTACTGTACCCATACTATCCTCCGGACGGCTTCCACCTCAAGCCCTGCCTCGCCACCCGCACGTTTCCTCAACCACAGCACAGCACCTCGCGTGTCAGCGCAACATTAGAACCCGCTTCTCATAAGCTTTCCGAGCCTTCCTGGAACCGCCAGAGACTGCGATACGTCCGGGCCTTGTTGCAACCCCGAGATTTACGCATCGAACTGCCCATAGAGGGTCTCATCGCCACTAACAAAAGAGCCGCCGTGCAGGGCTCCAGCAGCGTCTTGCGACCACGGCCCCGTCTTTACTGCTTCTCTCTCCATTTCACTGTCCACCCCCCCACCGTGCTCTTCTCGAGACCTCGTTTTCCTCTTTCTTCTGGATACCTACGGTTTCTGATCTTCCCTCGGGTTCATCATGCGCCAGGGCGGGTCGTTATGAACGTAAACCGTCATGATCCATCTACGGAGACTCCTCCTGTCAGCAGCGCACGAATAGAGTTCCCTGTAACGAGCCGCACACGCCACTCGAGGTAGATCGCATTGCCAGTGCTACGTCAACACACCGACTCAGCCAGCGCCCGTCGCCTCAGAGCATCTTGTTCTCCCCGGGGCATATAAGCCGGGCCCGTCCCCATGGACCGCCGTGGCTCGGCCGGAGAAAATGGACTTTCACCGATCCAGTCTGCGCCGCCGAATCGGCGGCGTCTATCAATGGAGGAGGATATGCATTACCAGCACATCATGACCGTAACTCAGCAACGGCGTCCATCACACCCGCCACCATACGAAGACGCCGACGTCACCAGCATGCCAGATGAAAGGGGAGGGGAGAGGGGAGGGGAGAGTAATGACAAGGTTGAAGAGAAGGACTCGTTACCGGCCAAGAGTAGTTGGCTGAACCGCTTCAAGAGTAGAGGGAAGGAGTTGAAGATGGCAAGGCCGGGAGATGGCCTGGATGACGAGACCACCAGTGGGCCTGGCACCATGCGCCGATGCCTAAGTCACGATGACTTGCCAAGCTATTCAAGCTCTATCGCTATCGAAGGTGTATTTCACATGAAGCATGAGATCGAAAACACCACCAAAAGAGCAGAGGATCGGCAGTGGCATACCGTTTTTGTCTCCCTCAACGGAACTGCCCTCAGCATCTACGGTACCAAGAAGGACTGGAGCTGGGGTAAGTCACGCGATGGCCCATCCATTTGTCCCGACAACCCGCCTTGGATCAGGAAGGCAAAACTAGAAAAGACCTACAGTCTTTTGCATGCTGATGCTGGTATTGCCGCTGATTATAAAAAGTGAGTTCCTTGTTCGTCGAAGCGAACTCTGTACACCCCCGCGTGTGAAGACGAGGTGTTATCAGGGAGGATATGAGAAGGAAGGATGGGGGGAAAAGGCCTCAGTGCTAACTCATATCTACCTCTAGGCGTCGTTATGTTATTCGAGTACGAGTTGAAACAGACCAGTTTCTCCTGTCTTGTATCGAACTGAGCACCTTTGTCAAGTGGCTTGAGTGCTTATTTGCGGCTATTGATGTGGCAGCCCCTATCGACGAACGAGATTTCCCACGCGATATGTCTATCCCGCGAATTCAGAGAATCCGATGGTATCGCACCCACACTGGTGAAATCTACCCAAGCACCCAGCCGGAAATTCACCAAGATCCCCCTCCAGATGCCGAAGGCTCCGGCACTCATGACGCTCTTGACGCTCATGACGCTCATGATGATGCCTCGGAGCGACGACCCTCGTCTCCTCAGCTACCTACTCCGACTCCTGCCCCTTCACGACCCCACCCTACAGAGGAGGCACAGAGTAGCGAGGCTTTAGGACCACACCCAAGAATTGATCCCAGGAATGATCCCTTCCATCCCCTCAGCACAACTTCAGATCCAAATCCATCTATTGACCCACATACGGGCAAATGGTTTCCTGAGCATCAGTGGACGTCTGCACATGACCTGCTCTACGCCAAGCTCTGCTACAGTAATTTACTGTTTCGAAGCCCCCGCAAATCAAACTACATCATTAGTAAAGGGAAGCAATGGTTTGTCGATTGGGGCACGGGTAGAATGGTCCGTGTGCTCCCGCCAGCCTACGGCGAGGTAGACTTCTTTGGTCCTTGGCAAGTCATTCATACAGAAAACAGAAGGATTTAAGAAGTCCTTTGAGGTTGAACTGAGGGAAATGGATTCGAAAATGAGTATGACCAACAACGACATTGGCCTAATGGGAAGAGGTAAATTTTGCCTCAGCACCAGTATTGCATTTATGCGGCCTCGTCATCTTTGACAATTCGACATAAACACCAATAGTCCTCATCTATATGGACTATCTTCTATTCTACCTAGATCTATCTGGGCAACATCGACTTTCGTCGTTTTCTCTTTTGTTTGATGCCTTCTTCAGTTATACAGCTAGCCTGGTTGTAAAGGGCTAGAACTCCCGCATGGGAATTCAGCATAGGGGAGAGAGGTGGGGGAGAAAGACAAGCTCTGTCATGAGAGCTACTGGAAAAGGTGTTATTTGTTACGTGCATACACGGGCGTCAGGAATGAGCATTTGCACATATATTACCAGGTGGCAACAAGATCATGGACCGGAGTTTTATTTTTTATTTTCATTTGTTATTGTTCTTTTTGCATTTCAGGCATGTTTATTTTGTCTATGTTGCATATCAAGTGGCGGAGAATGAGGGCAAGAGGCCATGTGTCGGCGGCACATTGGGGATATCCGCATATATACGCATATATCGCTCGTCTATTGTACATACCGCAATACATTTGATTCATATGTCTCGTTTGAACGATATAGTAAGATGACCATTTTTGAGAAATCTTGATATTGCGTATATATTTATGCTTAAAGAGTAACAGTATTCATGGGGTATCATGTAACCAAATCTAAATCCAACCAATATCCTACCACTCGCTCCCCTTTATCGTGCCCAAGCATGTCCTTGAGATGTTATAGTCTCTTTTTGTGCAATCCAACAGACATAGACAAAATATAGTCTATCCATTCAACCTGTGCTATAGGCGCATATATAGCTCTCGGACACTGACCTTTCATATCCCAGACAAGAGAAAAGAAAAGGGTTTAATTTTTAATTTCTTTTTTTTAAATCGACTGGTGCTTTCCAATCGCCAGTTTTATCACACCTCACTCCGAAACAGCCTTGTCCACCTCCCTCGCCTCCGCAGCCAGCTGGTCCACGACAGGCGCCAGCGCCGCGTTCGCGCTCTTGACGTCCCCGACGGCGGCCTCTAGCGAGTCGAGCAGCGCCTCGATCTCGGCGCGCTGGTTGCGGATCTGCTCGTAAAGGATGGCGTTGTGGGACTGGGCGGTCTGAAGCTTGGCGTTGAGGAGGGATTGGTGGGAGGCGAGAGAGGGGGCGAGATGGGCGGAGAGGATGTCTTTGGCGGGGAGGAGATGGGGTCTATATATTTTTATTTTCATTTTCATGTTAGTAGACTCTTTTTATTTTCTTGTGTTCTGTAACGTGGTAGATTGTACGAGATGGACTCTTTTTTTTTTCTTCAAAACAAGGAGAAAGAGAAAGGTGGTTCGTACGGAGTTGGTTTAGGAGCGTCGGGCGCTGATGATAAGCGTCGGTGGGTGGCGTCTGCGACGAGGCTTTCGAGGTCGTTTAGCTTCGGCACGACTTGCCTCGCAATGAGGATGCTTTCGAATTCTCTCTGGCAATTGATATTGATCCGTCAGCAAGACTGCCTCTGCTCACTGTCTCTTGTCCCTTCCCTAGGGCCCTCATACCTCGCATTTCTCCGCCAACTTGTCCGCCATCTGCGTCTGGACCTGCTTCAGCACCGGCTCCGCCTTCTTCGCCACCGTCGGGTAACAAGCCGCGAAGTTGTCCCATTTCAGCTTGCCCAGCGTGCGCTTCAAGCTTTGCGCGTAGAGCTCTTGGAACCGAGTTGCACGGGGGCCGGGGACGACTGGCGCTGCTGGTGCTGGTGCTGGTGCTGATGCTTGTGGTTCGGATGCTTGGGCTTGGTTGTTATTGTTGTCCCCGTCGGCATGGGTGTCTTGAGCTGGCGCTGTGTCGTCGGTCTCCATTGGAGTGTTTGATTGTGATGCTCGAGCTCGAGCTGGAGCTTGAGCTTGGGATGTAGTCGCCATTTGGTTGATGCTTTCCCTTTTTATTGCCCCCCTCCTCTCCAATTTGTGAAGAATGTATCAATCACCCGGGCACAGCTCGGCGAGAAAATACAATTGAACGTGGTGCATACAAGTGTGAAGTTAGGATAGAATGGCTCAAAAGAAAGGTTGAAACAAAAGTATGTTGGAATAATAAATGCCTGGAGCTGTCATAAACTAAGCGCGTTGAACTTCTCCATTAAAGAGACGCGAACGTGGGGTTGCGTCTTGACGTCTTTAGCACGTGACGGCGGCTTTCCAAAAATACTTGAGAGGAGGCAAGGTTGATTTAATCTTTGAGTGGGTTTTTTTATCGCCTTTGAAATCGTTCGATTTACCCTTTTTTTGGTCTTTTGATGCGGTTTGGCTGCTTGCAAGCACTTTAGACTCTTAATTGCCAAACTGCTGCTTATCTGCCGAGTAATAGTGTCGGATGTTCCCAAATGCTTGTCATAGCACTCACTTATACGGCACCTATGACCCAGAATGAGGCCTTGTATCGCAGTCTTAAATGTTCAATAGTAGTATTTGTAATGAACAATACATCAGCTGAGCACCGTACGATATTAGTCGCTAGTGCTATGATCCATAATCCCGTGTCTATATATATATATAACTCTCCAAACAAATGCTATCCCATGCTCGCTTTTCTTCTCGTCCCTCGAGTTTTATCTCTCTATATACCCAATTCTTTCTCAACTCTTTTTGATCTTCCTCGAAGCTTGGTATCAGTTTTCAATTCATAACACAGTCATAAAACCCACCCAATGTATCCTTCTCCTACCAAGGGCCCAGAAGAACCAGCCTATAACTCTCGCCCATGCCCTTCTTCCCGTCTGCAATCCCGAAAAAAGAAAAGCCATTGATATATACGTATGTGTGTGTGTGTGTGTGTGTGTGTGTGAAAGAAAAAAAAGTGTCGAAATTAATTTGCCGCCAAAATAGCAGCCGCATCTGGCGCAGAGGTGCGATCATTCTTGCCGCCGTCCCTCCTCAACTCTTCTGCCTCTTTCTTCTTGCGATCCTGCTCCCGTTGACGCTCGTGGCTGACATACGTAGCATACCGAATGGTACCTAACGTCACAATGGCCATGAAGAGGATGCCCACTACGGATCGGCGGATGAGAATCCACCGTACGCCTTCGATTTCCGACTTGGAGTCGCTGCTAAGCATGATGCTGATTTTGTAGGTGATTTGTTGAATCTGGCGAACAACAGTTAGTAAATATAGTTTCCTTCCTATATAAAGGAGGCCAAAGGTGGCTTACAGCACTATCCGCTCCCTTTTGCTCCTCTCTAACAGTCATCTTTCGATCGTTAAAGAGTCCTCGCACATTATCATTCAGAGTCAGCAGCTCCTGATTCAACGTCTGCGTTAGGATGTCGACTTCGTGCTGTAGATGCGTGCGCTGCTGTCGAATCTGCTCATCCTGCGCGCGGCGGTTGTTATTGATCTCAGCACTCAGCTCAGAGCACGCCGCAGAGAACAAATATGACTCCTACATATCGAACAGTTAGACCAACACTTTCTTCTTCTTCTTCGAGAATAGCCGGGAATCGAAAGGGCACCTACGTTTTCTACGTCACTCTTGCTAACAAGCTTTTCCTGCGCTATATCCAAGTTATGCGCCAGGATAGCTCGCACAGCCTTCATCAAGGTAGTAGCCTGGTCGCTCGAGTATCCGCCCTCTTGCAGCTGCTTCACCAGGGAATAGCTGTCGAAATGATGAACATATTTCGGCGGGGACATGGACGGCATCGACGACGACAAGCTCTCGGGGGCGCCCATGTAATAGACGGAATCCAGCTTGTCGCTCATCTTTGGGGTATCTTTGGGTTTGTCTGTCTTGGGTTCGGCGCTTGCGGTCGAAGACGAATCACTCGAATCAGTCTGCGGCTTAGGTGGCCCCATTGGTATTGCTTCTGTTTCCGCACTCGTTGGCTCTGGTGACTTTGGCTCAGCTTGCGTCTGAGCCGACTTGGGGCCCTGCTGTTGACTCTTCAAAGCTGCTGCGTCGGTCTCTGGGGCATCTGCTGCAGCAGCCTGGCTTGCTTTCTTCTCTCCGCTCTCAAAATACAGCTTGCCAATGTCAGACTTGGCCTGGGCCTCGGTTGGTGACTCCTCGGTGGTGCCAGCCGTCGCTGTCTTATCTTGCGTTGCCCTTGTCTGCTCATCTTGCTCCTGCTGCTTCTGTTGTTGTAGCTGCTGCTGCTGCTGCTTCTCCCATTCAGCGGGCTCAACAGCCTTTCCATGCCTCTTGGAAATCAAGCTGTTCCATCTTACGGTCGTTGCAGCATTCGTCGTCGTCGTCGCCGTCGCCGAGGCCGAGGCCGATGTCGCCCGTCCCAACGTCGGGCTGCAGCCCCTCGTAGCCGCGCGCACCAATTGAGGATACAAAAAAGTAAGTCTTCCCGCGGCGGCCATGGCTTTTAAAAAGATGGGAAAACAGGAATATGCAGTAGATATAGCGGTCTAGAACAGAGGTCAAGAACGACGACGAAAAGGGCTTGAGGAAAAGCCCAATTATCCCGCTGTGCCGGAGATTCTGACTAGGCGCACGTTATAAGTCGGGGCGGTTCATCGGGTGCGGCGCTCGAGTGCGACACAATGCTCCTCTTGGGAAATAATTCAAGGAACGAGACCAGGTCATTGGTAAAGGGTAAAGGAGTGAGTGGGACGCTGGAGCTTCAAGTGCCATAAAAGTGGCTATCGTCGGAACAAGTGCCGCAGTTGAAGAAGATGCGGGCGAATGGCGCTAAAAAGTTGATCCGCTGTATACTCGCTCTTGATCGATGCACACTCCGAAAGTGCTCCGGTAATTACGTAGGTACTATAATTTACGTGCCAACAATGTGAACTGGTATACTCGATATATGTTGCAATTGAGACGAACCATACAAATACAGTCACTGTTCCAATCACCTACACGGCGATTCGTTACCTCATTAGACACAATCGAGCAGGAGAACAACTCAGGCATCAGCAACTGGTCCTCATTCTGTAGTGAGACAAATGAGTATCCCAAAAACTCTCTACAGTTCCTCTATGGACGTAAATCCCAGACCCCAGGTGTCAGCGCCTCCCAACCGTTAACGATAAAGTACATTTGCATCCCTTGCCATCCTTATGTGCCTAGTGCTGCCTGGTTCCCTAACATCTGTTGGAAAAGGAGTGACCAAATAGAAAACGACCAAGTCGATAGACCAATAAAAACAAAAGGAAAAGGATAGCACAAAAGCCGGGAAAGTTTTTTGTAAAAAGAGGAAAAAAAAAAAAAAATAGAAACGGTAAAGAGAAACGTGAAGAAATAAACTCCGAATTATTCCCAAGAAAAGAAAATCCCAAATTTGTGTTTCGTCGTCCGTGAAAAATGCCAAGTTCCGGGATAAATATACCGCAGCTTCATATTCGCTGGTCCTGACAAATATCCAGAAACGACCGTCCGCATGCAGTCGTAAGTATGCCAGCGAGAAGGGGCAAAGCCACTATGCGTCTTCTGTTTGCAATATTATAATAATAATAATAAAAGAATAAAGTAAAATAGACTTGCACATTATTAATACCACATATCCATGCCGCTGTAAAAAAGGGGGTACCGGGTGAAAGAAAACGGGTGATTTGTAAAAGTCTATTGGCCGTCTTCCTAGCCTCTTGCACCCCCGGCTGGCAAATGCGTTGTGTGTTTATGTTTCTTTCACGCTGGATCAAATTTTCCTCTGTTGTCGTAATACATTTGTTCGAAGAAGTAAAAGCCGAATCAAAGAATGTGCTTAATGAATATGTAAAGCGAGCAGCTCTACGACTCAACATCTTGAACCTGTAGAGCCACCCCAGGGATAGAATTGCTTGAGCCCTTGTCTGCCGTGTCGTTAGATGGGGCCCCGACAGCACTGGCGTGAGTGCTGGGCGGGCTGCTGCTTTGGGGACTGTTGGTTTCATGTGTCAGGGAGGGAACCTCGGCAACGGAGTTGGTGTCTGACTGAGTAGATGTTTCGCTCTTGGAGCCACTCAATCCGAGGAGCTTCTCCAGTGCCTGGAGCTGCCGAGAAGCGCCGCTCTTCTTTAGGTTGTAGAATTGGGGCTTGATCTCCTCGACTAGAGCATCTCTCTCCTCACCCTGTAGCTGACCCAGCATCTTTTCTACTAAGAGTTAGCGATATAATCGTGGATAGAACGAAACAAGTATTTTCTTGCGCAACAGCAGGTCAAAACTTACGAATAACATAGTTGCCAAACTGGTCTCTCATCATCTGTTGCAGGGGGTTGTTTCCATCTGGCCCAGCAGTGGTTAGCTGCTCTCGAATGGTTGTACGCTGTGCGGGCGTGCCGAACTCGATGCACTTCTCCACCACGTTGGACGCAAATTTGTGCTTGGAGAGCGTGAGGAGCTGGCCCATGACCAACTGGATAATCCGCTCTCGGTCCTCCAGTTCGCCGTTCTGGATGACATGCTGGGCGACGTAGTTGCCGTACTGGTCAGTAATCAGAATCTGAGCAGAAGCGTGGAGCTCGCCCATGATTTCTGCCTTGTCTTCCTCAGTGCCGTGTTCCAGCAGTCGCTGGATAACGCGGCAGCCATAGGCGTGGGATGCCAGAGGAGTAACTTGGCCGCGCACTGCATTCATAATAAAGTCGATGTACTGTCTTGGGACGAGCTCAATAATCTTCTGGACAACATGGTTGCCGTTTTGATCTTTGATTACTCGTAAGATCTCAGGCTCCAGCTCTCGGGTCAGCTCGGCCTGCTGCTCGACCAGGATGTGCTCAAGAGCCTGAAGAAATAAGCATTAGCAGGGATCCAAAAGTGAATATAGGTAGTTGTTTGCGGGCATGTGCTTACCTTTTGAACCACGCGACAAGCATAGACCTGGACGGACAGGTCAACCACTTTACCCTTCATCTTCTCTGCTAGGATCTTCTTCTGGAGTTGGCTTCCGTATTCGAAAAACTTCTGCACCACGTAGTTGCCAAAGACGTCCTTCATCAGCTGAAGGGCATTGGGTTCAATCTCTCGGAATATTTGCTCCTTCTCATCGCTATTAGCGGTCTCTAGCTTCTGTTGGATGAACCTCGAGCCATGTTGATCCCCGCTGAACTCAACGGCGTGGTTGTAGATGTCTCTGAGCTCGTATCGCTTGTTAGACTTGTTGCCATTTACGCGGAACTCGTCCAATAAAGCGCTACGCATGCCCTTGCTAGGGTCTTGGTCTCGAGAGGGCCTAATTGGAGTCATGGAGTTGAGGGGATATCCAGGGATAGATGGGACGGCATAGTTGGGCAGCATAGGTCGAAAGTTTGAAGTGTAGGCCTCGGGGTAGGAGGGCGAATACTGAGAAGGGATCTGGGCGTAACCGAATTGGTTCGGATAGTACTGTGCAGGGAAATTCGAAGCAGCGAATTGTTGCCCAGAAGGCCTTCGCTCATGATCGGCAGTCCTCTGACCTCGTGACGATGGTCTGCTCATCCAAGCCTCTGCGCCCGGGGCGAAAACTCTTGAGCTGGAGCCCGGGTCAAGGCGGTAGGCGGCGCCGGATGCTGGCGACACTCTGTCGAGGGAAGGGCGCCTTACGGCAGAGAGCTGCGACAAGAGGGGATCTGTGCCGAATTCAAAGCTCCCAAGCCTTGAAGGGCCGCTCTCGCTCAGCCACGGCGCAGAAGCGGGGTTGGAATGGAAGGGAACCGAGGCAGGATTGAAGGGCTGTCCACCAGTCGAGCCATTGTTCAGGTTGATCTGACGGGCCATTCGAAGGGAGATGTCGTCATCGACTTGTCTGTTGAGGCTGAATGCTCGCTGGTTTGCGACTTGAGGGTAGGATAACGAGTGGTTGGATAGCTGTCTCGTCGAGTGTATCGAGTTGCTGGGGGTGTGGCCGCTGCCCTGGTGGTATAGCTCGGTAAATGCTGGAGAGCCCTGAGATTGTCGAGAAGGTGGGAGGCTAGCATCTCGGGGTTGAGCAAATACTGCCAGAGGATCGATGAAGGCGCCATCTGAAGGGCCTCGCTTTTGCGCAGCAAAGGCAAAGGTATCCGACTCGTCGATAAAGCTGCCGGAGCCACCTAGAACTTCCTTCTTCACACCAATGGCTGCCGGGTGATGGTTTGGATAAAAGACTGAGGGGTTCGAAAGACCTGCATCTCGCGCTCGACCGGGCGAGTTGCTAACGGAGCGGGCAGGGTTCTCTGCGTTCCAAGGCTTGGAGTTTGAGACCCAGCCCTCAGCCTCGGAGGTTGCGTGGAGGGCACTGGACCCGGTGGGATTTTCTTCTGATTCTGCATCATTGTGGTGAGTGGTAAGCCGCTTGCATGGAGACGACGGGGAAATAGTGTAGGAGAGGAGCGGGAGCGAAGATGAGAGCGCCAGCGCCGACGCTGCCCATCATCGTGTCTCTCGCGATGAGGCACACACACCTTTGGGGCCAACAGAGCGATCTCTGGCATTGGGAAAAGTCGACCAGATATTTTTGTTCGGATAGAGATTGGAGCCGGGAAAGCCCGAGCCCACGGGCTGCTGGGCCTTTTCGGCAGATCCAGAGGGCATGGCAAAGCTGGAATAGACCCTCAAGCGTGTCTGGAGACAGCAAAGCAAAACAAAAGATGACAGTTAGCGATTGTGCGGCGGTCAGAATGGACGAGCAAAAGACGAAACAACGCTGAGGTTGGGACGAGGGCCAAGGCGTGGGGATCAGGCCTTTGTGACCCGCTAAGGGCGAATCAAGCCTCCTTCCGCTGGCGCTAGTCTGGCGCAACCTTTTGAGACACTTGAGCGGCCCCCCTCTGACGTCGTGGTGCTGGGCGGCTTCTGGGTTCGAGTGCTGTTTGCACTTTGGCAGCGCTGCGCTGCACTGCAAGGATTGAGGAGTGGGGGGAGAGGAGAAGGGGACGGACATGGAAGGGGAGTGATGGGAGGGAGATCAGCTAGAAACTAACCTTTGGCTGACTCACCGCAGTCGCCATCCTGTGCTGAATGGCGGACGGGAGACGGCAGGGGAGCGTCGAGAGGAGAGAGCGTCGAGAGGCGTAGAGAGCGAGGAGGCAGAGAGAGTGTGTGTGTGTGCGCGCGCACAACAGCGGCGAGAGGCGATGATGATACAAGACCAGCCGGCGAAGTCGTGCCTTGTCTTGGTGTCCCAATGGATACCCAACTCGACTCGCCTCAGCTGCGTTGCGTTGCTTCGCTCTGCTTGCTTGCTTGCTTGCTGCTCAAGCCAACCTATCCACCGCTGCTCGCTAAGACGGACGGATGCACTCCTCCGGGTGGTACCAGCTCGGTGCACCACCGAACCGACCAGAATCAGGTGCGGATGCAAAGATATGCAGCTACAACTGCAGATGCACGGCAGAGCCACTGCCAGGCTTGCGCTGGTGCCAGCAGACCAGCGTCAACTGCAGCCAAAGCAAATCAGCGCCCAGCGAACGCCTAAAGGTGCGGGCCTGGCACTCTGGGGAAAGCGTCGAGCCTACTCACAGCCTCGAGATAGCCGACTGGGGGGGCCTTTTGCGTTTCCGACCCCTGTGGCCGTTGCTGGATATGCCGGTAGTGGTGGTTGTGCTAGTAGCCTTTAGTGAGCGCTTGTTATGCCGTGTCGTGCTGGGCTAGCTGCCTATGCTCGTATGTAGGAAGGCGTCGCAATAAGTACTTCCGGAAGCTGGCCCTCCCTTGGAGATAAGGGCCAGAATGCTTGTTATGGATCTCAGACGGTCAAGAATACCGGGGCAGAACCGAGGCAGGACGTGGAAAAATTAATTCCCAAGCAGGAATAGCAGGTCATGTATGTTTTCGACGGAAAAGATTATTGCCTGGACTTTGGCCGGGGTAACACTGCGATGTTCAATACGTGTCAGCGGTGGAGAAAGTTGAGTCGCAGTGGGCGCGCGCAAGGTTTTTGTTCTTTTTCTTGGCTTTCCGTTACAGACGAAATTTGTTCAAGAGAAATTATGTTCAAGAGGGGAGAGGATAAACACAGCGTCGAGATCATGTACAATACATATAATTAGGCATGTTATAGACAGTTACAACGACCAGAGGGATTGGAGAAGAGGAGGGGAGCAAAGAGGGAGACGCTTAAATAAAGGGATATCGGGATCTGGCGCTATGGCAGACGTCCGAAATGAATGTTTTCCATGCGATCTCGACGCGAACAGCGGGGCCTTGGAGATGTTTTTGCTTGTTGCAGAGCGACAGAGACTCACCACAATGACTGCAGATGTCTTATTCTGAGCGATGGCGCTTTGGCTTGGAGCGAAGGGGTTGGCAACCTTGCAGTACTTGTATGTCTTATTTTGGCTGATGCGTTCGAAATAATATAGGCACAGCGAGGACGCTTGTTCTTGGCTCGAATTTTGTAAGTGCGGGCTGTGTTCTGCATGTACAGAGGCGAAGAGCCACAACGGTTCAACTCGGGCACCAATGAAAATCAGAGCAGCAAAAAGGAAGATCAAACATTAACTGAGAGCGAGACGAGATGAATAGAAAGTAGCCCCGATGGACAACTGCTTCCTGTTTGGCGGTCTTGCTAGAGAAGGATCGAGAAATCAACGTAATTTTTTATGTCCAGTGCGCTTAAGAACGATTTTTATGAGAGAGAGACACAAAGATGAGAGCGAGGAGAAGACGAAAGAACTGGATGGCCTAACGATGCGGGCTCGATGGGCTAGATGTATGGCGGCAGCAATGAGACGAGGAGGCGAGGTCAATGGGCAGAAATGCTGGGTCGGAATGTAGATGTAGCAAACCGGCAGAGACCCTCGAATCACAGGAGGCCAAGGGATGGAGATGGAGTGAGGAATGGTGCGCGAGACAGCCTCTCTAGGAAGTCAAAAGGGAGACAGCAGAGGGGAAAATAATAAAATAAAATACAAGGCAAGGCAAGGCAAGGTAAGGCAGGCAAGGTGAGGTGAACTGAAATGAACTGAATTAGGCCGAATTACAGTGAAACGAGTGAGTGAGTGGGTGAGTGAGTGAGTGCTAGCAGTATACATGTACTGCCGTTTGCTGCCCTTCTCTTCTCCTTAGGCCCAGCAAAGGTGGATGGGGACAAACACGCAAGCATGAGTACAAGGCAGAGAGCGCGCACAAGGGCGTGGTCACGGCTGAAACTCTTCTCGGGTGCTCTGCTTGCTCTCTTTTTTACATCTACGAGATATGTGCAGCCCACTGCTACGCTTAGATTAGGCAGTGCTTGCCAGCGTGTGTCCGGCTGTTGCACAGGCATTCGATGTTACGGAAACATATATCGAGATGGGGACACTAGCGGTGATTGGGCCGAGGGCTGGAAAGATCAAGAAGGGGCCCCGAAAGATTGAAGGGTGTTGGCAGGTTCCAAAGCACGGGTGGATAGAGACAGCTACTATTGAATGTATTAGAGAGCGGGCGAGTGGGAAGCCAAATAGTCGTTCAACTCAACCAAATAGGCTCATGCTAATACGATGCGCTGCATGCCATGCAATGCCAGTATAGCGCATAGACGGGCCATCGACAAGACACGAGGGGAGCCCTCGCGCCATCGGTACGAATTTGACGGGCCAGGGGGGCTGTTCCTCCATTCTCATCAGACCCTCCCGCCCGACAGAGACACGCCAATCAAGGACCAGGCCGGCAGAGGCTCACCAACCTAGCAATCAAGCATATCGATGCTACTCCGTAATACACTGGCAGACGACTGAAGGAGGGTTGCGGTGCAGCACTAGGGCCGGCCTTTTTTTGCGAGATGCTACTTCGTACACCTGGAGGCAGCAAAGATGCAGATTGATGATCAACAGCTAGTAATACGAAGCACACAACCTCATGTAGCAATAACAAGGGCCCGTAACCACGAGGCCACCCGTGATCTACGTGCGTGAGCAGTTTCGTCTTTACTACTCCCAATTGCCTCTTTGGCCAAAATAGCACTTGGATATGGAGTCCGGAATACGGGAGGGGGGCACGCTAATGTGGCCATTTGGGAATCTAGCGGGGAGACGGGAAGAATGAAAGAGAGAGGCGGAGGAGATGAGATATGATGTGCCGGATAAGCCTCTCTCGGTAGGAAAAAGATGCGCGGCTCATAATACGGAACAGTTGGAGACGGATACACGTCTTCGTCCACATATACCTTAGGCACTTACTTGTAATAACCACGCATCGTCACCAGAAATGGCGACATTGCATTGCATTAGGTGCACCTTGTAAAGAAGAAGAGCAGCGGCCAAGCGCAAACTTTACCAGTACACGAAACACGACCCGTCACCGTTGCGGGAAAGATGGAGATGGAGATGTAGATGCAGGGATACATGCATTGATGACCTAAGAAGTCAAAATCAAACCTAACAGACGGATGGGCAACTACCAGGTAGGTAGGTACCGGTGCAGGAGTCTGGTTTTTTCTCTGCTCTTCTCTTTTTTTTTTCTTTTCTTTTTTTTCCCTATCAATTGAATACTATCGAGTCAGGATGTCACTAATACATATCAATCAATACCTGCTAACCCAAGGCACCTAGTTGGCAGTACTAACATAGAGGAGGGACAGATACAATACTTGGGAGTCATGGTTCGGAGTAATATCAACTCTCCGTTCCATGGCACTTTGTCTGGTTCGATGGCATTGAAGGCAGCAGCCGCCAAGTACATGTATTCATGCTTCCACCTCCACGTTCCCCTAAACCTAAACATGTCGATCAACACGTACCCTTCTATAAGTGTTATATTAGCAAATTCGAAACACCAAAACGAAATAACGGACACGCAATCCACCTACTACTACTTGCAAACACACAACGCCAAAAAGGAAAAGGAGACGGGCAGAGCTCGAAGCATAACGCAAAAGGCAAAGAGATTGAGAGGCTACAGGCACTGCACTCCATAGGTAGTCAGTGCGCCGCACATCGTTATGTGCCGCGACCCCTGCCCCTGGCCTGGCTGCTTGGCTTACTTAGCCCGAGATCTTCTCCTCCTAGAGTTGGCAAGCTGTGTCCCCGCTGGCCCAGGGCCAAATCGGACATGCCCAATCAAGCCTAGCAACTATCAGCAGATAGTAGTGCCCAATAGTCGACTATGGCCTTCATACATTGAGTCTTCATACAGTAGACGACGCTGACTCCCTCTCGCATATACCTACATGTATGCAGGTCGCAAGCTCGTCTCAAGGATGAGCTTGGGGTTCGCAGACACATGGCAAATCGCCGTCTCTTGGCCGGCTCTTTCGACCGCCTTCTCTGCCTTGTCTGGTATACGGGGTAACGTTAGCTTACTACGGAGGGCTAATCTCGAGGCGGCGCCCTGCATGTCTCTCACTCAATCATCTGAGTCCGGTGCTACGAAGACGAGTAGTAGGTAACACTCCTCCTGCTGATGCTGAGCCACGAACAGCACGGGCACGGAGTGCCACTGCTGGATACAATCGACAATGGACCTCTGTTTCCATGGCAGGGATGGCGCCTCCTCAACTCCCATACCGTGGAATTGATCCGACTGCCTGAGCGAGGCAAGCACTGGAAGAAATGCTCCGCCAAGCATACCCTCGGGAATTGTCTTAGTCTAAAAAGGCCTGTGTCGTCTCATTATAAGATCCCATGCTCGGCGAATCACAGAACTCAAAAGCTTTACACAAGGGGTTGTACCGCGTATTGACTATGTGGCACAGGTCTTGTCTTCTGCCACAACGTTCGCTGACGATATTAGTTCGTAGCTTCTTTTACCCAGCATGGCGAAAGACGATGTCGCTCATTCAGCCCGGTCTTGACATGAAATCGCTTCTTTCACTTATTCTGTATTGCCTTTAGCTACCGACTAGACCCTACTCGGAAGCAACAGACATATAGTCAGCAATGTTGCTATTGTCTCTCTCTCGATGTTGCCACTAATCCCTCTCGTGAACAGGTGTCTCACTCTGACACGAACCCGCCGAACAGGATCGGGAGGTGGGGGGAGGGATGAGAAATAGCATGCGAGCAGTGCTGGATCGCTTCATTGGGTCTCCCGCCATGAGCTTAAGCGTATCCCGCGTTCCTTAAGGGAAATTCTCCGAAACTGCCGTAGTTAAGGATATATTATCAGTATTGGGGAGAGTATTGGTGCTGATTCTTCCCTGAGAAAGCCGGTGGATAGATTCAGGAACTAATACTATCTCTAGACCACGTTTAAAAAAAAAAAATTGCCTTGCCTCGTGAGTCCTCTCGCCTTGTTCAGGCAACGTTCATCTATATGAGTGCGAAAACGCAGCTATGTGGGCAACACAAGGTGTCATTGGAAGGCAACGACGGTGTTGGCTACGAGAGAGCGAAACTAAAATTCTGAAGACTACTTAATACTACCAATAGCACTACGGTATTGCATTATAGTATGCACATTATGCATTTGTGTTACTCGAGCGGCTCCGTGTTACCAGCCAGCGCTCCTCCATTCTCTCACCTTCTCTTTCTTATTTGATAAGAATGGCTAGCTGGTTCTCAAGAAATACGGGTGTGGTTCTAGCAACAAATTCACTCCGGTAGCGGCTCAATCTTATGCTGGAATATAACAAGACAAATACACTCGCTGGTGGTCCGCAGCAGCCTGGCAAAATCGCATCACGACATTGTTCAGAAGCTATGGGGCTGAATGAGTTACGGAGCTGCTCCACTCTCATGGGAATGCTACTATCCCGTGCGCAGAGTTAGCAAACCCTCCACAGCATGACACTGATTAGTCGTCTGACAGTTTCCACAGAAATCGACCTCATTGATGGATAAATTTTTGGACTAGGTCACTGCTTTGACCGTTGCGCCGCCAACCTTGCAAATATTCAGCACAAGGCAGGCTTTTTGACCTGCGAGAAACTATCACGCTCCTTATTGTTGCATCGAATCTTCCAGCCTTGGCCACTAATAGCCTCATTGCATAGCACGAATATTACGGTGTCCACGGGGGGGCTTTCCTCTTTGCCTAAGCCTCTGCCTAAAAGATAAGCCATAATGATGCGCCGATGCTTCATCGATCTTGGCTTCCTACTACAGGCAAGCTTGATTGAGACTCGCATCTGGCGGCCCGACTGCACACGCTCTGGGGCTACCGTCCGAGGAAAGCCTTGATCAGACCCAAAAAGTGTGGGTTGAGTCTGTGATGGCGGACCGGCATCGCTTGGTCTCTGGATGTTTGCCTGTCACAGTATTTTGCAGCCGTAAGATGCGACGGGCCACGGGCATGAAAATCGGGAAGCAGATCTTTACTGTCGCACAACTATCACGGTAATACAGAAAGAGTCGAATGTTGGCATACGCCAGGAGGCCACATCGATCTTATACCTTTGCAACAAAGCTCAAGCACGTTGAGGTTAAATGCAACCGCAGTGTGGGAGTGAAAGTCCAAGTCCAGCCATCTGCAACGACATGCATTATTTTGCAGTCTTATCTACTCAAATTTACCGATTTGATTAGTATCATACCACTAAACTATTAGGTTAAAAGGGCCCTGCTGTGGCGCGCATTATGCCATCGGAAGCGACGATTCGTTAATATTCATACATGTAAACTAAAGGACCTTCTTCGGCCGGAGTTCAGGACTGCTCGATCGGTCTAAAAGCCGGCATGCTGCGTGGGCGAAAAAATGGACAAACGCAAAGTCAAAGCAGCATATGCATGTGCAAAACAGAAAGTGCGTGGCACGCTCGACTTAGGCAGAGTTCTTGGATGGGAGAAGCCGGTTATCATGAGCCACCCGTGGCAACTTCCTCTGCTCTTCCTTTTCTTCTTCGTATTCTTCTTCTTCTTTCGTTCTTGAGATCTCAATGTCCAACCTTAGCAACAGCTAGGGCAGTATTCCGGCCATTCGGTGGAAAGCGAATCGATCCATGTTAAACCGTGTCATGCGGTCCCACCAAACTGAGCCCAAATAGGTATCTCACGAAGCTGGAAAGGGCTTGCGTAGGGACCAGGGGGTTAGAAGAAAGCAGGGGAGAATAGCCTACGGCGAGAATAGAAGGATTTCAGGAATATTTCGTGGCATGGGGTTTGTGGCACAAGAAGCCGGAATAGGATGTTGTTAATGGGCTCTCTTGAACCATTACCGACGACGACATTGTGTTGAACTAGGCTTTTTGAATTAGCTGCATTCACTGTTCTTCGTTCCTGATTTGCTGTTTTTATAAAAGAGTTATAATACAGGGATGGTTTTATTTGGATATTTTCTCTTTTGAGTAGTGAGGAATGTTCTTACTGAGACCTTCTCAGCCGGGGTGGAGGATGGAGAATGGAGGATGGAGGACATGTAACATATAAGTTTTATGAAAAGGCGGCCCGAAATATAAGCATGGGTCGTAATGAGGGTGTTTATTCTATTCTGCATTTCTAGATATTATGACTGCTCTTCTTCTTGTGTTGGTTGTATCTATGGCTGCACTTCTGTCTGTACGCAATATCTCATTTTCTTAGTCGAGCTTTTAAGAGCGAGCTTATCCTAAACACAAACGAACCGGACAAGTCATCATGGGAATATGGTTCAAATGCGAAATATGGTAGAATATAGCTATACATCACCTTTTTTAACCGTAGTGCTTTGTCTCCAAATAGGCGCTAGGACCAAGGAGAATAAAAAGGGCAGATCATCAATACACGGGTTAGTACAGCAAGTGTAGGTTAGCAATGACGTTCATGATAACAACATACCCAAGAAGAAGACATTTCCTACAGCACTACACTCATTGAGCATTGAAAGTAAGGTTTATGGGGCTATGTTATTCAGATAATAACATACATTCTGAACAAATAGTATGTTCATACGGCGCAGATCATCTGTTCATTGTGTATACATAATATGTGCTCCGTGGTGATAGACCTTGATGTGGTCTCAGCGCAATATCCCAGTTGCGGCTATTCTTAGACATCGCCTTATGAAATGCAACACGTGACGGCATGTAATTGAGCATCTCGCTGAATAAGACCTGTTATGCTGCCCCAACACGCCACTCTGGAGATGTCCGAAACAAGCCGCTTGCGACGTGCTGGGGGAGCTTAGAACAAGCACAAGCACAAGCACAATCCTACAAATCACTGCCGCCTGTGCTCTGCCCATAAGGCAAAAAAATAAAATAAAAAAATAAAATACAGATCACACCGCATTAGCACCTGTCGCGTGCTATTGCGAAACGCGCGCACGTCTCAGCGGGCGGCTCACACAAAGCGCTGCAGTTGCGCAGCTTGCAGCAAGCAATGGATGTGGCATGACCTGTCGAGTCTCTCTCACCACCCATCAACCCGTTGCTCTGGCCGTGGCCATGGTCGTGGCGCTGGTCATGGCCTTTAATCAGGATCTGTCCTAGCCCGAGCGACTATTTGCAAGTCGGTTGATTGGGTACGAGGATAGCTTTAATAGGCCCTCGAACGCGCTCATTTTTTTTTTGCTTCTGGCCGTTGTCGTCGCTTAGACGTTCGCCGCTGACAGGGGCAGAAGGATCTTGAATGGGATGGCAGCACTCCAACACGGCCGGCACTAGCAAGCTCCGGCCAATAGCGCTGCGAGGCGCTGCCGGGAGCCCCGCTGGCCGCAGCTCTAGCGGGGGGGAAGCACCAGTTCGAGCTCAACGGCGCTATAAATGGCTGCATGGCCCCTGCTCCGGCGCCGCCCGGCCATTGGCCACTGCGTCCAAGCGCCAGGGGCACAGCGCTGTAGGTAATTTCCCAGCCTCCACCCCGCCCGCATGGGGGGCCACTTAGGGGACTCCCAGGCCGCTGTCCTGCATGCGGTAGCGCCTGGGCGCCCTGTGGCCTCACCCAGAACGGGATCCCTGCGGAAGGCAAGACCTCTCTTCGAACTTTCTCCCCCCCGTTCTGCTTCTTTCTCTCAACCATCGTCGCTGGTCCAGGAAGAAACAGAAAAAAAAATCTCTTTTGCTGGAAGAGAGGCGTCTTTTTCATTCATTGTCGCACTCTCTCCTGACCTTCTTTTTCTATAGCTTCGTTCGCTCTTCTTAGGAAGACTCTCTACTTTGGAACACAGTCTTCATTCTTTTAGCTGTGTCTCCGTCCGGTCCTTTCTCATTGCCTATCCGCGTTCTTCACCACTCCTTTTTTGATAAACCGACGACGACTACGATATACATTCCTTTTTTTCTGTCTTTTCCTGTTTCACAGATTAGCTGGGACTTACGTTTCCTAAAACTGTGAAAAGAAAAAAGTGGAAAAAAAAAAAATTATGTGAGTTGCACTGCGCCGGTTCCGTCTCATTGTTTCGCTGCGACACGGATTGGTATGAAGATGGGGAATGGTGTGACGTTTACAGAGGCTGGGCGATCTGCTGGTGTCAACCCCTCCATGGCACGCCGTGACGCATGGTCTGTTCGTTTGTCTGTCCGATCGCGGTTATGTGAAGTGACGGTGACGTGAACATTGGTGATGGGACGAAGCCAACAAGAATATCATGGCCACCCATCCTATCAATTCCTCTCTCTCCCTCTCACTTGCTCTCCTTCTATATCTTATTCTGTGCTGGCCCGAGTCTTCTTCGTAGCACGATGTCTCCTGAATCGATGTGCTGACCATGGCCTCCTCATAGCCGAACATCCATTCATTGAACTACTTGAACGCGCCACAATGCCCTCACTCGCCCATTTGCGACGAGCAGTCGAGGAGACGCCCCGGACTCACTTCAATGTGGCCCGTACAGTCTCTCAAATCTACAACAAGATCCGCCCTGCAGGACAGATTGGCCCTCTCAAGGTCTTCGCTCGAAGCGACGACTCTGACAATGGCTCCGACACGGTTCTCAACGCCCTGTTAGCCGTGCTCGGCGTCGCCTTCCTTATTCTCATTCTTGTATCTATTCTGCTTGTGCTTCGCCGCATCCGCCGCAAGCGGCAGCAGCAGAGCCAGGAGCCTGCTTTACCCTCCTACAACGACGTCAAGAACCACCGAGGCCTTACCATCGAGACCACGCATAACGGTCGCTCCAGCGTGCTCTTCATCAGCCGTGATGGCCAGCCTATGCTGCGCACTCCCAGCTCACCACCTCACTCTCCCGATAACGTCCCCGAGATTCACATTACTTTCCCTGATGAGCAAGACGAGCAAGGTCGCCGAAAGAGCGGCCGGGTTGTCGTTGTCCGTGTTGGCGAAAACGCAACGGTCGGCCTCGAGCCCATGCATGACGAAGAGCTGCCCGCCTACGAGAAGGAGGCTGGCGGCCAGTTCTACTCTGTCGATATGAACCAGATTGGTGGCCTTAAGGAGAAGGACCATTCCTACTTCGATCACTACTGAAGTAGTTAAATTGATAACTTTTTTTCCACCTTCCGCTCTCCGAACGTCCTATCCATAATCTTCAGGCTTTCTTGGCCGCCCAAAAATCAGGAACACGACAGTAATAGAAAAAAAGAAAAATTAAAATAAATCCGCCGTCACAATTACTCTCAGCCTAGACTTTAACGATCCTCTGTATAACGACTTTCTTTGGATACCAAAAGTCATGGAACTCACAAAAGAAAAACTTCTCGATACCACGCCACCCTATCCGCCCTCTTCTTCTTTTACTTTTTTTCTTCTTCTACAATTTCAATTCGGCATTCTCGAAATCCCGGAATCTTCCTCTTTTCTCTAGAGCAAGGTTAATCATTTCTCTCCCTTGTGGATCTTTATGACATATAGATAAACACATGGCGCTCTACTGGACATGCGAGGGGTTATTATGCAGCGGGTTTTCTTGAAATTTCTTTTTTTTTTTTTCTTTTTCTTTTTTTTTTTCTCTGTTCATATATTTACTGTCATACACAGCTGCAATGATTTGGGTCTAATACACAGTCAAATTTCTCCCCTTGACTTTTTTTTTTTGTTTCTTCCTGCTTTCTTTCCCTATTCCTGTTTCGTTATACTCCCCCTTTTTTTGTATATCAGAATCTCATCTTATACTCTCCAGCCATTTTGCTGATCCTTGTCAAGGATCTGTGAAGGGAGATCGACATGGAGCTAGTATAGGCTTTTTTGTCTTAACGGTGTTTCCCATTTTAAGGAAATGTTTTGAAAAAAAGAAAAAGGTTTCTGGTCAAGGAAAGGGAGGAAAATTTATGGGAACAAAAAGGGGGCTACTAAGCGAAGAAGGGAGAGAGGGGACGCAAGACCTTGGTACATAGCGAACCTGAGCCATCTTTTTATGAACGGGACAATAAACAAAGATGGCTCTTTTATCATATAGCTGTATAGGATATTGTGTAGTGTATAATTGAAGAATTATGCCTTGATTCGATCTCTGTATTGCCATGACTGAAAATCCTGTGTTGCCGCATCTTGCGCCAGATGATGAATAGTATGGGCAGCAGGTTTATACAAACATACATACTAGGTAGGTACTATTATATAATATATATACATACATACTTAGCACTTCTAGAAGTATTAACGAATGCGAAGGATCCCCCTTCTTGTATTCATACAGAGAACCTTCCATACAGAATCCGACCTTATCTAGCCACCCTAGCCCTCATTATACCCATCGAGCTTTAAAAAGGTTATGCACCTATTCAAAATCTCTCCAACTCTAGATAGAGCAATTATGCGACTTGTAAATCCACGAAGCGACTTTGCCTTGCGCTCCGTTAAAACCCAAACAAGCAAGAGCCTGCACATGCACGTATATAATAGTGAGCCTTAGAAATACAAACACTGCCCTCCCTATTCCCATTTTGCACAGGGGCTTATATACCCAAAACGCCGACGCTTATCCGTATAAATACCGTCTTCCCTAATGCTGTAAAAAAGCGCCAGGATCCCCAGCCTTAACTGAAACCGTTCTGTTGTGTGTACGCGGACGTATTGGTATGGCTTCCAGGATACGGCGGCGGTACGTATCCGTTCATCAGTATCCCCTGATGTGATGGAAGATAAGACTGCTGTTGCATAGGCGCGATATCCTGTCGATATATGGCTTGGCCGGGCATAGCATCTTCAATACGTAGCATGGGCATTCCGCCGCCTCCGCTTATAACTTCTGTTTGTACCATCTGGTAATTGTTAGGCATCATTGCCATCATCTCTGGTGGCTGCATGCCGGCTGCCGTCTCGGCGTCGTATATATCGCAGACGCCCATTGATACATTGCGCGCCTGGGCGAGAAACATGGGTAGGCCGGGCGGTCCATAGTCATGATCAAGGCCCACTTCCGAATTATGGTACGGGATCGTTACTGGGGATGAACTTTTCGATGACGATTGCTTTGGAGTTGGTGGTCCCATCCACCAGTCGGATACGGGCATGTTCGCGGCTCGGGTCCTTTGTTCATCCTTCACGTCAGGGATGTTCAGTCGCTCAATAAGAACATCGGATCCAAATAGGAATTTGTCCTCGGTAGGCTCCTTCCCGGCAATCACGACTGCATTACCTCGATCGAGTATCCTCCCATTTTTATAAAAGTCTTCTACCATCATTTTGTTGCACTCATGCTAATTGATAATTGTTAGATGTAATTCAAATACAAGGCAAACCATTGGAATTTCCTTTTCCCCCTTATTTTTTGTCTTATAAAAAAAGAAAAGAAAAGAAAAGAAAGAAGCAAAAAGAAAAGGAATGAATAAAGGGAGCGGGAGGTACCACGTACAGCTTGTTTAGCCATATCAAATATTTCGGCCCACGCTTCGGTAATTTCCATGATAGTATCGATCAACGATTTGATCTGCGCTTCGCTAGTCTCGGCGCCTCGCCAAGTTGGCGCCGTAGTGTCGCTTAAGTTTTCATACAAGTTGTATTGCAAAGCGATGAGCAAGACTCGAATACATTGAGTAGCCATGTGCGCAACTGAGTAGTCGCCAACAAGCTTAGGATTGCCAGGATTCGGCATCTTGTCTGTTTCGATCTTAATCGCATCTAAAAACCGGGCTAGACTCATGGCGTGGGCGACGGCTTGCTTTTGACACCGGGCGATAAAATCTGGTGGGAGTTTTCGTAGAATCTCGATCGAGGCTGGAGTTCGCGGACCTGGCAAAGAGAATCGATAGAGATCAATGTGGCTCACGGCCATGTGCGTGTGGAAGAAGCAATATCCTCTCCATTGGTTCGAGGCCGCATATCGAGCCATGCTCTGATCAGTCAGTCGTAGTTCATCATGTATGGAAACGTGAAATCTCGTCAGTTCGCTCTGTAATGCGGCAATATCCGCCATAACCTTTGACGGCTCGAGGGTTGCCATGGCTGATCCAGAAGGTGCAGCTAGCTTTTTCGTAGCTCTATACCTATTGTAAGCAAAAGACAAGAATAGTCGTAGACGATTCTTCTTCAAACGCAAGACTTACACTTGTATCCGGTGGCGAAGGTCGACAAGAAGGATTTGAATACCGTGCAGACCAAGGGCGGGCGAACAGCGGGAAGGCTTGTCATGTAATCTCTCTGCAACGACTGGCCGGTTCTCCCTAAAAGCTGCCTCGTTGCAAGGCAGTCTTATCTTCATATAGTCAGCTCGGCAAGCGATATACTCGTCGTAACCGCCCGCCAGCAGGCGATCAAGGCTGAAAAGCTGCCATGCGATCCTTCGAAGACATTCCTGCTGGATAAATGTCGAATGATTCGACGAAACATCCCAATTTAACTGCAAGCCAATCATGAGCCTAGAAGCCACGCCAAAACATTGCCAAACTTTCGCGTGAGAGCCTGCGAGAATGTGGAAAAGGATGTTTAGTGCGAATAGAAAGAGGGCGTTTTCTGAGAACTTGTCGATGTTACGGGAAATATGCATTTCGACCTGCTGGCTGCATTTTCTTCCAAACTCCCGACCGGCGGGACCAGGATTTACGAAGAAGCTAGCAACGGAGCATACGGCGGCTGCTTGAGCTGGGGGGAATCTATTTTCCTGAAAATCAACTCTGTTAGCCAGCCTGACGGCGGCTTCCTGGCACATTTGCGGCATCCTTCATACCTGAACATCTCGATAGGTGACCTCTGGATGTAAAAATCCTAAACTCGGTACCATATATAAGAAGTCGAAGTATGCATCTAGGTGTGTAAGAATAACGTCTCTTCTGAGTAGCAGGTCTCTGCATCGGGTTGCTATTAGCTTGGTGCAACTTTTTATGCTGATATGGGGAGGAAAGCATCGCGTACTCGGCCTGAAGATTTGCCGATTCGAGGAGATAAGTGGGAATGCTGGTACTGCTACTACTTGCGGGACTGATGGCTGTATTTTCCTCCGATTTGAGAGGCTGCAAGGCAGAAGGAGCCTGGTCCTCTGCCTTTGGGCTGTGGAACCGAACGTTGGTAAACCGCCGCCTGGTCGGGGTATACTCGCAGACCAGATTCGCAGCCTCACATCGCTTACACTTGGGCAGGTCTCCAGAGCATTTGGTTTTGTGCGTATGACACTGACTGCAGGCCCTTTGCGCTCTCTTCCGTAGCGTACCTGCCTCGGTATGGCTGTGTGATGGTGTCGTTCGGGAGACCCTCTCTGGATCTATGTGTTAGAAGCCCCTTAAAATCGATGTCTCTGCGTACTGTTTCAAAGCCTACCTTCTTCGGAAGCACCAGGAGATGCGGCAAAGCTGCAAGTGAGCTCTAATCTGGAACAGTTGCTACATGGTCCATTCCCAGGATTGCCAGTGCATTTAACCTGATGAGGATGAGAATCGCTTAGTTAGTCGTGAGAGTGTGGGAAGAATAGCAAATAAGGAACACTGCGCAATAAGATAGTTCCTCTGGCGAGCATGACAAAGAGCAGTAGAAACGAAGATGCAAACATAATGGATGAAGGATAATCTGAACGAAGCATGGAGAAGCGTCTGCCATGCCATGCTACGCCATGCCATGCAACGCAATGTCCTGCGACAGTTGTGTGAGAATGATAAAGCCCTCTCGTACCTTGCGTAACCGACATGTGCGACAACAGTCACCGGTATTTGTCGTAGTTCGTCGGCGTTTACTTGGAGGAGACAATGATGCGGAAGAGCTGTGCGGCGGCGGCGGCACACGGCCTTCCGCGTCGTGTGGCTGCGGTAGATCCATATGCCCGTCTAAGGGTTAAAGAAGGCATGAGATTTAGGCGAGAAATGCGAAGATGGAGAGGTCACAAACGGTCAAAACCTGCCCGGAGTTGAAAACAAGTTCTCTCCGTCTTCCTCTTGGGAGGACCCAGCTAGTCGGCGAATAGGCAGGAAGAAGATGCAGATGGGGCAGGCTGAGGCTAACCAGTGGATGGGTTCCTCGGCTCTCGCGCGAGGCCCGTGGAGCCAAGACAGGCGCCACGGAGAACGGGCGGGAGAAGGAAAGGAAATGCTACTCCGGACTGGGTAGCGAATCTTTGACGGCTGAGATAATAGTCATCACGGTGCGATGAGGAGGCGCGCCACGGACAATGTGGCTAATCCGAATGGTAATGGTCCCCGACAAAGTCCCAAGTTGAGCAAGGATGCCCCCCCAAAGCCTTTCGACTAACAAAGGCTGTTGTTGCGAGCAAATTAATCCACATTACGGCCGATCCCTGGCTCTCGTGGAGTAGAAAGCCGTGGAGTCGTGCGTGCGTGGTTCTGAGATTTCGGCACTCGCTGTTATTAGTACCCATCAAGCCCTTGAACCCGGCCCTTCATGGGCTGTCAGCCGGTTTTGGCGCCTGTTTCCATTACACTTTTCAACCACAATGCGGCCCTGGACAGAGTACGAGCAAGGGCCTGCCCCAGAGCATCCAGAAACGTTCGATCTGTAGGGAGCCTGGTCCTGGGAACGCTCCGTAACAGCAGTGGCCTGTAAGACGATATAAGCTGCAGATGCATTGAAGTGTCCAGTCGATCGCCAGCAAGTCTCAGCAGCCTCCAGGATATAGGCGCTCTCTGAGGTAAGCAGTACAAGGTATTGCTCGCATACCAGCACTCGTCCAAGTATCGCGCATCTCGAACCCTGCTCCTCCACGGCGTGCGGACAGGTCGTATTGGGAAACGCGCGTTGGAAGCCCTGGCGCCATAAAGGCGGTATTACTACTACCAGTGGTACCAGCAAGCATTCAATAGTCCACAATGCATACACTGTGACTTGGCGACGTCTTAGGCATCGCGTCTCCGCAAAGAGGGCTCACTCTCAAGCCACCAAAGAATTCAGGGCGTGGGATAACGCCAGCCACGAAGACTAGCGACAATGCTTTTCTTCCCATCGAAGCGTCGTACGGCAGATATGGTAATCGGAAGTATCGGGGAGCAAAGCTGGCATTTACTCTCTCCACTTCTCCTTTACTTCCCTTCAAAAAGTTCTGCTTCTTCCCGTTCTCCCAGCGCCTTAGCCTTGCTATGTCAGCAATTTGCGATTCTATTTTTCCTGTCGCTTGGTTAGCTTGACTCGCAAGGACCCGTAAATAACTCGGCAGGCGACCTCGGCAGGGGCACTATGACGCTGCATTGATTGACTTGCAACGAAGCTTGCCTGCTTCCATGTCCAAGGACCGATGATTGTATTTCGGGCGTCGATCCCCGCGAAGGTCGTGTGGCAGTGCCTCTTTAGGAAAGGAGGATGGTTGCATGGAGTACTGTCTGTAGTACTAGAAACAGAGCGTTGATTAAAGTAGTATTACCACCACCAAGTAAGTAGGTAGATATCTGAACAGGTAAGATGTCAGCACTTTTGCAAGCTGAGAGAGACGACGGGGAGTTTACAGACACCCGAGAGCCTAAGTACGGCTGCTATGGAAGTACGCGGAAGTACCCACATCTCGCCCAGTCGGTACCAGCATCCTGTCTCACCTTGCACCTTCTAGACACCGACTCCAGCAAGATGGTACAAGTACTCGGCAGCTTAGTCCTGGTACCGGCAAGGTGAAGCGCTACCTTGCCAGGTGCCTGAGCTGGGGGGCATCCCATGTCCTGCCCTAGCACGGAAGGTGGGTGGGTGGTTCGAAATGCAGTTGCATTGAAATGACAATCGGCGTTGGGCCATTTTTGGCCATATCTCCTCAGGCAGGGGCACGCAGTTCTCGGCAACTCCCGTCTTTCCTTCTTTGTCCTCCTTTTCTCTTTCGTGGCGGAATATTTAAAAGCCCGGGTTACCTTTAGCATTATAAAGCACATGCGTACTACAGCACCTACCTACGTAGAGAGCGTTTGGAATTGTAACGGGCATGTACTCTACTATACTTATACAAAGATGAAGTCCGTAAATTGCTTGCTACTGAAGTAGCGCTTCACTACCTAATACGAAATAGCAGTGCCCAAAGCAGTAGTAGTTTACAACAACCTCACGGCGTTTACTGCTCTTCGAGTTTGCTTTTATAGAGCACCACTCCGTACCCATCCAAGGCGATGCAGGTAATAGCAATGTTGGCTACTCTTCTGGGCTAGTACCTGCAGTACCGAGTACGCGTTCTTGTAGCATGCAAGGCTCATGAATCGCAATTGAATCAATTCTTCATTCCGGGTCCATAGGTGAGGCACTATTTGTAGTAGCCTATTCTAGCTTTCTACCAAGTATTTCTTATGCCTACATACCTCAGCACAAACAAAGCCGCCAGCCTCCTGCATAAAACTACTACTATCTAGGTCATCTCACACTTGGCATATCAGCAAATTCAATTAGAGGCTCTGGCTCTCATTACACATGTTGGTATGTATAGCCTCTGCTTCATCTATCATGCCAATCAAGCATCAGTAAGTCAAGTTTTGTATATTTCTTCATCCGGTAGAGAGAGAGAGTTTGCCTATATAACATACTGAGCGACTCTTCACATGTTCGCTGGATGCACATGTAGAGCAGAGATATAAATTCTTCATTTTTGCAAGTGCATTCGACGGTTGCACTGGGGCACTGCTCTTCGATAGCCGGCTTATTGCAGACTTCAAAACATGTCTGCCCGTCGAGGGCGGTGACGGTGAGAATGGATGTGGTAAGCAGAGTGATATACAAAGTGGAGACGAAGCTTTTCATTGTTGAGAGGATACGGGGTCGGATATTAAGACACTGTCTAGGGAGTTCGCAGTGCAATTCGATATTGAGGTCTTGTATTATCTATTGTGAGGCAGGCAGTGAGGTCAAATGAATATGAGTACTCTCGAGTATTGCTGGGGTTCACCTGCCCTATATAAAGAAACGCGCAGCTGCCTTAATGTAGGTATACAAGCATTCAAGCGGCTATCTCAATGGCAATATACATTCCAAAGTGTCAGACAACAGACATTAGCAAGTGTCTCAGCGAGGCTTAGGGGGCCTCTAGACCGAGTCTCCCTTGAACCTACATGCCTAGATACGTATATGCTATGCAATCAATATGACGGATTGAACCCCACAGCAGATACGATCATAGGTAGAAGCAGTTAGTCCTTAGATGCCATAACCTTCCTCGACAAGAGAATCTTATCTATCTACTAGGTAATTACGTGGCAATCTAGCCACATCAAGATATTGAAGGGTGATATGACGCTTAGCACTTATCAATTGAAGTGTATTGACTGTAACCTATCGATACTAAGCGTCTAACTACCTGGTAGGTATCTACTTAGGTACCTACCTAGGTAGTCTATAATGCGAGGTGCTACTCTGTGCGAAGTACTAAAAATGGATTTGAAAACTTGACTAGGCCCGCAGTAATCAAGACATCTGAGTAGGGATATAAGATTGTTTGGGGCACTGCCACGCCTTCGACGTTCTCGAAGGGGCAACCAGTTCCGTTCTGGGCTGCGCACGGACATTGCGTTCACTCTAATATCTCCTACCTGTCAACAGTGCATTTTCGAACTAGAGAAGTATCTTGGCTTGCTGAGATCAAGTTTAAAATGGTAGCAAAAATAGCCGAGAGAAGAGGCTGCAGAGAATGACTTTTCATAGGCTACAAAAAACAACCCACAGTAAAACCTACATTCAATTATTCTCGAACCCAAGTATAATTGATCTGATGAAACAGATAATTACTTAAGTGTCCGTTTTCGTTCCCTATAAGGGCTTGGAACTTGATAGTGTATCAGGCTGGGCGCTGCTCTTAAGTGTGATTATGAATATGTAGTCTAAAATCCACTACCATAATATCTGTTACCTATGGTTCAGATACCTCAAGGCATTCTAATCAACGCGAAGGAAGAGTGCAACGCCTCATCCGTCGCACAAAGCTCATATAAGCTGTAGCTTATTATTCAGAAGAGGGCTAACGCTTGGCTCAAGGGCTTTGTGGATGCTGGCTTTGTAATATTTCGCCCTTGAAACGCATGGCAGTTGGTATATGCTTGGCGGCAATCATTGAAGCAGGTGTGCATTCAAAATTACTACCTAAACGGGGGTGTAATATTTTTGGGCTCGATATTCTATGAGCAGCTGCGAGACTGTTATCAGTTGTCATGCACGAGCGTACAGTTGGAATACATATGGAAGTCAGATGAAGTTAATTATTACTAGGTACATGCACCCACATATGCAAGTACGATTATTTTTACTTCGTATCTTCTCTTCACTTCCCATCATAGAAAGAGCCTCTATTGATGAAGTATCGTGCAAACGTGGCAGGAAGAACTTTGTTTGTTTATTATCAACCCCAAGACCTCTTGCCCTACTAACAAGAATGCTGGTCCAAGTGCTTAGAATGGCAATCGCTATTGACTTCTGTTTGTTTTGAAGACCAGAAATCTGCATTCAATAATTCTCTTCTAGTTTCTGCGCAGTTAGCAGCCCGAGTCCGAACGTTATCATCTCTCTACTTCGATGCGAGCCAAAATTTCTTTTGATTTCTCATTTTCAGGCCCTTAGTGAACACTGATTATTTAATGGCTGAGGAGGCTGGCCATCTGATTTCTTCAGCAGCCCATACTGTGCACGGAATGTCAGTCTTCCTCTGCTGCGGCTCCCAACGTCGACGCAGGCAGCCTGCAGGTGACGTTGATTTGGCTGAATCACCAGAAGAGCATTGCACTCGGCTAGATTTTGCAGATATCCAGCGCTGTTTTTGCCATCCGCGCGAATCTATCGAGATGCCACTTCGCCTTCGAAATGTCCCGGTGCCACCTCCTGAACTACCGCCCGAAAATCCGACTGAGCTTAAACAACTGGTAGTGGACGATTCGGATGGTGATGGGAGAGCGAATAACAGTTTGGCAAAGACAAGCAGCACAAATAGCGCTTTGAATATCGTCCGAACAAGGATCATACGCCATATGTCAAACGAGAATGAAACAAACCGCCAGTCTCGTGTATCAGCTGGCCATAGCCAAGAAGAGGTTGCTCGAAGAGCTGAGCTGAGAAGGTTTCGGCATCAAAGGATCCAAGAAGAGCTGAAGAATGAAGATAATAATGCCGAGTCAAGCAACACTTCCCATCGCAGTACTTCCTATCTATCCCCTCTGATTGACGCTGGACAACCAAGAATTGGGCCCAGAGATACCATCGAATTTACAGTCACAGACGGACACCATACGAGCGCAATGCAGGCGCTTCCGACACAAGATAATACAACACTTATTGATACTACGAAGAGAGAAGTAGGCGGCACTACGCAAGAAGAAGAAGGAGGAGGAGGAGGAGAGATAAAGTATCCAAGTATACTTGCAGTGCTTAACGCGGACGAGAGAGATCAAGCTCCTCCCTTGCGGCCACCCAGTACGCACAGTAATAGATCTCAAAAGATAGCAGGATGCTTGTACAACTCATCCCGTCTTGATCGCGTTTTGGGTACGGATAACGAATTTGACATTCGTCATGGGGCTCATGCTTGGGAGGAGCAGTCCACTCTTGGTATCTGGCTTGCTGCCCAAGGCATGCGATCCCGAAGCAGCTCTATCCGCCCAGCAGACAATGAGTCGAATGATAAGAGTGCTAAGGATCAGACTTGTTTACACCACGAAAATTTTGGCGCGATCGATAGTGCCGCAGACGCTCTGTTGCCGACTCATTGTCAATGCAGTAATGATATGAAGCCTCAAGACCGAGGAGATTCGTACGAAAGCGCGTCATTTTCCTCTAACAAGTCCAATAACCGTACAATAGGCGGGGCTGATGTCATTTTACCCGAGAGATATGTGCCCTCAGGGTCTAATGTCTTGGATATAGCTGTAACAAAACCCGTTGATAACAGTTCTTCCAACTACCACTCTACATTTCCAAGTTTTCAGCCAAGCCCAAATCGATCTCAGCCTGATTTTCATCATCTCAGCGCAGAAGATCTAGAAAGTCTCGAGCTTTCACCCTTTAGCTGTCTGTATTTCCCCCTCCCCTCCCCTACCCCCCCTTAATTATACTGACGTGGGTACTCACAGGGCAAGGCGACTTTTCTGTCATTAAAAGTATTCGGGCATCTGAGGGAAAGAGTTCATATGCTACAGCGGAAGACGACATATTTTATTCCGATAATAACGCCAGCAGTGCACAAATCATTTACCCTCCTGCCCAAACCTCTGCTGACACCACACCCCTTGCCATCTCTGCAGCTGCGTGTATTCATCCTCGAGAGACTAAGGCACGGACAATTGGTACAAGGCTTGGTAATGCATTGTCAAGGAAGAAACCGTCGTTAGATTTTGGTAGTCATTCCAAAAAAGAACTCCACGCGATTTCTACTGGAACTGGCAGCCGGACCCTTATGTCACGGATTAACCTTTCAATCCTGAGGAGATTTAAACGTGGCTCTAGCAGCTCCGGCACGTCACAAAATAGGCATTGCGGAAATGAGAGAGAGTCGTCGGCACTTGTACGAGAAGGTTCGAATGATATGCGTTTAGACATACCTCCTGATATATCTTCCTTATTTCGCCAAGAGAGAAGCGGCTTATTGTCAGCTGATTTGAGCGATGCTACAATCAAACATACGTACAATAATCGGACGCCGCTTACACAACGCCATTCAGCTGTTTTTGAAACCTCTAGGCTGACTCCTCACTCGGATGAACTGCCAGACGAGACCCGAAGCTCCTCCCGCCGAATTCTCCAGCAATTAACGACTAACATACAAGAAGCATTTTCACCTAGCTCCACACCAAAACCCTCAAAGTCCCAGAATCGCTTGGCCAGGGCACCTCTATACTCGGGTGATGAGAGAGCTGCCGCCGCTGACCCTCGCCAGTCGCAGTTAGATGGAGGCAGCTCGGTTTCAGGCACTCTCTTCCTCGACTCAGCCCCACGCTTTCAGTCTGCGAAGCTAGGAAAGGCCATGAGATCCGGCTTTAAAAAGCTTATGCCTTCCTATAATAATGAGAAGCAAGCTCAGCTCAGCCTGCCTTCAAAGTATCACCAGCGCTATGATGAAAATGAAAAGCGCTCACAATCCAAGATAATGCGATCGGATACATTATCTATGGAAAGTGATCACCTAAGAGCTGGGGTGAAAGAAGTAGCTGAACATGGTACCGCGTCTTCACATCAGCAATTGCGTGCTGATAGGGAATTGAAAGCGCCTGAATTGGCCAAGCAGCCTTATGATGAAAGCCATATGGAAAGCAGACCAATTGATGTTATTCCACCGTCACAGACTGAATTTCAGCTTTCAGAAGAAAATATAGCAGAGCCAAGGCCTGCTTCAATATCCACAATCAGGGAAGTCCGCACTCTGCGTCGCTGGAATTCAATGCAGGATGCCCCAACAAACTGGGGATCGTCCTCAGATAGGGTTGGCAGATCCATGTCACGATCTCATAGCTTGAACGATCTCCGAGACTAGTAAGAAAGAATGGACGAATGGAGCAAGCAGGTATCATATTGCACAAGGAACTTGGTTTGGTACGGAATGCTGCTGGAGGATATGACCAGATTCTGTTATTTTAATTTGAAGTATCAATTTGTAAGAATACTATGAAGAGATGGATAAGCGCCATCGTTTTGGTGAACACAGAACTTCTATGGAGCATTGTGTTACACACTCTGGTGGGACAAAGTGGCTGGGGAGTAATCTTAAGTTGGTTTGTATAGCATCAATAGCTAGTCTGGGTCAACTATTGGTAACATATCATGACCCCTGTAATATATTTCATTGCCTTAATTTAATGCTCTGTGCTGCTCATCCTTTTGAGCATGCCTTGAAGCAGATATGATCACCAATATGATCAGCTCATTTGAAATGAAAGCAAATAAATTTGGTGTTACCGTGACACCACATCTTCGAGCGGAACATAGGTGCCGGGAATGGTTAGTCCGTGAATATTGGATATGTAGCAACAGGATACATGTATTCATCCTGTACAAATCATTACTGTATATATGGAATCTCCAAGTCTAGAGTTTATGCCACTCATTATATACAAAATATGAGGATGTCGTTGGAAACATGATGTACTTGCGGCGCTACGGATCAGGACTTATCGTGTAGCTATCGAGAGGGTGGGTTCACACCATGCTAGAGCAATTAGATTGAAACGCGCTCAGATTCGAGTCGTGGAATTTCGCGAGATCATTAACAGTAATCGCAAGCGTCATGGTGAGGTAGGAAAAAGCACTGTTGATCATGGAGAGTCTGTCCCTCATGTCTCCAGGTTGATTTGCTTGCCGAATCTAGCATATAGCTCGACCTTGAGCTGTGTCATCTCCTCGTGAATGGTGCTTAGTTTCTCTTCCGCCTCTGCAGTCTCTTCGTCAATTCTTGAGGTCGCCGTGCTGAGCATCTCCTGTGCCTGTTCGAGGGGAAGGTGGAAAAAAGCGTCGCCAATCTTGTATCTGGAAAATCAAGGTCAGGCATATTCCATCATTACAAGTATTGCTCAATCGTACTGGATCTTATCATCCTCATCGGCAAGCTCAAGCTCGGTAGAGATGTCGTCTAGCTCCTCCTTTTCCTTCTATATTGGGACTTCGTCAGTCGGCTCTCAATAGGTGATACAGCGGGCCCCATACGCTCTTGAGCTCCAGAACTTCCTTCAGAGCAAGTTCTCGCTGGTGCAGCCGACTAAACTTGTTGATCTTATCTTGGTCTTCTCGTCGGACCTCGACCTCGTCTGCGGCTTCGTCCTCCTTCGAGAGCTACAGGATCTGTGAGCGATTGCATACTGCTTCTGAGTGGACGTGCGACTTACCATGCGGCGTTGCATTATTGAAGCCATGGTCGCAGTAATGTCGAGGCTGACCTCAGCGTTAGAGATGTACGGCCTTGGACTCGGGAAGCTCTGCAATTTATCAAAAGATACACGATGGTCATGCAGAGAGAGTGGTGGGGTGTCGAGATAGTGGGGTTACGGTGCGTGCGGTACAGTCTGCTCCATAATACTCACTGTATGTCCAACGCGAAGTGCGTGCTGTAACGCGTTGCAGCTGCTTGGGCTTGGGCAGCAGCGCACTGACGTTCTGACGGCCTATTTGAAGGTGCCCCTCCCGAGCTGGGGCCCTGAACTCTTCCCTCTCCACCTCCCTCTCCACTGAGTCAAGGTCCATCTCATCTAGCGTCTCAGCCCACTGCGCCGCTATCAATCAATTCTTGTCCATACCCTCGTCTCACTTTGCAAGCGATACCAGAATCGTCATCATGGCGACGGGCAAGAGACCCTACCCCAGAGCTCACCTGAGGAAGATCGTCAAGGCGCATGCGGGAATGAAGCTCTCGAAGAATGCCGACGTATTGGTAAGGCCCTGGTGGCGGCTCCCATCGGTAGACTAGCCGGCTACAGCGCTAACAACAGCATAAGATCTATCTCAACTATTCGCTGTTCATGAATGCGTATGTATAAGCCGCACGGCTGGAGTTTGCAATAGGCGTGCAAATATTGACATTGTTTCGCAGATTGGTGAAAGAGGCCGCCATCCATGCCAGGCAGGCGGGAGAGCGTGGATTTACCCCCAGGAACATCATGAAGGCACTCCCTGTATGCTATTTGGGCTCCTTGCTTGAGCGCTACACAAGCTAACACAACGCGTTAGGATGTTTTGGCTAGGTTCAAGGGCTGAATGTCGACCCTGGAGAGCGGAATGAGTACAGCGGCTGAGCTGTGTGGTGTAGATCCTCTCATGCTGCCGCTGCCAACGATGCTTCAATGACGCCTGAAGTGTTCGTTGAGAATAAGGTATTGGGCTTGGGGTAAACAATGGCTAATATAAGAGTGCGAGATGCATTCTTTTGGCATCGGCTAGACCTGTAATGAATCTCGGGCTCCATTCTGAGAGGTCTGTTGGCTACTTAGATACCCCCAGCAGAACAACTTACATGAATGCGCATAGAGTAGGGCATGCCGAGTCTACGGGTAGAATATTGCACACATAGGACAATATAAACCGATTGCAATAGAGCTGCCTACTTGGCTCTCAATAGTAGTCTTTCTCAATGAATCCCACCGTGCCACATTCTGAGCCTCAATGCAGCTGAGGGGACAACCCCGGCAGCTGCATTTCAACTTTGCGCCCCTCCTTGTTTACTTGGTTGACCTGACAGCTCGGGAGCACGTGAGGATGCATTGGATGGGCCAAAGTCAACAAACACCGCCCGTTTGCTATGCAGCAGGAAGCAATTGAGCATTGCCTACCAGGTGTTTGCAGCAGCAGGTGGATCCTGGCAGTGCTGACCGGCCTGTCTGTGCAAAATGAGGCTTGAATTGCAGCCTGAAGCCTTCTGTTCGGTTCTAGAATCAACAGCGCTAGCAATTTGGGGTCGGCAGACAGTGACCAGACAGCTGCACGGTGGGGTTCCTCTAATTGACTTCACTACGCCTTCAGCCTGCCACCACGCCTTGGTACCTTAAAGGTCCCAGAGCTAAAAACGAGAACCCGACACAGACGAAGCCAAACCTCCTCCACACCTCGACAGTCGCCCCCTTTGATAATTCATCCTTTGCACGCCTACTTGATATCATTCCCACACTTCGCGATCCCATCTCCTAAGACTCGAACACTGCTCCCTGCACCCCGCGCTCGCATCATTTTGCCTCCATCGACCAGCCTTGCGCGCCTTGACGCCTGTTGGACGACCACACACGACACCAACGCACAATAAATCACATTGAAGCTGCAAGCTAGTTTTGCCATCGAGCTTGCGTTCTGTTTTCAACATGGCTGCTCCAGCTACCCAGACCACTGCCTCCAAGTCTTCCAAGAAGAAGGCTGCCAAAGCTCAGGCCCGTACCGAATCTCCAGCTCCCAGCACTGAGTCAGCCCCCACTGAGAAGGTCGCCGACGCCCAAGACGATGTCTTCGAGAGCCCTTACATCAAGGAGCTGCAAAAGTAAGACACCGCGAGCTACATATAGCCTTTTTTGCCCTGGCACGAATGCAATTGCTAACGGCGTGGCGCAGGAACATTCGCAACACGGCCAAGAAATTGGTGAGTTCCCACCTTGCGTCATACCCTACTAGCATCTATCAACTGTGTGGAAACTGACCATCAATCATCTCTAGACCAACGCTGCCAAGTTAGATTCGGTCCTTAGCCAGCACCCTGGAAAGTCTCTCGAACAGCTGGTCGACGAGCGAGTCATCAACGCCGACCAAAAGGCCCAGCTCCAGAAGAAGCCTGCTCTTCAGGCTGCGCTAGCTCAGTACGAGGAGCAGCTTGTTCAATACCAGAAGATCCACGAACAGTACCAGACTCGGGCGGCGGCCGAGAAGGCAGAATGGGCCAAGACGCTTGAGAAGACCAAGGAGGAAGCGCTCAGCGAAGTTAAAGCTGACTTTAAGAACTCTCTGGATGCCAAACTTCTTGTTCTGTCCCAGTTCTTGCGCCTGGCGGCCTACCGCCGTGAGGAATCTCAGGAGCCAGAATCTGATGAGAGCCAGGCTATTGAGGGCGTTCTACTCGCTATCTACTCTGGCGACGAGAATGCTGTTTCTGCCATGCAGAGGTTGATTGAGGGTTCTGACGACAAAATTGTCAGTGTCCCTGGAGACCAGCTCCAAACAACTTGTATGTGCAATGCAAAGCGAGAGGGGGTCACGCTGGAACTGCTACTAATTAGACATAGATGCCACTGTTAAGACGCTCGCACAAAGCTACACTGCGCCGTCCTACGCTGAGCCAGAAGCACAGCCTGCTGCTGAGGCAGTGTCTGACCCGACTATTGCAAATGAGGCCGCCACTGAGATTGAAGCTGGAGATGGCCCCCTAACCAACGGACACGGACATGTGGAAGCTGAGCCTGCCTCCAACGGCCTTGCTAATGCCAATGTCGCGGACGAGGCTGCCAATACAGTTGCTGAGAGCCAGTGGGATACTGGCAATCAAGACACTTCCCTTTCGCAGGAGTGGGTTGACGTGTCTATTCCAAGCGGGCCAACCGAAGCTGAGGCCAACGCGGAACCCTCTGCTCTTGATGCTAACAAGCAGTCTTGGGCGGATGATCACCCTGATCCCGCTGCTGAGGTAGGCCTCTTCTTTGCATTTTGATTCCTTTGATTCCCCTTGCTAGCACTTTAAGTGAACTCAACTGACACGCTCTATTCTAGGCTACGTCTGCTGCACCTGACGCTGGTGATGGCTTCCATCAAGTCCAGCGCAACCGAGGACGACAGGACCGTGAGGGTAGTGGAGGACGCGGCCGTGGTCGTGGTGAGTGGCGCGGTCGTGGTGGTTACCGAGGAGATGGCCGTGGCCGCGGCCGAGGACGTGGAGGTGATCGTGGAGGAGCCCCTTTCCGAGGCGCTCGTCGCAACGAGTCGTAGAGCTTCCGCTTCGCAATTCGTGGGTAGATTCAGATCCCATGCTTCTCTGCACACCCCTTGGAGGTGATTTGTACATTACGACATGATGGCGTTACCTGATTTTTCTAGCCGTAGAGGCAGAGCTTGATTTAAGGCGACTTTCGGCATTGCATTGGAACTTGTCAGATGGCAGGTCTCGGTTTCATTCTGGCGGAGGGAGGTTGGGACGGGCTCTTGCAATAGGTAGGCACCTTTGCAAATCCCTCATTTATCATTCACTCTCAGGGAGTGCGGCATCATTGAAGCAGGCTACTGGTATTTCATAGGTAGTAGAAAACTATAAAAGTATCTTAAAAAAGCACCTACCAAACGGTGCTATATTCTATGCTCTGTTGCGTCGCGTCTTAGCTGAATGGCTTCCCCGGCTTAGCACCACCTTTTGACAGCCCCCGTCGCAAAGTGCCGACACCTACCGTTATCGGGACGTTAGTCCTAAACAGGCAGTATTGTAGTCCGCCACCTGGCCTTATCCACATCAGCCTCGCAGATGAGGCCTAACTAGCAGGTAGTTAAGCAACCTCTCCAAACCGCCCTCATTGAAACTTGTCCTCTTCTCACGGCCAAGTCTTTGAAACCCGCTAGGGTGTCACTTGAGGCCACATCAGCCGTATTCTCTTTTTTTTTTTGGGCTTGGCAGGCCATTGGATCTTTTGTGTTATAAAATCCGACTGGATTCCCACTCCTTACCCCTCTACAGCATTGACGGCTAGGTACTGCTGGGCCTGGCGGCGACTTCGCTATCAGGTTCGCTGTTCTCGACAGCGTCTTCTACAAGGGCCAGCTATCTACACTTACACACCCACACAACCATGGCGTCGCCTCGGCGCTCACCATTACTGATGCTCTTCGGAGCCATCTTCTTTTTCTCAGCCAACGTCCTAGCCGCTGCGGCTGTGCTCGGTGTTGATCTAGGAACCGAGTATATCAAGGCTGCTCTAGTGAAGCCTGGTATCCCACTTGAGATTGTACTTACAAAGGACTCTCGACGCAAAGAAACTTCGGCCGTCGCTTTCAAGCCCGTAAGAGGCGCCGTAGCAGAGGGTCAGTACCCCGAACGAAGCTATGGCGCCGACGCAATGGCAATTTCCGCGCGATTCCCCGGCGAAGTATACCCGAACCTGAAGCCTCTTCTCGGCCTCCCTCTGGGAGATGCGATTGTCCAGGAATACGCGGCCAGACATCCTGCTCTGAAACTCCAGGCGCACGCCACTAGAGGCACTGTTGCGTTCAAGACGGCAACACTGACTCCTGAGGAGGAGGCCTGGATGGTGGAAGAGCTGTTGGCTATGGAGCTCCAGAGCATTCAGAAGAACGCAGAGGTTACCGCCGGTGGTGACTCTGCAGTCCGCTCCATCGTACTCACTGTGCCTCCGTTTTATACTACCGAGGAGAAACGTGCTTTGCAGATGGCAGCAGAATTGGCTGGCCTCAAGGTTCTCAGTCTGGTCAGCGATGGGTTGGCAGTTGGCCTGAACTACGCTACCAGTCGCCAATTCCCTAATATCAACGAAGGCGCCAAACCGGAGTACCATATGGTCTTTGATATGGGCGCCGGGTCGACTACTGCCTCTGTCATGAGATTTCAAAGCCGCACTGTCAAGGATATTGGCAAGTATAACAAGACTGTCCAAGAGATCCAGGTTCTTGGCAGCGGCTGGGACAGAACACTTGGTGGAGACTCTCTCAACTCTCTGATCGTTGACGATATGGTTGCCCAGTTTGTGGAATCAAAGGGTGCCCAGAAAGTTTCAGCAACTGCTGAGCAAGTCAAGGCTCACGGCCGCGCTATTGCGAAGCTGAGCAAGGAAGCTGAGCGTCTCCGACACGTGCTGAGCGCCAACCAGAACACCCAGGCTAGCTTTGAAGGGCTCTACGAAGATGTTGACTTTAAATACAAGCTTTCCCGAGCCGATTTCGAGAGCATGGCAGAGGCACATGCCGAGCGAATTGGCGCTGCTATCAAAGATGCTCTGAAAACCGCTAATCTCGATATTGGCGATCTCACTTCCGTCATCCTTCACGGTGGCGCAACTCGCACACCATTTGTGCAAAAGGCGCTTGAGAAAGCCATTGGTTCCGGAGATAAAATCCGAACAAACGTCAACTCTGATGAGGCCGCTGTTTTCGGCGCCGCCTTCCGGGCTGCTGAGCTTAGCCCCAGTTTCCGCGTGAAGGAAATCAGAATCTCGGAGGGAGCCATGTACCCGGCTGGTATTACCTGGACGGCTGCGAATGGCAAAGTACAGCGCCAGAGACTCTGGACAGCCCCATCACCCCTTGGTGGTCCGGCCAAGGAGATCACTTTCACCGAGCAGGAGGACTTTTCCGGTTCATTTTACCAACAAATCGATACTGAAGACAAACTTGTCAAGTCATTTTCTACTAAAAACCTTACCGCATCTGTCGCTCAACTCAAGGAGAAGTATCCCACTTGTGCGGATACTGGTATCCAGTTCAAGATTGCAGTTAAGCTTCGCACTGAGAATGGCGAAGTTGAGATTACCAAGGCGCTTATCGAATGTGAGGCTGAAGTTGCTGAAAAGGAAGGCTTTGTTGACGGTGTCAAGAACCTGTTTGGCTTTGGCAAGAAGGATCAGAAGCCCCTTGCTGAAGGAGACAATGCCGAAGCCGCATCTGATGCTGCTACTGCTGAGACCAAGACTGAAGAGGCCAGCTCTTCCTCTGAATCATCTTCCACCACCAGCACTCAGACTGGAGATGCAGCTCAATCAACAGAGGCCGAAAAGACTGAGGTCAAGAAGAAGCAGATCGTTTCCATCCCCGTTGAGATTACATTGGAGAAGACTGGAATCCCACAGCTAACCAAGGCTGAGTGGACAAAGGCCAAGGATCGACTGAAGGCATTTGCAAACTCAGATATGGCCAGACTGCAACGCGAAGAAGCTCTGAACCAGCTTGAAGCATTTACATACAAGATCCGCGACCTTGTGGACAACGAGGCCTTCATCGCCGCATCTACAGAGGTGGAACGCCAGGCGCTGGTTGAAAAATCCAGTGAAGCAAGTGATTGGCTCTACGAAGAGGGAGATGCAGCCAAGACGGAAGACTTCAAGGCAAAGCTCAAGGCCCTTCAAGGCCTTGTAGGGCCCATTCAGAAGCGCATTGAAGAAGCTGAGCGTCGGCCTGGCTTGGTTACTGAACTGAGAAACATTCTCAACACTACTGATGTGTTTATCAAGACAGTGCGTGGGCAGATTTCTGCGTATGAAGAATGGAAGGCCACAGCGTCAACCAAGGGGGCAGAATCTGCTACTTCCAGCGCTGCAGCCGAGACAAAGACCAACGACTTTGAAGGTTTAGAGGATGAAGACAATAGTCCCAAAGATACAGAGGAGAAGCCCAAAGAGGAGGAGATTGTGCCTCCGCTGCATAACACTGAGGAGATGGATGGGCTCGATGTTCTCTACAAAGAGACGCTGGATTGGCTCAACAAACTCGAGGCTGAGCAGGCAGCTCTCCCTCCCACCGCTGATCCTATTCTCCAGGTTAGCGAGCTGGTTGCCAAGCGAGATAAGCTCGACAAGGCCAGCCTGGATCTCGCACTGAAGAGCTTCAAGCAATACCAGAAAAATAAGCCCAAGAAGCCCACTAAGAGCAAGAAGTCAAAGAAGGACAAGACGAAGGGCGCGGAGCAGCCTGGCCAGACCATTGAGTTTCCCGAGGGAAGCAAGCCCCTTAGTAGCGAGGAGATTGAAGAGCTTCTCAAGCAGTACATGAAGGAGGACGAAGCGGCGAGCGCAAAAGCGGAAGCTTCAGCGAAGCCAGAGCATGATGAGCTCTAAAAGGGCACAATGGCGTTTTTTGATAAACGGAGGGGGCTTATGAAGTATATACTTGGGCCATATGATGCATGCATGATACACAAAAGGTCAGATAGATAAATGCGACATTTTTGAATTTTGAAATATAAAACTGCATATCACTATGTCCGAGCAGTTAGACATTTTTAGTGATTGGTTATATGTAGGTCTTAAAAGCAAACCGTTCGCTCTGATTAGTTACTTTCCCAACTCAGGAAGCTCTATTAAACACCCATATATTATGCTTTGAGATAGAGGGAACCCTCTTCTTCCCGCAAATAAGGAAACTAGACGGCAACGACGGCGAGCTCCTACCCGACCCGAACCTAACGCCTGTTCTTATCTTGACATGTTTGAGATGGTCACGCAGTGTTCGTGGTAGACGGGCGGCGGCATCTGGGTATCCTTGTGTACGCACGAGGGTGGGAGAAGCCGTGTATTATGTATTACAAGACGGGTATCCAGGAGTTTTAGATTCATTGATACTAAGCTCAAATTTAAGATAAAAAATAGGCGACGGCTACGTTCCCGTAAAAGTCTGCAATAAATGCGTTTGTCCTGCTCTATTGTGTTCTATTGTGTTAGCCGGGAAACTGCAGACGACAGTGAATCATCCAGGGCCTTCCTCCCAAGTATCGGGAGCACATTTCTTTCGAGTTTCATCGTGCACCAGCTGCGAGGCACCTTGAGGAGCACTTCTTCCTTTTCCCTCTTCTTTGCCCTGCCTCTGCTACTTTCTTGTTGGCAAATATACCGCTACAGGACTCTTCTGGCGACAGCCTCCCGCAGACTCAGAGATCTCTCACACTGGCTTTGTTTTCTCCCCCCCNCCCCCCCCCACTGTTACGAAAAATTTGAATCAAACAAGCCAAAGCGATGTGGCATTTTATCCTCTTCCTCCTCCTTGTTCCTCTCTGGCCTTTGGTCTCGGCTTCTCCCTCTTCAAACGCCACCAGATCTCCCGATGGATTCGCACTCGCTGTGAATCCAAAACGAAATGCGTCTCGAAACTTTGTGCGCGACTGGGCTGCTGCCCGTCACAAATGGGGGAAGGGAGTGCCGAAAGAGATTGCGTCTTCGTTTGCCTTGATTGACGGCGGTAAGCCTTGATTGGGCGTGGCCCTTTCTGTAGACGAATGCTGAGGTCGTGCAGTTGGTCAAGTCGATGTTGAACCTATAGGAAGCGACGACATCTATGTGGCTGATGTTCAGATTGGGAGTCCGCCTCAGACCCTGAAGTTGGCTCTGGATACAGGGTCCTCGGATCTGTAAGTTTGAGCTTCATGATACAGCTAGCTGGACTATGTTTCTAATATCGTCGACTCAAGATGGCTCCAATCGACTGACACGACATACCGCGTAAACCGAAAGGGTCCATGGGCCCCCCGATATCACCCTAACGATTCTACGACTGCTCACCTTATTGAAAACGCCAGATGGTCTGTTGAGTACTGTGAGTATAGGAAATAAGTTGCATTGGAGTATTTAGGGTATATTAGATACGCTTCTTCTAACGCGTAAATAGTGGATGGCACCTCAGCTGATGGTATTGTGTACCATGACACAGTTCGGTTAGGCGACTTCAGAGTGGAAAAAGCAGCTGTGCAGTCGGCAGAAATGGTCACCAGCCGTTTCGAACAAGAAGTTGAACTAAGTGGTATCCTAGGCTTGGCTAAGAGGCTACCGAACAATATTAGCCCTCCAGCACCGTCTTTCCTTAGTCTATTGCGCCAACAACTGGAGCACCAGGTCTTTGGCGTTGACTTGAATCGGAATGCCTCAGGTCTCTTCACCTTTGGCTATCTCAATGAAAGCCGTACCTCTGAGGAAATAACATGGGTTGACACAGATCCTGATAGCCCCCACTGGGATGTCGAGTTCAATCTCACCACCTGGGGAGAGCAGACGACGCCATGGTACTCGCAGAAGTTCAAGGCAACAATCGATACTGGCACTACACTGATGTTCCTGCCTGACAATCTAGCGAGTGGCTACTGGTTCACGATCCCAGGCATGAAAGTTGATCAAAGACTAGCAAATGCATTCACGTTCCCCTGCGAGGTTGCCAAGGACTTGCCTAATCTTATGCTCAGAATACCTGGGAGTGACCGTATTCTGACTATTCCTGGCCCGTATCTCAACTACGGCCCCGTTGAAATTGACCCATCCTATTGTTGGGGAGGTATGCAGAGCGCCGAAGATTTATCCGTCACAGTGATAGGAGATATTATGCTCAAGGCGCTGTATGTGGCGTTTGATCTCGAGAGAGGGCGAGTTGGCTTTGCCAACAAGGAATTGTATGATGCTGAATGAAAAGAGAAGCGAAGGATCTTACACTCATGACTCCTTAAAAGGCCAAGCTTGAGGATTGGTTCGCGTTGGAATGGCTAGCTCTCGGCCGCATCGCGACTTAGTTGAAGAGATGCTAATTACTTTGATTTAGTGGGTTTTGAACCCTTGGAGAATGCTTGATGTATAATACATAATATTTGGGGATTAAAAAAACAACAAAAGTGGGCTTCATATCTCGGATAGAGAGATGGCTTGAGGTTGATATAGTATGTAGACTACTATAATTGACTTGACATGAACTTTATAACAAGTATTGTTTATAATCTTTTGTATTGCATTCATCCTAGAGCTGGTATATACAAATGCACTCTCCAGCCCGTCATTATTGGGTGAGACCAGTGGATACTTCCTCCCGTTCCCATAAAAGCTTCCCCTCCGCATCCATCCATTTCCCCCCCATCCATTCATCTAGCCATCCCATTTCCAAGTGCGTCCTAGTAGCCCGTTTCATTTCAAAAGAAAAGGAAACATGCTCTGCGTTGTGTGCATTAAATGTGGTATAATATATGTGTATAGCTGCTGTATAGCTGCTGTATGTGTGTGTGTTGTGTGTGTGTGTATGAGTGCCTTTGTAAAACAAAGAAGAAAAAAGAGCTCGACAAATGCCATGTCGAAAGGGTACTATGTTTGGGCTAAAGGGAAGCATAAAAAGAGCAATAAAAAAAAAAGGTTTGAACGCAGCTTCCTATCCGGAAGAACGGTGGTTTGTGTTGTGTGGAAAAAACCTTATATATAAACGCCGGAAGTGGGAAAACGTGTCTGGTAGCGAGCGTGGCCGGGTGACGTCTCTTGGAAAGGATCCGAATCCAGGTGGGGAGCTTGGCGAGAAGAGCGACTGTGGTGAATGGCGCATTTCGTCGTTATCAATGGCCTTCTTCCGCCGGAGAGTAAAACCAGTTTTCCTGGGGCCAAAACCAGTTGCGTTGACAAATCCGTGAGAGTTGCATCTAGCATATTGTCGTGGATGGGCCCAATCGGAGGGGGGAGAGAGAAATCGCCTAGGCAAGTATTGTCGTCGACAAGCGCGTCCGAGGAAAAAAAAAAAAGAAAATGCCGTTTGGATATGTTTTTTTTTTCTTTAAATTTGTTTACTCGCGATCACCATCTTCAATGGGTAGAAAAGAAGGAGAAACCAAAAGTCAGCGGGGGGCGTCGTCCATTAAATCCTCGCGAGTCACAACGTAATATTCACCTTCACTGGCCCCGGGGGTTGGAGGCATGTCACCAGAGCTGGGGGCTTGCTGGGTCGGCTGCGCGGTTCCTGGCCGCGACCTGGACTTACTGTCGTCTGCTGGGGGTGCGGCGAGAGAAGAGGCCTCTGGCTTGGGCGTCGAACTGGGTGAGTGCTGCTCGTCTTTGTCGTCGGTGGCGGGTGAGGTGATGCCGGCGGCGTTGAGGCGCTTTTCCATTTCGCGGAGGCGCTCCTCGAGTGAGGCGAGCTCTTCGTTGTTCTTGCCGATGTTGTAACTCCTGTTGCGAGGAAGATGGAAATGGCGCCGGTTAGAAGAGGGATGTGGAACAAGAGCAAATGGCCGAAGGGGTCATTGGGATGAACGAACCTGGTGTCGAGCGACTCTTGGAGCTCTGCCTTATGCTCGTCTAAGTTGAAGATGTCTTCCAGTTCCAATTGAAAGTTTCTGGCAATGGTTCTGTAAACGGTTAGAATTAAAAGAAGAAGTAAAGAAAAGTCAAAAGATCAGCATATGGCTCTGCGTAGTATGCAGATCGCCATCGCTGAAGAGTGCGCTTTTCGGTCTCATTGCGATGCTGCGATTTGGGTCGGGAGACTTACGACTGCGGTCGTCGGCCGTTGGGCTGCCAGTTGCGGTCAAGCTCCTCATCGGTGAAAGACATGGTGGCGGTGGGAGCTGCAATGAGGGGTAGAGCTGGATAGATGGAGAAGGGATTAAAAAGAGAAGCAGTAAGGATTAAAAAAGAAGAAGAAGAAGAGAGTATTCGCTGGCGTCGGTTGCTGGGTATCGATCGCTGTTGGTCGTGAACAGAACTTGGGAATTGATGGCAGATACGAGAAACCACAACGAAGTGATATCGGCGAGTTCGATAGTGCAGGCGGAGGTGGGAGGGAAAAAAAGATTGGGCTCTGCAAACTGATGAATGTTCCGTCTGCAGCTACTTCTTCGTTTCTCCCCTTTATCCTGGTCAGATGGCGGAGCCAGGAACAGAGACAAAGCAGGGGAAATCGAATCGACCAGGGGGACGAAGGCCAAAGAGCTGCACCAGAAGCAACAGGGAGCTCCAAATTCGAAGTGGGCAGGGGGGGGGGGGCGGACGAAACGGTACTAGTCCGTTGGGGACCGGTATATTTGGCGCTGCAAATAGCCCCAAGTAGCAGTATTTGTAGGTATTAGTGGTGGTGGTGGTGCCCCGGAGAGGTGGTGATGGCGGTGATGGCGGTGATGACGATGACGATGATTGATGGTGATTATATATGCAGGCAGTGCTATCAACATCACCAGCTGCACGACATGCCCTTCTTTTCATTCGCTGGCGGAACAAAAGGAAGCGAGAGTGGAGGTTCGCAAAAGGTTAACTTTAATACGAGTGCCGTTGCGCCTGAGTGGTGGTGGAAGAATGAAATAAAGGGGGAAATGGGATGGAACGCAGCTAAAATAGATCCAAGAGGGCAGTGGTCGAAATGTCCAACATGGCTCTCGTCATAATTTCTCGCATCGAGGAAACAATACAATGCTTGTGGGAGGGTCGCACACAAAATATACAGCAAGTCCTGGTCGGGTCGCCTCTGCGTCTTCTTGATCCTTCTCTTCCTTCTAGGCGTCTGCTCTAGGAACGGGACCTGAGCATCATGCCTGTATCACATGCCGGGGTCCTGGTGATTGGTGCTGGGCCACGTCTGCTGATGGACGCCGTGGCTGGCTGCCTGTATCAGTTGAGTTTGGGAGACTGGAAGCCTAACAAAGACTGACACTTTAATCAATCCAAAGTCAACTGCCCCCAGTCAGGCATTCATTCATTCAATCTATGCACCGCGCTACAGGCCGCTAGCCGTGATACTTTGGGCGGGTCAGTTGATGCATGAGGAAGCGCCGCCAAGCAGCCCTAGCGTGGAGCTGGGAATATCGCAGCATCACCTCCCTCGCTTGCGCTGCTGTCCATCATCTCGCTCGCCATGCGGTGGTGGTTTACAGGTGCGAGAGCACGTACCAATCAGCACAGATGAAGCGCGAAGGGGGAAAAGGGAAGGCGAGGTGAGTGGCGGAAGAAGACCAAGAAAAAGGGAACATTGAGATAAATTAGGAAACATTTTAGGGGAGGCCGAGGCTGGAATTAGGGGTGCATTGCCTTTTTTTTTTTTTTTTTTTTGGAACCTATCTTTCCTACCTTCCTGCAGCAGTCTCCATGACATCAACTGGTAATATTCGGGGCCCCTCAGAGCCCCCATTTGGCGGCATTGGCGATACTGCTAATAAGGGTCCCCAGGGTTGTAGCAGCGGCAACAAGCAGTGTAGCATCGGCTGTAAAACATGGCGGTAGTGCTAGCAGGGCCGCTGGATATGCCGACAGCTGTAATACGGGGGGAACCCAAGTGCCTGCATAGCAGGAGCCTGCAATATGCGGCAGCGCTGGAATGAAGCAGTAACCTTACAGTAGTTGCAGGCACTAATTAAGCTTCAAGCTCACCAAACACCAAAGAAACTATCTTATAGGCTTCAAGTCAGCCAACGTCCATCTCTTCCGAGCTGCCAGTTCCGCATGTACCGGCCGAGTGCATCATCCCGCCATATTCGGTGTAGCTTTAGTAGGTAAATTTAGCTCTTGTAGTTCTTCATAACGCTTGTAGATCAGAGCGGCATTGACTCGGAGCGTCTAGGGTCAAATTTTGATTGACGGGAATATAGCCTAGTAGCTGCTAACATAGTAAGTCGCTGAGATTAATACAACACAACATATACAGATACAACTCCACCAGTGCTTGCTTTAGCTTTCCTGGGACAAGAGAAGAACAGATGCGGCAAAATGCCATAGATGGAGAATGTTAGATCCAAGACCACACCAACAGTTACTATTACTACCATGGCTGTATCCGCTATCTCTATTAAAGGAGCTTAAGCCCTGCTAGCAGAAGAGCCATGATAAGGCATTCACTGGTTACCTATACATGATTACGTGACAGTAAAACAATAAATGAGATGGAATTGAGCCGCAGGATGATGCTATGGCATATCAGCGACGAGTATCGTCTACTCCGTCCTCGTATCATATGGAGCCCGGCGCCGTGTACCCCGTACTCGTCTTCCAGGCCGTGCTTCGGGCGCCTGCATTCGCAGATTGGCTTCCACGGCTCCTTCCTTCTTCGACTTCATCCCCAGACCCACCCTTGTCCCTCCATGCCCAATTCTGAGCCCATCTCCATCTCCCCGACACAGGCTCAAGTGTCCTTCTCCTTCTTCCTCCTTCTTGCTCGTACATCTCTCATGCGCCGAGTTGCGCCGATCCAATGTCCACTTCGTTCGATTCTCCTTCACTCGCGCTGCCAGGGGCGGTTCGCATTGCCCTCAGACACGCCTGTGTTCTGTAACAAGGGAGCATGAGATGGCTCATGGCCACTCAACTAATGGACTCTGAGCCTCATGGAGAATATGGAGAATTGCAATATTGCTGCGGTTGCTCTCTGGTCAACCCCCGCGTTGGCTGTCCTCCTGACTCGAGAGAACATCGGATCAGGGATTGCCGTGGCCTGCAGCTAGCGTAGACGCATGCCTCACATGCTCAACCTCCATCTTCTGACGTTGACAACAAATCTAATGCTTGCCCTCTGGGTTTCTGCATCACGAGCCTCAACCTGCGATTGCTTCATCTCAAGGCTGCGGCGTCTAGACCAGGGGCCACTTAATCTCATCAGCGCAGTCATCGTGCTCCTGCACCCATGGTTGAATCTTGTCAACGTCCCATCCACTCATCCACCTGTCGGATATTTGGCTAGCCTTCGGCTTCGGATAGCCATGCTTGATTGTCCAACTGAATCCACAGACGCCATCGTGATATCTATACTGCAAACAAGCTGGATCGACTTGGCAAGCTCGTAGACAGCTGTCAAAGCTCAAGTGGGCCATTTTCTCAAGAGGAGACAGCCCTTCCAGTTTCGCTTTACGGAGCTGGGAATGGTCATACGTATTATCAGACATGTTCAAGTAAAAGACGTCGTCGCTCATATTATCCCAGTCTGGCCGGAAAGGCACAAGTTGCGGTGCCACAAAGTGATGGTAGAGGTCCCTGATGCGCATAGGCGAGGCAAAGTTTCGCCCTCGTTCAAAGGCGTACAAGGCAGACAGCTCTTCGCTCCCTAAATGGTTCATGGTAGCAATGGGCTGACACCACTGCGTGCTAGAATAAGAAATGGTAAACGGCTTCTCTCCATTCATTGTTGGCCACTAACACAGAATATCAAGTCAGCATAGAGTCTTTCACAACCACGACAAGTTGGAAGAGAAAGAGATCTGTGAAGATCGGACTTCACTAGATACGAGTTAAACCTTACCGTGTCATTCACGCTGATCCCTGCGGTCTCTTTTAATGCTTTTGCAAACATGAGATCGCCGCAGCAATGGCTTTTGGTAGCTTCGTCCCATCGGTTGGCCACATTATGCTTACCCTCAAACAAGTCGCGCATGGCTATATTAGAGACGACATAGCCACTGCCTCCATCGCCAAAGTGCGTGTCGCCTACCGATGCTTTGTTGCCGATATACATAGGACCAGTATGATCCATTTTTTCTAGCCAGCGCAACATCGTTGGCCACACCACATAAGCACCGGCATCGACGAACAAATACCAGTCATAGTTGGGCCGCATGTTGAACGTCTTTTCGGCAATATGGATACTCTTGTATTTGTCCAAGTCCCATCCGTCCTGTGTAAATTTCACGTTTTGACTGCAGCTCTTTTGATGGGTCGCGCATTGGCGTTGTCGAAAATAGTCGTCAAAGTCTCTATTATCCGTCTTCACTGAATCTAAGACTCTGTCGAGGCTGTCGTGGACCGTATATCCTCCAATCTCTTGTTCTATGTCGCCGAAGATGAGAAATTCTGGCAAGCATTTCAGATTCGTTATCAACTGAGTTGGAAGTTTGGAAAAGGCTTCAGAGGCTTTTGTTTTCATGACTAGGAGGACCTTTGAAGTATCAGGGAACTGCGCGCAGCCGGGCTCCGGCGCATGTTTTGATCGACCGGCTGGCTCCGGGGCAGACGCCGTCGACAAGATATCGCTAGGCGCCTCTATGGACAAAAGTGCCGACTGTCCATCAGCCTGCTGAGAGTGATCGTGTTTGAATGCTTCTGGCCGTTTCGTCACCTGGTGCTGTCCTCGGCAGTAAATCCCGTCAGTACATGACAGTACCAACCGCTCTACGGTGATCACCAATGCCATAAAGAACACGCTGAAGGCCAGCGCCAGGGAAAAGGCTCGCGTAGATGGCATGGTTAAGTTGACCGCTTGTATTTGACACTCGTTTGGCCCTTGGTCCGCAAGTTCGGCTTCGGGAAGGATTTGGAGACTCCTTTATTTGAGTTTGGACTAGACAAGTATACCGCTTTCAGCCATGGAGAAAAGCAAACACTATCACATAACATGGGTAATCACAGAAGTTGAATGTGCAAATACGAGGCACATATTGTCAGATGTGAAGGCTGACAAGGTCTTCGCCTTACCTCTTATCAAGCCGACGTGCCGGCGGGGAGATGCTCCCTTTCTTCCTATCAATGCGATCAATAGAGCATGTCTACTGCCGTCGCATTTCTCGCTAGATCATGTTTATAGCCTTTGCAAGCCTCAGTGAAACAGATCAGTAGATCTTTTGTTGGTACGGAGTACAATTGGCTGTATTTATAGTACCCCTTCGCTTCGACTAACAAGGTAAAATATTCTTAAATAAGAAAAACCATAGTAGCCCGCTTTCATGTTACCGGACTAGTAGTAGATCCTGGTGACATTATTGCATTGCTACTGTATCCCTTCCATTACTTTATTTGTGAAACATCTAGACTGGCGTGCTTCTGAGACAAGTCAACAGGAACTCAGGTTAAAGGGTGGTCCAGCTGCCCATGATGTAAGACATGCTGACGATTACGGTGCGAAATTTGGGCAAACGTGTCTAACAATATGAATGCTTTGAGTTCCAATCAAATCTGACCACATTGCTAACGACGATCGCTCAAGTTTTTTTCTTCCTCTCTTTTTCATTTAGCAGCAGCAAGCAATATGTTCAAAGCTTGTTCTCGTAAAATAGGCTAGTAATAGCCCACTAGTACTTCTAAACAGACAGAAAACATTGACGTACAGTTCCATTCGTCTAAATCCTTCACCGAGAATAGCTGTAAGTAACATCTCAAAGCTCGTCATGGCCCTCATTGTAAGTTCCATCCCACGGTTCAGCTTTACCCTCAGAGATGGCCACGATGAATTGGCCAATTTGGTGTGACGAAGTGGTGTCTCCCTTGAAGGGGAAAACCTGCCCGTTGTGGACATTTTGCACGGCCAGACCGCCGGTGGAGCGGATACCAAGGTTGCGAGCCAAGTCCGGGTACTCGTTGGAGTCGACGGTTACAAACGTGAGGAATTGGGCGTATTGTTGGGCTGTGCTCTTTAGGTTTTTGGTGTAAGCTTGGCGATGTGCTTCGTTTTTGGAGAGGTAATAGACCAGAGAGCGTCCCGACTAAACAAACGGGGAAAAGGTATTAGTAAAAAAAAAAAGGAGCACTCCTAGAAGAAGGCAAAGAGCACATTGCAGAAACTCACGGAAAGATGTGTCAATTCGTTGCGTCGAGTAAGCTGAGGAATCACTTCTGCGGTACAGACATCAACCAGCTTCTTTAAAGCATCTGCATCGTCTAGATCTGTAGCTGTGTGTTCCGATTCATCGACGTTGTTGTAGCACCAGATGCCACTGGAGCTGGCATCAGCAGCGCTTGCCATGCCGAACGAATACCGATCGTAAAACTCCTCTGCGAGATTTCTGAATCTAGCATCGAGGCTTTTGTCGTCACTATGCAATTGAGCGAGAAATACGTAGTCATCGCTGGTGAGGAAGTCGTCGAGCTGCTGCTGCTTGGCAATGTCTTGCACAGATGGCCGAAGGGCTCGTTTCACAAAAGCCTCTATGCTAAGCTGGAATGTCAGATATTGAGAAAAAAAAAAAAAAAAAAAAAAAAAAAAAAAAAAAAAAGATGGAGGTCAAATGGGACTCACGGTGAGGCTCTTCTAGGACCTCGATATCGTGTCGTTGGCCCGTCTTTTTGATACAGACGGATAGCGGGCAAGGAGACGACGTCCATCTCGTGACAGAAGCCGGAGGCGGCTGCACAGTCGATTGTAGCCGTAGAAGCAACATTTTTCTCAACCGTTTTCCATTCCTTTAATAGTTTCTTACTGCTTTCTCTTTTGTTTTAATTCATAAATGTTTAGTACGTCATTCCATAAATTTGATAGTAGATCAGCCCACTCACAATTCGGGCTGTATGAATGAGGGCGGAGAGCAAGTCACCCCTGAGAGTCAATCCCACCGTTCATATTGCACACAATGGATAAAGCCCGTATCTTACCGCGACAACTAAATCATACATGCAAAAACCACCGATTAGCGCTTTTCAGACTTTAGAAGAATGCATCTCAATTGGACTTACAAGCCAGCAGAGTATATTCGTTATGCGCAAGAAGCTTCTTCACCTCCGTTGCCCCGCTGAATTCCGAAGCACACACCATATTTGCGCAGCTGGCCAGCAGCCCGCATTGTACCAAGACGCTCGATAAGCTCTGCCTTACCATTTTGCACTATCTGCGACAAATTGTTATATTTATTTCTCTTCAAATTGGAAAAGAGTTGAACAAGCAGGTTAAGTTCTCTTTCGAGAAGCAGCAGCAGATGTTCTACATGAGCTCCGCGCCTATTCCTCCGTGCCCCGAGTCAGATTGCAGGGCAGGGGTAGGCTAGACTCGAAACAATGGGCAATGGGGGGCCAAAACGCCATCGCCTGTTGTCTGCATCGACACTACGTTTCGTGTTTCAACGTTTCGTTTGAGATTCCGGGGGGGGATCAAGGCTCTGTTCATCGTCTGATTATTGCCGATTGCCTTTTTTTTTTCTTCTTTTGTGTGGTGATTGTGATCAATATAGCATCCTTCCATTGTACTTTTCCTCCTCCTCCTTCTTCCATCCTTTGCTCCTCACAGAACATCAAGATGTACTCGCAAAACTTACTTCCCTGGCTGGCCGTGATGGCCGTCGGCATGGGAATTGCCTCTGTCGGGGATGATGCGGCGCAGAAAAAGCTGAATGGCTACGAATGCACGCACCCGCCGTATAAAAGCCACCTTTTGAGTAAATCGCCATTGGTTATTTACATGGAGAATTTCATTACCGATGCGGAGAGACTCCATTTACAAGAGCTCGCGTAGGTCAAGCCTTGACAACCTTACCTGCCTACCCAAACGGAGAAGAAGTTTTGCATTTAACATTGACAAAATACCATAGCCAAGGCCAGTTTAAACACTCTGCGGTCCTCAAGAGTGGAAACTCAGCCATTCACTCTGTCCGCACTTCACAGTCAACCACCGTCGACAGAGATGCCGTGGTGCGATGCATAGAGGCTCGGGCTCTCGATTTCCAGGGCTTTGATGTGCCGGAATCACACCTTGAGCCCATCCAGCTCGTCAAATACGCAGTCACCGAGCGTTACCATTTCCACACAGACTGGTTCACAAATCCAGCTCACGCGACAGCGTCCCAGGGTGGCAACCGCATCAGTTCATTCTTTGGATATGTCAAAGCAGACAACGTGACGGGCGGAGGGACCAATTTCCCGATTCTGGATGCACCGCGGGATGAAAGATGGTGCAAGTTTATTGACTGCGATGAAGAATACGATTCGGGCGTCACTTTCAGACCCATTGAGGGGAATGTGGTTTACTGGGAGAACTTGTTGACGGATGGGAGGGGAGACCAGAGGACGTTGCATGCGGGACTACCGGTGGTGAGCGGAGAGAAGATTGGGATGAATATATGGACGAGACAGATGCCGTTACCTGCAGATGTCCGCGGGAATTAAATAGAAAGACGAGGCTGAGGGTTAGGTAGAGCAAGAGGGCTGCTTGGGAGATTACATATGTAGCGTATATAGCGAGGAGCATCTTTTTTTGGAAATGAATAAGGGTGGCTCTTATTTTTGCTCGAATCTTGATTCTTTCGTTCTTTCTAAACTGATTTTAAGGCAAGATTGGCTCACAAAACGTGATTTTGACAAGCAGGAACATGGTAGATGCGATATAGCCGAGGAAGGTGCCCTCATCGCCCCAGGCGATAGATAAACATTCACAAGATGCCCGTTGTCTCGTTTTTGGACATTTGCAACCAACCATTACTACAGCATATTCACCGCTTCAGATTTATTCTGCTGACAACACTTGCTTTCTAGAAATGTCTGACTACAATCATGATCGTGATAGGGTTGCCCCCCTTTTCAATCTCCCGTCCAACGTACCAGCTTCACTGGACTTCCGCAGGGCTACAAGAAGAGGCGGATCGTGGGCCTTTGACTTCCACAACTCCAAGGTATTCATCGCAGCCATATCATCGTTAGCCACTAGCTTGTTGTTCTTCATCATCAGATATTTTTTCGCTACACCCGATACTTTATTGCTGCCGGTGCCTGCCAACAGAGGTGCTAGCCACAAGGGCAGCTCCCGAGAAATGACAATGAGCGTGAATGAGATACGTGGAGATAAAAAAGTGAGAGGCTATCGGAATCCGATACTGACATGCGTCGGCCTCTTCATCTTCATCGGCATGCTCGTTTTTCTCCTGATCTAGACGGTCCTCGATGAAAGGCTGCAGATATCAGACAGAGTGTCTAGGGGGTGGGCCAAGATGAAGCGACGACTGAATCGGCTTCGACATGGCAGTCAGGGAGACGAGAATCAGGGAGACGAAGAACTGGCAGTTCGGAACGTAGAAGATGCCAATGATCAGAGGGGAGCCAAAGCAGCCGCTCCTCCAACAGGTCAACCACTTGGGTCTCAGAGCAACGCAGCTCCAAGTTCTGCGGACTTGACGCTGAATGATCCTCAGGAGGGGCTTGGACTTGAGGCGAGATACCTCATCGATCATGCTTTACTGCAGCAGAAAGACATGCTTGCAAAGTCCATTCAACAGACCATCCAACAGAACCAGCAGCAGGCTCAGCGGTGGGCCCAAGTCCAACAGCACAACGAGGACGCGAGCTCAGTAGGAAATGGAGTACCACCGACTCCTCCAAATTCACAGACTCCACCTCCAGCAAGCATAAATAATGAAGAAGAGGCGGCATAGCAGAAACATGCGTTCTATTAGCCAGGAGCTACATAACCAGCTCTATGCCTGTCTCAACGACGCAGAAGAAACTCTTTGGCAACCGCTTATTCATATGGAGATGGGCTTTGGAGTGGGATATGTCATTTCGGAATAGCATTGCAAGCATCGACTTGAATAGTTTATTTTCCCCAGCTGTTTACTGTATATTTCGCTGGGAGTGTTTAACAGCGACATGGTTATCCGTGAGAGAGGGGAGGAGTCTCTCAATTGGGAAGTTGAGCCGCATTATAGAACAATAGCGTTGCCACAGATTGAAAATTTGGCTATTTTGCTCGTCGATGTTTGTTTTACAGATCAACTTACAAAGCGTTTGTTAGAGAATGCAGCATCGAATACAAATTGTTGAGTCGTCTTTGCCAACATTGAAATCTGTCACGTGATCACGCGCTCCCTCCCACCCACTTTGGACTATCGCACATAGCAACGCTAGCTATTGCGCCGTGGGCCTTGCTCGTCTTGTTAGTCTATCATGACGGGCTCACTATGGACGTCCCTCGCGGCTCCAGGCGAACCCGCCATGCGGCCTCAACAGCAGCCTCAAGCCAAGAAGCTCAGCTCCAGGCGCAGGCCCAGCTAGAGCTCGAGGCTGCAACGCATCACCGCCGAAACCATCCACGCAGACGGGCCGTGCAGGTCCAGGTAACGCCCGACGCTGCCCTGGCCGTAGCAGTTGGCGCTCACCAGACGCCAGATAGCAGCAGCAGCAACAACAACAATAATAGCAATCATGGGAGGAGGCGTGAGATGGAGCCACCGCCGAATCCATTCCGGCTACATAGATGTGAGTGGGAATTTATTCTTGTATCATCTGATGAGTTTCTTTTCTTCCTCTTCTTTTTTTTTTATTTAATTTCTCTTCTTTTTGGGCCAAGATTGGGAGCAAGTGTGCTTCTTTATATATGAAAGAGGACTTGTTGAATTTGAGCATTTGGCTGCTCACCTTGGCGTCACTTGTGAATGGCTTATTCTCTCTCTCTCCGTCTTCTATTACAATGGCAGTCCCCTACCCATCTTTCATAAATACCCTCCACCTCTGCGTTTCCAACATGTTTGGGGCATTTTCGTCTGGAGTCGTGGTGCATTAGCATTTCAATTTTCTCCTTTTTTTTGTGTGTTTGCCTCTGCATCCGTCGTGGTCCTTCTTTACGTCAGAAGACTCCCATTCATTTACTTTTGACCTATTTTCATTCTTTTATTCATTCATTCCCTCGTTGTTTCCCCAATTACCTTCTTTTTGCCCTTCCTTTCCAAAACCAAGGCAGCACAGCAACTGCACCTACCAATAAATTCATTCGTTCCTTTGCATTCCACCAAGGCAGAGTCGCCTACCCACACTCGTTTTCTACACTCGTTTTCCAGCTATGCCTCTTGTACCACTTGCCCTCCAACCTCGGGAACAAGTGCCTCAAGAAAACCTGCCTTCTTGTGAAGTTTCACCCCCCTACAACAGGCCAACGGGAAGCAATCGTCGCCCCCTGCAGCCGCTTTCCATTTCGCCCGCCGGCACTATTCTTGATCGCAGAGAGTCGGTCCTCAGACCGTTCCCCTCCCCAGATAAGGAGAATCGTGATGCCACGGTGCAGGCCTTTTCTCACCGAGTGGCTCACCAAACGAGGGAGATAAAACGGCTTTCACTCTTGCATTCGCTCTTGTGTTCATCCCAGCAGAAAAAGCGCCGCCGCAGACAGCTTCGACAGCGCAGTAGAATCCGTCAATCAGTCGCCGCTAACATGGGCCCAGCTACTCGAAGAAGCACCAATAATCGCCTAAGTCTGCAGTTTGACAGTGATGGTTCTGGCTCTGGCTCTGGTTCCGACTCGGAGCCTGATCTCAGCCATTTGGGGATGACAAGGCGGGGCATGACAGCTGTCCTAGAACAGCAGGCGAATCAGATGACCTACGATGATGACGATGCCATGTCTCATGGTCAATACGACGCTGAAGAGGTGAGCTTAGGCGAGAACGAGAACGTCGATGAAAATGCCGAAGACAACTGTGACGACCAGGTCGAAGAAGAGCAGGAGGAAGAGCCCTTGCCAATAATAGATCCAGCTGTCTTCGGCCTCAAGGAGATTTCAAACTTGGGAAAGTTTACAGTGAGCAGCCATAAGCCGGGCAATGGGGTTGAACAGCTTCGAAGTGATGATTTGACATCATACTGGCAGTAAGACGACCTACATCTATTTCTTCTTTCTGTCTTCCTTCTATCTACTCAGTTTCTGACTTTTGTCTCTTTAGATCGGATGGTCCGCAGCCTCACAAGCTTACCATCTACTTTGTCAAACGGGTTGGTATCCGAGACATTCGCTTTTACGTCGACTATAATGAAGATGAATCCTACACTCCTACGAAAATCATCTTCAAATCTGGCACGAGTGAGAACAACCTTATTCAATTCGCCGCCATGAATATGGAAAGCCCTGTGGGCTGGCAACAGGTACCACTTGCAGGTGTCGGTGGCGAGCCCGATGGCAACACCCTCGTGTCTTGGGTGTTACAAATGCAAATACTAGAAAATCACCAAAACGGCAAGGACACTCACCTGCGCGGCATAAAGATTTATGCCTTTGACGCCGATGCGGTTCAGCCTAGCGAGCCGGATAACACCGTCAATACGGACAGTCTCGCCGAACGTCAAGCTGCTGCTAGACTGGACGACATTGCCCAAATACTGGCCGCGGCAAGACTAGAGAGTAGTGAGACGGGCTTCTCTCTTCCTGATTTCATGCGAGATGCGGAGATTCGATAGAAAATTGTACGATTCATTGACGGGAGAAAGAGAATATGATCAATTATGCCTTTTTGTTTGCTTTGAACTAGGTAGAAAGGGGGGAGGGCACAAAAGCTTGGTGTTAAACCTACGGATTGTTTTTTAGGGCCGCTCGAAGATGATATCATCTGGAGAAGGAATAGAAATGGGATATGGATGGAGTTGAACATGAGGATATGTAGCTAGCTTTTCCTGCTCTGTACGGTGGCTAAATGACTATTAGAGTTTTGTTTTCTATGTACTTTATATATCCACGTATCTTTTACTAGGTACCTACCTAGGTACTTGGTACCCTTGACTGTATCAGAAGGCTATGCACAAGCTAGTCTCTTTGTTGTTCCTTGAAGAATCGTTCGAGAGCCCCAGTGAAATACCGCGGCAGAGTAAACGGCACGGATAATGGCATGGTATGATATTCGGTTCTTTATCTGTTGAAAGCACTGCCATCCTTGGCATGCATTTTTTTTATGCCTTGCAGACTGCCTATCTACATATCTACCCAACTACCAAGCTGCAAGACCGCGAAGAGGTGAAAGCAAAAACTATATAGAGAGGCTCATTTAGACACGAAGGAAGTAATCTATGTGGGTCTCATTGAAGTCAAGTGATGATGTTGTGTTGCTGATCTTAGTACATAGGTACGCCTGATCTACAAAGGAGCCGAAAAGCCAATGCAATATACATACAACGTACTGGTACGAGAGGCACAAAAGATTGCCATGGTGGCAACACTAAATGTACATGAATCTGGCAATCAGCCTCAAACAATGTTTGGACAGCAGCTCAGCTCAGCGTAAAAGCAACAAATAGATGTAGTAAGTAGCACAGGTAATAGCAGCTGTAGAAGAAAAAGCACTTCGATATATAATAAAACTCACTCTTATAGTATAATCATTATGCAGCGTAATAATAAAGTTGCACATGCTCAAGGTTATGAGATTTTCTTATTCATTTATTTTGCTGCTCCCCGCTTGTGCGCGTATAAGTTAGTTAGCTTAAACCGGGATGATGATTCTGTATTCAGCGTAAAGTGGATTGGATTGCCGGTTGTCCAGCTCCAGATGCGGCAACTCGCATTGGCCCCATTATTGAAAGGCTTGGCAGAGGCTTATACAATATAAGAAACGGGGAAGAGAGTGTGGCTTTGCCGGGCGAAGGATTTTTGATGACATTAAAGAAGAGGCAAAAAAGAGACGGTGCAAGAGAAGAAGAAAAACGAAACCGCTCAAGTTGGCGCAGCAAAAGGCAATATTCTGGATTCCAGATGTCAGGTTTTTGGTGGAGAGTGGCGTAGAGAGAGGTGTACATAGAGCTGGCCAGAAACAGAAGGCTTCTGGAAACGCGGCGCCGGAGCAAATTGCAGAGGATGGCTTTGGTAGGATCGGGGGTTTCTGACTTGTGTTGATCCGGTGCGTGATCAGCAGGCATCAGCACTTGCTGGTGGCACTTCATCATGCCGAGGGCTAAAAAGGGTGCTATACTAGCTGGGTATTACCGTATTTACTGGGCTGTTTTAGAGGCCTTGGGGGGGCGATTCTAAAGATTGATTCTGCGCCCCAATATTTTCTTCTGGTTGATGTTAAAAAACAACCACGTGAAGCCGCTCTTTTCCCTCTAGCGGTGAGTTCTTTTCCTGTTGTTATTCCGGCTGGAGAGTGTAGGTCTCCAAGAGCGGTAATATGGAGAAAATGAGGCAGTGTAATTATTGGGTCGATACAGTTCATTTGTGACGAGCGATGCGATACGCATCAAATACGGTGACAGCTAGTCTAGCTTGGCTTGGGTGCAAGCGCATGAGGCTTCAGTGAGCTCTTTTTTGGTCGTGCCCTACCTCGAGTGGAATTGGATCCATAATAATGAGCAATTGTCGTCAGGTGCCTGCGGTTTGCAGCAATGCGGCCAAGAATTATCTAACAAATTGCGTCCATCGCCTATCGAAAAGGATCCAAAAAGTGAGGCTTTCATGACGTCCAGGCCCTGGTCTAGGGTAATTCGGCTCGATGGCGCAGTAGTCTGTGACCCGGATCCTGGCTGCTCCGTGCTGGATGAAGCCTGCTATGACCTGCTCCAATAGAAAGTTCTTGGGGCGTATTCCGATTGTCTGGAAGAAAAAAAGGTGGGTGGCGGGAATTAAGGGCGATCAAGCCATCGTGCTGGCTGCTACGGAGCCGACCAGGGAAGGATATCCTGCTATTCTCGCTCCCTTTGGAATTATCGTTGGTTTCGCATCGTCGTCATAAGCTGACCATATGGCTGTCTATTTGCACAGTGCTATGTGTCGAGCAACAGTCCCAATCCAGCTTCTATGAATAGCACCATTGCATAGTAGTACTATTGTTGAAGATCAAAGATGGCCCTCTCGCCAATAACCCCAGCCGAGGCGAGGCAGCGCGGAGAAAGAAACAATGTCGTCGCCTAGTGGAGGTTTCGAAACAGGACGTGTCGCACTCCATGATTTTGGCTGCATCTCCGCGCTGCTCGCGGGCGAGACCCGTTGAAACCGACCGGAGCGAGTCCATCACGTCACACCATGGGAGCTGCTATGACCGAAGCGGAGCGCAGCGTCAGTACCCAAAGAGGAAAGCTGCAAGAGGGTGTGCTGGAGCGCTGCGCTAGCGGTGCAGCTGCATTGCAGAATTGCAAATACAGCAGAGCTTTGGACCCTTGAGGCCACTGCGCTTTTGCCTCCCCGCACGGCGATGCGGTGCCGAGTGTGCCTTCTCCACCCGCACACGCGCATCGACGGAACGATTTCGACAGGGTTTGATCGGCTGTTTCCTCATTGCGAGGATGCGGTTGTGCAAAGTAGCCACTACCTGCATGCATCGGTGCTTGGAGCACATCAAAAGAGGAGAAGAGAGGACAGCGGGCGAGGTACCGGTGAGCGCTGGCCAGGTGATGTGATGGCGATGATGAGGCTGTGTATGTACTGTACATGCCTGCCTTGCAGTATCCCTTTGCGAAGTTGCAGGCAGTGTGTAGGCAGAGCAGCTCTTTTACTACTTCAAGGCAGCCCAGGTACCGGGATACTGCCCATAGAACGCACCGGTGCCAAAGCGACCGGGTAAGCCATTCCCATTGTCAAAGCGAGGGCTTGTACAGAGTACCTACTACTTACTTCGTTCGTCGCGACTTCCATCTGCTGTCTCTCTCCCATGAGACTACCCCAACTGCCCAGCTCCACTCCTGGGGTGCTCCTGCGGTCTGTGAACCTGGAATGCCGCCCACCACACCACACAAGCTGCTAGTAAACAGTACGCAGACCTACCTACCTGGTAGTACCTACCTAGTAGTAGGTAGGTAGTAGTGCTACAGTATATAAGATCAGCTCAGCATCCCTTCCAAAAGCCGTCTTCCCCTTCCCACTGCTCACTCCCACCTGCTGGATAGCATCTGCGCGGCATTGCTTTCTTCATTTTCCTTCTCCTCTGCCAACTCTTCCTCCTCGTCTCTCCAACCGCCACGCGACTTTTGTATCGCCGCCTCAAAAGACCACCAACACCGCCATCATGTCTGCTGTCAACGGCGCTGGCCACAGCAGCACCTCCAAGGCTGCTGACGTCGATGGCCTCTCAGCTCCCGGCTTCCAGCCCCAGAATAAGATGACAGTCAAGCCACCTACAGGAGATGACCTTCAGAAAAGCTATGCCGCTGTTGTAGGAAGCGAGGCCAACCCCAAGGGTTGGTATGGTAGTATGAGTATGTCGCAACTCACTTCTATTTACATTCTTATGCGCTGTATTCTTTTTCTTTATTCTAACCTTTTTCCTCTTTCACAGTCAACACTCTCGGCTCATGCATTGGAACTTTGGGTGCTATTCCTTGCTGCATCATCTGTCCCAACCCTTACAAGCACGTCAACCAGGGCCAAGTCGGTCTTGTCACCAAGTTCGGTCGTTTCTACAAGGCAGTCGATCCCGGCTTGGTCAAGGTCAACCCCCTCAGCGAAAGGCTCATCCAAGTCGACGTCAAGATCCAGATTGCAGAGGTGCCCGAGCAAACTTGCATGACCAAAGACAATGTTACTTTGCGTTTGACCTCCGTCATCTACTATCACATTGTGTCTCCCCACAAGGCCGCTTTTGGTATCTCCAACGTCCGCCAAGCTCTTGTTGAACGTACCCAGACCACCCTTCGTCACGTTGTTGGTGCCCGTGTCCTTCAAGACGTGATCGAGCGCCGCGAAGAGATTGCGCAGTCTATTGGGGAAATTATTGAGGATGTTGCTGCTGGCTGGGGTGTCCAAGTTGAGAGCATGCTCATCAAGGATATTATTTTCAGCCAGGACTTGCAAGACTCGCTCTCAATGGCTGCCCAAAGCAAGCGAATCGGTGAAAGCAAGATCATCGCCGCCAAGGCCGAGGTAAGAACTACAAGATTGTCATTTGGCCATTTTGCCAATTCTTCTCCACAAAACCGGGCTTTTCATATACATGTGAAGAGTGTTGCAACAGAGTGACTAACAATGACGCTTTCTTTAGGTCGAATCCGCCAAGCTGATGCGCCAAGCCGCCGACATCTTGAGTTCTGCGCCAGCCATGCAGATCCGTTACCTCGAGGCTATGCAGGCTATGGCCAAGTCTGCCAACAGCAAGGTCATCTTTTTGCCTGGCAACAGCCAGCCCCTCAACGCAGCTACCATGAATGCTGCACTGGGCGATTTCGCCCAATCCGGTGAAGGTAGCACTAGCACCGCCGGCAATACTCGCGATTTTGGAGGTCAGGACCCAGGTTTCCAACAAGCCATGAACGCTCGCGTCGTGGAAAATTTCTAGTGTCGTGCCTCGCATGAAGGCTTGCTGCTGACTCTTGAGGTGGCTTTGGTGGTTTAGCGTGGTCAACTTGATTTCGAGAAGCGACATGCCCCCGTGTGTTCCATCGTTTTCAATAACGCCTATGACTTTTTCCCCATCGCAACTTCCTCATACAACGTTTGCCTCACCTTGCGTCTTCGACACCGCAACTCGATTTATTGTTTT